AAGAGGACCTTGACCCTTAAAATAAAAACAGTCTGATAATAATCTTGTACAATCTCTTTCTGTAAGGAATGTTTTTAATTCATACCAGCCAATAATATTGTTTGGAGTACTCGTTAAGAGATGTTTTTTTATCTTTTTAGAAACTATTTGAGCGCTCTCTGATAATTCTTTTTCTAATTCCTTACAGATTTTGGTTCCATTTTCATTTGCCTTATCCCCATCACAAAGGCCTTTTAAAGTTTTATAATCTTTAAAACTCTTACAATTCTTTTTGAATACATCCTCGCATTTATCTTTACTGTTGCCAGAGTGTGTCGAATCTTGAATTAACAGTGCTAGCAGAGCAGTCTCGTCTCTTGCTGGTGGTTTTCCAATATGAATTCCCTTCATTGCTGCCTTTTCATAGAGATTTTTTAGATCTATTTTTTCAGTCAATGTGGTTTCAGGTTTTATAGGATCAAAATCAAGGTTAGGTGCTATGTAGGTGACATTTTTAGCTTTACAGTTCTTTATGAGCTTTTCGCAATCTGGTTTAGTTGATTTTTTACAATTCTCTCCATAAAAATGACATCGTTCAAGTAATGATGGACATTTTTCTTTCAATTTGGACTTTAATCCATCAATTTCTGTTTTTAAAGACTGACAGTTATTTTTTTCTTCTTTCTCTATCTTTTTGCATGTCTCATCCTGGTAAAGACAAAGCTTCAACAACTCATCGCTTTCTTCTCTCAACTCTATGCATGCTTTTTTAAGCTTTTCTTTGCACACATTCGTTTGAAAATTTCCATTAAGCACTCTTGAAAGAGCCTTTTCTGCTACTTTATTACGTTCCTTTTGATAACATAAATTTCTTAGCTTGTTACAATCTTCTGCAAGTGTAAGGCATGCTCCTTCTAAAAACACACATTTTTTCTCATTTGCACAATCACTGTCTTCTAATTTTGAGATACCTTTTTTGACTGCATCACTAAGAGGTGTTTTAAACGTGTCACATTCATTTTGAAGTTTACTTTTTAGATTTTGACACTTCTCTTGTGATTTTTTATTATCACATAAGTCTTTTAATTTCCCATGTATTTCTTCTGCATTTAGGTTTGCATCATTTAATTCATCACAGTGTTTTTTTAATCTTTCTTTGCATGCTTGTTGACTATTATAATCCTTTCCTACAATTAAAGCAAAAAGACGCACTTCTTCCTCATCTTGCGTTCCCTGTGGAGATGCAGCCCTCCGCTTAACCGCCCGCGCCACCGCCCGCACAAAGTCATGCTTGACAGAGATAGGTTTGCGTTATGCTGTGTGGTTTGAGTTTGAGTTTTTGTTAATGTGTTTTAATTGCACGTGAGATACTAGGGACTTGTTTTCATACTAAAATTAAGTATTGAATTCTTTGTTAATTTCAACATTCTTAAATTCTAAGGTGAATCTTGTGATAAAGTATAATGTGTTATATTTTTTGTGTCCAGTATCTTTATGTAATATTTAAATTTGTGTGGGGTAAATCCAGGGTAAATGTGGGGTAATCGTAAATCTTAACAAGTGAAAGGTATAGTATAAAAGGGTATAAACAAGAAATAAAGGCAATTAAAAAAATATAAGATAATTATCTAGGAAATTTTTATAATATTCTTCGGTTATATTATCACAAATATTAGAAAAATCAAAAAATTTTCGATAGAGTATGCATTGAATATGATAGTTGTAGTGGCTTTTTTTCAAATAAAATTCTTCATTCGATATACATGTGTTAATATTATTTAATAGATTTTCTAGTTCTATTAGAGCTAACTATAATTTCATTTTTAAGATTATCGTATTTTTCGTTTTCCTTGATTCAATATTTTTATGTAAATATTTTTATGTATAAAAAATATCGTTATTTTAGATTTTTTTATTCCAATTTTATTTTTTGTCTAAAACTATTTTACATATCTTTATTTTTTACTTATTTTTTGTATTTAGTTTTATCATGTCAAAATCTAAATTCAAAACTATACAGTTCTTGTATTTTTTCATACTTTTTGTTTTTAGAATTTAAATTGCAAAAATATTTTTCAAGTAATGATAATTATTTTTTAAAAAATATTGATGTTTTCAAGTATTTCATTAGTTTTTGATTTTAAGATTATTTTTTTTAGTTATTTATACATGTTTTTTGGATATTTTTTGCACTAACAAATTTTATACAATTTGACTAGTTTTAAGAAATTCATTTTCAATTTAAATTTACGGCTTATAGTTTTATTTCTAAATCTGTGTATTCTTAAATTGTTTTGTTTTGGAAATTTAGATATTTATTAAACTTTTTAACTTTTTATATACTTTGAATTTTATATTATTAAATTTATGGTATTTTTTAATTTTTCTTTCTATATTGATATTATATTTTTAAGATTGTTAAAGGTATTTTGTTCTATTATACAAAATAGTTTTTTAGTATAAAAAAATGTTGATCCTTAAAATCTAAATTTTGACTGTCAAAAAGTTAATTTACAAAAAGGATATTTTTTAAAAGAGATAATAGTTTTAGAGAATAAATAAGTAAATATATCCAATATATTCAGCCGTATTTATATGTCCTATAGCTCTACCAGAGATGGATTGTAAAATGAAAAAATTGTCTTTTAAACTATGATTAACCATTAAATATTAATGCCTAAAATTATGATTTATTAGTTAGTCTGATACCCACAAAATAATAATTTCTATATTTATTTTCCAAAAATATTTAAATAAATCTTATGAATAATTATTAATTTTACATAATTATCGTCAAAATGCCCCACAAAAATATTAGTAAATATATATTGTTTTAATTTTAAATAATTATCCATAGCCCTAATATTATTCCTATAGTCGTCCAAATTAATTCTACTATCTGTAGTCCTTGTGTTCTGATTCCATATCCTTTTCCTCGCCCACCACCGGGTGATATTGTTGGTCTAGGCCTTGAACGTGTAGATGTTGATGTATGTGCAGTTGATGTATGTGAAGATGTACGTGAAGATGTGTCTGTATCCAATGTAGTTGGCGGAGACGCAGTTGATGAATCTGCAGTCGGTAAACTTGTAGTTAAGCTTGTAGTTGAATTTGTCGGTTTTGGTTTTGGTTTTGGTTTTGGCTTTGGTCTTGATGGATCTGGTTCTGATGGTTTTGGTGGCTGTGGTTGTGGCTTTGGTGATGGCGGTTGTGGTTTTGGTGGTGGCGGTGGTGGTAGCGGTTGTGGTTTTGGTGGTGGTGGTGGCGGTGGTGGTGGCGGTAGTGGTTCTGGTGGCGATGGTGGCTGTGGTTGTGGCTTTGGTGGTGACGGTGGTGGATGTGGTAGTGGCGGTGGTGGTACTGGTGGCGGTGGCTGTGGTGACTTGCATTTAACAGTAAGCTTAGTGCATACATAAGAAACTCTATCGTTAACCCCAGTACAAGAAGACCCTATAGATGAACATAAAGATTCTAGTTTTTTACACTCTGTCTCTGTGTTAGAACTAGATTTAGTATGATAATATACAAATGCTTTTAATGCGAGTGTATCACAGATTTTTTCTAAATATGATATTAAAGTTCCACATTGAATAGAGCTATTGCATAGTTTTTTTTCCTTTTGGTTTGTAGATTTTTTACATTCTTTCATTTTCTTTTCGCATTCAGGAACACTAGATATCCTCCCAAGTATCTTAGCTAATGCATTGAGATCCTTATTTTTTTTTAATACAGAATTACACTTTTCAGTAATCTTAGAACAAAAATCACGCAAAAAAGGACAACCTCCTATATATAAAACACAATAATGTTTTAAATGAGAACAACGATTATATGTAGTATAAGATACTCCACTAAGGAGTATTTCATAATCATTCATATGCCGTAATAATTTTTTGCAATCTTTCTCAACGTTGCTGAGTATTTCTCTACATGTTTTTGATGCATTAGTACACCCATAAGTATAAGATGAGCTGTTTTCTAAACAAAAGTTCGTGAGATAATGAAAACAAACAGATTGACTTTGTAAAAAAACAGTATTATCTTTTAGTATTTCTAGTTTCAGATTATCAAGTTCATCCATATTTCTGCAATATGTTTCGAGGTTTTGACATAAACTTATAGTATTTCCTGAACATAATTTCAAATTACTGCATTCTTTCCTTTGCTCTCTACAAGAAGCAAGTGTAAACGTATTCATCTTTTTTAGAGTCTCTCTTAATTTATTACATTTCTCATCAACAAGGGATGTTAATTTTAGACACGTTTCTTGTAGATGTAGACATCTATATAGTACATAATAATTGCGATACATAGCTTTTTTACATACTAGAGAAAGACGCGTTTTGCAATTCTTAGTCACGTTAAAAGTTGAAGACCAAGGATCCATTGGATTTATTTTTTCATTTAATTTCCTTATTAAAGTCATATAAGCTTCTGCTTCTAAATCTATTTGATAACAGGTAAGCTGTATTTTTTCACATAAACCACTTCGAACTTGATCAAAGTATTTATTAAAAAAATAACATAGTGATAAGTATTTTGCACATTTTTCTTTTGAAAAAAAATTTTGCGAAATCGACAAAATATTATTATCAATAAAGTCTAATGTATAGGATTCAAAATGCTGTTTATTTTTATTATATATGTTTATGCAAGCACCATGTTCATTATTTTTAGATCCTTTACTGCATATAGATTTAAAAATATCTAAATAATCTGCTAAAGGGCATTTTTTATTTAATTTTTCTTCGCATTCACTGGTTTGTGCATTAACATTTTGAATCAAAATGTTAGTAATTACTTCATTCGGAAATGATGGCATTTTATCAACATAGATACCTAATTGATTTAAATGTTCATAGCTATATTGAATTGTATCTTCGTCAATATTAATAGATAATTCAAGAAAATTATGATTATAATTGCGGTTAAAATCAGAAAAAAAACCTTTTTCTGCACAACTTGTTTGAAATAAACGACATCCGGAATAAAGAGGTTGACAGTCCAAAATATTTTTATGACATTTTTTTAACCAATTTAGACAGTTATGTTCTGATATTTTTTTTTGTTCTGACGAAAATTGAGTTTGAAGACTTTGACAGTTTTTTTTAATTTCTGAAATAAATTTTTCACAAACATTAAGACCATCAATACATAAAGTGAGTAATTCTGGGCTTTTTTGACTAAATGATACACATTTGTTTCTAAGTCTTTTTAGACAAGCTGTTTTATTATGTGTCCCTTTCAAAAATCTATGTATAATTGTTTCTGCTATTTCCATACGGGCCTTATTATAACAATATTCTTTTAGCTCATTGCATTTTGTAGAAAGATCAGTCGAATCATATTGTTCTAAGAAAAAACAATCCGTTTGTAGTTTGCTACACTGATCATGATAATTTCTTTCTTTATTCAAATAATCTTTAATTTTTTTTATCGCACTAGGCATTTGAGTACTTAAAGTACATATTGATTGAGGATTACTACAAATATGAGGAATATCACTATTCAGTATTTTTACTTCACTAATGCAGAGTTCTCCTAGTTTTTTTATGCAATTGTCATTGTTATAAAAATCATTCGAAGTTAAAAAAGTTGCAAGATAATATAAATATTTATTACTTTTTAGTTCAAGTTCTAAATTATGTATCTTTTTGCTTAATTGATGATGATATTCTTCAGTAGTAACTTTGTATGAAAGTAATGGATCCCCATCATGCAGAGGAGAAAATGTTTGAACAAGATCTAGTAATTGGAATTAAATTAAAAAAAAAAAAAGAATACCTAAAAGTTCTTTATCCTCTGAAAAAACCCTTTTTATGCTAATGAAAACTAAAAGAATGCATGTTTTGGTAAATAACAACATATGAGGGAAGGGGGAATATAAGTCCCCCTTCAAATTAGTGATTCAAAATAGACAAAAAGGCTACGATATTATAAAAAATGATTTGTAAAAATGATTTGCAGATATATTAAGATAATTGACGTTTAATAATTAAATGAGTATTTTTATAGCATAATAATTTAGTATAATATAATTTATTTTGGTTATTTTTGAACTATTTATTAGATTAAACTTATTCTAAAACGCTGATTTTTAAATTATTTATAGCTTAAAAATATAATCATAAAATCCACAATAATTTGTTTTATTGAAGATATGATGATTAATAAAAGTATTTTATTTTTTTAATTATATTTTCTTTCGTTTTGAATTATCTCTTTTATACATTGAGAACTTACTTCTATACTTTAATTCTAAGAAATTGTAAGGTACACTAAATTTAGATTACTGAAATTTGAGATTTTTCTCCGATCTCTGTGATTTTCTGATTACTAATTTTAGTATTTTTATATTAAACTTATTGGGTTTAAACTGTATTTATAGTTTTAGATTTTTCCTAAATTTGTACATTTAATTTTACGTTTTTCTGAATTTATACTTTTATTTATTTGGATTCGTTTGTTTTTGAAATTTAAATTATTTTTATTAGTTTTTATTAATTTTGAATTTTAGTTTATTTTTTAGATATTTAGATTATAATAAGTTTTTTTGTATTGTTTATTTTATTTTATATATAAAAGTATTATTAATGATTAAAATTTTTTATTAAATTACTTTTTTATGTAACACTTCTAATAAAGGTTAATATTTTATGTATAGTCACTATTAAGAATATATTGAATTATCCAACTTCAAATTTGAACTTTTTATATTAACACTAATTTTAAAGTTAATGATGATAATTTTATCACTAAGCGTTTCAAAATGTTTTATCAAAGCTGTAAAAACTATTGATAGTATATTTTATGATTAAAAATAAGTTATGATTTTTTTTTGAAAATTTAAGTTTTTAGAAAAGGGTATTTTGAAGAATATGACACAAAATCTATTTTTAAATTTAGATGAATTAATATAGTTAAAATTTATACTTATTAGTGAAATTAATATAATACAGAATCTAATTCTAAATTTTAAATTGGTTTATATGTAAAATATTTATATTTTAAAATAAGCAATAAAATTTTTTTAGTTGTTTAGAGGAATATTTGTCAAGAGTTTTTAAGTTTTATTTGAATATTTTTTGTGGTTTAAATAAAGTAAATAATAATCTTATATCCATATTTATCTCTGAATTATTTATATATTTAAATATTTTAATTAAATATTTATTCATTTCCTCTTTTAATTTTTCCTTATAAGATATAAATTTTAAATTTTTGAAAACTATATTATATAGAAATTAAAAAATTATTCAAGAACATTCTAATTTATAAATTTGTATATTCATTTGAGAGGTTGAGGGAATACTTAATTGGCAGAATAATTACGAAAGGTGTTGTATTTCTTTTCATTTTTATATTTATTATATTCATTAATGAGTTTTTTTATTTTTTTCGAACTCTATTAAGATAATTTTTTTTGCTAGTATAAGTATAGATTTTGTTAGATCAGAAGAAAAGCTTAAATGTGTGTGATAGCTTGTCTTTTTTTTTGAATTTATTATAGTTTAATATAGTATGTAATCTAAATTGCAATATTTCTAAAAATATTTCTAAGAGCAAAAAAGTGCTTTATTTTTAGGGCTTTTGAATAAGTATTTAAGATTTGTTTTTAGAATTTTACAATTTTTTTTTTGAATATTTTAATAAGTTCTTAAATATTTTATTTATGTAAATGTATCTCTTTAGAATTTTACTTCTTTTTATATTCTATTTTAAATGCTTTTTTGAAGAATGTTTCTACATTTATCTTTCTGAATTTACGTTATTCATTGGAAAATAGTTTTATTGGTGAAATCGTTATGTTTTTTTGATACGTATTAGAGAATTGTAATCCTTTTTGAAATCAAAGCATGATTTTTTTAAACTGAAATTTTTGTTTTTTTTTTTGTTAAATTTGATTTTTAAATCCATTCGTATGTCTTCTGTATTTTTTGTTAAAATTTTTTTACGTGATTTAAGTTAAAAGAGTTTATAATTTAGAAAATCTTTGTATATTAATTAAAAATTTTTCAAAAAGTTAATAAAGACAAAAATAATAAGTAAATATTATTCCTTGTTTTTGTTATTATGTTTTAATATTTTACAAAAAATATAGTTTTTTTATTATAATATTTTATGATAAAGTGAATGTTAAAAATAACTATTATTTTTTATAAATTTTATATTCTTTAAAAAAAAGCATTAATTCTTAATACTTTTTATATATTTGTATATTTTTGGTATTAGTAGTTTTGTTTTATTTAAAATAATATGTATTTGACATTTATTTATCTTGTATATTATTAATTTCTTTTTTAAATATGTTTAAATATGATAATGTAAATAACTATATTAATCGAAACAATTTTGTTCTTTTAATAGTTTTTGTTTTTAATTTTTTTTTAAAATAATTTTTTTATTACTATTATTTTTTGTCTTTATTTTTTTGTTAATATTTATTCTAGAAAGTGTAATAATTTATTTTTAAATACTTTCATAATTTAATTGGTTTCTAATTTTTGAATATAATTTTATTTTGTTCATGTTTTTTATACATTTTCATTGGTGAATATTTTTTTAAAAAAATGTAATTATTTAAATGCTTTAAATTATATTTGAATTACATTAACAAAACGTATATAAAATATTCTTTAATATTAAATTATAAAGAAAATTGGAATTGTAATTTAAATAAAAATATATACATTAATTATAATGATAATTATGCTATTAAAAAGTAGATAGTTTTATTCGTTTTCATCGAATTTGGTTCTTGTTTTTATCTTTTATTTTATATTATATACTGATTTAAATTTTTGTTTTGTAATGGTCAATACATTTGGGATATATATTATCTGTATTGTCATTTTTTAAATATAAATGTATTTTTATTAACATAGAATTTTTCATTGTTTTTCTTTATCATGTTATTAATATCATTCCTTAACTGAGTACTAATATGATTTTTATTAGAATTTATCGAGACTTGTTAAAATGCTATTTATTATAATTCTTACTTTTATATAACTAAAAGTTTGTTATCAATATATTTAATATTTGATTCTTCGTAGTTTTATTTCAATCTAATATATTTGATTATTATGTCTTATGATTTTTTTGTAAAAATATCATTTTTCTTATAACGAATGGTATTTCGTTATTTTTGCTATTTTAATTATTATTTTATTTTGGTATGTATTTTTCATTTTATTTTTGACATTTTCTTTGAGTTTTGATTTTAAGATATGTCTTTGTTTACTTTTTATTATTAGAGTTCAAATCTTTATATTTTTCCAATTATTTTTTTTTAATTTAGTTTTGTATAGTATTTTTTAATTCAAAGAAATGTTTTTTGAATTTATTTTGTAGTTGGCTTTATTATTTATTTTTTAGAATTATAGTTAAAATATAGTTTTAAATAAGATCAAAGTATGATGTATTAAACTCTAAAAGATATATTTACGAAATTAAAAATATAGATAAGAGATAGGAATTATATTTTTTACTAAATTTATTTTTTTATAAAATTAAGTTTTTATATAAAACATTTTTTAAAAAAGTATTTAAATAGCATAATTTTATTTAGTAATAATTTTTTTATTTTTCAATAGCAATTTGTTTTATAATTTTTTCTTTTTATAATTTTTAATTTTTATTTTAGAATTTAGATTAAGAATATAGAAATATAAGAATTGTGTTATATTATAATAAAGACTGATTCCGTTTAGATTTGACATAAATGTATATATTATAAATCATAAGTAACATAATTAGAATATTTTTAAGTTTAATATTACTATTTTAAATTTAAAAATTATTTAGATTATTTTGAAATTTTAGATTTTTTGAATGAAATTTTATAATTAATTAGTAATAGATTTCCATATAGATATGGATATATTTAAATAATTTATTTTTAAAATAAATTCATATTTTTAAATTAATATGATATATTATGAATACTTTCATCTTTTATATTTTTAGACTTTATTTTTTGATTTTGGAAATTATTATATTTTTAAATTTTAAGTCATAATTATAAAATATTAGTATCTTAATAACTACAATCCACTAATTAATTTGACATTTATAATTTAACAGTTTATATTTATTTTCCAAAAATATTTAAAAGAATTTATTTTTACAATCGATTATCAGTTATATAACAATTATCCATAACCCTAATAGTATTTCTATGATTGTCCAAATTAATTTTATCATTTGTAGTTCTATTTTAATTCCATAACCTTTTTCGTGACTATCAGATGATGTTGTTGATATAAACTTTGATGAATATATAGATGTCAAACGTGTAGATGTTAAATATGTAATTAATGAGCTTGTTAATATAGTTGAATTTGTTAATATAGAGATATCTGATGTAATTGGTAAACTCGATGTAATTGAACTTGATGTAGATGATGAATTATATGTAACAGATGAATCTAACACAATCGATGATTCTGATGTAGTTGAAGTTGCAGTTAAACTTGATGTAATTGATGAATTTGAAAAAGTTGATGAACTTGATGTAGTTGATGATTCTGTTGGTCTTAAGACAGATTGTGACGATGATGGCAATGGAACTGGCTTTGACGGTGGTAGCGATGTAGGTGGTGTTGATGGTTCTGATGGTGCTGGTGGTATTGGTTTTGGTGGTACTGGTTCTGATGGCGGTTCTGATGGTGGTTCCGATGGTGGTTCCGATGGTGGTACTGGTGGTGGCAGTGGTGGTGCTGGCGGTATTGGTTTTGGTGGTACTGGTTCTGATGGCGGTTCCGATGGTGGTTCCGATGGTGGTACTGGTGGTGGCAGTGGTGGTGCTGGCGGTATTGGTTTTGGTGGTACTGGTTCTGATGGCGGTTCTGATGGCGGTTCCGATGGTGGTTCCGATGGTGGTACTGGTGGTGGTGGCGGTGGTGATACTGGTGGTGGTGGTGGCGGTAGCATTGACTCTAATAACTTACATTTAATAGTAAAGTTACTACATATAGTAGCAAGTTTATCGTTAATTTTACCGCAAGAATATCCTATAGATGAACATATAGATGCTAAATTTTTACATTCCGTAGTAGAATTAGAATTTGTAAATAAAAACTTATAGATTTTTAATGCAAGTTGATCACATATTTTTTCCAAGTGTTTTACTAAATGTTTGCATGTGTTGTCCGTATTAGTGCATGATATATTTATTGTCTGTCTTATAGTAGAATTCTCGCATTCCTCAAGCAACCCTTTTTTACATGTATCATAATCAATTATTTTTCCATTATATTTTTTAAAAAAATCATTAAACTTCTTATTTTGACTTGAAATATTGCTACATCTTATTTCAACTTCTAAACATGCCTTATTTAAAGAACTATGACAACTTTCTTTGAGCATTTCACAATGACGAATGAAATAAGAACAACGATTGTAATTTATATAAGTTGAAGAATTATCAGAAAATTGATAATATGATAAATAACGTGACAATTGTCTACATTGCTTCGAAACTTGATCTAATATGTGTTGACATGCTTCCTCCTTATCAGCACAAGCGTTATTACGGGGATTTTGTAAACAGTATTTATTAAGATATTTAAGACAATTGACTTTATCATGCAGATTTGAGTTCTTTTCTTTAAGTATACTTAATATCACTTCCATTAGTTTATCTATATCCTCACAAACTTTATTAAGGAATTCACATAAGTATAATGTATGCTCGCAATATAACCCAAATTTAGTACATTCTTTTCTCAATTCCTTACAAGTGTCATCAGTAGGTTTTATGATTGTTAATTTTAGAAGATAATCCAATCTTTGACATTCTTGATGAATATGAGTTGTTAAATTTTTACATGTTGCTTCTGGATATAAACATTTATATAATACATGATAACTGTGATACATAAAGCTACCGCATTCCTTTAAAAGAACTTTTTTACAGTCATTTACAGCTTGAGGATATATTAAAAAATCGTAATGAGTTTTTTGTACTTTGAACATCCCATTTAATTTCTTTATTAGAGCCATATCGGCAGCTGTTTCTAAATCTAACTGATAACAAACAAGCCGTATATTTATACAGATATCATAACTTAGCCAATATTTAATGTATTCATCGATAAAATAACATTCTAGCAAATATTCTTGACATTTTTTTTTCGTAAGAGGACGATATGGATACGACCAAAACTCATTGCTTTTTTTAAATTTTTCTAAAAGACCATTACAATAATTTCGAGTTCTGTGATTTAAGTTCAAACAAGAATATCGTTTACCATTATAGAGTTTATCGTTACATACTCTTTCAACAAGTTTTAAATAACTTGTTGAAGGACACCTTCTATCTAATGCTTTTTCGCAATCAACACGTGATGCAGTCGGTTTTTTAACTAAAAAGTTAGCAATTGGTATATCTGAAAGGTTAGGTACTTCAGTAACATAGATACCTGAAGTACGTAACTTTTCATAGGCGTACTGGACACCATTTTCATTTGTAGAAATAGACGATATCTTAAAAAGATCAAAATTATATTCTTGTGGATCATAAAAAAAACCACTTTCTGCACATTTCATTCGAAATAAACGGCAATTAAAATGGAAAGTTAAACAAGCCGGAACATCGTAATAGCATTTTTTTAACCAATTTATACAATTTTTTTCTGATATTATATTTTGTTCAGATACAAACAGATTTTGAAGACTCTGACATTCCTTTTTGGAATTTAAAACAAGCATTTCACAAACACTAGTGCCATTAGCGCACAAATCAAATAATTCCGAGCTTTGTTGATTAAGTAATTGACATTCTTCTTGCAATTTTTTCAGGCAAACATTTAAATCACTTGAAACTCTTTTCAAAAGATCATTAAGAATTATTTTTGCTACTCCCATACGAATATTCTTATAGCAACGTTCTTTTAATTTAGTGCATTTTGAGCCAATATAGCTTAAACCATGATGTTCTAAAATATAACACCTCATTTGTAACATATTACATTGATTCTGCTCAGTTATTGCCCTATCTGAAAGTTCTCTATCAGTTTTCTTAACTGTATCCATTATGTTATTAAATGCATGATTACATGATGCGATAGGGTTTAAACAAATTCCACGAAGTCTTTGATTAATGGCCCCAACTAAAGCACATTTCTTTTTCAAATCTTTTTTACATGTATATAGTTCATTTGGTGTCAACATAACAGAAATATAATAGAAATCATGTTTGTAATTATACCATAAATTTTCAAGTTTTACTTTTTCTAATTCTTTATATAAATTAATATAATACGTATCAGTCCTTATTAGACGCAAATACAACGGATCTTCATTATATAGTGGAGAATAAGAATTAATAAGATCTAAAAAATTAAAATTAAATGAAAAAAAAACCAATTACCTAAAAGAATATCATTTTCAGAAAAAACATTTTTTATAATAACGAAAATTAGGAAAATGCATATCTTTAAAAATATTAACATAAACAAAAAGAAAGAAAGAATTTGTTTTTAAATTTCATTAGTGATTTAAAAATATGAGCAAAAAAGTCCGATATCGAAAAAAAAAAGCGGATAATATATCAATAAAATAATACTATATATAAAGTATAGTTAGTTATTCTAGTGATTTTCAGGATATATATCTCCTTATGAGCATATTTTAGAATATCTATTTTTAAATTATTTAGTATAAAAATTTTATTTTTTGATTATTTTTTATTCATTAAAACTTTAGTGTTTATATCTAATTCTCTTAAAAATTATTAGAAATAATAATCTTATATTAATGAAATCTATAGTTTTTCTTTAATTTTTATGATTTTCGTAAATTCTGGGTATTTTTTATTGATTTTTACTTTTTAAATATTTAGATTGTTATCAAATTTGTATTTTTATATTTACTTTATTCTAAGTAAATTTAAAAGGATTGCTAATAATCAAAAATTTTTGTTAAATTATTTATTTATAATATTTTTAATAAAAATTAATATTTCATATATAGTTGATGGTAAAAATATGTTAATGAATTATTTAAATTTAATTTTTAATCTGTATTTTTTGATATCAATTCTAGTTCTAAAATTTAATAATGATGAGTTTTTTTCTTTTTTTAAGTATTTCCAGAGTGTTTTACTAAATTATAAAAATCGTTAAAAATAAATTTTAAAACCGGAAATAAAATTTATAATTTTTATTTAATGTATAAAAATTTTAAAAAAATATTTGAAATATGTAATTAAAAATTTATGTTTAAATTTAGATTTAAATTAGTACCATTAAGTTTAAAATTATTGTTAAAATTAAGAATAGAACTTAATTTTAAATTTTAAACTAATTTATATTAAAAATAATTAAATTTTTAAATAAAAAAACTAAATTTTTTATTTAATTGTTTAAAAAAATATTTATTTAAAATTTTAAAATGTTTTGTAAATTTTACTTAAAAATGATATTTTAATTTTATCAAAATATTTTTTAAAATTATAAGCATATAATTAATGAAAAGTATAGATTAATTTATATATATTTATCGAATTTGATAAAATAAGAAATAATCTTTTAAGGAATTTAGAATTATAAGTTAGGTTTTAAAAAATAATTCAAATTATTAAAAAATATTTTTTTAAAATATATTAACTTTATAATTGATATCTTATTCTTACAGTTTCTTTTATTGCTATTTTAATTGTTATATTTAAATTGTGACGTAAACATAATTTTACAATTGATAAAAAATTAATAAGTCAGACCAATTATTTTAACTTAATTTTACAAAATAATTTTATTAAAATTTTAATAAAAAGAAAACCAGTTCACTTCAAAGAAATAGTAACAATATTATTGATATCCAATTAAAGATCACATATAAATTTCTAAGAACTTTCTTATTTTTAATTCAATAATCTTGAAAATATAAGACTAATAAAACTATTATATTAATAAACAAACTCAGTAAAATATTAAAATTAAAAAATACTTAATCCATTATAATAATAAGATTTAAACATCAAACTTTAAAAATAATACTAACAAGAATATTCCTATTGAATTAATATCTCTATTGACAATTTTTTATAAATATCATTACACTGTCTATAAGTATATAATTAGTATTTATATATCATTAACTTTACATCTATAAAACCATAAAATTGCTTATGGATATTATTAAATATTTAAAGAATCTACAAAAAAACGGATTTAAAAACTTTTTTATTAATGGACTTGTATATTAAATGTTTTTTTATTAAAATTTTTTGTATTTTTTAATATAAAATTTAAACATAAAAATTAGAAATTGACTTACAATTTTCTAATCATTAGTTTTAATCTGATTTGCTTACAACTTATAATAATACTTTAATATTTTCATTATTTTTGATAGAATGTATAAAAAAAATATTGAAAAAATGCAAATAAAAATAAGTATTTAAATTTTATAGAACCCTTTAAAATTAAATTTAAACATTAATTTCAAATTATATTAATCTAAATAAATAAAAATATATAATAATTTATTTATAAGTAAATATTATATAAAAATAATAAAATAGATTGAAAAAAAATAAATCTTTTTTGTTACCAATAATTGCTATATTCCTAAATATCCCAAAGGTTAATAAAGTAAAAAATCAAACAAAAAAACAAATTACTAAAAAATAAAATAAATACAAATGAATATAAATTAATGGAACAAAAAATATAAAATAACTTTACTCAAAATACATAATAAATTGATATAAAAACACTTTTTTTAGTCTACTTGTCTCTAATTATTTTATTTATTCATTTAAATATAGATATCTTTCACTAAATTTTTTCCATTTTTTAAACTATAAATAAAATAATTAATAGTACTATTTTTTTCATAACACAGCAGCTAGTCATTCTTAAATTTTAATTTAATGTATATCCCGTTTATTTTTTTAGAAATTTTTAAATTTTTTTATAAATTTATAATCCTCTTTCAAATGAAACCTTTTTCCTTTTAGTATTAGATTGGATACTCTTACTAATGAATCAAATATTTTTAGTTTCTTTACCTATACTCTTAAATATTTTCTTACAAACTTTGTATTGTCTTTCCTTATATTGAGTGCATATGAACAATCCTATCCATTAATTTATTATTTTTTATATTGACAGATTTTATTTTTTCACTATTTTTCTACTTATTTAATGTTTTCATATTCAAATTTTCTCTAACTTTTACAATTTCACTCTAAAACAGTAAATATTTTTCTTGTTTAATTAGTCTCTTGAAGAATTCCAAAATCTTTATTTTCTTATTTTTATACTGAATTTCAAGTCCATTAATTAAATTTATTCATTATATGAAATATTTTTTAAGAATATCATTATATTCTTTGTTTATTGTTATATAATAATCTAGTCTATCGAGAACTTTATCCTTCAATTCTTTTTTTTAATAAATTTAGATTCTTTTGAGTTTTTTAGAGTTTTTAGTTCACATAGTATTCACTAAATTTTTTTAGTCCAAAACATAATTGTCATAATAAATTCAAAGTATAGAAGATTAATTTTCTTGTATCTCCCAGTTATATATTCTTTATAACATTATTTGGTTTTATGTGTTCTCTAAATGTATTACATTTAGACCTAAAACTTGTAATAATTTGGAAAATAGCGTTATATCTTACAGATACAAAAGCAGACTAATTTTTCCTTTTTTTAAGTTAAGTATAGAATTATTTGTTTAGAATTTCTGTAAACAATATAAATTATACAATTTTTTATTTTTTTAATAATTTTTTCGAAATCCTTAATTAACCATAACAATATTTCAACATGAAATATGGTCATATATTTTCTTTTGAATCTTAAAATTTAACACTTCTCGTAATTTTCTTTTATTAAAAAACCTTTTTTATTCAAATATTCTTAGAGAAGTATTTACTCTTTATAAATCTACTAAAAATAGAAAAACTACGTTTATTGAATTCAAATACAATACAAATAATTCATCATTCTTAGTTTTTCTCAAACTCCTATTAATTTTTTAATTTTTTTTAAATTAATCTTTTTCTAAATCATGCTAAACCTCTTGTTCTGTTTTATAATTCTTCATTTATCTATATTTTAAACTCTTTCTTAATGACACAATATTTTCAAATCTTTATAAAATAAATTAACAGATGTTCCAAAACAAAATAATCTAATTGCAACCATGTATATTTTTATTTAACAGAAAATAAATATAACTTATGTTACCCAATAATTTTATTTAGATTAATTATGAAATGTCTATGTATTTTTAAGAAAGAACTCAAACACAATTACCTAATTCCTTTTTCAATTCATTATTCTTTCCTTGTTTATCGACCATGTTTTTATTATAAAAATCTTTTAGAGTTTTATGTTTCCCAGAATCCTTGTATTTTTCTTTAAAGATATCTTTATTTTTAAAGACAAAATATTGTTTTAACTTAATATCTGTAAAACAGGAGTATTTCTTATAAATAACATTTCAATACAAACATCATCAGCAGCTTCTTTGTAAAATCCTCCTAGTTTTATTTTTTCTGTTAATGTGGTCTTCAGTTTTACAGAATTAAAACATCAGTTCAATAGTATATAAAGTAACATCTTTTTAAAGTTTTTATGGGGTTCTCATATTTATATTTATCAATATTACATATAGAGATGTAAAAATAATACTAGTTGAAACACAATCTGATTAACTTGTTATTTTTTTAACTTAATTTTATGTAAATTTTTTTAAACTTTCTTTTGTATATATTTTGGCTTTTTAGACTTTCGCTAAATATTCAAAAAAATTCCCATTGTATGATTATATCTCTAATAATATTTATTTCTTGACTTATTATACTTAGTTTTAAGTTTTATTAGATATATATCCTCCAAAAATATGTATTCTATTTATTTTTTGTATAGATAATTATTTCCTAATTTTAAAATTTCTTTAATCACTATTTTAACTTTTTTTTAAATTTAATATATTTTTTCTACCATTCTTATCAATTCTTTTCATTTTACTTGTGTTTTTTATTTTCAAAAAAGTCCTAAATTCTTTATATACTTTTTTATATTTAATTTTATATTTTTTAAAATATTTTTCTTGATTTTTCAACATTCTTATAATTTTTTTTATAAAACAAAAAGATGAATTTTCTAAATAATAATACATGTTATTGTTATATGTTTCTTAATTATTTATATTATATTTCATTCTAAATTACAAATAGCCTTTTTGAAATGTATTATTTTAATATTTTATACTAAATTTATAATATTGAAATATTTCTTAACTAATTTGTAATTATTTTTCTGATCTATGAAATACAAGTAAAAATTATATTTTAAGTAGAAACAAATACAAAGTATTTTTTCGATTTCATTTTAAAAATTTAAATTAAAAAATATTTTTTAATATAAGATATATTATTGTTAAATCCTAATGATGATTCAAAATGTCTTTTATGATTTTAATTATATTTAAAAATAAGAATATATTTTCTTTTAAAGTATATATTATTAAATAATTTTTTTTTTAAATATAACATAATTCTATTCCTTTAAAAGTAATTTTTTTTTTTTATATTTAAGCATACAATCTTATTTTATAAATATTTATTGCAAATATTTTCATTAACTCAGAAATTTATTTGAAAATATCAATAGATTTCAAAATACCTTGTAAATATTAAAAAGCTTAACATTAACAAAAATCAAGATAAAGCATATTAAAATATCTTAGATCTTCAAGTGGAATATAAATAGCTTAATAAAATAAAACAACCTGTAAATACAAATAGATTTAGAACAAATATACAATGAATTTATAATAAATCATAAATAAACATATGTAAGATGTATTGATAAAAAATAAATATGATTTTTCCGTTTTCATTATTTCATTATTTTTATGTTTGTTATTTTTTATTCATACGTATTCCTTTCATTATTTTTTATTCTTTATGCTTAACTTTTAAAAATAAATATAAATCATTAATAAAATAACCATCATTATTGATACTTTCTTCATTGAATTAATGTCATTTATTCTTATCCCTTCATTGGGCCTAAATTTCTTTGTTTTATCTATAGTAACTGTCATAAACTTTGTATATTCATATATGCTTGTAGATATTATTGTTGAATTTAATATGGACGTTTGTGTAAATGTTTTTATACATTCTGATTTGTTTTCTAGCCGTTTGTCTGTAGTACATGTGAACGTTAACATTTCTCCTTTTGTCATCATTATTATAGTATCTTTCTTTGTTATTGTATTTGTTACAATTGTTTTCTCTGTAATTGTAGTTGTAGTTATCATTGATACTGTTGTTGTATTGTTTAATATCGTACATGGTTTTTGCATTAGTGGTTTTATCATACTACATATATTTTGTATGTTTTTACATACTTCTTTTAAATCTGAACACTTTTCTTTAAAACCACAATTTAACAAAAGATTATCACATTTTTTTCTCAAATTTATGTACAATTCTAAACTTTCAGCGGCCATAGTAAATGCTAATATTTCATCTTGAGTTGTTTTCATGTTCAGTAGATTTTGTTTCTGTATTAATTTATTATATGTTGTAATATTCTGCTCATTATTTATATATTTATTATTTTTTAAGACTAGAAAAAGTGAATTGAAATTTTTTATAGCTTTTTCTGCAAATTCTTTAATTTCTTGAAACCTTTTTTCTTCCTTTTTTAAATTATCAAAATTATGTATTAATTTTTTCCTAAGTTCAAGACATTGATTTTGAAGACGAATAATAAGTTTCCTACAAAGCTTTAATCTTGCATCTAGATCAGTCTGAGCATCATCATCAGGATATTTTTTGCAAAGACTAATAAACGTATCGTTTCCTGATTCTTCCCAATCAGCACAAAGCTTATTAAGAGTCAAGTTACATTTGTTTTTATCTTTTAGATTGTCTTTTAATACATAAGTTAATCTATCTTCTAAATTCTTTCTCTCTCGAAATGGTTTACATTTATTATGAAGATCTTCACATAATTCAGTTTGAAGAGGACTATTTTTTATTAAAAAGCCACACTTAGGACTCAATTTATAACAAAACGGTTGCCAAAAAGTACATATATTTTCAGCATTCGCCCTATTTTTTGCTTTTTTAACAATTTCTAAATCGCGCAAATAAGTTCTAAATGATAGACAATATGAGTTAAAATTATCAAGCATTTCTTGACAAGAAATATTTGGGTGAGAACATAAAGGAGTAAATCGCAAGTCTATCCTTTTAAACCATTTTTTGCATTTATTTTTTAAATAAATTGTGCAGTTATTAATGTTACTTAAAACATCAAAGCTTTCCTCCATTAAAACATTTGTAAAATTATTTATAGCTCTTTGATATTTACACGAATCTTCCAATATCTGACATGGTCTAAAAAGTTCAAAAAAGTCAATCAACAACTTATTACATCTTGTCTCCAAATCGACACAATCATGTTCTTCCAGAAAACCCAGTTTGTTGTTCAATGTATTATTAAGATAACGTACTTTAGCTATAACATCATCAATAAGAAATAAACACGTTTTCCTTGGGAATAAGCAGTAAGAAAATAATTCATCAGTCATGTTTTTAAATGTTAGACATGCTTTTATTAATATTTCTTGGCATTCATTATTATTTATTAACAAATCATGGAATTTCCCAGATAACTTATCTTCCAAGAGCTGGTTCGCAATCGAAAAACGCCCATGTTTATAACATGCTACTTTGGCATTCATACATCCTTTATCAAACCCTACTTTATATGCTCCAAAATAAAAACAATCTGACAAAAGATCTGGACAAATAAAGCTAAGATAATTTGGTAAATTTTTCCAAGAGATAAGATCAAAATTTTTATTTAAAAATTTTAAATTCCTAAGTTTTGTTTCAAGATTTAAGATTCTTATTTTTAGCCGAGCTCCTAGTTCTTTACACACCTTAACAAAACTACGGCCATCTAAACAAATCTTTTCTAATAGTGGGCTTATATATTTGATATAATAGCATTTATATTTCAATTCATGTTTGCATGTTTCCTCAAACATACTATCAGGTACAGCATGAAACAAAAGTGCCAATATATCATTGAGATCTTTTTTTTCTGTCTTCCAAATAACAATACCATCTACTTCAATTTCTTTATAAGCTTGAAACAAATTAACTTTTTTTATAAACTCTGTTTTTTGTGTTAATGGGTTAAAAGGGGAAGTAGGTTGTATATATTTGAAACCTTTATTTTCGCATTCAAGCTTAAACTCATCACAGTACATCGTTACTTCATGATGACAATTTGATCCATAAAAATAACATTGATTAAGCACTTTACGACACATATCAATAGTGATCTGATGTACATTAAATAGAATTTTTGAAATATTTTCAAGTTCGGAACATTTTTCATATGCAAGTTGAAGAAGTTCATTGCATGTTGGTTCAGAAAAAAAACATTTTTGCATTAATTCATCACTTTCGACCTTCAATTCATCACACACTTCAATTAATCTAGGTAAACAACTAACGAAATCAGACAAGTGACCTTCAAGCCCCCTAAGAAGAAGATCCTTTGCTAATTCATAACGCTTATTTTGATAACACTTACTTATTAACGTAATGCACTGAAAAGTAATAGAAGAACTGCTGCATACCCCATCTAATATTATACAATGATGTTCATAGTTGCTGCAATTATGGGCTGAAATGTCTGAAATTTTAAGTAAAGCAATATCTTTCTCGAAATCATCACATTTTTTTTTAATCTTGATTTTCAGTTCTTCGCAATCTTCATTAATTTTCTTGCTACTACATATTTCTTTCAGCAATAAATTTGCTTTTTCTACGTTTAAAGCAAGAATGGTCGAACTATTACAAAATCTTTTTATACGTGCTTCACATTCTTTTTCTATATTTCTTTCTAAGATCAAAACATATAAATATTCTTTACTGTAAAGATGAATTAATATATTTAACCTTATATGATTTAAAAAATAGCATACCTCAATGATCCTAAAATTGAGTTTTTATAAAAAATTTCTAAAAAAAATTAAAAATAAAAAAAAACTATATAAAATACCAATATCTTTCGAAAAAACATTTAAAATATTAATAATCACAATAAACATTAAAAAAATCATTTATTAAAAAATAATAATGATAAAATCTGTTTTCATAGTATTTTTAACATCTAAAATATGAAAATAATCCCTGCAAAATTAAATAGTAAATCGTAAATTGCAATAATTTTTTATTTCGCTATTTCAATAATTTTTGAAAATATATCGTTTTCTGTACATGATTTTAAAACAAATTTTTATAAAGATAATTTAAAATTTCTTGCATATTATATTTTTATTGAAAAACTTATTTTACTAGGTATATATATCTATATTAATTTATACTTGGTTTTATAGTTAGTATTTTTATATATTTTAATATTTTATATTTCAATTTAAAATTAAAATTCTAACAATTTAAAAAATTTTTAAAATTTAAAATTTAATTTAGATTCCCTAATTTAATTTTAAGCTTAACTTTAGAATTTTTAATTATTATTTTTGGTTTTTGGATATTTAATTATTTTATAAATGACATCTATAAAAATACTAATATTTTATATAATCTAATTATAAAACCATATCAATTAATTTAATTTTTATATTTGATTTTTATTTTTTTTTAATACGTTTGTAAACTAAAAATCATCTTTTACTAATTGTTTTAAAAAATAAAAGGTAAGGATTCATCTTAAAAATACCTTTATATGACTAGAAAAATATAAAATATTTTGTCAAAAAAATTAATATTTAAATTTTTAATTTTATTTTTAAATTAAAAAATAAATTCTATATATTCCTCATCTAAAAATACAAATGTAATTAGAATGCTAAATTTTATTTAGAGTATTTAAAATTTAATCATAAAAATAATTTAGATTTTTATTTTTCTAAAAACTTCAAAAACCCTAACCCTCTTATAGTTGTCAGGATTAAGTTTTCCAAAAAATAAAATGAATGATTTTATAGATAAAGTTGATAATGAACCTTATTTGAAATATACCCGTATTTCAGGAGTTGCATCTGAAATATTTTCTAAAGAATTTATAAGTACATTTGAAATATCATCAAATATATTAGTATTTTAAAGAATAATTTTTATATCATACCAATAATTAAAAGGTTCTTGGATCACATAACGGTTATCTATATATTATCAATATAAACAACGATGAACTCTCTCAGCATCATATTCATTCAGCATCTATTAGTGATTTGTCAATTGATGATAGTGGTGAATATATTGCTACTGCATCTATAGATGGTTTAATATGCGTATAATGTATTTCTTATTTAATAAAACAAAGGAAGTGTAGCTTTGTATACAAGATCAAATAACAATATTACTCTTTATAATTATCGTCGTCCTGTAAAATCTGTAGCTATTGATCCAAACTATTCTCAGAATTTTCGAATTATATCAGGTGGAATGGCAGAACAACTTATAATGAATGAAAAAGGCATAATTTAGGAATTCATAGCTGTAATAAATAACATATAATAGGTTGGTTAGGTAATAAAGATACAGTGTTGCATTATGGTGAAGGTCCTATTTATGAAATTCAATGGTATGGAAACATGATTGCATGGGCAAATGATATGGTATCTAGTGTTATATTATTTTTAATTTTAATATTTTAAAGGGTGTAAAGATATATAGTACTTTATTTTCTCAAAGGATATCTTTTATTCAAAAAATACCAGATAGCCCTAGACCAGATCTTTTTCGATGTAGATTAGTATGGTCTTCATTTGATAATTTACTTATAGGTTGGGCTAACTATGTAACTGTTGTTACAATAAAGGTTTTTCGCTTTTAATTTTAATTTTTACTTATTATAACAGTCTCCTGATTTCAATCATCGATTACCTTACAGTGAAATATCGTTAATGTAAATATTTACGAATTATATTTTTAAAATTAAATTGGTTTAGAATAAAACTTGATTACATAGTATCAGGAATTGCAAAATTTGAAGACAAATTACTAGTTCTTGCTTTTATTTCAGATATAAACAGTCTTATAGATACAGAAATTACAACTAGACCAGTATTAGTTAAAAAAATGTCTTGTATATTTTAATTTGTATAGGCTGTTGAATGTCCAGAATTAAGGCTTATAAATTCTAAAAATGAAGAAATATCCGGAGAAGCATTGAATCTTCAGGAATATTCTAAATTTCAGGCTAACGATTTCAATTTGCGCTTATGTCCTAAAAAAAAAAGTATTTATGTAATAGGGCCTAATGATGGAATAATAGCTAAAGAACGGGAACTAAAAGACCATCTTTTATGGCTAATTAAACATAAATATTATGAAAAAGCTATTAACATTGTAGAAAAACTACAAGAACCAATTGAAGGTATTACTTTAAAAAATATTAACCTTCTTTATTTGGAATACTTAGCTAAAAACGGTTTTTTTTTTTTTTTATTTTTTATTAATTTATTCCTTATTTTAATTCTAGATGAATATGATAAAATATCTTCTATATCACAAAGCATTTTTGGGCATGATGTAGATTTATGGGAAAAATGGATTCTTAATTTCATAGAAAATGGTCATTTGCAGGTAAATACTTTTTATTAAAAAGCTTTATTAAATATTAAGTCTATAACTCCATATATTCCAACAAATAGTCCCCAGTTAAGTTCTTTTGTTTATGAAACGATTATTTCTTATTATCTTGTTTCTAATCAAGAATTATTATTTGATATATTAAAAAACTGGCCTTTTGAAATATATAATATAGATAATATTATTTCAGTAATTAAGGATAGATGGGAACAAAAAGGAGAAAAAATTTTAATGGAATGTCTTGCAGATTTGTTAAGATTTTCTTATTACCGGATATGTTTAACATTTTATAGATATATAAAAAAAGGTTCTCCAAAAGATGCATTATATTTTTATCTTCATCTTAAAAGTCCCAAGACGATCAATTTAATTAAACAATACCGGCTTTTTGATAATATTCAAGATAATATACTTTTATTGTTTCAGTTAGATACTTTTTCTAATAAAATCGAAGATTTTTCAGAAAAAACATTAAATGATAAAGTAATAGAATTTTTAGCTCAATATTCTCATTTAATTCATGTAAGATTTTATATACCATGTAATTTTTGTTAATTATTTAAGGTACATAAAGTTATAGATCAATTAGAAGGATATCATATGCTTCAGTACCGTTATTTGCGAGCTATTTTTCTTTATAATAACTATTTTGCTCCTAATTTTGGAGATTTACAAGTCGAATTATATGCAGAATATGATCGCAACACTTTAATGGAATTTCTTCGAACAAGTTATACATATTCTTTAGAAAAAGTTTTTGATATTGAAGCAATTTATTTATCTGATCTTTCATTTAGGCTTATAAAGTTTGCGAATTGCGTGATTATATTCCTGAACAAGTTTTTATACTTGGAAGAATGGGCAATAATAAAAAAGCATTAATTTTAATTATCGAAAAATTAAATGATGTTGATCAGGTATAAATTTTATTGAAAAGAAATAACAATCTAAGAATATTTCTATAGGCTATAGAATTTGCAAAAATTCAAAAAGATGATGATTTATGGGAGGATTTAATTATTTATTCATTAAATAATCCAAGTATAGAAACATATATTTTATTAAAATATTAATTAGCTAGTATTTATATGTCGATTATTAGAGAATGCTGGGTCTGCCATCGATCCTATTAAATTTATTAAACGCATTCCTGAAGGGCTTGTTATTCCTTGTTTTAAAGAGTCCTTATCGAAAATTTTGAAAGAATATGAGTTACAGGTTAAAGAAAATAATATGTAGGTTATTTTTTTTATTATAATTTAGACTACTTTGGTTAACTCTGCATATAAAATCAATTCTATGGAAGTGTCTAGTTTGTATAAGGATTTTTTGCGTAATCAAAAACGAGGAATTTTAATAAATGGTATTTTAAAAATAGTTTTTCAATTTATATTAATTTTTAGTTAAATTCCAAAAATGCAATATATGTAATGAACATATAATTAAAGATGGGATATATATATATATATTTGTAAATAAACTAATGTTTTTAGGGATTATTATATTCTTTTGTAGACATTTATATCATATAGATTGTATATTAGAAAAAAATCAAGCATTATCAGCTGTTAACGTTTTTAAAGAAAATAATATCAGCGTTGGAATAAGGAACACAACAGCTCCGATTATTCAAACCTATTTAAAAGAATGTCCGTTATGTTATAAGTAAAAACGTTATATTAAAGTATTTTGCATTCATATTTTTTAATGTATATTTATTAATGAAAGTTTCTATATTTTGAAATGATAATTCATAATTGAATATCATAATTTTTATAAAAAACATTATTTTTTCCCTACTTTCCAATATATTATATCATTATGTTCTACTATATAATCTTTCCCTATTATGCCATTTAAATGAAATAATATTCTTTACTTTCTTATTACCTTTAGTCATGTATTTTCCTGCTGATTTAACAGCAGCTTCAGATCCTAGACTTTTTAAATCTTCAAATTTCATTATTTCTCCAACTACAAAATTTTTTTCAAAATCTTTAAGAATTAATCATCAAACAAAATGAAAGAAAAAAACCTGTATGGATAACACCTGCTGCAGCAGGCGCCTTTGTGCCTTTTCTAATAGTCTAAATTCTATTTTTAAAAAATAATTTTGTATAAATAATTTACTAACCCATGCACGTACTTCATCTGGGCCACATGTAAAATAGTATATTAAATTCAAACTAGAATAACTAGAAATAATCGTTAAGAAATTATTACTGATTACAAAAAATTATACCCAATTGTAATAATTTTTGGAAGCATTGATTTAGTTTTAAGTCTTTTACATTCTTCTTGAGCTTCTTGATCAGTCATTCGTGAAAGACGTTCCTCAAATGCAACTGAAATAGGAATCTTTTTTATTTTAGCTCAAAGAAAATTTATAGAAACAAATACGATAATATCACCAGGATTATTATCTTTTACCCATGTAGCTATTTTAGGAAGCCATTTATTTTTTTGCCGAAGATAATCTTTTTCACTTAAATTAACAAGATATATAACGGGTTTTGCTGTTAATAAAAATAATGAATTTATTATTTGAATCTAAAAGAAATTATCATTAAGTAATAAAGACATGAATAAATTCATGGATTGTTATTTTATAGCTTAATAACTTTAAATATCAATCATTTGAATAACCATTTTCTTAAATATTTCCCATAATATTATTTATTAATTTTAAATACTAACCTCTTTATTGGTCCAATCCCCTTTCCGTATTTCTTTTTTCTCTACTTCAAGATAACAAAGAAGCTTTTCTATAACTACCAATTTTTCTTTATTTGCTTTAATTTCAAGAGACTGACCACCTCTACTTGTTACTCTTTTTAAAGCTTCTAATTGTTTATTTAGAAATTCCATGTCTTTAATTAATAATTCATCTTGCACTATTTGAAGATCACGGCAGGGATCAACATCACCTTCAACATGAATAATTTCCGCATCATCAAAAGCACCTTAAACAATTAGTAAAAAACAAATTACATTATAAAACTTACGAACTAATTGAAAAATAGCATCTACTGCTCTAATATGACTCAAAAACGCATTTCCAAGCCCTGCACCTGTACTTGCACCTTTAGTTAACCCAGCAATGTCAAATATTGTCAAAAAAGCTGGTATTTTAGATAAAGGTTTATATAAATTACAAAGCCAATCAAAGCGTTCATCAGGAACAGCAACTCGTGCTTCTTCAGGATCAATAGTTGCGTATGGAACTAAAAAAAAGTAAGAATTTATATATATATTTTATGAAACTAAACAATTTGCTGGATTCCCAAAAGTTGATTTGGTTATGACTAAAATAAATTAGTAATTTTCTTTAAAACTAAAATTATATAGTAGCCTTGAAATAATGTGCTTTTTCCTAAGAAAGTATTATAAAAACAATTTTAATTTAAAAGTAACTTACCGACATTAGCTAATCCAACAATACCAGTTTTAAGATTATTGCCGGGATGTCCTAAAAGTATTTTAACTTCTTCTGTTGTTTGCCTAGTTTAAATATTAATATTTTATAATAAAATTAAAAGACGATTTGCTTTTTAGGAGGCATTTTCTGAAGAAAGTGATTTAAAATGTAATTTTTAAAATTAGTATTTTTAAATTAAAAAATAATTTTAGAAAATTTAAATTTAATGTATAATAATTTAAAGAAATTATAAAAAACTATATTGTAAATATACTTAATAAATATATTGCCTTTTTATTTATAAATTGATGTTTTTTTCTAAATATATAGTTTTGCCTGACGACAAATTATAAAAAGAAAGCGACTTAGAATCATCACTTATATAAATTATTTTATCTAAGTCATTTAAATATGATACTTTAAATCCAAATGGATCAATTTCAAAAAATTTTGCACAAAAAGACTTAAAAGACCGAATATTCATTGACGAAATAAATTTCTTTTTAACTACTTTTCTTTCAAATGTAATAGATAATTCTATTTTATAAGTTAAATTTTAAAATTGTTACTTCTTACCAATGAGCTTTGTTTCTATATTTTTTTCTATTAAGTTTTCTTTAGAGTTAAATACAGGATTTCTTTCACCATATTCTATAGTATGTTAGCTAAAAATCATTATTTAAAATTAAAAACTTTTTTGCAATTCTATCCACCGAGGATGCATTTTAATTAAATCTGAGTAATCAGATATTCTTCCAGATTTAATTTCTTTTTCAATTACATTCAAATAATGTAACTCTAAATCTTGTCTTTCTTCTTGAGTAATCTAATAATAGTTGTAAATAAACTTTTTATAAAAAAATAAACTAATTACTTTAGTACCGTTTATTACTACAATATTTTTTAGTCTTGGAATTATAAAATTACTAGAATTGTCCTTGAATTCTAAAATATAAGTTTCTAAAATATAAAATAATAAAAAAAAGAACCTTCAAGTAAAGGATTATCATCAAATCTTAAAGATACTAAAGTATTTAATAGATTTAAATTATCAAGAGAAGACCATTTAGATATATTGTTTTTGGATATGTCAAGATATTTTAAAGATATAAATGAATCTTTATTTACACTAATATTATCTATTTGATTTGATGCCAATGATAAAAATTCAAGTCTATTTATATTAGTAAACGAATTATATTATATAACAATAAAAACTTTTTTAATTGTCCAAAAATCTTGATGACTGTTTCAAAACATGATATTTTATTATTATCTAAAAATATTTTTTTAAGATGAGGAAAATAATCAGAAAATTGAAAACTTTGGTTTGCTTCCAATGTTAAAAGATTATGACTTAATTGAAGTTCTTCTAAATTTTGGAAAAAACTGCATATTTTTTTTACCTTAATTTTAGTTTATATAAAAATTAAATATATATCATACTTCTTCGATTTTCAAATATGTCTTATTAAGAGCAAGTGTTTTTAAATTAGTAAATCTAAAATTATTGTCTGATATAATTTCTGGAACATTAAATTGATTGTAACTATAAAATCAATAAAAATTAAATAAAAAAATAGTTTACTTGAGTTTTAATGTATTTAGATTTGGAAGCTCTTTAATAATCAAGATAACCGTTTCCCAATCTAGAAGATTTCCTGAAAGATCTATTTCTAATAGATCTTATAATTTTTAGAATATTCAATTATTTGAATTTTACTTTACCTATACATTTTTCTTTTATTTCTTCTATATTCCCTAGTTTTGATATAGACATATGATCTAAAGTAGCAAAATAAAGTTTTTGAAACTTTCTAAATAATTTAATAAAATAAATAACTTTATATTAGACAATACTTCATGCTTTTTGGGTAATAGATTTCACATATTTTAATTTCATTGTCAGTACTTTTTGATTTTGCGTTTTCAAAATTATTATACTCTTTAGTGTTTATATATTTATACTTATCATTAAAGGCTTCAACAAATGTTTTTTTAATATCTCTAGTTTTATTTTGTCTAATAAAAGATCCTGATTTTTTTTTTCTTATTATCAATATTATCTAAATCCATAAAAGTCAAACACTGTACCTACACTCAAAATATGTATATCCAAGATATGTTCCATCATGTTTTCCACAAGATGGATCATCCCATTCAACTCCGAGCCATTTTCCCTTTGTACCTTCTACAGGGCCAATATATTTTATTGTACAACAATTGCCCTTAAAAGAAATTCTATCTCCAATTCTATCTTGCATATAATTAAATTGTAAGTAATTATGAAAAATTGATTAAATTGTTTTAAACTATTTAATAATCTTTTTTTTAATTATTTTTAAAATAATTTGATTAAAAGACATTATTAATTTAATAATTTTTAAATTTTATAAATATTACTAATTTTTAGTATATGAACATTTTTTATTGTTAATATATATATTAAACTTAACATATGATAATTTTAAAAATATAAAAGTCTATTACATTTTTGAATTATAAAGAATACAATGTATTTTGATATTTTAAGTTAAAATATTTTTATTATTGCAAGTTCAATAAAAAATATAATAAAATTAAAATATTTAATAAAACATTTTAAGTACAAAAATAATATTATATTTTATTGTAAATAAAATGTTTATTATATTTATCTTATTTAGATTTTAGTTTAAAAGTCTTACAATTTGATTTTTATAAATTTTATCTAAATAATGTAGTAATTCCTTAAGAAAATAATTAACATTAAAATAAAAGATAATAATAATAAAAACATTTTAATAAATTAAATATTAAGAAATTAATATTTAATTTTTTTAACTTCAATAATCTTTTATTTAATAATGCTATCTAAAAAATATAAATTTTTTGATATAGATAATTTTTTCAATATACTTTATATTCACTATTAAATTTTTAGAATTTATTTTTATTGAGAAATTATTAAGTATATTTAATAATTCCAAAATATTTTTGCTTGCATATTTATAACAATTTAAAAATTATCAAATTTACCTTTTTTCATTTATAAAAATAAATTACTATGTAATTTTTTAAACTTTTATTAATATTGATTTATACCAAAAACCATATGGAAAAAAAATAATAAAATTCTTGTTTACCATAAAACCTATTTATTAAATTATAAATCCAAGAATAGTGTTTATATATTAATTTAATTACTTTGAAGAAAGTAATTTGAAAAACACTAATAATTACATAAAATTAAACAAATTTTCTTATTCTAATAATCGAAAAAATGTATTAAATTATTTTATAATTTTATAATAAAAAAATTAAACATTTTATGCTTGAAAATATATAAATAAAATCTATCCAAATAACCACCCTCTACAATTAGATGCTCCACAATAACAAGGCTGTTTATTTTTAAGATTTATGTACTTAGAATTTGAACAACTTCCAACAAATCCTAACTCATCTTCATTATTTCTACCACTATAATCAAAACAAAGTTCTTCCAAGGGAGGAATATCTTTAATAGCAAATAAAGCTATATCATATATTTTAGAATCACTTTTGTCCCTTAAAACAGTATAAATAGCAAGATTAGGATCACATGAATGATTTATAAATCGTGTTACATCCCCACAATATTGTGCATCAATAGTATAATAGTCATCAACCTGATCTTCAAAAAGATCAAGGTCAAACAAATAAGTAATACCAACATGATCATATTTTTTACCACGAGCTTCTGCTTCAGATTGACATATTAATTCCCCTAAATATACACCTATAAATGTTCCTGCTTTAATGAACCGCGGACAGCGTAAACCTCAAATATTTAGTAAAAATAAATACATAAAAACAATATTACCCCAGCCTTTATATTTAGTTTTAAAAATATCTAAAGGAATCTTACGTCCTCTTTGAACTACTCTATTAGGACATTTTATTCCACAATCACAATTTTCATTACATTCATAGATTATTGAAGTATGAGAACGAATTCTTCCATATTCATCATAAGAAAAATCTTTATTATTGGAATCTTCAAGACATTGACAAGAACCGGGATTATTAAGATCGCATCCATCTTTTGAACAACTACAACCAGAAATAAACATAGGATTTCGCGGTTCTACTCCCAATCCATATTTATAAGAAGTTATAAACTCAAAATCTGAAGGAGATGGATCAGAATCAACTTCATTAATAAGAAAAACTGGAGGCCCTAACAACATATCCAATTTTTCTATAAATATATTTCTATCATTCTTTGGAGAAAAAGGTAATATAGGATTTAATTTTGGTTTATTTATAAATTTAGGAAATTTGAAATCTTTTTTGTAAAGATCAGATATGGATTCATTAACTTTAATAATAGCATTAGAAGAGTTTAAATTATCAGATTTAGTTATTGTCTTGTAAACCATTAGTCTTAAAAACAAAAAACTTTAATATTTACCTGGTTTTGTATATGAGGAAAATTTCTAGTATGTTCAGAATCCGAATTCGCTGAAAAAGTATCTAATGCATTAGATTCCTGTGGTAAAGAAAAATCTATAAATGAGCTACAAAAAAGCTTTTTTTGATTTCCTTTAATTTTAGTAAATAGTGTTTTCTAAATAAAAATTAAAAAAAGAAATAAAATTTAAAAAAACTAGTTACATTTTCAGAAATAAATTGCGATTCTTTATTAATAGAATCAACTGAACAATTTTCTGTAGAAAATATTTCTGATGAATTATTTTTAAAGGAATTTATTTTAAAGGAATTTAAAATATCAAGAGATAAATCATTTTTTAATTTGAATTCAGATGCGTTATTTTCTTTAGTATTTAAATCTTCGTCACTAAGAATTTTTATATTATTTATTTGATTTTCTTTAAATATATTCTTTATATTATCCGATTTTGAAATGTTTTTCAAAGAAAAAGGTTTTTTTAAAGATAATTCACTGATTTTATCGTCTTCAGGTGAATTGTTTTTATATACATTTCTTTTTTTCCTATATTTATTTAAAACAAGAGTCTTTCGTTTTTTTTTTAATGTTGTAGAGTTTTTAAACCGATTCCAATCTTCAAGAGCATGCTTGCAGTCAATTAAATTTTCAATAGGTTCCCATGTATCAAAATCTTTTGAATAACCTTTCCATGATATCCTATATAGAATATTCCCCTAAGTATAAATTATTTGTATCTTTAAAAAACAAGAACCTACATTTTCTTGCACAAACTCTTCACAAATTTTTTCTACCTTTAAATTTAAGAAAATATCATTTATATTTATAAAACTTTACCTCGTATATTTCTCCATCCAAAGAGTCGATATTTTTTTCTGTGTTTTCTTTCTTTTTTTTCATCACAAGTTTACGTTATAATTTTGTTTTTCAAAAAATAGATTTATTAAAAATATGCATTATTCTAGCAACATTAGAAATATTTTAAAATCTTTTATAATTAAACATTTTTTATAAATCGACTCCATTGTATGAAAATTAAGTTTTAAATATTAACAGAAAATTATAGATAATTATTTTTTAAAACTTAAAAAGTTAATTTATATTAAAATTCTAATTTTTTTAATTATTAATTATTATTGATAAATACTCTAATAAATTTTTAAAAATATTCAAAAAATTATAAAAATACACTTTTAAATAGGCCTTATTTTAAAATGTAAAGATATAAGACTGAAACTAAAAGCCTTAAGATCTATATAGTTTAAAATCATATTTACAAAAATCGAATAATCAAAATACCCTGAACAAGATAATAAAATACACGCAAGCCTTCAGGATCTTCACTTTCCTGAACATCCACTAATGATCCTATTTTTGCTGTCTAAAAAAATAAGAATTCCCACATTCCAAATAGGAATATACTTCAAATGATATATGCTTATTTCCTAGACGTATTTCTAATTCTTGCCGCCCATCCTTATCTTTTTTTGGCCATCTTGAATCATCTTCTCTTTTTATTTTATTTAGAAAAAAAAAATATATATGTATATATACTTCATAATCTCACTATCTTCAATAATCCTCTTAAGTTCTGTTATAATTGGCTGACTCACACGCACTATAAAAAAAAGAAAATATTAACTTTTATTCTTGAAAAAGTATTATCATACTTTCTTTACGGATTAACGAATCATTCCTGTAGTTCGAATTATTAGCATAACGTGATGTCCCATCCGCACGGAAGTCAAATTCTGTTACAATGTTTAGTATTCTATATAGATTTTATAATTTATAATCTTTACCTAAAAATTCATGGCCAAAACGCCCAGTATGTCCTGAACTATAGATTTTATTAGTTAAGAGAATAGTAATAATCCTTTCAACTTACTAGTATCTTAAGTAAAAAGCTTCTTTTTTTAATACCATTGTATTTTTTAAATTTTAATGAAATTTCATCGAAACGAGATTGAAAAGTATAAAAAAAGAGGTCATTAAAAGATATTAAAATCTATAATTAAAGGATATTCTTTGTTTATTAATTTAAAATGATATTCTATACTTTGATTTATCAAGATAGTCCTTATGATACACCTACTATAGAACAATTAAAAATGGCACTTGAATCAAAGGATGATGAAATAAAAATAGATGCAATGAAAACAATTCTTATTATTATGTGTAACGGCAATGATATGCCACAACTTCTTATGCATGTTATTCGGTTTGTTATTCCATCACGTAATAAAACTTTAAAGAAATTGTTATATTATTATTGGGAAATTTGTTTAAAACATAATCCAGGTTTATCTGTTTTTTTATATTTCTTTAAATTAACCTGGGGATTAGGTGAAAAAATGAAGCAAGAAATGATTCTTGCATGGTAAATTTCTTTTTTTATTTTTTATTACTTGAACATGTTTATTTAGTAATGCTATTCGTGGAGATCTTCAACATCCAAATGAATATATTCGTGGTACTACATTACGATTTGTTTCTAAACTTAAAGAACCTGAAATTCTTGAGCCTTTACTTCCTGCTACCAGATCTTGTCTGGTATTTTTATATTAATATAAGTTTTATTTACTTATAAATATAGGAGCATAGGCATTCGTATGTCAGAAAAAATGCTGTTATGGCTGTTTTTTCTATTTACAACAACTTTCCGGATCTTATTCCAGATGCTCCGGATCTTATTCTCAGTTTTCTCGCTATTGTATATTTAATATTATAATTATTCATTTTTAATATGCCTTTAGGAAACTGATCAGATATGTAAACGTAATGCTTTTATTAGTTTATCTGGAATGGATCATAAAATGGCAGCAAAATATCTTTCACAACAATTAAATACTGTAACTTCTATGGACGAATTAATGCAGCTTGCTATTATCGAGTTTATTAGAAAAGATTCATCAATAAATCCTAGTAACAAAGTAATATTTTTTTGTTCCATAGCAATTTCTAATTTTTGCAGATACAACATCTTCCTCTTATATATGATCTTCTTGAATCTGGAACAAATACTATTGTGTTCGAAGCTGCTACAACTTTGACTTTTCTTAGTGCTAATTCTGATACCATTATAAGTTTGCAAATAATATTTTTCTAATAAAATAATCTAAAATAAAACTTAGTTGCTGCTCGAAAATTTATTGATCTCATAATGAAAGAAGCTGATAATAATGCAAAACTTATAATGTTGGATAAGATTGAGAATCTCAGAAAAAAAAACAATAATATTTTAGATGATCTTATAATGGAAGTTCTTTCTATTCTATCAAGGTTTATTTTTTTACATTTATGATTTCGATACTTATTTAAATAGTTCTGATATTAGCGTCCGAAAAAAAGCTTTAGATACATCTATAGAAATGTTATCTAGTAGAAATGTTGAAGATGTAGTATTATTATTGAAGAAGGAATTAGTTAAAACCATTAAACAAGATCATGAAGAAGTATAATTAAAACCATAATTATTTATACTAATTAAAACAGAGTGAATATTTACAATTATTAACACATTCTTTACATCTTTGTGCAACTAAATATCCCAAGACTTTAGGGATCGTTATAGATATTTTAATGGAATTTATTAGTAATTTTAACACCATCTCTGCAATAGATGTAATATTATTTGCTAAGTAAAGTTTTTAAAAAATATATTATCTTTTTAATAAAAGTGATAGAAAAGTAGCTGAAAAGTTCATTGTTTTTCGTAAATCAATTATAAAAAAGCTATTATTAAAATTAGGGGAAATAAAATCAGGAAGAATATCTCGTGGTATTTTGTGGATTATTGGAGAATATTGTATAGATGAAGAAGGTTAGTAATGTTATTATATTTTTTTTACTCATATAAAAAGATATCCAAAATGTTTGGGAACATATTCGGAATAATATTGGAGAAATGCCTATTCTTACAATTGAACAAAAACTTGCTGAAAAAATTCAAGATGATATCAATAAGGGTATCCATGATAGTAGCGAATCAAATCTTTTATCTAGCTCACGAAAAATTTTACCAGATGGTACCTATGCAACAGAGTCGGCTCTAATATCTGAAACACAAATGATTGATAATCTCGAATCGGAAAAAGTTTCCGAAAAACCTTTATTAAGATGTATATTATGGTTATTCTTTAATAGTATTTTTTCTAACATCAATACAGCTTTAATATTAGATGGAGATTATTATCTTGGATCTGTTTTATCATCAACTCTTGTTAAACTTATTATGCGTTATTCAGAAATCTCAAAGAATACATCTAAACTTAATTTTATGTGTGCAGAAGGTATGCTTATAATGACTGGAATCATTAGAGTAGGTCAATCGAAGTATGTTAAAATGCATATTGATGAAGATTCTATCGATCGTATTTTGATTTGTTTAAGAAGTCTAATTGAATACCAAAATAATCCTTCTATAAAAGATATTTTTCTTAAAGATACAAAAAATGCTTTTATTAACATGCTATCAATTGAGGAAAATAAAGAAAAAACTTCTAATTCATTAAAGAAAAAAGATATATTGCAGCCTGATGATGCCATCATTCCTAGTCTTTTAGCTAGTAAATCAAATATAGAAGAAATGGATCTAGTAAGAATATATTAATTACCTTTGTTATCAATCTAACTAAATAAGGTTCAGCTAGAAATATCTAAAGCTATAAATGGTGAAGCAAATTCTGATTTTTTTTCACTAAATTTTAAAAAAATTGTTCAGCTTACTGGATTTTCTGATCCTATATATGTAGAAGCATATATAAAAGTTCATCAATTTGATATTATATTAGATATTCTTTTAGTAAACCAATTATCTGTGACTTTACAAAACCTTTCTATAGAATTTGCAACATTAGGCAATCTAAAAATCGTCGAACGTCCACCTATGTATAATCTTGCTCCATACGATTTTTTAAAAGTTCAAGTAGTCATAAAAGTTTTATCTACTGATACAGGTATTATATTTGGGAATTGTGCATATGAAGGTGTAGGATCTCAAGATTCTAATATTATTATATTCAACGATGTTCACGTTGATGTTGTAGATTATATTCGACCATCATACTGCTCAGAAAATCAATTTAGAAGTATGTGGACTGAATTTGAATGGGAAAATAAAGTAAACGTGTCATCTTTAACTAATCAAAATTTAAAAGAATTTTTAAATGAGCTCATGACTAGAACAAATATGGCATGTCTTTCTTCAGAAACATTAAAAGAAGATTGTGGTTTTCTTAGTGCAAATTTATATGCTAAGAGTATTTTTGGCGAAGATGCTTTAATGAATGTTAGTATTCAGAAGCAAAGTAATAATTGCATTATAGGGCATATTAGAATACGATCAAAGACACAAGGGATTGCTCTATCTATTGGTGAACTTATTAATAAAAAATGATAATATAAAAAATAAAAAATATTAAATTATAATAACCTTAATTCATTATATATAGTCGATTTATATTTATTACCATTTTGATTTGTTCAGTCAATTTGTACATAAAGTATTGATTTTTATTCTAAAAAAATAAATCTATAAATGTTTTTCATTATATTAAGATCGATATATTAATTTTAAAATAGACATAAAATAGAAATTTATAAATTCCTTTTATTGATATTTCTATTGAAATCAAAATTTAATGGTTTAGTAAGTACTTAAAAGATTAAGTTTAATTTTTTTCTAAAAATAAAGATAACTTTTTTTAAAAACATTATAAAAAAGTCAATGTATCTATATATATTCTTATTAATATTTGCAATAGAGCCAAATAACATCAAAAATTTCAAATTTATTCAAAAAACTTATACAATTGATAATAAAATATTTTAAATAAACTGTAAACATTAATTCTATATTTATTATTACTGTTCATTATTCATTAAGTCATAATTTTCATTGATATAATTTATTTTAAAACTATTATTAATAACTAAACCCATATTATTCCTTTATAATAGTATCTGTTTAAATATTTTCATTATTTACATTTAACATTTTAAGATCAGAACTATAATGATCACCTTTTTTATTTAACCACAACTCAATACGTTTATCTTGAAATATATTTTCTGATATTCGTTTCCGTACATATTTATCTGGAGTTTTTTTAAATAGATATACAAATGGCTCTAAAAGTATTTGAATAGGAAAATTCTGAGTTTGAGTTTTTTCAGAAAAAACTTTATCAAGCTCATCTAAATAAACATCTGAAACATGATAACGAATACTATTTGGAATTTTAGGGTTTAAAGGACTATAAAATTATTAACAATAATCACATTATTTCAATAAAATACTTCAAAGGGATAGATTTTAATAAAAATATATATTTTTTTAATACTTCTTCTGACCATGACGACATCATACAAATACGGAACCCCTGTTCAATATATTTACGTATTAAAAGATAAAACTTATTTAATCTGGAGAAATTTTAGAGTATATCTTTAATGAATATTTAAAACCTTAAAATATCTATTGAAATCCACTCACGGCATATAGTCTCCCAAAAAGCTTTCAAAAACAATAAAGCATTATCTGTAGAACATTTAGAAACCAAATTTGCTAAATCATTTGCCAGTTTTTGTTGAGTAAATGAACGATCACTCATCCACATGCCTTAAAAGAAATCATCAGAAAAAATATAAAAAAAACATAAAATATAACAATAAAATAACCCCTTCCAAAGTTTCAAAAGCTCAGAATAGCTTAAATGACTTCTTGAAGAAAGAAAATGAGACAAAGACATAACAGCAGAATCCCGAGTTTTTTTATCTAAAAAATATTAAATCAATAAATTCAAAATACTTTATTACCATTAGATACAAACTTCTTAGTAAGCTGCTTAAGTTCAGATATTTTTGGAGATTTCTCAATAATCATTATAAAACTTGTTTTTAAAAATAATTCTGTAACGTTGGACAAAAAAATATAAAAAAATAAAATTATTAATGCAAAAACACGAGAATAGATTTAGTTAATATACATTTTCTTTAAAAATTAATTTGTAATTTCATTAATCTGTTTAAATGTTCCCTTAAGCGTTTCCTTATATAAATATATACGGTTATCACCACAACTAACAGCAAGAATATTGCCTAGAAGGGACCAGCTAACGCGCCACACAACATCTGGAAAAGGTTTATCTGATAAATAAACTTTTTTCCATGGAGCATTACCCTCTTGAACCCAAATGATAACCGTTTTATCCTTTAAAGATTAATAATGACTTTCATAAATATTTTTATACCTGAGAAGCAGATGCAATGTAAGACTTTGGTAATCCAATATTAGGAGCCCAATCTACATCTCTGACCCAATCAGTATGCCCTTCTAATGTCTCCTCAATCACCCAGTTATTTTGTTCAATACTGCTTATTAAAATTGTATCTAAAATACCAAAATTGTAACACACCTATAAGTCCATATTTTTAATAAATTATCTGAACCACCTGTAACTATTTTTTTAAAAAAATTTAAATCTTGGCTTTTTCCTGTTCGTATAAGAGATGCTGGTGGTGTTGATGGTGACCATGAAACTGCATTACATCCTACTGAATGTGCAGGGAACGTTCTTGTATCCCACGTTCCATCATCTTTAAAATCTATAATAGAAACTTTTCTATCTGAAGACCCACATGCAAGAATGGCACCTAGTTCATGTGGTGCCCAGCTAATAGAATTCACTATAATATAAGAATAGAGTATAAAAACAGCAAAAAGTATCTACCTGATGCCTGATGAGAATTATGTTCAACAAGTTTGGCCCATGTATTATTTGTTTCTTTCCAAATAATAACACGAGCATCATATCCACAGGAAGCCAATATTGTGCCAAATTTAGGATGTGCCCATAAAACTCTCCATACAGGTCCATCATGACTAATAAAATATTGATATATTTCAGTAAAAACAGTACAACATTATTACCCTTTCAAAGTTTCTATTAGTCGTTGTTGATCACCATCAATTTCAAAAATTTTAATTGATTTATCAGATGAACATGTAGCCAGACGTCTTCCATAATAATCCATAGCTGCATCATGCTAGTTCAAAAGGTTAAATAATCTTTAAGAGTAAAATAACTGTTAAATAATCATCTTACAATCATATCTTCATGTTGAGTTTCTAACGTATGCTGATTTGTTACTGTTGAAAACTAAGAAAATATTAGCATTTTTCATTAAAAAAAGTAACATATACCATTAATTTGAATATATTTTTTATATATTTTTTCTAAAAACTTATGTTTTCAATTTTTAAACTTAAATAACGTTTAAATATTTTTAAAAATAAACTACAAATATAAACTTCTATCATTTTTATATCAAAATAAAAAAACAAAAGCAAAAAGAATTTATGATTTTAAAAGGTGAAAAATGATTAATAAATCTATTGCTTTAAAAATTAAACAACAGATTAAACAATTGATAAAGGATACGTTTAAATGTTAATTACCCAAATAAAATACAAAATCTATAATATAGTTTATTGAAAAACACAAATAAGTATTTTTAAACATCCTGATGAGTAATATTAGAAAAAGTGTGAACAAGGTCGACAATTCCTTGACATTTTTCTTTTAACAAACTTGCATAATTAACAAACCCTGACAAGTTATCTGGACTTAAACCGATTGGTTCATCAGTAGGAAACTGTTTCCCTATAGCTCTCATAATAACTTCTCTAAACATATCTTGTTTTTCATCAACAGATGAATTATTTAGGGAATCATGTTCATGCATATCCGAAACATCATTTTCCAAAGTTCCTAATGCAATAATTGCTTCTACTTCTGGCCATATTTCATCATTATCTCCCTCTTTCTGTGCAATTTTTCTTAAATCTTTCAAATCTAAATATTATTATAAACATCGATAAAAATAAACATAAATAACCTTCAATTAATGATGCAAATTTTCGTATACTACCAAGATGACTCCTAATAGCATCTTGTCGTTTAGCAATATCTATCGGTATAATAAGATCCGTATCGAAATCTTCATCCCATGCTTCATTCGACTCTAAATAAAAGCTAAGGAAAAAAAAGAAAAAAGCAAATAGTATACCTTCTTTTATATACTCTTTATTCCATTCAAATTCCTTATGTTGTGAATAAAAACTCGGTACTCTTTCATTCATTAAAAACATGTTTGTAGATGCAAAAGACTCAAATGTTTTTTTCTGATCAGTATGCTCAATTTCGTTGAAATTATCCCATAAAATATCGTTTGATGTATTATCAAGGTTTTTACGAGTATTGTGATGCAACGATTCCGTTTTATTAAAAAGATTTTCATCTGAAAAACTATAAACAGGGCAAAATAATTGTTTATTCGATAATTGTGAACACTCATAAACCTCTTTATCATTAATCGCAAGCTTATTTAATGGATTAATGATCTCGAAAATTTGATCAACCCGAACGTTGCACTTTTCATCCATATAGACATCCTTATTAAACACAGATTTTTCATTTTTGCGCATAGCGTAAACATTCAACGGTATATCCTTCATAATTAACGAAGGTATTAGAGACGATGATGCAGAATATTTATACGAAACAAATTCAGGATCCGAAAAAACCATACTATCGTTTGAAAACTCACAAACACTATCCATGCTAAAAATGGAACAAGGACGTTGATTATCCACATCAGAAATCGGCACCAAACAGGGTACCGGGCGCTTTGATTTGAACGGGTACAACTGACGAATCATTGTTTTCGACGATCTAGAAAAAGACTTCTTCCTCCCCTCAGAAGAACCAAAATATGGCTTCCATGATGTTATATGTTTAACATCATATCCCTGAGACATATTCAGCGCCAATTCTCGGTGCTGAAGAGCATGTTCCTTGCCCCATTTCCGTAACGACACACTTGGCACCACATGTACCCCCGATGTCATTGTAGATAATGACGTTAGAGACACTGTCCCCCATCTTCCCCCATGCAAACCTATACATCGGCGCTGCATCTTCATTTTTTCTTCTTCTTGTCCTTCCTGCATCCCCATTGGCATCTGTGCCACTGTTTTACTTCCATTCATAGGTTTTCTCTCCGGACGTGCCAATACACGTCCTGTAGTTGCTGCTATTGTCGCCAAACTTGTATATGCAAGCTATATCTCTTGATAAACCAAAATATCTTGTGATTATCAACTTACCGTGCTTACACTCCGCCATGGCAGCCTTGATCCATCTTTTACAGGTTCTAAAAAGGTGTAATTATGTTCTGCACGGCTGCGCATTCCTTTTATTTGGGCTTTTAAGAAAAACACGATATTTGTGTCGTTGGATGCAGAGAGTCTGTCGACGAGCGTGCAAAGTAGGCGTTGCCATAGGAACGACTATCACCACGGCAACATATGTTGCCAGGCAACGGATGTCTAGATTGAACTGGGGAATCAGGAATTATTAAGCTTTGAGAAACAAATGAGAGGCAAAAATATAGCAGTTGCATGAAAAAAGCAAATAGTTTAAAATATATGTATTGTAGTTTTGAATATGTAAAAAGAGGTTAGACCGAGATGGATTTAGAGATAAGCGATATCGAAAGAAATTGATAAGGAAAAAGCTTGTATTTGGGTATGATGATTAAAAAAGAACTGATAAATAGTCAGTGAGAGATAGATTGTTTCTAAGTTGTTTCTTTTATTTCAGGAAAAATAATTTCAATAATTTCATCAAAAATACTGAATACTAAATGCGAATTTAACAAAGAATTTTGCAATATATTGAATAATTTTTTGTGTGCAACATCAGGCAGATAACCTTGTATGATTAGTAAATGATATTAAATAGAACAAAACGAACTAGGAAATATAGCAGAAAATAAAAAACCAGCTTCTAGCCTTGTTTTTATTTTTTCTTCATAAGATCTTAAAGGACGATTCTTTATTAATACTCCGTTTGGCCACAAGGTATTCCTTAATACTTCAAGTATGTTTAAAATAGATTGCTCTTCAAAGGCTTGTCGCAAAGTTTCACGAAGTTTTCTGATTATTAACAAATGAAAAAATATTTTAATAAGGAAAAATACCTCTCAATAGCACCTCCTAACAATTGTTGTAATATTATAATAATTGCACGGCCTTTTAACCAATTATTTGACTTCTTAAGATCAAAGATTTCCAAAAACAAATCGCATACTGGTTTTGTAAATGCTGTTGCATCGTTTTCTAAAACTTTTAAATTCTGAGTTTGTTGGTTAACAGGAGGCTTGTTATTTTCTTTTATTGTTATTGCGTCCAATATATTAAGATTAGTTTCGGAAAAATTATCTATAAAAGAAGAATTAAGTGGCAAATCATCTACTCCTTCTGAAAAATATTTAAAAATATATCCAATAATTTCTCGTGGATCTGAATAAGATGTAGAGTCAGGGTCTTTCTGTAATGACGGTAATGTAGAATTTTGTTGAGATAAGAATATACGCAACTCTTTTGATGCACAGACTTCTGGAATTTGTAATAAAGTCTATCAAATTTAATATTTTTTAATAAAAAACATTCTTCACCTGAAGATATTTTTCAAGCATAACTCTTCTTCCTTCAATAAAAGATTTTTGCATTTTTAAAACAACACTTTTTTTTGGAAGCTCAATATTTCGCACCTTTGGAAAATGTGCTTTTAATCTTTGATGAAGATGAAAAAATTCACTATAGCGGCGCCCAAGAATCCATCCTGCTGTTACCACTTTAGAAGAATCAAACTTTTGTATTTCTATTATATACAAAGTGTATTCAGATCCATCCATTTCTAATCCTATTGTTACAGTTGGTATAGATATTTTTGATCTTCCCTATAAAAATCAAAAATAAAATTCTAAAAATATAATTAAACTAACATAGAGCAAGTTATCATTTTCCTGAATTATATATTGCTGCCTTTGATATTTTTTACGATGAATTTCTGATTGAATGGTTTTAATTGATTTTTTAAAAATTTTAAGCTCAGAGACACTATTAGTAAGTTCTGCTTTTTTTATAAGAGAACTAAGAACCGATTCTTCAGAAATCAAACTATCAATTTCAAGAGAAATATTATCAATAGCTTCAGAAAGAGTTAGATCACCAGGTGATGCATGATGAATATCTGCGTCAGTTAAGTCATCAATGTTTTGATTATCATAAGATAAATCTATGTCAAGCTGCTCGGATTCTTCGAACAATGGAGCACGAACTTTTTTATCTGTAGAATATAAATAGTTATCGAAAGAATTAGAATCAGAAGATTCTGTCGTTAAAGATTTTTTCAAACAATCAAGAGATATTTTTGAAGAATTTCCAGACAAATCTGCATTTTTTGTATTCGTATCTGTTTTACATTTTCTCTGATTATCATCATCACTATCTATAATATCATTCAATACAGTTTCAACTTCTTGTAAAATATCAAAATCAATATCATTATTAGTACATGTTCCTTTCTTAGAATTTTGAGTAGAAGGAATGCTTAATGTAGAATTAGAATTGTATTCAGAATTAAAATCTGGTGTCATATAAGTTTTTGTCGATGTATTATCATATATATGATTTTGAGAAGTATCTTTGAAATTTTTTGAAGTTTCTTCTGTTATTGTGGTCAAATATTTTAAAAAGATTTCACTCTTTATGAAACCGGGAAGATCCTTTTCTTGCATAATCTCAAAAACTTCATTCTGTATTTTAGATAAAACAATTTTAGCATTATGATATTTTTCAGGCATATCAGGTAATTCAATAAATTCCTTAACAATATTTTTATTTTCTTCAGATATATTTAAAAGATTTTCTGAAAAATATGTTTCAAAAACAGTAGAAACATCTTCCTTATATGATAATCTAACATTAATATTTTCAGGAAAAATAGAAATTGCACCTAATGGATCATTTTTTGAAGAAATATCGTGATCGAAGGGATTATTAAGACCATTCACAACAAGCCAAAATTGAACTAGGACTATTCTATTTTTCTGATCCATAAATTCCTTAAAAATTAACAAATTATTAATTTATGGTAAAATATATTTACCATAAAATATGATAAACCTGAAACATTATGCAATATTTCTATTAATTTGACATCTTTTTGAGCAAACAAAACTTCTGGAGTTTGCAAAACAAAACCCGAATACTATCAAAGGTTAAAAATAAAAAAATATTTTATATAAATTAAACATCACTGTTTATATTTCCTGTCAACATCCCTATTTGTTTTTCTAAATAATATTTACTTTTTTGAAACTTAGCTAAAGCACCTTCTATAGAGTAATTATTATGGGAATCATGTTTATTAGAATCTAATATACTAATTAATTTTGTCATTTTTTTTCTTTAATATACTTATGTTTGATTGAAACTTATGGTTTTCTAAAGCAAGAGCATTCCTCATTCTTCTTAAATTAGATAAATTATTACAATGTTTTATAAAACGTATATATCTTTCAAACATTTTATCATTTAATGAAAACTTTGGTGTATATTTTTGTTTCTCAATTTTTTCATATATTGAATGTTTTTTAAGAACATCTCTAATATGTTTAATCTTTTTTCGTTCTCGTATTATAGAACTACTCTAATATATACTATTATTAAACAAAAAATATTTTATATAAGACTTACAATAGTCTCTATTAGTTGATTCAATATATCAGGATCTATTAATAATTCTATTATGGGAGATAAAACACCACACGAAATAATCTCTCTAACTAAAGTAAAAACGATTTTACTGTTCAATTCAGAGTCAGGTAATATAAAACCAATAATTCGGCCAACCAGTTTTCTGAGATGATCTTTCTGATAAATCACACTTCCTGAATGAAAAAATGTAACAGCTGGATGAAGCTTTCCATTGTTGTACTTTTTTGCTACAGCAAGATTCAATTCTGTTAAATCAGTAAGGTTTTGTTTAAGGCCAAGATGTTGCACTTTCGCATCTGCAACTGAAAATTCTGCAATATGAGAGGTAATTATTGGTATAATCTTTCTAACAATAACATCTCCTATATCTATATTTTTCATACGATTTCCAAGCTGTATTAAAGAATATCGAATAGTTTTTTCAACAACAATAGGAAAAGTACCATGAGGAGCGATTTCTTTATACCATCTCATCACAAAATCACGAATAATAAGTGTAATAATCTTATCAAATGCCTCAGATATAAGTTGAGAGTCATGAATTGGTAAACGTAAGTTATCTGTAGACATTTCTTTTTCATAAGCTTCAACTGCTTTTATCCATTCTGATGGTTTTGTAAACGCTAAAGGTTTTATTACTTCTGTGTAGTCCCTAACTCTGGATCTCTTAAGGTATTTGGAAGCTACATAAAGAAAAGATATTAGAAATAAAGCACAGTAAATAGTAATTATAATAAGAATTTGATAAAAAGTGAAAAAACGAAAAATAAGCCCAATTAGAATAGAAACTATGACATATAAAAACACAAATTTCAATGATACGTCTTTCATTAATGACGTAACATAATATTAGATAACTGTTTTATTAGTTTTTTACATTTAAATCGATTTATCGACAAACGAAATCCAGTTTTATAGAAATATTTTTTAAAATATTGTAAAATATTATACAATAAAAATTAATAAATATCATCTAATCTTCTATAACATGCTATGATTTTTTTCCCATTGTTTCTAGATACTTTTTTTCCTTCTTCTGTTTGAGATGCCATTATAGCAACACAAGGATCATGATCAAGTTCTTGTTGAGAAAGACGTTGAAACAAAGGATGATGATCCAAATGAGCAACCATCCAATTATGTAAGTCCTCTACATCAGTGATTGTATAAATAATTCCTTGAGGACGAAGAATAAAAGCATATTCAGTAAGGAGTGTAAATCTATAATAATTATTATATGAATCAATGGAAAAAATAATACGTAATGATCCGTGCTTTATGTTTAGATTTTTTAAAATGAGGATCAGGAAAACAGAAAAACATTTTTGAAAGCTTTCAGCCAATAATTAGAAGGATATGTAAAAAAAATTAAAATACTTGATGTCGACAGAAAAAGTTTGGCAAAAACTTCATAGCATTCATACGTATAACAGAAATGTTTCTATATGCCTTATTTTCAGAAAATTGATGTCTCAGAGCAACAATTTTATTCTGAACATATTGTGTCACTTGCATACGGATTTCCATACCTGTCTAAAATAAGACAGAAAACCAAGCCAATAAAGCACACCTAATATCAATAAATCCGGATAGACTGTTGAAAGAGCAATAAGTAATCCACCAAATCCACAGCCAACATCCAAAATCTCAACTTTTTTGCCTGTCTTCTTAAAATCTACATCTGGAAAATGAACTGACCAGTCCATGACATAAGGACTAACTGGACTTTAAAATTACTAACAATCCCACATCCTCATTGTGTATACTCACTAATCTAGAAGATGATCTGAAAATACATTCGAGTGTGCTCTTTGCCTATAAAACTTTTTCTAATTTTACTAATTATATATACTTTCTTATACGAAAAAAACCAGAATTACTCTAGGAATCTCGTCATAGACATGTTCTTGTCTTTTTTTACGCTTTTTTCCCTCTTCAAAAGTCATTTCAAGTACTTTTTTTCAAAAATCTGACGTTAATAAAGCAAAACGATATATATTATGTTCAACGTATAAATTATAAAATGGAGACAAATAAGCAGGATATTGACAATAAAGACAATAGTTTATCGCCAAATAATAACGAAATATACAAAGAAAATCCTTTAATCAATGAAGCAATTGAATTTGATTTACGTAAAAACAGATGGACGTATGAGGACAAAGACAGAAATGAATATGAATACGATGATAAGCGTGGGATTTGGATATTATCTGTGAGTAAAATAGAGTTTAGAAGTATTGAAATTTATTTAAAAATGTGTTTTAGACAGATGAAGAATTAATCCGACGTCAGCAGGAAGCATACGCTGTAGAAGGTGTTGATGAATCGGCTCCTGTAAATAAGCAGCGGAAACGCAAAAAAAGGGTATGCAGTGTTATAAGGTGGCATATTTTAGATGTTTATCATCAAGTATATAGGCAGAAGAGGGAGAAAAAGAGAATCAAACATTCAACAAGAAATTAAACACAGCTCCAAAGAATACAGCAGTCTATATTTCTAATCTTCCACCGGATGTAACAGAAGATGAAATACGAGAAAGATTTTCTAAATGTGGTGTGATAAGTGAAAATATTGATACAGGCAAACCTAGAATCAAAATCTATATGAATGAACGAGGAGAACCAAAGGGAGACGCAATGGTTGTATTTTTTCGAGAAGAAAGTGTTAAGCTTGCTATTCAGTTACTTGATGATACGTGTCTGCGTGTAGATGACAAGAATGGGCAAAAAATGAGAGTGCAGCAGGTAGAACACCACTTTGTAGTTTCACCGCTGATTGTTTAAGGCGGATGTGTCTTATAAAAAATCTCAATACAATGTGGTTAAACGATCTATGAATGAAAAACGAAAGTTACAACAGAAATTGAAAAAATTAAGTGAGTATGTATTTATATTTTTTCTTAAAAATAAATCACTACTTTATTAACATATTTAAGCAAAGTATCAGAATGGGATGATAATAGTTCTGCTGCTTCTTCAGGAAGGTGGTCAAAAGTTATTATTTTGAAACATATGTTTACTCTGAAGGAACTTGAAGTATAAAAAAAATATGTTAAGTATTGCTTAATACACTTAGGATGATATTACACTTATAATGGATCTTAAAGAGGATATTTGGGAAGAGTGTTCAAAAATAGGAAATGTCACAAATGTTGTTTTATTTGATTTGGAGCCTGAGGGAGTTGTAAGCGTGCGATTTTCTGATGAGGAAAGTGCATTAGCTTGTGTTAAGGTATAGCATTAATTCTAATAATTTATGTTTTATATAAGTATTTACAAAAAAAAGATGATGAATGGACGTTATTTTGGAGGAAAAGTAGTAGAAGCTCAAATCTATGATGGTAAAGTTCGATATCGTAAAAGTAGCAATAAAACAATAGATGAAAATGATATAGATGAACAAGCTAGACTTGAAAAATTCGGAAATTGGCTTGAATCTGGAGAATAAACTTTTAATATATATAAAATAGAGAAATTTATAAGTAGATATGTTTCAAGTTTATTTTGAAATAGATAATTGACAATACGAATTATTCTGAAAAAAATTATCAGATTGAAACAAAGTGATATTTAAGATTATTATTGGTCAAAAATACTTTGGATTTTTAAACTTATTTAGTATCTGACCATGTTTAAAAATTTGATAGATATTTTTCATTTAAATTATATTAAGTTTTAGTAGAGAAATAGTCATTAAGATTCCATGGAGAGATTTTTATCTTTTTATATAGAGGATATAGAATTTATACTTGTTTCATATACTTATAAAACTATTGAGTTTTATTTTTTTAAAAAAAATAAACCATTTTAATAGTATGACTACAAATATATGTCTTTTCTATATAAATGCATAAAACTCCATTCTATTTGTTAAATAATTTTTATTTTTGCATTATCCATTTACTATACAATTATCAAATTTCAAAATACATAAAACTTTGCACTCAATATCTCTTGTTATTTTCTATTTTTAATGTTAGGTAATATATAAAATTTCATATTTGTATTCCCTTAATTTTTTTTAGAATTTTATACATTTTATCTTTACTCGTAAGACACTATATTTTTAGGCTTATCAAGTGTACTTTAGACGGAGTGATAACGATAACGTTTATTTAAAAAAAGATCTGCTTAAAAACCTTATTATAAGGTTTGTTTTAAAAGTTTAAATACTTTGTTCATAATAAAACATCAGTAAGAGTAAGAATAGAGTTGTTTGTTTTTGTTTGGATTTGTCAGAGGTTGAGTATTAAATATTTTCAAAAATACAAAGAAAAAATATATGGGAAACAAACTAAAAAAAAAGATATAAGAGAAAAACAAAGAGAAGAAGTGTTTCAAAAATAAAAAAAAACTATACAAAAGTTAATTTTTTGCAGATAAAACAGTTTGATAGAAGAACAGTCTAAAGTATTTAAAATAAACATATCAATAAATCAACAGGAAATAATGGAAGCATTTGTAAGTGATACATATGAAATTAATGAAAAAGAAAATCTATGGTTTTTTCCGTCTTTAAACGGTGAAGAGCCAGAGTTTGTTTATAATGAGTTGTTGAGTCATGCACATGGACATTCTACAATACCTTATATTCATCCTTTATCATCTTTAAATGATCAACCTATGGTCAGATCAATGCAAGAAATAGATAATATTATAGATTATGGAGTTAATCCTACAAACTTTTTCGAAGTATATATGAATCCTAATGGATATAAAAAATCTACATTCAATGAGATGATTTTTGAATACAACCAAAAATTACTTTTAAGTTCACTGGAAAAGCCAGAAAATGACTTTCTTCATTCACCTTTTAGTGAATCAGAAGAAAATATGCCACTTTCTGGAAAAAAGCTTAATACATTTACTGCATATGATAATAAACATGTCTTAGAGACAGAAAAACAAGTCAATTCTATCAACGATATTGATATTTTTAACAGTACTACAAATATTAATAACCTTAATGATAATTTTACATCAACATGGGAAGAATCTCATGATGCAATGTTATCATCTCAAACATTGTCTAATGCATATGATCAGTCTCAACAGCATATTCACAAACGCTTACCAACTATTAATACAAACTCTAGTCTTTATGATCAGTCTCAACATCAATCCCCTGAAACATTATCTACTATTGATACAAATATCGACAATACTTTCTCTTCGTATTTTCCTAATTTAAGAGTAAATACAGAATGCGCTTTTGATTCTAACATGATGTTAAAACCTTCTGATTTTCATATGACTTCTAAAGAATTTCAAAAAAACTTTTGTGACCTTTTAAATAATCATGATTTACAAAATGGTTGGAAACCTTTATTTATAGAATCCAATACAATATGTCCTGCATCTTTATCTTCACCAACTTATCCTTATGAGTACAGAGACAATTCTAATGATCCTTCAATAGAAATTCAAAATTGTTTATGGAAAACAGCGAATAATCTAGCATCAGTCACACCTACAACTATCCCTACTTCAATACCATTATCACCTCAAAATATATGTCAAGATAATTCAATTCTTGCATCTTTTATTCGTTCATATAATACACTAAAAACTCAATACTCTATGAAACAAGTACATTCAATACTTACTATTCATAGGGTTATATTTAAACTTAACCACTATGCACAAGGATTGAATTGGAAACATTTTCTTACCGCATGTCTTCAACCATTATCAAACTATACACCACCAATTGCCCTTCCATGGAAACCTGCTTACATGCATTGTCTAAAAGGCTATCAAGAATGCTGGAATTGGGAATGGGCTCCTAAAAATCAAAATTCCAAGCCAAAAGAGGAAAACAATGAAAAAAAAAAATTATTATTTCTTCCACCAGATCTCCCTTTTGGTTCTAAGGATGTTCCTTTGTTCCTTAATTCTAAAAAGAGGATCAATCCATCTATGTTAACAAAAGCTTTAGAGAATTGTCCTCCAGAATTTAAAGAATTAATAACTTACAAAGAAGAAGACTTTGTTATGCAGTGTCCTGCTATCTATTTAAGGCTGAGTACTGAAATGAAAGCACCAAATCTAGCACCACAATTAAGAAACAAAGGACTTAAGCCAATACATACAGATGACCGATTTTACTATCGATCAAGTTTATTTGATCCAATAGTACCTCTGGACCATTATACAATATCAAGTGAACTTCTTGTTCACTCAGATCCTAATGAGAGGCCATACCAAAACACTAAGTTTGAGTTTATTGACCGCTACAATCCTGAGTATTATCGGTATAAAGGTAACAAAAAGCAAGCACATTGTTCTCTATGTCCACCTGGAGGATACGATTCTGGAGAAGATAAAAACGATCCTTGTTTACTTGGAAATTGGTATGTCACAAAGTGTTCTGCTTTTTGGTACCACAAAAGATACAAACATGGAATACGCAAATATGGATATCCTTATCCTTATCCAGAAAATGTAGAAGTCATCAAAGACAAATCTATACAAGCACAATGTCCAATGTGTCATAAATGGATGAAAGCTGGAATGGTAGATGACCTTGTTCCCCGTGCTTTTTGGACCCATTATGACCAGGTATAGCATTTATCATCTTCCTTCCAATTACACACTAATATGACCTAGTGTTGGAACATGGTTGAAGCCATCCTCAGCCCAAAGAAAAAGAAAAAAGAAGATGACTATTGTGAGAGTAGCCAAGCTTATGGGACCACTTCAAAACCTCTTTCTCATCTAAATGGATACGAAAAACACATCTTCAAAACAAAATCTGACCCAAAAACCCTCGGAAAAGAAAAAGATGACGACGATGACGACGAAATAGACGAGCCCTTTTCACTCCCCACTGTCCTCCCTCCCCTAGAGCTTGATGACGGCGACGAGTACTTCCCTGAAGAAGACGAATTCAGTTTTGTGATCCTAAAAAAAACTGTATAGTTAATATCCACTTGTTTTAATCTGTACCCCTCTTCAAACCTTTTTTTTATGTATTTTCTTCTCTTTTTTTCTTCTCTCATTGTTCGCACTATATAGTCTACTTCCTCGTACCTTAGACTTTATATATTCAACTTCGTATGCTCAGCCAAACGTACAAAATACAATGGCAGAAATGATTGCACAATTTCTGCAGCAAAGTACCAAATCATCAGTTCAAGAGGACCAAGAAGAAGCAGGAAGCCTCATTACATTAGATCTACGCGGAGAAAAAATTGTATTAGAACGAGAAGAACTGATCAGTCTTCCAGAAAGTATTTTACTGTGTTTATTTCCAAATGGATGGATGATTAATGAAGGAATGAACGGTGAACCAGTTTTTGTAGATGTATGTATCTCTAAGTAATGTATATTTGCAACAATTGCATGAAATTTGTAATATGAGAGCATTTCTGACTGAAATGTTAGTATGACTCGTCAATTCTATCCTATGTGATTCAATTCTTTTGTGAGTCGGTTTCAACATCACGTATAGAACAAGAAGCATTGAATGAACAGAGAGCACCGTTTCCAGGAAAAGTGGCTATTATTGTTTTAAAAGAAGATCTTGATTTCTATGTGATTGCACCGTCACCGGATGATACAAAGGAAGAAACACAGGGAGAAAGGATATGCAACAGACACATGCTGAAACGTGAAGTTGGGAAGCGGCTTGTTGATATTGATGGGGTATTTGATGGGCTTTGGAGGACAAAGAATGTTGAATCAAATGGAGGTATTGGTACATCGGAGCAGTACTTAATTGATATGTTATGTTCAAGGTGGAATTATTCCGCAATATTATGCAAATAACTAAGCAGGAAAGCGGATTTAAGAAGGAAGATAAATGGCCACGGCGGGTACTGGAGCCATCACGTGCATGCATTTCTAGTTTAGCCTTAACAGAAGTAAAAAATAACGATAAACCGTCAACGTCTATTAATACCAGTCAAAAACTTCTTTTATTCTGGAGAAAACCTGCTGTATATTGGCCATTGTTAATCACAGACATGAAAGGCTAATTCTTTATAGAGAAAATGTTGGTGGGACTGTATGGAGTTTACGAATATCGAAGGGAGCATGGGAAAGGTAAAGGTATGGGCACGAAGGGTTTGGACATTGGAATTAAGCATTCTTTCTGTGAAGTAAAATCTGGGTTTTTATAAAAACATCTAATTATATATATATATATACTTTATGATTGCAAGTTTACACATGTATAAACATAGATCATCACTGAATATTAGATATTATGTGATGTAAGACACAAAATTTTATGTATAGAGTTGATTATAGGCATAATAAGCATAACTAATAGGATAATATTATTATTTTAAAAATCTATTCTACTCATTTTTGATTTCTTTAAGATACGATTCTTGTAGTTTCCAACATCGAGAAATTTAACTTTAGAAAAAGTTCATGTTATGCAAAATATTATAAAAAATACTAAGTATTTAAACGTTATATTTGTTATTTTATTAGAATACTTATAGATTTTTTTGTTTTTCTAGACTTTATTCTAATTAAAAAAGGTAAAAAAAGACCCATTCTGAATATCCCATTCAATGGAATACTTAAGGTATTACCAATGGATTTATCAAGAAAAAAACCTCGTATAGAAGAAGATAAACAAGATTATATATTTTTTGGTACTAGTATTGTAGGAAGTGAGGGTATAGAAGAAGGAAAATACGAGCCCATCTGGAAACAAGAAGTTCGGGATGAACGAGGAAGAAGGAGACTTCATGGTGCATTTACTGGTGGTTTTAGTGCAGGATACTATAATACAGTTGGATCAAAAGAGGGTTAACTTTTAATGGAAGCATGATTTAATATTAAAATAAAGATAGGATGGACACCACAGTCGTTTAGATCTTCACGTAAAGAAAGAGCTGTATTGAAAGTAGGCCGAGTTGAAGATTATATGGATTCAGAAGATTTTGCAGAAAGAGAAGAAGAAAGACGTCTTAAAACAAGAGATGATTTTATTGGGATTGGAAGTGAAAATATAAATCAAGAAATAAAAAGAAGTATATTAGATGATTTAATTATAAAAAAAGAATCAATTGGTGTTCGTTTGCTGAAAAAAATGGGTTGGAAAGAAGGACAAGGTGTTGGTCCTCTTATAAAAAAAACAAAAGTCCAAGGAGATGATGGAGAAGTAGAGGATGAATATGCATCAAAATTTCTTTTTGCATGTAAAGATTTTGTACTGGAACCTTTAAAGAATAAAACGGACCTTTATGGCTTAGGATATGTCCCTTCTCCAGGAATTGAACGTCCACAGAATATTAAAAATACCTCCACTCCTAAATTTGGTATTTCAGGAATAAGTTTTGGATATGGAGTATTAAATGAAGATGACAATGAATATGATCATGAAGTTTACGACTTTGGGCCCTCAAAAATTAAATATGATACCGTATTAGATCACGAAGAAAAAAGTACATCTACTAGTACGAAATTTAAACCTGTTACAAAACATTTGTTTGTTCCTCGAAAAAAAAATAGCACTAGCGTTGAAGTAAAGCGTTGCCAAGATGGAACATTACCTTTAAACGGATTCATAATTGCTGAAGTTTATCGTCTGGAGAAAAAAACATGGTTTGAACCACCAGTAGTTCCGCCTGATTATGTTCCTTCTGCTCCTCATTCTAAAAAAACAAAAACTTTTGGAGGAGCTTTACAGCCTAGGGATAGGGGTGCTATACTTGGCGAAACACCTCTTCTTGGAAAATCAGTATTTGATTTCCTTTCTCCGTCTGCTCGAGAACGTGTAGTTCAAGCAACAGGAAAAACGGATCTTCCACCCGCACGAAATGAAGGGTCGATTCTATGTAGTACATTAAAGGCTGATTCTCCACTAATAGACAAGAAAACAGCTCTTGATGCTTTAAATAATAAATTTATGCCTTATGAGGATAATGAGGAAAAAAGAAAAAGATATATTATATTTCTTCAAGAACATGCTGGCATTATCCAGCGTGGTTCATATGAAGTAATTTAAATCTATCAAAAAATTTTTAAAAGCTGAATAATTTTTAGAATATAGCTGCATCTCGTGACTATCAAAAAGAAGTAGATGAGTTTGTTAAGTCAGCGCGTATTTTCAAACCAATGACTGGTATGATGAAAAGTAGATTTACAACATCATCAACATCTTCTCCTGTCTCAGTTGTTGATAATTCTTTAGAGGGTGGAATTATAGATCTTCCTATAAAAGAGGTATATTTTTTTGTTAAAAAAGTTATTTTTCTAATTAAATAAAGGTTAATGCAGCAGAAGAAGCTGCAAAAATGAACATGTTTGGAAGCCTTACGCGAATAATTATCCCATTCTATCCTGCACGATTATTATGTAAACGATTTAATGTTCGAAATCCATATCCAGACAAGCCAACTACATCTGATATTAATGATAAACCAAAAAATGAATTAGTAGATAAGTCTATTATTGAAGGAATTATGCGGGAAGTTAAAGGGGATCAAACATATGTTCTTCCAGAAAAAAGACAGGAGAACTTAAATATAGATGACACAACGAACGAAGCATTAGAAAAGGAAAGACCTAATATGGATGTATTTACATCAATTTTTGGAGATGATGATGATTTATAAGTTATTTACAAGAACAGCATTACAATGTTTAAATAAAATACCATACTTATGTATTTATTTTAAATCGTTTTTACTCTTATTTTTAATCGAAATGAGTCAAATATGCTTGGAAAAAATACAATTTATATATTAAGATAAAATACGTATAAAACTAAAAAAGTACTCGTTTACAGTTCATTTTGTTTAAATATTTCTTTAAAACATACAAAAATATTGTTTTTAACGAATTTATTTTTTTCAAAGAAGAAATAAACTTTATCAAGAAATTTATGATTCATTAAAAAAACAGAATTTTGATAACAAAACTTAATATTATATATATAGATCCTATATTTTTTAAGATGATCTATAGAAAAAATAAGGAAACTGACTCTGTTATTCATGCACTTCGAAATATGCCAGAATTTGCAATATTAAGTCAGTTTTTATTTCTTTTCCATAAAATCTTAAAACTGGATGATTTTGACATTGAAGTAAGTATAAATATCTATATATAATGACTTATACATTTACTTCCGTTAAGTTTTTTGAGCAAGAGCTTCTCGGATTTCATGAACCTCATACATTGACTATTATAAGATATGGTCTCGTACGATATTTATCTTCTAACAGACATATTAAGTATTTTTATTCTTTCATATGGTGTATTTCTTTTTTGATGGATTTAGTGCGGAAAATGTGGACTTTTATACAAGAAAACAATTCCTTCTTCGTAAACCAGAAAATAATCCTTATGGAGATAAAGAAATCCCTTATTCATGGGATTCTTTTGATATCTTTACAAAGGCAAGCAAGTATTATTTAGTATTCTATTTTTTCTAAAGAAAAGATGAAGGTTCAAGTTTTATTGCAACTTTGTGAATGGCAGTTACTTAATCCTGAAAAATTTAGAGAACGTGTTGGTGCAAAAGAGTCGGATGAAGTTACATGGGTATGGATGGAAATTAATCTATTTATTCGATATATTTTAATATATAATTAAGAGAATAGATCCAATAGGATATGATTCTCTCGGCTATACATATTATTTATTAGATGATAATCGATTATATAGACATTTAGATACTTTTCGTCGTCTTCCAAATGAAAAGTCGCGCAAAAATGATACTAAATATAAAAAAAGGAAAAGAAGACGAATTGTTGATGATGATGATCTTGATTTAATTGATATCTCAACCACTGATGATAAGAAAATACAAAGTCCTCAAATAGGGCACTGGGAAAATGTAAAATTATATCTTTTGTGGTTTTAGAACTTATTTTTTTCTTAGGTTTGTGTAACTTTTAATGATTGGAAAAATTTTGTAAATTCTATTTCTCATTCAAAAAATAAAAATGAACATACATTATATAATTATCTTCAAAAAAACATTTTACCATATCTTCAAGAAAATGAAGAGGTATGTTAATTTAAGTATATGGTACAAGCTTATGTGTTTTATAGAAGAAAGAAAAAGAACGGCTACTCAAAGAACGTGAAAGACTTAAAGCAGAAGCAATAGTCCATCGTAAAAAATCAACTCGTATAGAGCAAAGAAAACTTATGAAACTTCAAGAAGAAGAAAAAAGATTAGAACAAGAACAATTAGCCATGTTAATAGAGATAAAAAAAAGAGAAGAAAACCAATTAATTGAATATGTATTTTATTTCCTTTTTAATTCCATATATTAATAATTAATAGGATCGAAAATTGCGTATGGAAACAAGGGATAGAAAACAAAAAGAAAAATTATTAAAAGAATTATTACAAAAAGAAAACAGTGAAAAAATTGATATTTCTAATTTCAATAATTCTTCAAATACATTAAAGACTAATCCAATTAAACGAAAAAGTACTAAAAAAGTTAAACGGAAAAATATAAAAAATAAAAAAATAAAAAATACTGATTGGATTTTTAATTGTGTATGTGGTATATCTGGTAAAAATTATGTAAGTTTTTATCTTTAGACTTTTTTATTAATTATATAAGTTGGATAATGAATTAATGATTGCTTGTGATCAATGTATGGTGTGGGAACATGTAAAATGTCAGCATAATGCTGATGAAATATTTTTAAAATTACAAGAGCAACCTAATGAAAATAATGGAATTCCTTTTATTTGTACAAAATGTAGTCAAAGTTCAAAAGAAACACATGAATATCCTATAGATGTCATAAATGAAAACAAATCAAAAACATCAGAAAATACCTTATACGAAAGCTTCGATAAAATGATTATTCCTAACCCAGCAGAAAAAATAGTTCCAAATAATAATGTTAATATGATAAATAAATATACATCTAAAATATGTTCTAATGTTCATTCTATTTCTGGATCTTTTGGTACTAATACTTGTCATCAATCTCAAATATCATATTCTCAAATTGCAAATTTTCCTGCATTTCAGCAAAATAACATGCAAGCTTTTAAACCGTTTTATCCTCTTGAATCCTCTTTGCATATTCAGAACATTTCATCGTCTTTTGAGGAATATTCACAACAAAATTTTCAAGTAATATAATTCATTAAAATACTTAGTTACAATATCTTATCAAATAGATATTAATACAGTTTTTTCACATAACTTATAACATTATGAACTGATATCAACTTGTATAATATAGAATATAAAATTATTCATCATTTTTTAATTTATAAATATTTTTATTTTTATGAATTCACTTGTAATCTGTATAATTATAGAAGTTTGGAATATAAGATTTTAATAGAGATTACCAAATACTAAAAACGTTTATATATAATATAATATTTTTTATAATTTAAATATGAATTTTATAGTATTAAATGAATAATTTTTTGAACAAAAAATCGTATTTTAAAATTCAAATTATATAAGTAATTATACGTATCAATATTATGTATTGTATACATTTATGTCATATTAATATATATTTTAACGGATACAATTATATTTATATGAACAAGATAAGCTAATAAATATATAAACAATAGTAACAATATGTTTAAAAAAGGTCATTAAAGTAATAAAAATATTTTAATTATAAATCAACATTTATTATCATTAAAATAATCAAACTATGCAATACAATAAAAATTCAAGTAAAAAACAGCTTTTGGATAGCTCTACAACGAATTAAGATATGAAAAAAAGATATTCTAATCTAATGAACCAGATATTTTGATTAAATATAAATACACCAAGTATGATTAATTCAAATTTAATTCACCTGTGAATGCTTCTTTTCGAGTATTAATTTTCCGTTTCAAAATAATTTCATTAAGAATTGTTCCTTTGGGTATTAGCCATGGTTCATACCAGCGTCCCTGAATATCAAACAAAGAACAAGTAAATTCAATATCTTTTGTATTACTACATCCCAAGCATATATTTAGAACTTCAGTAACTTTTGCTAATTTTTGAGGTATATGAAGTAAAGGATCAATTTGACATGGAGTCGATGTAAAATACCATGCATTTCCTGAAACTAAAATATTACCTGATTTATTTTCTTTATATATTGAATTGATAACAAGGACATTATCAAAAATAGAAAACAACTGCTGAGGATCCGACTTTTTCTTAAAACGAACAATATCTCCTCTCCATATTTTTTCTGGCCCTATCCAGCAACCACTGTAACAATGAATCTTAGGAGAAACACCAGACATGTAAGAACCAAACAAAGACCAAGTTTCACAAAGATCCTCTAGATCTTTCATACCATTCAAAGACCTCGAAAGCAAAGGTCGAAGCATCCACTGAGGCACTTGCATCGTTTTTTTTTCTGCTTTAACAGTTCTAACACGATAACTATAACTTTTCGATGAAACTCCATCCAAATGAACACATGGCAATACTGTTCGATCAATAACAATACAAACCACCCACTCGTCATTTGGATTATCCTGAATCATCCAAACAACTTCTCCTGGACGATACAATGCCCCTTCTTGGCAAAGGTCCGCCTCTCTTTCTAATTTATCATGAGTAGACTCAATTTGCATCTGATCCGAGCCGTTTTTTCTCCGGTTCCATGATTTTGGGTCACCTCCACAGTATTTGCATGGACATTCTCCACGCTCATGTGTTTTGCTCTGTGCAATCCATAAAAGATGAGGACTAAACTCAGCAGGGCTTCGAAAACGAATTCCCTTAGGATGTCCAAAAAGAAATGTATCTCTACGTTCTTGACGTGCATCATTATAGCGTTTACAATGCTCATAAAGCTTGTAGTTCTTTGGAAATGCATCTAGAACAAAATCCATGCCTAATGCAGAAAATTAGCCTATTTTTTTCGTTTTTTTTCGCCAAAAAACCCTGAAATGCCTGGATTTTTGCCTGTTCCCTTAAATATTCCGCACATTTCCTACGCCAATGTAAATCTTTACTTTCTCCTGTTGCTATTTTTCGGAAAAAATCAAATGTTCCATCTTCATTAACTGTTGGATTACAACTCGATGCTGGAGGATATCCAGTTGTTACTCCATCACTCCAGTGAATTTGGATCCTAAGTAAAGTTAATTAGTCTTATTTATACCCAAAAATGCTTCTTTAAAACCTCTTTAAATGTGTTTCTGGATATGCTGGTGGAATAGGCATTTTGCAAATTTCATGAGATTGCGGTTATCTGAAGTGGTTGTCTTGACGACTATTGCTCTGGAAACAACGATAAAGCTCCACGCGAATATTTAAAGATTAAGAAAAATGATTAAAAAAACAAGCGTTATGCAGTGCAGAAGAAGAGGTAAATACGTGTAGAAATACGTGCAAAACGGAGATTTATGTTACTTTATGTTAGGATTTCTAAAAACAAGGAATAATTGGAAGTATATAAGTTTTTTAAATAAAGTTTTTGAAAAGATCTTTTTTAATGTTTTTAGGATTTTTATAAATACATTTTTTGTCAAAAATTGACGTGTATTAACTTTGAAAGGAGTATATTATTAATTCAGGAAGCACCAGACCTGTGATATCCAACAAAAACATAATATATAGTATTAAACTCTGTTTTAAGCAAGGATTTCTTTTTAAAAAAAATATTAGTTTCCAATACAGATTTTGAAAGATCAAATGTTCTAAACAATTTATTAAAAATAAAAAGCTAAATTAAAAATAGTTTAAAAAGGACCTAGTTTATTATATTTTATAGGAATGGCGGATACAAAGTAGTAAAAAATAGTAAAATGTAGTTTTTTTTTGATATATACAGTAATAAATCATCTCATATCCAAACAAAACAATATACACTTGTGTTTCCTTACAATGCAAAGAATACACATGTTTTACTAGGTCTAAAGAAGCGAGGATTTGGTGTTGGAAAGTACTAAAATACATGTAACATCTAAACTCATTTTAATATGAAACAGATGGAATGGATTTGGTGGAAAAGTAAAAGAAAATGAATCTATTAATGCATGTGCTGCAAGAGAGTTAAAGGTATTAATTCAATAACAATCTATATAAGTATGAGATAACAAATATTCAGGAAGAGTGCGGGATTGAAGATGCAGTACTTAAAAAAAAGGCTATTCTTTTTCTAACATGGGAAGAATCAACTTCTATTATTGAAATTCACGTCTATAAAGCTACACAGTTCCATAGTGAACCCATAGAGTATACTATTGATACCTAATATACTTCTAATTTTAAATAATAGATCAGAAGAAATGAAGCCTCAATGGTTTTCTGTTGATCCTTTTGCACAGAATCACATCCCATATGATAAAATGTGGGAAGAGGCACGTATATGGTATCAAGAATTTCAGAAAGGACAAAAATTCATTTTATATGTTCTGTTTAAAGGGAATATCGATACCCCAAAGGATGGATCATCAATTATAAATTTCCGTCTTATACATGTCGAAGATATATACAACTACACGTATGCTGATTATATATCCTAAACACTTCCTAGTAATAAACAATCCATATCGTCTACTAATTTAGACTATATATTATATTAACGTCATCTTTCAAAGTATTGCAATAGATATATTTTCGAGACTCTGTTTCAAGACAAGCATCTAAGACTCGCATTAGAGTAGATAAATACCAGTTGTTATTATACAAATATTAAGTGTAGGAGCACTAAACACCAGATACCATGAGGCAAAATACAGATGTTACCATTCAAATTCTCCCTAAAAATAATGAACATTATTTTAAATCGTATCTATTCTTACATTTGCTCTCATAAAAAGGTAGTCTTTGCCACCCATTCCAATAATGCCGTCTTTTAGAACACATTTCCATTTGTTTTTCGTGCGTTGCACCTTATCATACAAACATAAAACAAGTTGTCCGTTATCATCGTTTTCTGGACCATCCTCTGGATTTGAATTCGGTTCAGAATCTAAATCAGAATTAATAGAATCAGAGTCCATCCCATCCGTTTGAGTCAAAGAAACAGATGGCTGTACCAAATGTAAAGACATGTCTACTGGATGTTCTGCTGATTGAGATACTGTGCATTCGTGTACCCGAAGAAGTGCTTCATTAAGCGATGCATCAATTTGCTATAGAAATTATTATAATTATAGATATCACCACACAACACACCTTTGTTGTTAAAAGTGTTGATGAATTATCAAATAAAACATTTGAAGATTCTTTAGAAAAACAAGTAGCAGAACCCTCTGTTGATGTATTCTCAGATTTATTTATTGATACAGGTGGTGTGTTTAAAGAGATAGAGACAGATTCTTTTAAAAAACTATTCTCTTTGTTTAACTGGTCTATTCCATTGATTATTTTGTCTTGAAAATCAACAAGCCCATCAGTCTGAGGAAGATATTTGCGACCATCATGAATAGCACCAAATGTCTCGGTATAAAAACGTCTTTGTTGAACCTCTGCAAGCTGCTGAATCTGCTGTGCTGCCCGCATAGCAGACATAGCTGGATTACTTAGTAACGGGGGCTCCATCTTAGGTTTTGGCTCTATATCTGCCATTAGAGGCTGTGTCCAGGGAAAACGCGCGACATTTGTCGTTGCTAATCTCGCCTGCCAAATCTACACAGTCAAAATCTGTCATACAAAACAAAATATTAAGAAAGCATTCAAAAAACTTTGTTACAATGTTTTCCATAAGGTAACCCATATTTACACTACTAACCTGCTTAAGTTCGGCAAGAACTGAAGGATCAATACCATATTCTTCAAAATCATGCTGAGATGCTTGAATAACGTCACTAATAATATCTTGGTAGATCTCTCCCTAAAGAATCAACAATACTATTTGAAAATAGAACACTTACCACAATAGAATTTGACATTTGTTAATATTTTAAAACAAGAAAGTCGTGAACGAAGTACAAATATGCTTAGGGTTTACTAAAGGATATTAGAAATAAGTTTTATTCTTAGGGCTAGGTTAGGATAAGGATTAAACAATGATTAATCTTGATATTAAATACATCAAAGTTTCAATCTTCAAAATGAATAAGGATTAAGTTACCTGTGTTTTCAGAAATGTCAAAAAACAGAAATATAATGAGTGAAAATGATGTATAAAACCAAAATAAAAAATAGAACTGAAATGAAAATGTAAAAAACCAGAAAAAAACAAAGAAAAATGAGCTATGAGGAGCACGTTGAAGTTAAAGAAGGAGAAAAAAGATTCAGAAAGCTATACAAATGTTGCCGCAAAAAATCTGTAAAGATAAAACTTAAGTGCCTAAGATTCACGCATTGAACGCTCAAGAGCTAAAAAAAAGTTAGAAAAAACTATAAATAAGATAAAGAAAATACGGTTATAGTGTAAAAGTTTCTCAATTACTGAAAAAAAGATTAGCAAAGGAAAAAAAAAAAGAAACGTACAATCAACATGAGTAAGAATCATACGGCGACAGCAGTAGCGTTTTAGACCAAGTTTATCAAGGGCTTCCCCTTCAGAAATATCTTCTTGAAGATAAATTAAATAAGCATCCCACTTGTCTCCAATAACCTATGATTAAATGAATATTAAGCAATAAAAAAGCAAAAACAAGGATACTTTTCCGCAAGAAAAACAACGCACAGGTATAATCATGAGAGAAATATAAATATTAAGAAGACTAATTGAATAAAATTTCCTTTCATATACCTTTTTTTCAGATTTTTAGAAGATACCTTTTTTTTAATATTTGACGTCGATGATTTAACCTAAAATTTTTAGAGAAAGAATATTCAAAAAAAATAAACAATAAAAGGGTACACAAATGCATCAAATAGATACAGATGAACCAATGGAAGATGTTCTTGAGGATTGCTCAAAAAAGAGCAAATTTACAGAGTAATTTTTGGAGAAATTAATGAGAAAATAAATGTTAATAAGAATAGGCAAGAAAATTCAGAGAAGAAGGTGCAAAATAGTGAAAAAGAGGATATAGAAGAATGTGAAATGCAAGATGGTGACTTTTTTTTCGAAAAAAAAGAAAAAAAACAGAAAAAAAATGCATTATTAGGAGCAAAAACTGAAAATAAAAAATTAAACACTATAAATACATCTATTTGTTTATCAGAGAAATTTAAATCTATGGAAATGAATATCCTTGATGAAGAAGATAAAAAAAAGAAAAAAAAAAGACTTTTAAGCTGGAAGATACAAAGTGTTAGTGGAGGATATTTTTCTGATCTTGCACCTATTTTTACAAAAGATGAAAAGTATTCTATATTGATTTTGTGTTTTTATTAATACATTTAGGTCAATATTTGTTGCAATTGGTTCATTTGTTAAAGTTTATAATATTAAAACAAGAATTTGTACACAAACAATTGGTAATTTAGATCAAAGGGACTGTCTAAATCTACCGAAAATTACAGCTATGGAACTAGATCCTTCTAATGAGTATAGAATTTATGTCGCAGATGAAGAAGGTACTATAAAACTATGGGATTGGATGGACAATAATTTACTTAATGTACTTTTTCTTTTTTTTAAGCAATATATTCATTCCATTTAGTCTCGACATACTCGCAAGAAAATTCACTACATTTCAATACCATCATCAAATCCATCATGTGTTTATGTAGTTCTTGAACATAATTCATTGCATCCATCTAATTCACACGACTCTTCGGTTTCTAAAAAATCTTCCTTTAAAAAATTTTATGAGGTTTATTCTTATACATTTCCGTCTTCTGTATCAACTTCTACAAAAGTAATACGTTCTCAAAGAATCTTGAAATGTAAAACATGTGTCGGCATGAGTATTTCGGATGATGAAAAAACATTAGTTATTGGTAGTACTCATTCTATTTATGTTTGTAAAAAAAAGGAATTAAACCCTGAAACTCACCAAAAATTATGGGAAACACATAAATTTGATACACGTGACCCAATAAGCACTTTATTAATGTACGACAATTATGTCGCAGTAGGAGATCATGAAGGAAAATTACTTATATACTATAATATCTTAAATTTAGAAGAACCAATTATTAGAATATTTCATTGGCATCCTCAGACTTTTTCTGCTCTTAATTTTGCACTAGAAGGTATAAGCTTAAACACTTTATTCTTTTAATTTCATATAGGGTCATATATTTTAACAGGTGGGAGAGAAGGTGTTCTTGTCTTTTGGCAAATTAAGACAGGAAATAAACAATTTCTTCCAAGATTAGGTTCTCCTATTAGTAAAATAGGTATTAGTCGAACAAATTCTCTTTATGCCGTACTATTAGAAAATAATTCTATAAAAATTATTGATGCAATAGATTTGAAAACAAAATCTGAAATATCAGGAGTTCAAATTGGAAAAGATGTTGCTCATCGTATTCCTTCTATTGTACATCCTATCACTAAAAATATTTTATTTGCTTCTCAATCTTTATTTTCATCAACTTTTTTGCAGTCTTATGATATTATAAGAGATTACCAGACATATAAAACGGAAGTAATACGTGTATCTCACCTTGAAACATTAGAAAAAGATGGTTTAGAAATACCAAAGCCCAAAATAACACACATCTCATTATCAATGGATTGTCTTTGGATGGCAACAGTTGATGAATGGGAATTATTAAATGAATATTATGATTTTCATAAAGAAAATAGAGAAATTTTTCTTAAATTCTGGAAATGGGATTCACCAAATAAGAAATGGGATCTTAGTACACGCATAGATTCTCCTCATGGACTTGGGAAAAAAGTAAATGGGTTAAACGCTTCTCCAAATGAAAAAAAATTTTGTACCATTGGTAATGATGGTTCATTAAAACTTTGGAAATCGAAAATAAAAGACAAAAGCAGGACGATTAAAACAGAAATGTGGATATGTTACAAGGTTATTCGCTATATTCAAATTTCGAATGATCCTTTTAATAAAAATGAAGTATTTTGTACAACATGGACACTAGATGGAAGTATGATCATTGTTGGATACAATAAAATTTTATTAATCGTGGATGAACGACTTGGAACTATTCGCCATACAATAAACAATCTATACATAGAAAGAATCCTATTTGTTCAAGCACTAGGAACTTTTATTATTGTTATTGCTAAAAAATGTATTTTAGTATGGGACATATTAAGAGCCACAACTAAATGGTATTTAAATATACCGAAAATCCACCATTCACTAAAAGATTTTCACCTTGCAGCTGACCACACAAATCTATTGTTTGCTGTCTCATTTAACAATTCAAAAGAACATAATTCAAAGCTTTATATTTTTAACGTAACATCACCAATACCTATTTTTTTGCAACAACATCCACATAAAATCATCGCACTGAATCATATACCATCAATTTCATTCTCTTCATTTACATTTCTGGATCTTTCTGGTTATTTCTTCACTTTAACAACAAAAGATAGTACTTTTATAAAGAATATAGAAAATGATCAAACACTAGCTCAAGAAAAAGAATTTAAACTTTCAAACATATATGGAGCAATTTCGAATGAAAAAACAACCATATCACTGCCAGAAGATGACTTACGATCCAAAGTCATATCCATTGAAGCACTAAGTCTTCTTTATGACAAACCAACGTATACAATGCCGTCGTTAGAATTTTTGTTAGAAGAAACTATGAAACTAATCGGCGAACCTCCATTAGAACGTTTTTCAAAAACACTTGATTTCAAAGCTTAAAAAATACGAACAAATACATCTCTTTATCCATTTTTTATAATTAATCTTAAAGAAAAAAATAAATAATTTTTTCAATCCAACAAACCAGGTTTTATCCAACACATCTATAATTAAATATTAAAAAAGTATAGGTTTAATTAGCTAAATAGATAAAATAACTTGTTCCTTCATTCATTTAAGAATTCATCATTGATAGATTTTCAATCATTTTTTTTAAAGAAAACAAAAAGCTACTATTTAAAATGCTAAAAGTCGACAAATAATTTTTGATAATACAGAACAATCATCTCACGGCATTTTTGAAGTAATATTTAAACTATTTTTAGGAAACCTTCTCATCAACCTGGAAAATAACGGTACAGAAAATGAAAATTCTTCTAATAAACGTAAAACAGCATCTTGTCACTGTTCATCCCCATTCCGTTCTATTTTCATCTTATTTCTGCCCATTAACATAAACATCCTCTTCGCCACTCTGGCTCAACTGATGTACTGTCTTCACATCCTGTAACATCATACAACCAATCTAACCAACGTCCTGGCCCACGTCGCCGCATAAATGTTCCCTTAAAACTCCCAAATCCCGAGCGATCACAGACACCATCACTTCCATATTGAATCCCAAATTGCGGCAAATTTGGATCAATCTGTCCAAGCTCAATTTTACTTAAAATCTGCCGAGCAACGAGCAAAAACGCATCATCAATAAGATGCGGTGTCAATGCTGAAACTTCTAACAAAGAAATCCCTGCTTTTTAATCATCCTGTTTTTTCTATACACCCTAGTATCTTACCTTCTCTGTTTGCATAACACATAGCTTCACTTACTGTTACGTCTCGCTCTTTATTGCGATCACATTTGTTACCAATCAATACTATAACTACATCTGGTGATGCCAGTGCTCGTGCATCTTCTAACCAAGACGGTAGACTTGTAAAAGACTCATGGCTACTTATATTAGTGATTTATTTTTGAAAAACAAACATGCTGTACTTGGTAATGTCATACACAAGCAGTGCTCCTGCTGCTGCACGGTAATATGAACGACTGACAGCGCGGAAACGCTCTTGACCCGCAGTATCCCATAACTATTGCTGTTAGATGAAGAACACAGACAGCCCATGAAAAGTAATATAATATGTACACAACGTATACGATGCAGACATAACATGTATATTGTGCACATATGTATATAATGTATATATAACATGCACATAATACACTTGTTGACATATACAGTGTGTATAAAGAATATATATACTATATAGACAACCCATCTAACAGTATACACTATACATACAACGCGGATATGCACTGTATATATATTGAATCATCGTGTATACACTCTGATATAGTGTCTGATGTGTATATGTAGAATTTAAGAAAAAATTAACACTTTTGCACATTCTTTGACAACTTTTATGTATAAATCCAAAACTTTGCAAAATCTTTATACCTGTAACTTAATACGTTTTCTGCGTGCACCAATGCCCAGTTTTACTACTTTACTTGAAAATTCAACGCCAATTGTATGAGAAGAAAGAGCCTTAAATTCATTTTTAACAAATCTATGCAGCATTGAAGTTCTATTCAAGTGATTAGCTATATCCGCAGCTTGCTGTGCCTTACTTGCCCGTTCCGCTTGGACCGATAACTACCAGTTTGATCAGATAGTCATACATGTTTTCTAGCTCCTGTTCATTGTCAAGATCATATGTTAATGAAGAAATAGATGAAGGAATCGACTGGATGCGTTTCCAGCGCATTTTTGCAAGTAATTAGAAGATTTAGAGATAACGTAAGATCAACATAAATCGATACGGTAAAAAAGAAAAATAAGAGGAAAATATATGAAATAAGATAGGAAAAGAAAAAAGGGTAAAAAGGGATTTAAAAAAGACAAAGAAAATTCTAAATAAAAGGAAATATACAGTATAGTGTATAATGTAATGTATAATGTGTAATGTATACAATGTATGTAATATATGATATAATCTATGTAATGTATAATAGATAGTATGGTGTATATATAATACAATAAATAAGGGTATAGAATATATACAAGATGCAATATAAAATATATATTACAGCGCAGTTATAACTTAGGTAAAAAAGCAGGACAAATATCTTTTAAGCTATGTTATACGAAAATCCTGCATCTTTTAAAGTGATAGCAAGTATAGCAATAAATGTAGAGTAAATATAGCAACAGATGTAATATAGAATATACCATTATGTATAAACCGGGCGTAAAGAAAGTGAAGTCTGTATATCCGAAACAAACCAGCATTAGTTGATAGCAAAGCAGAAATATATATGTAATGAAAGTATAGCTTAGAAACATGCTGGTCAAGTAGAAAAGTGTTTATGGTTTAAAAAGAGACACAAGCATTTTTTCTACAGTGTCATTATCGAGCGCACTGCCCCACGTATTGCACCCCAAAATGAGTGCCCAAATATCACGCACACCACAGATATCGTCCCCAACCTCAAGACCAATTTCATCAAGAACAAACAGACCAATTTCTGTAGTCTGAATATAAGAAAGACCTGGACATAGGATTTGATTGTAGACGGCTATTTCACCAGATAAGCAAACGCTTTCCACAGAATACTTTTGTTCTAGATCAAGAAGAAGATTTGGATTTAGACTGAAAGAAAAAGGACGTGACTCGTATAATCCAGATATACTATATTCGATAACATGTGATAAAACAAACCTTTTTGCTAAAGAAAAACGTAAAGGGTCTTTTATATTCTTATGAATGCCACGAGGATATAAACTAGTATCACCATGATAAAAAACATTGTTGAATAAGTCAGTTGGTAAGTTACTATTAATTATTTTAGAAATATAAGTTTTCCAATCAAGACGCAGATCTTTCCATGTAATATTTTCTATGTTAATCATATTGGAAGAACATGGAGAAGAATCCCATCCAATAGCTTCACTAATTAAGATTATTAAAAGTCATAAATGTCTGATAAGTACCCTGATTGGCCAGAAATGTACCATACTTTATTATTTGAAGACTCTATTCGCCAAATATCACTATTTCCAATTCTTTTAGCTATAACGATCATATCTCTATATACTTCATCAAAAAAAAAGGGCCATGATTTCCACGATTCTCCACTCATCATTCTTAAAACAAAACGAGACATCCAAAAACGAACGGAAACTTCCCATTGACCTTTTTGATCAGGATCGGATAATAAGTTGTAGCAAATACCAAAAAACCAGAGTTCTCTTTGTGATGTTGGATAGTTACAAGAAAACGTTTGTCCATATATTCTAAATAACCTTTCTATCCAACCTTGTTTAAAAACCTTAAGAACACGTTGTTTTTCTTTTTGTCTATGAATATACCATAAACGAAGATTATGTATAGTAGGATCGACAGAAGATATCCATGTTTCAGTACGTTTCCCAGGAAATTCCAATAATATAAGTTGATGCCATGCAAATTTAACAGAGAAATTCCAAAGTTTAGAGACAAGTGCTAAGTTACAAAAAAATGCATATCTTTCAGAAGAAGGTAAGTAAAAAGCAAGCCGAGCAAATAAACGAGAATATATATTTATTTTACTACGAAGAGCAAGTGATGGAGACTTTCCAATACTTAAAGCAGAAATACTAGAGTCTGGAACAGCGTTTGTTATTTGATGAATAACTGGTTTCGGTTGATCAGTTATAGGAGCAGACTCTTTTTTAACAAATTTTATGGAAACTTTTTTTAACTTTCGAGAAACATTAGAATTAACATGCGACGAATATTCCTTTTCTTTATTAATATCTATTGTATTTGTCGAGAATTTGGTTTCTTCGCTATCTGGTTTTCTTTTGAAATTTTTATAAATAATTTTTGATTCATCTTTTTTTGCCTGATCCATTTTTAAAGTTTCGAAATTATTCTTTAAAGTCAAATCCAATTTGTTCAATATTTCTTTCAACCGTTTAAACACAGACTAACAATTCTAAATTTGTTTAGCTTACCTGGTTTATCTTTTTGGATATTCAGGACATTTGTTTTAAGCATTGTTAATTTTGGATCTTCCTTTTGAATATTCTCAAGATTTGTTTTAAGCATTGTTAACTCTTGTCCGTTTTTTTGAATGTTCTGAAGATTTGCTTCAAGCATTGCTAATTCCGATTCGTCTTTTTGAATATTTAAAAGAGTTTCTTTAATCATTGCTAATTCTGGCCTGTCTTTCTGAATATTCTGAAGATTTGTCTCAAACATTGTCAATTCTGATTTGTCTTTTTGAATATTCTGAAGATTTGCTTTAAACATTGGTAATTCTGACCCACTTTTTTGAATATTCAGGACATTTGTTCTAAGCATTGTAAATTCAGAATCTTTAACAATATTTCCCCTATTTTTATCCTGTATTCTCTTTTATTATTAGAAAAATAGAACTATTAACAAATTCTTATAAAATTCAATTAATTACCTGTATTAATTCAGATTTTCTTCCTTTAACACGAAGACCCAACGCCCGGCATATTACCTAATTTCGAAACATTAATTATCATAATATTTAACCCTTTTAGATATTATCTACCTTTAGTTCTGGAACAGTCATACTAAAATAATCCTTTTCTTCCATTTTAACATAATAAACTTAATCCTAAAATATAATATGTACTTTTTAGAAACAATTTTAATAATCCAATTCCTATTACAATAATAGTATCAAAAACAGATAATAAGATCTTAAAAATATGAAATATACAAGTCCTAATCTCGTTAAAACACCCGATCTAGAAATAAATAACAATAATTGTATTGTAATCAGTAATTTTATAAAAACAGTTATGTTAACACTGTCAATATACAAAATTAGTGTACAAAAATATTAGTAAAAATGTAAAATAATCAAGTCTTCTTTAAAAGAAAAAAATAAAGTCTCCTTACAATATAAAATTTTAATTTCCGCAAAAAATCTACAGAAACTAATATATTTCATTAGATAAATACTTTTAAGTAAAACACCCAATATTAACCGTTTATCCGTGTTTCATGTACTATTCCAATCTCGTTTTTAAGTACAGAAATTCAAATACAGAAAATATACGTTTTTAACCCTTATTTTTAAATATTCTTCAATAAGTATTCAATAAATGCCACTTAAAAAGTTAATTTTCGGAGTTCTCAAGATAAACTTAAGAAAATAATGTTTTATTCTTTATTTTCTAATTCTCAATTATATGTATTATATTATATGTATTAGAAACTATTTTTTTAATTTATATGTGCCTCAGTGCAACCCTATCGCTCATCATCGAAGAATAGTTTTTAAAATTTGCTCCACCTTTTCATATCCGATTAACAGATAGACAATTAACGTTCATTATTTTCTCTAAAAAAACTAATAAAAGCATGTCAAAAGAATCCCATCAAATAGATACACAAGAACAAGCAAAAATAGCGTCTTCCGGCAAGTATTTCATGTTAATTAACGTGTGTATATTGTATATCTAATATAACGTAGAAATTGAGAACATTTTAGATGAAAAAGTACAAAATTTGACGGATGATAAGGAAATAGTTACTAGAGATAGTTTGAATCGTATATATAGGTATATCTACTGTTTTTCTTATATTTTATTTAATATATATGATAGAAAAGTAGATAAAAGGCTAATTCCATGTCTTTGGAGTGTTTACTTTTTTGCCTTTTCAGCTAAATCTATCATTGGAATTGCTTTGACTATGAATGTTTCTGAAGGGCATTCTTTAAAACAAACACTAAATCTCTTACCACAACAAGTTAGTACTGGTATTACGCTCTTTTATATAGCCTATGTGATTTTTGAAATTCCATGCAATTTGATGAGTAAAAATGGCCTTTTTATAAGTTACTTTATTAATATGCGGTTAAAGCTATATATATTAGTCCTCGATTTTGGATTTCAAAGACTCTGTTAGTAGTTGGCATTGTTTTATTTTTTTATACATATATGAAAGATCTTGTAGCATTTTATATCCTCCGTTTTTTGTTAGGAGTAGCAGAAGCAGGGTTATGGCCTGGAATGGCGTATTATTTAATGAACTATTACCCACCATATATAATGGGTAAACGTATTGGGTGGTATTTTACTGCTTCACAGATATCAACTATGACAATTGGCTTTCTTAGTATTGGGTTTCAGAAAATGGATGGTATTGCAAATCTAGAAGGCTATAAATGGTAAATTGGCTATTTTTTATATTTTTAATATTAAAATGAATGAACAAGGATGTTTCTATTATATAGTATTGCAACAATAATAGTTGGAGTCGTTACGATGTGGTTGTTGCCCCAAACACTAACAGAAGCATCTGTAACTGAAGAAGAATTGCATTCACCATCATTCATAGTAAGAATGTATAAAAGAATAAAAAAAACAACAGAAAGACCTTTTCTTACAGAAGACGAAAAACAACTTCTTTTATCAAATATATCTCTTAAAAATCGTTGGAAAGTTTATGATCTTGTAGTAGCATTTATTGATCCAAGAATATGGCTTTTAATTTTTATGTATTTTGGAGGAATGGCATTTGGCATTGGTATTAAAAATTATGGAAGTTTAATTATTCGATCTCTCGACACAGAAATGTCTAGTCTTAAGATAAGTCTTCTCTACGCTATCGTTTGGATTGTATTTTTTCCTTGTGAATACTAAACTTGAAATTAATCTGCACTAGGTCAATCTTATTGGTGTTTTGGTCATTCTACCTGCTTCTGATCATTATCGTTCACGTATGTCTTTCTATATTTCTTGTTCTATAGTTATTATAATCGGTATACTTATTTTAACATATGCACACAACAAATGGTTGCAATATTCAGGTTTATTAATTTCCATATTTGCAACAGGGCCTCTTATTCCTATTTGTATGGCGTGGTGTAAGAAAACTGTAATTTATATTTAATATATATTAAAACTATATAGGTGCTCAGATATTCAGTAAGGAAACAAAGCTTAATGTAGCAGCAACCTCTGCTTTACTTACTGGTATGGGTAATTTAGGATCTATTTTCACATCATATACTTTATACGAAGGAATGCCTGGAAGAGATGGATACAAGAAAAGTAATATTGTTCTTTGTGTTGTCATGGGTATGAGTATTATAGCTTCTTTGAGTCAAAAAGCACTGTTGATGTATTATTCTAAAGAAACAAACTAAATGCTTAAAAAACCGATTAAAATATCATTTTAGTTTTTTTTGGAAAAAATAATAATTTATATTTGTACATATGTAGCATCTATCTATATATATTATATATTAATATGTAGCTCAATGTACATAATTAAATTACCTGTTTAATCCAAGGAAGAATAAGTCTTATTTTATTTCGATATGTTGATTCGTTCATTTTTTGTAAAGGGTTTCCTTCAAGATATATTGTCACTAATCTTTTCATACTTTTACACTCTTTTTCAATATTCCCAAAATCAGAAAGCTGGTTATAACTCGCCCAGAGTTCTTGTAGATCTTCGTTTTGATTAATATGTTCTAAATTCTCAATCTTATTGTTCGAAATATCAAGTACCCGGAGCCGTCTCAACATCCGAAGCCCTTCAATTGATGTTATACCATTGTGTGACAGATATAACTCCTCTAACACATTGGCTAACGCCTCAAGCCCGCTTATTGACGTTAACCGGTTCGATTGGAGACTCAAAATACGAAGATTCTGAAGTGTTTCCAAGCCCTATCCATTTCATCAGCATTTCATCTCCTAATCCCCTTCCAATAAACCTTCAATTTTGTAATCTTGTTCTTTCCAAGCCATAACTCCTCTAAATGCACCAATTTTTCCAAATTCTCAATCGTCTTCCAAATAATACATTAATTCTTGCCATATCATGCCTTACCACACCTACACGGATACGATTTGCTCCCAGTTCGAGGTTAACCAGCCCTTCAAGCTCTTCTAATCCTGTAATTTGAGATATCTTGTTCTGTACGAAATATAAATTCTTTAACTTTTTACAGCGTTCAAGGTTCCGGATGTGTTTAATACAATTAAAACTAAGATCAAGCGTATGTAATTCTCCAAATGTTGTATATTCTGGAATTTCTGTTATATTGTTATCGTATAAATCAAGCTCCTCGAGCCCGCGCGGCAGAGTCCTTGGCTCTGGAAATTCTTCAAGTTGATTCTGCCGCAAACATAGAACCTATTTTCCATTAATCGTTTCTATTAGTTATTTCTTTTGTTTTTTCAGTCAATTTCCTGTATATATCTTCATATTATCTGCCATCATCTAAACTTACTTTAAGCTCTAAAAACCGTTCAAGATGTAGAGAAACAACTTCTTTCAGCTTCAAATGAATCAAATCAAGTGTCTATACATTAGAAAACATATTTCATGCAAGAAACTTACCTCAGTGTCTGCTGGATAGTCAGCAAGCGGCCATTCGTCCTCGTCCGTTGCTTCAAGCGGGTCTTCGTGTGCGTCGTGCATTCGAAAGTGTAAAGCTCCAGAGCGTAGACACATGTAATGTGCATAAAGTACATACAGTGTACAAAGTATGCAGATAAACGTAGATAAATGCAAATAAGCATATATAATTGAGATAAAATACATATAACATGTATATAACACACAACATGTACACAATGCAAAATAAACGTATAATATGTGTATATATACACTACTGATATAATGTACATATAAGATATAAAGAGTAGATATAATGTATATTAAACGTATATATTATAGTATATATTATATATTGTATGTATAATGCATATTAAATGTAGAACGTACATTACATGTATAATATGTATAGAATGCATATAAATGTCTATAACGTGGATATATAGTCTACATATGTATCAACAGTGCATATGCAGTGTATATATAAGTGCATACAATATACAAACACACATGTACGTATGAATATACATGTATAGAAATATACAGGCATGTATAAGTGCACATAGCCGTGCATTTGCGTATATAAACATACATATATGTCTATGAGTGTATATAGGTCTATATAGGTGTATATAATGTATATATGAAGCATATACAGGACTGGAGCGGTGCATATGTATTCAGTACGTATGAATAGTATGTGTTATATAGATAATATATGTGTTATATAGATAATATATGGGTTATATACGTATTATATGAGTTGTATCTGTAGCATACAGATATTGTATGCATATAGTGCATATGTCATGTATGTACCAGTAGTTTATTTATATTTTGCATATTATATGTTGATTATATATATTGTATGAACTACATACGTGTTATGTACATTGTATACGCATATATGTATAATATATACACCCTTTTTGTACATTATATGCGTATATACATGCACTGTAGAGATATATTGCGTATATGTTTCTATATGTCTAATGTATGTGTATTGTATACATGAATATGTATATTATATGTGTATTACATTATTTTATAATAGATAATAAATATATAAAAATCAGATTTATGCGCATACAGCTAGATTGCTAACGTATATAGTTAGATATAAAGACTTGGAATACAGTGGCACAAAGTAAAGCAGATACACATTGATATTTGAAGGTTTATATAAATTTAAATAGCTTTAAGGAGCCCTTAAAACGCTTTTAAAGAGCTTTTGAAAATATCTTTGGAAAATATATTTGAAAAAAATTGGAATGAAAGGTATTTGCGGAGAATTTAATAGAAAATTTAGTAAAAAATCAGCAATAAAAAGAGTTTTATTAAAGTATTTTAGCAAAATATTTCTAACTATATATTTAGTAGAATATTTGATAAAAAATTGACTTTAAAAATATTGGTGTAAAAACGAATTATCATAAATTATCATAAGAAAAATGAATAAAATGAATAATAAAAACTCGAGAAAAATAACAAAACACAAGCAAAAGAAGTTTTAAAATTACGGGGTAATCATAAGATTTAATAAACTTTTGAAAGAATTTCGAGGACGATTTCAAGTTGGCAACGCAATATCTTAAAAATTAAATGTTTTAGAAGTTATATATGGTTTTTGATGGAAAACGAAATAAGTCAAGGAAATTTTCAAGAAATAGTAGTAGTAGGGAGCTCAAAGGAAAAATCAGAAGAAAATGGCATAATATGTGTCTATGATCTCCATACGGGATCACAAATAATGAAATTTAAAGAGAACAACAGTTCTTTAAAAGGAATATCGGTTACAGAAAACTATATTTTTTCAAATCAGGAAGAAAGACCCACTATTCATGTATATTCATGGCAGAAGGTTGATATAAGGTGAAAAAGTGAAGAGAAATGACAGAAAACTAGGAAAGTATTTGCCAAAAAATGTATATTCCAGAAGCATTATCTGTATTTGTAGTATCTCATGATGCTTTCTGGGCCATTGGTGGCACAATAGAAGGAAGAATGTATATTTGGCAGGTCATAATAACTCTTTTATGTGTTAAATCTAAAAGTATAAAAGATTTTATCTGGAAATTTAGTATTTGTTCATAATGCACATTATCAAAGGATAACTGCAATTACGTTTACTATGGATGATATGTTTTTTTTAACAGGATCTGAAGATAGTAGTTTATGTTTATGGAGATTATCAGATATTGTCGATTTACAAGCTCAAAAAGATAAAGTCCAAGCAGTAAAAACATGGAATGTTCATCGTTTATCAGTAACAGACATTGTTTGTGGGTTTGGAAGTGGTAGCATGGCAAGATTTTTTACATCTTCTCTCGACAATACAGTCAATGTTAGTTTTATTTCTATTTTTTCCTAGTTAAGCTAAAATTCTAAAGGTATGGGACTTGGGAACACAAAGTCTTCTTACAACATTTTTACTTGAAAATCCAATAACATGTATTGCAGTAGATCCTGCAGAAAGAGCATTTTATGCAGGCAGCAATCAAGGTAATGTCTATCTTGTTGATTTATATGGTTCTTCAGAAGAAAAATTTCTAGAATCTTTTTATAAAGCAATAGGAGGATCAGAAAAAACTGTTCAAGGCATTAAAGACGAATCATATACATTTAAAGGGCATGAAAGCGCCATTTTATGTATAGCATTATCTTTTGATGGATCTCTTTTAATAACAGGATCAAAAGATAAGAATATATTTATATGGGATATCGCAGCTCGCCAAATGATTCAAACATTCAAAAAATACGATGGTCAGAGCATGTTTCAATATCGTATTAAACCATTAATTTATCTCAGGATCAATAACGTCTATTTGTTGTAAAGTTGTTAACCAAGGTTTCTTTGCGCATAAAATGGCTCTAGAAAATATTCCATCTTTTAAGAAAGTGAAAAAGATCAATGATATGGATGATTATTATATTTTAAAAAAGTTAGAAGGTTTTACTAAATCAAAAGACGAATTATGGTACGAAGATGATTTGACATCAATGAAAAATGATTTAAATGAATTTATGGTAAATAAAACAATTATTCTTTGCATATATTAACCTAGTTAAGTCTATTACATCTGAACCAGCATTGCAACTACAAATCAAAAATTTACAGGATGAATTACAAAAATTATATGGGTATTATTCTGAATTAAAAGACGTTCATCAAGAGTTATGGACAGCATATACAGAAAGCAAAAAAATCAATGAAAATCAAAATTAATTTTTTATAAAAGAAATACAAATGATATATTTAGGTCAGAAAAAAGTTATATTTCCAAAATACCATTATTACAACTATCGGATACTTGTTTAAATATGTTATTACTTTTTATTTAATCATTTTATTTATTTATACGAAGATATAATTTTCAAATTTTAGATATTTAATCGCTCCTTTTTAATAAAATTATATCGATTAAAAAAACGTTAAAATCTTGTTTTCATGACAATAAACAATTATTTATTAAGAATTGATAGATGGAAATGGCCAGCATCGGAACTCTTTCGAATATTTGATTATCAAGAACTCTTAAATTATTTAGAAACTTTAAAATCTGTATCTATTTATCAAATAGATAACAAAAATGATTTATTTCATGAGAATTTTAAGAAAAAAATGTATTCTTTGACAGAGAAAAGCGCAGAATTCTTTGAGAAGCTTGAACAAAGACTTATTAAGTCACATTTTTTTTGTTTAAATGCTATTATATTAATTCAAAAGAAAATAAAAGAAGAAGCACTTTCTGATTTCTTTAATCTTGAAAATTGTATATGTTTTTTAAAAGAATGCATTTTCGAGCTTTTAAATGTATATTGAGCATTCTAAGTCATTTTTTTAATTGCTATTAGAAGTATGATCAAATATCAGGCCTTAACATGTCTAGTGTTTTTCTTGCAAATACGCCTCTGTTTTTAATGCTGCATTATCCTGAGCCTGTTGACTTGGAAGACTATTTAAAGATTTATATACGATCTCAAATCAAACATAAGATTCAAACAGGTTAATTATATGGAATACATTAATTCTTTAAAATTTAGCATTTTAGATGATTTGCTCTATAAAAAAGAACTAAAACGAATTATAATCCTTACGTTATATAATGCTCATTATGAAAAGATGAAATCTTTATTGAATATATTATCTTTACAAAAAATGATTATCAATAATATCTTTTATCAGTCTGAAAGGGATAGACCTATTTTAAATATAAAAGTATCTATGAATATTGGGAATCCAGATTTTTTAAAAAATTTGTTAAAGATGTGTTTACAAAAAGAAATTTTTTTATTAGTTTCGATGGAGAAATTTCAATATTTCATCCCTGACTTTGAGATTAATCTTATCGAAACAAATATCTGGGTAGCAACTATTATAAAATCTGAACGTATACCGATAGAAATGTTGTTAGAATGGTTTAAACTATTAGAATCTTATAGTATCAAAGCTCTGATTATTTCTGATTTAACAGATATATCATTTAAGTGTATAGAATGTAAATTGAAAGTCCCTAAACTGTTAAAAAAGAAAGAAATTAAAGAAAAGGCTTTTTTTTTGACACAAAAATATTCATTAGATGTTTTATTGCAAAGTGATAGTGTATATAAAAAAAAGAAGCGTCTGATTGCTTTCGATATGGATTCTACACTGATTGAGCAGGAAATGATTGATGAAATTGCTCGTTTTTGTGGTATTTTTGAAAAAGTCTCTGTAAGTTATATTACTTTTACTTAAATATTACTAATAAAAGGCTATAACACAAGCTTCTATGAATGGAAAGATAGATTTTTCTGAATCATTAAAACAAAGAGTTTCTTTATTAAAAGGTGTTCATCTAAAGGTTTTTGAAGATTTAAAAAAAAAGATTGTTTTTACTGAAGGCGCTCATTCGTTATGTAAAATTTTAAAAAAAAATGGTTTTAAAACAGCAGTAATTAGTGGAGGATTTATGCCAATTGCTAATTACATAAAAGAAGTGTTAAATTTAGATTACGCATATGCAAATAATGTATACAGATTGTATTTCTTTTTTTGAAAAATTTAATTTTTATAGATAGAAATAAGTGAAAACGGTTTATACTTAACAGGAAATATTGATGGTCCTATTATAGATGGGCAAAAAAAAGCCGAAATATTAAAATCAATAGCAAACATAGAAAACATAGATATAAATGAGGTATTTATGTCATCTATTTTGGATATATTTAAAAAAAACTAGACAATTGCAGTTGGAGATGGCTTTAATGATTTATGGATGCTTAATACAGCAGGTCTAGGGATAGCATTTAACGCCAAACCTAAATTACAAGAAAAAGTATATATATAGATAAATATATCGATGCTTTTTTCTAATATTATAGGCCCCAAACACACTTAATGCGAAATCCCTAATGAATATATTATATGTTCTTGGATACTCTGAAAAAGAACAAATAGAAATGTTGAAAACATAGAATAGTCAAACATATATTACAAACTATTGCCTAATTGCATATATCAAATCATTCTACGTTTCTGCTTATTCCTAATTGCTTTAAAATTTTCAAAACACCAATATCTTTAACCATGTTTGATTCTTCTTCCGATTTCACTAAAAACATTCCGATCATACCTGTGCTATTGACACTTATATAATTCCAAGACTCCATGATACGAGGAGCTATAAACATCCATTCTTTCGTCATTACAAAGTTGTAGCTAATTTCTGTCATTTCAAGGGCTTGACCTGTTTCCATAATGAGTGACAACAACTTGGAAAACATGTTAATAAGATCTATAGGTAAACATGAAGTAATTCTAAAGATATAATGAATAAAAGGAATCTTTGGATGAGACCATGGCGTGCTTACTATTATATTTGTGTTAGCAAGCCGAAAACTTCAAATAGTTTCATACCATTTGTAGCATTTATAGGCACTTCATCTGGATACAATGTTGAAATATTGCTCTCTTTAAGTGATATAAACTGAACATGTTTATGAGGCTGACTAAAAAAAGATAAATTATAAATAATATACATTTATATATGTAAATAGATACCTTGCACCCGATTGAGCCCCACAATTATAAAATGCTATATATTTATCCTTCATAGAATCTAAACATTCCCAAGTTACAGTAATGTCGTTTGGAGTTAAACCGTCTTTTTGTTCTTTAAATTCTAGATTAAACTAAGCTTAGTAAAAGCTAAAAAATATAATAACTTACCTTTTGTTATGAGTAAATAATGTTTAGGAACAATAGAATACTTATTCAAAATAATAGAATAATCACTACCAATATCTTGAACATAAAGTGATGCTTCTGGAGGATCAAATGGATTGACAGGTAAATTTTGATCAAGTATCTTAACATTTTTTTTCTTTTCAAGAAGTGGTGCACAACGTAGTTGAAACTAATATAAATAAGTGTTATCAATTTAAATAATAGGTATATACGCCAATATTACCATCCTGTACTTCTTCAAAAGTTGATTCTATAAAGATCAAAGTCCCAAGATCTAAAGTTTATTAAAAACATATATATGTAATAAATTCATAAAACTTTTTGCATAATGATATTGTTTTTCAATATTTTTTTCCAAATCTTGAATCATTCCTTAAGAATAATGAAAAATTTTACTTATAAAATAAAAGCTAAAAATACTAATTTTAAATAATAAGTGATCAAAACGTCTCCAAGTGTATATGTAGTAAATGAGAATATGAGAAAATAATGAATTTTAGAACGATGTTGTTATGACAACAACAGATAAACAATCCGCCTTGAAAGTATATATTATTTGATATATATATTATTTTTATTTTAATAACTTTAAAGATCTTATCCTTTTTATTTGTGTTTTTGAAATATTAGTAGAAGATTTTTTCCCTATAAAACCACGACAATTAGAAGATGCACAATAACAAACTTGTGGTTTTGCTCCTTCGAACCAACTATTAATATTTAAATAAAATTGTGAAATATGTTTTAGCTTTCCTGAAGTTGTAATCATATGTTATGTTTTCACCAGCAAATAATCCGGATTCTCCAACAAAAACCCCAATACGTGGAATACCGTGTACATACCACTTTTCAATTTTGCAATTAGGTTGACAAGAATGATTAATAAAACGTGCTTCATTCCCTTTTAACCCTGCATCAAGGACCAGCCCTGCGTTGAAATTTAAAAAATAATAATTCTGAAAATATCTAAATAAATATTTTACGTAATTTGGGAAATTTACTTGAACATCTTTATAAATAGTATTCATTCTGCAAAAAAGCTCATTTTTTTCTATTACTTCTCCACAGTATTCAAAAATAAGAGAACCAGGGTTAAAGTCGCGAAGAGAACGAAGGCCATATCCACATTTCCCCATCTACCTCATTTTAGATGAATTGTTTTTTCTTACAAAATAAGACATACCCAAACAACCTCTGCATTCAAGGAAGATAGCCTTCCTTCTAACTTTCTTTGTGTATAACGTTGGAAAGCACGATTCGTACATTCCTTAGGATCGTCAAGAGCACATGTAGCATCGTCGCACTCATAAAAAAGCTCTCTTTAAAATTTTAAAAATACACTATTTTACACTTATTTCCGAACCTATTTAAACAACCATCTCTACAGCCCGAGTCTGGTTTACAATTACATTTGGGACGAAACATAGGCTTAAATTTCTCTTTATCATAAATATCTAAAAAAGTTACAAGATTTTTAAGCCTGAACACACACATACTTTTTCTAATATATCTCCATCCGCCTGGTTTACATGAGTTGTTTGATGTAGCAAACAAATTCCAGGGCAATTTGAAATCCCTTAAATTTTCCATCAACCCAATACCATAATACATAGGTAAAGGAAATATTTCCTTTACTTTTGAATCACCAGGGCGCTAGTCATTGTTAGAAATCACACACACTCCCCATTTATCCAGTAATTACTGGTTTATTAGTATGACTCTGTGAAAAAGTATAAAGACCCTGATTCAAATACTTTTTTCGGCCTTTCAAAGATATTTCCCTTGCTTTTTTGGCCAAAGATGCATCAAATTCTTCTTCCTGTATCCTATTTCCGTGCAAAAAGTAGTATGCTGCCTCAACTGCCCGAAATAAAATTGCATATCCTTTCTGCTCGCCTGGGACTTGAGATTTCAAAAAAAACGCCCTTATATACAGACATGTCTTTTCATCTGATCCATGCTCATTTTTCACACACAAATTATCCTCTTTAGACAAACGCCTTGAGCACCTCTCTGACGACGCAGATGCAAGTGTATTTAGACACTGATGCTCCAACGGCAAAGCAGGCGCCGCACCACTGCTGTGGCCTGGCATGTGAAGGTGCATTTTATGCCCATCCGAGTGCAATTGGTCGCGTTTTTTAGGGCAATGCTGCTGCGCCTCCTCTAAAGAGTTCTCTGCTAAAACAGATGTTTTCAGTAAAACGAAAACTGCCACTTAAACCCACTGAAGCATGTGTCAAGTTCTCTTTTCCCCCTAAACTCTCCCTTAAACTCTTCCTTAAACTCTCCCTTAAACTCTCCCCTGAAATCTCCCCCAAAAACCATTCTCCAAATCAGTGTTTATCAGCGTTTTACAACTGTCTGGTGCTGATTGAAACGACACTGGACACTGTGAAATAAAAACTCGGGCAAAAGCATGAATAAAAGGCATGAATAAGCAAAGATATAAGTAAAAATATAAGCAAAGACTGAAATTCACAAAACACACATTTTTATTTCTAGCACTCCCCGTCCCCCCGTCCCCGTCCTCCCCCCTCCCATCCCCTCCCTGCTCCCTGTATAGCTCCCTGTATAGATAGCCAACCAGACCGAGAACAGTCTCTTTGAACTAAACCCGTGTGCCTACAGGTCAAGCCCAGGCATCCGCTAAAGCACTTACTGCGCCCGCTGTGCCCACTGCAGGCAGCAAAGACCGCTCCGCGCTCCGTGCAAGCTTGGCATGTTTAGCACACACCGTGCATCTCTTGCTTGGAGGTAGCATGCTGCGCCGAGACCGTGTCACGCATTGCCCCACGCACTACTCCACCAGGCACCCCACGCGCCGCCCAACGCCGCCTAACGCGCCCGACAACCCTGGGCACCCGACCGCCGTGTGCAGCTCTGCATGCACTGCCTAGCTGCCCGCTGCCTGCGCCGCAGCGGGCGCTGCTGCGCTGCCGCCCTACCAGCTTGCCTGCCATAAGCTCTGGTCCCCCACCTGGCTACCCACCTTCTTTACCCCCGGCAGCCGCCCCGCCAGAGCATTCACCCGGAATTGGTACCGACACATCCCAAAGTCCCTCAGCACTCCCCGTCCTCGCCCCGTCTCGATACACCGGTTCTTAACCCGCCCCATCCTCGTTTGCCCCTCCATGGCTGCAAGCTGCGCCTGTGCCCGTACCCGTTCCTCTGCCGCGCGCCCCGTGTTCCTCACTATGTGCCGCAGCGCTTGCCGCTCCGCTTCGGCCGCGGCAGCCGCCACCCGCCGCCCCATGTCTCGCAGCACTCTCCACTTGCTGTCAGCACTGCCGCCGGGCTCTGCACCCTACCTTCATCTGCCTTCTCTGCCTTCGTGTGTCTGCACCCCGTCTGTCCGCTCTTCCTCCGGTCTGTCCCTCCTGCCCGCATGCACCGGCCTCGTCTCCGCTTTTCCGGCCCTTCTCTTCACGACTTTATCCGCCAGTCGCCGCATCCGCAGCCACAGACGCCGCAGCGTCTGCCTTCCTGGCTCCAACGCCCTGCTCCACAGGGCGACAACTACCAGCGCATCCGCCGCGACCTCCGCGGCCTCCGACTCCACACGGTCTGTGAGGAAGCACGCTGTAACTCGCCTCCCTACGCCCTAAGCCGTAGCTTACTTTGCAGGCCCGAATATTGGCGAGTGCTGGGGCGGCACACGGGCAGCCGCCACAGCGACGATCATGCTGATGGGCGATACGTGTACGCGCGGCTGCCGGTTCTGCTCGGTGCGCACCGGCACACCGGCGCCGCTAGACCCGGACGAGCCGCGGCACACGGCAGAGGCAATTGCGCGGTGGGGAGTCGGGTACATTGTCCTAACGAGCGTTGACCGGGACGACCTTGCGGACAGCGGAGCGGCACACTTTGCAGCAACGATCCGGGCGGTAAAGGAGAGGTCGCCGGGGATCCTAGTGGAGGCACTAACGGGAGACTTTGGGGGAGAGCTGTGCGACGTGGCGACGGTGGCGCAGGCGGGGCTCGACGTGTTTGCACATAACGTCGAGACGGTGGAGGCGCTAACGCCGTATGTGCGGGACCGGCGGGCGACGTTTAGGCAGAGTATACGTGTTCTGGAGCATGCAAAGGCATCGGGAGGAGTGCTTACAAAGACAAGCTTTATGCTTGGGCTCGGGGAGGCGGCGGAGGAGGTGGAGGCGGCGCTGAGGGCGCTGCGGGCAGTGGGAGTGGATGTAGTGACGTTTGGACAGTATATGAGGTATGTATTACGGCGTCTGCACAGTGTGTACGCAGTGTCACAGTGTTATGGCTGCGGTGAGCTGCGGTGTGCAGACGCAGGGTGCTGGTGGCGCTAACGCGGCAGGCCGACGAAGAAACATATGAAGGTGTGTGCATCGCGCCGCAGTGCACGCGCACGCACACGCATATATAGCATATATAGCATACATAGCATACATATATAGCATGTGTGCTAGTGTACGCAGTGTATGCGCTATGCTGTGTGTGCGGTGACGCAGTGTAGTGAGCGGCGGGCAGCGGGTGCTTAGGCTGACGGGGAAGGTGCATGAGTATGTGCACCCGCAGGTGTTTGAGCGGTATAGGGAGATGGCAGAGGGGTTAGGGTTCCTGTATGTGGCGTCGGGGCCACTCGTACGCTCGAGCTACCGAGCGGGCGAGGCGTATCTCGAGCACGTGCTCAAGAGGGGCAGGGGGGCGGCTGCCGCGGAAGGGAGCGAGGCCGAGTGAGGCGCCGGGTGCTGCGGAGGCTGCGGGCCCAGGGCGAGTGGCGCACAGTACGCACGTATGGACGTGTGGTGCGTACAGCATAGATGTACAGTATAGGTGTATAGTATAGGGTGTATAGTATGGTTATATGGTTAGATGTACAGGTTAGATGTACAGGTGTGGGGTAGAAGGTGTGCTGGAGGTGGGGGGGGAGGGAGGGAGGATCAGAGTCTCCCCTTGGCCATGACGACAGGCTTCATCTGGGCAAGTGTGATGAGCAGTGCCTCCTCCGTGCGGATGGTCCTGCTTCCCTGTGCAGGACATACATTGACCCATGCATCAAAGAGCGTACTTGCAGAATCGCCTCCGGCCTCGAGATCCTGGTCAGCGTCAACCGCTGCTTCCAGGCCACCTAGTCCTCCCAGGACAATAAGAATATGGTCGAAAGCCGGAAGATGGTCTTTGACATCATCAAAAGCAGTGCCTCTTTCCGATGTCCCAATGGTCAGGTCATAGCCATTACCGTATGGAGCCTCTGTTAACACAGCCGATAAAGAGGGTGCAAAACGGACATTATAACCCCAGTAGTACCCCATCGTTTCCCGTGGCGCAGAGGGGCTGACGACTTCTGCCTTGATATATTGGTTTTTATGAATACTTGTCTCGCTCATGGAAAGCGTTACTCGTACACCTGGTTTGATTTTTTGTGAAACAAGAACTTTCCGCCTTAGACCCGCCTCCACCAACGTAGAATGCTTGGGGACCTTGGGATGCTGTGTGGGATCCAGTGTAACGCCCTCTCTGTAAGGAAAACCTTCATCAATGCGCAAGTGGTGGGGGCAGTCCAGGGGATTCAAAAGCCCGGCAAACCGAAGGTCTCTATGTATCGGGAATAATATTTTTCTCAAATATCTGTAAATAGTTATTACCTGAACATAGAAAAAAAACAAAAACATACTGTGGCGTCTCCATGTACCGCAGCAGGTGGACAAGAAAAGTGTTTGGGTCGCTTACTCCACTGTGTTTTTCAAAAACACTCTGTTCTTTCGGTATTCCAGAGTCATCAAAAACTACAATTTCATCTATACAAAAAATAGCCAGTGCTCTAGCAATCTTCGACCTTTAAACATCTCAAAAGATTCATGTATATACTGACTTGTCCAGCAAGAAATGTTTTCAGCTCCAACCCCTGTGCATTCGCAATAATGCTCCCTGGAAGAGCAACAGAAACTGCACATAAGAAAAATACGCCAATTCTTGGAAAAAAGAACCTGTGTATTTCCTTGGACCCGTAGAAAAAGGGTAAGCCGTATTATTAAGCGGATTTGCTGGTATCTTGTCTTTTTTCAACTTTAAAACGCTTGTCTCACTTGATTCTCGTTTTCTCTGTTTTTTCCAAAAATTAAAAAAGTACGGGCAATAAACAGACACATTATACCTTGTTAGTGTTTTTTCTATCCATAAATACTATTTTTCAGCACCTTAAATGCTTTTTTATTCTTTACAAGACAGAATATTCTCAATGCAAAAATTACGATAAAAACACCAAAAACACCGTTTAAGCCCGCAGAAAAAAGCGTCCTACTCACAAACACCCATTCTCCTACAAAATCCCATTGTTTTCTGGCAAAATACGTCTTCTTTCTCCCCTAAAACATTTTTCCCCCAAAATCATTTTTATCTGTTCACTTCGATATGCACTGGTTTTTGCAAACATCTTGTAAAAAAAGTATATTTAATAAAAAGCGAGTTTTTAATTTTTTCCATACAAAGCCTCAAATCACTCATTCTATGCACATATATAACGCATACACTATGCATATACCGCATACACTGCATACATTATGCATACATTATGCATACAACACGCATACAACACGCGTATACCCTGCTTTTCTCTTCCTAAATCCCCCCACAGCAGCTCCCACAGGGAGGCGGCCGAATATCATCTACACTGCCTATTTTTCTCCCGCACGACGGTCCTCCTGATGAATAACCGTTCCATCCTGAGTGACCTCCACTACGCCTCTCTGACCCTTTATTTGTATTTTTTGTTCTTCCACAATACTTGTCCACCGCTTGCTGCGGATCAAACTGTATATTATCAGTCTTTTCACTATATTTAATAAAACTGTTAACGTACACTAAAAAGCGTCGACAAGTAAAGAATAATAATCATATAAAGATTTTTTGAAAAATCGAATAATCTAAAATATTACAGCTTTTTGGTAATAAAACACGCTAAATACCTATTAAAAAAGGGTTTTCTTGTAGAAAGCGTCCCATTTGGCCATACAAAAAGAGACGGCATATTGGTTGTGCGGGTGAGGTCGCTCGAGCAACGACAGATACAAATCGGGAGAATCGAGAAGTATGTGTGCGCATAAATGCTGAAAACGCGAGCCGCAGCAGAAAGACTTAGGCTGTATAAAGCAGTGATACACTTGAATACTTGGTATCTGTAGACAAGAGAAGCCCCATATATGCGTGTTGTATGCATTGTATATGCACGTTGTATGTGTACTATATGCGTAATATATGCGTCTTGTATACATAATATATGTGCTTTGTATATCTGGTATGCCTAGTATATCTGGTATATGTATGTAGTTGTGTTGTATGTACCTGTATATCCCGTTTGTGCTTGTACATGTACTGCATGTACTGTCTATGTATGTTATACAGAACATGGCTTTGTAATCAGCCATAAGACGGTTATTTTTGCATTTATGTTTTATATATGATATTGAGTTTCTTCTTTTTCTGCCTTTGCAATGCAACGTTTTATACACTGTATTCTCTTGTCCGTATGCAACGGATGCTTTATTTGCCGCTGCGTGGGCCATGCAAATATACAACAGCAGCGGCTATCCAAGAGTCATGGGTTAGTCTATTTCTTGCACATAAACAGTGGCCTGAAACATATACAAAGCCACCTGCACTACTTATTGTCAGCCAGTTTGAGCCGACATACACCTGTGGTCGGCGGGAGAGCAACCGCCTTAGTGAAGAAGATGTAGTTTATCTCAGGACAAACCCTTCTGCAATGGTTGTTAATACATTGCGTGGAGGGCAAATCACTTTTCACGGACCAGGCCAGATAGTGGGATATCCTATCCTTGACCTTGTGGATTTTCAGGTATGTTTGTGTACCTAAATAAAGACCAGACAAAGGTGATATACAACAATGCAATAAATATCGTTTGAAGCAGCCTTATGCCTGTACTGCCTTTGCTTTATAATGAGAATGTATTTGGTATACATTTTCTCCCAGTTTGATCTGCGATATTTCTTGTTCCAAATCATATTTTATGTTTATTATTTATTTTTCAATATCTTATTGGCACAGATGACATTAAAAGAATATGTGAATAGACTCGAGTTATCAATGCTTAGAACGTGTAATGCATTTGGTTTGACAACAATCCTCACTGAACACAGAGGTTCTGAGAAATAAGGTTCCCGATGCAGTATATTAATGTAATAGGTGTATGGGTATCACCTACGAGAAAAATTGCATCAATTGGTCTGCATTTGCGGAGACATATTACGTCTCATGGAATTGCATTAAATGTTTCGACGAATCTAAGCTATTTCAATAAAATCACTGCATGTGGCCTTAAAAACAAGGAAATGACGAGTTTTGAACGCGAAGGCATAAAAATCCCGCTTGAAACAGTCCAATCCCATTGGGTTAAGCAATTAATCAATGTGTTACAATGCACAGTTCAAGAAATTAATATCCAAGAAGTGAAAACCTTCCTTTCGAATCAATGGGGATCGTTAGATGATATAAATACGATATTGTTTAAATAAAGCATCATACTAATACCTACAAATACGCAACATGTAGGTAAAAACAATACCCATGGATCAAGACCTATGGGAGCATTATTTGTAAAATCTGGAGATGGTATCTGGATTTCTGATGTTTTTAAAAGTGCTGCTATATGGTATGTTGATTGTTCAACAACTTTTTCTGTTATTTTAGTACGATATTTCCATATTTCAAGTTCTTTTTTCGTTGCTTCTAATGTTTGTTGTAACATCTTCAATTCAGAATCCGGGTTTTCTTTTTCCTCAACTTCTGTGTTTTTCTTCACCTCATTTTCACTAATGACATATTCTGTTTCGGCCTTTTTTCCACTCTTTACAACATCATTTTGTTGTTCTTTGAACAACGATTCAACCACTTGCTTGTATGTTTGCTCACACGCTTGTTTATATTGCCGTTCAGCTTCAAGTTGTTTGATTTTCATCGTCTTTTCATCAATCTCACGTTGTTTCATTGCCAAAACTTCCAAATTAACCAATGAAGGTGATGAACAATGTGCACTCTTATCTGCGGTTATAGATGTATCCACCTCTATAGATGAAGTCGGAATTGTCGATACATGAGTTTCTCGCTAATACTTGTTAGTTTTTCATGATGAAATAACGAAAAAAACGCCTGTTACATCTACAAAAAACGCTTCCTGGATAGAATTAAGCATACTTGTCACATTAGCAAGTTCCTTGGCTTGCATTTCCGTCATCTTAATACTTTTCTATCACCCTAAGTAATAATCATCGTAAATGCATTGTTTTTACATTTAAAATCTGAAGTATACCATTAATTGCTAGAGAATTATACCCTTCATATACCGATTCTAAAGGCGCTACTGTTGATGGTATACAAGACGCTTCTAATGCAGGTGATTTCGCACATAATGCCTCCGACGTACCCTCATATGTATTTGTACCGTATAAACACGGTGTAGTTGCCCGATACGTACCAACCCAGGTCATATATGCTGAATCTGACGAATCTATGTTATTCCATGTATTTTTAGGCGTTTCTGAATGTTCAGATGGCTGCATCTCTGCAAGTCCTGCATACTCAATACGTGCTGCTACTCCCCGGTGAACAATTGACCGATCATCTTCATTCAGAATATCAATCCCAAGCTCCTACAGTGTGTTACTCTGTATATATGCAAAATCTATGCGTTGTATATGCGCATACCAAAACATCTCCTGTCTGCAATACCACTGGTTCACTCACTTGACCTTCTGCACTCAACCGCCGCCCGTTCAAAAACGTCCCGTTACTACTCTGAATATCACGGATAAAAACATTCCCTGCTGTATCCGTCCATACTTCTGCATGTGCACGACTTAGTACTTTAGAATCAAAAAACCCATTAGACGGTGACGGCATCGTACGTGAACTCGTTTGACGCCCCATTCGTAAAGTCTGTGGCCATACAGGTAGCCATAGACATTTACGTTCAAATGTTTCATTTAAAGGTGCTAATACGAGGCATCCTGATGAGTTTATCTGCTTTATTCCTCCGTCATGCATGTCATAATATTCCATTATTATGCTGTATATATGCGTTAAATAAGAAACAATATATACTAAATCACTGGATTATATGCATTCAACAAGTATATCCACTGAATATATATATATTGTTGCTCTGAACTGTAGATAATACTTTAGACTGTATATGCTTCAAAGTCCTATTGTATCCAATGATATATGGTATATGATATATATACGATATATATACGATATATATATACGTTGTATGTGTTGTATGTGTTGTATGTGTTGTATACGTTGTATATATGGTGTGTATACGTTATATGTGCGTGTATGCGGAGTATATACTTATATACGTGTTTGTACGCTTATATACGTGTATATGCGTGTATATGTATTATATGCGTTATATATGCGTCTTAATCCCCATATACTACCCAATTCTATTCTTTGCTCGCCTTCTGTGTTCACATATAGACTTCTCGAACACCGGCTGCCCACGTAAATCCCATGGCTGGACGACCGACGACTCTCGATAAGCGTAAGCTGTTCCTGCTTACTGTGTCACTAATCCACCAGTCAAAATGGGTGCCCTTATGGGTAGCTCTGTAGGCCTCTGCGTACTTGTGTTTTCTGCATCCAACAATGCCTAACTTTCTTAGGTCGGCCTTCTCTTTGTATATGCGTTCCCGGTCTTTCAATGCTGCTGATTTCACAGGGAGGTGTCCATCTGCTCCGTCACGGTCCTGGACGCTATGGAGTTATCCGTACTCTTGGTACAACTATGCTTTCTAGTGCAGCAACTTTTGGGCCCGTTTTTGTGCTTTATTGCAGCTTTATTGACCCATATTAGCTTTTTTATGGCCATTGGCACTGTTATTCGAACCGAAACTCACTCAGATGCATCTCGGCATGCTATTTTGCACTAAGAGAGTTACAAGATGTATACAGTAAAGACCGGATATATGCGCCGATATGTTGGTTGTATGCATACTATTTTAATATGTATATACTCTGCATTGCACCCTTTTTACAATGTCTTGGGGACTGTATATCGCCTATAGACATTTGTGTATTATATGCATATAACATGCGTATTATACATGTATTATGTGTGTTATATGCATATTATATATGTATTATATATGTATTGTATATGTGTTATATGTGTGCTATATCTGTATTATATGCATATTATATAGATTATATAGTATTGTACGTGTATATAATAGTATGTAATGTATACACAATGTGCATATACGTTCTTTATCTTCTAGAATCCAATGTTTTGTACACTTTATATACATTATCTATATCTACGTCTACGTGTATGTGGTAAATACATGTTGCCTTGTTTATCCATTTCTTTATACCTGTATTCACAGTGTATATGTGTTATACACTGTATCTGTACTATATACACAATGTATATATGCAGAATATATACATTGTATTTGTTGTACATATATAATATATATATTATATAGCTAATATATGTGTTATAAAGACACACACTATACATATTTATATGTACAATATATATCCATCAACAATTTCTAATGTATTTTACATGTTACATATATACATGTACAGACAACTATATACGTCTTATATGCATATCTAAAGACAACCCAAACCCATCTACAAATATATTTATAAACCGGACCAACCTGCACTTCCATCTACAAATAACCACAATTATCGTGCATCAGTGCCGTATATTACCTATGGACGGACTTATCAGAGAATCAGAGCTGTTGGTAGCAAAATTAGAGACAGCGCCAACACTTAATGCTCTTGAAGCATATGTGCAACAGCTGAAGCAGGCAAAACAGCAGCTCTGTGAATGTACAGACAGTACATCGGCCTTATCGACATGGACGGCGATACGGCCTACTCTACAACATACAATAACACAGATATCAGAGGCACAGCGTAAAGTGCAAACAGCAATACAGCGTTATGGACGGGTTCTTGATAAAGTATGCGGTTATTAACAGCAAATCAAAGTGTTATCTAAGCAGAACAGCAATTCCGTACAGATTTAACGGGAATTCACGTTCATGAAAACTTTCCGGGAGAACCAGAATGGCTACACTATACAATTGGGATGCATCTAGTTCGGGAGGCAGCGTTTGGAATGGCAGAAACATTTATGGAGGTGGGTATTATGCAAATATGAATGGAGAGGAGCAGAAAAGAGTAAAATAGCGTGAAATAAGGGATATAGAAGATAAATACAGAATTCTTTAAGTTCTGAGGGACTTTCCAAAGTCTACAGGAGCTTTTAAGCTGTTATTTCTATGATTAAGAATTTATGCTATAAATTTATCAAGGGTTTTTAAGCTTTATCACAAATTATAAATGTTATTTTAAAAAAAAGATTTTGAGAACTAAAAAGAATTGAAAACACTGAATAATATTCTAATGGATATTATGTTTTAGCAGTATGAATTGAATCTAATATTTGTTAAAACAAAAATTTACTTAAAATGATTAACAAATATTTAAATTTGTTTTAATCATTAAACATGTTTTAGTGAGTCATAAGTTGATTTCGATAAACATAAATATTGATAGTTAAAAGTATTTTAGCCGATTGATCGAATGTACTGTGTTGATTTAAAATTTATCTCTAGAACTTAAAATTTATTTTTAAACCTCTAGAATTATAATTCAAGCAAGATATTATATTTAGTTCTGTTTTGATTGTACTGATGCTTAGCTTTATTTTACTGTTCTGAAAAATTCAATATTAATATTTAACAAAAATCTTCAATTACAAGATTGCTTAGGACTTTCTGTACTTTAATGTTACTGATTCATAATTTAAAGTTTAATTCAATGTTTAAAATGCTAATCTAGTGTTATATATCTCTTCTCAGACATTCTAAATGCTCTAATTCTTAATATTAATAATCTAATTAAAAACAGGAAACAAATCTCAACCTGCCGACAGATCTACTACAAGCTTTTCAACAACTTTATTGTATCCTAGATGCATTGCGTAACGAAAATTTCCAAACAGCAATTGAGTAAGCTATACATGTTATATGGTTATATATAACAAGCTAGATGGTCATTTTCGAAACGTGCGTTACTTGAACAGCGTGGCAGTAACCTTGAATTTGATCTGCATAAACTTCAATTTATCTCGATATTTGTAAGATGTACCCAAGACAATTATACGGAAGCAATTGAATATGCACGAACACATTTCCCACCCTTTGCCAACAAATATTTAAAAGGTCTGTTTTTAATTAAAGTTCTATTAGAATTTGCAATATTTTGCCAAACTTTGATTTTATAAAACTCTTTTTAATAGTTCTAATACTAATAACTACTTTATAGAAATCAAACAACTTATGTGTCTTTTTTGCTATACATCAAATATACAACTTTTTCCTTATAAAGAATTATATATACATGATAACCTTTGGTCATCGGTTCAGGCATTATTTAGTCGTGAATATTGCTCTTTAATTGGATTTGCACCCGACTCTCCCTTGCAAACAGTTTCTATTGCAGGTTCTTTAGCAATTCCAACATTACTCAAAATGTCAAGTATTATGAAAGAAAAAAAGACAGAATGGACAAGTCAAAATGAGCTTCCAGTTGAAATTCCACTGCCAAGCAAATATCAATTCCATAGTGTTTTCACTTGTCCTATCAGCAAAGAACAAACAACAGATTCGAATCCTCCGCTTATGATTCCTTGTACTTTCCACATACTATATTGATTTTCTTTAATAATTTTTATAGGTGGACATGTTATTTCAAAAAATTCAATCGAACGACTCTCTAAAGATAACCCTACTAGTAAATTTAAATGCCCTTACTGTCCAAGGAATGCTTTTTTTTCTTATAAACTAATTATTAATACTTATTAGGGAAACTACGCCACAGGAAGCTATCCTGCTTTATCTTTGAAAAAATAAATAATCAAAAATACAATGGATACACAGAAATGTATTATTTGACATATACAAAGCTACCACTTCCAACCCTATTTTTTTCTTTCAAGTTTCCATTTGTAAATAGGGACCCCGTCTTGTGAAGTGCCTACTTTTTTCCTTTCGCCTTTTGTTTGTAGGTTTCGATGAAGATCAATATGTTTTGCTAAGACTGATAGTTGTGCCGCTCGCGCTTTCCGTGACTCTAATTCGTGCACCAGTTTAGAATCAATTGGCAATGCACTTTTTGTAAACGTTTGAATAAACTGAACATCATTTTGATCAAGAGCTGTTTCCGTTTGGCTATCAAACTTAAAAAGCTCATTTGTGGATTTTTCTAACATTTGGTGACATGTATCCTGGTTTTTCTGTTCTTTATCATGCTTTTCTTGAAGATCTTTTTTCCCTGTTAATAATAGGTTAAGTCAAATGTATTACTTACCTACTTCATCCATAAAATAATAATGTTTTCCTACACGGTCGGATGTTGTATGAATATTCATTTGTATACGTTCCTCAAGTTTTTTTATCCTCTTAGTCATTAGTTAGAACGATAATTTAAATTTATTGAAAAGGTCTATAATAATAGCAAAAATTAACATATAAGCAGAATAAAATCACACTAAAGAATAAAAACAAAATAAACATACAAACGTACCTCATTTTCAATGCGTTGCATTGTTTTAATATATGCTGAATCTTGAGTTTTTAACAATCGTACATTTTCTTCAGATAATACAGGATTCCCTCGGCTAACATAAACAATACCATCTTTTGTTTTTTCTCGCATCATTCCAAAGTAAAATTCACTAAAAACATAACCATTACATAATACAATTGCTGTAAAATTGCAAACGCTTACTCAGGATTCCTTTCTGCTGCTTTTTCACGAAGCCGTTTGAGCCGAAGCTGCTTTGAGCGATAATCCAGAGCCCTTAGGCGGTAATCCTTTGGTTTTTCTAGAAGACCCCATTTCTGACGTTCTACTGGCTGCGCCCGCTCCCGATGGTTGCGGCGCTGCAATGAATGTTTCAATGTACGCATTTTTTAAAAATAAACGCAAAACAGTGTATTCAAAACTACTCCACAATGGGTATGATCAAAGTTCTTGTTGGAAAAATATAAGTTAATAAAAACGTGTTATTTTAAAACAAACTCCGAAAAAATTAGTGAAAAGATAAGTCTAAAAAATCTGACAAAAAACCAATAAAAACTAAAAAGAAACATATAAGTAACCTATTAAAACACTTACTATAATACCTTTTAATACTCTAGCCTGTCTGCACTTTGTTTAATACTTTATATAATATTAGAAATAAAAACGTTTTTTTTTGAGGTTAAAGTCGATATGTATTGTTTGTAAAAAAGAATTAAAAATGTACAAATAAACAATTAAAAAACATAGAATACATCCATTGTTCTAATGGGATGCATCTACCTCCATATTAAGCGGCTCAGAATCCTAAAAATATTAGTATCTTTAGTAAAAACAAAAAATATAAAAAATTATTTAAAACAAAAATTATATAAACATTGAAAACCGTACCTCATTTTTCTCTGCTTCAGAGGACTCAAAATCCCAATTCGGTGCAGTTAAGAGATATCTATTAAAATAAGTGGCAATCTTTTTTTTTACTAAAAAAAACTTTTTTGGAGGAAGATGCAAGCCATATGTAGGATTAATCGGAGGAAGAGGCTTTCTATTACGTTCTGTTGCTAACTCAAGCAGAAACTCCTTGGGTGGAGGCCCTCGGAACGAATTATTCACTTGAGATGCAATTGCCAGTCGAATATCGTCAATCGTCAGCTCTGTTGCACTATCTGGCCGTGCATAGTCAGAATATGCCACTGCATCTTGCAAAACTTGGTATATATATCCTAAAACTTTGTTAATTATATGGTATTTTTCAAAATCTTATACGATGTGCAAATGTCATTAATTGTAAAGGTACATTCTGCTGATATGCTTCAACTCCAAGAGATGTCAGAATAAGATGGACAAGACGTGCATCTCGTGGAACATATTTTCGTGTATTTGCTGATTCTTCTGTCATTATTTAGAGTTAATAGTTGGTATTTATAAACGACTGACGTCTAAATCATCTCGGCAAATGGAAACACGTGATAATCACGTGACCAAGTAATAGTTTTAAGCAAAAGATGTATTGAAGAAAGGTTTTTATGGGTAACTATGAAAGAATAGATTGCTTTTATGAAAGCTATTCAGTAATAGTTTTAAGAAAAATGATTGATGTTATTTCAACAATGATGGACGCTCATCCCAAAAAGGATCGCCTATTATATCTACATGAAGCACAGCTATTTGTTTTGTATTTTTACTGGAAGTTTTTTCTAAGTTGTTAGCAGAAGAGTTTCTTAGAAGAACACTCCCCTTTTTGAACATCTCATGTTCATTGTTATAATTAATACCAAATTTACTGAAAAGAAGCTCATTTTTATCCTTTGCTAATGTCCCCTATCTCAGTAAGGGTGTATTGTTCAAAAGTCCTGTATAATATTTTACCATGAGTGTTTTTTCAGCATCTGTTGTGGACATTCCACCTTTCTGAACAAGAGCCCAAAAAGCTGTATTATACAGATTGTTAATGTGACAATCTACTTGTCTCCAGCTAAGATAGTCACGAATATTTTCTTTAGATGGATAAAGTATAGATCGAGCATCAAAAGAAGGCGGATACATTAACATTTTATCTTTAAAATACCGAGGCCATAGAAATACATAATTCGATGTAAAAAGAGAAACAACTATACTTGTAAGTTTGCTATACCTTTTGTTAATATTCTATTGTACCCAATCAACTATTTATTAATACCTAGAACGGCGTTCATACAAGTGACAGGTTTTTTGAAAAACAAAGCTATATTCATCACTGTTCCCATATGCAAGGATAATATCTGGAAATGCTTTCATAGTAACCGATGCTGCTTCATTCATAAGGTTAAGAGCTCGAACATCATTTGGCTTTTCAAACTCATGAATCGATGAAAACTTATGAAACCCACATCCATCCAATCTTATCACAATCCAGGTATTTGGTAAAAGTTTATCTGATGTTTCAAATTTACGTACATATTCATATTTAGAATTCACCATATTTACACTTTAATAATCACAATTCTTTGATATTCGTATCAATCTTTTACTAACTTTTTATTATGTCGTTAGATATCGTTACCCCGCACGGTAATGTGGGGTAATCGTGGGGTAATGTGGGGTACCGCTGAACAGCAAAAGAAAAGTAAAAATGAATGAATTTAGAACAATCTATACAGCAGCATATCCAGAGGAAGATACATATATATACAATTTAGCATTTGAAGATAATCTACTTGTTTCTTCAGGATCAGACGGAGCTCTTCGTTTATGGGACTCAGAAACGTTAAAAATGAGCTCTACAGCTCTCCAAGCGCACAAGGAGATTTCAGACGTAAAAATATCAGAAAAACATATAATTATGAGCTGTGGAAATGATGGAGTAGTAAAACTTTGGGACAGTAGGACGTTAGGAGCATGTGGAGAATTCAAAACAGGTTTTCAGGATCCATCTATGTATATTGATATTAAAAATGCCAGGGAAGAAAATAGCTCTTCTTTCGGTCTCTGAAAACGCAGATAAGACAAAGATATCATCTGGAAGTGTATTATCTGGGCAGGAAGCATATATTTTTTTATGGTAGTGTTATATCCAAAAAACACTCAAATAACCTAATCGTTTCAGGGACAAACGTAAATTATCTCTTCTTTTCTCTTATACTGAGTCACAAAATGATGATGTTACTGATGTAAGTTTTGTTTTATTCTTTTAATTTTTAATTCAACAAAGGTACGATTTCATCCAGAGAAACAGCATCTTTTATGTAGTGGTAGTTGTGATGGTCTTATCAATATCTTTGATACCAGAATATCTGATGAAGATGAAGCTGTAATTCAAGTTCTGAATCACCAGTCATCAATTCATCGTGCGGATTTTATTGGATCAAATACTATATTTGGTTTAAGTCATATGGAAACATTTAGCCTCTACGATATTCAAGACATAGAAAAAGATATAGACAATGAAAATGCTAGTACGGCCTATAATTTTATTTCTTTAGGAGATATCAGATACAAACTCAATTGCAACTATGTAATTGATGTAATTCCACATAATACAGACGATGCAGCATATTTATGTTGTGGTACTCATAAGTATTAATTAATAAAAAAAATTAATCAGTTTTTAATAACATTTTTAAGTGAAAAAACATCTCTTTGGCTAGTACATTCTGATGGTACTATTGATCAACAGGCACATATACGCTTAGATAATCATAACGATGCACTCACACGCTGTCTCGTTTTTGATGAACAAAGACAGGTAATTTATACTGGTGGGGAAGATGGTCAAATACGTGGGCATAGAGCAATAGATAATGAAAACAAAACACCTCCTACTAAGAAAGTAAGTTCTATATTTTTGAATAAAAAATATACCAACACTACTATTCTTACAGATCAAAATATATTCTTGATTCTATATCAAAGTAATAAATAATAGTAACTAAAAAATAATTATTTTTTGTAATTACTATCTATGTATATGTTCCATTCTTAAACCTGGCCTTTCGAACAAGCGATCAACAAGAAAATTTGTAGCAAAAAAATGACTATAAATAGACCTAGCATATGATAAATAATGATATTTTTACGTATCAGAATAGTCCCTATGAAGGGCTTTCTTATGTTTATTATCTTTTCTCTTCTAAGTTATTCATATAATCTTTTTTGTGTACGTTTTTACCTATATTTAGGCTTGTTTGTAGTAAGATGTAACACAAAAGATCAAGAAAAGAATGAAAAAAACAAGAAAACACAGGTAAACTATGCTGAAGACTTGAAACAGGCATTTATACCTGATGTTATGTTTGATTTTTTCGACAAAAAAAACATAACAGGTATTTTTAAACAACGATACATTTCACTTAATTAATGGAAATAGCGGATGATTTATATAATGAATCTCTTAAAATATTAAATGATATGTCGTCAAAAACATTTACAACTTATTCAATACCACAGCAGAAATTTTCGTGGTTTTTTAATACTTTAAAGCATACTATATCTAAATTTATATTAATTCGAGTAACATCTCAACAAGAAGATATAGAAATAGGAAAATACGGGAAGGGGAGCCAAATTATAAGAGTTTCTTCTATGCTTAAGAAGGCTGCAGAACTAGGAAATAATGATGCTTTATATTTATTAGGAGATATGCATTTTGTATGTATTATATAACTGAAATATTAGAACCTAACAGTTAAAAGTATGGAAATTTTAGCCATCCATTAAATATGTATAAAGCATTTTTGTTTTATAAAGAGCTTGCTGAACGAACAGGAAATGCAACAGCACAATTAAATTTGGGACTTTTTTATGCAGTAGGTATTGTTGATGAAGTTCCTCGAGACCAAGCAAAGGCTTTACTATATTTTGTTTTTTCTGCATCTCAAGGAAATATCAGGGCTGAAATGATCCTTGGATATAGATATTATTTAGGTATTGGAGCTCCACAATCATGCCAAACAGCAGCCGAGTATTATAAAAAGGTAGCAGATAAGTTAATGGATTATTATGATTCTGGACCACCCGGAGGCATTACTCTTCCTCGTATTCCAAGAAAGTTTGCTGATGATAAGGGAGGCATTTATGGAGAAGGTGCTAGTGTTGTTTCAAGTGGGGCAGAATATAGAAAGAAAAAGAAGTTAGTTGGCAAAATTATTAGAATTGAAAAAAAAGAGATGGATAATTATATAGATTATTATTCATATATAGCAGAAAAAGGGGACGTTGAGGCACAATTGCTTCTTGGTAAACTTTTTTATCTTGGAACATCTAGTATGGAGAGAAATTTTAAAAAATCATTTAGTTATTTTAAAAGGATCGCAAGATTATATTGGAAAAAAAATGGTGACCCATATGATGAAAAATATGGAATAGGAGCGGCAGAAGCAGCAAGATATTTGGGTTTAATGTATTTTAGAGGAGAAGGTGTTGTACAGAATTTTCGAATTGCTAAAATATGGTTTCAACGTGGTATAAATATTGGTGATGCCGTTTGTCAAAACAGTATGGGAATGATCTATTTGAAAGGATATGGTGATACCAATATAGATACAAAAAAAGCAACAGAGCTTTTCAAAGCTGCTTCTGATCAAGGCCTTTCTTCCGCTAAAGTTAATCTTGCTAAAATATATTTAGCACAAAAAGATTATACAAAAGCATATCTACTTTTTGAGTTAGCATGGGATAAAAATCCTGTTGAAGCAGCGTATTATTTAGCAACAATGAGCTATAATGAACTTTCGAAAGAATCTTCCTGTCAAAGAACAGTTACGGTATTTTTAATTAATACTTATATCTATATATTCACTTTTACCAGTATTACAAATATGTTTCTGAAAGAATTGGGACAGTTTATTCAACACTTGAGGAAGCAGAAAAAGCATATGAAAATAATAACATACATATGACACTGATTGGCAGTTTAATTGCTGCAGAGCAGGGTTATGAAGCAGGACAATTTAACTTTGCATGGCTTCTTGATAAAGGCTAGTTGATATCCTTTATAATTTTTATTCTGATTTGATTTAGCAAAATCTTATGTTTCTCGTTACAAAAAAGACTATTTTCCAATGTCAGATCAACTTTCTTTAATCTATTATACACGAGCAGCAAAACAAAATAATGTTGATGCAATGGTTAGGATGGGTGATTATTATTTAGAAGGCATAGGAACAAAGGCAGATCCATCTAAAGCTATTAAGTGTTTTATGTCAGCAGCTGATACTGGAATATCTGCTCTTGCAATCTGGAATTTAGGATGGATGTATGAGAATGGAATTGGTATACAGCAGGATTTTCTTTTGGCAAAACGACATTATGTTAATGCACTTTTAACTAGTTCTGAAGCATGGCTGCCTGTCACACTTTCTTTGATCAAACTTCGGATAAGAAGTGTATATAAATCTATTGTGAACGGAAGTACGATAACTACATCTAATAAACTAGGTTAGCTTTAAAATATATTACATTAATTCTAAATGATGTATAGGACAAAAAGAAAATACAAGTATCATTACTAAATCAAAAAACTTTATTAGAAAAATACAAGATTCATTAAGAATTGATGATATTGATGAAAGTGAAAATGTTTTAGAACTAGATTATGATGACCAAGAATACTATCAAAGTAAAGACGATTTTTTTGAAACAATTGTTATTTTACTTTTATGTTTATTTATAGCATTTATGGTAATTTATATGATTACTTTTTACACAGCTAATATAACTAAGATTTACTATCGACAAGCAAGATTACATGCTGGACTCAGACGAAACACAAATACACAATACCTTCATAATGAATAAGATATGACCATTAAAACATTAAACAATATTTTTAATATTCATGCAATTGCCTATATTATATGTACCATGCAATTAAGAAAGATATTCACGTTTTATTCTACATTCTGTGTTAAGGTAGTTCACCCTTAGGTTATAGAATCTTTTAGTTTTATAACCAGGTTTCCGTCTTAATATCCCATCCAATCAGATTAGGGGAAATATTCAACTTTTCAAGCATCATTGTCATTGTAAATTCTTCTGATTTCGATGTATCTTCAACATTTGGTAAATATTCTTTATCTTGCTCTAGATTTTCAGAGTCAATATTTGGAGTAGTATCCCATTCAGAAAAAATATTTCTAGAAATTTCAAACTGTTTATACCATGCTACAATACCTCCTGCAGCTTCAATTCTTTCAGAAACAATAGTAAAAAGTTGTGCTGCAGCTTGTTGTGCTGCAAGACGCCATTTATCGATCAACATCTCCAATTTATTATCATCCTTCAAGTATTAAGATAACATAAGAATTCATAAATTTTAAAATACCTTATTTTCATAAATCTTTGCTGTTTCTATTGTTTTTATACGCTCATCTGCTTCCCATATTTTCCGTTCAAGTTCCAATCGCCTTTTATGTAATGCATTTATTTCTGGATCTACTGTATTCTTGCTAGGAAACAAAGGAGAGCGAAAAACAGCCTTTTTAACAGATTTTTTTGGAGTAGATATACTATGTGTATCCGTGGTATCAGATATAATTTTAGATTTATTATTTTCATTTTCTTTGGAAGAAATATTCCTTTCAGGAGAATCTGAAGACTTTTCGTCTTTTTTTACAGTTCCCAAAAGTTTATTAGTATGATTGTTTGCTTTTAAAGGAGATCGAAATGGCTGTCTTAATTTCTTGTTTATAAGACATTTTTTTTTCGACAAAATAGAATTGGAAGACTTTAAAACATCATTCTAAATTTTTCATAAGCATTCTGATATAATTTGTTTTAAAAACTGGGATTCACCTCATTTATAATTTCAGTAAATGTTCTTTTAACACCAAATTCTTCAGAAAGGGAATAATCGTGATTATAATTGGTATCATTTAAGTCATTTTTTTCAGGAGAATTTAATGGTTCTATTTCTGTTTCCATTAAGTAAACTTTTTATATTTTTTTTAAATTCTCAATTTTTTTGATGTTAATACGTACTGTAAAAATATCTAAAAATTAATCAATTTTTTTTAAAAAAAGTGCTAATTTATTTATTTTAAAACTAAAAGCATAATTTTATTAATAGGATGGCTAAGATTCAAAAATCTACAAAAAAATTTAAAAAAAAATTGCTTCAAAAGACCCTTGAACACAGAAGATCTATTAAAAAAATAAAAAATAGAAATAAGTTTTCTAGGAAGAAAAATATTAAAGAAATTCCAAAAGAAAACAAAGATTATGAAGGGTTTAATGACAAAAATACAGGTTCTTTTTTGAACGGGGCGTTAGATGCTTTTCCTGCGATTACAACATCAGAGGAGAGTGATAATAGTTCATTAGATACAGATAGAGGCCATAAAACACAGCTTGATTCATTAAAAGACAGTGATCCTAAATTTTATAAGTATCTCCAAGAAGAAGAAGCAGAATTACTTGCATTTGAGGATTCAGATGCTTCAGATGATGCAAAAACAGAAGATGCTTTTCAAGGTGTTGATACAAACAACAAATCATTAACAGTTGATGTAATTCGTAACTGGGGGGAAATTATTTCTAAAGAAAAATCATTAAAGATGCTGAAAAAAGCGGTTGTAACGCTTCATACTGCAGCATTATTTGATGAGAAATCTGTTTCTGAAGCCCATCCATTTATAATCAATTCAGATGGTATATTTAATATATTTTTATGTTTTAAATAACTTCTATGTTTAGTCTTCAATGCGCTTGCTACTTTGATATTTAAACAGGTTCCTAACATATTACGTGATCATCTTTCAACAAAAACTTTAGCACATGAAAAAAAGTATAATCAATTAATTCATTTTTTATCTTTTTTATTTAACTAAAAATATTCATAGTGAAAAAAAAACAAAAAAGCTATTATTTATCCTTAAAGTTCAATTTTCAAATATATTACGTCTTTTACATAACTTGACTGATCCAAATATGCTGCATATGATACTGGAAGAAACAGAGAAACTTATACCGCATGCTCTTACTCATAGAAAATTCATGAAACATTTAATAAAACTTTTAGTTCAATTATGGAGCATACAATCTTCAGATAAAGTAAAGAATTCTGCATATGTTATAATTAAAAAAATTCTCCTTATAGGCGATAAAAGTTACATAGAATACTCTCTTAGTGTGCGTAAATTATTTGTATTTATACTGAATATTTACTTTTATAGACTATTTATTCTGCGTTTAATCAACAATCACCTCATACGAATGCCATCACACTGCCTATTATTCGTTTTATGAAAAATACAGCTTCTGAACTCTTTGGAATTAATCAAGCGGTTTCCTATCAAGTTTCCTTTAAATATATTCGCCAATTAGCCATCCATTTGCGTAATGCGATTATTAAACATGATCAGGTAGACTCTTTTTTTTATATCTTATGTTTTATATGATAAAGGAATCCTACAAAGCAGTTTATAGTTGGAAGTATGTCCATTCTATTGATTTTTGGTCCTGTGTTTTATCTAATCACTGTGATAAGACTAAAAAAAGTATTCATCCTTTTCCAATGCAAGATTTAATTTATCCTTTGGTACAAATAACTTTAGGAACAATTAAGCATGTATCCTCTTCTCAATTTTTTCCTTTAAAATTTCATCTCATACGAAGTTTAATTAATGTTTCTTATTATACAGGAGTGTATATTCCTTTAGCATCTTATATTTTCGAAATATTGGAATCTAAGGAAATAAAAAATAAACCAGCACCATCTACTGCAAAACCTATTGATTTTGAATTATGTATACGTGCACCAAAATCTTATCTTAAAGGAAAAATTTATCAAGATGGATTAATAGAACAAGTAATTGAGTTGTTATTAGAAATTTATTCATTGCAATGTAAATCAATATCTTTTCCAGAGCTTTCAATGCCTATGATTATTCAAATTAAACGATATATTAAAAAGTCAAAAAATTCTAAATTAAATAAATTGCTGGTAATCTTTATAGAAAAACTCAAAGAAAATTCTGAATTTATTGAATCACGAAGGAAATCTATAGAATTCTCACCAAATAAAATAGGTCAGATGGAGGCATTTTTAGAAGATTATAGTTGGGATATGACACCCCTTGGAAAATATGTCAATTCACAAAGGAAAATAAAGAAAGAACGAAAGAAAATAGAAAATGAGACACAGGAACAAAATATAGACAAAATATTATCTGAAGAATCAGAAAACTGGACGGATATGGATGACTATGAGGACAGTTTGAATTAATATAAATTATGTAGTTTTACAGCTCTAGGAAAAGGATCTTTTAGTGATAAAATAATCATCTGCCGTTCTTGATGTATGTAACCTTTCATAAATCCCTGTACAAAATTACTATTTGAAGTGCAAAATATAAACATTGTTACCTTGTATATCATATTAGCCAAAAAGCATTCTGTTTCAGCAATATCATTATCTAGTCCTGAATGCTTTAAGGCAATATGAAATTGTTCAATTGGTATCCTAGTATTTCCCCCATTTAAAAGAAATCTAAAAAACAATAAATATATAAAATTGAAGTCAAAGATTAATTATACACACGACGAAAAAGATTTCTCATACATGTATCACGAATTCTTTCAATAATTAAATATATTCTACGAGTAACTAGTTCTTTCTCTTTTTTCAACAATAGTTTGTCATATCCCCGTAAATTGCCTTTGCGAATATACTTTTTAAGGGGTTCATAAAGATCCTTCAAACGTGAAAATTTTGATAATAAAGCACTAGACGGCATTTTCTGTGAAGTCAATAAAAGTGTTGGTATAAGATAAGTGAGTATTAATCTAATATTTTTTAGAATAAATTTTCTATGTTAAAAAAATACTCTAAATTTTTAAGAGAATTTTTTTGACAAAGCTCCAAAGAAGTCATTAGTTCTGTTTCTGCCTAAAAATGTATTATTTATTAATATACATAAGTAGAGGTAACAATACTACTAGATATTCCTCATTTAAAAATGCTGATACACCAAGATAATATTTATACGTAACCACATGAGATTTTGGAAAACATTCAAGAGGAGGCATCTCAGATACCTCAATTGCACGTAAAACATTTTTCGAAAGCGAAAACTTGTTGATCTAAATGCATTTTTAAAATATAAACGAGCCATTTTCAAAAAAGAGACCTTAAAATAAATCTTAAAAAGAACCCCAATAATATAATAAGTTCCCCATTTTCGAGACATTTCAATAGGTGCTCTAAAAGTTAAGCATATTTCACATTTCTTCAAATATCATACCTATCTGTAATACAAATGGTAAAAGCTTTATTAATCATTCTTGCAGCTTCCTCTGATTTCTCTGCTTTTTCATTTTTTGATCGCAGGAATAAGTCTGCCTAAAATAATTTATAAAAATGTCCAAATATAAAGTATTTGTTTTAAAAATTACCCTAAATGCAAGAAATTCAAGATCACGACAAACTGCAAAAAGAACAGGAAGAACCCACGCTTCCCAAGTTAACAAACCTTTTAAAACAGCCCTGAGACTTAATAATAGATATTTAAACAACAAAAACGTACTGAACTAACGCAGACTGTTCGTTCGTTGCCTCTACAATATCGCGTTTGTTTTCAAGAGCCAAAGATGTTTTCCAAAAGCAAGAAACAACATCTACCCATAAAGGATCAAAGAGGATACGAGAAATCTCATGATCTGGGTTAATAAAACGTCCAGATAATACTAATTCTCGAAGACTTTTGGCATCTTTTCTTATTGACAATAAATTGCCTAGAAAAGGGCCATTTCGTTGAAAAATCGACTGATTAATAGCTTGAAGAATCCCAGTAAGTGTATTATCCATGAGAAATACTAATTTTTAATTAAAATAGATTTTTATTTTAAAAACCAGTTTCAAAAAAAATCATAACTATTTTTTTTCGAGGTTAGATGTTTAAACAATTTTTTAAAAGCAAAAGCTTATTAAATTTACCTGAAAAAAGCTCAAAATAAGAAGAATTGCAAAGTATTTCGTATCTGTATTTTTTGTTGAGAACCGTGATTTTATTTTCTCGACAAACTTTTAAAAAGGTTTTATCCGAAAAACCAATTTAAAAAGATTATTTTATAGATTTTAACAACATTTTCCTATATTTTGAATCATTTGGTATTTTTTCGGTTTTGAAACATCTTTTTTTGAAAAAAATTGCATCAAAATTTTTTTGAAGGATGAAATTCAGCATTTTTTAAAAATTGAACTAAAAATACCTCGTTTAATAGATATTGATTTTATGGCATCTAGGATGAATTTTAGCCTATTCTTAATACTTTTATGCCAAAAAAATGGAATTTGATTGGTCAAAATTGGACAAAGAATTTGCACATAAAGTTAAAGATTTTCTCAATCAACAGTTCCAAAAAATTTCTCTTCCTTCTTTTTTAAAAAGTGTAAATATTGTTTCCTTTGATTTTGGGACAATTCCTCCAATAGTTGATATTGAAAATATAGAAGATCCATATCCACACTTTTATGAGGATAGTGATCTAGGTCAAAATGAATCAGATGAAGAGCTAATAGAACACGATGAAAATTTGCAACAAAATGATAAAGACGAAAGGGATATAGATGCTTTAGGTGATGATTTTGAAGTTGCATCAACATCCTCACAACCTCCTCCATATGCTGAAGCAGGGCTTCCTCAGTTTCATATGCACAATGAGCTCACTGATTTATTGACACGTCATTTTTCAATGGCATCTCATAAGATTGGAAGGTCAAATGCGGCCTCTAGCTGTCCTCCTTTTTTCCAGTCAACATTTTCTAGTTCCTTAGGAAATATTGTCTCTGCATCAGGACTATCAACACCTCATTGGATTAGTCCTCATTTATTAAATACACATTGTCATACTTTACCTAAAAATGAAGAACGATTAAGCCCATTTAATCAAAATATAGACATAGCACCGTCAAATATATCTTCAACTTTGCCTCATATTAAAAATAGCTTTACAGGAGAAAGTAATAAAGAACCCAGAAATAAAAACTCTAATGAAGATTTCCAAGTAAAACTACGAATTACATATGAAGGTAATATAAAGATAGAAATCGCAGCGGAACTTCATTTAAATTATCATTCATCTTTATTTATCGGTCTCCCTGTTAAGATTACGTTGACAGGATTATCATTCGAAGCTATCGCTATTTTAGCTTATATTAATAAATGTTTTCATTTCTGTTTTATTAATGAAGAACAAAAGGAAAGGCTACTAAAAAATATCAAAATCGAATCAGAAATAGGAGATAAAAACAAACAAATACTTAAAAATGTTGGAAAAATTGAAACATTTCTATTAGAACAATTTAGGAAAATTATAGAAAGAGAATTAGTATTTCCAAGCTGGTTAACCATTATTACATGAATTGTATATTAATGTATTTAAAATTTAAATTTCCATTCTTTAATATCTATTATGAAAGCAACCCCACAAAGAATTATGCCATAAATAATCATAATTAGGAATCCTGCTACATTGCCAACTTCAAGTGTGTTTATTGATGAGTTTATTAATCCTGTTATTAGGTTTCCCTATAATTATATTAAAAAATAACAATAAAGGGAAAAGATACAATCAAAAAAATGATTAATCCGTTTTTATTAACATAGTGAAGCATTAAAGGTACAATATCAATGTATTTTGCAGATGATCCAAAAAATAAAATTTCAATAAGCATTTGACATACTAAACAACCTAATGAGCATGCTGATATTAAGTATACATATGGTAAATTAGTCTATTGTGATAAATAATATAATTAACTTTTTTAAAATCTACTTACTAATCTTCTTGAAATAGGATGTTTCCCATAAAAAGTAAAATAATAAGATATAACAGAATAAAAAACAAATAGTGAAAATATTTTTAAAATTACTTTATATTGATTAATTGAATTATTTTTTTTGGAAGATTTATTTTCATAAAACAGATATTTACCAGTGTCTATTCCGGACAAATATATAATCAAATAACCTTTTTCAAATAAGCCATTTATAAATTATAGAGCTTTTTTTTAAAAAAACCTATTAATGAAAATATACCTTCTCTATTTGCTGAAATTAAATTTGTCCTAGGTGCATTTAAAATATATGCAAGAACATGCGGTAAACGTATTAATAACTCATTACAAATCGATAATAATATTATAATAAAGATATAAGATTTTAAATATTGATGTAAAAACTCTATAAATACGAGAGACAGAGAGAGAACCCCTAGTGTAAAAAAAAAGTTCCAGTGAACACCATATTCTGAAACATGCTCCTAACTTCATAAATTCTATTTTTAAAAAATTATAGACTCATACAGGATAATCACAAATTTTGATTATTAATATTCTGATAAAACCAATAACAAAAAACATGTATGATTGTTTTAAAGATATTTTCATTTTCTTAATAAAAGATACCTTACTTGAATACTTATTTTTAATATTTTTAATTGTTACAACACCAAATGAGAAAACAAAAAAACCTACTCCAAGATCCATCTATACCACAATAAATACAAAAAAAAATGAATCTTCAGAATATGTACCAAAGAAATTCCCCACGTTTCTACTTTTGCATGTTTCCGAGGAAATATCTTGAAATCTACAGCAAGAATAGATAAACATGATATTAACATGATTGTTCCACGAAGAGTACTAACATATGATTTCATTCCAGTGTCTTTGGTATCTCGAATGCCCTTTAAAGTGTATCTAAATGACTTTTTCGTATTGTCATTTGAATTTTTGTTTTTTTTACAAAATAATGTACAAAACCATAAAATTGGTACTGAAAATAGAAATCCCAGTATCATATGCTCCAAATAAGACGAAAGAATTGTAGAAAAAAGCAACGGAATCACATAATAAAGCCCATATTCAATCAAAAAATGAAAAAAACCATAATTTTGACCAAAATGCCAAGATTGAAGAGCTGCTGCAAAAAAGTGCGATGACTTCTCATCCTTAGCAACAAACATAAAACTTAATATACATACAAAAATAACTGCAACCAACTTAATTACTTCTTTCACTGGCTGACCCGTATGCCCAGTAACAAATGCTTCTTTTTGTTGCTTATAATTTATTCTTGTATCCTTTAAAGCATGCATATTTTGCTACTTTAACAATATTTTCTTATTTATTCTCTTACATACAGTAGTTTATCAATATATTCCTCTATATTCAATCTATTAAGATGTATTTATATTTTACACTTTATATCTCTCCAATTCTACTCAGTTGATCTATAAATACTTCATTAGAAAAGAAATTATGTATTTAATGCGTTTACTGGACTATATACACTTTATATGCGCTTTATATGCGTTATATATGCGCTTTTCTTTGAAAATTATTTTTTTTGTTTTCGGTACGCTCTTACGAAACAATTAACCTTTATATATGTCGTGTACTCTCAATTCTAATTTATCACAGCAAATTCAATTAGATGAAACACCATCAGAACGTAATCTATGGGAGTCTCTATCAGACATATATGCTATTATTAGATGTCTTGAATTTGTTGAAAAAGCATATTTGCGAGATATTCTTAAACCAGAACAGTGAGTTTTAGGCAAAACAGTGTTTTAAAGGCTTTTGTAGCGGATTTCTTACAGATAGATAGATATACGCCTATATGTGCACGTTTGATTACACAGTTTAAAACAATACTTAAATCACCGTTTGTTGCAGAAGCATTTGATTCACTTGATGCATTCTGTGCTACTTATAAGGTATGAATGGGCATAAGAATGGCTTTTTATGCGTTATATGCGCTAAAAAATGAATATATCAGTTGAAAATATGAATTATATGCGTCGAAAATAAAATAAATGTGTTAAAAATATGAATATATTCATCAAAAATAGAATATATGCATGGTTATAAGAGTTTATATTAGAAAAAAAAGTAAAATTTATGCATTATAAATGCTGTGGCTTCTTTAAAGTTTTATTTTATAGCAATTTTAACTGTTTTTGGCGCAGATTTCCTGTTTTCATGCTGTTTACAGACTTAAACTTGGAATTCCAGTAACAATGGAGCATAGTACACGGGATATTACACAACTTCATGTCCAGTCTCAGCAAACAGTGCCAGGAAAACAAGTAGCAGAAGTGGTTCATAATTTTATTACATTTATGGATGCCTTACGGCTTAAGTATACAGCAAAAGATCAACTACATCCTCTTTTGTCTGAGCTAGCGGTGTCTTTAAATGCAGCAACACATGAAACATTTGAAGGACGCGGTATAATTCTCCGTTGGTTAATTCTTTTAAACAATATGGGAGTTACAGACGAGATTACTGCACAACAAAGTCGTGAAATGCTTTTTGATATCGAGAGTGTGTATAATGAGTTTTACAAAAGCTTGAGTATGTGAAAATTGGAGCTTATTTTAAAATGAATGTTTTGGTACTGTTTTTTGGCCATATAAATATACGGTTAGATGTTCTGATAATATTTTTTTGATAAAAATATCAATTTTCTAACGTTGATTTATCGCATCTGGAATGATCAATGCATCCAACATTAGCTTCATTTCCTAGTTTTAACAACACTATGCAACTATTTACAATTAAAAGAATGCCAAAATATCAAAAACAAAAGATCTTAAGATAATTGGGAACAATATATAATAAAAAAATAAAATATTTAAAGACTTGAGAAGATATGCTGTAAATGTCTAAAGATATACAATAGAAATTCTACAAACATGTAATGGACACCCGATAATATATACAATATATATAAAAAGAATCGGATGAGATGCTTGGCGAAAATCTAATGAAATGCCTAGCAAAAAATACTTGGCAAATACATATACAGTAATAATCTCTCAAACATTTAATAAAAAACTAAAAAAATAAATATACAGCTCTCACTATTTCTTCATCTTATTGTCATTGTTTTTGTCATTTCTTGCAAGCCATTCTTACTTCCGGAAATGCTAGCTACATAACATGACGCCTTCTTAGTACTTTCGAATACACGCCAGAATTTGAGATTCTCGTCACTTGCTGCTGTTGCAAGAACTTGTCCATCTGGGCTAAGGCAACTATGCAACACACGGCTTTCGTGTGCTGGGATGTCAATTGATTTGACAAGCGATGGATATTGCCATATAGACAAATGATTATTGGGAAACCCATGTGACGAAATAAGTTCACGGTATACTTGTGACCACCGAACAGACGTAACTTGTGATCCTGTATCAACTGAGTGCGTTCGAGCGCCTGTTGTTGCATTCCAAAAATGAAGAGCTCGATCTTGTGATCCTCCTCCAGTGCATAAAAGATTAAGCTGCCATGGACACCATGAGAGAGCCTAAAAGGACCATTAGCTATTATTTTCAAAACTATCATATCCTTCCTACTTTTACAGCTGCTAAATGATTTGTTTTAGTAAATTTTGGGACAGATGATCTTGCATCCCATATATTTACAAGATTATCATTGCCCCCACTTGCTAACTGCGATCCATCGGCTCTCCACTCTAAACCGCATACTTCAGATCCATGGCCATGCCATTCACTAATTTTATGTTGTGCAACTCGTACATCATGGTTCCAGATACTACCATCTCGACAACCACTGCTAAGGAGATGTTTATCCCAAGCAAGAACACCTACTCGTGCTTCATGCCCAGACATAGTCCTTAACTTGGCTCCTGTTTCAACGTCCCAAATTTGCACATCACCGTTACCTAGGCCAACCGATAGATAACAACCATCTACTGACCATTTAATTCCAGAGATATACGTATTCTGTTTAGCTTCCATCATACAGGAAACATCACCATTATCAGCATCCCAGATATAGACATTGCGCTCAAGACCAATAGCAACCTTATTAAGATGGCTCCAATCAAGCAAATTAAGATAATAATCATCAATTAAACCGGGTGCATCAAGTACACGTTCAGGTGCAGTAGCAATACGTCGGCGGCACTGTGAATTTAACGCTGCTGGCTTCAGTGGCCGATTATACTGAGACCGGAGATCAACTGGTCGACTGGACTCAGGTGCTGTTGGTTTAAAGGCAAGAATACGTGTATTGAGAGCAAGACCACATGCTTCAGCAACAGATGCTGTATACGCCATTGTCTCTGAAGGATTTGTTGTTGTATCATGTGTTGCAGCCTGATCAACGGCTGGATAAGCTATTTTAGATGTAGCTGTGGATGCTGGATGAGTACGTTGTGGGATGAACCGATCACACTGTGCACGAGATGCTGGCCTCTTAGGATTTTTCTGAGGGCTCTGTAGAGGCCCAGTGCCAACTAGTGTCCAGTCAGAAGCAACAATATCAAGCCGAAGCGGTGTCTGGCGGTATATTGACGACTTGGGCGAATAAACACGTTTTGCTGAGTGCAAATGAGAAAGAACTGCTGCTGTTTGGCGTGGAGTAAGTGGTGATTTCTGCCCCTTTATACTCGATGTTGGTGTGCAAGAAACCGGATATTTGTCAAGATGTTTCATAGGTGTTGAAAGCATTTTATAAAAAACTACAAAAAAAACCAAAAAAAACGTGACCTGCACTGAAAAAACAAAAAACAAGGGACGTCCTGCGTCTAAATGATTAATATGATCGGCTTATTGAAGCTTTAATGTCGTATTAAAGTTTGTAGTTGGAAAGTGTGCCGACGAGGTTTTTTCGATGTTGCTTGTTTGTTTATTTGGTTCGTTGCCATAGCAACACCGAGTGTTCATTGCCATGGAAACATGTAAACTCTTGAGTGATAAGATTCTTGTATTTTTTATAGTGAATATAGAGGCGACAAAAGATATGTAGAAAACAGCGTCTGTTTTTTCGGGAAACTTCAAAGAATAGAAATCAAATTGAATCTGTATTAGATCTACATTTGGCTGTTTTATATTTACTTTTGGCTTTTATATACAATTTTATCCTGAAGGTGAAGAATAAGCTTAGGGCTTTATGTTAGTTTTATACCAGAATGAGAGCTATGGATGATATATCAAAGGGCTAAGGCTAGGACTGGACAGTGTTGAGCTCGATATATATAGAAAAATGTATTCAATGAAAGATTGAGTATCATATTTGACAGGATATCGAATGTCTACATGGTTTTTTGAGTATTTCTCTTTTTTTGAAAATGAAGTGTGCAATTTAAAGATATTTAATCAACTGGCAAACTTATGCATGATTTTTGCAAGAATATGAAGCGCAAAGACACTACCAATAAAGCCAAGACTCAAAACGAGTACAAATACAGGGTCCCTTAGCGGTCAGTATGTATTAAAAGAGATAGAGAAGTACACTGTCAATCCCGGTGCATCATCTGTATACAGTCGAAGCATTGTTGAACTTGAGCCACCAGCACCGGCAGCTGAGGTGCTGTTAGGGCGTTGTGGTGAGCTTGCATTTGAGGATCGATGACTATACATATATTAAGTGCAAATTCATTGCAGCTCTATATTGTTTTACCGGACTTGCACTCTGGTATTATAAACGGCTGCAGGCGACGAAGGTTGTGACTATAGACATGTCAGTATATATTTAGTGAAAAACAACTAATTGGCATTGGGTTTATAGAGACATTCACTCTGTATTACGTATATAGTATTAGTTAATCATCAGAGTGGCAATCAAATCAAACGGTATTTGAAGTGTGTATTGTTTTGCAGATAAACTAAATAATTTGGATATATTTATATATATTTTTTGTGAGATTTTGTGTATTTAATTTCTGTATCTTTTGATTGCTTATTACCCTGCCAGTGCAACATACCATTTATTAATATAATTGAAAAGTCTTCGAGTGTCGTCAGTGACAACGGCAGTAGGGTATCACGTGACCAAGGGTAAAAGAAAGAGATAAAAGATACAAAAAAGTTTTTTTGAAGGCATAACTATGGCTTGATAACATCTAAATATCATGGGTTTAGAGACATGTATTTGATTGAGTAGTTTTTCCATTAGTATTGATTGCTTTATTTTTTAGGGTATTAAGTTGTCAAGAGCAAAAATACAACGTTAAATATATGATCAATATAAAATTGCTAAAAACATTATATTATTCCCTATACATTTTTGGGTATTTCTTAATGATTTTAATACCTCTGGTATCACTTTATAAAATGTTTATGTTTTAAAAAATATAAATTGCTGCAGTATAAGTCATTATATGATATTTTAAAAACGCCATTTATGTTCTTGAAGAAAAAAGTGCCGAAAATTTATGCTAATGCTAAATCAAGTACAGTAGTTACATCAGAAACAGTCGTTAAATCCTCTAAAAAAGGTATAAGATCAAGCAATTCTGTGTCATGTATATCATTAAACCTATTTGCTTGTTAAAATCTAAGAAACAATTCTATAGAGAATTTACCAGCTTGAAACCGGTATTGCGTTCGATGAATGAAATATATAGCTTGCTGGGGAATTGTCAATGATTAAAACATTTTTTAACTCACGTCCAAGTTGTGATAAATTCTTTAAAATTTATTGACGTATTTAAAGAAAAAAATCTTACCTTTACATAATTTCCTTGGTGGTTGAAACAAGATTCTCTAAAAAGACGATGTTTAACAACATGATGAATATCAAGCATATCTAGCACAGGATCTGCATACTATATGGGTTAGCTAGTGCATTTATATCCATATTATTATACCTTAGCAAGAGATGCAGTAAAAACAACGATTTCAAAAAGTTCTCCCATTCGTTTCATAAAACAGTCTACTCCAGGACGCTTAATAACATATACATTATGATAAATCGAATCGATTTTTATAGGGATAATAAAGTCTGCCTGATGAATAATCTTTGGTTTTTTAATAAGAAAATTAAAAATAATCGTATATAGCTTATACCTTAAACGAAGAATGGACAAGTGTTTCATCCAAATCTAAAACAAGACATTTTTTTCCTTTATCAGCATCAAGAATGGGACTCAAGAGCCATTGCTGATTCTCCTATAGTAATGAGCCTGTTTATAATAAATATTTTAATTTACCGTATGAGGCATGGATAACGGTGAATTTATCAAAGAAAGTGATAAATCAATCTCGGTTGAAATATTTGGAGATAATGGATGTTGAATTGCTTCACCATTTTCTATACCATCTATCTGTGAAAAAATTAAAGAAATATCAACTTTTCTCTCTCTATATATAGGATCCTGATCAGTGAGAGGAAATATTTCTGTCGTGTTAAAGTCAGTCTCTTCATTCAGATTTCCTTTTAAATTCTGCAATATTCCAATATTTTCTTCTTCAAGCAGAATATCTTTTTGTGTATCTTGTATTAAAGAATCATTTTCAGTCCCTTCTGGTAATAAATTAACATCTATCGTAACAGTCTTTGGACTTTCTCCATTTTCTGCTTCATTTTCCTTTGAAATACATTTATTTGGTGATATACAACACATAAAAAAATGAAAAAACGTTCTAGAAAGCTTTTTCCTCTGTAATTTCAATATAAATATACGTTTCTTTTTATGTGGAGGGCATGTAAATGTCTGTTTAATTGACTCTGTAGACATACTTCTAGGGGGAATTTCCTGCAGTACAATATGTTCATCACTCTCCTGAATTATTTCTATTTGTTCTGTCATTTTTAAGACAAAACTTAATGTAAAAACGTTGAAAAAAGCTTCAAAACTCTTCGAATTTTAACGTCTTTTTTTATTAATAAATATATAGTCATATAGCTCCTTTTTATGCCCTTCAGTGCCTTTGATTGTCTTTTTCTGGGCTTTTACTTGTAATATTTTCTTATAGACTAAATCCTTTTCTCACATTTATCGATGTTAACCTTCGACAGAGAATCTAAGATAAGAAAAAAGACAATTTTATTCATTCAATATATTTAATGTAACAAATATAATACAGAACACTTTTTGTTTCTATTTTTTGTATATTTTTTCATTTTAAAACATATTAATTTATTAACTGATTGATACTTCTCGTAATGTGGGCAGCTTGCACGTCCACGTGCCAACGCGCAACGCCCGCCATACACCATTTCCCTCAACCCATCCTACTTCACCAGATGCATCTGCACGTAATCCTGGTTGTATTTGCTCCCAAAGCTTCTTCTTAGGCGGTAAAAGCGTCAATGGAGCTCCTACATGCCCATCAAATACTGCTGGAGTACCTGGCGTGCTTTCTGCCGGTGGTTCCACCAGCTCAAGTTTACTATGTATAGCATCGCTTCCTGCTAAAACCATTGCCTTTCTATTAGCTTAATTGACACAAAAAACGCGTTTTACGCGAATTCTAACATTATTTTATCATATTCTGCCTTTGACACGTCTGCACAGAGCAGAAGAGGTCACGTGACTCGAGATACCTACTTGTGAAGTAATACCGCGAAACTTGATTGGTTTAAGATTGCAAAGTAATACAACAAGTCGGTGTTGTAAGGCTTCAATAGGAATATACTTGGCAAGTCCTGAAACGACAGTACGTGGTTCTGCATCTCCACAATGAATGGTTAATAAATATAAATTATCAGCATCGGGATGCTGAATAGCCTTATCAATCAAGCCAACACGGAGATCTAAAACACTAGGAGTAACTGTTGCATCTGCAGACATATTGTATTATTTTGTTGTTTTTGTTAATATATGTATTTATATGTATTAACAAGTGTTTTCTATGTCGGAAACGGATGTCCGAAAATTTCGAAAGCTTATTGTGTTGTCTGTAAGTGTAGGTAGTTGAGGGAATATAGTTGGACGTATATGTATGTAATTTATTTATGTTATGTGTAAAATGTATATAGTATATTTGTATTATATACGCAATATATATACGCAATATATATAATATAGAAATACATAAATAAGATTTTTGAGTAAATACATGCAAGGCAGAAACAAATATAGTTAAAAGCATGCTATTATTTGTAAATATTGTATATAGTATAGTGTTTTTTACAGTGCTTCAAGTATGGCTTATTGTATTTGTTAAAAGATACATATAATATATCCATTATTTTCCTTTTAACATTTTCTACTTAAGCTTAGTTTTTAGTATACATCTAATACATGTATAATATATATAAATATATTATAATATACACTATTTAGTATTTTAGGGTTTAATTGTCAAAAGTACAAGAATTTAAAGCACTTCGATAAGGTTTTTTACTATTTAAAAGATATATTTAAGTTTTTGCTTATATATTCAAGCTTTTTATCTATATAACTTAGAACTAAAGTACATATATTAAGGTCTGAGACTTTATATAGTCAATTTTTTCATACATACTTGGTTTTTTTATGTATATATCTCGTTTAAGACTATATTTAACTTGAATTCTAACACATATACAGTGCAATTCTTAGCTGTACTTGCTCTGTAACTTAAACAGATATAGTGGAGTTCTTACAATCATAATTAGATATTTAGGAGTAAATTTGATATTAATATTTAACGGATTTCTAAGAATATAAATAGTATTGAACATATATAATCACGTTTTACCCATATAATTTAGTATTAAGGAATATATATACAGTTTTTGACTTCTATGCGGAATTTTGAGTCTATACATGTAACTTAACACAGATATAATTCCATTGTAAAGCACATATACCTTAGTTTTAAGGTATATACTAGTCGGTGTATAGTATTCAGGGTTCAGGATTTTGTTTTTAGTTCATTATTACACGTGTTTTATATTTTGGTATACATACACTATATTTTTGCAGATATACTTGATATTTTTACTTGGTATTTGTGTTTAGTGTTTTTTTCTTATGCTTCATGAACTGCTGCTACACTTAGCAGCACATACGTCTGGCTTATTTGGAGGTGAAAATGAAAGTGGTCCTATTTCTATTGCCGATTTTCATCCTGCAGAACAACAGTTATTAATTCGGCTAAATAATCTTGCACAACAACATGCATTTATTCGTCGAATGTGCAGTACTGTTTGCTGTAGTAAACTTTCTATTGTTAACAAGAATTCATTTATAATTCCTTATAACAATACTTGCAATTTTAGTTTGGATTGTGTTGTAAGAAATTCTATCGTAAGCGCAATTGAACAGCAATTGCAGATATTTAGTGATGTTCTTTGTGAACTTGAGAAACGTCTTCTTCTTTATGATTCTTTTTTTATTGGAGTTTGTTCAGAAATTAAGTTAGAACATGATTATAAGCAACATCATGAAGCAGAAAAGCAACAAGAACAACAAACATCTCAAACACAAACTCAGGATCAGTCATCGCATTATCAATCATCTTTGCCTCCTGTTTCTCTTACGTTATTGATACAGACATTGCGACCATGGTTTCGGAAAATGGATTATCTTGAACAAGTTGCTTTTAGATTTGATGAATCATTAAATGAAGTGCTTAATGATGTTTCGGATCTTGCTTTGAACGATGTTTCAAACAATACTTCTGATTGTGTTTTAAGTGATACCTCAGATAATACGGTTGATTCTTTAAATAATGTTTCCAATGTTTCGGATCAACATTCACGTACTCCTTCTACAAGCACCGTTGTTTGCAGAGATGATGTTGAGCGTTCTTTTTTTAATGAATTTGATGTCAAATTAATAAATCAGCTTTCAGAAGATGTACAATGTTGTGCAGGTGAAATTCAAACAGTTGCTTCTACGTTACTTTGTACAGCACAGAAAGCTTGGATTACTACTATTCTTCCATCAATGATTGGTGTTAATTTAAGTTCCAATCCTAAATTCGATTCTTATTTTGATTTAAACTCAAATGATATATCAATACAGTTGCCGAATTTTGTATCTGCTCGTGCTGCAAATGACATCTGGATGATAGGCCGTGCAATGCGGAGATTACGTAGTCATTGGGGAGTAGTAGAAAGAACGAATACTTCGAATGAACTTTCTACTACTGGTAATATTATCTTTACTTCTACAACAATTTCCGGAGCTTCTTCCAATGATATTTGTGATGTATTGGACCTTTCTTTAATGATACACGAACAAACAATGATTTTATCATCCTTAGAATATCCTTTGTCCACTCCATCTCTAGAAACAGCAGTTCGACAAGTCAAGGAAATGTGTGCTCGACGAATATTTAAGCATATCTTGTCTTTGCCAATGATCGATGCTTGGGCACAGTTTCTGAGCAATTATTATTTGCTTCAATACTCTGAATTTGTGTTTTGTTTTCTTCAAGAGGTATTAAATAAACAAAAAATTGTAAAAATGTCAAAACAAACTCAAGTTTCAGTATTGCTTGTTAGAACATTTAAAGAACTAAGTCGAATTGAGGAAAATTTTGACATGAATGGAGATGTGGATGAGACGTCTATAATACTTCATCGGAGAATGCTCTCTCTTTTGATTTCAAAAGATGTTGCGCATAATACTTCATTTTCAGATTTATTGATCGGTATACCAGTTATTTTATCATTCTCTATACCGTGGCCACTTACATTATTTTTTTCTGAACAAGATGTTAAAGATTATAGTAATATTTTTTCTTATTTAATTGCAATTAAACAAGCAAAAACATGTTTATCTGAATTATGGAAGAAAAGACGATGTATTATTGCCACTCCAAATAGAATTATTCGATCGCATTGGGCTATTGCTAGTTATGTTTTGTATTTCTTAGATAGCCTTTGGGAATATTTTCAGGTTTATTATTTTATTTCTTCACTTAAAACTAATGATAAATACAGATAATGGTCATTCAACCAGAATATCAAAAATTTGTTATCTTTTTTTCCAAAGATTTCAATTATGATCCAGAATTTCTTCAAACTTCGCATCAACAGTTTTTAACTAGTTTAATGAAAAAATTGTTTTTGAAAAATGACTATTTTTTAATAACACTAAAAAAAATCCTATTATCTGTTAACCTAATTGTTTCTGTAATCGATTCTTTTCTTATAAATGATCATGCAGTATCACAGACAATCGATGAAAAACTTATTAAAGGGTTCATTAAGCAAATACTTTGTACCATAGAAGAAATAGGACATACTGATGTTGATTCAAAATTAACTAACCATTTGCTTTTGAAAATGGAATTCTAAATATGTATATTTAAAAAAATTTCATTTTGACATGATAAAACATTTTTAAATTATTGACATTTATATTAATCATTTAAATATTAAAGAGACAACCTATTCTACCACACAGTTCCTAATCGCCTAATTTTTTGCAAAGTTCTTTTCGTTCATTTATTAGGTCAAATAAATAACTTAATAGATTATTTACCATTAATAATGTCTAAAATAGCTTTAGATGCCAATGAATCCGGATATTCTTCAATGAAATTTAAACCTTTATCACAGACTTCTCGTATTCGAGGATCAAGTGGAATAGTACCAAGAAAAACTGTATTTGTTTCTTCTGAAAGAGCGCGGGCACCACCTGTAGTTGCTTTAAAGATTTGTGAGGTATGCTAAATTAATTCTGTTTAATTATTAAAGAAAAAAAGAGAAGTCTTACATGGCAATGTGGACAAACAAATACACTCATGTTTTCAACAATTCCTAATATAGGTACTCCAATTTTTCTACAAAAATCTATTTCTTTACGAACATCCAATAAAGAAATTTCTTGTGGAGTAGTAATAAGTATAGCTCCATCAATCCCTGTTTCTTTAAGAAATTTCACTGTACTAAGATGTTCATCAGACGTTCCAGGAGGCGTATCAATTAACAAATAATCTAAATCAGACCATTCAACGTCTTTTAAAAATTGTTTAATCAATCCGTTTTTCTTGGTTCCACGCCAAATTACTGCTTCTTCTGGACTAGGAAGCATAAATCCTATTGACATAACACCAATATTTTCTGAAACATAAATAGGTGTCCAACCAGAACCTGATGTATGGATTCGTTCACCATCACAACCCATTAATAGTGGAATCGAAGGACCACAAAAATCAACATCCAAAACACCAATCTATAGCTTTTAGATTAAGAATAATATTACTTAATTAGTATAATATATCATTCACATACTTGTTTTTCATTAATAGAAAGACACCATGCTAATTGAGCAGTAAAAGTACTTTTTCCAACTCCACCTTTACCACTTAAAATAAAAATCTTTCTACGGACTGTTGCCATTCGTTGTTTAATCCATTCAATATCAGGATCTACTTCTGAACGTGTTGTTAGACAAGCTTCTTGGTTTGGACAATTTTCACAGGCAGCTGCTTGGCCTGCTGTTTGTGAAGATGTTCCTGGACTATAAAAAGGTTTATTTAGATAATAAGAAGAAAAAAGAGAAAGTATACCATTCAGAAGGAGCATTTTCTGGTTTATCTGAAGCAGACAATGTACTAAGCATGTTGTAAAAAAATTATGAGGTCGTATCGAACTTACGAAGTTGATGAAAAAATGATATAAAGTGAGATGAAGAATATACAAAATATTAAACCAAATAGACGAAAGGATCTGCTAAAAATGATAGAAAGATATTAGGGGGTTAAACTTGAAAAATGAATAATTGTAGAAAGACATGTCATACCTACTGAACACAGATATAGGGAACTTCTACATCTTCTCCATGTTCATCATCCGCACATATTTCCAAAAGAATTGTTTTTTTGTGTTCTGGAACTGGTTTTTTTGAGACAAGTTCTATAAGCTGTGTTATCCTATATAGAAAATTGTTAAAATACATTTTAATATAACGATTTATTAATACTAACTTCATTGATTGACGCTCTTGTCGCTTTTTTTCTGGAAAAAAGGATGCGTAAAGAAGGCTTACTCCACTAGATAACATAGTAATTGTAAGATTCTCATTATTCTTGAAGTGAAGAAGAAGTTTTTCAAGAGTAATATCACCATAAATATCAAATCTATACATAATTATGTTTTCTTTTTCTTTAATAAAGTTTTTACCTTTCCCATATCTGAGATACTTCTTTATTATTATATTTGAGTTTGGGAGATGCAATTGGTTCAGAAAACGCAATAAATGGTAATGCTAGATTTAAAAAAGAGTTTCTGTAGTCTTCTAATTTATTTTTCCCATCAATAATTTTATATAATTCTAAACAAACAAGCCCAGAAACAAGAGCAGTTGTAGTGGCAATAGCTGGACTATAAATGAATTAAAATGTTGTTTTTAATCATATAAAAATTACATAATTTTTCCTGCAATGAGTTTCGTATTATGGCGAGTTGTTGGTTCTATTCCATAGTTTAACGCTCTGAGATTAGATGCAGCTGTAATAAAATCTATATGATAATTCGTCTATAATAATTAGAAAAGTAATCTATAAAAAATAAGTTACATCATCATCTTTTTCAAAACTACTTTTATTAATGTAAATAATTAAAAGCAATTTAACCTACTTAACAGGATTAAGTCGATAGCCTGCCAATGTCGATGGATAGGGTAAATTACTAATAAGACAATTTAGCTCATTTGGATCTGTTCGAATTCCTGCATCTGTATTAGGTTCAGAATCTGTTTCTTTTATTTTTATGCCAGTCTTTGGTGTGAATTCTGGAATTATTACATTTTCTAAAGTCCTTTTATAAATTCCTTTATCCGTTTCACCTTTAAGCCCATAATTAAAAGCATGTAAATTTGCACCTGAAATAATAAAAGCCATATGTTTCTCATCATTTATATCAAATACAAGTGGAGTAGGGATTCTTTTAGAACCAGACCAAAACGGTGTACCACTTGAAGTAATTGAATCTTTTGGAAAATTGAACAGAAGTTGTTGTATATCATTATTGAATTTTTTTTCAAACTCTAAACGTGCCCAAACAATGCATTCTTCAAATGTTAAAGGTTTAGATGTTACGAGATAATGATATATTATTTCTAAAATTTCTTTTTGGTTTTCATTTTGTTTTAATAATTCCTGAATAAAATTGGGTTGGCTAAGATATAAATTAACATTTTCTGCTGGATGTTTAAAATAACCCTCAAAAAGATTTCTAGACCACTAAAAATATTTAGATTAATTTAAAACAAAGAATTATTTACAGCAATAGTATGTTCAATTTGATTCGGAAAATTTTTTATAGTGCATATAGGAAATGATTTTTCTGAAGGATCTCTAGATGAACTGTATGACTCTGTTAAATAAGGATAAATAACTTGAGTGTTTCCTTTGGTCCCTAATGTTCCTGATTCTAATAAAGGTTTTCTGTGAAAAATACACATTTGATCTACATATATCCTAGTATTAACATTATCTAATGCATTAGTGACACCATCTAAAGAGTTAAAAAACTCTGCATTAAAAAGATTTTCGGTTTCTGGACCAATTCTTTCTCTATAGGTTATAATTTTTCCTAACATTTCGGGGTTCATTCGAATTGTTGCACTAGTTGCACATTCTGATTTAAGTTTTCCAACATCTTCTGATCTAAAAAGAAACTGTCTATTAAGATTGCTTTTTTCAATAGTATCCATATCAGTAATAAATATTTTTCCTTTAGGACCAGTTGCAAGGCCTAACATAGCCCAATTTTTTAACATTTCACAACCAATAGCTCCTGTTCCTATAAGGAACTCTCGAACATTTGATATTTTCTCTTGAAAATTTTTACCAAACACTGCAATTTGACCATCATATCGAGATTTAATCTAAAAAAACATGTAAGTAAACGAAAGTAAAAATAATAAAATATACAGGAGCACATGATTCTTCAGTTAAATTACAAGATGTTGTAAGGCTCTCCAATGAATCAAAGTACATATATTGCTGGATAGGAGTAAATTTTCCACTAATAGCTTTTAATGCTTCTTGAGCTGCTAATCCTCCAAAAACAGCTGCCATGGGACTTAGATCTCCACGAGCTTGGTATGCTAATTCTTTAATCACTTTTTCATTTAAATTCAAATTTTCCGAGTATTGGGAAGATATAGATTTGGCGATAGAATATACCTTTTCTGCATCTGCTTCGTTACGTGGTCTAGGAAGAGTGTTAAATTTTTCTACATATGAATGCAATGCTTGAAATGCTATATGAAGTAATAATGCTCTGTCTAATTTAGAATAGTCATTAATCAAGAAATCAGGAGAATGAATCGATTCTCTAAGTGATTTAAATTGAATTTTTTTTGGCATTTTTACTTGAGTAAATATTCCACCTCCTGCATATTCTCCCATGCTTTCAACATTTCCTATAGAAAACGTATATGGCCCTAAATTATTAAGATTTTATTAATTTTAAAAGAAAAAAAATTACCTTTGACTTGAATTTTTCTTGGCGGCGAAATATTTAATGCAGATAACCCTTTTACTTCTTTAAAAGTTACATAATCTCCATCCTCAAGTCCATGGAGTGTTTCATCAAGAATAGTAACTATACCATCTTGAGAAATTGAAGAAATAATGCCAGAAATTGGAGGTTCTCCATTAATATCAAAAATATCAAAATCTTTCCCAAAGTCACAAAATATGTTTCCAAAGAGTCCGCGTATATCTGTTGAAATAAAATATATTCCATGTTCATGTGTATAATCGTTTATTTCTAGCTGTCTTTTTAATGAAGTTTCAGTTAAAACAATAATCTTTATATTTATTAGTTTGAAAATATGTTATTGTTATTTTATTTACTTGGAATTGATTCAAAACATTATAAGTTAATTCTTCTTTTAAAAATGAAATTAAAACATAACGATTTAATTCTGCAAGATATGGAACTGAAACTTGATCTCGAGGTTTCCCTATGTCTGAATGCTTAAAAAAAAACTTCCATAGGTAAAAAATAGCTCTTTTTAACTCATAGTTTCATACCTGTGATGACAAATCTTCTATTTGTATAGGATGAGGATCATGAAGTGTAATACTTTTTACACCTGCAAGACATATATTTTTTGCTAATAAAATTTATAAATGATAAATAGAAAACTCTTAAATCCAACCTATTTCACATCCTAAACCTTTTAACCCAACAATTAAAACATTTGATACACTCATTCTTTTCATTGCCTCATGTCCCAAAACATATCTAAGAGCTTATTAGATAAAAGTAAAAAGAAATAGATATATATTTACAATTGTCTTGAATATAATCCTTCGTCAATGTTATGTTCTATTGTCTCCATAGGTTTTAGCTGATCAATTTGCATTTTAGACTATATAAATTTGTTAGCAAGTTTTTTTCAAAAAAAAAAATATTTTAAAGCATTCATGTAATAAATTGATATCAAGTTTATTGAATTTTTAGGTTTAAAATGAAAAATCTTACCATTTCTATATTTTTTTCTTAAAATCTTTTTTTACAATAAAAGAATGTCAAAAACGATTGATATGAAAAGTTACAGGTTTTAAGATAAATAATAAAAGGCAAAAAATTGTAGTGTAAGATAATTATGTCTGATTGGAAAAAGAATGATTTTCCAATTGTTTCTGATATTCCAGTTTTTTTGACGGATTTAAATGAAAAACAACCAAATAATCCACGTGTAAGACCTTCATATGAATCTAGGAAAATATGTATATTTAATAGTGATAAAGTTGAAGAAAACTAATGGATATAAAGATATGAAAACAGGATTGATTACAAAAGCAGATGGTTCTGCTTATCTTGAACAAGAACGAATTAAAATGGTGTCTGCAGTGTAAAGATATTTTTTGGAAAAAATCAAGTAGTTTAACTTATGAGTTTATAGTTATGGGCCTCAGCAACTAAAAAATGCACCGTTTAGTTCCAGTGCATCTCTTGTTTGTGAAGTAAAATATGCACCTTTTGCATTAAAACAGAAGTATGGTTGTAACCGAGAAATAATTGAAAAAGATATGTCTTTACATCTTGAAGCGGCTATATCTCCATCAATTCAATTAGATATTCTTCCTAAGTCCGTTATCCATATCTACGTTTTTGTTCTTGAAGCTGATGGAGAACTTTCTACGTTTGCAGCGGCAATTACATGTGCATCTGCAGCGATTGCAGATGCAAATATAGAATGTGTAGATTTAGTTACAGGAGCTGCTGCAATAATAAATAAAGACAATTGTGTGATTATGGATCCTACAGATGAAGATGAAAATGATAAAATATTTTCGTTAGTCATTGGATATATGGCAGTAAAAGATGAGCTAACAGAGTTATGGTCTTTTGGCTTAAAATTATTTAATTCAACAGATCAACATGAGTCTGATGATATCCTTTCTAAATGTATTTCTATGGCATCTGATTACCGATTTGTACTAAATAACGTTATTATGCAAAAAATGGAGGAACAGTTGAGTTTAAACGCACTTATTCAAAAATGAAACAATCTTTTTAACATTTTGAATAATTTATTCTTTGTATAGATTATAATAATTATTTTTTAAAGATTTCTTTGAAGGTTTATGTCTTTTTATGAAAACTAGCAATGTCTTTATATTGATTTTGTATTATACATTTCACTAAAGGCTAAATAGAAATATTTAATTTGTATCATAAAATAGAAAAAGGTTTGGACTTATATAAGATTTTAGAATGTTTTGTTAAAAAGCTGGAAAATTCATTTTGGGAAATTCACGTTTTGAATTTAAAATAAAAAGAAATTATTTTGTACAGTTTTATATATTTAAAATATTTCTATTACATATATTATTTTATAAAGTATCTTTAGGTATTTTTATATAAATTTAAATGTTTAAAATTTAATATTTGGAAAATTTTAAAAGTAATATATAAAATTATAGAAGCTTAAAAGTATTTATTCAAAAAATAAAACAAAAAAGTTCTTTTTTATTACAAAAATATTAAAGATTTTCTTTATATTTTAATTTCTAACACAATTTATTTATAAATAATTATACAGATTTAAGACTTCTTAAAATATATCTTTTGTATCTTAAGTTCAAATATAAAATTCATAATATTAGTTTAATATAGATATACTTAGGCATTATATATTTTCACTTAAAAATTTTAAAAATTTTGAATTCTTATCGGTCAACATCCAATATTTGAGATTATTTAAATTGACTTAAAGAAACTTAAATAAATATAGAATTATCTTGATTATAATAAAAGTTTTAATTAAGCATCAAAAAAGGATTATAAATTTAATGTCTTCGGTTTTGTCTTTTGAAACTCAAAATACACAAAAAAATGGATGGAAAAAAATAGTCGAAAAAGTCAAAAAAGAACCTTTAGTGCCTGTAGTTAAGAGTTTTTGTTGAAATAAACACATGTTTCTAATTATAAAAGGCGTGTTAGCTACTTGTCTTGCTTTTTTAGGCGCAACAATTGCTATTCAACGGAAAAATAAACTACTTGCAAATAGGATGTTTCGATACCGAGTTTATGCCCAAGGCTTTACATTGGCCATTATGGTTGCTGGAAACATTTACTACAGATCTATGATGCAGCAAAATACCCAATCATAGACCTTAATTTTACTTATTATCTATATTTTTGTTTATCAGTAACAAAATATCTATTCTTACACTTCAATCAGCCTATATCATTGATCTATATCATTAATTAAACACTAAAATAGATTTAATCTCTAGGAATCATGTATCTTTTAAATATCTTATATTTACATTTTACAGATATTATACTTCAGTTTTTAAACACTTTCTTTTTTACTCATATTCTTTTCCTTTTTTCTTTATTTAATTTAGTCTTTAAAATCCTTTTTGTATATTTTTCTTATTTATACTTATTCCTTTTCACTAATATCCCTATGTAACGATATCTTTTAAATCTCATTTTCAAATCAATCTCTAATTTCAACTAAGCTTTAACCGCAATGTCAGGTGCAATTCTTACATTGTGGGTACATGATACGTCATTTTCTAATCATGATGTCATTATTAATGATGATCTTGTACCTGGGTTGAGTGCAGGAGATGCAATTGAAATTCGACAAACGAATCAAGAATTATCTCCACGTATGGTAGAAACAGGCGGAAAATATGGAATAAATAGGAATCAAAGGCGTATTTTTGTGATTCCAACATTTCTAGAAGGTGATTTGAAGAAGAAACAATCAAATTTACAGGTTTTCTGCAAAAAGTAGGAAAAAAAATATACTGATAAAGAAGATTTCAATTTCAACAACGGTTTCAACAACATTTGGATTAAGAAATAGAATATATGTAAGAGTTACAGTAGTTAAAGAAAAAGAATCTATTTCTGCAGATCATATTGTTATTTATTTCAAAGATCAATACATTTCACGTTCTGATATGTGGAATTTGTCTCGAGACTTGCAAGGAAAATGTATATGGAAAGGAGAAAAAATACTCTTTGCTGGAAGTTTACGTGCAGAAATTAGAGAAATTTGGATAAATGGGAAAAAAGTGTGTCTAAATTGCTATCTGGATATTTATTAATGATAAAAGAAATGCTCGGCATACGTTTCGACTAAAACAAAACCAATTTTTCGATCAGAGAGTGCAAGGTATTTTTTATTTCTTCAAATGAGTAAAGAAATGTGGGAATTTGAAGAAGATGGAGAACTTTTTTTTGACAAAGCAGTTGATGGATTTTTACCTGAACTTTTTAAAAGATGGAAAAACATGGGTACACACCATAGTGTTACAATAATTCTATTTACTAGAATCTATTATGAGAATACGGGGTCTTTTAATCTTCCTCAATCTCAAGAATATCATTGTTCATCTCGAATTCAAAAAATCACAAGAAATTATAAAGATTATTATGAAACATGCCCAGAATATTCTCTGGATTTTTTTAAAATTGTAGTAAATAATTTATCCTCAAATGAATGCATGTCAACTATATCAGAATTAAAACAAGAACTTCAAAAATTTAAAAGAGACATTATGACGCATAAAAAAGTCAATGAATTATATCAAGAAAATACTGATTTAGCTTTCGCCAGTATGTCATATGCATTACAAGGAAATGTCCTTGAAGCAATCAACATTGTAACTAAACAATTGTGCAATGATTATATTGACTATGATCTTTTGAAAACTGGTACAAGTATTATCATTGTAACTCCAGGGACAGGTCATTTTGAAGTAGATGAAAAAATGCTCGAAATTACAGCAGAAAATCTTATTAATAATGGCATAGGAATCGATTTTATATGTTTAAGTAAACCTCCACTTCATATAGTTCCTTTATTCAAATATAAAAAAAAATCTAATAAAACAAATAATTCTCAGGACAAAGAAGATTTAATGATACAATCATCACAAAATTTAAACTCCAATTCTAGCTCTTATAATAAAAACTTTTTCAATTGTTTAAAACAATATGATTCGTGGATATATGCAATTCCATATTTTTGTCAAATTAATTATTGGAATTATAAAACAAAAAAACAAAATACTTTTGTACCAAGTTGTAAAATGCATGAATTACAAATGATGGGGATAATGGAAAATGAAGTTAGTAAAATTGCTATTGAATATTTACCTGAAGTTAATTCTTTCGATAATGAAAATGAAATATCTTTTTATTGTGAAAAATATGATGAAAATGTTTTTAAAATTAATAAAAAGGTTGATTCTTTTTTAAACATAGGAAATTTAGATCAACATAATGAAAAATTAATAAAGAATCAAGGTTTTATTCAAAAAAATGGATCAGAAAACATTGCGTTTCTAAATAAAAACATAAAAAATAAAGAGAAAAATTTTAAAGAATCCAATCAATCATATACTGAACATAAAAAAACATCCAACTTTGTATCTAAAGCTCATACTCTCTCAAAAAAATACTTGATACAAAACCTTTCAAATATGGGAGATTTATTTAATAACCAATATCTAAAAAGTGTTCCAAGCACTACTTCTATTTCTTCTTTATCGGCGTTAGTGAGGCTTTCTAGTAAGAAAACTACAATAAAAAATAAAGAATTGGAGCGCAATGAAGCTGATTCACATGTAGCTCAAAATAGCTCTCTATGTTTTCATACTTCTGAACCTAGGTTTTTAGATTCTAAAAAGGATTTTACAAAAAACAAATCTAGTACTAATATATTAAAACAGTCGGAAAAAAACTCAACTATTAGAATGCCTTTTTCCTCTGAAAAGTTTCAGAAATTTAAACTTAAAAAAAATCCTCCATGGCACATTATTCAATATCCTTCTAATCCTTTATGTAATCATCCTCCTTCAGACGTCTATTATAGAAGATGGAAAGATGTTCATACAAAACAAATAAATATGAAAAAAATCAACTGGCCCTCAATTTGTAGTCCAGCATCATTACCTCTTTCAACAGAATACTTTCCTAGTGCTGAAGAATTGCAGGAATTTTATCAAGATTATACATATACAATCACTATTGATCCTGAAAAAGTTAATTTTGATCAAAAATCTCTTTTAATAGAACTTGTGAACTTGCGCCTTGATCAAGGATTTCAAATAGTTATTGGTAATTCTGTATTAGCTGATGATCCTAACCAAATTGTGTTATCTCAAAAAAACTCTGTAGTGTCTAAATTAAATAAGAAAAATATTCTTGATGGACCTTTAGATATTTTTAACAAAACGATATATTTAACTCTTGGTGATTGTCAATTTCATAAAATAACTTGCGACTTTTCTGGACATAATATTGAAGTAAAAAGATATGTTAAAAAATATAATCCTATTGAAACATTAGATTATAAATATCATAGTTGGCTATCATTCGATAACGGTTATGAACTTAGAAATATTTCTTTCTTTTCTCATTCATATGAAAGTCAAAATTGGAATTATGCCGATCAATTAATAGCTGGACAAGAAGATAACTTAAATGATTCGATAAAATATTGGAGATATCGTTATATTTTTGTTCCTATGGATATTAAACCAACTCCTGTTCAGCAAATTCTGACTTATTCCAATACTAATACTTTAGATCTCTTAAATGATGAAGAGATTAGGATCCTTGGTATACTTAAAATTTACGAGTTAATAAAAAAAGGAGATTATTTTAATTTAACTGAAAAAGACAAAGTTAAACATGTACCCGGGAAAGACTCTAACCATTTGGACTTAATTTTTACTACATTAAATACTTCTGCTTTTATTATACAAGAATTGGAAAACTTTGATTCTGATTATAATTTTCAGAGCAAAGAAAATTCAATAACAAATGAAAAACTGAAAATGTCTGATGCAAAATTGAGCAATATTGCACAAGAAATACAAGGTCCTAAAGGCATTAAATTCCAAGATCGTCGATGGCATTTAAAATTGCATGAGAATTGTTTTATTGGTATGGATTTGGTTACATGGTTAGTAGACAATTTTTCAGATATTTCAACAAGAGAAGAAGCTGTTTATTATGGTAATGAGCTACTTTCTAAAGGGTTATTCGAACATGTTAATAAAATCCATCAGTTTTTGGATGGATATTTTTTTTATCGATTGAAGCCTGAATACTCACCATCAAAAACTTCAAAAAGTTGGTTTGGAACACGGAAAGTTACACCTGTTAATGCTGTTTCTGAAAATTCTTCAAGATCGGATTCTATTATTATATCAAATAATTTAACTCCAGTAGTTACTGGGAAATTGCCACGAATAGAATTAAGTAAGTATTTGATATACGATGTTGATCCACAAAAACAAAGCTATAGACCTGAATGTATAAGACTACATTATGATAAAATTTATAATCCAAAAACATGTTATCATATTCATGTAGAATGGGTTAATACAACATCTCGTCTCGTTGAGAATACGATACAATTTTGGAGAAGAGTTGCAGAAAAATATGGTCTTAAACTCGTTGAAGTACCTATAGATGAAGCGTATAAAAATAGTGACAATAATCCGCTTCAATCAGCTATTTCAATTAAATTAGCATTATCGCCACCTCCTATTCCTCAATCTATGAAGTCAGATCAAGATTTAGCAAGCGACCCAAATTTTTGGTGTATTCTTCTATTAAAAAAATTTGATTTTATACTAGATTTTGAGTCAATTGATAGATTTCCAAAATCCATTGATGTAATATATTCATGGGGAAAACTTTATAAATATTCCCAGTATATTCATAAATCGGGTGCAGCTCTTGCCCAAATTAAAAATGATAATACTATTTTATGGCTAACAAATCAGTTATATTTATCAAGAATTGGATCTATGACATCTGTTTCAAACCAATTCAATATGGAATCACAAAGGACTTTTAAAGATTTAACTCTAGAGCTAAATAAACTCTGTATTGATTTTATAAAGTTTTGTTCAGATAAAGCATCTTTAGGAAGTTTTTATGAAGAAATTTTAACTAAATATACCCCAAAACAAATAATAAAAGATTTTGAATAATATTTTTATTAGTAATTTAAATAATCTTATGAAAATATTGTTATCTATATTTAATATCTTTATGTTATAAGGTTTATATAAAAATATGTATTCTGAAAATATTTTAAAAGTGTTTCATGAATTTAATATAATATTCCGAAGAATTTCTATATATTCCTTATTCTCTTCTATTGATTTTTCCCTAATCTAATTAAATCATTATTTTATATAAATATTATAAATACCAATTAGTTTTTATAAGAATATCTATTATTTTTGAATACAAATTTTCATTTGAAATATATGAATCTTTCTCAGTAAATACCATATATAATCCTTCTGCTGCTTGAGTTCTAATCTAAAAGCATAACTTTAGATAATTAATAGAAAATAAACTCAATTTTACCACAGGATAAGAATGTTGCAATAATAATAAAAGTTCATATAAAGATTTTGATGCAACATCTGTAGATAGTTTTGAAATACCAGTATAACTTTAAAAGTCAGTATTTAATTTTATTTTAAAAAACTTACATTTTAATTGACAAGGATATTTTTTGAATGGATTTACTCTTATAGGAACTTTTTCGAATACAATCAAAAAAAAGTTTAAAACTATAATTATTTAAATAAAATATAAATAACAGTATTTAATTTACTCAAATTTTCCAACAAGATATTCAAATATTAGCGTTTCGAATAAGATATTGCAAAACTCCATAAAACATATCATAAAATGATTATTATTAACATTTGATATACAAAGTTTCAACAAACAATTTCCAATGTCTAATAATTTCAAAGAACCTTTATCATCTTCTTTAATCGGAAGTTTTGATAAATAAAATATTACGTGCTTTTCAATTTGTTTTACCTATTATGTTAAAAATATAGTGAATAAATCTTTAGAATTACCAATGATTCATTCCCTCTAATACTATTTATCAATCCTATTAAGATGTAATCTTGATATCTTTTAATACAAAGTAATTGAATAATATTTGGTATTATATCTTCAAGAACTTTCCAGTTATGAATTCTAAATATAATTAGTCACCTTTTTCAATACAATTATGATCCACTTTTTAAGAACATCTTCAATAAATTCAATAGATTCAGAAAGATATGATATTTTTTTATTCCGACATAAGGAAACAATATTTGTGAGCTGAACACCTGCTATCTCCCTTATACTATCAAGTTTTTCTACTGTTTGTTTTAATAAACTTCCAATAATAGAATGAAATATGGTATCCGTAAGAAAATAATCATTATAATTAAAAGCTATTTCTAAAATATGGAAAATAGAAATCATAGACTCTTTTCTAACCCATGATCCAACATCACCAGTAAGATTTGTAGAATAATCATTTAAACCGTTTAAAAACAATTGAATTAATTTGTCTAAATATAAATACCGAAAATCTAAGTATAATTTATTATAAAAAATAGATTTTTGACAACTTACCAAATAATGATAGTGATAAATATTTCTTTGATGAATGTAATATTTTTCCTAAAGTTTTAATTGAATTTTTTCTAAAAACAGTGTCCGATAAAGGTGTTATCTATAATTGTACAATTATTGAATATTTTTTTTAAAAAATCAACAACACTTACTTCTATTAAAACACTTATAAAACACTCCAACGTATCCTGATACTTTTCAAAGTATTCAATTTCTCCTAATGCACTAACTAATCCATTTACAAGCGTATCAGATTTATCAAAATTGGATTTTATATATAGAATAAAATTATTTAATTGAGGATGAATATCATTTTTTTTAGCGATAGAACTAATTGCACGGCTAGCTTGATATTGAATACTATCAACTTCTATATTCAAAGAATATTTTATGTAATCTATCCAGTCTGACAAATATATTTCTTTTGCATATTTTGTATTGGATATTTCTGCAATATATAGACAAATTGATTCACAAATATCGGGATAAGTATGAAGACTATTTTTTGGTAATTTCTCTTCACAAATTAATTCAAGTTCCTACGGTAGTTAAAATTTATAAAACATTTAAATATATAATATATATAATTATACTTGAACTATATCAAAAGAAAATTCTTGGAATTGTATTTTAGGAAGTATTTTTGCTAATACTCCAAGGATTCCATGTTGCATAATAATATCTTTTTTTTTAAAGTTCATTAACTATAAAATTTAAGTAAATAGTTAAAAAATATATAAAACTAACTAAAGTTGGAAGATTTTTTGAAATAATTGATGGTTTTATTTCTGTCATTTTTCCTAAAACACAAGCTGTTAAATTTCGTATTTCTTTATCATAATGAATAGACATTTTTTCAATTAAGTAAGAAACTATTAAATTTTGATATTCTTTATATCTAAAAATTATTAAAATTAAAAATTTAAAAAATAATCATATTACTTAAATAAATAGAAAGAAACATTAAGATATGAATTCTTTTTTGTACCTAATGCATAAAAATTCATTTCTTTAATAATTTCGATTCCATGAGGAAATATAGATTCACCGTATCTTCCAACGCCTTCTTGATATGCAGAACTTGCTGCTCGTCTAATATTCGTTTCTTTATCAAATAAAGCAACAGTTAATAAAGATTCTGCAAGAAAGGGAAATAAATGTGTTACATCCGTTATTGAATATCGACGAAATATAGACCATGATATATAACACGCCGCATCTCTTACATTGCTTCCTAAATATTGGGTCCCTCTTCTTTGTTCAAATATTAATGCCTACAAATATATTAATGATTTAAGTTAATATATTTTAATATAACTTTTAAAAGTATAGGTAAAATTTCTTTTAATCTATGAGGTAATAATAAACCTCTTTTACAAAATTCTGCAATTGCTATAGTTGTACCATGCCATATTATATCACTAGATGCTTCTATAGAATAAGACCCGTCTAAATTCCTAATTAATGAAATTACAGCAGATATTACTTCATTTGCGTGAGACTTTGACATATAAGAAATAATTCTACTTATCCCTTTAGCTGATGAGTATCTAACAATTGTAGAAGCATCTGAAATATTCTCAAGTAAGAAATATAAAGATTTTTCGACTGAAGAGTGTACAATTACTTCTTCAACAAATTCTGATGATTTTTCAATATCTGAATTTTTTATGGATAAATTTTCAACTAGAATTTTTTCCTCTATAGACAATAAATGAGTGTCAATTATTATGCATGTATTTAACCTGTTTTATGAATCCAAGATGCTTTATATGGTTTAAGAAAACACAAACATACTCTTTGTAATAACTTTGTTATCAAGTGTCTTATTTTATCATTAGAATGTTCATTTTGCATTATTAACTCAAGCAATGAAAACACATTATTTGCAATTGTAAGCAAAAAGGCTCTATCCTTAAATTTAAAAATATTACATAATGAAGATAATAATCCAATTTTCTATAAAACTGAGGAAAATATCTCATAACATAAAATATTTTTACCATAAAAATAGACGTAGTTTCTAATATCCATTTATTTCGTATCCATAATATAAATGAGGGCAAATGTGATTTATATGTATCATTTCTTGTAACCAGTCTTGAAACAAGAATAGATGCTGCATCACGTTCTTTTCCAGATACAGAGAGATACTGTTTAGATATAAATAACAAAGAATCAACAATAGTTATATTCTGAGACAAATTAGAATCAATTGCTGATAAATCAAATGGTGTCATAGATAATAATGATAACCATAGAAGAAAAATATATCTTGTAACCCATAATTCAGTATCATTTGGAGGTATATTTTGCAAATAATGAAGAACTGGTTCAAGTAAATGAAAATCGTTAAAGAAGAAATTTACTAGATTTTTAAAATAAATTGTTATAGTAAACGGATACTTACTAACAATTTTATAGCCTATAATCTTACAATAAGTGTATAATATGTAGCATAATTTATTCACAAATACAAAACTTTGTGTTGTATTATTTTTAATTTCTTTTATAATTATTTTAATAACAGGATAAATAAAATCTTCTAATTCTGGATCTAATAACTCAGGTTGCTCTTGAAATATTTCCAGCTTTTAAATACGTTAATAAGAGTGTAAATAATGTAAAGAAGTTGATACAGGATATACAAGTTTCTCAACATTTAAATTTATTTCTGAAAAGCTCGTCAAAAAATTTAAGAGTTTTTCTTTGAATTCTTTAATAATTTTAGGACCATTTTTAAGTACTTCAATGTCTGTATCATTGTTCGTGTCCATTTTAATATCCTATATAAGTAATATAATATTTACAAATTTATTAGTATTATAGAATGTTCACAGATAAAAAACTGTTTAACATACTTAAACTTTCAAAAAATGTTAAAGGATGATACTAATAAGGAAATCCTTTTATTTAATTTTAAAAAATCAAATGTTAAAAGATATTTGGTAGAATATTTTAAGACAGTGTTGGTAATATGTTATTTTCAGAATAAGACAATTACTCTATAAAGAAGACTGTAGTAATTCCTAAATTTTAATATTTAAGTTTTTTTATAATTTGCATATACTTATATATGTTAATTTAGAAAAAATAATTTAAAATGTTGAAAAATATAATTAAGAAATATTAAATTATAAATTGAAAATTGTAAAAAAATTGTAAAAAAACGAATTACTTGCTTTTAATGTTTTTATAACTTTATTTTTTTTAATTTTTTTTAGAAAAAAAATGAAATTGTCGGACAAAGTACTTTAAGATTGTGAATATTAAATGATAAAAATAACACTTTTTGAAGAGTTATTAGTTCTTTAGGAAATATAATAAATTTTTTATATTTAACTTAAACTTTTTTTAAAGAAAAAAACATTTTTCAAATGAATAAAAATAATAAGTATTTTAATTATTATATTTATTTCTATAAAATATATATATTATCTATGATTTTTTTCAAAAAGTTATTTTTAAAAAATGTTTTTATACAAAAATTAAAAATAATGTTTATAACAATTTAAAAATAAAAATTACGTTTTTTTTTTAATATTAACAATTATTAAAACATTTTAAATAGTAAAATTAATTTACTAAACAGTTGATTTTATATAGTTTCAAAAAAAATTGAAAGATATCAAATATTGAACTTAAAAATTTGAACTTTTTAAACGAATTTTTTAAATTAAAAAAAGAATATTTTATTAAAATAACAAAAATCTAAAAATATGCAAAATAATTAGTGTACGTTTACTATAATGTAATTATAATTTTCTATAAATCCTTAATTTTTATTTAGTAGATTAAAAATATTAGTTCAAGAAAAAATATTAAAAAACTAAATATTATTAATTAAAATCAATAAAAGAATAAATTTAAATAACATTCATAAAAATTCAGATACTAAATTTCTTTGGTAATAAAATATCTTCATGAATATTCAGAAGCAGAACTGTTAAAAAGTATGTATCATCATTATTTATGAAATAAAAATACAATATTACCTTGAAAATATAACATATAAAATACATCGTGATTAAACACTTAAAGATGTTAGCAAAAGTATTATATATTTTTATAATTCTTTTTAGAAAAATCAGATGGTAGTGCATGTATTTTTAATTCATATAGAATCATTGTTATTATTAAGCTTTCTTCATTTATTTATTTCTTCATAAATAACTTACCTTTAAATATTTACAAATATATTTTAAAAAAATCTAAAAGTAACCATACTATAATCTTTAAAAAAATCTATAGAAGTAAATAAATATTTATATACTAATAAAAGTATCCACATAAAATAACAGATTTATAATTTCTTGGTTTTAGTAAAATATAATATATTCAAACATATTTAAGTATATTTAAGATTATTAAAATGTTTTTTTTAAAAAAATAAATTTACGATTTATTTTATGAAATTTAACTTTCAAAACAAAAATCTTTTTATATATAAATATATAGAAATATTCTATTTTAATAATTAAAAAAAAATAATATTTTTTAAAATTTTTTAAATAATATTCGTTATTTGATTAAAATTATTTATCTAAATTAATACATAATTTCATATATTTCTCTAAATTAATTAAATACTCAAAATACATTTATTATATCTTTTTAATATTTCTGAAATGATTTTTTAAAAGCATTCTTAATTGTATAAATATTTTAATTTGAATATACAAACTATCGTCTCGACAACATATAAAATTAATCTTATCAGCCGCAAAAAACATTCAAAATAATTTCAATAACCAACGGAGGATACACTTAAAGTACTTTTAGTCCTCTATGAGTGCATTATATGATTCTTTCAAAGAATCGATCTCTGGAAATCATGCAGCATTTTTAATCATCAATGAATTATCTATGATTGTTTCGGTTATTCGAAAAAACATTCGAGATGTAACATCTGGATCATCAATTATTCTTGGGGTAGTTTTTGGAAGTGCCTATGATGAGAATATGGATGTAAATGGTCCTCAAAACGGGAAAAAAGGTGACTCTAAATCAGTGGTATGTTTTTTTAATATATTTTTAATTATTTAATGAATTTTTCTATCATTTATTCTACAAAGAACACTATATATGCTGAATTTTAGATATATATTATTATTTTATAACGAAAAGCTAATATAAATAAAGGAAAATATACTTTTACACAAGTTTTCACAGTTAAAATCTAAGTTAGTCCACTGTACAGGTAATATAGTAATAGAAAGAATATTTAGTAATTTGATAGTGACGTTTTTTAGATATATCTTCACTTGATACATTAGTGATTTTGAATCCATTTATATATATTATTGAATCTCCATTAATAGCAGCACCAATTAAATCACTTGCGTTTAATTCTTTAATAAAATTTTTTTCCTACAGAATTATTAATCCAGATTCCTTACAATTTTCTTTAGCAATTAAACAACTTTTATCAGCTGTTACATGTTGTAAATTTGAGACACATGATTCATTACAAGATGAAACTGTCTTGCTTAGAATATTTAAACTAATAGAAGAAATAACAATTGGAATTGGGGAAAAAGTCATTTGTGACTCGAGTATTTGTGAAATTATCCAAATATGTTTAAATATATGCTGTCGATTACGTTTAAGCAAGATTCTTAGAAAAAGTGTTGAAATTACAATGCTATCCATAGTCCAAAGTGTTTTTCGAAGGTAAGAATCTCTATTTTTATTTATTTTTTCTAAAAACATTTACAGATTAAAAGAGATAAGCCCTGAAAATGAAGAATTATCCAATGAAACGACTAATGGTCAAACTTTTTTTTTAAAAAACGAAGAATTCTACTCTAATAATAAAAGTACTGATACATTACTATTAAAAAAAAATGATGATCATAAAAATTTCTCAGATAATGAAGATACTAAAGATTCAGAAGATAATAAACAAATTGATCAAGGTTAAACTATTTATTTATATATTTGTCATTGTTTATATTTATTTAGAAATTTTTCCTTATGGAATTTTGTCAATTAAAGAAATTTTTTATACTTTGATATTATTATTAGATCCACATAATAAGCATAATACAGATATTATGCGTATCATAGCATTACGAATGATTAATGCTGCTATTGAAGTTTCAGGACTAGTAATAGGATATCATTTTAATTTGCGCCATTTAGTTACTGATAAGTTGTGCCGATATTTATTTCAGCTTGTTCAGTTTGATAATTTTTCTATTATATTCCATTCTTTGAAAGTAATTTCGTTACTTTTACATGTTATGAAACCTTTTCTTAAATTTCAACAAGAGGTTTTTCTTAGATATGCTATTTCTTATGTTTATATACATAATGATGCCCTTAAATACTCTTCAATTGATTCTATATTCTATGAAGGGATTTTGGATTTACCGAAATTTAGGTATTTTATATCTGGAAAGGATATTTCTACTTCAACAAAAGAAAAAAGTAATTCGGGAACAGGAGAAGGATCTAAGGAAATAAATGTAAAAGAAGTTATTATGGAATGCATTTTTGGCTTAGTTCAAACACCTAGTTTTATGGTTGATTTGTTTGTAAATTATGACTGCGAAATAAATATGTGTAATTTATGTGAAGACATTGTTTATTTTTTTAGTCGTGTAGGTCTATATTAGAATTCCAAAAATACTTAACGCTTTTAGAATATATTTTCGGATTCCATAATTTGGTCAACAACAAATATACCATTGTTATCATTAGAAGCAATATTATTACAAGTACAATATATATCAGAAAGGTTAAATATAGAAGAAGTACTTAGATTCTTTAGTTTATGCACTATCTTTAAAACTTTTTAGAATAAAGAGTCATTTACTCATAAGTTTTTATCTCCTAAACTTCTTTTGGAAAAAAAAGACAAAAAAACAATAATAATTCAAGGATCAGTAAAATTTAATGAAAAACCAAGAGAAGGGATAAAATATTTACAAAATAATGGAATTTTGGATAAAGATGCTACTCCAGAATCAGTTGCATCATTTTTAAAAAATACAAATTATGTTAACAAAAAATTATTGGGTATATATCTTTCAAAACAGGAAAATACACATATTTTGGATTGTTTTGTTAATACATTTGATTTTCATGGAGTATTTAAAATATTAATATATTTATATTATATTAAATTAGTTTTTAGAAACGTATTGAAGAGGCCCTTCGTGAACTTTTAACTTTCTTTAGATTACCTGGGGAATCGCAGCAAATAGAAAGAATACTAGAAAAATTTGCAAATAAATACTATGAAACTAATTCTAGTAATATATATATATATATATATTATTTTTAACGACAAATATAGTTGAAATAGAAACAGCAGATGCTGCATTTGTTTTGGCATATTCAATAACAATGTTAAATGTCGATTTACATAATACTCAAGTTAAGGTATAGCTTATTTATACATATATATATTATTAAGTTTTATTTTTAGAAACGGATGACTATTGAAGAATATACAAAAAATATGAGAAATCTTAATAATAATAAAGATTTCAATCCTGAATACCTAGTAATAAGTAATAATTAAACGATCTTTTTCTAAATAAATATAGAAAGCAATATATGAAGCTATTCGTACGAATGAAATAATTGCTCCTGATGAGCATAATAGCCAATTAGGTTTTGAATATACATGGAGGAAACTTACAAAATTATCTGTTAATGACGAATTTCGGATATATAATACGAATATTTATGATCAATATATCTTTAAAGCAATTTGGAAACCTATCATTGGTTCTCTTTCCTATGCTTTTATTTCAACAACAGGTGATATTTTTTATCGTGTAATTAATGGGTTGAATCAATGTACCAACATTGCTTCACAATATAAAATGAGTGAAGTTATTGACTATATGATATTATGCCTTGTGAAAATAATCCTTATTGATGATAATGAATTGAAAAATACAAGCACTACTTTTTTAATAAATGTAGATGGCAAAGATGTCTATATAAATCCTTTTTCGATTAAATTCGGTGAAAATACTAAAACTCAACTTGCGACTATTGTTTTATTTAAAATATGTATTGGCAATGAATCAATAATCGTAGAAGGATGGAAAGAAGTATTATTATTATTATTATTATTATTATTAATTTTCTTAAGATATTTAAACTCCTCTTTATACTTTTTGTTAATCATCTTCTTTCACCATCTTTTACTCAGATACAGAATTATATTTCTATTCCTCCTATTTCTATCAATTCTAAAGTTAAAAATAGTAAAAAAATAGATGAAAACAAATCTACTGGATTATTGTCAGCATTATCATCATATCTTTCAGGTTATGGAACTAATGATGGATTTTTTATGTCTGAAATTGAAATTGAACATGCGATTTGCGCAGCTAATTGTATTAAGACATCACAAATAGATGTTTTTTATGAAAATATAATGTTTTTACTTTTTTTCAAGGTTAATTAACTAATAATTTTAGGTTACTTGATTTAGATTCTGTAAAGCCTTTGTTAGATTTTTTATTACAACCATTTTCTCAGGATATATTTGTAATATTGAAATTAAAAAATTCGTCCCAGGATAGTTTAAAAAGTAATTATTCAATAAATAATGACAATAATTATTTGAAGTATGACGAAATTATTTTACTAAGGATGGAAATAGCTACATGCTTCGTTTTACATAATATTACTTATTTGAAAGAATTTTCTAAAAAAGTGTCACAATGTCTTTTAAATTTTATTAATAATTCTGAAAAAATTTCTCATATAATGACAGAAAGATTTATAATATATTTATTACGTATAGCTAAAGAAGATATTGATAAGGCTGAAAATCAGCTAGATATATGTTCTATATTTCATTCAATTGCATCATTAACGGATAGTTTTATAATTAAGCATGGATTTTCTATTTCTAATGGAATATTGGAAATCATTAAATTGCCCGTGGATCAATCATATATCAATTCTTCAGATTTATTTAAACTTATTTCATTGGTCCAAGAAAATGAGTCAGTTATTCCTATTTCTTTCGAAATAATTCAACATTTATTATCTCAGAAACTTTTAAAAGAAAATTTTCACTTAATTATTTTTTTATTAAATCGAATTATCAATTATACTTCAGTAATTAAAAAAAATGAGCACGAAAGAATTAGGTCGTCTCCTAATGAGTTATTTACGTATGAAAATTTATTTATTTCTGCAATATTAATTTATTTTAGATCAAATTATTTTATAGATTACGCAATTCGGTCAATTACTCTTCTTTATCAACTTCATTTAAAAGCACCTTCATTTTTTTCTGATTCCAAATTAGAATTTAATGAAGGTATCTTTTGTTAATTTTTTAAATATATTTTGATTTTTTTAGTGTGGAGAATGTTTTGGGCACCTATTTTTGATATATTTCAAGAACAATGTACAAATATCTTTTTTGAAATACGACAACAGGCTTTTACATGTCTCCAAAAATCTTTTTTATCTTCCCACCTTTCTAATAATGAAGATTTACAATGGACTTTAATATTTAAAGAGGTTTTATTTCCATTAATATTTCGTCTTTTAAAACCTGAAATCTATCAACTTGATCTTCAAGGAATGGCACAAGCACGGATACAAGCAGTAACTCTTTTATGCAAAGTTTATCTTAATTATTTAGTTAAATTATCAAAATATGATGGGATGCTTGATTTGTGGACTAGTTTGTTGGATGTTATTGATAGATTGATTAATAGTGGACAGCCAGATCATCTTGTAAATCTACTTTAATTTTTCAATTTTTATTAATATTATATAGACAGAAGCTATTCTTGAATCTCTTAAAAATGTTTTATTGGTTATGAATACATCAGGTTATTTAGTGCCACCATTAGATTCCGACTTAATACTTTCTAAAAATTCGGATGATAATCAGTTCCGTTATATATTATGGAAGGAAACGTGGATCCGTATTGATCGCTTTTTACCAAATCTTAAAGAAGAATTATTTCCTGCATCAGTTCATTCTAATTAATGGCATTTTTATAAAAATTAGATGGAAATTGTTTTTATAAATAATATTTAGGATTTTTGGAGCATTAAAAATGTTTTATATTTATATTTATTAAAGGATAAAAAACTTCATTTTTTATATTTTTTGATCATATTTTACAAACATGATTTTTTTAAGAGATTAGAAATATAATATTCAAATATTTATTGATATATAATATTAATAGTGCTATTATCCCTGAAATCCGGACTGGTGTAACGGTTAACATCTGTCGCTTTCACCGACAAGCTCGGGGTTCGATTCCCCGGTCCGGAACATTCTGAAATTTACATTTTAAAATCTTGGTTTTATTTGTTAGATTTTATATTTTATACTTATTTATAAATTTTAGTCTTCTAAATATTAGATTGTAAAGATTTTTCATGATATGGTTATTTTCATTATTTTATTTAATATAAAATAATTTATTATTCATGTATAAAAATCGTTAAGGATTACAAATAATGCATTAATCAATTTTGGCTTTATAGAGAATATAAAATTACTTATAATTATATGTTTTATAATTATCTTTTAAATTTTTAATTATTTAATTATTCGAGAATTTTACATATACTATTATTAGATATTTTAATATATTATTTTTATGTTTTTATATAATTCTAATTATAGCTAAGTATTTAAATTTTTTAGTTTTATTATGAGAATATTTATAAAAAAACACTATCTTTTGGAATTTAGGTTTTTAATTTTGTTCATGTAATTAATTTATTTGAAAATTTAAAGTCTAAAAATTTTAACTTCAAGAAATATATTAATATATAAACATTTTTATTTTAAAAGTTTTTTTTTTTTGAAAATATAAATATTTTATATTGTTTAAAATATTTTTTTTATGTAATTATTTTATAATTTTTAAAAATTAATATTAAATAATATAAACTTTAGTCTTTATAAATTAGTTAAAAAATAACTAAAAAAGTATTAATTTCGTATTTATCAAAATTTGAAACTGAATTATTTGTACATTTTTATCTCAATAAATTTAATTATTTACATAATATATTTTATTTATGAATTAATCAAATAATAGTTATTTTAAGATCTGTCATTAGTCAATATTAAAAATATAACCTTCAAAACTTAAATTAAAAAAACATCTATCCATTACATTTTTTATCACAAATTAAGATAAATTAGCAATTCAAATTTAGAAAATTTAAACTTGTATAATTCTAGAATTCATACATCTAAATATTATATTTTTCAAATACTAAAATTTTGAATTTATTCATATTTTCAAAAACCTAATGTTCTATAATTTATATTTAATATAAAGATATAGAATAGAATATTTAAATTTTTACAAGTTATCTTTTCAAGATTCATCAAACATTTTTTATAAAAAATAGAAATATAAACATATAATATAATTATGATTCTCCATAATAAATTTCTTAATTTCAGTATATATCATGTAGTAGATGTAGATAATGAATCTAAAAAATCAATCTCTGCGTTAGGATGTATCACATAAACTTTTTTAGCAGTTTTTTCCTGTTCATTTTCTATAGTTTCATCATATAATTCCATAATATAATGATCCTATGTATTATTTAACATTTAAAAGAATAAAAAAAATTGTTAATACTTTAACTAATTTCTTTAAAACTTTCTTTACCAAACTATTTTCAGCAACCAAAGCGTCTTCTGTTAAAATTTCATTTTCTTTTTGTTCTAAATACCATTGAATCAAATCTTCTTCTTCTACTCCTTCCGTATCCTTTAACTCTTCTTCTTTTAGTCGTTTAATAACCATATTTAAAATAGAAACATATTTATCATATGTAATTTTAGTTTTTTCTTTCTTGGGAGGAAGATTTAAATCAGGCATTGTTATATCATTCGTACTCGTTCCAGACGGGTATTTTGTGTCATCATCTAAACCTACATCATCTCTTTCAATATATATTATACTTTGTCGTAAAAGATTATATGCTTCAGTTACAAACTCAGGAGTTATATCTTCTAGACAATTTGCTCTTGCAATGGCTTCACTAAGTCGTATTAAGCTTTCTAGTTGGCGCACAGTAATACGATATGAATTTTTCCCCATGCCTTGTGCATCATCAATTCTAAGTTCTTTATATCTTTTAACAAGCTCTATCTGAGCTTCTGGAGTCAACTTTGGTTTAAACGTTCGTGCATATCGAATATATCTTTGCAATTGCTCAGTGGAAAACTCAGGTTTTATAGCTTTATCTCGTAATCTATGTGTTTCGACAATATGTCGGGCTAAATTAAAATCTATTGCCTCATTACACTCGTCAAGAATAACAAAAAATAAATCGAATCTCGACATAATAGGAGGTGACATTTGAATATTGGCACGAAGCGTTGCTTTGCGATTATAACGACCACCCACAGGATTTGCAGCTGCTAAAATAGACGTACGTGCATTCAAAGTAACATGAATCCCTGCTTTAGCAATAGAAATTGTTTGTTGCTCCATGGCTTCATGAATAGCAACTTGATCAGAAATATCCATTTTATCGAATTCATCAATTGCACAAATACCATCATCAGCAAGCATCAATGCACCTGCCTCTATCGTAAATTCACCTGTTTCTTCGTCTTTTACAACAGCTGCTGTTAATCCAGCAGCAGATGATGCTTTTCCTGAGGTATAAACCGTGCGAGGGAAAAATCCACAAACATATCTAACTAGTATTATAAAATCTTCATAGCTTAAGAAAAAAAATTACCTTAAAAATTGAGATTTTGATGTAGAAGGATCCCCTACAATACATATATTAATATCTCCTCTCAAATTAATACCTTCTGGCGTAACTTTATGCACGCCTCCCATAAGCTGCAAAAGAATACCCTTTTTAATGATTTCATGGCCATAAATCGCAGGTGCTATGCTATTAACCAATCTAGAATATATACGATCCGTATGAACCATTTTTTTTAACTCATCAATCTCTGTCTGTGAAAGAGAATTCAAAAATGCATTCTGTTCTTTTTCCTGACCATTATCACCACGTACATCTAGATATGTACCATCCCGTTGATCAATTGACTGTGCCATGCAAGCAAGAAATGCAAGACGGTATGTCAAATCTCTCACTCCCAGAGCCTTAAGGCCTGTTACACCCTCAATAGCAAACCCATCACGAACTCTACCCGATCCTCTTGTATTACGCATCGCTTCTGGACGTATACCAGGAAGACCCAATTGAGATATATCAGGAATAACAATTAAAGACCCTGTAAAAAGACATTTGTCTCCTGCTTTAACTCTTTCAACTATTTCCCCACGTAGAATAACATCCAGACTAACATCTATACTTAACTATGCAAATTTCTGTATCTTTATACACTTACGTCCGAGGCATACTGCCTGTTGGTATTTCCGAGTTATTTTCTTGAATTCTGACTTTTTGCCAATCTACAAAGCTTGATTGAGAAATATTTAGCCTCCAACTCTTTTGATTCCTGCAAATTTCATTTGGACATTGTGATGGCTGCAAAAACTTATCAAAAAACAAAAAAATACTTCTTGGTCCTCTTTTACCTCTGTATACCGAAAAACTTGCTCTACTTCTGTCACCACTGCACGACATGCCTCACAAACAAATGTTGCACGGCTTAGTTCAGGTCTTACTTCACTTGTCCGCGTCACTGTACCCGAAACACTGCTAAGTTTGCCAATACGGTCCGCGCGGAGATCCCTGATTTTTGAAACAAGTGGAAACCCATAAAATGCCAAATGAAACGTCTTATCTGTAGAAACTTTTGACTTATTTGTTGTTTGAGAAATAGTCGAGCGATAATAAGCTGGCTCATAGCGCTCTACAAGACGATGCAGCCCGCGCATCAGAAAAGGAAAAAACCTGCCACAAACCATTAACCCTGTATTACTAAACATTATTCCAACGCCAATTAACTGTCAGCAGACCATTCCATACATTAAAAATACTAACATTGTTAAAATTCCAATATAGCGGTCAGCACTGGTTAATAAAATACAATAAACCATTAATAAAGCGCTGTAAACTCCTATCATGCTTTTAAGCCTTACAAGACCCTATATCTCAAATCCCGTCTGCTGCTTCTACTGATGCACTGTATATACAATATACACTGTATATATTGTATATACTGCATATATACAACACATACTATACATATACAATGTATACAGTGTATACATTGTATTATATGTGGATATGCTATACATGTAGTGCATATATACCGCATATATAACGCATATACAACGCATATACAGCGCATACAGCGTGCATATACTCTCTGTTTTAACATACCGATAATACTGGTCCACAAGTGCCTCTGCTAACGCACTATTTTCAAATCCAAGAATATGCATATAGTCCACATATAGCGTCGTCACCTCATATAGACGCATTCCGTGGATCTGCTCAATATAATACCGATGTCCTTTATTTTCTGTGTCTCCATCTATTGTCTCAATATAGCTATCTCTGTAAGCCCTTATTCTGCTGCTTATATGTATACTTTTCAATGAAGCTTTCAAAACTCTCCCGGACTTTTTCACCTGTTATATCAATAACCTTTGGTATTGCTGTCTGTGGCCGTCGTGGCAAATGATTTGTTATATCAGCTTCTGATTGCTGTGTGTCAAGTGTTGCCTGTGCAAGCTGGCTTGACAGATCATATCCCTGTATACCGTCTGTCATATTTACATTTTATGTATTATGCCGCTATATAGTGTATTATTATGTTCTTATTATGTATATATTAAAGATTCTATATGTATATTCATTAGACCTGTGCATGTGCCAATAAGCTCATATATACGCTGTTTAAGCCTGTATGTATATTTTTTAAGCTTATATATACGCTGATTAAATCTGTAGACCTATATATGCAGCAATTAAACCTATATATGGGTAATTAAGGCTATATATACTAGTTGAAGCGTTATATGCAGTAATTAAGCCTATGTGTGCAGCTGTTAATACGGTGTGTGCAGTTTGAAAACACCTGTGTGCACCGTAACATATACTCTTACACATATATACGGTGCAGTACATATAAGTGTGTATCAAAAACAGCAGTATTATACATGCATATTGGTATATTAGTACAAATTAGATGCTCTGTATATGTTATATACATTAGTATGCATCACATATGTACGGTGGATACATTATATATGCTGCAAATGTATGTGTGGTACAACATACAGTATATGCACAATATATAACATACAACACATAGCACAGCATATAGCATAATGCACTGTGCATATATTGTGCACTGTGCACATACAATGCATACACTTGCATAGTACACTATATGCACTGTATACACTATATATGCCATATCTGAATTGTATATACGCTATACAGAGCATATACACACTATATACACACTCATGCAATGTATGCAGTGCAAACGGTTTATATCCGTCCCACACCTGCACCCATCACTCTGCTGTGCAGAAACCGTATACAGAGTGCATACATGCTTTATGTGCTGTATACGCTATATACGCTGTATATACAGAGCATATCTGTACTGTATGCGCAGTATATACGTTTTGCACTCTGCTATATACCGTATGCACGTTGCATACATTATACATACACTTATACACCTTATGCGCCCTATACGCCTTATAACCGCGCTATTTCCCTATATACACACTGTACATATATATACTATATATACAATACACGTTATATACACATATACACGGCAACATGGCCTATCTAGGGCATGTGTGGTATATATTATACATGCACAGTATGTATATAGTGTGCACGTTATATCTACTCTGAGTGCTATATAGGCTGTATATACACTCTATACGCCGCCCCCTCTCCCATGCACTGTATACACTATATACACTATATACACTATATACAGTATACATACACGCATCTACGCAGGCATATACAGTACACTGGTGTGCTGCTGGTAACTATGGTTACATGGTAGCTATAGTTACCCGTCCACTGCCCAACCTCATGAAACTGAAGTATACTACAATACAACTACACTGCACTTATACTGCGTACTAAACAGCAATCTGTTGCTGTATACACCTTTCCATATGACCCATTTACATATTATACATTGCCACGATATATTTCATACTATACACTGTACATACTAGTAGCCTTTTAACCTTCACTGCCATCTCCCGCCCAAACGCCCTCATGGTCTAGCTGGTTATGATACGGGTCTCATACACTGCGGGCCCACCTGCAGCCATCCCGGGGTCGTGAGTTCGAGCCTCACTGAGGGCACTTTTTTTCTATGAACTCTAGATTGCCCTCTCAGCAAGCGCTGAGTGCTCTTGAGGCGCTTGAAGACGCTTTGCGGTGCCAGATCTGCAAAGATCTTATGACTGCGCCAGTTATTACTGGCTGCAGCCATACATTTTGCTCACTATGTATCCGACGGGTCCTCGTAGACGATGGACGATGCCCGGTATGTCGGCATACAGAGGATGAGCAGCGGTTGCGTAAAAATACAGCAGTTGAGGATGCAATTGAGGCGTATATACGTGGAAGGTGTGTTATGAGTGCCTGTGGCTCTGCTGACTGTGCAGACCTGCTTTTGACAGCGTCTGCTCTGTGCAGACGGGTTTCTGCTGTCCCCGTGTCGAGTGTCCCGTGTGTGGACGGGCTGTCGACGAGGCAGACGCACAGGTACACGTCAATGCCTGCCTGGCAGGCAGTGTCCCGCGGCCTGCCAAGCTGCCACGTGTTAATTACGCCCTTTGGACGGAAACACGGCTGCGTGCAGAGCTGCGGGCACTTGGCCTGCGGACAGCCGGCGACAAAGCAATGCTTCAGCGGCGACATGCAGAATGGATCAATTTATGGAACGCAAATACTGATGCAAAACACCCGTTAACCCGTACGGATCTTATACGACGTCTCGAGCGTTGGGAGCGCACTGCACGTACTCTGCAGCCAAGTATTCGCGAGGTTGCACGTGACTCGTGGCTGCGGACACACCGCGACGCGTTCGCGCAGCTCGCGTCGAGTGCGCGTCAATCTATTAAGGATACATGTGTGTCCTCAAGTAGCGACTGCAAGCACACAGAGAGAGAGACGGAACAAAGCACAGAAAACACAAAGACAGAGCCAAACATATAGTGCAAAAGCAGCAGTTACCAATGTGCTTATACTATACGTATTGTATGTATATAGGTATAGTTATACTCACTTGTGTTTATGTCTATATTTATGCTATGAGATATGCTTGAGGTGTGGGGTTAGCTTGCTTTAATGGAGGCCAAGTACAGTTTTGTAACCAAGGTAACAGTTGCTAGGCAACAGTGCCTGGGCGAAACAGTGGTACAATGAGTGCAGTGCAGTAATGCAGTATATACAATGTGTATATGTATGTATATACACGCAGAAGAGTGCATTGACGTGCTTTTGTGTATACAGTGTGTATACAGTGTGTATAGTGTATGTATAGTGTGTATCGATAAAGGTGGGCAGGGCAATCTATAGCGACGATAGAGCAATAGTATACAGCAGAAATCTATGGTAATAATATACAACAAAATTATGAAGCAGCTAAGCACAGATTGAAACAAGGTTAATGAAAGGCCAAACTGAGGTTCAAAGGCCCAATGAATGCCTGCAGAGCTAAGAGAGTCCTTGACAGGGTTAAAAACATGATTAAAAGAGGGTTAAGAAAAAATATATGTGAGACAAGTAGGATTGCTTAATAATTACTCAATTACCTTGATAGGTTTTCTGGAAGGAGAGCAGGAGACAGAGGGATCGATAGAGGACGGAGGGAGATGATCGATCTGAGAAAGAAGAGAAGAAACGGCATCAGAGGCCGTGTCTTTGATATTGGAGCTATCAAAGGCACGGAGAAGAGCCTCGAACTCCTGTTCGATCTGTGCATCAGAGATCTCGGAGAGATCGACCTCGCCAAGAACTTTTCCTATATCTTTAAGCTCACAAGAAAGCATTCTGGCTCTCTCAATGACGACATTGACATTTTCGAAGCCGCCAATGTTCTTGAGAAAGACATCGAGAACATCGGACCCAGATTTCATTGAATTAAGGACATCGAGATTGAAAGCAGCCTCGTCGATTTTGGAAAGCATTTCTTTGATCTGTTCAAGGGCTTGGAGCCTTTTTTCCAAGGTGGATTCAGAAGATTTTCTGGAACGAAGGTGGAAGAGGGCCAAAGCCTTGTTTTTAGTTTTGACGGCAGCCTTGACGGTCTCGTCTAGCTTAGAAACGTTATCGGTGAGCATGGTGACAAGGAGTTGGAGCTGGTTGCGGACGGTTTTGAGATTTGAAACCAGTATATCGGTTTGATTGACATCATCAGCGACAGGTTTAGTTTTACTCTTTAATTTAATGACCTATGAGAGGTTAAGAGAGGTGACAAGAGAAAGAAAAGGACTTGGCCGTTTGAACAGGTGCAAATTTCCTTTTTGTAAGCTGAAAGATAATAAACAATAATTTGAATGTCTAGTTTAGAAAGGGTGCGAGAAGGAAGTATTTTATCGGAAAAACAGGAAAGAAGTTCGTCGAAAGTATAAATATGGTCACTGTACATTGTTCTATCTTGAACTAAAGCAAGAAAGGCATTAGAAGCACACTCAACGTGCTGCATGATCACACAGACAGTGTTGAAACGGTGGTTTTTGCGGCCCAAGATGCCGATTCCTCGCAAAGTCCAGGTGATCATGCCAGACAAAAACGAAACAAGATAAGCGTAAATAGGCTTTTTCTTCTTCAAAAAACAATCCAGACGCACCCAGTCACCACTAGACAATGCCTCCTCCTGTTCAATTAGTTAGCCAAGTGCTTATTTTGGTCTTAAAAAACAAAAAACCATTGTTTCTACTATGCCTAAAGGAGTGCCATATTTTGCTGTATAAAGCGAAGCAAAAAGCTTGTTATCACAGTAAATAACAAGATAATCGTCTCTCCAAGTGATTCTACCGGCCCAAACAGCCTCCTGAAGTGCATATTTCCATGCACAAACATTTGCTTTGTATCCATCAGGATTTGATTCTTTTAAGACAGAAAAGTCGGAATAAAGTGATGGAAGACGAGATACTGTAAATTCACAACGGTTAAGGATAAATTCTATTAAAAGACATCCTTTTTCAAATGGTTTTTGTTCTGTTTTCTGATTTTGAGATAATTCCTCTGCCATATCAATTGTTGATAATGATCGATGAAGTGGAAAGTAAATTGTGCTAAACAAACAAGCAAAAAAACATATTAAAAAAAATACATAAAAATAGCTATAAATATAAGTAAATCTAGTGTTAATAGTTTTTGTTTGAATACCTGAAAATGTATGAAAAAATAGACAACATTGTTAAGAAAACAAAATGCAAAGAAATAAACGATTTTAAGTATGTGCCGCCTGCAGCAAGGTATCCATGAATGCCTTTATTCCAGGCCACTGTGTATTTTGATATACTATCATTGCGTCCTCGAGTGATTGCTGAGCAAGATATTTTTTTCCAATACGTAGCCAGGCTTCGGCAGCGAGTACCTTCCAGAAAGCGGCTTTTTTGTAACGAGAACCATATTTAAGGGCTCCATGTGTTTCTACTGACGCAAAATATGTTGCAATCCGTTCTGTCAAGAGTGTACCGACGACATTTCCAACAATACCAGATTCAAGAATCTTTATAAGCCACCTAGCAGCGTCATTTTTTGCTTTATTAGATCGCAAAGCCATGAGTTCTGAAGCAAATATAATACAACGTAAGGCAAAAAAAGGTGAAGAGCATTGTGAAAGATATGAGTATAGAGAAGTATCCAACATAGAATCAATCGTTTCAATTTTAATTTTTGTTGAATGCATAGGAAGTAAGAGTAAACAAAATGTCGACATTTCATGTGCACCTGCATAGTATTTCCACGCATTATCGTCAAAAAAGTCTTTCTTAAGAAGTTCATAAATAGATTGTGCGAATTTCCAATCATGAAGCATAAAAGCATAGTCAGCAAGCTTTCTTAATTGTGCTTCAGGAGAAGATGGGGGATAGGACGACGTAGTAATATCGTAATTACCATTCTGATGTAAAGATGCTGTGTTACGAGCTATTCCTGCACCAAAATAACGTTTAGAGATATTAAAAAATCTTCCAGAGAATCCTTTACGAGGAACAACAAGCTACATAGAGTTAATATAAATTTACGTCTAATTTACGAATTTACTTGCTCATTCCAAATATCAACTGAGCATTTCATGACAGGAAGGATGCTTCGAGAAATTAATTCTTTTACAAATGCACGAATAGAAGACATGTCTTCGTTCGACAAACCATGATATTGATTAGAAAAGTTAATATAATCACGAAATAAATATTGAGTATCTTCAGGTATATTAAAAGGCATATTCCAAAAACTTTTTTGTTCCAAAATTTGCATATATTGTGGTTCTTTCAATACTTTCTCTACTGAAGACAATTTAATAAGATAAGCATGTGCTCCAAAAGTCCGTTGAATAGTTTGAAAAACCTGTAATGACCTAAAAAATGAGAAAAAGTTTCTAAAACATAAAAGTATACTTTTCAAAATCATGAGCATCGTCATGTATAAAAAGATATATCTGTAAATAACTAAGATCAATGTACGATGGAAGAGACATATGCGATCGTTGTTCTAAAAGCAACTCAAGTGCCTTAAGTGGTGCTGGACTATAAGATGAGACTGCAAAAATACAGGCAACAGGATGACTAAAAGATTCATGTGCAGAAGGAGGAAGAAAGGTCAACAACCGGAAATAAAGATCAAAAGCAGATGATAAATCAAGAGACGAGTCTCTAAGTGATGTTTTTAGTGGAACATCTCCCCAAAAAGCGGCTTTTTTCGACTTTAAATCACTTTCAAGTGTCTTTTTCAACTCAAGATCCTCCAATGATATATTCGGTGAAGACGTCTCTTCAGCAAGGATATCTAATTGTGCTAAGCATTCAGTAAAGTTTTCATCTAATACTAAGCCTTTAATCAATTCTTCCAGTCTTTCTCACCTTTATTTAGAAGTCCTGATGAATCAGATGCCTTAAACAATATTTTATCTTCTAATTTCTTGACTGATGCATCTATTGAAATATCTTTTTTAATCTCTACATCTAATGGCTTCAAACTTGCAACTGTTTCTACTAAATCTCCTTTTACTGTATCAGATCCATGGAAAGACTCTTCTCCTTTATTTTGCATATTTTGCTCTAAAAAATTCATATGATAAGCAATACACTCCTCTATCCACCCAAGCTGGCCTTCAAAAGAACTTGCCGGTCTTTCCAGAGGCATAAAACGGATACCCATCAATGAATTCTCAACCAATTCATCTGATTCATCTTCTCCAAACAATGATAGCATCTCTGTCAGACATTTATATCCTTTTGCTATCGCAACTCCATCTGCATCTTCTGAAGAAAGGACTGCAATATGTGGCAAAAAACTACGTAAAAACAAATGTGCAACGCTTGATGATGCAAAATGTGGCTTTTCTTGCTCAGATTTCTCATAAAAACACTGAATTTGCCCACTTAAACTGTCTCTTTTTTTCATCACAAATTTTAAAGTTGTGATCTCGACGATGACGTTGCCATAGGGATTGTTGGTAAGGCAACATGTTGTCATGGCAAGCTTAGCAAGGCGCAGTGCTAAAGACATGATTTATATATGAAATTATATGAAATAGGAGTATAAAAGTTTTTGTATATTTGTGCTTTTAAAGTAGTGCCGGTTAATGGGATAATTCTAGTTATTTGTAAATGGACAACTTTTGTTGTATCAAAGACCTCTTAAAGATCCAGCTACTTAGTTATCAGCAACACTTGGAAGCTTATTGCTCTTAGAAATCTTAGTATGGGCAGACTGCATCAGTAAGATTGTAACCATGGAAACAGTTAAAATATTCTAACCTCATCTCAACGTCGATATTAATGAATGTATTTATATTCTCTGAGGTGGGCTCTTTTGCAAAGAAAAAAAGCCTTTGACAGTGTAAAAATATATGAAAAATATTTAAGATTCATTTCCAAAAAAAACGGTGTCAAAATGTGCAACCAATCGCCCAAAACAGGCGTTTCTTTAGATGATTTTTCAGAGGAAATAATTCTTAATAAAAACGAAAATTCTATTAAAAGCCTACTTCTTCAGGTAGCGGAAGAGTGCAAACGCTTGGGAAAACCTGTAACACTCAGATTTGCGGGAGGATGGGTACGGGATAAGGTTTTTTTAGCATTTTGGGGGATAAACAAAGAAGCTTATGTTTTTTAGCTTCTTGGAATAGAAAGCCATGATCTTGATGTTGTTGTTGATACTATGTCAGGATATGACTTTGCTATGCACTTAAGTGCTTATCTTCGCAAGGATATGGGCTCTTTGACAAAATTTCCTCATATTGCAAAAATTGAACGTAATCCTGAAAAATCAAAGCATTTGGAAACAGCAACGACTCGTATCATGGATTTTGGAATAGATTTTGTTAATTTGAGGTCTGAAAAGTACTCTTCTGACAGCCGTATTCCTATTATAGTAAGCACTATATAATAGAATAAAAAAAGAATTAACAATATGCATAAGGAATTTGGGACTCCTGAAGAGGATGCGTTGAGAAGAGATTGTACAATAAACGCATTATTTTATAATTTGCATACATCTCAAATTGAGGATTTTACAAAACGAGGCCTTAAGGATATAAAATTAAAAAAAATAGTTACTCCTCTGAAGCCTTATTCTACATTCGAAGATGACCCATTAAGAATTTTGCGATGTATTAGATTTGCTAGTCGTTTTGGGTTTAAAATTGATTCAGAAGTAAAGCTTGCTATGATGCATCCAGAAATTAAAGTAAAAAATTATATATTTAACTTTTTTATGTTTTTAACTAATGCTAGAAATCATTATTAATAAAAATAAGTAAAGAGCGTATAGGTGTAGAATTAGAAAAAATGCTGAAAGGTTTGATTTTCTATAGTTATAATTTATTGTTGAAAAAATATAGGTCCAGACCCATATAGCTCTCTTATTTTAATCCATGAGCTTGGACTATATGAAAATATATTTGCAACAGAAATTCTTGGAAAACCGAAAAATAATATGAAAATGATTTTACCAGTACTTGAACTTGTGAAGTGGATAATGTATGATCAATCAAAAGACAAATTAACGAATACAATAAATAATAATTCAAAAAATGAATTAGAAAATGAATCACAAAATAAATTAAATCAAAATTTAAATATAACGTATTTATCAAAATATTCTCTAACTGAAATTTTAAAACACATTCAGACTCATCCTTTTAAAGCATATATGAGTCTTTTAGGAGAAACAAAAAATAATATAATTCCATGGCTTCTATGCATTCTTATACCCTGGAAAAATCAAACTATTAAAATTAAGAAAGTAGATACTCAATGTTCAGCTATCATAGTTCGAGATGCACTAAAAATGAGCAACATAATTACTCATGTTGTTGAAGATAGTTTTACTTATTTTCAGGATGCACAAAAAATATCACATGAATGTATGAACGGAAATGTAAATAGATTATCTTTAGGTATTAATTTTGTTTAAAAAATTCTATCTTATTTTAATTCACTTAGGACTTTTCATTCGTCTTGTGAAAAAAAATTGGCCATTTGCTATTTTCCTTGGACTAATAGACGATATAATAACTCTATATTTATCAAATATAGATACATTAATGTCCAATCAAAATGAAATAGAAATTATGTCAATTATTAATACTTTAGTTAGTAAAAAACAATCTATTTTCTTTAGATATAAAAATCTTCTTGATCAGATCCATCAAGAAAATTTACAGAACGTATACTCTATACAACCTCTTATAAATGTATTATTCTTTATATTTTTTTATATCAATTAACACATATAGGGACACGTTCTTTCAGAAACATTAGGATTAAAAGGTCCACAAATAGGTATTGCAATTGAACAAATCATTCGATGGCAATTAGAAAACCCAAAAGGTACAAAAGAGCAATGTCTTAAACAAATTACTTTATAATAAAATTTTCATTAATTACTTTTAATTATATCATAAACTTTGTTTTTTACAGTTCTTGTAAATTATTAGCATTTGGTCGAGATAAAAGATTATTCGTAATCTGATAAGTAGTTTTCCAAATTATAAATTTTGTAATAATAAAAATAATGTTAAATCAAGAGAAAATAGATTCTTTTCAATGAAAACATTGCTTTATGAATTTTTTTTTTAAATATGGACCTAAAATCTGAAGAAAATGACTTAGTAAAGTCTATAGAATCAATTATTATATTAGAAGAAATTGACTGCACAAAATTAGCAGAAAAAATGCCGAAAGATGAAGATTTATTAGAAAAGGTACTTCTTTTTATGCATATAATTGTGTATCTTTTTTTTTAAAAAATAATATATAAGTAGAAAATTCATAAAATGGAACATATTCTTTGTATTTTAAAAAAAAGTTGTCTTAAGGACGAAGAATCTCATAATAAAGATAAAGTGATAAACATAATGATGTTATTATGTAAATTGATGCGACCATTAGAAGAAGAAATACAATATGACGCCTTAGGTAAATAATATTTGGAAAACAATATGATCTGAATTAATTCATATAGAAAATGTATCTAAAGAACTCAGAAAGACACGCAATTATTTTATAAATATTTGTCTACAATGTGTAGAAATTTTAATGTCATTTTTTACTTTTTTAGCAACAAATTCTCAGATTAATGACAAAATAACTCAAGTATTAGCAACATATCAAATTAAAACAGATCCTTGGACATCAGAAGATAACTATATTATTTCTTCACGAATACTAGAGACTTGGAAAAGCAATTTAATCACCAAAGAAGTTCTTATACGGATTTTAATGGATGGTATTCGCCCATATTTCTCATTTCATAAAAATAAATATTCTTTTGCTCGTTATAAAAAACCAGAAAGTGAAAAAACTATATACACAAGATATGAAAATATATATTCAGCGTTGGAAGACTCTAAAATAGAACCTTGGAAAACAGAAAAAGTAGAATGTGCATCTATTCTTGAATGGACACTTTCAGTGTGTCAGGTAAAAAATTAAAAAAAAAAAATATACTTATTGAATTTAAATATAGAAAGAAATAATTGAAAATAACTTTTTCCTTATAATTCCACCTCTAGTAATACTTTTAGAAGATGCAAATCCTAATTTTAAACTTAAAAGTACACGTTGTCTTCACCATTTGTTATCAAAATGTGATAATGTATTTGTTGAAAAGACAGGGATTGGAAATCTTTTTTGGGAACAACTTATTCAATGTCTTTCATATCATCCACCTTCAATTCATGTCACTATTTCTATTCCTTTATTAAAAACATCACTGAATAATCTTATAATGCTTGCACTTTTAATACAACCAGAGTCAAAAAGTCAAAGAGTGAAACTTTACGATAAAATTATTTATGCTGGCGTGTTCAATGGTATGCTTTATTCAGGAGAACAGCCTGATATGGTTATATTATTTATGGAATATACGAGAAAACTCGTAAATATGATGGGAATCTATGCAACGAAACATATTAAGGTGATAAAATTTCTTTTCTATTATTTTTAACTTTTGAAAAGATGTTAATCCCTCTTGTTTCCTCTGTTTTAGAAAATTCTTTTCAACTGAATCATCTTCAACAACTTGTTGAAGCATCAAAGGCATTAAAAACAATAATATGCGTTTGTTGGCCAAGAATAGGTCCTTATCATCCAACAATCTTAAAAGGTATATGTTTCTGTTGGCTAAATATACAATCACAAAAAGGTAGTCTTATAGATGAAATAAAAAAAGAATTAAATTACTGTATAAAAGCATTGAAAAAGATAATGGGAACTGAATTAGATAAAGATTTTCAAGCACTGATGAATGCTGATCCTAACATGATTTCTTTTTTCAAAGACATATAACAAAAATACAAAAGCTCTTAACAAAATATCAAAATAATCATATTTTAATATTTTAAGTAAGCTACAATTCTTATCTTTTATATAGATAACAACTTATTTATAAATAAATTATATTTCACGATTTAACATAAACGATAAGCTGATAAAAATAAATGAAAGATGAATACGAAAATTATAGTATTTTTAAAAGAATTTATTTCATGAGGTTATGAAGAATAAAGGGAAAAATAAATCAGATGTTCTTTTTTTAGTGAAATTTACACTTTATCAAACAAAAACTGTAAAATCAAATAAACAAATATTTTTATAAAAAAAGTAACAAAATAAATAGAAATTTTTTATTGTCGGAGAAAATAATGATAGTACATGTTTTCAGGTTCTTAAAATTGATCGAACAGTAGAAGATGATTTAGATTTAATTGAAGATGAAACAATTTATTCAAAAACGGAAATTTCAAAATTACTTGCAGCACTAGGCGATGGAAACAAGAATTGTGGTGGTATATCAAAAGTATTAGTTGCATGGGGAATATGTGGTATTTTTTTCCTTTATAGAAAAAAAGTAACATGTTTAATACAGGGTTTATTCGATTCACTTGTGGATATTATATTTCATTTATTACAAAAAGAAGTACAGTTGCTTTACTTGGAGGGCATTATATATATCATATTAATGATACAAAACTGATTCCAATAATTCATGAGTCGATTTTAGCTAAAAAATCGCGTTCTGTTCTAGCTGAAGAGTCAAGACACTTAAATATATTTCAAACACTTGATTTGAATAAAACATTTTACTTCAGCTATTCGTATGATATTACACATACACTTCAACATAATCTTACTGTTCATTTATCTCTAAGAACAAGAACATTAAAAGATTATAATGAAATGTTTGTTTGGAATTATAATCTTTTAAATACTGCGGTAAAATGCCTTAAAAATGAATCTAAATGGTGTATTCCAATTATGCACGGATTTATAGATCAAGCAAGTATGAATATATTATTATTCGAATCCAATCATTTACTTATTTAAGATATTTCAGTCTATGGAAGATCAATATATATTACATTAATTGCTCGAAGGTCTAGACATTTTGCAGGAGCGCGTTTTTTTAAGAGAGGCGTGAATAGTAAAGTATATTTTTTATTCTTTAGTACTATAAGAATAATTATATTATAGGGTTATGTTGCAAATGATGTTGAATCTGAACAAATTGTAAGTGAAATGCTTACTACTTCATTTTACACCAAAGATATGAAACTTAATCCAAAATATACATCGTATGTTCAAAATCGTGGAAGTATACCTTTATTTTGGAGCCAGGATCCTAATAATATGAGTCCTAAACCACCAATAAAACGTAAATATATATTTTCAAAAAAAAAAAACTAAAAATTCTAGTTGATATTATAGATCCATTTTTTAGTGCAACTGCCTTACATTTCGATAATATGTTTGAACGCTATAGAACACCCTGCATTGTTGTAAATCTTATCAAGGTAGTTTGCTTAAATAAATAAATATTAATTAAATTTTATAGTCAAGAGAAAGAGTTAAAAGGGAATCCATTTTGCTAGAAGAATATACACAAGCTATTTCTTATTTAAACCAATTTCTTCCGGAAGACAAAAAGATTAAATACATCGCTTGGGATATGTCTCGAGCTTCTAAGACGTATCAATACCTATATTTTTTACTTATCTTTTAAAAATATAATAGGAGAGGTCAAGATGTAATTTTAACGCTTGAAAATATTGCAGATGATGTTTTAAAAGCTACTGGATTTTTTCATAGTAAAATTTCAGATATTTTAACAAAAAATGATACTGAAAAGAAATTGAAATTGCAAGAAGGAATATGTCGTACTAATTGTATTGATTGTTTAGATAGAACAAATGCTGCGCAATTTGTTATTGCAAAAAAGGCTTTAGGTTATCAGGTTTTAAATAAAGACTTTATTTAAATATTTTTATAATGTTTTAAGCTTTTTGCATTAGGGGTTATAAGAGAACCTGTTTTAAATTATGATACTGATGCAATTAATCTTTTAACGGAAATGTACCATGATCACGGAGATACAATTGCATTACAATACGGAGGATCTCATTTAGTAAAATATTTGAAATATTTTAGCATAATTATAACATTATTAAGGTAAATACGATGTCAACATACAGAAAAATCAATCATGTAAATACACATCAACATTAAATAAATTATAAATTAATTTTTTCAGTGGTCAAGTCATTCGAGAGACATAATTGAAAGTATTCGAAGGTTTTATACTAACTCGTTCGTTGGTATATTAGAATTTAATTTTAAATTTTTTAAAATATTCTTAGATGCTCAACGCCAAAATGCTATAAATTTGTTTTTAGGCAATTTTAATATACCTAAAAATAAACATATATTATGGGATTCTGTAGATTGTTGTTTACACAATACTCCTCAATTATATAATAAAAGAAGAAGGTTGATAATATTCTGGCTTTTTGATTTTAATCATTCTTTAGTTATAAATATTGGTATATACCGTTGAATATAAACCATTCTTTAATTAAAAACGACCCCTGTGAGAGTATGAAATACGATAAATCCATAGATTTTGATCAATATTGGTCTGAATATTATAAACCACAATTATTATCAACATTGGACAAGATTTTTGCCTATAAAATCAATTCTACATTAAGATATATTTCTGTAAAGTAAATGTGTAAGTAATTTCCAGATTTTTTTATAACACTTTTAGATATACTTCTGATAAATATTTTGAATTTAGTCCATTTGTAATTCGTACATTACATGGAGATATGTTAGAAGAAAAAAAGATTACTAGGAAGAAACCTTCAAGTAGAGTTACATCTTCTTATAAGTTGTTTTTCCTTGTTCAATAATTTATGAGAAATTAAAATTTGAAATAGAAAACACAAACGTCGATTTACTATTCAAAAGATCCTTAAAAAAGAAGGGAGTACAGATATAAATAAAAGCATCCATGAACACAATAAAACTCAAAAAGTAGAACGATTTCAAGGGTTAAATACAAAAAATGGGCCATTTTTGTTTCCACCTCCTTCAGAGTATCGAGAAACTATTGATTTCTTAACAAGCTCGATGCTATATAAAAAAGAAGAATATAATAAGTATCTATATTATTACCTTTGTTCCAAAAACTAAATACATTCAGTTATTTGTTTCGTTCATATCATATTGAATCTCTTCAAATTGAACTTTCCTTAAAGAAATCAGAATATAGTCTCTGGGTTAACCTTGAGAACATTTCTGACATGGACAAGATAAAAACGGCCGATAAAGATCTTAATCTTTATATACAGTATTGCAGTTTTCCTGAAACACTATATGATATGAAAGGTATCGACTCATAAAAACACAAAAAATAAAATACTAACAATAGCTTAAACAAACTCAATAAATATTATCATATGAAAATAGTTTTTAGTAATATCATCATGCAAAGTATATTTATAACACATAATCGCCAATAATACAAGTCATATATAATATTTAAACCAATATTATAAGTTAACAATATTGTTTTTCCACAAGCAAAATAATAAGAGTCTGTAAAGTATTTAAAGTTCAACAAAGCTTTATTCTTTTTCTTATATTTTTATTTTCATTTTTTTTTAATCGTCTTTTAATTTACATCTTTTAAGAGAAAAAAATTAAAAAAAATGGTGGCTTCTATTTATCATTTAATTGAAAATTCTCCTCCAGGAGAAGTTAATGATGTACTTAATGGTAAAGCTCTTTTTTACTTATATTTTTTTATTTATAAATGATAAAGATATTCGTATTCTTACCAACAATGATAAAACTTTTTTTGAAGAAATTCTTCCATCTCTTACAAAATATAATATGGAACAATTTACAAATGTCAGAATTCCAGGTTCAGATAGTGAAGTTGTGTTTTTTTATTTTCTTGAGCAAAAAGTTGAATATTTTAGACTATTGTTAGTAAATTTAATTCAAATGAAGATGGATGGTTTTTTGATCCTATCTTAAAAAAATCTTTTCAGTTTGATCATATAAATCTTGTATTTTTGTTTTTTATAGAAATCTATTCTTTTAACTGAGTGTTAGAAAGTATTAGATGTCAAGTCGTATGAAACAGATATGAAAGTGATAGAAAAAATGTATGGTTTTTATGCTTTTCGACTAGATTTAGTATTTTGCTTATATAGGATACAGAACTGGTCTTCAAAAGCCACTTTTGGCATATTTGTCTGAACATTTTCCATCTAATGTCAACTATGGTATTTTTCCTTGCAAAAATGACATATATAATATTATTATTGTTGGAAATAAGTACAATCCTGTTAACTTTTGGTAAAAATATCATAGAATGCTAGAATTATGTATTTAATTTTGCATAGGAATGGACGCTGGCGTTCTTTCTATCAGTTTTCAGAATCTTCTCTTACTATTACAGGAACATTGTTAATTGATGTTCATTATTATGAAGATGGCAATGTGTGTCTAACAACAAGGCAAACGCTTTCTTTTGAGGCTAAAAGCTTAGATTGCTATGATATTATAACAGCAATTGCAGCAGAAGAAAAAAAGTATCAAGAAGAACTTAATACAGCGTTTAGCGGATTGAATGACTATGATTTTAAAAGTCTTAGGCGTCAACTGCCAATGACAAAACAAAAAATGAACTGGGAAAACATAAACACTTTGAAAATAGGACAAGATGTGACTGGAAGAAGTCAGACATATTAATTTTGCTATAATACAAATTTTTTAAACAGAATAACAGGAGCTGCCTTTAACATTAAAAGTATCTACTAAGCATCCATAATATTGTAAAAATTAATATAAAAAAACAAACACCTTTAAAAATACTCGTTTTTACTAAAAGAAGACGATTTAAACGTAACACAGAAGCCTGAACACTTTGTGAAAGACTAGTTATGGCTTGTTTCTATATTCCTATTAGTCATATACGCTTTGCTTGTACTTCTTACGCCCTGATCAATCATCGTTGTATCTGATGCATGTTTATAAATATCCGTGGTAATCTAGAAAAGAAGAACGTTAAGCAATTAAATCAGATTCTAAAGCGAAAAATACAGACATCTTTAAGCATAGAAATTTTTGATTCCTTTAAAAAATAATAAATCTTGGTTAAATTGGTTGATCCGCACCTACCAATTCTTCAAGACGGTTGTCATTTTGCTGTTCATAAATCCGAGAGAAAGAAACTACCATTCTAATAGAAAATTAAACTTAAAAAGCATTTGAGGGAATGCTTAAAAGCCTTGAAAAAACTATAAAAACAATATTGCTATTAGTGGTTTGTTAATGCTGGATTATGTTAACCGATGCACGTGAAGTAAAAAAAGACGTATAAAAAAAAATATATATAATGTTTGTTTTATGCTAAAGAATGTGTAGATTAGATGAAAAAGGCAGCTAAGCATCACTGAAATGTTTAAGAAACAAGAAAGTGCATAAGTCGTTCATAGATAAAGAAGGAAGAAGATATCTTTTAAAGAAGAAAAGTCAGATAATTGTTTTAATAGGTATTTTACATACCATAGGAATGGCCTATTAGAGTATATTAGTATTTTTTTTAAAAAATTATAGATTTTTACTTTGACATAACTTATAGTTAATCCAACAAAAAAACCTCTATAGCCTGATGTTTTCCATATTTCAAGAGCAGTTGCACATATCCCCCTCCTTGTATTAATATCAATAGCGTCAGAAACCTGCATTTTTCGGCGAATAACTTCTAGTGGGTATGCAACAGTTTGAGAAAATAAACCAGCCAATCCACCAGCAGTAAGCTCTGCCCACACTTTAAGAGGTGCTCGTTTATGGCGTGAACTACCATGCCCACTATTCGAACCTCTTGACATATATTCTGTATTTGAAAGAACCTTGTTTGGATTTTGATCAACTACTGTATACTTTTCAAACTTTTTCTTTCGAAATAAATCGGTAATAAAGTCATGTGTACAAAAAGAAACGCCTGCATAAGGAAGAATCCCCAAAAGCGTTGGCATAAAACCTCTATAAAAGTTAAGAAATCCAACAACAGTGTTAAATGAATCCCAAATGAATTTTTGTGGTATTATAGGCAGCAAGTAGGGTGCCTGTATAACCATAGTAGGAGGATTTGACCCGCTAAAAATACGCTTACATATCCCTCTAAATGATGAACGTTCTTTGGGGTTAATTTCAAATGCTAAACGAACCCGTATGACCTCTAAAGGATACGTAAACAAAACAGAAGTCACTCCTGCACAAATTTGATTCTTTTTGAAAAATAAACCGATTTTCCTTACCAGCAAGAGATCCAGAAACAAACCGACGCACATTTGTGTCCTTTTTTGAATTAGGAATTAACATATTTCGGTATTTTTCATAGCTGAGAAATTTGATTGCAGCATACGGAAAAACACGAATCAAAGTGACCGAATGACCCTGAAACAGACCTCTGATCCCCTCTTCCTTCCATATACTTTTCCCTGCAAGAAGAAATCCAAATCTCATCCTTGAATATTCCAAATAATGCGGATTTGCCGTCTGAAACAAAATTTTTACTCGATCAAGTGGTGCAATAACAGTTTTTGCCTGAAAACTAATAAAAATATGTTTAAAATGTTCAAAAACAACTTACCATGCATCCTGAAATACCCCCTGCAATACTTGTTTTCATCAAAAACCGAATATTTTCATCTGCCTCGATGGCCCTTTGGTGGGCTATTTTCTGCCGAAAAAAAGAGGGCCTTCTATCTGATGCATCAATATGAACAAGTGCTGCTGAGGACATATTCAATCATAATAAAAAATGCATATTTTAAACCATTTTTGCATAAAATCAAATCTCTGTCGTTCTGAATATTCTTGCCGCTGAGATCAGAGTTGCTATGGAGATTGTCACAGTAACACCAATACTTTGTCAATAATCTAGATAAATTATGCCAAATAAAACAATAATGTAAAGAAAGAATAAAATAGAAAAACAAATGTTTTGTATGTAATAGAATTTTTTAAATAAGTAGTGTTTCTTTTTTAAGCCATTCATAAGCTCGAGTATCATCTTTTAAAAATGGAGAAAGTGTTTGTAAAACAAGTGCATGATAATCATTCAACCATTGTTTCTCTGATTCATCTAATAGCGTTGTGTCTATTAGATTTAATCCAATTGGACACTAAATATTAGATAAGTCCCAAAATAAAAAACTAGCAATTTTATACCATTGTTAAATATTCAAAACCGTAAAACTGCTTGTCAGCAAAATTATTGGGAGTAGAAACCTCTTTAACAGCAATGATGCTTTCAATACGCTGCCCATAAGACCCGTTTTCATAATACCCTGGCTCTGATTTACAATTAGTATACTAGAAACAAAAAGTATAAAAATAAGAAAACAGGAATACAAAGAGTAGAGAGGTAAAGGATAGTAAATATAAAAACATAGAAAAACGCTCCAAGAGTGTTGAACGCTCGATAATTATAATTAATTACTCTGAAATTCAAACCCTGTTTCCTTTTTTTACCAAAACTAACCATCTGAAACGACCATTCCAGGTAAAAAAGGTAATTCAATATATTCTTGCCGGAGAGCAATACCAATTGGAGGTTCATGAACATTCAAAAAACTACCCACACCATGTCCTGTGCCATGCAGATAATCAAGACCAATATTCCATAAATATTGACGAGCAAGAATATCTAAAGTATATCCATTTGTACCCTTAGGAAAAATTGCTTTAGCAATAGCGATATGTCCTTTAAGAACAAGTGTAAATGTTAACTTTTCTCTTAATGTTGGAACTCCAAAGTGATAAGTACGTGTAACATCTGTTGTTCCATCGCTAATAGTTATATTAATAAAAATAATTTACTGTAGTATTATAAAAACCTATATTGAGCGCCAGAATCGCATAAATAAATCTGATTAATATTGATACTAGAACATGATAGTTTTTCTGGCTTATAGTGAATAATAGCGCCATTTTTTCCACTAGAAGAAATAGTAGGAAAAGATAAACCCATAAAGTAAGCTTGTTCCCTGAACTCGTGTAAGAAAAAAAAAGACTTGTATAACTTACTTTCGATATATTTCTAATTGATCAGCAGCATCCACTTCATCTAATATCCCTTGATTTTTCAAAAATTCTTCTAACCAGGCAAAAAATTTTACTAAAGCAACACCGTCACGTATATGACAATTCCTCATACCATCAATCTCTGTCTTGTTTTTAACAGCTTTTGCATCACAAATAGGACTTCTCATTACTTCAATATTTGTTTCTCCTAAAGCTATTGCTAAAGCCCAGCTTGCAGTATCTGATATAATAACTTTTTTTCCTTCAAGTTTATCTCTTAAACTTTCCAGATCACTGAAAATGCTTTCATAAGGTTTAATTTTTACATCTTTTAAGTGTTTTTTTACATGACAATCCAATTTCCTATTGTCAATATACAATATAACATCATTATACATGACAAGTGCATAAGCAAAAAAAACAGGATTATATGGAATATCAGTTCCACGAAGATTAAATAACCCTATTCATGTTACTCAGTGATCCATAGAAAAAGAAAAAAATATACATGCAATCTCATCCAACATAGTTACTAAAAATGCATAAGCCTTTTTTTCCTTCAAAACCTTAGAGACTTTTGAAATTTTACTGCATGGTTCTTCACCTAATTAAACGTTAAAATAATAACAATGTAAATATTGTTACTGTACCTGCAAATTCAACTGGATGAACTATTACTGGATTGAGAGGTCTTTCAGGTCTTTCATTTCCCCACACTTCATCTATCAAATTGCTGTTGCTCCCAAGAAGCTTGGCATCTGACTGTTCTAGCTTTTTTGAAAGTGTTTTAGCCTCATCTAGAGAAAATTGTTAATTTTGCAATAGCCACCAAACATCCAGTGCATTACTAAAAGAAATCAAAGATGAATCCACTCCCACAACCTTTCCTTTGCTTGCATTTTGTACTATCCATTCTTGCCATGTCGGAACACCAGAAAGTCCCAATTTCATTAGTGTCCAATTCTTATCAAGCTGCTGACTTGCTTGAAGAAAGTACCGTCCATCAGTAAACATGCATGCTTCTGTCTCTGAAATCACTGCACAGCCTGCTGATCCATTAAATCCTGAAAAAGTCATTTTTTTTCATAGAATCTTAAAACAAACCACTAATAAAAGCACGCCGTGCATCTGAATCTGCAATATATTCAGAAGAATGAACATCCCTTGACGGAACAACTTGTTTCATTAATGTCTTAATCTAAGAATAAAATAACTATAAACTAACTATAGAAATTTATCCCATTTTCCTTCATCAAACAACGAAGTTGCTCTAAAAGATGTCCTGTAGGTACAGTAGATGATTGAGTTGTCATTTTCTGTAGTTAATGTTTTAAACTTAATAAAAATCTCTAAATTTCTTTAGTAATAGAAACTTAATAATAGTTATCTTCTCGATTTAAAAACGTATAACATCTTTAGTATTTAAAAAAAGATAACATATGCAAATGCTATAAAAAACTTACTTTGGATTAAAACTATGCTTTTTTATTAAAATAATAGCAAAAATACTTGGAAAAATGCTTTTTTTAGAGTTTTATAACGCTGATAACTTATATTCAAAATAAAGGAAAAATGAACCAAAAGAAAACAGTTTAAAATAGTGGTAAAAAATATGGAAGAGATACCAATTGAAGAGGTATATATTTTCCTCGTTGAGAGGGATTCCAATTATATTTTTTGCTGACAAAGATGCAATTTGTAGCTTGTACAAAGACTCTATGCATCTGAAAATTCGGGCAATACAAAACTAATTGAAGAAACGCATAAAATACTTATAAAATACCAAAGATCTGATCAGTCTTTAAAACTTGCAGATTCTTGCATGCGTAGTTCAAATTTAAATGTGCAATTTTTTGGTGTATCAACATTTCAAATGAAAATAGATTCGAATTGGTAATTGTCTTTGCTGGATTTTGGGGATCTTACGTGGATATAGGGATAATTTTCCTCAGATTGAGAAAACTTCTTTGTTTGTAAGTCTTTTAAAGTGGTTAAAAGTATATATCGATGGACCTATTATTATTCTTAGAAAGTTAGTCTCTGTTCTGTCTCTTTTTGCATTAAAAACAATACCAGAACTCTGGAACCGCCCTATTCATTATCTAACAGTTTTTCTTGTTTTTGATGAAGAAGTTCAATTTGATAATATGATTATTATACCTGATATTAAACATTTGGTTGGGTTACTTAACTATAACCAAAAAAAAGCTCTATTAATGTTTTCTTCATCTTTTATAGAAGAAATAGGAAACGATAATATTTCTCTTTCAAAAAGGTAATTTAATATCCAGAATATATTGTTGTATAATGTTTTTAAGAAATCAGTTACACCAAGCAATTCAAGATTCTTCTATGGATATTAATCTTTTACTGAAGTATTCTTTTGAATTATTTCCAAACAATAGTGAAAGTGTTGAAGTGATATCTGAAGCTATATATTGTTTCCAAGTTTGGGTATTTTATTGCTCTGATTCTAGTTTTACATTGCAAAATATTTTATAGTATGCAATTTTCTTTTAAAAATAACCATTAATGACTTTAGTACTTATGAAAATATTTTTGAGTCTGTTATATCTTGTTTATTATATAAAGAGACGTTTTTAGTAGCAGCTGATGCTTTGAATGATATTGTTAATCATTCACCGAAGTCTTTATCAGAAAAATTAATGAATAAGATGCAAGAAATACTGTATAATTATTGGAAAGATATTAATCTTATTGAAAATTTTCAAAAAAATAATGGATTTGATAAATATGTAGTTGTTTTTTCATGTTTAATTATTACTTTGTGTGAAGCTAACATCGATTTTTTTTTTCACCATTTAACTGATGATAAATCGAAAATATTTACTGGAATAATGCTTGATCTTTTAGGGCTTCCGGGTTTTGCAATATTTCAAGAAGATATTAGTATTCGAACTTTAGAATTCTTTAATTTACTTATAGAAATGTTTAATGATAACCTTTTTGAAAAGAAAATAGACAATAACACTATTAACCATATGAAAAACATAATAGGAAAAGTACTTGAAAATTGTTTAATTAAATTGAGGTGGCCTCCAAAAAACTTGTTAGAAAATTGGCCTAAGGATATTTGTGATAAATTTATACTTTATAGAAGAGATATTGGGGATTTATTGGAAACCATATTTTCATTCTTACAAACAGAATTAATTGAGAAATTAACAAATTTTTTAGATCATTTTTTATCAGAAACTTTAAATTGGGAAGTAAGTCATATATCATTTTGTTTACTTTATTAATATTCCTAAGAATATTGAAGCAATTATTTTTTCATTAGTTTATATATCAGAAGTTTATCCTGAAGAAGAATCAGAATCAGATAAATACATATTTAGAGTTTTTAGTGGTAATCTTTTTTCCATCTTATCATCATCATCACATACCCAAGTTAAGTATAGTGCATTAAAATTAGCAGGTTATAATTAATCTATATTAATTACTGTAAATTTATGTCAATTTAGGTTCTTATGGATCTTTCATGAAAAGATACCCTTCCGTTATTCCATCTGTTTTAACATTTTTATTTAGTTATTTAGAAGATCCCGAGCTTTCATATATGTCTTCCAAATCTATTTATAAATTGTCATCAGATTGCCGGTTTTCAATTGCTAAAGAACTTTCTACTTTTTTATATATTTTTAAAACAATATCTCATACTTTAACTTTTTCATTTGATACAAAATACAAGATTTTTGCTGCAATATCATGTATTATTCAGTCATTACCTAGTCATGAACAAATAGAACCTTTAAATATTTTAATTCAGAAAATTGTTGATGATCTTGAATTAGCTCAATCTCTTAAATTTGAAGATTTTGATAAATCAACAAATTTGGCACTATCTTGTATTAATTGCTTAACTTTTATTGGAAAATCTCTGGTTTCATCTATAGTAGTGGATACTTGTAATTTTGAGAATTCTGATAGTAATTTAACTGGTTTGGCAAATAATAGATTTATTACACATGATTTGATGAAAATATTTCTTATCGCAGAAGAAATATGTAATAATAGTGAAAAAGTTACCCAGGTTAGTTGTTTTATATTTATTCTTATTTTTATATATCAGTAGTGTATTTGTGATGTATTTAAATCTGGATTTCTTGAATATTTTTTCGGAATATCTTTTTTAAAAATTCATGTATTTATTCAATATTTACTTAGGAGATTTGAATCTTATGGATATTCCTGTTTAATATCATCTGCTGCTTATTTAGTAGCACATAGAAAAACTAATAATACGGAAAATAATATAGATATGCTAGAATTTATATTATATAAATTTGCATCACTATTTGTGTCATTTTTGGAGAAAAATGGTATATGATTTCGTTCTTATATGGAAGATTGTTAATTATTTTTAGATATTAGTAAAATTTCAGATATAATACATGAGTTTTTTGACTTTTTAAAGACATATATATACTGTAATATTGGTATTCTTATAAATATGCAACCTCCATGCATTTTTGATAATTTAATGACATTAATTATTAACTCTTTGTCTTCTAAGGATAGTTTGGTTCAAAAAGGAGCAATAAATTTTTTGGTAATTATTTTCATTATTTATTTTTTAAAACTCATTTCTAAGATTGAATTTATTACATTTCGTTCAAATAATGGAGAAGAATGTGACCTTGTTTTAAATGTGATTTCACATTATGGTTTTTTTATAGTAAGACAAGTTATGATTGTAAGTATCATTTAATAATTTTAATGGAATTAATTTTTAAGGGTATTGTTGGGAGTTTATCTAAAAGTTTTCTTGTTTTTCTTTCTGATTTATTATATAAATTATGTTTAAAATCCCCTCAAAATGCTAGAAATTGGCTACTAGAAGTAATAAACGAAGATATATTTCCGTATTCTAATTTAGATAAATCTTACAAAATTGATTTTATTAATAAGTTTTTAAGGTAAATTTGCATATGATGTTAATAGTTTTAATAAGATTATTAGAATGAGGACTTTTCAGAAAGCTAAAGAATCGATTAGTGATTTTTGGTTAAAAATACAAAATATGGAAAATATATCATATACATATATTTAAAATATGATATATTATATGTTTGAAGAATTTATGTATTGAAGTATATAAATTTTAAATATCATATATTATGTATTTCAAAAATCTTTTGCTTTTATTTCTTTTGAACTTGCAATTAATTCATTAATTGAAGTATATAAATTTTTATCTCTTTGGGATTTTGATATAGAAAGATTTTTTAACCGTATCCAAAATATATCCCAAAGATTACAAGATGCTAATATTATAAATTTAAGTTTTTCAAACTCAAAAGAACAAGGTATTTTATGCAAAATCATTAAATCCTCTATCAAAAAGGCTCTTGAATCTAAAATTAAATTTATATTTCTGAAATCTTGATTTAAAGATAATGCTTGGTTTAATGTATATTGTAGTATTTGAATTATTGAAGGACAACAAGCTAAATATAATGCTTCAAATAGCTTTCCTTTATTAATATTAAGTTCTATTTGATTATTTAATAGCTGCAATATATATAAAACTTTTTTAATACGAATAGTTGTATTCATATAATGTATTTCCTCTGCATAATCTGATTTAGGTGGACGGAATTCTGGCGAAACTACTAAAGCATTAATAATCATGAAATATGTTTCTAGAGATAACTTTAATCCAGACGCTTGAATTTGCAATAATGAATCAATAAGAAGGGAAAATGGAAAGCTGTTATAATTTATAGTATTTGCTTTAATATAAAATTGAAGTATAAGTTCCCAATGAGAAATAGTTGGTGTCCTAGGAAGTGAAGATTTAAAAGAATTATAAAAAAAAGTAGTTTCTGAAAAATATTTTGGAAGCAATTCTTGGAATGCTTCTTCCGAAGATACACTAAGAAGTAAATTAAGATGTGCTTTTATTAAAAAATATGATTGGTCAATTGTATTTAAATTTAATTTTCTAACCAATCTTAAAATTTTATTTAACACAATGATATTCCCTTGTTTTGAAAACTTTTCAAGCAAAAATTCAAAAGTTTGAATTTGATTTAAATTGTTTTTTGAAATTGAAAAATTATTAGAAATATATTTATCACAGTAATTGCAATTTTTTTCATATAAATAGTCTTGAATATCTTGAATTGTATTAAAAAACATTCCTAAAGTATTTGTTGTATATAGTTTTTTTTGAAAAAACTTATGATTTAATATATTTCTTGATTTTCTGAGACTTAATATTAAATCAATGTCTTGATGAATAAATCTTTGCCTTTGTTTTAATAAATAATGATAATTTTTTTTAAAAAAATATAGTATATTTACTTTTTTATTGATATTTTTTTTAAAAAAAGAAATACCATTATCCATATAAGAATTTATATTAATTTGCCAAAGAATATGTGTATTATATAAACAAAAAGGAAATTTAAAAGAAATTTTCTGCAAATTCATTATTTTACTATTTAATTCAAGAAAACCTTCGATATTGAAATAAATATTAATATATCCATTTGTTTTTCTAAAATTATTATACGATATAGTAAAAATCTTGTTTTTTAATTATAAAAATGACATTCTTGCCTTTAAAAAACCTTGAAAGTATTTTAATAAAATTTAAATATTGCATATCTTAAATTCTAAATTTTTTAAATATCAAAAAATAAATTCTTTATCTTTTAGAATCTAATTTTTTATTATATTTTTGATTTATGTTTTTAAAATCTTTATTATACTTTTGGTTTGATAAAAGTAATAATCATACTTGTAAATTAAATCAGTAAAAAAAACTTAGGACTTTTAATTCCTTATTAAATTTTCTAAAATAAAAAAAATATTTAAAACTTTTGATTCTTTTTAAAATATAATATTTATCACAAACTGTAAATTTAAATATTTAAACCCTGTTTTATATTTTTTAACAATAATTGTTAATATTTTCCACGTGATATTTAAGTCTTAATTATAAATAAAATATTATATATAAATTTTATATAATTTTTTTTAAAAGATAGATGAATGATTTAGACGCTCCTTATCTTAAAAATTTTATTTTTGATTCAATTTTAAATGAAGGTTTTCTTATTTCAACAAAAATATATCAAAATAACTATATTAGATCCAAGATTGAAATATATTGTTTTACTTGGTTATATATTTAACAAAAAGGCGTTATTAATGATTGAGAAAACAGCCTTTGATCCTTTTGATATAAGTTTTTTTATTGGAGAAAACGGATTACATTTGAACTTAATTGGGAAAAACGATGTATATCACCTATTTTCAGCAACAATAGCTGAACATAGTAAAGAAAAAGCTCAGTTTAAGGTTACTCTAATTTATCCTGCTTCTGAAACAGTATAAAACTATTTCATACATTAACAACATAATAATACATACAGCATATCAAGAAGTATTCTAAACAATCTAAATTTAGAATTGAAGAAACCCCGGAAATATATGAACTCTATGTCAAACCATATATACAAACAATGAAAGGACCTAAGATCCAATGGTAGTTTCAACTATTGGTTTAATTTTTGTTTTAATATATTTAGGGTATATAATATATTAGACCATCTAGCTGAACAAGAACATATTCTTTTTAAAGATCCTGATACAACAAACGGATTTGTTGTACTACCAGATTTGTAAAGCATTAATTTATAATCATTAATTTTATTCATTTTTAGAAAATGGGATAGAAAAACTATTTCTGCACTTTATTATATTGCTATTATTAATCGACAAGATATTTCATCTTTAAGAGACCTGAGAAAAGAACATATTCCTCTTCTTCTTCATATAAAGCAATCAGCATTAGATAGCATTCTTCAGAAACATCCAGAACTGCGTAGAAATCAACTAAAATTATTTATTCATTGTTCGTTTCCTTCTATTTATCATTTTATTAACCATTGTCCATAGACCAACCTTCTTATTATCATTTTCATGTTCATATTGCACATATTGATTGTGATACAGGTGATGGAATGGATATTGGCAAAGCTTATTTACTAGAAGAAATAATTGATCAGCTCGAAAAAATGCCAAATGAAATTACATTTTCTCACCGAACATTTACTTATTTTCTTGGTGAAAAAAGTGATCTTTGGGTCAATGTATTTTCAAAAATACAAAATAATTAATATATTTACATATCTTTATTAAAATATACTAAACTACTTGATCTTTTTACAAAAATATTAATTTTTGGCTTTTCATAAAAACATGTCTTAATTCATTCAAACTTTTCCAAAGCAATATAGCTCTGCTTTCAATATAAATTTTATATATTTTTTAAATTATACTTATTTATCTCATCGATATGTCTGCGGACAAATGGAACTTCATCCAAACATACCTGGTTATCAGCCTCAAGAAAAATATATAGAACCAGGAATTCCACAAGATATTTCAGAAGCATTGCAACATTCTCCACTTGCATCGGTTGTCAGTGTAGAACCTTGTAAGCTTAAGTATTTTACACAAAAACTAACATGATTAAGTATTACAGACAATCCCACAATTGAGAGTAAATTCCAACATTGATTCGGTGCTACGTCTTTCAGATGAAGAAATTCATGCATCCCGTGTTTTAATTAGCAGTTGGAATAGCTTTGATCTTAATAAAAACAAAGAAATATTATCACCTACTTTGAAAGAAATTACAAGTTTATTAAAAGAAATGCCAATGAAAAAATGGTATATTATTATAAAATATAGGCCTATAAGTGAGGAATATTTAGGTCATTTAAAATGCAAGAGAGAACAGATAACTTTGAAACACAATATCAAGATTATTATGCAGAACCATCAAAATTAGGAGCATTTGCACGTACATTAGTTGATCAATGCACTGTTGACGTAAAATGTGAGCTAAAAAGCACATATATGCGATAGTTTAATAACTTTTTACATTTAGACCCATCTCCAGTAACACCGACACAGCATATATTACAAAAAAAAACATCTTCAGTGGAAGAGCAAAGTTTCAGAAAAAAAATAGAGATTCCTATAGATTTTCGTACAAAAACGCCTGAAAAATATCCTACAGATATGCTATTGACACATCCATGGACACCACAATCGAATACAATACCACATACACCTACATCTAAAAATAGTAAGCGCCAAATACCTTCTTCTGGAAGAAGTATACATAAATCAAAACGATTCGTTAATATTTTTGATGATGAAGAATATTCAAATGCACTTAATGACCAATTAAAGGGAGAGAGAGCAATTGAGCAACTACAAAATGTAATTCAATTTATTTTTGAAGCAGAAGATGCAATGGTACCTGATACATCCCGCTTTGAGGCGCAGGATTTATATACATCATGTTGGATTGATCAAACGGTGCCTTTTGATGCACTTTGTTTGAATATGGAAATCCTCGCTAAATTAGATACTGCTATCCGAAAAGTTTGTTCAATGCATTTAATGAGTAGTTTACCAGTTGATATGCTTTCTCGCTTGATAAAAATATGTTCACGATCTATTAATGAATCAGAGTTAATAACTTTAACAAAACAGTCGTTTGAGACAAACTCATATGAAAAAAACTTATCTTTAATTACGAAAATAGGATCATCAATTTACTCTTTAATTATATTAATGAAAATACTAACTTCAGAGCAATTGAGCAAACAGGTTAGATTTTTATTTGGATATTTTTTATCTCATATAAATAGCTATATTCTGAAGATATCTTAATTGAAATGGCTCATTTTTTAAAATCAACGCTAGATAATGTCATATACGTTTTAGCTGATAGTAATAGGACCTTTTTTATATTTTTATTCTTACTTTTTCTAGTTGAACTTTCAAAAGAATCAAGTTTATTAAAATTTAAGAAATCTATGAATATGATATTGTATAATGTTACAGACATTATAGAATATTTTGGTCATTTAATTAATTTGATTGAGATACCTGATAGTGTAATTACACGTCTTGAATTTCTTTGCATTCCTGCTATATTTATTGAAAACTTAACTCTAACTAAAGATCATTTATTTAATAATCAAGGATTAGAAGCCTTAAAAGTAGCTTCTATGAATATAATTCAGAAGGTTCTTTTTAAATATGCAATACTTTTATCTAATAACTATAGATTTATACGAGATACCCAGATCAACGTATGTTTATATTAGATGAAATTTTAACTAGTCTTATTAAATTACCAATAAATAAACAGCAAGCTCGTCGTTATAAGTTAGTTGATGGTAAATCTATACAACTAGTTTCTGCTTTAATTATGAAATTAATACAATCATGTGCTAACTCATATAAAACCAATAAAGAGATAAATATATATCAGTTTTTAGAAAAAGATATTGATCATATAAAAAATGAGTTTGAGAGCGATTTGAGTACTAAGTTCAGTTCCTCTGAATTATTAGAAACGGTAGCTTATTTATTTATTTTTTTTTTAATTTTATTAATTTAAAAAGGTTTTGAATACAAGCTCTCAATACATGGATTCAGTTACAATAATTGCTAATCATGTTATATCTTTTTTATTGTCTAGAGCTACAAAGATATCAAAAGATAATAATTTTTCGCATAAAATATTATTAGATATTTTTATAGAAGATCTTCTTTCTGTATTACCATTACCTTCATGGCCATCTTGCGAACTTCTTTTAAAACTTACAGTTACTAAACTTGTTAGTTTATTTATAAAATATTTTATTATATAATAATTTATTATAGTTAAATTACATAGATAATGATAAAGAATGTTTTCAGACAAAAGGATTATCTCTTGATCTTTTGGGAAATATTGCTTCAAAAATTCGCTTTTTTTCTCAAATTTCTATGCAATTTGTTAATTCTTTATCAAAAGATAATGTTCTCAGCAAATTTTCATTAATATTACAGATAGGAAATTTTTCTTTTGAAAAATTAGAAGATTTAGAAAACATTTTTCAATTGCATTTATTAATTCTAAAATCTTTTGAATTTCAAAATAGCGAAGAATCTAAAGATCATGTAACAAGTTATTTTATTATTTAAATAATTCTTATTTTATTTAGAATATGATACAATATTCATGGCTAAGATGGATATATTTTATTAAGTCTTTAAAGCAAAAATATATATCTCAAAGTGACTTTACTTTTTCTAATGATCATGCATCTAAAATCCTTAAATTGGTATATTTTATAAACATTTTAGATGATAAAACATAGTAAGAATTTTTAAATATTATAAATTATCTTTAATTTAAATAGTAATGGAAGCGATTTCTTCCTTGATAAAATTTTTGAATTATATATTTTATATTTATCTATTTATTCTTTATATCAACTATTTGATGCTATTTTATCTAGAATTTTACGATGTCTTGATAATAATCAAGTATCTATAAGAACTAAGGCTCTTCGTTCTTTAGGACTAATTGTCAATAATGATTTCAGTATTCTTTCTAATATTAAGGTTAGACAGCATGTTACAGCACGTATTGCAGATATATCATCTCAAGTTCGTGAAGTTGCTATTGATCTTGTAGGAAAATATGCTATTTCTCAAAAAGAAATAGGGCAACAATATTATTCTGTCCTTAGCGAACGCATAGCAGTAAAAAGTATTTTTTTGTATTCATATTTTAATATGATTAAGGATACTGGTCTTAATGTTCGTAAAAGAGTAATTAAATTTTTAAAGGATTTTTATGTAATATCTGATAATCGAGAAATACAAATAGATATTGGAAGAAAATTAATTCAACGTTTATGTGATGAAGAAGATACTATTAAAGTATAAGATAATTTTTATAAGGTTTATTTTTAATAGTATTAGGATCTTTCAGCAAAAACTATTGAAGAGATATGGTTTTCTACACAAAATGATTTAAATGAGGAAAATATAGCTTCAATAAAATATAAAAAAGCTCAAATCACAAAAATATCAATTTTTCAAGATGTAATAGAAAACCTTCGAGATGAAGATAGATATTTATTTAAAATATTTCTTCGAAAAATATCAGCATCAAAAAATATAAATCCTTCAAATTCAGTATTTCTATCATTTATAAATTTGATGTTTGATATGCTTTTAGACTATCATCAAAATCAAGATACGGTAATTTAATAATTTTTAAATTAAATAATAATTTCATAACAGAAAATGCTTGAAAAATGCCTTAATACTATTATAATTTTTTCGGAGGCTTGTCCAAAATTATTTTCAAGTAGTCAGTTAATAAATATTCAGCCATATTTGAATGGATTAAAATCTTCTCAAGAACAAATTATATTTTTTTATACAGTTATTATTTATCGTAATGTTTTACCTCATATTTCCTCTATTCCAAAAAAAGTTATGATTAACATACAAAAAATACTTCTTTCTCAATTAACGAAACTTCCAGCCAAAGTAATCCTTTAAAAATACTTATAATAATTTTTTATAATATTTCTATAGATTTTGAACGAAGTTGTACCATGTCTTTCAATTATAGCTAATTTACTTGGTGACTATGAACGTGTTGGCAAAATAATGTTATCTTGTATAAAAGCAATTGAGCCCTATAAGACAATGTTACAAGATAAAAGAGAAATTAATGATGATAAAAAGTTGATTTTACTTTTACTTCTCCTTGGTCTTTTTGGACGATATTGTAACTTTGATAAACATTATGAATTTTTTAGTGTTTCCTTAAACTTAAAAACAGATACTTCAGTTGCAAAATTTTTAATCGATACTATATCAATATTTTTTTCTTTATCATCAAATATTCATATATCAATTCAAAAAGTTGCTTTACATAGTATAGGTAAATATTTTTTTTTTTATTAATTTAATATTTAAAATAGGAACTATTTGTATTGCACATTCCAAATTCTTTTTATATGATGAAAATTTAAAAATTATGAATCAAGTTCTTGAAGGTAAATCAATTGAGCTTCAAAATACTCTTCTTTCTATATTTTATGATTTTCTTTCTATTGAAGAAAAGGAATGTAGATATGCTTTTGAAAATGAAAAAAACACTCAATTATTAGAAAGTAAATCTATTGATATAAACATCACAGAAAATATGAAAAAAATTGAAAATGATGGGTAATTTTTAGTATTTTGTGAGCATAATATTCGATTAACTCTATAATTAGTATAAGCATATCATTAATGCAAAGATATCTATCTCAAATTCTTGAAATTTCTATGAATGAAGATGCAAAACTATCAATTGTTGCAATTAAAATTTTAGAAATTATTATTACTAATGGTATTGCAAATCCTAGAACAGTATGTTAAATATAATTTCTATTACAACTATTAAAATATAAAGTGCATTCCTGTTATTGTTGCTTTGGAAATTTCCTCTAATAAATTAATTAGAGATATTGCTATAAAAATACATTTGGAAATACATGAAAAACATGAATCTTTAGTTGAAGGATGTTATATTGATAGTGTTAAAATGGCATTTCAATACCAAACTCGTATAAAACATCTAAATTCAGGTAATTTTGTTTTTTTATTCATAATTTATTTACACCTAAGATGATAATTCTGAATGTTTGCTTATTTTCTTATATAATATCATTAAACAAAATCGACAAGGCCGTAAAAAGTTTTTAATTGGGTTAACAAAAATTTTAGATATTGATATGTCACAAATTAATTTACACAATAATGAAGATATTTCTTTTTCAAAGTTTTTAATTCAGAATTTAGCGTCCTTTGAATACAGTACTATAGAAGAAGTACAATGTATTATTTATACTACTAACAGAATTTTATCAACAACAGGAATGTCTCTCTATCAACAAATTGAAATGAAAGAATTTAAATTTGAAGATCATGATATTATTAGAATTACAATAGCATCTGCTCAAATGTTGGCATTAGTTTTATTAAAAAAATATTTAAAGGAAAGCTATGGATTAACAGAACAAAAATGTCGATTTTTTGACCCTAATAGACTCGGGAATTCAAAAGATAATAAACCTGCTAATAAATTACTTAATATATCACTAAATTTAGATCTAATATCGAATATTACTAATTCTACAATAACTAAAAATCTTTCAGAAAAAATTATACAAAGTGTAAGTAAAATGTTGTCTTTATTCTTTATTAAAGTGTTAAGTTTTATGATATAATTTCAAATGATGATGTTAATTATATGGAGTTTATGGAAACAAGTGATGAACACAATCAAATAGAAAATGAAAATAAAAATGGAATAGAAATTTCTGATAAAGAAAATGAAATAATTAATTCTGTGAAAATAAAAAAAAACAAAGTTTCTAAAAGAAAAACTAAATTATCCAAAAATAGCATATTAAAAAAAAAGCATAAGCATAATATAAGTACTAGTAGCGAATGAAATATTAATGTATATATTATATTTATAAGCAAATGGTATATTAATGATTTTTAAACTATATCATGCAAATTTTATAGGTTATTTATAACAATAAATTATATTAATGAAATACAGGTGCAAGAGCACATAAACTAAATTGAATATCTTTTTTTCTTTCATAAATATATTTTTTAATAATTTGTATAGTTTGATTTCCTAATAAATCCTCATTTAAAATACCATGATCAATAGGTCCTAAAGGATTACGACCGTCAAGTTCATAAAGATGACCATTTTTAGATGATTTTACAAAACAAATATAATGAAAAATAGTATTCTCGTATAAATTTGGGGAAGTTTTTCCTTGAGAAGCAAATTCTACTTTTGAGAAATTATAAAATGCAAATATGTTATTCTTACTGGTATGAATAATTTTAAGTTGTGAAAAAGATTCAATAAACTTTGAACGAGAATCTATGTTTAAATTTTCTGTTTCGTTTAATATATTTTGAAGTAAACTATCAGGAACTAATAGATTAAATTAATTCAAATATTATCAAAGTTATTGAGTACGTATAAAATCCCTAGCACCACCATTGGTTGAAGCATGAAGCAAAGCAATTGTTCCACATGAATTTTTAATGGTTTGTTTATACCAAAGAATATTTTGATCATTTTTAATCAATGTTGCACCTGATTTTTTGAAATCTTTATCTTCATTTGAAATTATCATAGGAAAAACAAAAAGAAGAGAATAAACAGGTCTTGGAATAACAGAAAGAATATCTTCATTATCTAGGGAATAAACATCATGAAATCCTAAATTTTTATTTATTCCCAACTCCCAAAGATATTCTGTAAGTATAGAAGGGTTACCTAGATATTTTTAAATATTTTTTCCGGAAAAAAAAAAACAGTATACATTCAATAGGAATCCAAGAAGACTGTTTAAATAAAACATTAGTTTTATTTTCAAATATTTAGTATTTTTACCTTTTTTTCTGTCATCAAAAATGCTAAAATTAAAAAATATAATTTTTTCTCAAAAAATATATTCTTTTTCAAAAAAAATAAATAATACTTATATTATAAAATCGATTAATATTGTTGTTTTTATTTCAAAAACACTTTTTAATACCATAAATTAAAGATATAATGTAGTCACGTGACTTCCAGTAATATCGACAGACACCAACAACATGAAGAACAATGGATCATTTAAATCAAGCGATTGTGTGCAATGATACACAAGAAAAAAGCCTAATACACAATGTAAATAAGTTTATTTCTGTTTCTGACCTTGAAATTCAAAAAAACATACAAACATCTATTGATATTTTATTTCAAGCGCTGGAAAAATATAGGTGAATGTTTTTACTAAGAAAATAGTATTTTAATATCTTTTAATAGTTTTGATGGAATATCTGTATCTTTTAATGGAGGAAAAGATGCTCTTGTTACATTGATCTTATATCTTTACGCAGTTTATAGATATTCTGCTCAAAAAAAAATAGTTTTGAAAAAAATACCAGCAATTTATATTCGTGACCCATATTCTTTCCCTGAAATAGAGTATTTTGTAAAGAAATGTTCTGATGATTATATTCTGGATCTTGTTTGTAAGCCACCACCTATGAAAGATGCGTTAAAAGATTATTTAAAAGATCATTTGAAAATTAAAGCTATTCTGGTTGGTGCAAGACGCAATGATCCCGGATGTGATATGTTGGATTATTTTAATCCTGCAGACCCAGGATGGCCTTCCTGTATAAGAATTCATCCAATTATTAACTGGCGTTATTCTGTAATATGGAAGGTAAACATAGTAAATACATATTCCACCATTGATAAATAACGGCAGTTTTTAAGAGACCTTAATATAAAATACTGTGTATTATATGATAGAGGGTTTCTGTTAATAGTTATTTCGATCTATACTGATTAATTTATTTTATAGATATACGTCTATTGGTAATATTCATGATACTTTTCGTAATCCTGAACTTTATATAAACCAAAACAAATTTAGACCAGCATATGAATTGAAGGATGATAAAAAAGAACGTTTGGGTCGAAAAAAGATGTAAAAGAGCCGTTAAATATATCATAATCAAAAAAGTATTTTTTGAAATATTCATACATGTTCTGTTAGATTTATAAAAAAAACAATATATATTGAACATTAGGTACGTTTTTAAAAGAAAAAAGTTACTTTTTCTAATGGATTTTAATTAATGTTTCTTTTTAGGAGGTCGTGCATTCTTTAATCTTCTTTTTTCTTTAAGCTGCCTATTTCTTCTAATTTCCAAAGCACTTTTTAATTCACTCTTTACATTAATATTTGCATAACCTTTTTCTATAGCTCTTTTGATACGTTTTTCTTTTTTCTTATAATCATCACGATATTTATCTGGAGTTTTTGGAGCTTGGAGTTTATTATGTTTATATCTTCTTCCACTTATGTTTGTATGTGAATTTTTAGGTATTGCGTAACTTTTACAGTTTTCTATTTCTCCCACTTTTTGTTGTGTTACTTTTTTAGAATTTTTCCAGATTGCATATCTAATTATATTAATATGCAATTCAATGAGATTATATAACTACCTTCCTGTTTTATAAGTTGCTGGAATTTTTACCCCACTTTCTCCTTTAATCATTTTTAATTCTTTTTTGGACCCATCATGATCATCCATTCTACTTACAAGCTTTCTCTTTTTAAAACTCCATCGAACACCATTTGCACGAGTTCCTGTTTGAGTAGGATTTTTATCATCACCCATAATATCAAAGACTGCGTTATTTGCTTCTTTTTCAAAGGAATAATCTGATTTATTAATATCATAAGCATGTTCTCGCATAGATGAAATGGATGTATAATGAGACATATAATTCTCTTCATCTTTATAATTTTTTTTATTTATCATATTTTTTTGTATTTCAGATTTAAAATTTAGATTATTTATTGCAAAGTTATTTGTATTTTTTATAAAATAATTTGATTTATCTGAATTTATTTTTTTATTAAATAAAGAGCTGATTGAATTTAATTCATTAACTTTATTTTTAGACACTTTAATTTTTTTTAAACGTTCATATATTATTCCTAGTGCATTATTATTTTTAAAACTTTTTGAACAGTCAAGAACGGTTTCATGAGGAGAATATCCAGAAATTTTAGCTAATAAAGCTTCTCTTGCAATGTCATTTTCATGGACATGCTCAACTATAAAATTAATAATTTTTTATAGTAATTATATATATACCCAATAATGGATTAACATGAGACCATTCAGAACTTTTTATAAGTTCTTTTGCACGTCTATTGCTTTCTGTACTTGCATTGCCTGCTGTTTTCGAATATAAAATTTCACCTTTTTGCATAACTTTTTTAAGTGAAGAACATTCATTATCTTCTTTTAATACATGTGCAATCCATTCACAATAATATTCAAGTTTTTCTCGTATAAATGTTCCTAAAACTATATTTTGAACATAATCTGGGTTTCGGTCATTAGAAGATATTATTTTTCTTCCCAAAAATATCTGTAATTCGATTAAATATGGAACATCTTCTGTTTTAACAAGTGAATACGCCCAGCCTTTTTGTCCAGCTCGTGCAGTTCGTCCAACACGATGAACAAATGTTTTAGGCTTAGAAGGAAAATCATAATTAATCACATTTGATAGAAGAGGTATATCAATTCCACGTGCAGCAATATCCGTTACTACTAAAAGAGTTGTTTTACCTGCTCTAAAAGATGCTATTTGATTTCTTCGAGCGACTTGATCTAAAGATCCATAAATATAAGAAACTAAATATCCAGAAAATGAAAGTAATTTTGCTAAATATTCTACATGATGTCTTGTAGAAACAAAAATAATAGTTGAGTATGGTAACAATGCCTCATGATTATGTGTAGAACTTTTTTCTTCATTTGTTTTTTTTGAATTAAAATCAGTAACTTGCTGTGTTCCTCGAGGAACCTTAATAACTTCATGAAGAAGGTAAAATAAACCCGCTTCTTTCTCTGATGATTTTATTGAAAAAAAGGCTGACTGTAAATCATCAGAAATCATTGATTCAACATTAAGTCTGATTAAAACAGGATTTTGAAGACCAGCTTTTGCGAATTCTACTAAAGATTTTGGAAGCGTTGCAGAAAAAAGAGAGGACTGTCGTGATACTGGAAGATAGCGAAGAATTTCAGATAACTGTTCAGAAAAACCCATTTCAAATAATCTGTATTCAATCAATAAATTTTTTTTGTACTTATTTTTGAAACCTATCTGCTTCATCAAAAACAATATATTCAATTGTTCTGAGATCAAGATCCATTTCTACTTTTAAATGTAAAAACCGACCCGGAGTAGCAACAATTCTAAAATAATTCAGATGACAATTATCTAAATAGATTATTTATACATATCAGGGTTTATTGACATAATTTCAAATTGTTCTTCAAGGCTTTCACCGCCTACTAAAAGTATATGCTTTAAGTTTGTTCCTTTTTTCAGTTCTTTAACAACTTTAAAAGTTTGAAGAGCAAGCTCTCTATTAGGTGATAGAATTAGAGCTCTAGAACCAACCTTTATTTTTTAGCTAAATTTAAACATATGATACTTCTAAGATACTTTGGCTTGATGCATTTTTAATCGTTCAATCATTGGAATTACAAATGCAGCAGTTTTTCCTGACCCTGTTCTTGCCATTGCAACTACGTCCATTCCATTTAATAAAAGAGGAATTGTTTTTCTTTGTATTGGTGTAGGAATTTTAAAACCTTTATATTTAATGGCTTTAAGTATAGTTAAGGATAATCCTACTGAATTAATATAGATATAGATAACATAAATATCTAATACCCATTGTTTTGAATCTGCTTGAGTTAATTTTACGTTGTTTTTCATTTGTTATATCCTTTTTTATGGAAATACTATCTAATTCTTCTGACAAGTTTTCTGGTAAAAAAAGACCATCATTCTCTTCAAAATTATTAAAAAAAAGAATTTAAGAGAAATAGAAAACCATAATCATCATCTTCATCTGCACTTTTATTATTTAAAGGCGGATCATGTTGTATCATCAGTGGTAATGATAAGGAAAATCTTAGATCGAAAAAGTGCGAAAGCCTCTAATAAAATAAAACAATAAAAAGAAAAATAAATACATAAAAATATAGTTAAATTTTTCTAAGATAATATATTCTTTGCATATTATATAAATAAAATATCAAAAGTGCTATACTTGAATTGTACTTTTTACCTAAAACAATGAAGAAAATACAAGAAGGAATAAAACTTACATGTTCATCATCAATAGTTGTATATAATAAGCCATCACTTGTTAGTTCTTCAATTGCTTGCTCTATGTTTCCCCCACCTATAGCCTTGGAAAGTTGGTGAATGTTGACGCCTTCATTAGTATCAGGAGCAGCATGGACAGCCGCCATCACTTTTTGAAGATAAGGAGAAAGATTATGGAGAGCAATTTGAGCATTCAAGGCGCCCTTCATACTTATAGAATCCTGAAAATCATAATGTGACATGTTGCCATCAACAGAAGTATGATTTTTTGAAAAAACACCATTCTGAAGAGGTCCTCTTGTAAAATATAAATGAATTGCAATCGCTTCTAAAAAATGATATTGAACTTCATTTAAATCTGTTATCAAACGAATATGATGTGCACCAATGTGCCGCTTATTGTTAAACGCTTTTAATTGCCCAATAACTCGAACATATGTATCTGGACTGGATAAAAAAATTAAATAAAATAGGTCTAGTCAATTAACATACACAATATCTGTATTTTTTTTAGGATTGTCATCCATAATGGCCTCCATTTCTAGCCATTGTTTAACTTCAATTAAACCTGTTCCATCTTCCATGCGATATGTAATGTTAGTCGATTGAATAGAAATATTACGCACAACTGCAACAAAACTAAGCTATTTCATTGAACGAGCATCAAAAACATATATCAAAAATACCTGACCAATTTCCACTCCATCAATCTTAAATTCTGCATCAGGATGCTGCTGAGATGCCTCAAGAATTTGTTTAATTGTAACAGGACGAAGTGTATTTCCACTTGAACGCTAATAATTAGAAATTGCATCAAAGAAGATCGACCAAAATACCTTAACAGACGACTGGTTCAATTCCCCAACGCCTTGACTCCCATAATTCCCCCCAAGAAATCCTCCATCTCCTTGTGTATTCTGTAATCCATATGATGTTGCATATGGGTTATAACTTGTTAGATCACCGTAATCTGTATGTTTTGTTAAAGAAAAAAGTATAACTGTAAAATCTGCTTTCCATTCATTCTAATTATCTTCTATATAAGACTTTCTAAAAAAATTATAAGCAATTCAATCCCAAATTTTCTTTCAAATTTTTTCTTATTATTTTTTTAAATTTAAAGACAAAAAAAAGGATTTAGATATACCTTATATCAAGAAAAAAACAAGGAAAGTGATTTAAACCCGTTTATTTGAAAATATGAAAAAAAAATATTAATTAAATGTATTTTTTTTAGAAAATTATTTTTCAGAGATCTTAAGAAATATCGATTTCTAATACAAATTCTAAAAAGTTGATAAAAAAACTAAGACCTGTAGCCCTTTGAAAATATATGGAGAAAAATTAATAAAGACAAATTTTATAAAAGTTTTTTAAAAAACTAGGTTTTTCTACTCAATCTGATTATTTAGAGATGAAATATTTATCATGTCTAACCAGTAAGCTTTAATTTTAAATGCAATTGATCAAAAGCTAATTTACTAAAGATCTATAACACGTTTGACAAAAGCCCTTCATAGTCTTTTTTCTTCATCAGAAATACCACAAACATTACCTTTTGACGTTAATGATAAAATATCACAATATTTAAAAAAACATGATGTTCCTGATCTTATAGAAATTCAGAAACTGCAAAAACATCTTTTTGAGATTTATTATACGAGAGTAGAGAATAAGAATGTACATTTTCAAAGTCTTTTTCTTAATTGTTTACAAAAATTCCAATTCTTGCTTATAGGGAAAGAATATGCAGTAAAATGGTGGGATATTATTGTAAAATTAGTATTTAATTCTACACATCAAAAAAAAAGCATTCTCTCAAATGCAGAAAGCATTCTTCTAGCTATGATGATTGTGGATGATGATGTTAAAGAGCGTCTTCGTAAAGAAAAGGAAGAATCTTCAGAAATTATAAAAAAGTGTCTATTTGAGTTCTATTTAGACAATTCAAGAGAAGTTTTTTCTCGTATTTTAAAGAATTCTTTAATAGAAGAGGATAAAAGACACTATATCTCCTTCAATGTGGAATCAATATTAATAGGTTATGCAAAACAGAGAACAAAAGTAAGTGTTAATAATTTTTAATATATATGTTTTACATTTCAAAGGCATTTTTTAACGATATTGATTTGTATTTTGTTCAAAAAAAATATAGGCTTCAAATATTAAGTCTTCTTTGTACATTTGTGAGACTTCAAGGACCACATTTATATACTATTTTTGAAACATCATTGTTTGAAAATTTATTATGTTGTCTTGAGGTATTTATTTAATATTGTATTATTATTTCTTTAAAAATGTTTAGAATGATAGTTCAACAACTGTTATATCTCTCTCGCTTACTGTATTAATTATGTTTATGCCACATATATGTAACTTGCTTGGAAAATATTTACCTAGGATATTTAAGATTTATGTAAGAGTTCTTTGTTGGGACCGTTTTGGAGCACCTCAAAAGCACTACGATTTTTTAGACAATGAAATTAAAAATCAAGACAAAAAAACATTAAAGATTTTTACTCAATCAAACAATGAATGGGAAAAACTAGGTACTTGTCTTTCTTTTATTTCATTTTTCTTAAATATTAGATTCATTATTTGACATTGCGCCTAGTATACCACCCAATTGTACTCAATTTTTTACTTTCATTTATGGTTTATATCCATTAAATTTTTTAAGATTTCTTCATAGTGCACAAACGTATCTTCAAGAAAACAATGATAAATATTATATGTATTTTGATGATGATATAATAAAATCTAGAAGCGAGGTTCATAAATTCAATTTTAAAAAATATTATTAATTTTTATAGCCTCTTATTAAAAGACACATTATTCATCCAAATTTATTATTATTTACATTCGAAACTGAAATAATTGATCAAACACGTTGGATGAAGTTAGAAATAGCAGATATTGTCGCTAAATGCGTTAGTCTTGATATATTCAATGCTCCACAATTATGTTCGAGAGATATTGGTGTACAATGCAAACAAAAACGGGATATTTCTTTTGAAAATGTTTATAATAACGATTTATCTCCTTTAGATGATATAGAAAATAACATTTACACAAATTATTTTAAACCAACTGAACTTGATACGAAACAATTGAATTCTTTTTCTATACTTGATTTAAATCAAAATTATTTAACAAAAGATGCATTTTTTCCATATTCAGAAAAAAATCAGCCCTCTCATCATCATTCAAATTTAAATCAATATACAGTTCCTATCAAAGTAGAAGATATAACAAGAATTCATGAACAATTAAACTCTGATTTTGGTATATATTCAGCTCTACATATTTTAAAAACTGATCAAACAAATACAATGTTGAATTTTAATTCTCTTATAAAGTCAAAAGAGTCATTAATCTTAAAATCAGAAACAGAAAAATCTAAAGATCCTGCATTTTTATCACTTTTTTATAGAAATAAAGAATGTGAAGCCACTATTGCATTATTAAAAAGAGAAATTATTCTTTTACAAAATGAACTTAATTTTGAAAAACATTTGAAACTTCAGCATTTGCATCACTTAGGGCGCCTTAAAAGGGAACATATATTGGATTCTTCAGTAGAGGCAGAACGCCAAAATTTATATAATACAACACGAACATTAAAATCAAGACTTGCCAATCTCCAATCAATTCTTGAGAAACTTAGATCTGAAGCAATAACAAGACAAAATCAAAGGATAAAGCGAGAAACTGAGTTAAATACTAAATTAAAATCTTTGCGTGAAGAGTATAAAGATCTTAAAGATAATTATAATATTATAAGAAAAAAATTAGAAGAATCACAAAAAAATATATCACATCTTTCTACAGAATTACAAAATAGCAACTCTGAAAAATTTAAATTAAATCAAGAGCTTAAAGAATTAAAAACTGAACAATTAAAAAATAGAAAAATGGAATCAATTACAGATGGCGATAATGATGAACAAAAGAATAACCAACTTGAAAAACAATTTAAAGAAAAAGAAAATTTGCTAGAGGAGGCAAATAAAACGATTTTTATATTAAATGGAAAACTTCATCAAAAAGAACATGAACTTGATACAATAAAAAGGTATTATTTATTTAAAATAGCATTTCTAAATAAGCTTAGTCAATATAATATTTTATTAATTAAATCTATGGATATTCCTTTTGACCATGTAACCGATACAGAAGATATACATTTAAATACTTCTCATGAGAATTCATTGAAACTAAACAATGAAGCGCTAGTAAAAGAATTTAATTTCCTTGAAAATGCTCATGAAAAATTATTATCAGACTATAGGACTGCTCAATCAGAAATTATATATTTGAACGCTCAAATCGAAACTTTACAACAAAAAGTTGCCCATTATGAATCTAAGAATACTAGTTCAGATTTATAACCTTCTAATTTTATAGAATATTTGAGAAATACGTTTAAAGAATTGCTAGGAATATCTGTGTAACTAAATATTTAATTTTTTAAACTTGATTCCCTAAAATATAACCTTGAATAATCATTGATATGCATTTTACTCTTTTAATAAAATAAATTTCTAAATAAATAGAAACAACATTATTGAATATTGTGATATACTGAAATATTGATGTCTACTTTTTATATTTTTTATACTTTTATTCATGATTTAATAAATATTAAAAATAATACATTATTTCATAGATGCATTTTCTTCTTTTAAGTGCTTCCATGTTTCCAATCGAGTACGCCGTCTCTTAAATAACTTCGATTGCCTCCATAATTGAAGCTGATCTGTGTATTCCTTATTCCATCTATAAAAAATAAATTTTTTGAAAAAATAATCAATATTATTTACGGTTCAAGATTTTCTGGAGGATCTGGATAAATAAATGGTTCTTTCATGTCAACAATCACCTTCTTAAAAGCAGGTGTTCTTTTAATTGTCCTTAAATAATCTTTACTACGGATTCTTTTGCGATAATATACCATTGATCTTACACGGGTAACTTGAACCTGATACAAATGAAAAAGATAGTCTCTGACATCAAATTTATTAACTAAAATGTTCAATATTGGGTTAATAAGTAAATAAAAAACCTGTTATTGGGACTTTAAAGACAGCTTGTGTCGGTAAAAGACGATGATTTCGTAATAAAGTAAATACAATATTTGGTAAATAAATAAGTTTTTTTCCTAATCTAAAAGGTGCTTCCATTTCTCAGAAAGAAGTGTTTTCTTTAAAAAAAAATTGTGTATTGTATTATTTAAAAGTAATTTTTAGAATAAACTTTTTTTATAAATCGATTTAATAACATTTTGGGTTTTTATAAGTATAAAAAAATATAATACAATAATGTTTAAGAGACATTTAAAGTTATCTTTACAATTAATATCTTTATTGAAAATCTTTAAATATGTATAAGTTATATTTTTTGATAAAAGCAATTATTAAGATTTATTATTTGAAGAAATATTTTGTATTTTATATAAATAAATATAAACTGCTATAATAGATTAAAAATAGACAAAACACATTAAAATCTGAAAATAAAACACTAATTAAATAAATGATAAAATATACTGTTAAAATTTTTAAAAAAATCAGAAAAAAATAAATCAAAATACAGTTTGTATATAGCTAAATGCATAAAAGATAAAATAACCTATATTTTCTTAAAAAACTCCGAATAATTTCTTTTTATCTCTTTTTTCTTTTTGAGAATTTTTTAAGGTTTCATTAATATTGTAATCTGATAATTTTTTAGATATAAAGTCATCAGAATCATCATTATTAATATAATTTGAATGATTAACTGTGGTTTTAAGTGCTCCTTTAGAATTTTTTTCCGGCTTAGAATGAGTTTGTAGTAAAGGTATTTTTAATGGAGGTTGATCGATAGGAAGACATAACAACTCCCTTGGGAGTTTCAACATTGATAAATTTTGAAGCCACTTTTTTGTTGTTAACATATTAGTAGTAATAAGAATAACATCTCTCCCATGAGTTTTAGATATTTCGTAACAAATACGGCTTTCACTATATGTTGCACCTCCTACTATAAAAAGAAATATTCTTTGAGCTGTTTCACTAATAGAAGTATCTTTTTTAGCCCATGTCGGTTTTCCTGTCCGTAAGGAACCATGGACAGGATTTGTATTTTTTGATTTTACAGGAATATCCTTAGTAGAAGGAAATAATGTATAGCTTAAATTTTCATTAATATACTCCTCAATAAGTATTTTACATAATGGAACAAATCGAGAAAGCTCATATGAATCATTAGTATTTTTTGCTTCTAATATAGGCTTTTTGCGAGATCTGGAGTCATTTAGTTGTTTTATTACACGAACTCCTAAACAATCTAAATTCCTTAAAACTGTAATGTCTTTTGGGGACAAATTAGAATGTCTCGAAAGTTTAACTAAATCCCCTTCAAAAAGACCATTATTGTATATTATATATAATATTATTAAGCGAATTTTATTTATTTTCCTAAAAAAATTAAAAAAATAACTATTAATAAGAATTTATTTACGAAAAAGAAGAATCATCTAAAAGAGGAACCATTTCTTCCAATATAGTCTTAGGTACTTTTCCTGTTGATGTTAACCCAGTTGCACAGTCCTATCTAGATTAAAATATTTTTATAGTAAAAAAAATTAATAATACTTGTTCAATTATTCCAACTGTGGAAAGTTTATGATTCTCAAATACTTTCATACATTCATGCGCCATAGATATATGCAGTGAATATTTTCCTTTTTTTTCTTTGAAATCAGAAAGATTATATAACATATTTTTCATATCATTCACAGTTGTTGCCTTTTTTCTATAAACCATGAGTTTGAATTAAGTTATTTAGGCTATATTACTGATCAGTAAAATTAGAATTTTCTATGTAAAATTTGTTAAACTCTTCCATAAGCTTATCTATTACATCACGTATATGTAAATGCCTCATTTCTGCCCATATAGAATCAGATTCTTCAAGAACAACATCCTTAGTTTCTGTTTTTTCAGGATTATCTATTTTATATTTATAACTCTTTCCATTTTTTATAGGAAGAAGATCATTAGCCATTGCTTGGTATGTAAATTCATGAACAATAGGAGCACAAACATCAAGAGTTCTATCAACTATAAAAAGAACACTTCTTGGACGAGAAGATTCCGGAGGAAATTTACTATTTAATCTTTTATAACTATCGAGATTATCTTGGAATGAATTTGCAATTTTTGAACATAAATCAGGATTAGATGAGCTAGATGAAGGATGTGAATAATATCGAATTATAGGATATTCTCCAAGAGTTATACAAACAGATGTGAGCTTGATAGAATTAAAATAATGCACATAAAACACAAACATCATAAATACCTTTTTTGCTATATTATTAATTTCAGACTGAATAAGATCTGCACAAGAAAGATTGTAAAGTGTAAGAAAAGAAAAAGAATTAGAGAATGAAATAACTTTTGATTCGAGAGGATAAAAATCAACATATAGTTCAGTTATTGTCTTTATAGGTGTAACATGTGAAGATTCAGATAGTTTTTTTGCTAATTTGCTACTTAATCCTTTCAAGAATAAATAAATAATTATCAATGAATAAAAACTCAAACCAGACGTAAAAAATAAATGCACTGCACTATACATTTTCTCTTTATTTAAAACATCATGTAAAATACACCTAATTGTGTCCATTTTTGGCGTAATAAAGTAAATTGCTTCAAGTGCAGGATTTGGCTCTCGTTTTTGCTCAATAAATTCAACAGCTTTCATGCATTAATAATGAAAAAATTATACTTAAATTTATACATGTAATATCCTCTTCAAGAAAATCATTAAGGCTCATAACATTGTTGATAATCATGGAACTTTCATTATCTACAATTACAATTCTCCACTATATTTTTTAGACTAAAAACATATTTTTCCCTACAAAAATCACCTTTATATTCGACTGGATGCTCCTTATAGACGATATAAATCCTTAAAAAAGTATTTTTATCTCTTTCTTTGAAAAAAACTCAACTTACGTTTTCGAAGAATTTCAATTAATGACATGAATTTTTATGCTTATTTTTCTTGTAAAATGATCAAAATATCCTTTATTCTTCAGCTTATCTTAACTAATATAATCTTAACAAACAATATGTTAATCTTTTTTTATTATTCAAAAGATGAATACGGGTTAATTTGAGATCGAAAGATCACCGTATCACCTTTAAATCTTATATAGAATAATTAAATCGATTTAATAGTTTTATTTATATTTATATAATGATAAAAAAGAATATATCTTTCTTATATTACTGCAGAAATATCTAAATATGTTTTTGAATGACTGATTATTAAGGATTGATGAGTTATATGTGTTTATTTTCTACACAGCATTTTTTCTCTGAATTAAGGATACTAAGATCACATTTAAAGTGTTTTTTTCCAAATGAAAAGCAGATATGTACCTTCTTTTCTTTATATTCGTGCAAAAAAAGTGCATATATAAGTAAAACATCTAGATTTTTGAAAAGTAGAAGGAAAACTGTGCAAAAGACAAGGAAAATAGACCCATATGGAAGTTTTAAGAAACTGGTACGGTTAAGAATTGAGTATTTTAAGCATATTCGTCTTTTTGAAAATTTGATTGAGACAAAATACTCTATGCAGAAAGAAGTACAGGAATTACCGCATCTTTTCCGCAAAATCTTAATGAAACTTTTGGTAGATCCAAGGAAATTTGAAAATATGGATGGTTATCCTAATATTCGTGATTTAAGGTCAGCTTATTCACTAGAAAGCGTGCATGGACTTGATAAAGCATTAAAAAAAAGTTTTTTAACATTTTTAATGGTTAAAAAACTAAGTGTACCTGAAATCAACCGTCAGAAATCTATATCGGATATGAGATATCCATCTGAATGGTTTCCTAATGCAAGGGCTATAGAACGTAGCTGGTATTTACATATTGGTCCTACGAATAGTGGAAAAACTTATCAAGCGTTAAAAAAGTTAGAAAAAGCACGTTCTGGATGGTTTGCAGGGCCTTTAAGACTTCTTGCTCATGAAATATTTGATAAGATGATGAAAAAAGGTATCGTTTGTAATTTAATTACAGGCGAAGAACAAAAAATTATAGATAAAAATGCTGCTCTTCATATTTCTACAGTGGAAATGGTCAATCTTGATAAGTTAATGGATATAATTGTAATAGATGAAGTTCAAATGATTGCAGATCCTCATCGAGGATGGGCGTGGACTCAGGTTCTTCTTGGTGTACAGGCATCTGAGATACATCTTTGTGGAGAAGAAAGTTCAGTTGAACTTATTTTAAAAATTGCAAAAAGTATGGGAGAAAAGGTTAAGATATATCACTATAAACGTTTAAATCCTTTAGAACCTTTAAAGCAAAGTCTTTATGGTGATTTAACTAAAGTTGAGTCAGGAGATTGTATTGTTACATTTTCTAGGAGGGATATATTTTCACTTAAGAAAAAAATAGAAGAAAAAACAGGTCAACGTTGTGCAGTTGCATATGGTGGGCTTCCTCCTGAAACAAGGAATGAGCAAGCTCGTCTTTTTAATGATCCCAATAATGATTATCATGTCTTAGTTGCATCTGATGCTATTGGTATGGGTTTAAATTTGTAATTGTATTGAATTTTTGATTCTTTGCTTAATGGTTGTAGAAATATTCGTAGAATAATTTTTGAAAGGTTAAAAAAATGGAATGGCATTAAACATTTACCGATTCCTGTATCTCAAATAAAACAAATTGCAGGTCGTGCTGGACGATATAAATTTATTCCAACACAAAATGCCTCTGAATCTTCAGCTGCAAAAGGTTACGTTACGTCTTTACAACAAAAAGATATAAAATCATTACATATTGCACTTTCACAACCTATTCAAATGTTAAAAAAAGCTAGTCTTTTTCCTCCATTGCATATTCAAGAATCTTTTGCTTCTTTTTTTCAACCTGGAACATCTTTGTCGTTGATTATTAAAAGACTTAAGCAGTTATCGAAGACAACTGGCTTTTATATTATATCTGATACAACACAACAACAAAATATACTCGAATTATTAGAACAAATAAATAATTTAACTGTATCTGAAAGATTAATTTTATCAGCTGCACCAGTTAATCTTAAAGATTCTGGTGTAAAAAGTGCATTTTTGGCGTTTGCTACAATAATTGGTTTAGGAAAGCCAAAAAATATTCTTGAAATACCTGAAGTTGATTTAGAATGTTTGGATTTTGAATTTGATTTAGAATTAAAGCAACTAGAGCGTTTAGAGACATTACATAAAACACTTTTACTTTTTCTATGGTTATCGTAAGAATATATATTATTTTAAATAGTGATTAATATATCTTAAGGACTAGATTTCCATCTATTTTACTTTCAGGACCAGAATGTCAGGACATCAAAAAGGAATGTGAACATTATATTAATAAAAACTTAAGTAAAATTAATTACGTTCATGGATAGAAATATTTTTTTGGAATATAAAAAAATCAAATATAATTAGAAATTTATTTATAAACAATTATAATTCTATTATATCTGTATCTATTCATATATAATAGAATACTTTATATGCTGTTTTTTGTCGATAATAATGTTCTAATATTTTTTTAATAACCAAATCTTAACTGTGTAGAATTAAAAACTGGGGGTTTCCAATGAGAAAGACCATCTGGATTGATTTTTCTCTTTTGTTTTATTTTGTGTTTTTCATATTGTTGTTCAATAACTTCGGATATACATATAATATGTTGCCCTTTCTAAAAATACGTTAATAGGAAAATCTATGTTAATTTATTAATAAATACATAATATTTAAGAATATTGAGATTTTGAATCGTATGTAAGACGTCCTGGGATGTCATAGATGTTTTATTAGCAATTTCATCAATAGTAACTTCAACTCTTGTATTCATTAAAAGATCAATTACAACATCTGCCCAAAATGCTCTATAACTGAGTAAACCAAGGTCTGATAAGGGTTTTTCTGGTGATCCTAGTTTTCCTTCCCTTTTAGAAAGCTCATATGAAAATTCTATAAGCAATCTTCCATAACCTAATCGTTGATATTGTGGTAGAGTTAAAATACATGCAACATTATAATTTTCAGACGAATCCTTTTCCTTTGAAAAATAACCAATTAAATGACATCCATAGTCATCACGCGTAGTCATGCAATAAAATAAAAAAGGATCTACATCATAATAGAGTGTTTTATGGTCTAAAAAACATTTCGACAATAAGCAAAGATTTCTACACCATGTATGTTGTTTTCGTCCATCTATTTCAAAAAAAGAAATATGCTCATCACGATAAATCTCATTTCCTGGAGGATGCTGCAGAGTGCATTTTGTTCTATGTCTTTCATATTGTTTTTTAGATCCAAAATATGAAAAACAGAATTCACAAATATAAATTAAATCAAGTTCTGTTAATCCAATAGGATATGGACTAAAATACCATGGTTCAACTTCATATCTACCTATCTGTATCATTGTAAGGTTTTTAACACGTGAAATCTCATGAACATTTTGCGTCATAGAGCCTGATGTTCTTAATTTTTCAATTTCTGTTGTTTTAGAGTATTTTTCTACGCCAGTATTAACGCCATTTGTTTTACCAGCTACATCAATATCGAATACAATATCGTCTTCATCTTCCTGGGTATGTTGAACATCTTGATCACCATTTTCTGACTTTAACATAGGTGTTTTATTTTCTTTTTCTTTAGTTGTTTTTGAATTTACTACTATGTCATCTGACAATGATTCTTCATATGCACTACGAGATCTTTTACTTGTTTTGTTTTCTACTTTTGCTTCTATAACTTCTGTTTTTTGTATATTTGGTTTGATAATCTTTTTAGACTTATCTACCCGTGGAAACTCTATTTCTTTAGAAAAATCAATACGAGAAAGAGGCACCCATTCATCTAAACGCTAAAAAAATGTTAAATGTGTAAAAATTCTTATAAATACTTTAATTATACTTTATTAAAGCCCTGATAATGGACATAAAAATATTGTTGATTTTTACGTGTTTGAAGCGATAAAATTTCCGCTTTTTGATATGTTTTATCCTTAATAACATATGCCTTACATCCTACACAGATTTTATGCGATTTGAATGACTCTGGAAGCAAATTATCTGTTGATATTCCAGACAAGATATCTGGTCGATTATCTGGAGGTTCTTTCACCATTTTTTCTTGAAAAAACTGGAATATTATCTTTTGTAGTTAGGAAATATCAAATATTTCGGATTATAGACTGTTTAATGAGTGAATTCATTAGATTTCTTTTTTGTAAAAAAATTGACGTTTTTTTAGAAAACAAGACACATAAAGAAAAAAAATGAAAAAAATGTATAAAATGAAATGATTATGACTTTACTTGACTAGTAAAAGGCCCACTAATTGATCTTTACCCTTTCAATATATAAGTGCACAATAGATCACTTGCTTGAAAATAAGATAATCGAAAATATACATACCATAAATAAAAGCATTAAGATGAAGTATATTAAGTAGTTGATTTTTCTTTCCTTTTAGATATTTTTGTATATTTGAAGAAGTTTCATATAAATGTTAATGAATTGTCAATCAATTATCAGGAAAAAAGTTTGTAAATAATGTTTGAGTATTATAAAGAACCAAAAAATACTATTTCCATACTATTATCAATAAAAAGAAAATATTTAAGCGCTTTTTAATATCAAGATGTATTCTCCAGGATATCATCTGCATCTTCTGTGCTTGAATGAAGCTAAAAAAAGAGATTAGGTAAATTTTGATTTTAAAAGTAAAAATTACAATGTTTGATAAATCAATCCATTCTTTTAATGTTCTTCTAGGGCCTGCAGATGTTTCATCACAGTAACCCTGATGATCCCATAAAATAAAGCTAGAAAATGTATCTATTTGATGCCATTTTTTCGTTGGTTCTGTCGTTTCATTTAAATTTGTTATTTCATCTTCAATATTATTGCTAGAAATTTGTGTTGGCACCTGAGAATCATCATTATCTACATCATATATAACACCTAAAGTGTTCATTTATTTCTTAAAACTAAAGTTTTCTAAAAATTATACCTTCATAGTTTGACGGTAAGACAATTGAGAGACCTTCCAATCCACGTCCACGAAATGTTGCATAGAAGGTTGATCCATCTATTTAATTGTTAGATATAATCATTTTCATGTATATTCATTGAAAACCTGACGTTGATCTTACATTAAAATACTTTGAAACGTTTGCCGGTCCGTCCCAATGAATATGACAAGGTAAAAGATGTGCCTTACAATCAGGAATTTCTTTGCAAGATTCAGAATCTTCATTTGAAGTATTTGAACTATTTTTCTCTAAAATAATTCTAAATTTATTTTGATGGTTCATATTTTAAAATATGATATTCTTGAAAGTAACGATATTGTTTAAATATATAAGATAATTAGTGATAAAAAGAAACTAAATAAAGTTTAAAAAAAATTATTAATTTCTATTTAATTTTTGGAGAGTTTGTAATAAGTGTTATATAAAAATAATGTTTTTTCATTTTAAAAATGTATTGAACTATTCAAAAAAATTATTCAAAAAAAGAATTATTTGTATTTAATATTTATTTTATAAAAGCTTGACTTAGTTAAACCATAAATAAAAAAATGCTTTATAAAAAATAAATTAAATTTGATATTCCCTAGGTTTTTTCTTTTCGAATTAAGAAGGATTATAAAATTTTCTCTGTACAACGGAGTTAAGCATGATCCATTTCATGTTTGTAACGTCTATATAATAACATTGCAGCTCTTGCATCTTCAATCTACACAGCAATTATAAATTAGTTGAGAAAAAGGAAGAGAGAAAGTAATAACCGAAGAATGTACATCATTTTGGATGGTCATATTCAAAATTTCTTTAGCCAGTTTTTTCAATGCAGGTGATTTTCCTTTAGAATATGCTTTGAAAGTTTTAAATTTACTTGTATCTCGTCTATATTATGTCATGAACACTTAGAGCTTAAAAAAAGGTTCATTTACATATCTTTTTTTGGATGTGACAATAAAAGAACATCAAGATCATTTTTTAAAGAATGACCTACCAATATTCTATTTTTCAGCAAATCAGCAACCTTTGATTGAACTTCTTCAAAACTAGGTGCTGTGTTTTGCGTTAAAAATGAATTAAAAACTTTTTTTTACCATTTTTTAGATCAGCTTGGGTAATTCCATTGATATGTGTCTTATAATCTATAACACGCTCCTTTGGCTTTACAAATGTATCAAAAATAACGTTTCCATAGTAATTGACAATACTAATTCTTGCCAAAACACGATCTTTTTTATTAGATGGTCCTACTTGAACCATTTCACAATCCAATGCAATATATTTTCCCTTTCTATTTATATTAATATAAAAACATGTTTTTTTTTCAATAAACCGTGTTTTTTGTTGATAATTAGAATCTTTTTTTGACAATTCAGTGTTTTTTTTTGATTCATTTATTTGTTTGCAAAAAACTTGTTTTGATATAGAAAAAGGACATTTTATCTCATTGTTATTTCTAGGAATACTATTAAATTTATTTCTGTCTTTTAATTAAAGTTTTATATCAAATTATTCATGAAAAACGTACAAATCTGTTTTAATTATTCGTTTTTTTGTTTTTTTTCTGATTTCTCCTAAAATATGTAAAGACTATAGTTAAATCATTAAGTATATGAAAAAATAACAATATATTTACTTTCTGAAGTCTTCTCCAATTACATGAAGGCACATATACGTTGTTATCAGAACTTAGAGAATACATTGGTCATCGATGGATAAAGAACGATAGAGTAAAAAAATAGAGTAGAATTAAATATGATTATTTAATAAACGTTTAAAAAATTATCAAAGTGTTTTTAAATACACTTAAGATGACAAAGTATTATAGACAGGTAATTGTATGTTTTTTGATGATTTTTTGTGTAAAAATGTGTTAGATGATTTAATTTTAATATGTTTTGGAGTTGTTTCAGGTAAATAAAGGCGAAGAGTATCGACTTCTTGGTCATCATATAAAGCATAATCTATAGTATGTTCATGTGGTGTTTCGAAATATTTTGGTTGTTCCATAGGGTATTGACGTGTTGCAAATACATAGGGAGATGCATGAGGAATATTAACAAAAGGTTTTGTATCGTTTTCGTTAATAAAAGGCTGTACAGTCATAAAGAGTTCATTAGAGTTATTTAAAGAATGCAATGAAACATTAGTAGTGTTTTTCGGATATTTTTCGAGTTCAAAAGGTGAAATAGTAGTTACTGAAAGAACGTCATTCTCTACATGATTTCGCTGTGATTTAGAAATGGATAAATATGAAGCAAATTTTTCATTATTTTGTGCAAAATTTCCTGCTCTAGCAAGTTGTTCCATTACGTCATCGAAAGATCGTGTTGACGGACGAATATTATGTCGTGAGGGCTGAGAAATATTTGATCCAGGTTGAGTCATCAACAATGCTGTAGATGCAGTAGAAACTGCTGATGTAGATGATGTAGGTGCTGCAGATATAGATGGTACAGAAGCAGGTGCTGTTGATGCTGTAGGTACTGTTTTGACATTCAATAAACGTCCTGAAGAATGTGTTGATACTGTTTGTGAAACATGAGAACTAGGTGGTAAAATAACAATTGAAGGTTTTATATCCGAATGACTAGTTTGAATAGAATGAGTCGGTGTATTGAAAGATGTTTTTGATAATAAAGAAATATCATTTTTTTCACGATGTTCAGATGGTAATGTGTTTTTGCTTTTTTCTAATTTAGTAATTTCAATAGATTGTGTAGTTATTTCTGTTTGAGTTGTAACAGGGAAAAAACGTGATGATGTTCGTGAATGAGATGGACTAGATTTGTTGGAATTCTTGTTTGCTGTTAATACCGTTAATTTCTTTTTTTCCAAAGAAAAAAGAGGTATACTAGGAGGATTTAAAGATTCCCGCAATTCCACGTTGTTTAATGATACCCATGTTTTATGTAATTCTTTTTCGTTTAGAGTAATGCGTTCTTTTCTCCAACTATCATTAAAACTAGGGTGATTATTCGTATATGATATCTTTGGATGCTTTTGTTTTGTATCTATATGTGTATGATGTTTATGGGCTTCAGCTATTTTTCCCTCTTTTTCATTAGATGGATGTTGTTCTGGAAAAATAATTGGAAGATTTTTCTTTAATGTTAATTTTAAATCGTTATGTACTTGAGAATCACTTTCGGATGAAACAAGTGGTACATTCTAATTATATTAAAAATTTCTTTAATCAATCATATGAAAATATACCGCGTCTAATTTAGTTAACTTAACCGAATTTTTAAAAGTTTGAGAATGCGTTGGAAATATCTTTGCAGACAAATGAAATAAATTATGCTTATCCTTTTTCCTTACACAGTGTTAAGAATAAGAGAAAAAAAGAAAAACATACCCATCAATTGGCTTGCTAGATATTTTCAACTCATGGGTTGAAACAGATGATACTTGTTGAGACGATACTAAAGAAGTATCTGTTAAAATATTAGATGAATGGGTAGAGTGAACATTTGAATTTTTAGTGATAGTTGTATCTTTCTTTTCTTCTGTAGAAAACTCTATTTCAGCAGGTTTTGATTTCTGTGCAAGCTTTGCTAATTCCTCGGCCTTTTTCTTTGCACGTTCTTGCTGCATTTTACGTTCTATCTCTTCCTCTTCACGTCGAAGCTGTGCTTTCTCTTTTGCTTCAATCATAACAGCTCTTTGGAATGTCTCAATATCATCAATTATAGGATTCATTATTTGCGCAGGTTGATAAAGCGTTGGTTTTACCGTGTTCATCGTTTCTTCAACTGAAATCAAAGGCTGCGCTGAAGAATGTGTACCAGACAATTCTGTTTTTGCTTCTGCTTTTGATTCTGTTTTCAATATTATTTTTGGAAGTCCTAAGGGTTTCTTTTTTATGTCATTATCCAATATATTATCCGGTTTAGCTGATTTTTGCTCGTGAATTTCAGGGACTCCATCTTTTTTCATATAATTGAGTGGACTATGACGAGATAATAATGATACGGGATGACATGTCTTTGGTTTAGTTTCCGAATTAGTTCGTCGACTTCCTCTCCTAATATTTTTCGCCGCTTCGTCTACCACGTCAAATTTCCCTGTATTCACATTGTATATTTGTGGCACTCCTAATCGCTGAGAATTCCATGATCTATCATAATACTCATCTTCGAACCGTTTTTCCTTAGAAACCACTCCAAAACTAGGTGTCTCTCCTGATGCCCCACTAGAACCTATTCCTTCTATCATATTCTTCTCTCCGCCCCCTCCTACTGTATCATTTACTTCGTCTGATCCTCTTACTACCCCTTCTACTCGAATCTGGTCCCATGCTGGCGTCCACGAAGGTTCTACCACATCTACTGCACCCGTTGCTGTATGATCATCATGTGGAAGTGCAAATTTAGTACCGTCAGCAAATTCAATTGTATCACTCCAATCTGTTCCATCGTCATCCATCTATCACAGGTTAATATCCATTTTTGTTTTAAATTTTTTTTTTAAAATACAATGCTGCTCAGTTACTGCTCAACCACTATTTCTTTTCATTTTATTACAACTTTATTATACTTTGTTATTATTTATGTTTCTTTGTTGAAAAATCATCTTAGATATATTTAAATGCATTTGAGACATCCAAGTATATCTCCATACAACCCCACTGCAAGCAACCTCACTGCAGCATCCTTTGTATCATTACCACATACTTCATCCCATTTTCCCGGTTTATCCTCATCACTCACTGCTGATAATCGTCTTACTAGACGAATCCCATGCACTGAGGACAATTCCTCGTCCGTATATTCTCGAACTGCCGCTACAAACCCTCAATATCCTATTTCTACATTGACACACATACGTTTTTTGTTTCTCCCCCATACTGCTCCTCCACTCCCTACCCCTCCACCCAATGCACTCCCCAATACCCCTCCCGATGCTCCCCCAGGCTTTCCATCCAGTGATTTGGAGAATAATCCCTCTGAAAACGTACCAAGGTTATATGACGATATTGTCGTTGATATCTTCGTTGCCAGCCGCGGTTTTCCTGAACCCCCCACTGCACCCGTTGTCTTCAGTCCTACTGACACTGTTCCTGCCCCTCCTCCGCCCGGCTGAGACGCTTTACTTAGAAATTCCCGGTTAATTGACGCCGACTTAAGTTTCGACTTTTTAAACGAAAAAACAGAATTCCCCCCCATTATACTCCCTCCAGATCCTCCTGATGGCCCATTCCTTTCTGTTTAGACCCATTAATACCTCTTTATTCCCCTTTATTCGTCTTTTTACCCTCTTTTTCCGTCCCACTGATTTTGCCACCTGATGTTCCAATTTCTTCCCTTTCAACACGCTCTAAGCCCAAGTATGATCCTTCTAACTTTGAACCCTCTTTGAAACCTTCTTTTTCTGCTATTTCTCCCTTGATTAGCCCTGTTCCTTCTCCAGACGCTCCTTTTGAATCTTCGCTCGCCTCGCTTGCTTCGTTCACGGTCGTCGTCATCGCTGCAACCGCCCCGCGCCGCCAGACTTTAGCTTGTCCGCACGTGATTTTACATGTTTGTCACGTGATAATCACGTGTAATGTGTCTTGAGAGAGAGAAGGATGCAAAGACGAGGAGAAAAGATGTGTTTCCAGTGTTCTGTGTGATGTCTGGTGGGGGCTGTGCGGTTTCCTGGTGTTTTTTGTGTTTTGTATGTGCAGCAGCGGTGCCCGTTACGCGCCACCTGCAGACGGCTTGCTGCGGGTGCTTTGTGCAGAAAAATACACGGGACCCTTCAAAAGCAGACTGTGCAGGCTGCTTCAGGACACCGGGTACTCGCTGTGCTGCCACCTGTGCTTGCTTTTTCCTGTCTTCTGCATGTCACGTGATCTGCTTAATCTGCAGCAGCTGGCAATACAAAATAGAGATATGCAAGTGCACGCAGTGTCTTTACTATTCAGAGCAGTGCCTTCTGTGTGTTTTGTTGTATTTAGTGCACAGCAAACGGGACAGCTCACAGAGTCACTGTGGACTGTTTGCATTGCTCTTTTATGTCTTCTAAGACACTCTAAATACACGCCAAATCCTTTCCAGAACAACCCATGTATTTCCGTAGACTCTCTCAGCTGCACAGTATACCATAGACTGCACGTATACATTGTGCGTATACACTACAGATACATTATGCATATAGACCATATATATCATGCGTATACACTATATATACTATACGACGCACTATACGTATATACTGCCTATATATATATCATATGTATATCGCATATACATATGCCATGCGTATATTCTATGTACATATAACTATACATATATACTATGCATATATACTATGCATATTGCTATACATATATAGTATGCATATTGCTGTATACATACAGTATACACATATACTCTACGTATACGCTATACAGACATGCTATTCGTGTATAGAGTGTTTATGGTGGCCTGCTGATATTAGCTTAGAGGCATCGTGTGGGACATACGCAGATGGAAATAATAGCCTATGAATGGTAAAGAAATACACAAAAATACAGGAAACATACTCATAAGATAGCCAAAAAGCAGCATAATTCCTGCATAATGAAGAAGAGGCTTTCCACTGCCCCGCCCGTCAAAATATTTTGCTTTATATCGCAGAAGCCAGTGACTGGGCGACTCCGCAACACGGGGGCCGCGAGGGAGACGCGCATAAAACTCAATAAGCCGGTGCATAGAAGTGGCTCCTGGCAGTGAAAGCCCCTTTGCAAAGTGAGCGCATATATGCAGGCAAAAGAGCATACCGAAGCAATTTTCGGGGGTATACAGGGCCTTTCAGTAGAAAGGCCTCTCCTGAAGACAGTAAGGCCGCTCAAAGTCACTCTTTGCGCCATACTGTGGCTGAGCCCGTATTCTGCGCTGTATGTGTCGTGTATGCGTTATATATGCGTTATATATGCGCACTGTATGCGCAGTGTATCCGTATCGCGGTGTGCCGTAGAAGTGTGTCCGCGCACTTGGATACACTGCGTGCACGCAATGCCTATACAGTGCATATAATACGCATACATAACGCATATAACGCGCATATAACGCGCATACAATACGCATATACACTGCATACACAGCATATCGGTGCATGTCTCGGCCCGTGCTGCACACACTGTGCACCCTATCTCGGCGCATACACACTGTGCATGCACTGTACAGTGCACGCACTGCACGCATTTACCGGTGCAAACGCACCTCCATGCAGGCGGGCGCCCCACACCCAGCCGAATGGCGCATAGAGTGGGAAGTCGCCCCCGACGGACACCGCTGGGCAAACCCTGTTATGGGGTGGGCGTCCTCAGGCGATGCACTGCAAGCAATGCAGCTACGGTTTCCAAGCCGTGAAAGCGCAATACAGTTTGCAGAAAAGCACGGTACGCCAGTACTGGCGCTATTGGCATTGCTCACTGTATAGGATACACATATACAGCGGAAGCAGAAACGGACAGAGAATTCGGAGCAAAAAGCTATTCAGATAACTATCGAGCGGAGACAATGAATCCGCAGAAAATTGCACACACAAAGTAGCAGCGCACCGCATATGCCAGTGCATACTGCGCATACTGTGCATATATAGTGCAACGTATGTATAATATAACGCATATATATAGTATATACTGTATATATACATTATACAATATATATACAGTATAAAGCATATATACTATATATATATATACACTATATATAATACGTATAGTGCGTATAGTGCGTATGCGGTGCATACAATAGATATTATGTATACACTAGATATGCCATACATTCATGTATACACAACACACTGTATATAATGCATGCAACACGCATATACAGCGCATATAGTGCGCATATACACGTATTTGGGCGCTATTGTGCCTATTATGTGCTCAGGCGGCTTTCCGTCTCAGGTTGTTAGCTGGCAGCGCCGGAGACGCAGAACACACCAACGATGAGCGTGCAGGGAATCTCAGAGCAGCGACGATTTAGCCCAGAAGAGTGGAAAAGGCGGTGTGAACAGGTTGGATTGACGAGAGAGTAAGTCTCAGAGAGGAGAAGAGGGCTTTGGGCGTTTTTTCGGGGTTTTTTGGGGCTATTTTGGGGGTGTTTTTAGAGAAAGTTTTTTGGGCGTTTTTTAAGTGTTTTTAAGTATTTTTCAAGTGTTTTTCAGCGTTTTTGAGTGTTTTGCATGTTTCCTTCGTGTTCCAGAGTGTCTGATGCTCTTTTTCTCTTTTTTTTTGGGACGAATTGGCGTGTTCTAACGACTCCAGTGATATGAATGCGATGATACTGAATTTTTTGATGGTTGAGGGGTACCAGGAGGCAGCAGTAAAGTTCATTGAAGAGGCACGGCTGGAAACACCTGCAGGACTCGAAAAAGTGGGTGAACGGGTCGAGATACAGAACGCAATTCACCGGGGAGATGTGCGGAGTGCTATTGAGAAAATTAATGAGCTGAATCCAGAAGTATGTGGGTAAATGGGGCTGGGAATAGTATGGGATAGCGTTCCAGCATGAGGTGAAGCGTGCTTGGGTCTTTGAATGGTGTTTTGTGTGGTGCAGTTTTGGTTTTATGGTTTTGACGGTATATTTTGGAGGTTTTAGGGGGTTTTGTGGCTCTAGAAGGCCTTTGTGGGCACTGGAAGTCCCTTTTCGGCCTTGTGGAGCACTCTGGAGCGCGCTGGAGCCTTTTGCTGTTTATTTTGGTGCACTACTGTACTATTCCCAGAATTTACCATTTTTAAGCCGGGCTGCATTGGCATGGTTGCAGCAAGACTTCAGTAGCGGTTTTTAGTGTGCGCAATGATTCAAACTGTTCATGCACCCCTCTTAGTTCCAGCTATGACGAGAGATTACCCTTCAGTCTTCAATATGAGCGCTTTACACTTTAAACCGTTAGAATTTGCAAATCACATGTACTGACTTGCATATAGCTTCTTGATACACAGCCGGCAGTGCATTTTATGCTACTAAGACTCGAGTTGATTGAACGGATGCGAACTATGATGTCTTCACCTAATGCAGATGTGATGCCGGTTCTCGAGTTTGCAACTATACATTTGGCACCGCGTGCACCAAAAAATGTAGCGTTTATGGAGGATCTTGAGTCAGCTATGGCATTGCTTTGTTTTTCCTCGAATAATGTGGTACCGGCACTTAAGCCGCTACTTGACTTGTCATTGCGCAAAACAGTTGCGTCTCATGTTAATGAGGCAATTCTTGAATCACAAGGTCTTGTACAAGAATCTAAGATTAAAACATTGCTTCGTCTCTGGGGATGGAGTCAGAAAAAACTTCGCCAAGATGCGGATTTTCCTGCTTTTGATTTTACAGGTACAGATTAATTTATTACAGGTAATCTACCGCTGCAGTGATATTTGGGCGGAGTTTGGGTGATTTATGAATGACATAGGAAATATTTTTTTGTTTTTTTCTATACTTTTTTATACTTTTTAATGCACAAAAGAAATTTTAATTCTATTTTAACATTGTTTGGGCGGCGTTTTGAAGATTCATATTTTTAACATTTTAGCTTTTAGTTTTATGAGAAAAAGTAAAGTATAAAAAATGGATTTTGATTTTTTCTGTTCGAGTTATATATTTTTTATTATATTTAATTGTCGCGTCTTATTCGAAAACGATAATATTTAAAAAAAAAAATGAAATTGTTTAAGAATGGATGAACGGTTCCCTGTAAATTCAGATCCGAGGTTTCGTCGCTCTAAGAAGAGAGGGCGTGTTGTTTTAGATGATCGTTTTTTTTCAGTTTTGGATCCCAGTTTTTCAGAAGAGCGTAAGCATTTTTATCCTTAATCTCTAAAATCTAACATACATAGCTGAGTTTGACCGCTATGGGCGTCGGCTAATAGATAAAAAGGGTGATGTTGAGTCAATGAGAAAGTTGTATATATTGCCAGATAATGTTTCTAAAGATTCTTTTTTAAAAAAAAAGGATAAATTTAAGAAAAATAATATTCCGAGAAAAAAGGGCAATAATAGAGAGGTTTTAGATAAAGAAGTAGTTGAGCAATCAACGTCATCGAAAAACAGTGATATTTCTTCCGAAGATGATACAACATCCTCGGATGAACAATCTTCTAGTCTTTCATCAGAAGATTTGGAATTGGTCGATCCTGATCCAATTTTGGAAATTCCAAGGGGAAAAATGACGTCTCGGTTAGCTGCAGTGAATCTTGATTGGGATCATATTCGTTCAGTTGACATATTTGCTGCACTTGGAAGTTTTGTGCCTAGAAATGGCCAGATTCTAAGTGTTCGAGTTTATCCAAGTGAGTTTGGTAAAGAACGAATGGAAAAAGAGGATGTAGAGGGACCACCAAAGAATATTTTTCTGGCAAACTCCTGTAAAAAAGAATTCGACAAAAGTTTTGAGGAAAAACAATCTTTACGTATCAATCAAGACAATTTTAATGATAAATTCCAAGATTATGATGAGTTAAGAAAGGAAATAAAGCTTGATGAACACTTAGTATCACCATATTCTAAAAATCATAATGTGTTGAATAATGAGTCAGATCAATCAGAAGAGTTCGATAACGAAGAGAATAATTTGGATAATGATAGTAGTGGAACCAGTGTTACTGATGATATTAGTAGTGATGAAAATGATATTAATCATATTAGTAGCGATGAAGATGATACTAGTGATACTAGTGATGAAGAGAAAGTTAAACGGAATTTGTTAAAAGGGAATGATGGAAATGATTTTGATATGACTCAACTTCGCAAGTATCAGCTTGAAAGACTTAGGTATTATTATGCAATTATAGTTTGCGATTCAGTGAATACTGCAAAATGCATATACGAGCAATGTGATGGCAGAGAGTATGAAGCATCTGCGAATTTTTTTGACTTAAGATTCGTTCCAGATGAAGAATCGTTTGATTCGATAAAATTTAGGTAAATTTGTGATTATTTATTTAAAACTAAAGTCTTTAGGGATGAATGTTTATCACTTCCGGAAAATTATGTTCCTGATGAATTTGTTACTGATGTAGATTGTATTTTTTTTATTTTATTTTTTCTCATAAAAGATAGGCTTTGAAACATTCAAAAGTAAAATTAATGTGGGATAATGATGATCCAGTTTATGTCCAGATGGTTAAGCGTGCATTTTCAGGAAATGAGATTAATGAAAATGATTTTAGGACATATTTAGCTTCAACAGATAGTGAAGCGAGTGATATTGAAAAGACTAAAGAAAAATATCGCTCACTTCTTTTAGAGACTGAAAAGGATTTTTTGTCTACTAAGGATGTTGTGGGTGATATGCAGGTGACATTCACTCCTGGAATAGATGATAAAAAGTCTGAAGAGATTTCTTGTGATTACGAGACTACTTTGGAAAAGTATAAAAGAAAAGAAAAGGAAAGAAAAGAAAAGAAGAGAGAAAAAAGACTTTCTAAACTTAAAGAAAGTTCAAATGTAATTGATGATGCTAAAAAGAATCAAACAGATTTAGGATTTGATGATCCTTTTTTTTCGGAAAAACCTTCTATTTCTTCTAAAAAAACAAAACGAAAGGTTAATAAAAAGAAAGAATTTCTAGATGATAAGGAAAAAGCTGAATTGGAGCTTCTAATGATGGAAGATGGAGGTTTTGACGTTAAGGAAGTCGATCATTTCGATATGAAGGAAGTTCTTAAAATGGAAAAAAAGAAAAAGAAAAAGCATATGGATACTGAAGGGCTTCAAAATGACTTTGAAATGGATGTAAATGATCCAAGGTTTGCTTCTATATATTCAAGTCATCATTTCGCAATTGATCCAACAAATCCACATTTCAAAAAGACCAAATCAATGACAAAACTTCTAGAAGAACGTCGGCGACGTATAAATATTCAAGACAAAATTTAACAATGTAATTTGCTTTTCCAAGCAATGAGTATTTTGTTATCTTGATTATTAAGTATAGATATTGTTAGATATTTATTAGTGGATATTGTTGCATGAAATAATCATATATATTGTTAATGATACAGCTTTAGAGATGCTTAGGTATATATATGTTTTTATTGTGTATTTATCTTGATGCAGCTGCCTACATATTTAATATTCTAATGTATTGGTTTTGTGTTAATTATGGTATTTCATTCTGTATATATTTTGTTTGAAAAGTGTTATTCTTATGTATTTATATGTTTATGTATTTATATCTAGTTTTAAGTACATTAATTAGTTTTAAAAACAAATCTAAAATTCTTATTATTTTTAAAGCTTGTAAAAATGGTACAAATAGATTACGCATTTACAAAAAAAATCAGAAATATCATATTTTATAAAAATATAAATAATATCTTTCATATTTATTAATATGTATTATTAAATTATTGAAAATGGGATATTAGATGTTTTAAAATGATATTTTTTTGAATAACTTATCTATAATTACATCTGTTTCTTCTGTATAAGAAAGTGATTCTTTTAGCATTCTTTCGCATCTTTTATTTACATCTTCTCTTGGAGGAGGAAATCGCTCATTTTCAATATCAGAATTTTTTGCATCATCAAAGGTTGTAATTGCTGCAAATCAGTATATGATATATATAAGTATACAAAATACCATGTTTTATTCCTTCTGCTCCAAGTATTAATGTCCCTGCTGGAAGTTTTGTATTCCCACTTATTGTTTTTAATTCCGTTATGCTTTCACTTTCCTCTCTTAAGAGTTGGAAAACACGGGACAGTTTTCCAATAGCAAGAATTTTATTTCTAATAACTTGTTTTCTTTGTTCTATGTCTGCCCAATCATTAGAAGATGTATTTTGTGTAGACGTATTTTCATGATCTGCTTCATCACTCGAACAAATATTAAGAATAGATATAAGCATATCTATAACTATACAAATATTAAAAGATGATATCTAGCTTGATTTTTACAAACTTTTTTCGCCCACAAACGGTAAACTCCATGTAAACACATTCATAAAGTTAGGAAGCCAGTAAGGGTGTGGACTAGAACCTATATTATTTATTAACAAAGAAATCGATTTTCAGTTAATAAAGTACTAAATTGTCTAATATTTATGATATTGTTTTCGTATTTTAAAATAGCTGCTTTATTATTATAAATATCTAAATAATTAGGTGCAGAAAATATTGTTATAACACTTGGAAATCCAGTAGTTCTAGTTTTACGATACATACGATATCTATATATTATTAATAAAGTATATATGGATAAAATATAAACCCAGAATCTTGCGCTTCATGGGCCCGAATAATACTCAATAAGTTGTTTTTTTCCAAAAAAGTACAAACCGCTTTATAGCTATAAATAAGTTTTAAATTATTTATCATTAATAATATACCTATAAAAATAAGAACAGCCTCGTACATGGTTGTAAACAAAAAAATCATCAGTTTTTTCTTCTCCAAAATCCTCTAATGGATCACTCCATAATAAATCAGTCATTATTCCAGACATTGGAGGTTCACAAAAACGATTTATCTGTAATTTAAAAAAATAATTTTTAAATAAAGAAATACTTACAAATTGTAAATTATCCAAGATGACTAATTCTGGACTAAGTCCTCCATGTACGCAAAAAAATTGTTTATTTACAATTGCTGCCAAAGGCAGTGAACAAAAACTTTCTACACATATATTATAGACATTTTCTGAATATTTATGTTTACCTATTGAATTTAGTAAAATTGATATTTATAATATACATACATTCAAGTTTGAATGTAAAATAATCTGTTAAATGTTTACATTCATGGTTCCCTCTTAACAAATATAATGAATTAGGATAACATATTTTTAACGCCCAAAGATAAAGTACACACTACATAAATTAAAAAATTAAAAAAAAAAAAAACAACGATTTAACCTCAATTGAAAAATAACCACGATCAACATAATCACCAAGAAAAACATAGTCTGTATCTGGAGGATTTCCCCCAACTTCAAAAAGCTTCATAAGATCATAGTATTGTCCATGAATATCTCCACATACTACAATAATTAGAACATTTTAGTACAAAATAAATTTTTACACACTTGTTACAGGAGAGTCAACTTCAATTAGATTTGGTTCAGTCCTAAATATTTTTGTTGCTTCCTCAATAATCCAAAGAGCTTGACTTTCACTAATTCTTCCTTCCCTATAAAAATGATTTTTAATAAATGGAATATTTGGTATCTTTGACCCATTATTCTCAAAAATAAATATCTGACTATCTTTAGGAATATACATAGCAGGTGCTTGAACGTCTAGAAAATAGTTTTTAGTAAATATAAAAACATGCAAAAAATAATAAAAATATAGATATAAATAGGCAATTAAAATAAAAAACAGTAAATCATTTTAAACTAAAGAAAAAAAACTACAAACCTTTACAAACTCTTTCCTGTGTGCTTACTGTTTTTCCATTTTCCATTTGATACATTGTAAAATCAATTTTTGGTACATTTTTAGGCATTTTTTTTGTTAAATCTTTCATATATCTATTTAAATTAACTTACAATTAAGAATTAAGGTGTTTTAAGTTAAAACCTCTCTTTAAATTCTCTTTCTTTTAAAAATATTCTAAATTTTCAAAATTATGTCGTTTGCTTGGAGTAGTTTTTTATCCAACGTTTTATATAATTTCTTATATATATAAAAAATGATATTTTCTTAATTTACATTAAAATACGCTTATAAACTTTCTTTTTTGTCTATAAAAATACAATCATTAATATTTTGGTATATTATGTTTTAAATTATTTATCGATTTATTTGAGGATTTAGTAGAAGTAAATTTTATGAAATAATATTCAAATATCTATGTTTTTATATAATTTTTATGTTATTTTAAACTAAGTTTTATTAGATTTATTTATATTTTATCATTATTTGACTATCTTTTAATTATGCTTCTACTTTTTGTGCGTCATGGTGAAACAGATTTTAATGTAAGTAAGAGATATTTTTTAAGATATTAAGAAAGATATAGAAAAATGGCAGAATACAGGGATCTTTGGATACTTCTTTGAATGAAGTTGGTAAAAAACAAGCAATAGATCTTTCAAATTGTCTTTGTACGATGAAAATTGATAAAGTTTTTTGTAGCAATCTTATACGTGCAAAACAAACAATTGAGCCGTTTCTAGAAAGAAAACCAGATATTCCTTGTCAATATTTTTCTGAACTTCAAGAAAATTGTATGGGAACATTAAGTGGATTGACTTGGGATGAAATAAAATTAAAGTTGAAACAAGAAAAAACTTCACTTGATGATTATGGTGAAAGCAAAATTGAATTTATACAGAGGATTATGAATTTTTGGGAAAATGTAATACTGCCTATGCAAGGTCATATTTCTACGATTCTTATTGTTACTCATGGCGGGTATATTGCAACACTCGTTAACCAGCTTTCTAAATTGGGGTTTCTTAATGTTCCTAAAAATATTGTTATTACTGGGTCGCCTAAAAATTGTTCTATATCTGCAATTAATGTTTCCAACAAGTCATCTTATGAATTAATATCTTATTCAGACGTTATGCATTTATTTTATTCTCAAGAAATAATTGTTGGTGTAGATTACAAAAAAATTGAAAATAGCAATCTTTCTATCTAAGTTATTATGTTTTATTTTAATAAAATATAGAATATAATATGTATTTTAAATAATTTATTTAATTTTTTCTAAAAATAAATTACATAAAAACATTTATTTCAAAATTAAACCTTCGATAAGTAGATTTCCAAAAAGCAAAGATGATTAAAAAATACTGTATTGACTTTTTTATTTGTATATAATAATATACGATGTTTTATTTTTGTAATTGATAGAAATAATATCCAAATATGATTTATATATATCAAATACTTTGAAAAATAAATGTTTCAGGAAAAGATTTTATATAATAAAGTGTTAACTATGAAATATTTTTCTGTATAAATATCATACTCCTTTAATATTAAAAATAATTATATAACTGATTAGAAATAATTCATTTTTAAGAAAAAATAATAAAAATAAATTCTAAAATATGTTAAATTTCACAGAATTTTAACCTTTTTTAAAAGGAAAGCATCGAGTCCTCAAAATAATAACTACTATACGAAACAGTTTAATTTTTATTATATTAATAAAATTTTTTAATAAAAATAAAAAACATATATAAATTAGTATTTACTATTAGAAAAAAAAATCATGAGCCTTATTCCCTTAATTCCGAATTTCAATATTTCTAAAAAGATAAAACTTATTTAAAAATACTATAATATTAAATTATAAAATTTAAAGGTTAATATATCAAAAAATTATTACTTCTTTTTTCTCTTGTTTTTTCTTGTATTATTAGATGTATTTTGATTTGTAATATATGGAGGAAGCCAGTATCTTGTCCAAGTTTTGATATTGCAGCCAGTAGCATCATCCCAACCCACACATTTCTTAATGTCATTGACAAATTTAAGATTTCTAATATCAAGACTTAAAAATTTTATGCCATTTGCATACCATTCTCTTAGTTTATAAGGTTTTTTTACTTCAAGAATATTTGCAACCTCATGAAGAAAAGGCTCTTCATCAACATAAACCCAAATAAACATAAAATCTACTGAAGATATCGAAACCTGAATACATAAGTCACCCGTATTCTACAGATTACTTCTTACATTTCGTTTTAACAATTTTTCTAAAAGATCACTAGCCTTATCACTATAGATAAAATTTCCTAATAATTATATTATTTTTTCAATGAAAAACCATTTCTTGAAGAAACCTTCTGAATCTTTCTCAAAAATAGATTCATTAAACTCTATATTTTCTACATATTCTATTGCCTCTGTTTGTTTTCGTTTCTTATCAGAATAGGTTGTTTTTTTCTTTTTTAATTTGTCATCACTCATAACTTTTTAACATAATACAGACTTATATAAGATTTTTCTAAGAAGAACATGGGATATTAATCTTTTTTTCAAAAAATAAAATACGTATAAACCGTAAATCTTTTGTTTCTTAATTAGTATACTTTTGAAATCACAGATTTCTACTGATTTAGGAAAAATATACTTTAAAAAGACGGTAATTCAAAAAAAGGAAACATTATATCTGAAAACATATTATTTTTGTATTATATTAGTAATTTTATTTATTAAAAATAGAATCTTTTCTGCTTTCATAAAAACTGTACTATTTCTTTAAATATTCAACTTAAAAACAGAGAATAATGCAATAAAATATTTTTTTTAGGAAATATATTCATTTTTCAACAAGAATATATAATATTTCTATGGAAACGCCTTTTTTCAAAACCTTATCTCAGTCAACCGCTTATCATTTCGATAAGATCAATTAGGTATAGAACATTTGAAAGATATAAAATACTAAAAAAAGAAAAGATACGTATAATATATTATTAATATTAAAGCATCTTTCCATGATTAAAGAAAAGATGTTTCTTTTAAATATTAATTATCTTAGAAATTCAAAATAAAATCCGTAAATCGTAAAAATCAATCAATAATATTTCCACACATTTTAGTATTTTCTAGTATAATATATTAGTTCTTTAAATAATAATCGTATTTTCAAATATCTTTTTTTGTTTCTATATTCTTTAGAAGAGTTATGTATTTATATAAAAAGATTTTTTTAACACTTTATCTAAAAATAAAACAATTATCTTAAAGATCCTAATATTAATCACTTCATAGTATTAGTTATAGAAGAAATACTTTGATCCATTAAAAAATATTTTGTATTTTTATAAAAAATTCTATAGTTCATAAACACACCTATTGATAAAAGTATAAATTAAACAAAAAATATGCAAGGAGGAAATAGGATAAAGGGAATCAATCAATAAGTTTTTTTAAAAAAAATTCTAGTAAAAATTATATTCTAAAATTAGTTTTTTCATATTTTACTAAGTTCTCACGACAAACATTTAAAAAAATGAATATAGAAAAAGCAATGGAAAAACTAGAAGAAATAAAGCATCAATTGGCTTTAGAACTTGAAAAAAACCCTTCTTTAAGCCTTCCATTAAATTATGATAAAAAAGATTTTATTAATTTAGTTGAACAAGTAAAAACGGGTCGATATAAAGCAATACAAAGTGCGAGAAGATGGCAACAAGAATATATTACAACAAAAGAACGTATGATGGTATTTAGGAGGCCATTTTTCTATTAATTTTAATCATTAATCAGCTTTTTTCTAAATATTTGGCAGCACTATCAGCAACTGTAACAACATTTTCTAACCGTCTATTTATTTTGTATCTTGTTAATGACATATTAAGCCATTGTTCCACAAATGACCGCAGAGATCTTATTCTTGCAATGCAATCGTCTCTCCTGGTACTTCTTCGTCTGGGTTATTATATGTCAGATGCAGAAAAAGGTAAAATAGAAGATCTTTTGAATCTTTGGAGTGAAAAAAAATACTTTTCGGAAATTACAATGAAAGCAACACGTGCAGGACTAATGGTTCCTCCAGCTGAACAGCCCTCAAAATCCGATCCTGTTGATAATTCATCCAAAACTCACAATTATATTAAACCATCTCAACACGGAAGACAAGGTGCACCATATTGGGAATTACCAGCAGCATGTATGATACCACATTTGCCAGATGCGAGTATTATCAAAGAGTCTATGCAATCTTATATAAGCATACCTTCTCATTTGTGCCAACCTATTACATTATCAAGTTATACTTCTTCGGAAATATTAGACGCACTAGATTCTTTTTACAAGCAAGAAAGTATGGATCTTTGGGGATTTAAAGAAAAGTCTGATACAGAAAATGAAGATATTGATTATGAAGGATGGTCTAAAAAATTTTGGGCAGAAAAAGAAAAAAAAAACCAAGAGAGAAAAACATCAATTTACTATAAACGAGGTCGTAAAACAAACCGCTCAGAATCACTATCTTCAAGATCTTCAAGATCTTCAAGATCACGGAAAGAGTCAAGTTCTATTTCTTCTCGATCATATTTATCACCATCATATTCAAGGTCACGCTCAAGAACACGTTCAAGGACTCGTTCAAGAACACGTTCAAGAACTCGTTCAAGGTCCCGTTCAATGACTCGTTCAAGGTCTTTGTCTCCGCCAAGATTTCAAAAAAGTGAATCTTATCTGCAGCATCAAAATACAAAGATAAATTATGAAGAACAAGATAAGTCATCTTATACAGCACCCCGAACATCACCAATTCCCTCACTACAGCATTCCATGACACCATCACCACATGAAGAGCAGCAGACTAAACAGGCAGAATATTCCAAAAGCCAGCGGACAAGAGAAATTGCTATCAAAAGAGGTTGGAAAGTAAGATGAACCAAAAAGGTATTTATTTAACATATTATCTATATGTAAGATAAATATACAAAAAAATGAAAAAATAATAAGAACAAAACGAAAAAACAAAAGCAAAATTCAATGACTAAAAAATAACTATAACAATAAAGACATATGACAAAATGAATAGAACAATAAACATAAAATCACATTATTAATTTTGTCTTTCCTCATCAAGTTCAGTCACTGTACTACACAAATTTAACTATAGTAGAGCTCAAGTGACATCCCACTTGTACATGATTAACAGCTATATCGATAAAAAACCACTTACTTATGAATCTCATAATCACTTAATGTAATGTGATCTTTAAAAACAGTATACCTAAGTAAGTCGTCAAAAACAAATACGCTATCATTATAAAGTCATACCATTTCTTTAAAACAATTTTCTGCCAGTTAGTGCCAGTTTGTGCTGCAATTAATTTTTTGAGATCACCGACTGTATCATCTTCATTACACTTAACACGAACTTTTTTTCCAAGACGATCATTACTAAACCTATTAATACAAATAAAATTCAAAACATTTAAAATAACCAGATTATTTCAATCATTTTAAAGAGATTTTATGTTTTACAAAAATTTTAAACATTTAACGAAAGAATCTTTAATTAAAAAAATCAAGTTTATATTTGGAATAAAATATATCAATTTAACAGTAAACATATTATTTAAGTTTAAGAAATAAAATACCATCTTGACCATGCATTTTTTCAACAGCTATAACTTCAAAGATGTCAACAGCAGATTCAAGGTCTTCTAAAGAAAGAACTTTAATTCTTTCAATAGGAGAACTAAGTGTCTCAGTAGAAGAGCTAATGGAGGAAGTATCTTTAGTAAGAGAAGATAATGAATTGTATGATAAAGATTTATCAGAATCGGGATTTTCGATTTTTTGATACAGTGAAAAAAGTAAATCAACGTTTTTGTCTGATGACGAACATATAATCTTTTCAGTTGAAGAGAAAACAAGATCTGCACTTTTTTCTGATAAAGTAGTATCATTAGCAGAGGCAGACTGAATCGGTGTAAATGAAGCTATATCAGGAGAATGTACCTTTGAATTTTCCAAAGTATCCCTATAATAGTTAGCCGTAAATGCCCTAACTAAGATACTCACCGATACGCTGTATAGTTCGAAGTTTTTATAAACCTTTTTTTTTTTAATAGTTTATTTAAGTGAAGTGACTTAAGTTTAATCAGTCCTATGCTATTAACTAATTGAGGGCAGAGAAACTTGAGGAACCCACTCGATTTATTAATAATATAATAATCATTAAATGGCAGACGCTTGTGCAACAAAATACTATCATAAATCCAGCGTTCATGAAGTACATTTTTCTTCCTGGTTGACATTAAATACATACCACATCTTTCAAGAAAATACCCTATCAATTTCTTATCTATACCAAACCAGATATCTGGTTTCCTATAAGCTGGGACAAATATCACCTCACCGCCATAAACTTCTTCAATACAATAAGCCTGCAAAATCCAGGAAAAGAGAAGGTACATACGCCACAATTTAACAACAAATGATGGTGTTTTTTTAGAAAAATATGCAGTTAATCCTTTAAATAATATAGAACTCATTAATTCTTTTTCAACGTAGTTCATCAATCATATATCAACCAATATTCCGTTTTTTTTCCGCTTTTTTTCAGTGAAAAGGCCTGAAACACATATAAACCTTAAAAAATTAATATTTTTAGAAATTATTAACTTAAAAACTCATATAAAACTATTTTCTTTTTTTTAAATTGATTAACGTTAAAGAGTACTAATCTCCGGATTTTATCGACATCGAGCTTTATGAGTACTTAATAATCTTTAGATCAAATGAAGGACCAAATAGATCAAATAGACACTTTTTATAAGAAAAAAACATCAGAAGAAACATTGAAAATACTTAAAGAAATATCTTTTATTAAATCACCATCATTACATCTCCCAGAACCAATTGTACTTCCTCATGAATACAGTTCTCTTACTACAGACACACTTCAGAGTGTAACTTTCATTTTTTAGTATATTTTAGCACTGAGAGATATTTGGTAGTCAGAGAATATATTTTCATCTGTTTCAGAGATACATATGTCTTCTTTAAAACATTATCATGATTTAAAAACGAATTTTCAGACTTGGTCTAAACGAGTTGAGCAATGGGAAAGATTGGCTAAAGAAAGGCACTTATCCGAAGCAAAAAAGCTAGCTCCAGGGTATCTAGACACTGAACAGCGCTTACTAAAGCCTATTTCTGCCAAACACCCGTCTACAGTTTCATAAACATCCATATTATCCTCAATAATAATAGTTTTAAACACACAAAGTATCAGTGTCTAGAAACACGTATACAGTACTTGAAAATGCATTGGTATGTATACAAAATGTACATATATAGTTTATATAATCTTATATGATCTTTTAATAATTTAAACTCATTAAAATTCAAAAAATTAAAGAATCACAAATATAAATTTTCTTTTCAAAGATAAATATAGATAATTGTGGGTCTGATCAATAAAAAAGTATGAAAAGATGTATCCTTTTGTTTTATTTTTTTATACTTACAACTTTGAATAATACGTTCATCGTCACAAAAAATAAATCAACTGTTAAATCAATGGTTTCAAGAGATTAAATCAATATAAATTATATTATTATTATAAGAAAAGACCTGCAAAAACTATAATTAGAATTTGAATCAAAAAAAAAAAGAAAAAATCATGTTTTGGAAAAAAAAATCAATAGTAGAAGAAGGTGATGTGGTTATTATATGGCTGGTACAACAAAAATTCAAGTAAAACTATATTAATAGAATAAAAGACACGGGAACAAGTCCATCCCATTGTTATAGAACGAGGGAAAGTTTTTAATAATCAGTTTGGAAGTTATGCACATTCAGATATGATCGGATTACCTTATGGCTCACAAGTTCCAAGCTCTAATGGCGTTGGTTATTTACATATTTTAAAACCTACACCAGAGCTTTGGACAAAAGCTTTACCACATAGAACACAAATTGTATATACACATGATATCAGCTATGTACAAAGCAAATTGAGGATTCAGAGAGGAATGACTGTATTAGAAGCAGGGACAGGAAGTGGGAATATGACACATGCACTTGCAAGAGCAGTTGGAGAAACAGGAAGAGTATTTTCATATGAATATCATGCAAAAAGATATGAAAATGCACTTAATGAATTCAAGCAAAATCAGATTTTGGCACCAGAAGGGCCAGTAATACTTTCTTATCAGGATGTAGTTACCGATGGATTTGAAATTAAAGAGAAGGAAGTAATTGTCCATGCAGCCTTTTTTGATCTTCCAGCGCCGTGGAAGGTTATTTATAAACTGATTCCTCATTTTTCTAAGGAAAGACAATCTCGAATTTGTTGTTTTAATCCATGTATTGAACAAGTACAAAAAACATTAAAACATCTTCGAGAATTTGGATTTTACGATATAGAGCTTTCAGAAATTAGTCATTGTGAATGGATCGCACGTAAAACAGAACTTAAAGATATTTCTGAAGCTGCAGATCGTATTCGTGAAGTTCAAGCAAATAGGAAAAACAAAAAAAGACTTAATAATGAAAATCTTCAACATACAAAGAGGATTAAAGAGGGTGAAGAAGGTAGAAACTGGAGAGACGTTGGAAGAATGGAGAAAAACATCAAAAATCATACAAGCTATCTTACTTTTGCAACATGGCTTCCCTTACCTGAAAATTACCAAACATAGACACATAAAGACACATAAACATAAAGAACCTAATGTAAATAGCCATAAAAAAACCTAAATATAAGTTCAAATAATTTACAAGCAAATTATCAACCCTTAAAATGTACATTCAACTCATTCAATAACATAGTTTCTCAGAATAAAAAGTACAAAAAAACTACTATACTATTCATTTAGCAACAAAAAATTCATATTTTTCTGTATTTTTTAATAAAAAAGTATATTCAAGATTTCACTTCTTCGATATTGTCAAATATGTCAGAAGATTTAGCAAAACAAGCACAAATATATTCTGAAACAAAGGAATATCAACGTGCAATTAACCTTCTTACTGAAGCACTTCATGAAGCTCCAATATCTATTGATTATTATATTGAACGGTAATTTTTTACTTATTTTATATTTCTAACAAACTAGATCTACTGCGTATCAACGCAACAAACAATACAATGAAGCTCTAAAAGATGCAGAAGCAGCAATTTATCTATCTTATATTAAAAAAGAAAATGAGAAAAAAGGCTTAGCACAAATAAACAGAGGGTAATTAAATTACAATATCATTAAAATTGATTTAAAGCATTAGAATTGCACTTTTTTACTTAGGACGGATTGTAGATAGTTTTTATGCGTTTAAGAAGGCTAAAGAAACTATTTCTAATGATGCTGTATTAGATTCATGGTTTTTAAAGACAGAAATGGCGTTAGAAAAGAGTTTTTACACCAGATAAATCAACAGATGCTAATCTATATAGTGAAAGATCAAAAAGAAACCACAGTTAAAGAAATACCAGACTTTCTGGAGCTTGGTATGTATTAGCATCTTATATATTTCTCTTATATTTGTGGCAGAGCCCTCTTTACAAGCAGAAATTGCAAAAATAAAGTGTGTAACCTTGGATTATAAAGATGAACCAAATATGTCTGCTGAATCATTGCAAGAGAATATAAAGCCATTAATTCACACAATAAGGTATTTTTGTTTTATTTTAGTCCATTTTACTGTATTTATAACTAATATATAAGACATGAGTGGTATCAAACTGATCAAGCAGTTATAATTATTTTATATGTAAAATCAGTGAATAAAGACACTTGCAAAACTGAATTTAAAAAAAAATCAGTAATTCATTATCTATATATCAATAATCTTTCTAATATTGATAGATTTCAATATCATTTCCTTTACCCACTACTCAAGAAAATTATACTTTTGAACTTTCAGAACTTTTTGATGAAATTGATGTTATGTTATCAACAGTAACCGTATTTAGCTCAAAAATTGAATTACAATTAAGAAAACGTTCTCTTGGAAAATGGCCAACTCTGGAAACAACTGCTTCTAACACACAAACATTTAATAATAAGGACTCTACTAAAATTAATATATACCCATCTTCATCAAAGCATGGGTCTAAAGATTGGGACTTGATTGCAAAAAATATGGTTACAGATAATCAGGAAACAGGAGATGCAGCGTTAAACAAGTTATTTCAAGATATTTATGCTAATGCAGATGATGATACAAAACGCGCAATGATGAAAAGCTATATAGAAAGTAATGGAACAGCATTAAGCACTAATTGGAAAGAAGTTGGTGTAAAAAAAGTACCAATTCAGCCTCCAACCGGAATGGAAGCAAAACCATGGTATAATTAATGGTAGAAATAATTTAAAGTGTTATTTGTATTTAAAAAATAAAGAAACTATTTTACTTTTTTTTTTTAAATCCAAGTAATTTCCATGTTTTAAAATCCATAAAAATAGAAAAAAAATCTAATATAGTTTATATGTAACTAATAATAATGCATATATTAGTTTATGAAATCTTATGAAATAAAGTGGTTCGATAAGTCAGAATTACTTCGTAAAATATTCATTTAATTATTTAAAAACATTATTTAAAATTTTTGATATACATGTTATTTAATAAAATTATGAAAATTAACCCAACATAGAATAATAAAATCTTAATTTAGACGCACAATATTTGAATTTATCTTTTCTAATATTTTCTTAGCTTCTGTAAGATACTTTTTTTTTTCTTCTAAAATATAAAATTTCTCATTTTTAATAATAGAACGAAGATTTTCCTCAATCATTTGAAGTCCTAATTTTCCTTCTTTTATCATTTCATTTTCAAAATTTCTCTTTGCTTTATTCCAAGAAGACCGTAAAACAATAAATGAACATGCTATTCCCAAAGAAATCATAGATATTGATGAATATAAAGAAAAATTACATATAATATATAAATATATAGTCAAAAAACCGCTCCCTGATATCATAAAAATACTTTTAAGTAATTCCACTTGAGAAATTCGAGACAATATATATAAAGGATGTCCCAATATTTTTTTTCGTAATATATTTATTGGAGATTTAGATAAAAAAATAGAATATTTATTTGAAACTTGCCCAATTAAAAAATACATCTAAAAAAGTTAAAATAAAGCAATTTCTCTAATATATAGCTTTACTTTCGCTTCTGAATCAACAAGAAATGTATTTTGAACTATTTCTTTTACAGTAATTAAAACATCATCAACTCTCCAAAAAAGTTTCCAAAATTTTAGTTTAACCCAACAAATATTCATATTCTGAATATTATGAAATAATTCCTTATAAGCATCTTCCACCCAAGTATCTACTTTTTTTATTAAAATATCCTGAGCTTGTTTTAAAGAATGTATTTCAAAAATTTCAAGTTCTAAATTTTTAATAATCTTTTCTATTTCAATAACAACATTAGTTATAATATCATAAAACTTAAAGCAAAAAGTCAAATCTCTTAATGATGAGTAATTAGTATATACTAACAAATTTTCATAATCAGATATATTTAAAGAAGACGATGAAAGATTTTTTATAGCACTCTTAACACCTAAAGACGAAATCGGAATAACATTATCAAAAAAATCACGAAATACGGGAAAAGTAGAAGGTTTTGCTTCAATTATAAACATAGAATTTTTCAAAATTAATAAATTGCATAATGAAATTTTTTGACAATATATAACTGATCTATCATAAATAAAAGACGAACATTGAATAGGATCTTCTTTTCCCTTAGAAAAGTAGACTCTTTTCCCAAAAAACCTACCTCTATGTTCAATTAATTCTATATTATTTTTTTCGAGAAAATAATGAGGAATTTCAATAATTAAATGATCATCATTTTTTATCATTCTTGCTTCCGGAGCATATCTAAAACTTTAAAAATGTATCTGTTTCACAAACAAAATTACCGTATAATAGCTTTTTTCAACGAATCTGTCATGAAAAACAAAGTATGTCTGCTTTCTAAAAGAGCTTCAATCTTTTTATTTAAGCTAAAAGGGTCAAAAAGTAGAACATCCACAATTGGAATTCTCCCTGATAGACATGATTCTGCAGGAGAAACTTTATTATATTAAATCCATATCTTCATTAATAATTAATTATTACTTGAAATTCTTGCAGGAATTCTACGGTCCATTAAATCTTTTGCACGAGATATATGTTTCAACGCCACTTCATTCCATGAAAAAGCATTTTGTATCTGATCCAGAATCCTTCTGGCTTCTTCAGAACACATATCCATATTGTTCACTCGTGAGGCATAAAAACGTCCAAATCTCACAGAAAAAACACTCAAAAACCCACAATTTTGCCTAAACATGCAAGATATAAAAATATGTCTGCTATTTCTCACTTGTAACTTCATAAAAAACGGAAAAACTTTCATAATTTTTATCCACATATTTTGTTGTTTAAAATTGCTTCAATTCCGTTTTTTTTTTGAAAAAGCTTTTACATAGTACTCATATATATATCAATTCCATATTTATACCATATTTATAGCATCAAAAACTCGTTAAAATGTCATTTAATAACCTTATAGACATTGTTTTTTTTTTATATTTTTTTGACGTTACTTACCGACAATCGACAAATTATAAATGGCCTTTATACGTATTCATGAGCGACCTACAGGTCTTATTGACATTGTAGAACATCAATCAGCAACTCCTAGCACCTTTTCTTCACAAGTTCTTCATTTTTTTTCAAAAAATGCTCAGTTTAAGACAGTTCCAATGATTGATTTATCTGGACAGGTTGATATTTATATTACATCAGAGTTAGTTTTGTTTTCCTAAAAAACTGCCTTATAATATATAATTTCTGATATCTTTAATAGAAATATGATCATTTTTTCTGAAAATCTTTCATTGGGTCTTCAAATTCCCTATCCAAAGATTATTCTTCATGCAATCCACCAAACACCTCATAATGCATTTGATACTACATGTATTTACATACAAATTGAAGATTTAGAAGGATTTATGTCAACAAAAAATGATGTAAATGGCGATCCGTCTGAACTTTACTCTAATATGGTTGAATTGTACATTTTGCCATCTGATCCATTAACACGTAGAAATACAACAAAAATATCTAAAAAAAGCTAATTTATATAGTTAATGATTTCTTTGCAGCACTTTCAAATTGTTCATCACTGCATCCATGTACAGATCAAAATTCGGATGAAAAAATAGATGAATCTAGCTCAGAACATGAATGGATCACACAAGCAAACGGCAATCCGGAAACTCCAGCTTCTGCAGGTCAAACACGTACAAGAGAAGAGGAAGAGATAAATGAAACGAAATGGAGATGTACTGATTAGTCGAAAATACAAACTATATGTATTATTAGATATATTATTCAAAGTACATGATTAATTTTGTCTTAAATGATCAAAATATTACTACAGCTTCAAAATAAAATTCAAGATGTCAAATAAAATGTCAAAAATTCAAAAAATTTAAAAACCCTTTCAATAAAATTTTGCAGTCAGTTCAAACCAACGTTTCTACTAGCGCTAACGCTAGAAATAATAACAAGAATCCATTTCTATCTATGGTTCATACGTATTGTAGTATTTGTAGGATTGTTTGAGTGACCATTTAAATTATTTGTTAAATCCAAAAGCTTTTTCTTTTTTTCGGCCCAAATATCGACAGAAGCATTGATACTAGGTGTACGAATAGAGTTTTGTTTTAAAGTATTCTTATCTGTCTTAAATATTTTTTCAGTACCTAAATCAAGCTCGAGATCTACTTTATTTTCTTTTATATGCAATGATTCTGGAGGAGTTAAATCAACTGTAAAGCTGGAATTTTGTTCTGATGAAAAAGCTCCTGAGTTTTGATAAGCAGATAAAGGCGAAGATAACGTATTTGATGTATCAGAGAAATGCGTATTTGCAGTATCAAAACTGACAGCTTCAGTTTGCATAGATAATGGAGTATGGTAGTAATTTGTATGATTTAAAGAAAAAACATTTGATTGTGGAGTATGCATTATTTGAGAATTATGTAAAACCGGATAGTTGGAAAACCTATTACTCATATGAGAGTCAAAAGGCTTTGATTTAGTTTGTGTTGGTGTAAAATAGCCTTTATTTTGTTCCTGAGAGCACCCAAAACATAACTTTGATTGATTAGAAACAGCTTCTGCGACACTAGGACTGTTATCATTATGACTCCCAGATCGCAACTGATCATGCTGAAAAGGATTATCAAAAATAGGTGTATTATGTGATAAATAACGAGACCTTATATAATCTTTTGGTCTAGAAGACATGGAAAAAGAACGTACTGGATGCCCTAAATGATTATAATATGTAGGATGTCCCATATGTTGCATAGGAGACCATCCATTAGCCGTCTGCGAATTGCTATGATAATGCTTTGCTGATGAATCACCTAAATTATGATCTTCAACTCTTGGAGTATTTTGAACACCATAAGTCTTATTAGAGTCATGGAAATATTCCGCTCTTGATAACCGATTATCAGAATACTGGTAGTCCATAAAAGGTATTGATGTAGAAAAAGAATTTGGCGATCCTGATCTCATCTTTTCTGAAACCGGTGTAGATCCTTCTGCAACCAATTTTGCATGAGCATTCATCTCATTTCGATAAAGCATATCTTCAAATGCTTCTTGCCTTCTCAATGAACGTCTTACACCAAAAATAATCAAAACAATAGTGACAATAACAATAAAAATCACAATTGCTGAAATCCCTATAACAGTATACGTATTACTGCGAGAATGTGAATGGTGGCGAACCGGCGCAAATGTTTCTACAGGAGTTGTAGTTGTTGTTTCAGAAAGAGTCGTTGTAAACGTGGTTCCAATGAAAATTGGAGTTATACTTTCTGCAAACGCTGTACTTGACGACTTTGACCTATTTTTCGACGTAGCTGTCGGTGTAGCTGTTGAGAGCGTTGTAGGCGATGTTTTTACGTTACTTTTAGTGCTTTCACTTGTTTCACTCTCCACTTTTGCATAATTATTTCCAAGATACTTTTCGGAAATATCTGTATTTACTGTTTTCGCGTCTATCTTGCTATTGTCTCCTTCAATTAAACTAAATGGGCCATCAAATGTATCAGAATCCTCTGCAGCATGTCGAACTATCTTATTTGATGTTGAAAGCTCTTGAGTTCGTCTTTTTAAAGCATGTATTAAAGAAAAAACTCTTCTTGACCTTGTCATTTTTTTCTCCAAGCTTTCTCCATGTTCTTTGAAACTCAAACATGGTATATTTTTTGGCGAAGATTCTTCATTTAAATGATTTTTTGGTCCATTCTTTACAGAATTTATATTTCCCATAAATCCATTTTCCAAAGGACATACTAAAAGCTCATCTTTGTTTGCTGAAACCATTCACAATATAATCACGTAAATACTGTAATAATACACTTTGTTTGTCTTAAAAATATTCAGAATTATTCAAAAGATGTCTATTATTATATTTAAATTATGGACAATTGAAATATTAAATATTGACGCGATATCTCTAAACGCGTAAAAAGCTACACGAATATTAGCGTGTTAGCTAAAATAGTCGTGTTTAATAAAGTATAGACCGTGTAAATTAATTTACAAATTAAGATAAAAACAATATATTTTGAATTATTTTTAGTAAAAATACTATTATTTAACTCTTCTAACTTAAATGCAATTTCCTAGATTTATAAATATTGGATATCAATTAATATAAATGGCAACGTATATACTATGCTAATCATAACTAGTAATGCTATACTACTTTTTTGCTCGCAATGCAATAAATATATATCTTAATTCTGATGTCCTCTATTAAATACTCTTATAAATACTTACTTCTAAATAGACTTTGACTCACAATTTTCCTTGTCAGCAATTCTTTCCAACAAAACATCTTTGATAGAACTTTCAATACTTTGCCCATCTTTAATGGGACTATCTCCTTCATCTTTTTTACCTCCATAATTTCCCCCCCAGCCGCTGCTCCAACGTTTCCTGTACCATCCTCCTTTCTTCTTAGTGTTAGCGCCAGTTACCTTTTTCGGACTGGTATTTTCATCTCGAACTCTTAAACATACTTGTCCTTCGGTATCTTTATCAGGTTCGATTTTTAAATTTTCCATTTCAGCAACCACAGGTTGTGATGACTTTACATTCTCTGAATATACTTTAAATTCAGGATCAGGAACTATTTGTTCAACAGGTGTGGTAATCATTGTCTGAACATTCGGTTCTTCTACCTCTACTATACCTGATAGTGGAGTTCCACGCCATTTTGATAAAACAGTCATAGGATTAGGTGCAAGTGTAGGCGTCAAGTTTGTTACGGAAACATTTTCTGTCACCTTTAAAGTATTTTTTGTTTCCATATTCATGGCAATAGCTGTTTTATTCTCGTCTTTTGAAATCGAAAAATCTTCTGCTTTAGAAGCATCCTTATCTAGCTCAGTATATACAATATTCGCTTTATTCTCGGCTTTAAATATCTCTTTCAAACGTTTTTCACGATCAGCACGACGTTCTGCCCAACTAACAAATACACGTTTCCTTCCTACCATGCTTCCGTCTAAACTCTTTTTAGCCTTTATAGCTTCTTCCGCTTTGCTAAAAGCTACAAAGCCATAACCCTTAGATATTCCAGTCCCGGGAACTACTGCAAGGTGTGATGATACGATTGTTCCATATGGTTTAAAAAGAGTTTCGATATCAGATGGATGAGATATTATATCATCATCAAGATTTTTGATATACAAATTTTTCGGATCTGCTGGTAAGGACTCTGGAACAATAGATGTTGGTATTGAAGAAGTGCTAAAAGTTACGGATGCGGTTGACGAACCCGGAGAGCTAATAGTTGACACATTAGGCATTGTTGTCGACTGAGCGGGTTCAGTCTTTGGATTTTGAGACATAGTTGTAGATACAACGGGAGTCGTAGGTTTAACACTTGTCGCAGTAGCAGCAGCAGCAGTTACAGTTGCCGCTGCAGTCGTTGTTGCCGTTGCAGTTACAGCTGTTGCAGCAGTTGCAGTTACAGCCGTTGTTGTTTCTGTTTTTTTAACCGGCAAAGGCATAGGTGGATGATTCACTGTAATCGCTGTCGTTGTTGGCATATTCGTATCCTGTATTTCGGCAACCACTGGTCGTGGCGGCTGCATAGGTATAGGTAATCCCGTCATAGGATCGTAAAAAACAAGTCCATCCTGAGGCGTTCCAATGCCCAAGGGGACCGTATGATCAATACTCGTTTTCTGTTGTTCATACATATGTGGATATCCGCTGCTAGCAACACTACTAGTAAGACTATTGCGCCTTGAATTCATCATATTGGCGTCTTCGTAGAAAGAAAGACCCGCCATTGCTTCATCTATCGGTGTTGATGCATAAGACCAAGGCACCGGTGTAGGATTGGGAATCGAATACGCCGGCGGTGGATATTGCCATGTCGGATAAATCGAATTAGGAGGTGCATACATCATCGAATGCCCCGAATTAATAGGCGTAATAAGCTGAGGCGCTGGTAACGTAGGTGGCTTGAACGCAAGTTCAAGTATATATCCATTAAGTGTAGTATTATTCAAGCTTTCAAGAGCCTGCTCGGGAAATTAACGATCCAAAACGTTCCCCGTCTTCGTCTCACCTTCTTTGCATGGTAAAAACTCCCCATAGCCACCTCCCCCACTCTTCTCCCACGGTTATCAACAACATTATATATAAAAGCCCCTTCTACACGTCCCAACTCACTAAACAAGCAAAACAAATCCTTTGGCGTCATTTCATACGGAAGATTAAAAACAGACAATATCTTGCTCATGTAATTTTGATTAATATGTGTATTATATGGAAAATAATATTGTGTTGGCATATGAGAATAAGAAAACATTGGATACTGACTACTTTTCTGTGGAGAGGATGGTGGTGGCGTCCTGTTAAACGACCGGTTCACATATGAACGAATCCGTGGCCGTACCACTCTATATATCTCTCAGATCAACCCGTACAAAAAATTCACTGATAGATTACAGCCGTCTCCGTCCTAATAATATATTATCTGCCTGCTGCATTGCCCGTTGTGCTGATTCTGCATCTGTATACTTGATAAACGCAAAATGTGTGGTCCGATCAGCCTTGTCTGTATGAATTGGTGGTCGATAGACGCTCTCAATCGTACCTATGCCAATCAATTTGACGACTTTTCTACCGCATATAACCCACCAAAACGACCAAAAATTTTCATCAATGCATCATTACTAATTGTCATTTCAAGATTTCCAACGTATATTGCATTAGAAAAGTCCTCATGGTCTAAATATGCAGGACGTGTTTGAACCGGCGGATTAGCTGCACGCTGTGCCAGCCAACGAGGACTTGATATTAGAGGCTTATTTGGTGAAGATCGAGACTGTGAAAGCACAGCATTATGATTAGATGCCTGCAGAGGCGTTTGTGGCGGTGTTGCCGCTGGTTCTACTGTTGCCATTGAGTTACTTGTTTTTTGTCGAAAAACTGCGTAAAAAAGGCGCAAAAACGCCCTAGACGAAAGAAACGATTATCCTGAGCTTCTTACGTCTTTTATACCTTAATAAGAGCCTGTTTTCCTGAAAAAACACAGTCTTTTTGACTCTTTTATTGTGACAAATTGTGTGGATTATTGTAGATCGATCTGAGTCGAGAGGAAGCTTTATCGGAGAATCAAAGAGCATAAATAGAGGATGGAAGATAATACATAGAATGGAGAGACAAAGCAGAAGATGTATGTCTAAAATACAATTGAAACAAAATCATGTTTTTTTTTTTGGAAAAAAGGTGTATTTGGGTCTTAAAGTCTTTACAAGGTGTATACGGCAGAGGAAAAATAATAAGAGTGGATAAAAATACAAAAATCATACTTCTTTTGTATTTATATCACGAAAAACAATAAAAATTATAGAGAAAACAGGTCTTCTTATATAGAATAAAGAGTAAAACGTAAATGGTTGTATACAGGTGATCAACGATCGCGGCAGGAAAAAAGCATAAAAATAAGGTTTGGAAGAGGATAAAGCATAGTTAATGGCAGAAAACTTGCGGTGCAAAGTCCTTTCATTGTATCGTGCGCTTCTTCGAAGCTCAAAGCAGCTGAAAAACTATGGGTTTCGAGAATATGCGATACGGAGGACGAAAGATGCATTTCATGCACACAAAAATGAAACAAATGAGGAGAAAATACAAGAATTATGGCACAAAGGACTTAAGGAGCTTCAGGTTTTACGAAGACAAGCACTAATTAATTATATGTATCAAGCAGAACGACTAGTTATTGAAGTATATGCATAAAGCGTTTTCGATAACATTTTAATGATTAGTTTCAGGAAAACGATTCAACCAGGAAACCAGGTTGGATTAATGTAGAAGATATAAAGAAAAATACATGAAAAAGTCTTTTTTTAGTAAATCTAATGATAATATGAAAGACTTGATTCTTTAATGTGGATACCAGATTATATTATTGAATATGATTAAAAAGAGACTAAAAACGATATTTTTGATATGTAAATGAATTACTATGAATTAAAAAGGATCAGTGTTATTATATGATTTTTTATCTATGTATTATCAAAGATTTTTATCTTTTCAAATGTATATATGAATCGAGTCATGAAAAATGAGAAAAAATGTTTGAATAGTTAACAGGAGACAGTGTAAATAAAATATTTTCTTGTCTTCACGGGAATATATATATAATGAATGATTACTGTCATGCGTTAAAATGTATTGATTTTTTTAATATAGTAAGATAGAATAATATACATCTTCAATGTCAATCGTCTTCCTCGAAGAAATCACCCCAAGAGGCATTGTCCTCAGCATCTTGGTTTGCATTATTCCATGGATCATTATCACCTTCGCCCCATACATCATTACTAGGTTGAAGATCCCACCAATTCTTGCCTGTATCTTCAGCTTTAGCAGTTTCATCAGAAGATACATGAGTATCCTGATCCTGAGAGGCAGGCGCCTGATTCGAATCTTCAGTAGAACTATCACTAGTACCACCTCCGAACACAGGAAACCATAAGGGTAAAAATGAGCCAATACCTGTACCACTTTTTGATAATTTGGAAAAATAATCAAAATCAATACTATTAATCGTTAATCAATTAACTAATACGAACAAAAACTACCTAATAGCTGTTGCTAAAATTACTGCTCTTTCATCTAGTGTAAGACCCCTATTTGATAAAGGAACAACATTTTTTTGATTATTAACAAGTTGTTTTGAATCTACTGCTGTATCATTTGTTTGTGAAGAAACAGAATCCATACGTAAAACATAGTTTCCAGTATCAGTAAACATTTCACGTAACAAACCCATAAAATTCCTATTGACAGATCCGATTAATTGCCCATCTTGATCCATTAATGAAAAATCCCATGAAAATAATGGCTCATCTATGTATGCAAACTGAGAAAAAGTATCGTCTCTTCTAGAAAACAATATTAGGGGAAATACCATGTCTCCAATAAATTTACTTGAGAAAAAGATTATATTTTCGTCTCCAAGCATGCCATTGCTGACGAACCTCTCCAACCACATGATTTGCATTGTTCATAGTATCTACAATCCTAATAGTCGAATTCACTAGAGAAAAAGGCCTCTCAATAAGAAGTACTTCGTTTCCTTCTCGATCTAAAATATGGGCTTTAAAGGACCGATGCGTCCTAAATACTTGACGTGCCAACATCTTTGTTAACGACTGGCCACCTGTTTCTGCAATATATCCCACATGTTTTCCACATGAATCCATTATAACATACTTATTTGCCTGTTCAAAACCCTATTCTCTTGTCATCTATGTTAAAAAAAGAGTTTACTTTATATTTACAAAAAACACATTCATCATCTCCATTTTTCGCTCAATGACCAATGCTGAATTGCCAAAAATACCAAGAAGTGTTTGTGTATGAGGTAGAATGCCTTTTGGATCATCTGGTAGACGCACTTCGGCTTGAGTTGGTTTCACAATTGGTGTTTTTTCAGATTGCTCAAATCTTGCACGATAAAGAGGATTTAAACGGGAATTTCGAAATCTGGGTAATATACGACTAGGAGATGCACGAACAGAATACGTTTGTGCTCTAAAAACACTTGTCTTGCTGTTTTTCAGCCGTACCAAACATATCATTTTTTCTGACGTTAGCTACAAATATCTGTGGGGTAAAACGCGGGGTAATTAGAATTAAAAAAAATTAATAATAAAACTTTAAGTAAATATAGAAATATAAACAAATATAAATATAAAAATAAAACTAGATATCATCATCTGAAAGAATATCATCCTTTGCAAGATTAGCAATATATAATTTCCGCCCAGAATCGGCACGATAAAGCTCCTGATCAACAGAAAAATCAGAAGCATTGTAGTGACGAGCGTATAAATTAGGGTGAAGATGTTGAGAGCTAGCAAGAGACTCATTGGTGGCGTTATTGGGGTAATCATTATAGTTTTTCGAGACATCAGAGCCCCTAGAATGAGATCGTGCGTGTGAAAAAGGACCACGATGACTATAATGAGAACTTGCAGTAAAACTTTGGATTGACGCTTGCCGACCAGAACCATTAGATAAAACACTGCTACGATCGCTATCCTCATCATCATCATCTACTTCTGGTATATCATTAAGACCCCTTTCAGCTAGATAGTTATTATTGAACGAGGGATTAGAATATATAGGAGCTTCGCATTGGTCACCTTCCAGACAGGTCTCTGTTGCTGATAGTCGGGGAATTAACATGGTATGCTGTGGTGCTGCAATATTTGTTGAACGTGCATGATGTGCCATTGGTCGACCAAACGACATAGCCGATGCATGTGGGAAAACCAAAGACTAAAAAGAAAATTGAATAAAAAGACAAAAAACAAACAGAATAGATACTTTAATAGAAAATCCCATTTTCATTCCATAATTATTTTTATTTTTCCTCATTTTAAAGTTCCCTGATGCCTGAACCCCATACTCACACCAAACTGTTGCACTTGCTTGACGCAGACGATTTACATATGATTTTTCAGAGCCATCAGACGAATCTCCTAAAGGCTTATCCACAAAATACGCATTCTCAGGAATAGAATGGTCTCCATATACATGTTCATAAGGTGTTGTTTTATGATAAAATGATTCCTCAGGATTTTGCCACATAGCCCCCCGCCCATCAACAGAAACTGTGGAACGTGTTGGGTTCCATTCACCTACTCTGGAGCACAAACTGAGGTCTCTAAAACTGTGGATAAACCTGTCCTTCTGTATCACTTGAGAAGACATATGTGTCATTCTTTTGCCAATTTCTAAGCTTTTTTCAAGAAAAAAAAACGTATATATATATACTCTGACACAAAAAAAACCTTTTTACTGGTATATTCCCTTAAAACAAATAGTTATTTTCTATATCAATCAGTTTAATATTTTTTTTCACTCGGACCGTTTGTCGTGCGTAAAATTACACGTACAACGTCAAAAAAATTATTATCAGCTAAAATCTATTAGTAAACCATTGATTAGTAATAATTGAGTATAAAATACAGAGGAAATACATGAAAAATACTTAAATACTTTATCTATGAGGATATATATTATATATTTTATTTTTTCTTAAAAAACAGATTAATTTATGATTATGGAAAAGATTAAAACAAGTGTTTGTGAAGAAGAAGAGAAGATAGAAAGAGAAAAGACATTGAATATGTACTACGATTATAGTTCAGACAGTACATTGACAGAGGATATATTTGAGGAGGAAACAGAGCCTGTAGATATTCAAATGAAAGAAATAAATACACAAATACACAGAAAGTCGTCAGAAGTGTTGTCAGAAATATCAGATTGCGTATGAGAGTAGTTTTAATTCTTTTTTATTATTAATAGACACTAGAATGAGCGTACAGCTAAAAGAATTAGGCGTAGTATATCTGCTACGACAACATTGGGTCAATCACAAACAACAATTGATAAAGAGACAAAAAGGCAGCAGAAAGAAGCAGAGAGGATGATAAAGGAGTTAGAAAAGGAAAAAGAAAAGGCTCTGAAAGCTTCTTTAAAAGAAGAAGAACGACGACGAAAAGAAGAGGAGAAAAAAAGGAAAAAAGAAGAAAAAATCGAAAGAGAAATGCAAAGAGAGGAAGAAAGAAGAAAAAAAGAGATAGAAAAGTGTAGAAAAGAGGAAGAAAGACAATTAAAAGAAGAAGAACGACTTAGAAAAGTATTAAAGATATTTAATCTAAACAGTATTAATTGTCTTAGAAAGCAGAAAAAGATGCTAAACAACAGGAGAAAAATGAAGCAAAAAAGAAAAAAGAAGAAAAAAAGGAAAGTGATCAGGAAAAAAAGCAAAATTCACAATTAAAACTCCAAAATTTTTTTCATACAAAACTTCCTAAAGAAAATCGAGCAGGAATCAAAGGTAAATATAAAAACCACTTATAGTTAACAATTAAAAATTTTTAGATTGCTTTGTTTCCGATTACGACAAATGTTTTATTCCATTTTTTGTTAAACAACATACTTTTCTTTCAGACCAACATGCTTTTATACGGAGTCCTGATGACCATATAATAACAATAAAAAACATAGATGAACTTTTGGATTCAGATTTTCCAATTACATCCCGTAAAACTACCTTTTTTTTACTACTTTTTCTTATTAAATCTAGCCATTAAACATTTATTATCACTTTTTAAAATTACTATTGTTCCATCATCTTATTCCCGAAAATCAAGTATTACTGTTAAATCTATTCTTCAAAAATATGAGCAGTCGAATTCAACTGATGACTTCTTGAATAAACTTAAAATATTTCCTATGAAACTTCTCCAATTCAGGGAAGATGTTCGACCACCTTATTACGGTACATTTTCAAAATCATCTATTATATTAACTCCAAGAAATCCATTTAAGACAGATGAGAGTTTATTTAATTATAATTATGATTCAGAAGCAGAGTGGATAGAAGAAGAAGAAGGTGAAGATATCAATAGTATAAATGATAGCGATGAAGATGATGCTGCTGAATTAAAAGAAGAGGATGATGATAAAGACTTTCTCGATGATGATGATGAGTCTAATGATATAAAAAAAAAAGTAATCGTAAATTTAATACCTAGTATTAAAGGTATTTATTGGCAAGATTCACATGATATCGATGCAGATGACTATAAATTATTTAACAAACTCAAAATGGATACGTTAATAAGTAATATTTTAAGTTTGGTCTTACCTCTTACTCACTATATTAGATATAGATCATCCTATTGATCCTTATCATGACTATTGGTCGTCGAAAACACACTCAAACAATGACACTATATCCCAAAACTTTGAAACAAATGCCGCGTCTTCAGCAACAATATCTCCTAAAACTTCTCTATATTTTCCACAAGATTTATTACCTTCTTTTTTAAAAATAATTCAAGGAAGTACACAAACAAAAGTATTACTTGTAGAAACCCTGAGACAAAAATTCACAGATATAAGTAAGCAAACAATTCAATGGAAGTTAAGCACTGTTGCACGAAGAAATGGTAAAGGTGTTCATGATGCATGGGCTGTAAATCCATCTGTTTGGCATTCTGTATTTGGTGAGAATCAAGATTCTTAACATTCTTTTTTAAAAACAGGATATGTTTTTCATTAAATATTGGGTCTTGTCAAATCTTTATTTATTCTTTTTTAATATAAGTTTTATATTTTATTTTTACTCAATATTAGTCAATTATTTCGACATTTTTTCGATAAAAATTAAATCTTTTTAAAAAAGTTTAACAAATGCAAAAGACTTTAGATAGAAAAGAGAATTACTCTATAGAAGCTCTAGTTCTTGATACAGCATCTTTCATTTCATTTCCTAAATCTTTGATTATGAATAAGGCATCTAGTTTTTATACAGTTCCTAATGTGATGACTGAGATTAAAGACGAAAAATCGCTTCAGGAATTATCTTTATGGAAAGATAAAGTTAATATTCGGGCACCGCAGCTGTCTTCTGTTCAAGAAAGTGTGTTTTCTGCATTTTTTAATTATTTTTTCTTAATGTAAAAGTAATTTCATTTTCTAAAAAAACCGGAGATTATGAGGTTTTAAGTGTAACGGATATACATGTTATTGCACTTACATATGAACTCGAATGTGAAATGAATGGAGACTCAAGAAAGTTGCATAAAAAATTAAATCAAGTATATTTTTCAAATAATTAAATGTTCGAATTAATTATAATAGCCGGAAATAAACAAACAACAGCCGCCAAACCATGATAATATTATTAGAAACGAAGAAAATCAAATCCTACATATTCTTGCAGATCAAGTATCTCTTCAAGAAAAACTCGAAAATAATAATTTAACGAATGAAATCGATGAAATTGTGAAAGATACAGAAAACCTAACTTTTGAAGAAATAGATGAAGACAGCGACGGCTGGATTACACCCTCAAATATTCATTATCATAAATCATTAAGTGAAAAAACAAATGTAATTTCCATCAAAAAAAACACACAAATAAAAGTGGCATGTGTTACAACTGATTTTGCAATGCAAAATGTTCTTTTACAAATGAATTTGAATCTTGTTTCACAAGAAACTGGGTTAAGAATTAAAACTGTTAAATCATGGGTCTTAAGATGTTATGGATGTTTCAAGTATGGACATAATTACTTTTTTTATGAATATAATTATTTATTTTTTATTAGAATTGTTAAAGATATATCAAAAAAGTTTTGTCCTGGATGTGGTGGGAATACCCTTTTACGTACATCTTGTTCTATAGATTCTAATGGTAAATTTCGAATTTATCTTAAACGACATATGCAATGGAATAATCGGGGTACTATTTATCCTATTCCTAAACCTCATCATGGATCAGCATCCGGTAAAGGTTATAAGCAGTTAATTTTTCGTGAAGACCAAAAGGAATATCAAAAAGCAATAAAATATCAAAAACGGAGAAAAGAAAGAGATTTATTTGATCCAGATAGCATTCCTGATATTTTAACAGGCAAAAGGGACATATTACGTCACGATATAGTAATTGGAATGGGCAGAAAAAATCCTAATGAAAAAAAGAAATCAAGATAATTTTATGAGAATGTATTTTTTCTTTCAAACAAATATAAAGTCTTTAATATTTCAAGCAGCATACTTATATGTATATTAGTCATTATACCTACCTTTTTTTGATCTAAAGCATATGTATAGTTACATCTGTATAATTAATTACTAATAATACGAATGAATTATCTGATTATAGATTAAATTTAAAATAACTTTAATAATATACAAAACTAAATAAAAACTAAATGGAACCAAAATTTTAAAATATTTTCTAAATATATGAAATTTATATTATTTTGTCTTTAAATGTAAAATATTCATTTCATAAACTTAAATACCTTATATACATATTACAAATCAAACCGACAGGAAAACAAACTTTTTTATAGAATTTTAATACTCTAATTATTCCAAAGTGTATTAAACCACAGAATAACCACACTTGGTATATATCACTTGTGAAACAATAATTAGATGAAAACTAAAAATATTATAAATACAAAAAAACCTAATCATCTTCTAATTCCAAAAAAGATACAGAGAACAAGTAAAATCAGAGTAATCCAACAAAAAATAATACAAAACTTTATTTTTTTGAAATTAGCCTTTCTCATCTATTGTTTGAGCAGTCATATCAGAACGAAGCGCAAATGTTTGGTTTCTCCAATAAATGCGTGAACCAGACATACCTTTAACCCAGATAGGAAAAGCCAATATTTCCCGTAAAACCCAAATACAAAACCAACGAAAAAAACTATAATCACACGGCATCAAACTAAAACTATTTTTATCGATTTTGTTATTCAAAAAAGAACGTAAAATATTAAACTGCGTATAATCCATAACCATCCATATAAACATATGAATAGTCCATATTACATAAAAATGAGCGGAATTAGTCAAAACAGAAATTGACCAAGCCCCTAAAAAGCCAAACAATATACTTTCCGTAAATGGTTCAAGAAGTGTAGGTATTGTAACAAAATATTTACGGAGACGTATCCATCTTACACGTCTTGCAATATAATCACTAATGCTAATGCTTTCAACTGGCTGCCAAACATACTCTGTTGCCATAAAATGACTTTTTTTCCCACTTGTCCAAAGAGTCGTTGCAATTAAATGATCTTCAGCAATATAATTAGAAAACTCTTTTAACCCTTTAGGTGCTCGCGAGAATAAAGAAGCCCGCCGAAACAAATTACTTTTACCAATAACGCACGGAGTTATTGCAACACGATTAATTGCAGAATACATTCTTGCATGGAACGTCGACAAAAACATTTCATCCAAACGGGAACCCACTGATGACTGAGGAGAGGATGCAATACATAATGGTAAATGATGAACCAACTGTACTCCAGGCAACATTAATGATTTAACACTCCGTTCAATGCATCCCTGTAATATCCATATATTGCTATCCAGAATCCACAAAATATCATATTTTGCCACTCGTTCTGAGCGAACTAAATTATTTATCTTAGGATTTTGACCAATCCGCTCATCCCCTACTCATCTATAAGACCAATATCATAAAAGCACCCTATATTTTACCAATAATAATCTTTGCATCTACATATGGATATTTTGTGATCAACTCCTTAGCCACATCCACTGCTGGGTCTGTTTCATCCGCAATCGACATAATAATCTCAAACTTGGGATATTTCTGCAAAAAAGCAGATTCAAGACAATCATACATGCGTGGATCAAGCCCCTTAAGCGGTCTTAAGATAGAAACACCCGGTAAAGGCTCAGATATCATATTTGCAGCATGTACCAAGCTTTTTGAATAAATTGACCGACTATACATATTTCAAAAGTCAAAAAAAAAGGTATTATAAAAAATAGGCCTCTTACATCGTAAGCCAACCAAGAATACAGAGTGAAACAACAAAGCAGTACCAAAGAAAAACGATCCATGCAAGTGTCTTCAAAAAAGCCATTTTTTCAAGAGATATGTCGTTTTTAAGCGGGAGAAAAAGAACAATATGAAACAGACATGTGTTTCCACCGTTTAGACTTAATTTTTATGCCTTTTCTACAACTTTTTCTTATCTATAATAAGATTAAAGACAAATCTTTTTTTTTTGTAATTTTAGCGGTGCAAAACGGGACCCCGCAGAGTCGATGAATATTGGATATGCACGACTTCTATGAAATATGGAAAATACATATGCTCAGTATACGATTTAAAAGAGCATGTTTTAAGGCATAAAAAACAAAGATTTGCATTTGCAACGTTTGGTACGTTTAAGATGTCTTTTTTTCCGAAAGAACAGCGACATTGGAGCCCTCCAAAGCCTAAAAAATCGTTAAAAAAGTTAGTAGTTTGGAATTCTTTAACGAGGGAAAAGGTGGCCAAAAAACAGTATTTATGTGTCTTTACTTAGTTAATAGAATGAGTTTGTGCCGTTAAATGGGCGTAAAATTACATGGTATTGTTGTGGACCTACTGTTTATGATTGGAGTCATATGGGTCATGCCAGGTAGTTTTAGAGATTTTTAAAAAGAAAAAAGGCTTAAATATAATCGAGAAACTATGTAACAACGGATATTATTCGAAGGATTCTTCAAGATTATTTTAAATATGATGTTATTTTTGTTCAAAATGTGACAGACATAGATGACAAAGTATTGTGTATTTTTAGCCTATAAAGTCTATGTTTATAGTTTTAGATCATTATAAGAGCTAGACACAACTATTTTTATAATAAGTATGCAAAGACGGTTACAGAAATAACACCGGAGGTTTACAATAAGGTGCTAATAGCATGGAAAAATTTTGCTATAACCAACTTTCCCAGTGCACCGACTTCACTTGAAATATTTGAGGAATGGTCAAACTCAATAAAAGACTTAGAAACTTTTAAATCAGATGGAAAACTTCAAATGAATTTTACGATATTAACCAATTCCTACGAAGCATTGATTTCTTATAAAACGCTTTCTCCTGCTATTTTTTTGGAGAAAGTAAAAGACATATTAGTTTTAGAGCTTGACAAAGAGGTATACGAAAAGATATTGTTATTTCGGAATAACGATTAAAGTTGAAACACACAATTAACGACAATACAATATTTCGTGAAATACCTGCTTACTGGGAACGCAAATATAATGAAGACATGAAAGCTTTGGATGTATTAGAACCATCAGTTATTGTCCGAGTTACAGAATTTATTCCTAAAATTATTGAATTTATTAAAGGAATTATGAAAAATGGTTATGCCTATGAATTTAAAGGAAGTATTTTATTTGATACATCTGCTTTTGAAGCAAATAGTTGTCACACATATGCAAAAATTGAACCATGGAATAAAAATAATAAAAAGTTAATAATCGAAGGAGAGGGTATACATTATATATATTATATATGATTCTAATAAAAATTAGGAAGCCTTACACAATCAGAGGGAAAGAAAGTGCCCAGTGACTTTGCACTATGGAAAGCAAGTAAGCCTGGAGAACCAGCATGGGATAGTCCATGGGGAAGGGTGACTATATTTAACTTAATTATATAAATTAAATTAGTCAAGGGACGTCCCGGATGGCATATAGAATGTTCTGCAATGGCTGCTGAAATTCTTGGATCTGAAATAGATATACATTCAGGAGGTATCGACTTAGCTTTTCCTCATCATGACAACGAAATTGCACAATCAGAAGTAAGTCATTATAAAAAGATGTATTATTTATTAATATTTTAGGGATTTTTTGATTCTGATCAATGGGTTAATTATTTTTTTCATATAGGACATTTACATATTGAAGGGCAAAAAATGTCAAAAAGTTTGAAAAATTTTATTACTATTCAAGATGCTTTAAAAAAATATACATCAAAACAAATGAGACTATATTTTTTAATGCATCAATGGAATTTGCAAATGGATTTCAAGGAAAGCTTTATGTCAGATATTAAAAGGATTGAAACATTACTTTCTGTAAGTATATTTTTAACTTGATGTTTAATATTCACTATCAAAGAATTTTTTTGCAAACATAAATGCATTAGTAATGGAAAAAAAAATGTTTTTAAAGCAAAATGAAATTATAACATATTTCTTTTCAGATTTAGAAAAAGAACTTTATGAGAAGTAATTAAAATACTTTTATAATAAAAGGGTTTATAATTTTTAGTTTATATAACGCTCAGGATGCATTGCATAGCGCTCTTTGTGATAATTTTAATACACCAGTTGCTTTGGATGTTGTTTTAAATTTAATAACTAAAACAAATAAATATATTTCTCAAGCTCAAATGGATATCAATATCCTTATGATTACTAATATTTCAAAATGGGTTTCAAATATTCTTGGAATTTTTGGTTTAAAAGATAATAATTTTAATGTTATTGATTACGATAAATTTAATGACTCTACTATAAATGATGTAATATTCTCCTAATATTTTTAACGGGTAAAACTAATTTTGTAGCATAAAGAAATAGTTATGCCTTATATTAAAACTCTTTCTTCTTTCAGGGATAAAATACGGAATATTTCAATCGTTTCCAGATCCAAAAGTAATATAGAATTATCCAAAGATATACTTCAACTCTGTGATAAGTTGCGTGACTCAGACTTAACAGACTTAGGGATACAGTTAGAGGACAGAGATCAAGGAGATGCTTTAATAAAATTTGTTAGTAAAGAAGAACTTCAGCAAGAAAAAAAACTAAAGCAAGAATTATTAAATAAAAAAGCATCCCTAGAACAAGAAAAACTGTTAGAGAAAATCCTTAAAGGCAAATTATCACCAAAAGAACTTTTCCAAAACAACGAGTATTCAAAATGGGATAATCAAGGTTTACCTACACATGATGCTCAAGGAAATGAATTAACTAAAAGCAAACGAAAAAGAATAGCTAAAGATTGGGAAAAACAACACATTTTACATGAAAAATACTTGGAGTGGTGCAAAAAAAATACACAAAATTAATTTAATTTTATATTTATCTTTTTTCCTTTTTTATACACTCACAAACATTAACCTCGAATAAGGTAATCCTTTTTTTAAATCATACAAAGTTATATCATTTATCAAAAGGATTTTTTGTATTCCGTAATTTTAACCAACGTCAATATATACTTTTTATAAATTACAATACTCAAAACCATAAATGAACGATAATACACCGTCAACACAACCACGTCTTCCAACTCTTTCGGATCTTCCTTCACCTCTTGTCGGGACTATAGTAGCACATGATACTTCGGTCTCCAATTGTCTTATTTTACTCCATGGACTTGGTGATTCTCATCTCCCATTTGCACAGCTAGCTCGTTGCCTTAACCTCCCACAAACCGTCTGTATTAGTCTCCGTGGCTTAAAACCCGTCCCCCTAGTATCCGACTTATCCGACGATGGCTCTGGATCTTGGCACTGGGGTGCTGACTTAGCCTTTGACCAGGATGGCCTTGTTTCAGACGATGCCGATCTACACGATGCCATTCAGGCACTCCAGGTACTCTGCAGGGTACTCACTGCTCCCCTTCCTACTGGCTGTGGCTTCCGTTCTCAAGCCATCTTTCTCATGGGCTTTGGCCAGGGCGGCCGCCTTGCTTTGCTTCTTGCTCTTGCACAGGGCACTCTTCCTTCCATTTCCCCTACTTCTATACATCCAAACTCTACTCAGCCCTCTTACACCTCCCGTCTTGGTGGCGTCTTATCTATTGGCGGCATTATCGAACACATCCCCCCTTCCAGCCAAAATACCCCTTCTTTTACACCAAATCTCCATCATTCACACTCAGACAGCTCCTCTAGCGGCCTTTTTACTCCTCTATCAACCCTTCCACCTCAACAATCATCTCCCCGTATACCCACACCTATACTTATTTGTGGCGGCGATGACGACTCTTCTATCACCCCTGACGCAATACAAACACTTAGGGGCATATTCTACGACGTGGAACAGATCATATGGGACGATCATTACGCTGATACAATGCCTCATTCTCCTCGTGAATGGTATCCACTTCTTCAGTGGTTTTCACGACGTCTCCTTCACACTTAGCAACCCGTCCAGACGGGTTGCTAGGGAACGTCAAAATAATTTTAAGCAGGCGCGAAACGCGAGAATGCACGTGACCCTCACGTGCCAGGAACTGAATATCAACAAACGCGCAGCAAAGGTGTACGAAGGAAAAAACAAAGAAATGGATACACGAATATGCAAATCAACGGGTGGAAGAGAGTCAGGAATGAAGGAAAATAGGTCGCCTAAGGAGGGATTGCAGCGGAGAGGCGGAGAACGGAGACCTCTGTGGGTGCTTAGTGGAGAAACAGTAGTGGGAGGGTTAGTAAAAGAAGGACCAAGATGTGTATATGTAGCATCAGAGGGAGTAGGAGGAGGAGGATCAGTTTTTTCATGTATGTACGCAACAGAGGGGTTTGTGACACCATCACGGGAAGCAGAAGGGAAAATGAGTGGGAAGGAGGGGGGAGAAAAAAATACAGGAACAGCGCCTCAAAGTGCGCCAGCAAAGACAAGTCTATGTCTGTTTAAAGAATTTGATATTTATTGTGATGAGGAAGTCTATGTGGAGATGCCTAGGGAGGCGGGGGTAGATATATTTTCTTTGGAAATGAATAAGGAAAATCTGTCGCCAGCCAAGTCGAGATGGGCATCACAGGGAAAGAAGTATCGTCTTTAGGATATTCCAGGGGTATTTTGTGTTTTTTTCTTGGCAAGGCTTTGTCTTGAACTATGAAAAAATAAATACATGATTTGCATGTTTCATGTGCAGAATATGACATGGTAGATAGCATAGGAACTAGGATAGAAAGGGTGTAACGCATATGTTTTTTTTCCTATTTTCTATATTTTTCGTTATTGCCAATATCACTCTGACGTTAAACGTACAAAAAAATCGAAAAACTTGTCTATTGCCTTTAACACACCAAAGCTGGGCTTTATGGCGGCAAAAGAAGATAAAAATGCAGGAAAAACGGTCTTTACGACGTCTAAAGAAGTTACAGTTGCAAAAAATTTTGAAGAAATGAATTTAAAAGAAGATCTTTTACGCGGGATCTATAGTTATGGTTATGAATCGCCGAGTGCAGTTCAGAGCCGAGCAATTGTGCAGATTGTGAAAGGAAGAGGTGTGTAATTCTCTGTTGATTGTAATGTATCCTTCTGGAGCGAAGGAGGCTCAAAAATCGGCTTTTTCTAGAGTATTTTAGTGCTGATCAGCAATGTAGACGTAATCGCTCAAGCACAATCGGGAACGGGCAAAACAGCGACATTTTCTATATCTATCCTTCAGGTTATTGATACAGCAGTCAGGGAAACTCAAGCATTGGTTCTTTCACCAACCCGTGAGCTTGCAGTTCAAATTCAAAATGTTCTTCTTGCATTAGGACAATATTTAAATGTACAAAGCCATGCATGTATTGGAGGGACGAATATTGGTGAAGATATTAGAAGGCTAGACTATGGACAACATGTATGAGTCAAAAAACGTATTTGGTATATACGGTGTATATTTTTAACATGTCTAGGTCATTTCTGGGACACCAGGAAGAGTAGCAGACATGATACGGAGAAAGAATCTGAGAACACGTAACATAAAGATGCTTGTTCTTGATGAGGCGGATGAGCTTTTAAATCGAGGATTTCGAGAACAGATTTATGATGTATATCGTTATCTTCCTCCGGGAACACAGGTAGTCGTAGTTAGCGCAACACTTCCATATGATGTTCTTGGTTTGTGTTTTCTTTTAGTAAATAATTTTATTCTTATACGTGTTAGAATTAACAACGTATATTTTGAAAACACTGAATTATATTTTTTAATTCTTTTAGTAAATTTATGACGGATCCTGTTAGGATTCTCGTTAAGCGAGATGAATTAACACTGGATGGTCTTAAGCAGTATTTTATTGCTGTAGAAAAGGAAGAATGGAAATTCGATACACTGTGTGATGTAATATTTATCTCATTTTACTACTTGCTTATCAATATAGCTCTACGACACATTAACAATCACTCAAGCCGTTATATTTTGTAACACAAGAAGAAAGGTATTTGGCTTTAGGTATTTTATTATACTATACTGATTTTAAAGGTGGATTGGCTTGCAGAAAAGATGCGGGAAGCGAATTTTACAGTATCCAGGTTTTTACTGTTTTTTTCTCTAATGCTTTTTTACCAGAGTCTTAGCATGCATGGAGATATGCCTCAAAAAGAGAGGGATGCTATTATGAGTGAATTTAGACAAGGAAATTCTAGAGTCTTACTTTGTACCGATATTTGGGCTCGTGGTATCGATGTACGTATCGCTCTAATTTTCGAAAATCATACTCAAAATTATAGGTCCAACAGGTTTCACTTGTCATTAATTATGATCTCCCACCCAATCGTGAAAATTATATTCATAGAATCGGTCGAAGTGGCCGTTTCGGCAGGAAAGGGTAAATTTATTCTTCTCTTAGCTCTTTTCTCACTGCATCACAGTGTTGCCATCAACTTCGTTACCGTATACCTCTCTTCCTTCTTTTTACTCATTAATCTGTTTTTTCCAGGCCGACGACGTTCGCATTCTCCGTGATATCGAACAGTACTATTCGACACAAATCGACGAGATGCCTGTAATACCTCTTCAAACATTCTTTACACACTAACCTTTCTAGATGAACGTTGCTGACTGTATTTTTCTTTTACTTTTTTCCTTTACTTATTTTTATAGTAATTTAAAATTTCCCTCTCTCATAAAAACAAAACACAAAAATACATTCTTATATTTTTTGTTTATAATATCATTTATACATTACTTTTTATCTTTCTTTTATCTCTTATTTCTTTTATCTTACGTATACTTCATTTCTTCGACAAGTCAAAATGGTTACGCACAAATCTGTCACCTATTTCTATGATCCAGACATTGGAAACTACCATTATGGAGCAAATCATCCTATGAAACCACATAGAATGAGAATGGTAAAAGTAAAAATAACACAAAAAATGTCTTACAAAAATAGACCCATTCATTGGTGCTGAGTTACGGACTTTATAAGAAGTTAGATATGAGGGTATAAGATTTTGAGTATTTCTTGGAATTTTTTGAGCAAAAACATGAGATATAGGTCCCTAAGAGAGCTACACGGAAAGATATGACTCGGTAAACAAGGCAAAAAGTTTTTGTAGGGATCTAAAAAGTGGATCAGGTGCCATACAGATGAATATGTAGATTTTTTGTGGAGAGTTACTCCAGATACAATGGAGAAGTTTACATTGCATCAGTCTCGATGTATTTATTTTTTTAAAATCAGTAGATATGTGCTTAAGTTGATAGTTAATGTTGGAGAAGATTGTCCGGTTTTTGAGTAATAAATAAGGAAGCAAATTTATACATGTTTTTATGTTTCTAGTGGTTTGTTTGAATTTTGTTCGATTTCAGCGGGTGGTTCTATCTGTGCAGCACAAAAAATTAATACAGGCGATTCAGAGATTGCAATTAAGTGAGGATTTTATGTTATATAATGATTTACTTATGAAAGCTGGTCAGGAGGTCTTCACCATGCAAAGAAGAGGGAGGCATCTGGATTTTGCTATATTAATGATATTGTTCTTGCAATTTTAGAGCTTTTAAAGTGAGTAGCTTGTTTATAGTTGATTGAAATTCACAAATTAAGGTATAACCAGCGTGTTCTTTATATTGATATCGATATCCATCATGGGGATGGCGTAGAGGAAGCGTTTTATACGACAGACCGAGTAATGACATGTTCGTTTCATAAATATGGGGAATATTTTCCTGGAACAGGAAGCATTGAAGATATCGGGATAGGAAAGGGTAAAAATTATTCAGTTAATATCCCTCTTAAGGATGGCATTGATGATGCGTCCTATGAAAGTATTTTCAAACCAGTAAAATACCTTTTATTATTTAATTTTTTAATATTGCGTTTGTAGATTATACAGAAGATTATGGAATGGTATCGTCCAAATGGTTATTTCATTTTTTAATTAGGAAATTACTTATGATGTTTAGTTGTTGTATTGCAATGTGGTGCAGATTCTCTTGCAGGTGATCGACTTGGATGTTTTAATCTTTCAATGAAAGGTATTGAGTTAACTTTATTTACCTTATAATTTATACCATTTTAGGCCATGCAGAATGTGTTAAATTTGTTAAAAGTTTTAATCTTCCTACTATTGCAGTAGGGTACGTTTGTCTTCTTATTTAAATTTTTTTTACACAAAACTCTAGTGGGGGCGGATATACTATTAGAAATGTTGCTCGTGTTTGGACTTATGAAACAGCAGTGCTTATCAATGAAACATTGGATGAAAGTGAGTTTTAAATATTATAGAACATGTCTAAAAAGTGTTCAAGATATTCCATTTAATTCTTATTTAGATTATTATGGCCCTGAATTCAAATTGTATATAAATATAACATATCATTTTTAAAATTGATTTATTTTAGAAATGTGCCTTCAAATAATATGGAAAATCAAAACTCAAGAGCTTATCTGGAAAACATAACGTAAATATATTATTATTTTATATACTTAAATACTTATTTACATCCTACAGTTCGAAAGTTATTGATAATCTTAGAAATATATCTCATGCTCCTTCAGTACAAATACAGCATATACCACCGGATTTTTTATTTGAAGACGAAATTAATATTTAAAAAATTCTAATAATTATGTAGTGAACTAAATTTTATTTATCACTTTCAATAAAGTTATAATATACAAAATTATAAAGATATGTAATTTAGTTGTTTAAACATTAGAATCTTGGTACAATAAATTAATAAAACTAATCTTAACAAACAAGATATTCCATCTATAGTATTAAGAGTTAAAGAAAATGTTTTATATTTGCGTTAATTTGGTTATTATCTGTCTATATACATTTAGTTTTATCAAACTCAAAACCTAAATAGTAAACCTCACTATCAATTTTTGTTGATTTTACAATAGATGTGTCCTGCGTATATTTATGATCATCTAAGCGTAAATTCTCTATTGATTGTTCAAGTGGTCTACGAGTTTCTACATTGTTTATATATATTTCAAATAAAAAAGTAAAACTAACCTCTAAAGTTTTTTGAAAGAATCTCTATATTATCATATGAATCTTTCCCTCCCGAATTACTCATAATTTCTAAAGCTAACCACATGTCTCTTCGTTCTTTATCTTTTATTTCAGCTTCTTCTTGAGAAAAAGTATAATCATTATAACATTCGTCAAATAATGCAGGATTAATCTCCATAAACATTTTCATAGTATTATATATCATTCCATGGATAGTTCTAAAATTATAAAGTTAAAAAACAAAAAAAAATAACTAAATTTACCTGTTCCAATGCATCTTAGAGTTCTCATATAATGCAGGAAAGATAATAGGAAGAATAACATCAATATTATCATTAACGAAATTACAAAAATAGTCATTATTCCAGTAATACAGAACCCGTTCTGCTACCTATAAAAAAATAAAAATTAATTCAGAAAAAAAAAAGAAAAAGTTACCTGAAAATGTTGACTAGAAATTGCTTTTGATAATTGTTGGAATAAAGGGACTTGTACTTTAACAAATTCTGATGGTTCCATTACTTCAAATATTTCCTCTACTTCATTTAAGAATAATACTTCTTTTGTACTATTTACTTTCGGCCAAAATCGAAGAAGACCAAGAATAACCTTAAATATTAAGAATTTACAAAATACATTTTTATTTTATACTTCTTCAGTTAAACTGGGATCCTTTTCTAAAAATTGCACAATACAATATGATAACTGAGGATGGTACATAGAGATAGATTTGACTTTATGTAACGGCAACAATACACGCATCAAAAACGATTTATGTTCATCTTTCAACGGAAGAGCAAATCCATTAATAATACTTTAAAATTAATCCAGTTATCTAAAATAAGAAATATATATATACCTTCCTAATATTTCCAATAACTCCGCAATTCCATTAAATCGTTCGCTTTCATAAATAAATTGAAAAAAGACATTGTTAATAGATTTTCTAATAAAAGATCGCAAAGTAAGAAATTTTCCATAAATTCTATGAAGAGTAGTCTTAAGAAGATCTCTTTCTCGAGGATCTTCACTATCAAAAAGTTCGAGCAGCTCATCTATATTAGAGAGAAATTAAAAAAAGTCAATCCAGACATACTTGAAGTATAAAATGATGATCGATATATGATTTTGCAAGATTAGTATTGAAATCAGGTGATTCTATAAACCGAAGAAAAAACTCATAAACCATCTGAAGATGAGGCCACGCCACTTCTAAAACTGGATCATCCTCTTCCGGATCATAACATTCTCCATATGTATTTACGGGAGGTGGAATAGGTCGAAACAGATTTGTTGAAAACTATTTTTTATAAGCCTCTTTTCAAAATGAAAAAAAAATGTACCATATCGATAACTTTAGAATAAATAGGTTCAGTAATAACATTTCTATTATTTGTTACATATTCTAATAACTCATGTAACGCTTCTCTTTTGATTTCTTTACTCCGTATATCCATTGAAGCATTAGTAAAATCGAAAATAACATTACACTGATTAAGCTTCTTCATAAAAAGATCTTCTCTGTTGTTTGAAGGAACTTCTGTAAGGCATGTTAGTTCAAATGTTTTATTTATATTAAATGATAAACCATGAAAAGAAGGTAATTTTTGAAGCTCGCGTTCAGTAGATATTCTAAACCTTGAGGAAGTGTTCCTCTTTGGTGTTTTTATTGTTTCCAAAGCCGTACTATCTTTAGGCGTCGTTTGTAGCCTTTCGAAAGCACCTGCTTTTGTCCCATGTTTAAGTAAACTAAGATCTCCAGAAATACTCTCTGATGCTGCTGATGACATTACATGCTTCTTAAGTATTAGAAATCGTTTACAAAATAAAAAATCATATAAATTACAGGACTAGAAGTTATATACAATGGAATACTTGTAGTCGATGTCTGAGTAGCAGGTATAGAAAATGCAGTTTGAGCTAGATGACGAAAAGAATCCTTTAATTTAAGCCCTTTGTCCGATTTTTTATCTGAAAACCCAAGTGCCTCCTTTAGATCCTTTCTTTTTGCATTTTGAGAGCTTTTATTAGAATCATTAGACGACTTTGCTCTTGAAAGCTGTAAAAACTTTAGAAAAAAAGATAAAATTTCTACTATTCTAAAACTTACTACTCTGCTTTTGAATCCTTTCATACTTTTTATAAGAGTAGACAGTTTAAACTATAGTCATATAACAAACAATTTTTAAGGAACCCTTAAAAACGTTATTTTCGCCTATTTTTCTCGGTTCAAAAAGGAATATTTAATAAAAAAAAAAACCTGACTATAGTAAACTAAAATATATCCTATTTGTCTCCCTCTTATCCTTTTCTTTCGTCTTTTATAAGTCCTATATTTCTTGTACGTTTAATGTGCATTACGTCGATTGAGATGGCTTCTTAGAAATGGGTTGTCGTGGAAACAAAAATCTCAGTATACCAACCTCATCAAATTAAAAAAAATGTAATTCTTATTTAAAGATCAAATGATTGATAGATCAAATGATATTTGTAAAGAATTTGTGTCTATTGAATATCCAGGAAAAATAGTTAATTATGAACAGTGTTTAGAAACTTTAGGAGGCATTAAAGCTTTACGTAGTGCATGTTCACAGGTTTTTTGAAAAAAAGATAAAAAAAGGTGTAATAAAGGACAGGAAGAAGATTGTGAAGAAAAAAAGTATCTTGAGTTAAGATGGTGTCCAAAGAATCCATTTGAGCATCCTATTCAAGCACGTCCAGTGAAAGTACATAATTTATTGTTACAAGTAAAAAAAGAAGAGGAAAAAAAAAAAGAGGAAGATACATTGTGTTCATTTAAAATTAAAGAGTATAAAGTTCTGGGAATTATTAAGAAGACGTACAGATTTCGTGGTATGAATCAATAAATTGATAATATGGGGTCTTAGTTTTGCAGATATGTTTGATCTTCAGTATAATACATATGCATCTCCGTTTGTTAAAATGTGGAACGCAAGTGTTGTGCCTCTTGAATGTATTTTTTATATAAAATTTTCATTTTAAGACTAATCTTTGTACAGTTGACTCTCTTGATCTTTTTTCAATATCAAAAGAAAAAGACGATCTAAATAATCTTGATCTTCCTGTTCCTTCAGTGTTTTCAAGAACGAAGATTCCACATAATTACTGGTTCTAATATTAAATACTATAGGTATTTTTATATTAACTTTTCTAGGTACCGACAAAACCCAAGTTTAATTAAAGTGCAACGAGATAGTAAACTTAGACTTATTAATAAATCAAAAGCACCTAAAATATGGTCTATTTCAGTCTCATGGGAAACAGAAACAATTCCTAAAGAGCCTCATATTAAACTTTCTAATGTATCTGAGCAAAATATACAAAATATTTTAGATCTATTAAAAACATTATTCGAAGAACGTCCAATTTGGACACGTAGGGCAATTTTATACAAAATTAATGAGAAAGACCCTGAAATATGTGTATATTTAAAATACGCATTAGCATACGTTGCCTACCATTGGAGATCAGGTCCTTGGAGAGATACATACGTGAAATATGGAATAGACCCTCGTACTGATCAAAAATATCGATTTTTTCAAACAGTTTCATTTACATATAGGCCATCAGAAAACTTAGATAATATAAATATTTCTCCTCAAGAAAAGTCAGATATTTATAAATACATAAATATATATACTAATTTTATTAGGGAAGAGCGTAATTCTCCAATATTTACAGGACAAACGTTATACCAACAAACCAGAATTTTCCAAATTTCAGATATAACAGATTGCTTACTTGTACAATTATTAAATAAAATTCCACTAAGAACCAAAGCCAATGTACGTATATATATATATATTCATCATTTTAACTCATTAAGTTTAAAAATGGCTGGTTTAAGTCTACTTTATTTGATAAGTTTAAACTTATTATGAAACAGAAATTCAAAGCACTATCTGAAGGAAGAATACCATCCGACATTGAATTTGTAAAGATATTAGAACGATCAAATGATGTATCTTCATCTTCATCTACTGAAGATGAAGTTAACAAAACAAAATTCGATAATTCAACAATTCACAAAGAACCTAATGCAAGAGTCAATGCTCTTATGAAAAACTTTCTTCAGAAAATAGGGAACTTTCAAGGTTGATTTATTTTGACATCTGTTATTTATATTCACAAAATATAGATGATGACTTTTATGATAATGAAGATGATACGTTTGATGATATATTTGGTGATGACTAATTATTTAAAAATAAATAAATAGCTCAAATAAATAAATAGCTCAAATAAATTTTAGTTAAACATGCATTATTCTGTATTCATATTTACTTTAATACTTAGCAAAAATATTTTGATTTATATAAAATATATCTTCTATCTATTTATTTTATATTATAAATATAAGTAAAATTTATATAAAACACCGTTTTGAAGATTTTTTCTTCATTACTTATTTCATTGTGTTATTTTAAGTTTTTAATTATTATAAAATTAAATCCTAAAAATTCTTTAAAATATAAAATTTTAATGCTAATATCACTTGGATTAAATGCATTATCTAATTTTCGATTAAACTCTTTAAAAAACAAAATTAATACTTCTCTTTCTAAAAATCATTTAAATACAAGTTTTTGCACAGACATTTATAGTATTTATATACACTTTATATGGTTAAATACAGATGAACCATTTCCTGATTCTATTTCTTTTTCTATTAACGAACTTCTGAAATACGGAATTGAAACAAACAAAGATGATCCAAATATAAAGACACTTATATCTTCTATTTCAGAATCTAAGTTTCCAAACAATACATTTATTGTACTTCCACGAACAGGTACTATATCACCATGGTCTTCTAAGGCTACGAGTATTGCATATGTTTGTGGATTTGGGAAATATATTAAAAGGATTGAACGAGGAATTCTTTTTTATATTTTAACAGATGATAAGAAATCATTAGTATCTAGATTATCTGAATTTTCTTCACATTTATATGATCGGATGACACAAAGAATTGATTATGTGTTTCCTACAGAAGAAATTTTCTTTAAAAAACATGAACATCTTTCATTTTTAGAAATCCCTATTGGATATCCTAAAGTTTTAAAAGAAGAAGCATTAATCAATTTTGAGAATCTTAATAAAAAATATAATTTAGCTCTTACACAAGATGAACTTTTATACCTAATAGATGTTTTTTCAGGAAAAAACAAACTTTTAGAATCAAGGAATCCATATGATATTGAATTATTTATGTTTGGACAAATTAATTCAGAACATTGTCGTCATAAAGTTTTTAATGCTACCTGGAATATTAATAATATTCAAAAACCGTATTCTTTATTTTCTATGATTCGAAATACTCATATGAAAAACCCTCATTATACAATTTCAGCATATTCAGATAATGCTGCTGTATTGGTAGGACGTGAGATTTCTAATTTTTATCCAGATTTTGAAACAAAAATTTGGAAACGAAACAACGAATTAGTACATTTTTTAGTAAAAGTAGAGACACATAATCATCCTACAGCAGTATCTCCCTTTCCTGGTGCATCTACTGGTTCAGGCGGGGAAATAAGAGATGAAGGATCTGTCGGACAAGGTTCTAAACCTAAAGCAGGATTAACAGGATTCAGTGTTTCTGACTTATTGATACCAAATTTTCATCAACCATGGGAGCTTGATATTGGAAAACCAAATCATATTGCATCTTCATTAGAAATTATTCTTAATGCTCCAATAGGAAGTGCATCCTTTAATAATGAATTTGGTCGTCCATCTATTTTAGGATATTTTCGAACTCTTACTACTAAAGTATGTAATTTTGACGGAAAAAATGAATTTTGGGGATATCATAAACCTATTATGATTTCTGGAGGAATAGGATCAGTTAAAAATATACATGCTATAAAAAGTAAAGTAACTCCAGGAGCAATGTTAGTAATATTAGGAGGACCTTCAATGCTTATAGGCCTTGGTGGAGGAACTGCCTCAAGTTTAAATTCTGGTGACTGTTCTGAAGAATTAGATTTCTCTTCAGTACAAAGAGGAAATCCAGAAATGCAAAGAAGAGCTCAAATGGTAATTGATACATGTACTTCTTTAAATTTAAAAAATCCTATACAAACTATTCATGACGTAGGTGCAGGTGGACTGTCTAATGCATTTCCAGAGTTACTTTACAATTCTCATCTAGGTGCAGAAATTGAGTTGCGTGAAATACCTACTGATGATCCTGGAATGTCTCCAATGGAGTTATGGTGCTGTGAAGCACAAGAAAGATATGTTCTTTCCGTGTTGCCTGAAAATATAAATATTTTAAAATCTATTGCAGAAAGAGAACGTTGTCCAATTGCTATTGTAGGACAAACTACTGAAAAAAGGCATCTTGTATTAACAGATAGACTATTTAATTCAACTATTGACTTGCCAATGTCAGTATTATTTGAAGAATTACCAAAATTATCTAAAATGGATTCATCAGAAAAATTTCTATTGTCAAAATTTACTTTACTACCTGAAAATAAAACAAATAAAATTTTTTCAATATTAAAAGAAGCCATTAAGCGTGTTCTTATGCTCCCTTCTGTAGGATCTAAATCATTTTTAATTACCATTGGTGACAGGACAGTTACAGGGCTCGTTTCTCGTGATCAAATGGTTGGTCCGTGGCAAACCCCTGTATCAGATGTTGCAGTTGTTTTATCTTCAATTAGCGATACAAATGATTATGGAGAAGCATTTTCAATTGGAGAAAAGCCCGCTATATCTATAATATCTCCTTCTGCTTCTGCTAGAATGGCTGTTGCCGAATCTTTAACAAATATATGTGCATCTGATATAATAGGAATAGAGAAAATATGCTTGAGTGCTAATTGGATGGCATCATATACTCATAAAGGTCAAGGTGCTGCTTTATATGAAGCAGTTGAAGCAATTGGGAATGATTTATGTCCTCAACTTGGAATAAGTATTCCTGTTGGAAAAGATTCTTTATCAATGAAAATGAAATGGAGAAATGAAGGAGTGGATAGAGAAGTGACCGCACCACTTTCTGTTATTATTTCTGCTTTTTCTTTAGTTGAAGATGTTAAAAAGACATGGACACCTCAGTTAAAAAGAAAAACAGAAAAAGGAGTAGGGGAAACCATATTAATATTTGTAGACTTAGCAGAAGGAAGAAAGAGAATGGGAGGATCAGCTGTAGCTCAAGTATTTTCTCAAATTGGAAATGAGGCTCCAGATATTGTAGACGTGAAATGTTTTAAATTATACTTAGAAATAGTTAAAGATTTACATAATGATGATATTGTACTTGCATATCATGATAAATCAGATGGTGGGATTTTTTCTGCTGCAGTAGAAATGTCATTTGCAGGAAGAGTTGGATTAAAATTAATTTTAGATGATTTATGTCACAAAAACGCATCAGAACAAGATTATATTAATATACTCTTCAATGAAGAACTTGGTGGCTTATTTCAAATTAGAAAAACTGATTTGGAAAGATTTAAAAAATATTTTTTATCCAAAAAATTTAATATTAATAATATTTATACTATCGGCTATATACAAAATGAGAACTTGCAAGTAATATCAATTGAGCATTTTGGATATGAAATTTATCAGTCATCAAGAGGAGAGTTACAGCAAATGTGGTCTAGTACCTCATATAATATACAATCTTTAAGGGATAATTCTGAATGTGCTAAAGAAGAATTCGAAAACATTATTGATGATTTTGATCCAGGGTTAACTTTCTTATTAACATATTCAATGAAAGATATATGTATTCCACCTAGTTTATTATCACATCGACCTAAAGTTGCTATCCTTCGCGAGCAAGGAATTAATGGATATTATGAAATGGCATATGCATTTGAATGTTCTGGATTTACTGCTGTAGATGTTCACATGAGTGACTTAATAAATAAAGAAGTTGATTTAAATAAATTTGTAGGATTCTCTGCATGTGGTGGATTCTCATATGGAGATGTTTTAGGAGGTGGTGCTGGATGGGCAAAATCAGTTCTTTTTCATCCAGATGTTCGACAATCATTCTATGAATTTTTTTCACTACGTAAAGATACATTTGCTTTAGGAATATGCAATGGATGTCAATTTTTGACTAAGCTTAAAGAACTTATACCAGGTGCAAAATGCTGGCCTGATTTTATATACAATAAATCAGAACAATATGAATCAAGGTTTATATCAGTAAAAATTACAAAAAGTGATAATACAGATATAACTTCTACTTCAGTATTTTTCTCTGGTATGGAAGGCTCAATTATTCCAATTCCTGTTGCACATGGAGAAGGACGTGCATATTTTAATAATTATGAAGATTGTAGAATATTTTTTGATAAAAAATTAACAGCACTTGAATATGTAGATAATTACGGGAAAGTAACAGATAGATATCCATACAATCCAAATGGAAGTCAGTATAGTATTGCTGGTATAAAATCTATTGATGGCAGAATTCTTGCACTTATGCCGCATCCTGAAAGAGTTATTAAAAGAAATTCAAATAGTTATTACCCAGCGGATCAAGCTATTGAATGGGGAAAATGGGGTCCATGGGTCCAAATGTTTAGATCTGTACGTCGTTGGGTTGGTTGAACATAATCGAATATGTAAAAAATACTTTAAATTTTCAATATTAAAAATAAACTGACATTAAAAAAATTAATCGGAAAAAATTCAAGGTTATTAATAATAGTATATACATTGAATAAGACTATGTAATAATGTACATCAAAAAATATTAATTATCTACATATTATTTTTTAAAAATTTATATTAAAGCCATGCTGCCCATAATTGGTCCATTTGTGCTAATGCTCTTGGGTTAACTGCCTGTGATACTAAATCAATTATTGTTTGGTTAGCAGGTAAATTCCCCTGTGCAACTTGAGATAAAGATGAAACTCTTCTAACAAGTAAATCAACATTTCCAACAACTCTTTCACGAAATTGATTCTCTTGTATCAAAGGACGATGCTGTTGAGTAAACCATGTACTAAACAAATAGTTAATAAATAATATCTTATTATATAATAACTAACATTAATTCATCTCGTACGAAAATACTTAAATGCTGATCAAGCTCAAACTTTCAATGTTAATTTTTCAAAGTCTTTAACAGCTAAACTTACCTCAGGTTCTGTTAAACAACGTGCAATTGCCATTAAAGCACTAGAAAATATTCCTTCAATGCCTACTGGAGTAATAAATGTTTGAATATTTGGGGTAAATCTAAAAGGAGTAGCTTCTCCATTATGGAAAACAGGATTGTTTAAAGCCATTGCTATAAAAAGATACAAATTAAATATTATTTTTAAACACAATAAAAATACCTGGAAGAAATTCAGTTCCCCAAATATTTCCAGAACTTCTAGAAATATATAATTTATTTGGAAAACGATTGTTAATATTCATTATATAAGTCATAAATGCTATTCCTGAATACTGAAGAGTAAATTGTTTTCGAAATCTCCAAAAGTCGCAAAATGTAGAAAACAATTGTTTAAAATACTTTATTATATTAAATAATAAAATAAAAATCAAATTTTACTTACTTTTAAAAGGATATCATCTGGAACCAAATTGTTTTGAATAGAAGCCAAAATTTCGACTTTAAGATTAATAATATCTTCTTTCTTTCAAATAATTAAAAATATATTTTAAAACTATAATAAATTTACATTTAAAGATTGAGGTCCATGAGAATTTAGTTTTGACGCAAAATATTCCAAAGGTTCATCTTTATGCATATTGTGTCGACGACAATATTCTTCATATATTCCTTGTAAAGAAATCCCGGAGGGATCATCCTCTACAATTCTAATATGAGGAGCAATTGGTATTGCTATAGGAAGAGTAAAAGTTATATTTCTTCTTCTGGTTTCCTTTTTTCTTAATAAAACACTATATAAAGTAAATACAGTTAATTATAATATATATCTAACCCAGATAATATACGAAATAATTGCATAATCCTTTCTTCTCTACGACAATGTCTAGCAGCTGGGTATTGAACCGCAAATGGATAAATATCACCATCATAACTCCTAATAGTTAATCTTTTATAACATATTCCATGCCCTCTTATCACATCTAATGTTGTCATAAAACGATCAATACGTGCGAAATCATTATTATTTTCTTTATGCTAAATAAAATTAATTATAATGTTCTACTTTTCAAACACCATCTACCTGTAGATACTGACCAGGAACTTCAACTTCATCAAATTTTTGATACTGGAATTCACTAAGATAAAGACTACATTGTTCTAAAGGCTGATGTCCAGGCCTTTTATCTAAAATATTTTCGAAATTATCCCTCCATTTTCTTAATTTTGCAATATAATCATTTAAATTTAATTTTTCTTTAATAAATTCATTTTCAAATGCAACCTAAAATTAAATTATTTGAATTAAAAAAATATACAATATATACTTTAATATTCTTTGGCAATACACTTTCAGCAAACCGTGTAATATTTGCCTGTGTAACTGAAGGCAGTTTAGTTTCATTTGTAACAGATGTTAATCTTCCAATATACTTCTTTTTATTAACAAAAAACAATAATTTTTGCTTATATACCTGTATTCCATCATTAAGCAAAGCAACAATTAAACGATATGCATCTTCATCTGGGGTACATTTAAACCGTTGTTGTATTTGATCAACCATAGTTTCCATAGAAAGTGCAAGTAAAGGATAAGCTGTTTTTAAAATTGACATAATTTCGTCAACATGTTCCCATGGTTGACGATTTTGAAGTTGAATCTGTTGATTTTGATGAAAATTAGATAGTTGTTGAAGATTTGGAGTAGTATTATTAGATGTTAAAATATCTAAAAAATTAGTTGACTTAATAGTTTTTAGTAACACATACTATTTTCTGTTTTTGTATTAGGGAAAGAGAATATTTGAGGAGTTTGCTTCGTATCTGTTTCATTACTAGTTTTAGCTTGATCTTGTACATTTCCTTGTTTCATTGAATTAACTACTTGATTATGTGATGAAATAGAATTATTTTTTGAAGCTGACTGAGCAGCTGCAAAAGCTTGCTTTTTAATAATAGTATAATCTTCTTTTGTAGTTCTAAGTTGGAAGTATAGTGCCTAAAAATATTAATAAAACTATAGATTACAAAACTAAATTTAACCTGAGGATATGTTTTTGCAATACGAACTAAAATTTTTCTAACATGACGTGCCTCTTTATGAGATAATGAAGTAAGTAGTTGAGGTATAAAAGTAATCCAATTCCAAACAGATATATCGCCTTTATATGAATCAAATGCTTTTGAAATTGCACCAGAGCTATCATCTAAACTTAACAACCATAATACTCGACTTAAAACCTTTCTTGCTTTTCCATTTTTCAGCAGACCTGCTGCTTGCAAGTAACAACTTACAGCATTACTTGCTGCTGTAATTTCTCGGGGATTTTCTTTAAACAATTTATCATTATACTGTCCCCATTCTGCCCATGCTTTAGATAAAGTGAGATCGATTTGAACAGCTGTAGCAAACGCTTGATTTGCATCATCGTTCAATTTTAATTTAGCCAAAAACATTCCTTTTAATGTAAAAAACTCAGCCTTTTGCTGTTGTCCAAAATACATTAAATTAGTATTACTTATTACTTCTAACCCCATATTTAATTCATTATTATTTTGATAATGACACTTTGCTTGTTCTCTTAATTTAAGAAAAGCCTCTTGAATTTCAATGTTCGGTAATGTATATATTTTTGTAAGCTGATTTATACATACATCTGCTAACTGATGTTTTCGAGAAACGTGAGCAAATCTATTAATTATCCATGCTGTTTCATGGTAACCTCTGTATGCAAATGAAGTTGCATTTGAATTATTTCCGGTTGTTCCAGTTTGTTGCTGAAGTGAAGAAACAAGAGGTAAATACTCTCTGTTAATAGCAGAAAATATCAATTGCCTCCATGCAACGAGATCGCTCCATGTGTTAATATCATCCCAAATATTTGGTAAACGTTCTCTCCATGTACTCAAAATATTTTTTAGTTCTTTAGATTTTGTTTCTAAATTCTGAGTATTAGTAGATGAGAGACTGGCATAAATTTGACTAGCTTCATGTAATTCAACATATTGTTGAAAATTTTGAAGAAGAGGTATATGAGAATTTGAAACAACTACTGGAAGCTGATACCACTTTCTTAATGATAATTGTATTCCTTCATCACAAATACGAACAAACTCTTGAATAGATTCTAATTTTGTTTGAGTTTTCTGAAGAACAGTGAAAGCCTCAAAAATATATCTGCGAGGAGTAGGAATATCCATTAGTGATTTTATTGAAGCTTCAAGGGTTTCTCTATTAGTAGTCCAATCAGTAACTCTCCATGCACACTCTAAAAACAAATCAGAGTAGTTCTCTTGTTTTGCTAAATCAGCTAAAATATCCCATTGTTGAAGTTTTTGGGCACATAATAACCAATGATCTTCCCACAATGTGTATTCTGATTCAGAAAAAGGAAGAACTCCTGTTCGTGCTTTAATTTGAGCATTTTCATACATATGTTGAGCTTTATCCCACATTCCATTTTGTTCATAGGATATAGCAGTATTGGTTTCAAGATATTGACATCTTCTTCTCCATAAGCCATAGAACATATCATCTTCTTGCAAAGTAGCATACATTTCTGCTAAAGCATCTAAAGCACTTTCTCTTAAAGTTGGCATATTTTTACTACCTTGAGAAGAAATTTCTTCTAATAATTCTAAAGCTTCATACCAAGCATTAAATGTTTTTCCTAAATACTTTATTAAATGAGGGGGAATTTTTATCGTTGATGCATTTCTCGCAAGTCCATTAAGTATTGTTTTGACAACATTTGGTCTTTTATCTATTTGTTGAGTATGATAGCTATTTGCTAATAGTGTTACAATTGATTTAGAAAGCTCATGTCTATCTTTTTTTCCTATCGAATTCCATGATATAGTAAAGATATCAGACCATAGTTGAGAACTAGTATTCATTTCTAAAAATTGTAAATATGATAAAGGTATAATTATGCTTTCAGCAGTTAATTTATTTATAGATTGAAGAAATGATTTGTGATTTAATAAAAGAGAATCAATTTCGCTATCTATCATTAATATTTCATCGTCTATTAATGATAAAAGCTGTTTATCTGAAGTTAATGTTCGAAAAACATGATCTGTTTCTAAAATAGATACTTTTTCTTCAATCACTATAGATCCAATTAATAATTGATTTGCCTGATTGATCCAAAATGAACCCGCAAGACTTTCCCATTTTTGAACACCCAGAATGTAATTCAAACGAGTATAGACATTTTTTGGTATACTCTTATTAAATACTTTCATAAAATGGTTTCTTATAGAAATATTTTCTGTTTTTGTGCCAATCATAAAAGCTTGTTCAAGTCTCATTGTTAATTCTGTTCGTGAAATTCCTGGATTTTCATATATTGCAATAATTAAAGACAAAAATTCATTGTAAAGCACATTATCTCCTCTAGCTTCAAATGATATCATTTTTAAAAGTAGTGCAGCTTTTTCTTTCATTGTTGGAAAAGAAACTTGTTCTGTTACCCATTCTTTTAAAACATCTAAAATAATAAAGCAAAGATGAGAGCTAGGTGATTTTTCTATTAATTGAGCTAATGTAGCTAAAAATAAACGTCGTTGATCACCGAGATGCAAAGTTCTTTTTTTTATAATTGTAATAAAACCCTCAATTAATGTTATTACTGTCTCTGGATCTATACTAGCAAAATTGTTAATAGAATAATCATTATCAGTAACACTATTTTGAGACGCTAGACGATTTTGTTGTACCGATGTTAAATGATCTTTAACTATTTTTTGAAATACTTTTATTAAAGAAGACATGAAAGAATCTAAAATTTCGGATTTCTCAGCTGGGATAATTAGTAAAAGATTAATTGTTGAAATCAAATTAGTAGAATTTTGAAGATTATCATGTATAGTATTAATAATAAACGTTTTGAACTCTAATCCATGTGAACCCTCTTTATCATCTGATATATTTGCAAACAATTTTATAAGAATCGGTTTTAAGGCTTTATGAATTTGTTCGTTATCTATCTTAATGGCTTTTTCTAATAAGTCTTGAAACTGATGAATATTCTCAGAAATCCATTGATTAGATTGAAATTCAACAACGACTGAAAGAATTTCAAGTACAGTGCAGTACTGTCCTATAGTCTTTTTAGAAATTTCTGTATGTTTAAGTATTTTTTCAAAAAATGAGAGTTTTATTGTAACATCTTTCCAATAATAAGGATTTATGAGTTGACGTATTAATGGAATAGCTTTATTAGAAACCCCTTTTCTTGAATAACCTTCAAAAGATGAACATGCAACTCTTGCAAGATAAGTAATAATAGCATCTTGCAAAACCATTGATGGAATATATTCCTTAGTATGTTTGATTGATTCAACATCCATTTCAAAAGATTTATCATCCGTAAACTGTTTTTCAAACTTTGTAGAATCTAAACTATTGTTACTTTGGTATAATTGCAAACGACGCTGTTCCCATTTAGCTATTAATTCGATAAGTTCTATTGTTATAATTCGAGTTTCAATATTTGCACTTTGTGTAAAACCAAGTTTAGGCAATGCAGTAACTATTTGTGGAACAAAAAGACCTCGAGATTGGTAAAATAAACCTTCATGATGTATAATAAACTGAAACGCGTTTACCAATAAAGGGATATTATTATTTTCTTCCACAATTACAGATCTCAACCATTTAATCCAATCAGGATATTTTACATCAGAAGTAGATAACGCATGCGTTGATAAAACTGGTGCTAAAATATCCAAAGCCTGCTTTACAAGATGCCTTCCTTCAGAATGAGATGATCTTAATAGTGTCGTATATATTTGCGTTATAATCTTTGGAAAAGCTTCATAAAAAGCAGAAAAATATGCTAAAAGAACATATGCAGAGTATTTAACTATAATATCATCCAATTTAATATAATTCCATGCAAATTTAAGTATATCTTTTTTAGCATCACTATTAACATAAAATGTGTTATATTTGATAATTGATGCAGTCATTTGTATTATTTCATTTTTAATAGTATCAGTTGGAAAAAATAAATCAACTCCAAAATCGCTTAAAGCTAACTTCCAAATTTTTGTGTGTATTGTATCAATTAATAATTTATCAATTAAATCTTCATGTCTACTATAATTTATTAATAATATTGGATTAACTATTTTCCGAAATAAATATGTTTTCCAGCATGGCGTAGCTTGTTTACTAGTAATAATGTTAAAACACAACATAATAATATCTTTTTTATATTGAATACTTTTATTCAATATAATCTTTTCTGATATTAGTTCATCAAACACATTAAATCCTATTAAATTTCGCATAGATGCTATCTCAAAACAATGAAAAATTACTTTAAAATCATTAGGAAATTGCTGAATATACATTTTCAATATTTTTACTAAAGTTCGTATTATTAACTTAACTTGAAGGTAATATTCATCGCCTTTATTTGTTAATGATTGCAATAAAGGAATAGAAAAAAAATTAAGCAAGGTTCCTATTAAATCTGTATTTGACATTATTGAAAGTTTAATATCTGATATTAAAATTTTTATAATTGTTATTCCAGAAACAATAACCCAAATATTATCTTTATTATCATCTTTAAAGAATGTATGCGAAATAATAGAATTTAAATTTAATGAAATATGAGCTCTTAACGGTTCACTAATATCTGAAACTAGAAGTTGAGAAAAAAACAAACTATATTTTTGCTGATCTAATTTTGGTGCGAAATAATTCCAAGAATCATTAGGATATTTATTCAAGAAATTCAATAGAGGTTTTCTTAATGGACTTGACGATGTTCTTCTAAGCTGGCTTTCTGAATCCATAACGATAGTTACTAATTCTTCTAAAAAAGTATTTGCTGAAGGAGGAAGGAGATGGAAAATATTTAAAATTGCAGAAATGATTGTAATGCAATGTTGTTCTTCTAACGGACTCCCTGAAATCATTTGCAAAATGGAAGGATCAGCCCAAACTTTTAAATGATCTAGAAGTTTTTTTCCTATTTCTACTTTAAAATAACTTGTCAAAAGTTCTAATAAACGTGCAAGACCTTCAAGGCCTGCTACAGTCAAACGTTTGTGATCAGATAAGTTCATTAAAATAGGACGTAGTCCAGCCTGTAATTGGTCTTTTGGAAGTTTATGGTTTTGTGCTAAAACCTGTTTTAAACCTTTGTTTGCAACTTCAACTATTTCATTCGATTTAGAATATAAAGACTTAAAAAACACAGAAATAATTCTTGCTCTTGTTTGACTTTGTGCAGGAGTAGAGAATTCAGGACAAGATATTGCTATTGAAAGCACTTTAATGCAAACGATACGAAGATTAATTAGAGCCGATGCATTTTTATACTGAGAAGTTTTATTAGCACTTACCAATGCTTCATCTTCTGCATCAGCAAGAGCTAATGCTTCATGAAGTAACCTAATTAGCTCATCACTAAATTCCAAAAAAGATGGCTCTAGTGATAAACAGAACGTAATAGCATCAATATGTCCAAATTGCATTCCAAATGGAAGTGCCCGAAGAGGTTTTATAAAAATCGGCTGCAATAATCTTTCTTGAACTGGTTTTAATAATTCGTGTAATTCTGTTTCTTGTAATTTAGATAAAAGATGAAATGCTGATTGAACTGTTTCTCTTACTATGGTGTTTGGGTTTGAAAGCTCTGTTATTAATAACGCAGTTAAAGCAGTAAATTTTCGCTGTTTTTCATTATTATATTCATTTCCACTAGTATCGCTGTTACATAGTCTTAGTATATCCATAATGGTATCAACAGCATTGTTAATATATGTTGACGGTATTTCTGGAGATGTATCTTTCAAAACAAATAATAATGCTTTAATAAAGTCAAGCTCATGGTTTGTTATCCAGTTGATATATTTATTTAAAATTTTAATCAAAATTTTTATACCCAAAACTCCTCCAGCTTTATCATAACCATGCTCTTTATAACATGCATGACAAAATTTATTAGCAAGTGAATGAAACAAAGGTATTTTGTCCATTAATTCATTTGACCCCAAAATTGTAACTAAAGTATTATAAAATATTTGTATACAAGATTCTGAGAGATTCCGAACTTCTTCTATTTCTGAACTTAATCCGGTTACTATAACATCACCTATTACTCTAATATCTAAATAAATAGGGTCAACAAAAGTTAAAATGGAAAATGGCCGTAAACGAATTTGAGTTTCTTCATAAGTTTGTTGTAATTCTAAAAATGTAAGATGTATACACAGGTTAGTAATAAATTCTTTAACATCAGATTTTAATTGTTCAATAGACACAGCATAAAAACATCCCAAAAGAGCTTTTTTCCATAAAGTTTCATGTACTAAAATATTAGACGTGTTTGGAATCTTCTTTTCAGAATACATGGACTCATCTATATTCATTTTATCATTTTCTGCAAGTTCTGTAAAAAATGAAGGATCTCCTGAAATTATAATTTTAATTTGCTTTCTAAGAAGTTCACCGAATTTAGGAGGATGTTCATTAGAATTTAAAAACAATTTGACAATAGAATTAAGAAATTGATATGCATATTCTTTATGACTCAAATCTGCACGCAAATCCTTAATTGTATCAACTGAAAGATCTATATATAATGTAGGTCGAAATATCTGAGGTTTATTCGAACCATGTAAATATATTAAAATCCGAGGATGACTTTCTAAATCCCATTTATAATTTAAGTTCTTAGGACCCATTATAAATTTTCTATTTCTTCCTCCTAATTTTCCAAGAATACGAAGAGTAGTGTGACTATGTTGATGACTATATGGAAGAGGTTTTAAATGTTCCCATAAAGCTGCCATAAGATCATCAACAACAGGCGCTAAAATTGGATCCAAAAAATCTTGGGTTAAGTTATCAATACAAAGTTCTAAAGTTCGTAAACCTTGACTAACTTGATCAGATCCTGGACGCAAAGCTAACACTAATGGCCTCATTAAATAGTTCAAATATGGTAAAAGAACACTTAATCGAACTGGAACAGTAAGACAAAGCTCTACGAATAAGTCTCTTTCTGATGGTTTTCTTGACGACTGAATTAAATTATTTAAATATTCAAGAATTACTTGTAATAATGGTAAAACTTCTTTGTATAAAAGTTCAAAGCGTCCACCGCCAATACTTCGAAAAAGAGATCTTAATAGTAAAAAATAATTCATTGGCTGAGCAGCTGTTGTTGATAACTTAAAAGATTGAATAATAAAATAACTAAGATGCGGTCTTATAATAGTTTCATTGGAGTCAGGAAACATTGTTACTGCCATAAACGCTAGTTTAAAAAATCTCAAAAGAACTAAGGTTCTAGAAGTATTATCCGTGCCAACTTCTTTTAGCTTGCTTTTAAGAAATAATAATAAAATTCCAACAAATCCAGGTGATGTATTATCGTTAGTTAAAAAAAATTGGGGAATATGAAGTAGTGAAGGATTTTCAAGAACTTGTTCAAAAAATATAGGAAGTTGCGTTTGAAATATTTCTTGGAAAACAGCTGGGTCAATATGTATAAATATAGTAGCAAATGTCTCAATAACATCCTTCTCTTCTCTAGTACTAGGTATATTAATTGTAATTGATGAATCCATAGGTGTTAATTTATCTCTAGATTTAGTATCATGCGTATTTTTTTCTATTTCATTTTTGTAATAAATAAATCCTTTACAACCTTCATCGAATATTTTTGTAAAAAGAGAAACATCGAACGCATCTAGTCCTCTAACCACATCGTTCCATTGTTGCATATTGGATAATGGACAAATAGATAATGGATTACAACTTTTAAGACCGAATAGTATAGGCTTTAAGCCAATTATAAGATTTTTAAATAATACACGTGCGTCTAAATATATTTAGATATCAACTCTTAAGACTTATTGCAAACCTTTAAGTGGACTAGGTGACAAATTAAAAGCAGAAAAAGATGATTCAATTGGATTTAAACGTTTAAGATCCAATCTATTTTCAATATCTATATATTTAATATTTTCATGTTCCTGAATTTGTTTTGTGTTTTCAGACTTTGAAGTATTGTCTAAAAAATGTTTATGTTTTAAAAAGGGATAAAACCGATTCAACTCTTTAAGCTTTTTTGCAAAACTATCTAAAATTATAATTAATAATTGGCGTCCTGAAATATTTAATTAACAACAACTATAGTTTATTTGACCATTACCTTCTGATTGTTGAGGAAGTTTCATTATTCTATCAATCATGTTTAAAAGCAATTTTGCAGACATAGTTTGAATACTGATTGCCAAAGTCCAATCATGGAGATTAGCAGAATATACACGAATTGTTTGACTTATCTGTTTCACATTAAGTTCAGAACGTACATGATGAATTAAATCTGCAAGCATGCTATATGCTAAAGGCCTAATTTAAGTTAATTATATTATTTTATTTTTATACTTTAGAATTTACCTTAATGTCTCATGGACTGTTACACCCTCTCCAATAAGAACTTTTTGATCTAATAAAAGGTCTATCTTTTTAACAAAAGCATTGCGGAAATCTGTTGCTAAAATATGTCTTGTAGCGACTAACAGTTCCTTTTAATAATTAGTATATGTTTTTCTTACAATAACAATACTTTTCTTGCAGAAGATATTTCTGGTGGGCAATCTTTTAAAATACGGACACAAAATTCGGGTATCTTGTTTTGGTATTTTTTCATTACTGTAGTAAATCCTCGTAAAACATAAGCTAAAAAAGACATAGTCTAGAATTATTAAATAAATTTATAAATCTTCATAAAAACCTTTATTTGAGCTATTATAAATTCTCCAAATAAGCTTTTATCTAAAATATTAGGTGAAACACCTGTAAATATTTCATTTTTGGAAGCTGCAATTAAATGTGCTTCAGCTTGAGGAGAAGCTTGTAAAGAAAGCATCTATAAATATTAAAAAATTTTAAAAAAAAGATAACTAATTACTTCAATTATTGCAAAAATAAAAGCAGGCAAATTTGTAGAAATGATTTGTTTGTGAGACTGGAATAAAAGAACAACAATAATAGGGCATTCTGTAAGCACTTTAAAGCTATATTTGGATTTTCTCGTAGAAACCAAACTAGTTTCTTCTATTTCAGAAGAATTTTCAAATGATAAAGGCTCAGGAGATAATTTTATATTTGTCAACTAAAAATAATTAATTTTGAAACAAAAAATAATTTTTAAATACAGATGAAGTAGATCCAGGAGAACCTGTAGGCGGGAAACTCTCTTTAACAACTTGTGGCATATTTTTGAATACTTCTAATACAAAATCTAAAAATGGTTGGATATATTCTTCCAAATTTTGTTTGAAATTTCGATGGAAATCAATAATAATTTTTAAACATAAAATAGCATTGTCTTCGTAATCTGCATGTAAAATTTTCATTAAGACTTGCATTATGTTGGCAGCATATGGGCGAAATGTTTCATTCAAAGGCAACCGATGAAGCAAGTTTAAAACATTTCCACGCAATTTCTACTTATTTTAATACACTTTAGGCCTCTAATTCGCCATATAAACCTGCTCAAGCGAAAAATTAGAAAAATTCTGTTGCTCATTATCCAACACTTGAATTATTGCGGGTATTAATTTAAACAAAAATCCTTGATAATCATCCAACTGAGGAGCATCCAGAAACTCCAGTAACTCTGTTGCTGCATCTATTTTCGACTTTATATCTATCCAATATTTATCAATATATTTCTCCCTAAATCTTCGTTATTTTCACCTTTTGAAGGGTCGGAAAGCCGTGCAATCACCGGATCCATCCGCCCTGGATTTGAAGGTGCCATTTCTCATGTCAAATCTATTTTTAATGCACAAAATCCTTATGGATCCATATCAATCCGTGCAAATCTTGAAACTTGGATTCTGTAAGGCACTTTTTAAAGCTATCGATGATTTTAAAATTTTATTAAAAAAAAGCAAGAAGTAGAAATATACAATAAAAGGTATATAAATGGAAAAAGTATATGTTTTCTAGAATTTTTTAAAGAAATTATACAATGCCTAGTTTTTTTTTTTTTATTCCAAGAGAAGAAATGGTGGTTTTGCGTTTATAAGGTGTTTTGAAATCAGGTATTTGGATATTTTTTGTAGATCGACTGAGAAGCATTTGTGCAGTTGGGGTCTCTTCGTCTTTTAGACGTCTTACAATCCCGTCTTCACTGCTAAAAACAGCCCGTGCAATTTCCATATCTTTTTTTTGTTCTATAGCTTCTTGAATGTCTTCTTGTGACGGCTCATGTTTTGCTTGCTCAATCCGTTCGAGTGCTTGGTCTGGATTCAGCCTCTCCCTCTGTGCGTTTCTTGTACGAATTTCATCTAGTGCATCAGATATTTCCATTTCAATTTTGCTATCCAAAGTTTTATGTTCTAGTGCCGTCATGGCATTTTCTTCTTCTTCTAGCTCATCTAGACGATCTTCATCATTTTTTTCTTCTTTCTTTTCTTTCCATGGCTCAAAATTTCGTGAAGCACCATATTCTGCTGCATAATCTGCATTCTATATTAACATTAATGTTGCTCTAAATTTACCATATATCCCTATACTTTAGGATCTGTTTTAAACGTAATTTCTGATGAACACCTTGTACACCTGATATAGAATCTAAAAATAGGTATTGAATAATAGCTTTCACCTGAGTTTTCTTTTCTTGCATTAAATTTCCGTCCTTTATAAATATACTCGCCACAGGTATTACATCTCATAGAATATGGTGTCATTAAGCGAACTGTTTGCTGCCGAGGCCCTTTCCTATCTGATCCCTTGTGTAATCTTACAATTTTACTCGGATCAAAGTCCGGTGGATAATATTTATTTAAAACCTTTCTTTCTGACATATTTTAAAGCCAATTTTTTAAAAGAAAACAAGGAAACTACTTGAAAATGTAAAAAAAATCATTATTTTCTATAAAAATACTTATTCTTTTCTATAAAATTGCTTAATATATTTTGTCTTCATTTTCTATTTTTTTTAGACGTTGAAATTACATGAATCGATGATTTAACTTATAACTTTAAGCAAATTTTGACATATTAAATTGGCTTTTTTAAACTAATCAGTAATATAAAAAGACAAATTTATGATTCTACTTTATTATATTTGTTTTTTTTTTAAAATCATGTCTTTTAGTTTTTAATTTTGAAAATCATGGGAGGAACAATTGAGAAATTGAAAACAATACAAATATTGTTGCCAAAAGTTAGTTTTTTATGGCTCCATTGTAAGTTTTGTATATTAGTTTATTAGCTTTTAAAGTATTTTAGGTATTTATATTGCAGTAATGATTCTTATTGGCACGTTTTTAATTTATCTACAAAGTAATATTCAATATATTGATGCTTTTTTTCTTGCAACTAGTGCTGCAACGCAGGCAGGGCTTGTGACATTGGATATTAATACTCTATCTGTTTATCAACAAGTGTGTTAATACAATGGAGGCTGCTTTTTTAATTAATAATAGGTGGTTTTATATATTATCCCTATGCTGACAACTCCTATTTTTATTCATTCTCTTACAGCTATTGTACGCCTTTTTCTTATAAGGAGTAAATTCGATAACATTGGTGAGCACAATGAAATTTTATATATTTGATTCTAAAACATAAAAGTCCAACAAGCGCGTACTCAGTCTTTAAGGAAAAATCAATGTTTAAATAACGTATTTATGTCGTATAGTGAAATTGAGGAAAGAGGGGTTGGTGATAGACCAATTCATGTTTTGCTAAGGAGAGAAAGTGTTATAGAAAATGAAACACAGTCAATGCCTTTTTGCAAAATAGGCACATCTTTTGGGAATATAGTTTCTCCAATAAGGATGAATGAGCTTGAAAGAAGGAATGATGTTGATAGCAAAAGAGGAGGTCCTTTAAACTCTGCAGGAATGGATTCATCTTTTAATGCTAATCGTCAACATAATAAAGATGAAAATTTTGTTACCGAATTTCAGAAATATGAATGTGTTTCTCTTCAGCAAGAAAGGTAAGGGTTAAATATTAACATTATATATTAAATAGTTTAATTTTAGGCACGGTAATTCAGATATTCGATTTGGTGATCTTCCTGTTCCCGTTCGATCATCAATTGATGGTAATTAATCTAATTTGTATATTGCAATATAAATTTTGCAGGACCGAAAGATGATGAACTTTATATTGTTCCTGATCGTTTTGAACAAGGTATATATTGTTATCAATTTTTTTTTTTATAATTTAGCTAGAAAATCAATTTAATAATAAATTGCAAAAATCTAAAAGTGTTGAGCCTCAATCAGTTTCAATAATCAATGAGGGATTAACCAACATTACAAGATTATCAACATATGACAATAATAATTATTATTTACGTATGAGGAAGTTTATTACTATCGATCGAAGTATTTCTAAAGTTAGCACTTTTGATCGTTATATTTCTAATGCCTTTTGGAAAAAGAGGGATTCCAGTCCTTTTTCTCAAAGGACTAATAAATCATTTCCTTATTTATCGTATCAACCTACGATAGGACGCAATTCAGTAATTATTGTTACTTGCATTAATTTATATTTAATTTATACATAGGCATTTGTTACTTTAACGAAAGAACAACGTGATGAATTAGGCGGTATTGAGTATAGAGCATTGAAATTATTATGTTGGATACTTGTTTGTTAGTTATAATAATCAATATTATTCTTTCGATTAATTATTTCTAGGCTATTATGTTTTAATTCATGTTTTTGCTGCTATTTGTTTTTTACTTTTTTCAGTTTTTGCAAAATCGTATAAGGAAGCCATTATTGATTCATTAGCATCCCCTTCTTGGTGGTAAGAATTTGTTTTATTATTATTATTAAATACAAATTTAAACTTAAGGGCATTTTTTACTTCAGCATCTCTTTTCAATGATTTCGGTATAAAAATATTTAGGATTATATTTTGTTTATGCCCTTTAGGAATGACATTAAATGCAACTTCTATGGTTAAATATAGGCAATCGAATTTTGTTTTAATTCTTGGTTCATTTCTAATCATAGCTGGGTAAAAATATCTTTTATATAAATATACTTATAGTAGTTTTTAGAAATACTGCATTTCCTATTCTTTTAAGGTATCTTAGATGATAAAATTATATTATTAACTGATTGAAGATTTTTTATTTGGATAATAACTTTTACTCTTCCGAAAAATTCTTTACATAGGGAGGTAGATATCATATTAATAGTATATTTCTGTTTATTTAATAATGGATCTAGAGTTTGCATTTTCTTCTTGAGTATTAGTCTAGAAAAAATCATATTACATATTTAATTTTTTAGTCATCCTAGACGATGTTTTACCCTTCTTTTTCCATCTAGGGTTTGGTTTATTTTTTTTATTTGCTTATTTTTTATTTTTAATAGGTTACTTTCTGGCTTTTTGCCTTATTAATAGTAAGCTATTCTTGAAAAAATGAATATTTTTTTAATATTTCTAAGATACTTAATATCGCTGATACATTGATTTTCATAGCTTTAGATGTTTGTTTCTTTTAGTTTTTAATGCTATAATTTATAGCATTTTAGTTTAATAATCCTTCATTGGAAGAAATTGGACCTACACATCTTAAAGTTTTAAATTGTTTATTTCAGGTCTTTATTTTTATTTTAAAACTATTTTTCTCATCTATTTAAGTCGATTGCTACGCGCACTGCAGGATTTACTGTTGTTAGTTTATCAACTTTGCATACAGCAGTTCTTGTTAGTTATATGTTTATGATGTACATTTCTGTTTTTCCTGTACGTATATTATTGGCTATTTTTTTATATTAATGTTCATTATAGGTTGCAGTTAGTATAAGAAAGTAATTATTTTTATATTCTAAAAATTATTTCTAATATTAATTTATAGAACTAATGTTTATGAGGTTAGAAATTTATAATATATATGATTTTTAATTTTGGAAAGGAAAGGTCTTTAGGAATATATAGTAATGATGATGATTCTCAAAATGCTTCATTCGTTGGTATATTTATTTTGGTAATTATGTCTATTTTTCATAATTTTTTCTAGGAACACATATAAGACAACAACTTTCTTTTGATCTCTGGTATATATTTTTAGGACTTTTTATTATATGTATTGTAGAAAACAAAAAAATTAAAGATGAGTCAATTCCTGTATATGAATGTTTTTAAATAATAATGATAATAATAATGTTTTAGAGTTTTAATGTTTTCTCTGTATTATTTGAAATAATTTCTGCGTATTGTACAGTCGGTCTTAGCTTTGGTAATAGTTAACATTTTCATTAATTGTTTTCTTATAAAAAATAGGTTCACCTGATATAAATTCATCATTTTCATCAAAGTTTTCTATTATCGGCAAACTTGTTATTATTTCTCTTCAGGTTTGTGATTACATTCATATTTTTTTTCTAATAAAATAGATTCGTGGTAGACATAGAGGTTAATAATCCTTAAGACTTTTTTATGGTTAATATTTAATTTAGGTCTCCCATATACTTTAGATCGTGCTGTTATTTTGCCAACTGAAAAAATGGGTAGGGTTGAAGAAGAAGATTATCAAAGAAAAACAAAAGTTCCAGTAATCAATAATGATAATTTATAGTAATTGATATGTTAAAAATAATATAAATTTAAAATAATTATTATTTTAGTCATTCTTAAGTTTTTAGTATTAAACTCTTGGTATGTTTGCCTCATTTAATTGCAATTTATATTCTGATTAAGGACTGTGAGAATTTTGTTTTCATATACTAATCTTTAATAATGATTATATTAATTTTATAAATAATTCAAAAATTTGAAATTGGTATTAAATTGTATTTCGAAAGTTAATATTATACCCCAATTCTATATACAGATGCACCTTGGTTTCGTAATTGAATAGTTTCTCGGCGCTCCATTATATACAATGCTTTTTGAAGTGCATGTAATGAGTATCCTTTCTATCAAATATTTTAGAATAATATAAAAAATTATTGTCTTACTCCATTCACAAATTCTTTTGTAAGAGTGGCATATGATGTACTCCATCCAATTGGTAATCTTTTTCTCAATTCAGATTCAATTTTATGAATTTCTTCAACTAATTCATGTCTTGTAGCTTGACCTTGTCCTACTGCATCCATGGTAGACGCCATAAACAACCTTATAGCTTCGTCTACGTGTTCTTCTGTTGCAACAACACTTAGACGAATTTTTGCTAAAGCTTCTGATATCCTAATTATTGATTCTAATTGACGTATAGTAATAGGAATACTAGATCTCTCATTGCTATTTTGTTCAACTTGATGAACTTGTTTTCTAATAGCTACAAAATGACTAGAAAGTTTCTCTGCTGCTTCAGGAGTTAATCTTGGAGCACATTTACTAACAAAAAGTTAAAAATATAAACTTAGAAAATGTTGTTTACTTTCTACAATAACTAATATATTTTTTCATTTTTTCTATGCTTATTTCTTTTATTGATGAAGTATCTTTTAATGTTTTATTCATATGAATATTCATTACATGTGCTGCAATTGTCTAAAATTGATTAAAATATTAAAAAATCAAAACAAAAATAAACCTTATCTTTAACTTCATTATGTTCATCTTTTACAATAAATATCATATCAAATCGTGATAAAATTGTTGTTTGAAAATCAATATTATCACCAGGACTTTTTATATCATCATATCTCCCAAATACAGGATTTGCGGCGGCCAAAACACTAGTTCTTGAATTAAGAATAGTTGTAATTCCTGCTTTCGCAATAGATATAGTTTGTTGTTCCATAGCTTCATGAATTGCAACACGATCTTCGTCTCTCATTTTATCAAATTCATCAATACAAACAACCCCTCCATCAGCTAATACCATTGCGCCACCTTCAAGGTAAAATTCTCGCGATGTAGTATCACGTTGAATAGATGCAGTAAGACCTGCTGCGCTAGATCCTTTTCCTGATGTATAAACAGCAATTGGTGATACCTTTTCTACAAATTTAAGTAACTGTGATTTAGCTGTTCCTGGATCTCCTAGTAGTAAAATATTAATATCTCCTCTTAGCCTCATTCCATCAGGAAGTATTTTTTTAGAACCTCCAAATAAAAGACAACATATAGCTTTTTTTATATCTATGCTAATATTAATTTAAAAAAAAAAAACTAAAATATTACCTGTGTTTCCATAAATTGATGACCCAATACTACTTGCAAATATCTCATATAGATTTGGATTCCGAGAGAGTTTAAGAAATTCATCTTCTTCTTTTTCTGTAAATATAACCGTTTTTTCGGAATTTCCAGGCATTTCTACTTGTAACCCGACTACTCTGACATATGGATTACGAATAGCAACTGCTCCACTAGTCTTAAATGACTTATTTTGGTAAATTGAATATATCCCAATAACAGTACATCTGCTTCCAGGGGTTACTTTATTTGTAAGGTACCGATCAACATTTAACAGTATATGGCGTGGAAGTTCACCAACTGGTACCATATTTGGAGCTTCTTGAAATTTAAGAACTTGTTGATCAATAAATGAGCATTTTTCATGAATAATAATATAAGGATCTAAAGAACATTCTTTTTTTTCACCTGGAGTTGTTGGACTATCACAAGTTCTTGGTAATTGAATATTAGTAAATCCTCCGCCTACACTAATAATTTTTATATTACGACAATTCCGACACATAATATGAAGTTTTGTGGCTTTTGATGATAAAGTTGATGCACCAATAACAATTCCTGGAATTCGAACTAATTTTGATATATAATTTGCCTAAATTATTATAAATATTGAATAAATATAGTAAGAAAAAAACATTAAGATCCCGAATCAATGTATAATTTGCATCATACTCTAGTGTTATTTGGCAATCTGGAAATTCTTTCTTAGAATCTGATCCTGGATAAACAAGTTGTCTTGCACAGTCTTTAATCGCTAATTCAAACTAAAACAAAGATTAATAAAAACTTGTAATAATTTGAAAAGAAAAACTAACAAGAGGAAGCATATCTGCAGGTTCATTTGTTAGTTTATGTGCCAATTCTTCATTAAAGCTTATAAGATGTGAAATATTTACGTTTAAATAATTTTGTTTTACTAAAATATTTTCTCGTAATTGATCTCTGAATTTATATAAGGAAAAAGAAATTATTTTTCATTTTTTACCTATAAATATAAGAATTATCAAGTATGAATTCTTGAATAAAATCTTTAAACTGTTTCTCAAGTTCTTTAGGTGCATCTGTTTGTACTTCTCCAGGGAGAACACTAGTTGAATAAACAAACGATTGATCCCATCCAATACCAGACATAATGAGTAAATATTATATATTTAGTTTAATTCAATCTCTTAATTTATATTTTTCTATAGTTGCTTAATTTTGATATATATCTAATCAAGAAAAGGTTTATTAAAACTATAAAAAAAAATATATATAAGAACTTATTTTATTTTTCCTTATTAATTCTTTGAAAAATAGTAAAATTGACTTTTTTATATGAATTTTATAGATTTCTTCTTTATTTAAATATTCTGAATGTTAAATTTATGATCGAATCTAACGTCTGAAACTTAACATTTAGAATTAGATAAAAAATTGTCTTTTATTAAATATTATTTTTAATAAAAAGAAATGGAATAAAAAGATTTAGTAAATTATTAGTTTTATATTCTTTTAAACTTTGAAAATTAATGAAAAAACAAGAAAGTTCTGATTTTTTTTTTTCAGAAAGAAGTAAGATTTAAATAAACAAATAATTGATTAATTTCTTAATTAATATATACTAGTTTTTGATATTTACTCTGTTTTTAATGATCCTTACGAGAAACAGTATTTGAAAAAGTCTATAATAAAGGATATTCCTTCTGTTTTATTAACACATATTCCAAAATATGAAATTTCGGATTTTCACCAGTATTTATCAGAAATTTCCTCAGAATATGGTCGCTATTCTTTAAGTAAGAAAAATAAGGATATTAGTAATTTTTGTGAGCCTGAGATGGATACTTCAAAGTTAGGTTTTAATGAACATAATGTATATTCATCGACGTGTTCTTCTATATCTTTTAATGAATCTTCTAAGTCTTTAAGCTCTAAAAAAGAAAGTTTTCCTTACGTTTCTTTGGATAAAATACCAGAATCTATAGAAAGCTCTTTGTCTTCTGTTCCTTCAGTTTATTTTAAATCTAACTTTGAACTTGAAAATTCAAGAATATTTGACTTAGTTACAGATAATTCTACAATCTTTGCTCAAAATCCTATTTCAGGAGAATGTAAAACTTTCTTAAATAATACTATTTTACAAGAAAAGTTATCATGGTATTTGGATATTGTTGAAGTTCATTTAATAAAAGAAATAAATAATGCAAGTACTTCATTTTTTACAATTATAGATTATTTGCAGGATTTATATAAAGAATCTTCTACTTGTGTTGCTAGAATAAAAGAATTGAGGAATAAATTAGTTAATAATAATAATGCTTTAGTGGAACCTAGATTAAAAATTATGGAGATTATGAAAAAAAAGGAAAATTTAGCTAAATTGAGTCATGTTTTTAAACATATTTATGATATTTTGCTTGAATTATCAGAAGTTCGTAATTTAATCAAGAAAAAAGAGTATATTTCTGCTTTGGATACAATAAACAAGATTAATGAAGAGATGAAACAAAATTTTGATGACTCTGAAGATATACCTTTATCAAAAATTTCTGCTCTCTCATCTGTTGTGAAAGAATTAAAAAATTTGACTGAAGATATTAAAAATAAACTATCGTTAGAATTTGCAAATTTATTAATAGAAGATCATAAGCAAATTATTGCATCTGTTTCTTCAGAAGTTATTTCAAAATTTTATTCAGATTCTCTAAAAACAAATGAAGTTAAAACTATTAACTCAAATTATATTAATTTAGATCAAGATTTTCAAGAAAAAATAAAAGTAATAATTGTAGGGATTTATATGACAGATTCTGTTGAAAATTCCTTAGAATATTATTATGGTATAATTTTAAAAGAAGTTAAAAATATTATAATACAAGTAAATTATTTTAGATTTTTTAAATTATTATTAATTATCATTAGAATCTTTTACTTCAGGTTGATAATAGCCCTATCAATATAGACGAATTATTGAATCCAATGACTAAAGAATATTCTATTTTAGCTAATTCATTAAAAGAAATGACACCTGAGGATTTTCTTCAAATGATTGGCATGATTTATGCTAGAATATATTTATTCATAGAAAGATTGTCAATTTACCAAAAAACGATTTTAGATATCACATTAAATTTAATTAATAAATTCAATTTTGCTAATAAATTAACATCAATGACATCTATAGATATTACTGATATTTTAGTAACTGTAGTTGATGTTGTTCAAGTCGAAATAGTAAAAGTCTTAAATATTAGAGCTCCTCAGAATACTAAGCTTTTAGGAAACGATATTTTTCGTTTTTTTGTTTTACATAATCGTTTTTTGTCTCAATGTGAAATTTTAACTGGAAAGTTTGGAGAATTGCTTCAAAAAACTGTTTTGTCTCATGTATTGAAACCCTATATTCATATAATTAAGTTTAATTATATTTAGATTAAAGAATCAATTAATAACTATCATTCTGAAAAGATGTCTTTAGAAGTATCAATTCTTGATAAAGATCAATGGATTCCAGAAAAAGAAATTACTGAGGATTTTCAGAATGTAGTTAATTGTATTATAGACTCTGCTGTTCTTGATCCAATATCATGGAAAAAAGATTTTTTGTTTAATAAGATTGAAAACTTAAAATCTGATGTTAATTTTACTGATACAGCTGGAAAAAATTTGAAATCATTTATTACTATTAAAGATGAGAATTATTTTGTTACTACATCATTAATATCTTTGTTTTTAATTGTAGAAGATTATGCAAAGATTTTAATATTGATTCCCCCTCTTGCTTATGATATAAGTAATAATTTATTGGAAATTTTAGAGGTAAAATTAATTTTGAATTGTTTTTTTTAATATAAATAGTTATATAATTTCAAAGTTTATCAATTAATTTTAGGTGCAGGTGCAACAAAAACTTCAGGATTTAAAACTATAACAGCAAAACATTTAGCATTAGCTTCACATTCAATATCTCTAATTATTTGTTTGATTCCATACATTCTTGAATTTATGAAAAGACATTTGGGAACTATTAATCTTTCTGAATTTGATCAATTAGTAAAAGTAAATAAAATCTTCTATATTGACTTAAAAAGTTAATATTATAGGCTTATAAAGAACATCAAGAGCAAATACACTTAAAATTTATTTCTATTATATCTGATAGATTGGATATACTTATTAATTCGCCCTCATGTGGATTAAAAACGCTTGATTGGTCAAAAGAATTACCTAAAGCTGAAGATGGTAGTCCGAAACCGCATTCTTACATAGAATCCCTTGTAAGGGATACTCTAACTCTTTATAAAGTTTTAAAAAAATATTTAAAACAAGATATTACACAGGTTGTTTCTTTTTTTTTATTGAAAATTAATAATAAATTATAGAATATTATCTCTGAAATATTAAACATTTATGTAATTGTATTGTCAAAGGAGTTTAGCAATCTTTCTTTAGAAATAGAAAATTTAAAAAGTCACGTTTTATTGGATCTTAGATACCTTGCTGATAATTTACGTATACTTGGAAATATAGGAGAAGAAGCTGGATATAAAATTATTAAAAATGTAGAATCTATGTTTGAAAAAAGTCAGAAATGAAAGCATATGAATAAAAAGTATATAGGATAAAACAATAGGTGATATATTACAATGAGAAAGTTTTTCTGAATATTTAATAACCATAGTATCCATGCACAATTATAGATATACTTGGAGTCAAATTTGATTGAGAAAAAATAGATTGTTTAAAAGAAAGTTATACAAGTTCCTCTTTCAAAGAAATACCAAGTTCTTCTCTCAAGGACTTAAATTCATCCAAATACTGTTGGTACTGTTCTAAAGAAATAGATTAGATAACAGCCTATTCTTTTTCGCATCTACCTTTATTTTCAACCTTTTGTTTAATTCCTTCAAATATTCTGACTGCCGTAGGAAAGTCATTTACTCTTCTGGCTGCTCGTAAGGCTTGTTCAATAACAGATGGCATAGGAACAAAGTCATATGCAAATGCATTATTAAGACCACGTTGAAGCTATTATTTTTAGCATCAAGAGTTCTACTTGCGTTCGTCTGGGCACTACCTCAAAAAGATCATCAACATTTTGGAAAAACTTTTCGTATCTATAACCACATATTTATCAACAAAAAGTTATTTTTTCCATTTTCTATATTTTACTTTTCATTAAAAGATTCAAAATTATCATTTTCATGAGAATGTGACATTCTTATTTGACTTATAATATTTGGATTTGTTTTTGCCCTGGAAAATTTTATTGTGAGGCTATTTAATGTCTGTTTTTTTCCATTTAAAAACGTCCTTATGAAAAACATAATGATCTTTCAGAAAAAATAGCAAAAAACTTAAATATCTTAGTAAACTACTTTATATTTTTTATTTTTAATTATAGAGTCTTACGCACGGATGTCCCTGAATAAATGACTTGATAAAAAAATCACGACTATTAATATATAGGAAATTTCCTTTAAATTTTTTGATTGTTTTAAATCTATATAGATTTTTTAGAGCTAAAAACTTATTAAATTTATATTTCTTGTGCAAATTATTGCTCTGATTTTAATTTTTTTCTGCTTTTTTAATGCTATTTTGTTATTATTTTACTTTTTTAAAACTATTTAGAAACTATTTAATTTATTCTTTATATTCTCTTATTTAGTTTTGTGCATTTTTATTTAATATCTATAAGATAGCTTTTCTTTCGTGTTGGGGGAATAAATATCTGCTATCGACCTTTAAAAAAAAAAAAAGCAAAAAATAGTGCAGTAAAGTTGCTTAAAAGCTCAATTAGAACTATTTTTTAGCTTCTACGTAATAGATTTATTAATATTTCTCTTTTGAACGGGACTTTTGACCAGTGTTTTGGGCTAAATATTGATAAAAGAGTTTAGAAGAGTCGTATTGATCTTCAATGCTGTCAGTAGAACGTCCCTTTGGTATTTATCTATGGTAAACTGTCCTTTACCTGTATATAATACGTGTTGATTCTTTCTAGGCCTATATTTGCTAAAATATGGGAAAAATGTATGGGATATCCAGTGAATCGATTTGTTTTTGTTCCCGGAAAAACGTTTCTTTCTTCGTGGACAGAAGTTATTAGTCTAATTGTGCTATATTACGTTATTATATTTCTTGGACAGTTAATTATGAAACCGTTTTCACCAAAAAGATTGAATACGATTTCCCGGATATATAACTTATTTTTAAGCATTTTATCTGGATGTTTCTTTTTGCTTCTTTTTGAGCAAATGTTTCCTGTTGTATGGAAAAATGGATTGTATTATTCAATTTGTGATGCTAGATCATGGTCACAGCCTACTGTTACAATTTATTATGTGCGTATTTCTGTTTTTTGTATAATATAGATGCTTATTATATTTTAGTTGAATTATTTAATTAAATATATTGAGTTAATGGACACAGTATTTTTATTCTTGAAGAAAAAACCTTTACAATTTGTATAACATCTTTATATAAAATGATTGTTAATTCGCATCTAGCTTCATTGTTATCATCATGGGGCTACCATTTTTTTGTGCTTTTCACAATTAATTGGTCAAACTCCAGTGGTTTGTTTATTTTTATATGTATAATATTTAATTAACATTATTTAGTCATATATTCCAATTTTTTTAAATTTGGGGGTTCATGTAGTTATGTATTATTATTATTTTTTGTGCGCATGTGGTGTTAAAGTATGGTGGAAAAAATGTGTAACTCTCATTCAAATTATTCAATTTATTTTTGACCTTTTGTTTGTCTATTTTGCAACATATACGTAAATTTTTTATATAATTTTATTATTCCTACTAATTTATAAAATAGATATTTTGTATACAATTACTTTCCTTATTTGCCGAATCCTGGGGATTGTGCTGGTAAAGAATTTGCTGCTTTAACTGGATGTTTTTTATTGTCCTCATATCTCGTTTTATTTATTGGTTTTTATGCTGCAACATATAAATCTAAAGCTTCTGCGGTAAATAAGAATTTAAACAATAAGAATGTTCGTTTTAATAATAAATTTGATGATGCTGACTTTAAACATTTAAATACCAAATCAGCAAAATCTACCAGTATAAATAACATAGGAATGACAACACGGTCTAGAAAGATATGATATGTATGTATATTATATCTAAGATTTTTTTAATATTTTAGAAAACAAGCGTATTAATATTAGTGTTTTCATCTCTCGTATTTTGAGTTTAATATAGGTTGTTTATATGGTTTATTTATTTAATTAAAACTATATATTTTTAAATAATGATTTAATTGGTTTTTGATTTTTAAAAAAAATGCTTAGCATTTTATTTCTTTATATTTCATCTTTTTTGTTTCGACGTTCTTTTTTTGCCTTTAAACATGTTTTATAATGAAAATAAGACAAGAAATACTTGAATTGTTAGAAGGATTAATAGCAAATATTACTGGAATAAAAGTTGGTTTTTAATTTTTTTAAATAAACCAAAATAATTTCTTTTTAGAATGAAAATAATATGTTTTATGACCTTCGTGATAAAATAGTTAAAATGATTAAAGAGTCATCTTTTATGATGGTTAATCAATTTGAAATCAAAAGATCATGTTATGGGTATTTTTTTAGTTTCTGCTTTTATTTAGTTGAAAAAAATAAGTTTGGTTGAGAAATTTGATATTCTTTCGAAAGAAAATCACAGTACAATGCTCGAAAACTTATTTGACGAACTTTTTAAGGATGAGAATGTATTTCTTTGCTATATACCTTATTTTATATATTTATGTTTTAGAATGGTTTAATAATTGACATGCTTGCATTAATTTTAAATCTTTCGGATAATCCTTTAGAAAAAAAACTGGAAATTTATCAAGAACAAGCAGAAAAACATGTTGAAATACTACCTGTAAATGAAATTGATGATTTTCATTATACAGGTGAACACTGGAAAATGATTGACTCACTTAATGAACAAGATGATGATAATGATGAAAATGACGATAATAATAGTGAAAATGATGAAAATTGCGATAATGGTGATGACATTGTTTCTGAATCGTTTACAAGAGAGAAACGGGATGTAATATTTTCTGTTTTTACTTCTCAATAGTGGTTTTTATAATATTTATATAGACAAAAGATATTGTTAAAGTATTACCAGTGGAATTTTTTCCCATTAATATGCAAGAACTTGATTCTATCGAAAAAGTTCAATACTGGAGATCTATTTCGTGTCAAAATGATGTTAAGCGTATTGTATATCAGCTTAATTATAATTCAGGTTTTAAAATATTTAATTTCATTGTATTTTTTAAAGTTTTTAAGATGTATCGACTCTTCTTACTGAAACAAATGTTGTGCGTGAAATTATTTTCATGATTCAAGGAAACGAAACTGTTTTGTTTTTAAAAAATGGTGACGATATTAAAGTATTATTGTTATTTTAATATCTTTTATTGATATTTTTAGATTAATGAAAATTTTTTTATATCTCAAATATCACATACAATGTTTTTAAGTTTTTTGGAATGGTTTTTAGAAAGAGGAAGATTAGTTAATAAAATTCGTAGTTTTATATCCAATCCTTTTAAAAATTATTTAGAAAATGTTTTTGTTTGTTCTGTAGAAGATTTACTTGGGTCTTTGGATTCTACTCTAGCTTATTATCAATCATTTTCTGGTGATTCAGGTAAGATATTGAATAAAAAATGTATTTTATCTTTAATAAATATTAGAACATATTAGAATATTAACCATATTATCTCTTCAAAACATTTTAGATAGAATTTTAGATCCTTATATTGTTTTATCTGATATTATTTCAAAAATAGATTCTACAACTTTCAAAACTAATATTTGTAATTTTTTAAATATGCTATTTGATAAGGCTAAGTTTTATTATTCTATATTTGACAAACAAACATTTCTATTAATAACGATTTTACGATCTGCTTTATTAGAGGCTTATTTAAGACCATTGGAACTTTGGTTTTCTTGTGGAGAGCTACCTGATATTCAAGGATTTTTTATTACTAAGTCTACATTGAAATCTGATGATCTACTGTTACTTTCTGAGTACCAATTGAGCTTAAATAATGATGGTACGTTACTTATTCCAGATGTATTAAAGAGAATTTCCCAAAAATCTTTACTTATTGGAAAATTGAAAAAACTCTTGGCATCTATATTTTCCGAATCGAAAATAACTTTTTTTGATACTAATAAAAGTATTTTTCAAAAACTCAAGTCTGATTATGACGCTCGGTTGGTCCTTTTTTCTGCAAAAATGCATGACATTTTTCATTTAAATTCATCGTCTTCTAAAACTTCTGAAATTTTAAATGAATCCTTTGAACATGATTATCTAACATATATTTTTAATTGGGTTGATCAGAATTATTATACTTCTATGAAAAATGTTCTTCATGGATTATTTTATAATGCCGAAATAGAAAAGCATCTAAATGCAATATTTGAAATTTATTGTTTGTATAATAGTAACTACATAATTAACTTTATAAATTCTGTTTTTGAAAAGGTAAAATTGTTAAATTAATTTGATAATTTTTTAATTTTTAAGATGGATCATCAGAAAATATGGTGTGATAAGTATATTTTGCAAGATCTGATTCAGATTTCTATGAAGAATTCTACTATTGATTTAGATCTTATTACTATAAAAATACAAAACTTTGAAAATGACAATATATCCAATTTTTATATTTATTATAAATTACCATTGTCACTTACTTCAATTATTAGCTCGTCTTCACGGTCTGCATATTATAAAATTTTCAATTTTGTCTTTCAATTACTTAAAAGTAGGCACGATGTAAAAAAATATATATATTTATTTAGTACAAAATCATCTATGGAAAGAAATTCGATATTAATTTATCGTAACTTATCTCAAATAAAGTTGTATTTCAATTGGTTAATAAACATATTAATAAGTTATTTTTTTGATATTGTATGTATATATCTCTTTTATATATTAATATTAATTATAAGATAGATTATTAAAACGCATGTAGAAACTCTACAAAAAAGTATTAAAAATGCTATAAATTTAAATGAAATAATTAATATTCATAATTCATTTATTAATTCCATTTTAACACATTGTTTTTTGAATCTTCGGGTAAACGTTTTGATATTATATCTTTTACTAATTTTATTAGTTTAAACAAATACATGATTCAATAATGGAAATTTTTATGTATGTAAAATCTGTTTCGGAATTAATAATATCATTTCAAAAAAAAGAAATTAAAACACCTTTGTATTTATATTTAACATCAGATGAAGATATGAGTTCTGATTTAGAGATTGATGTTAATAGAAAAGAAAGTGATAAACAATTAAAAAATGAAGAAACTTTTTTAAAAGATCTTATAGATATTCAGAAAAAAACATGCTCTGTTTTAAAATTTATTCTATCTGAACTTCAAGAATTACCTCAGGAATTTACTACTGTATACATAGAAATTTTAATGGAGAATCTTGAATATGGTGTATTAGATATTGAATCATGACTTTTTTATAGAAATGTTATATTTTATTGTTTTAGCAAATGTATTAAATAACTGTTTTTATAATCTATTAATTATGGAATACTATTATGATACATTAAAAGCTTTTTATTAAATACATGTTTTAGATTAAAAATATTTTAAAGAAATAATTCTGAATAAATTTAAGAATTTATTAAATAATTTTATTTATTTGTAATTTTTTTAATACATCTATCTCAATGTTATAAAATGTTAATAAATTAAATAGTCAATATATTTTTTTTTTCTTTTCTTTTTTCAATACATTCTGGAAAAAATGATTCGTAATGAGATTTAAAAATTTTACTATAATTTAAAAATGTTTTTTCTAAAATTGATGTTTGAATTTTTGAAAAAAAAATATTTATAATGTATATATTGTGTCTAATTTTACTTAATAATATAAAATAAAAAATAAAAATACTTACAATTGAAGAAGAACATATCCTAGTAGTTCTTTTGTGACTAATAAATGCCTTACATATGCTCTATGATGAAATTCACATGTATAACATTTACATTCTTCTAAAAGTGGTAATAATACAGCTTTATGTTTTTCATCCCACATATCAATTCCAAGAGGTTCTTGGTTTTTTCCAGTAGGCGTAAAAGGCGGAAACTGGAACGTAAGAGCAATTCCTACATTAGAACATTCTGAAACAAAATCAATAGCAAAAAGATCAATAGAATTTTCTATACAATCAAGTATTAAGTGAGGAGATTTGACAGGCTCTACTAAAAATAAAGGCAGATGGGTTAAAGAATCTGGAATAATTTCTGATTGCTCTGGACTATATAATGCCAAACCGTGAATTTTTGAAAGATTAGATTCAAGCAGAGAAAAATATGATAAAAGCAATTCTTTAGAAACGACTGGTAATGATGCAAAGATAAAAGAATTAGTCTATATATATCAATTATAAGAAAAACTATAATTGTATTATCAACCTCCTTTTCTAATAACTGTTTTAACCATGATTCAGTTCGCTCAACCATTTTATTAAGTTGTTTGTTTCCAGTAATATTGCTAGATATATCAACAGGAGAAATAATTATATCAGCTGCAAGTTTTTCATAAAAATTTACAATATCTTTTATATCTATCAACTGATTTCCTCCTGATGTCATAATACGTAAAGCTTCTGATTTATTTGGTTTTTTAAAGCAAAATGCTGATCGTCTTGCTCCAAGAATGATATAATTATTTGAAGGTATAGAAACAAAATTTCTTAGTGTTTCCTTAGAACTTAAAAATGGTTTTGAAATTGTTTTTTTATCTTTTTTTTCCTTGAACGCTGGATATTCAACACTATTGTACTTAGAAATACATGTTTAACATAGAAAAAACACACAAATCTTCCAATGACATATAAATACCAGTTATTCTACTACTTTTTAGGTGATCTGGTGTTATGTGTGGTACTGATCCAAAAGAAGAACAAATCAAAAAATTAGGTGTTGTTACTTCATGATTCTTTATTACTTTTAGTTTTCCAGTACGAATATTGAAATAATTAAAAAATATTTTAAAGAAATTATTGTTCTTTTTATTCATTTATTAATAAAAGATATTTTTACTTGAAAATCTGTAAATTATTAAGTTACTCTCTTTTTTAAATTTTGTAACGAGATAACTTGATAAGATAACAACCTCAAAAAAATTTAAAAAAAGAAATTAACACAGATCTTCTTAGAAAAAATATTTTTTGAATAAAAAGATATAAAAATATATTATTCATATAATATTTTGTCATAAAATCTTTTTTTTTCATGAAAAAGAATGGTTCCATATGATCAAGAGGCTTTTTATTCGTCATCAGAACAAAATACAGAGATTCAGCAGCAAAAGATTATTCAAACAATGAATTCTTTAGCAGAAAGGTTTTTATGATTTTTTTTTGAAAAAATTTTAAATTATATTATAAGCTGTGTATTTAAGTCTGTTTTGAGTGGAGGAACTGGGTTTATAATTGGTGGAATTTTTGGTAGTAAAAAGTAGGTGGTTTGGTATAAAACTCACATTTTAGGACTTTTTATGTCATCTATTTCTATGGATGTCTCTAGTGATTACAAAATATATGATAAACCATTTAAAGAACAATTAAAATATGGCTTCAAAGATATGGGAAAACGTTCGTGGTCATCTGCAAAAAATTTTGCAACGGTTGGTGCAATTTTTTCAGGCGTTGAATGTTGTATTGAATCAGTAAGAAAAATTTCAGTTTTATTTTTTTAATATCATTTTTAGTATCGAGCTAAAAATGATATATATAATAGTATTTCTGCTGGATGTTTTACTGGAGGAGCACTTACAGTAAAAAATGGGCCAAAAGCTGCTGCATTAGGCTGTTTAGGATTTTCTGCATTTAGTGCTGCTATAGATTATTATCTCCGTTCAAATTAATAAAAAGGTATTTTAAGATAATTGTATAATTTCTTGATAAAATCTAAAAATAGATTCATATATTCTATTTAATAACAATTAAAGTCATATTGTCATTTTTTCATTTTACTAAGGTGATAATCTTTAAAATTATATTACCTTTTATATTTTTAAAATAAGATTTTGAAAATATTTATCAATTACTTTTTAAATCTAATGACTATAACAAAATTTGGTACTACAGATATGTAATATAAGATTTAAAATATTTAATTACGACTATATATAAAATATATACTTTTGAAAATAGGTAATAATAAACCTAATTTAGTCATGTTTATTTAAAATTTGGAATTAAAAATAAAATAATTTTTTGAAAAACTAATAATAGTATGTAATTTTAAAATTCTATTTTATACAGAAGCGACAATCTCGCTGGCTTGAGTTAAACTTTCTACCATACGTACACATTCTTTTCTTCTTTGAATAGTATATTCACTTTCCTTAAGAATATCATCCAAAACGTCGGTTTTATAAAGATTTTCGAGTAATTCTTTCTGCATACCTTCTTTCGAATACCTATAATTTTAGGAAAAAAATAAAATTATCTAAAAATAACTTACATAACTAAATTGTACATAATAGCTTTTGGAACCATATCAGTCATTGTACGTCGTACGATGTTAAAATATGAATTAATAAGGAGTTCTATATAATCAAAAACAATATACTCAAAAGTAAGGAACTTACTTATTACTTCTGTTTCAATAGTCTCTCTTTCAGACAATGTTCCTGATGCTTTTAAAACGGGTGGGGGCTACAATATAGATTAAATAAATGCGTTTATAATTATAAAATATACCGCATCCATAGCTGCCATTTTTTTTTTGTTTTTAGATGCAAAAAAGCTCCCAAAAAAACCTCCATTGTCTGATCCTGAATCCAAATATGAAGAACTTGATGCATCCTTTGCTGTTACTGGTAACGGTTTTCCTGTTTTAGGATCAAGTTGAACGGGTTTTGATTGGTTAATTTTTTCGTTTACAATAGCCATAGCCTAATAAAATTAGAAAAAAAAAAAGAATATGTTATTACCCGGTGACCATTAAGAAAATCTGGATGTGCTGTATTTATATAACATGCTTCCATTCTATAAAAAATTAAAAATAAATTTAGTATAAAAAATATTGAATTACGAAATTAAATCTTGTACAAGTTTGTGTGTTGGTTGCATAGCTTTCTTAAAAAAATTAATAACAACTTGATGAAATCTTTCTCTTAATAAAGGATATCGTTTAAACAGCTAAATATTTAAATTATTTTTTAGTTAAGCAGTTACTTACTTGTTTTCCCAGCAACTGTGTCAATATACGTACTAATTCATCATATATAAGATTAATACACTTAATACTAGGTTCTTCGAGCCTTCGTATTTGTTGTTTTATAATTACTTCAAAAGCAGCTGTTCCAACAAATAAAGCAGGGGATGAGCCTGATGAATTGTATAAAATAGTCCTAATATCTGTATCCTTAATCTGATCAAAAGGGTCAATAGCTTTAACACCATTTGCATAAAGCTCATGAAATACAAAACTAATTCTAGCACCTCCTGAAAGTTCAAGGCTTGAAAGATCTTGACTATTTCCTTCAAGTATTGTTCTATATTCATTACAAAATTCAGTAATAATATTAAGTACAATATTTGCACTATTTCCAAGAAGAGAATCGCCTAATTGTGTAAGCTCTGATTGATATTTTGTTAGAGCAGATGATATTTTTGCTTTAATTTCAGGTAAAGTATTACGAATATGATGCATAAGAATCTAAAGTTGTTAAAAAAGATAAAAAAATTAATCAATTACAATATTGAGTTTCCTTGCAAGAAATGGAGTGCCACAGTATTGGACTTTAGAACGGTAGGACGGGTGATTTTCGAAATACTCTCTCTCATACTCAAGAGCAGCAGAAATAGCTTTTTTTTGATCAATATCTCTCTGTCCTCGATTGACTACTGGAACATATCCGAGCCGCAAAGGAATAACTCTTCCAGCAAGAATATCTACAACATCTGTCCCTTTATCCCTAAACATAAGATATTATAAATTTGATAATAATAAAGAAAAATACATAAGATCAATTTTTGTCAAAACACCAATACTTCGTGTTCCTATATCAAAATAAATATTAAAATGTAAAAGTCTAAGAAATTAAACCTTCTGGGTCTACTTCTCGTGCTAATTTCAATCCATCTGAATTTGCAAGATCTGTATTTGCTGCTGTAACAGCAAGAATAATAGCATTGGGTTTACTTATATACTTTAAAATCATCTCTCTGATCTGCTTTTCAATATCCTGATTTAAATATTAAAATTATTTTTCTTAAAATTTGAAAACTTACTTTTGGTTGATCACCTACACTATTTTTATTAATATATTCACAATAAAAGATAAGACTTACGGAACTTTTGTTAATCCTGGTAAGTCCACTAATGTTAATGTTAATACATTAGGGCTGTATATACGAAGGCTATATATATTAAACATAAATTAAGAAACCTGTCTTATTACTTAATAGGAATCGGACTAATTCCTTTTGAACCCGTTTTTGATTCTGTTTCACGGATAATTTCCTCTCGTATCTCATTAAAATCATGAAATTTGCGTCCCGGAAGATGTAAGAACTCTCCCCATTCATCCGGATTGGCATTGCCATTTAGCTCCAGCGGCTTTTCTTCTGTTGAATTTTCACGATTTTTCGTTGCAGGACGATGGATTAACTGCAACACCTAAACACTAATTATCAGTTTGTATCCCTTACTAGATAAAGATCACAAACCAAGGGTCTACGTGTCACTAACAGCGTTAATTGTTTGTTTTAAAACAGAAATACCTACCAATTCCTGTTCCACGAGGAAGAAAGTCCCGACCAACCACATTTTCAAGTACTGATGACTTTCCACTCGATTGAGACCCAATCACCTAATATTATCCTATTAATGTCTTTTTTTTTCAAAAAAAAAAAACATCAATCTTCTCACTGTAATCTGTGGAAGATCTACTGGATTTTGTACTCCAACAGTCGAAAATGCATCTTGTAAACGGTTGATTGTTTTAATTAGATGTGGATCCATTGCTGTTCCTCGAAGACCGCTTGTTTCTCCTGACATCCTTCTCTTTTAACTTTAATGGTTGTCTGGTGGTTATTTTGTGTCGTCTTAAATGTTGAGCAACGGTTATCGTCGAATTATGCAGAGGTTTAACTGAAAAAAAAAGAGATTATGAATTTTTTAAAAAAGAAAAGAAGAAATGTTATAATAAAAGAGTGTATTAATTTAAATGATTAATTGTATATAATAGATTATGAGTTTTTTTGTATTTTTTTGAGAGATGGAAATACAAATAGAGGTAAAGAAGTGTTGTTAATGATTCGAAAGGGAATTAAAAGAGATTTGTATGTATTTTTTAAACTTGACTAGGTTTTGTCGAGTTTTTATCTTTTAGTTTTTTTGTAAAAAACTCGTATATTTTAGTGAAAACAGTATTATAATAGTTTTAGAAAAAAAATAAGAATAAATTATTTTTAAAAAATATTTTTACTAGTTCAATTTCTGACATCTATTTGTTATATTAATTGTTTTAATTTTTTATGCAGACGTATTTTCATAGTGTTAAACTTTATGAAAAATAAAACAAAAAATTAAGAATAAAAATCAAAGAAATATAAATTAATACAAGAGTAATATTTTAATAAGCTTTTTGTTTCTTTTATTTTTTTAAATTAAAAATATAATTTACTATGGGATATTTCAGAATATCTTTTTTTGAGTGTGTTATTTTTCATATGTAAATAGAGATTTAAAGACACTGGATTTATATTTTAGCACTCGAACTTGAGTTTAAAATTTTATTCATATGAATATTCAAGATTCTTTTTTTTATAATATAAATTTTTTAAATAAAAATAAATCTAAAAATCTAAAATAGGCACATTTCATGAAAAATAGTACTATTTAATTCACAAAAATGCAAAAATGACATTTATTCTATCTTTTAAAAAATCTAAAAATAATTTTCATATATTTAGGTTTTTTCTAAACCTTAAAAAGGGGTCTTTATACATGAAAAGTAAAATACAAAGAAAAACATATATTTAAATATGATATTTAAATATCTAAAATATTGTTTTATAGACCAATTTGTTTTAAAAGCAGACACTAATTCTAAGTGAAGAAATACAAGAGACAATTTAGCTATAAAATAACAAAATTTATACTAAATTAATCTTCTATTTATAAAACTCATTTAAAATTTAAATTCTCAAGAATTCCCCTTCTCTTTTTGATTTTTTATAAAAAAGATAATTTATGCAGAGCATATGTCACGTGACATGTGGATAAGGCTGTTACGATGAAAAATAATGACGACAATGACTGATGCACAATATACACTTCTTGAAAAGCTTGGAACTGGATCATTCGGTGTAGTATGGAAGGCAGTACGTAGAAAAACAGGAGAAATTGTAGCAATTAAGCAGGTTTAAGATTTTGAACGGTTAAAAACAGATAATTAATGATCTAGATTGATTTAGAATCGACAGATGATGATATTACAGAAATACAGAAAGAAATTGCGCTTTTGAGTGGATGTGATAGTAGATATGTTACTAAATATTATTCTTCATTTGTTAAAGGACATAAATTATGGATTGGTATCACCAATATGAGTATATTGAAAAGATTTATTTTTTTAGTTATGGAATATATGGCAGGTGGTTCAGCGCTTGATCTTGTATAAAACACATTTTATTCCTTCGATATGTTTATTTTTTTACTAGCTCAAGCCGGGCCCTTTTACAGAAGCTCAAATTGCCATTCTTTGTAGAGAGCTTCTTGAAGGCCTTTGCTACTTGCATAGCGAAGGAAAGGTAGTTATTGAATATTTTTTATGTTTTAGTTTATTAAAATTATCTTAGATACATAGAGATATTAAAGGTAAAGCATTGAGTCTATTTATACTTGATTGTTTATTATCTTTAGCTGCAAATGTTTTATTATCATTCTCAGGTCAAGTTAAATTAGGTTGCTTTTTAAAAAAATTCTTTATTACCCTTCTAATGCATATTAAGCGGATTTTGGTGTAGCAGCACAATTATCAAGTCATAAATCGCGTCGCAATACTTTTGTTGGCACACCTGTATTTTTATTAGAAATATTTTCTTTTTTTTTTTTTAATTTTTTTTAGTTTTGGATGGCACCTGAAGTTATTAGACAATCCGGTTATGACTATAAAGTAATTAGAGCAATTCCTTAAACGTATCTATGTCTTATCATTTTTTAATTTTATTAGGCAGACATATGGTCTCTTGGAATCACTGCTATTGAACTTGCTCGTGGAGAACCACCTCTTTCAGAATATCATCCAATGAGGGTTCTTTTCCTTATTCCTAAAGCCAAACCCCCTGTTCTTGAAGGAAATTATTCAAAAGAATTTAAAGATTTTGTGTCTTTATGTTTAATTAAAGATACACGAGCTAGACCATCAGGTTGAAATTTTTATTTTTTTTATTTTCTTTAATTCTTTGTAGCCAAAGATCTTCTCAAACATAAATTTATCAAATCTGCAGGGAAATCATCTCTTTTACAAGAACTTCTTGAAAGACGGCAAGAATGGGATATAAGAAGAGGAGATAGGCCTCAACGTACTTATACAGAAACTATGTATAAATATAAATGATTTTTCTTTTAGTCTTATATTTATAGAAATACACTACCTGTTAACAATCATGAAGAATGGAATTTTGATACTATTAAACCAAATATTCCTTTAGAAAATGAATCTATTGAAACTGTTCGGAAAAATATTCAAGAAACTGCTACAGTAAATTTTCATAATTTTTTATTTTTTTAAATTAATATTTATAGGCTTTACGTCGAATTGATCTAAATATTTATGATAACTCGGATACAGTTAAAACACAAATTCATAGTGGTCAAATTGTTTCTTTAAAAAATGCATCTGCTCCTGAAAATTTAGAAAAAAATACTTTATTTAAAAAAAATAAAAATGAAAAAGGGTATAATCTTATGATAGTTTATTTAAATTATTTATTTATAACTTTTAGTATATCTTTTTAAAATTATCTAATATATAACATTATAATAGACAATGAAAAAAAAGAAACACTGTGTATAGCTAAACCTGATTTAACTCAAATAGTTTTAGATGAATCAAATAATGATTCAGGATGCAAATTTTATCATGATATCTTAAATCCAACTATTGAAGAGGTATGACGTTATATTTTTTTTCATAAATAACAAATAAAATAGTTAAAATCTCAAAATAATGACTGTATCCACTTTGATACTTTAAATGAATTAGCAAAATCATGGTATCGTTTTGCATCTTTAAATTCAAAAGGTGAAACATTATTTGTTCGCAAACTTATCGAAAAATTAAAAAGGTTTTATCTGACCTTAATAAATAATATAATTAATAAATAATAGTAATCCTGAACTCTGTACTGCATTTAATTTAGATTTGCATTTACCATTAGAAGAAACTTCAACTAAAACTAAAAAAAACCTTTTAACTGAAAAACCATCTATAAAATCTCATATTTTATTACAAAATACAAGAAGTCCTATCGCTGAACTATTATACATTAGATGGATTGAGGGCCTAAAAAGTCGATGGCAATTTTCATAATACTTTTTGGTTTTTTCCACTATAATTCATATTTTAATAGGATCCTTATTAAATTCCCTAAAATATTAATTGTTTCGTTATTTACTTTCAACATCCATAAATGATTTACTAATTCAAATAAATATCACTTCAACGCTATGTAATTTTCTAAAAAGACATTTCAATAAAATTCAGAGTAATTTATCTTAAATATAATATTATCTATTCCCTTTACATTTATCAATATTAATTCTTTGTTAAAAATTTAAAACAATAAAAAACATAAATCATTTGTATTTTCTTCTTCAAATATAAATATCAAACATTAACTTAATTATATTCATTAAAGTCAGCTTGAAATTTCGAATGGTTCTCGCAACGTCAAAAAAATAATGGAAAGTCTTTTAGAACGTCAACGTGCTTATCATGAGGATATTGAGCGCCTTGAACAGGCTATTGCAGATCGTTTATTAAAAGAAAGCTCAAAAGTATTATTTTTTTAATAGTTAGAATTAATTTATATATTTTTTTTAGATTAAAGATCGGCTATCTCAAGAACATGATGTTGCAAAATTTCTTGATCGAATTGCAGAGCAAAGTAAAAAGCTTTTAGACATTTATACAAATAAAGACAAGTAATTTTTCTATTTAGATGATTTCTGTGAGTTAATCTCTGCTTTAGAACACAAAGTATAAATGAAACATTAACAGCATCCGGAAGTGAATTTGAGGAGTTTTATCGCCAGTTGAAGGAAATTAAGGATTTTCATAGAAGATATCCTAATGAAAAAGTTGAAAATTTTGAAGAATTATATAAAAAACGACCAGAAGATGAAGATGGTTTAAAATTTATATTATCTATTAATCAAGATCTTACCTGTGTAGAAATCTCTAAAATATTTTCAGGAGAAGAAAGTTATGGACGTTTTCTTGATTTAAATACATTGCATGAGCAATGGTTAAATTTAAAAGGAGTTAAATATATTTCTTATACCAAATATCTTGATTTTTATGATAAGTTTTCAAGTATTAATTCGCGTATCAAAAATGAAAATTATTTTAAGTATAAACTATCTAAAATAAATAAATATCAACTCCACTGACTGAATTATAGATATCTTACGGACCTGGAATCTTATTTGGAATCATTTTATAAACGCATTAATCCTTTACAAGATCACAACAAAATTTTTTCTACAATTGAAGCGGATTTTAATAAGGAATGGGATTCTGGGAAACTCCTTGAATCTATTGTCCCTACAGTAAATACAGGTCTTATCAGTGAAGATATTTTTTGTGATGCATGTAATAAAAATTATTCAAAAAAATCAGTCTATGATGCTCATCTGATGAGCAAGAAACATAAAAAAGCAGAAGAAGCTAAAAAAAATATAAATAAAGAAGATGAAATAATAAATAATTCCAATGGAGTTCAGAGACATCCAAAAATAGATATCTTAAAAAAACGTGTAATTTCTAAAAAGGAATATTTTATTCAAAGACTTTCTCTTCTTTTGAATGCAGAACGAGAAGCAACAAAACGAAATGTTGTCCGTAAACAAACATTAACAGATAGAGAACGTCAGGTATTTTGTTTTTATATATAAAAAATATCTTTTAAATATCTAGGCTGAGCTTGAAGCTACCGAAAGTGAAGAAACTATTGTAGAAGAAACTAAAGATGAAGATAGAATATGGAATCCGCTAAAATTGCCTCTTGGGTGGGATGGAAAACCAATTCCATATTGGTTATGGAAGTTGCACGGTTTAGGTGTTGAATATCCTTGTGAGATTTGCGGGAATTTTATATACATGGGGAGAAAAGCATTTGATAAGCATTTTATGGTTTACAAATATTTTAATTTATAATCTATATTAAAATTAGTAGGAATGGAGACACGTTCACGGACTTCGTTGTTTAGGTATTCAAAATTCCATTCTTTTTAAAGAAATTACTAGTATTGATGATGCATTAGCATGTAAGTATACAGTTTATTAGTTTTCTTAATATTAATAAATAGTATGGGAAAAACTTAAATTAGACAAAAAAAATAATGATCGACTTCTTGAATCAACTATTGAAATGGAAGACGATCAAGGGAATGTAATGTCAGAAAAAGTTTATAATGATTTAAAAAACCAAGGTTTACTGTAATAAAAAACTAGAAATAACAAATTTAGTTATTTTTATTGTAAATATTAAAAATCAACAAATAATTATATAAAAAAATAAAACATGATATCTTAAAATGCAGCAAGTGGCTAATATCAAATAACATAGCAATCTTAATAAAAACATAAGTGGAATTTTTATCACTTATAAGATCGTTTATTCAGTAATTATTCGAAAACACTCCGCTACCTCTGTTAAAAGTTTTTCATAACGTGCTAATACTTCTTCTTTATTTTCTGGAATTTCGAATTTCATAAAACTAATCTTTTGAAAAACTTCTAATGTGCTTTCTCGTACTTTATTCCAAGGAATGTTATAATCTTCTACGATATGTAATGCTTGTTGATAATAACTGACGATAATCTTCATCATATAAAATGTTTTCCAAATAGGACAATAACTATCCCACTTGCTATATCCATTTCTAAAATTTTACTTAGATTTTTTCTAAGAACTGTTTTTATTTACTGTTGAAGAAAATCATTTTTGATTAAGTTTGCAATATCTAAAGTAACTTTATCAGTTTCTGATAATGCATTTCTCCCAACCAATCTAATAATCTCTATCATTTCTAAAAACATTTAATGATTTATATATTTATATATTGATTACAACACACCTTCTTCTTTCTGTAATATTTCTTTTATTTGATTACGGGTATCCACAAAACCAGGATAATTCTCATCATACCAAGATTCCAAGACATTCTATAAAAATAAGGAAATTTAAAATAATAAAAAACAGATACTTCATATTTAGAATATGATACATTCCAATTAATAGAAGGAAAATGTTTTCTTTGAGCAAGTTTTTTATCTAATCCCCAAAATACTTGAACAATACCAAGAGTTGAAGATGTTACAGGATCAGAGAAATCACCACCAGGAGGAGATACTGCACCAACAATAGAAATACTGCCCTCCCTTAGAGGACTTCCTAAGCATATAACTTTTCCAGCACGTTCGTAGAATAATGCCAACTATTTTAATTAAAACTAAATACATTTTAACAATTTTATTATACCTTAGCACCAAGATAAGCTGGATACCCTGAATCTGCAGGCATTTCTGCAAGACGACTACAAAATTAAATTTTTCAACCATTACAAATACTATTTTACCCTGATATTTCACGAAGAGCCTCTGCCCATCTTGATGTAGAATCTGCCATCATTGCAACATTTTTCCCTTGATCCCTAAAATATTCTGAAAGAGTAATTCCAGTATATATAGATGCTTCGCGGGCAGCAACTGGCATATTTGATGTATTTGCAACAAGAGTAGTTCTTTTCATAATAGACTCTTTTTTTCCATTAATTTCAATTGACAACTTTAACAATTTAGTAATTATAAATATAAAAACATTTTTTTACTTGAGGAAAATCCATTAACACTTCTGCCATTTCATTACCTCTTTCACCGCAACCAACATAAACAATAAAGTCTGAATTAGAATATTTAGATAAAGACTGAGAAATAACAGTTTTTCCACAACCAAATGCGCCAGGAATAGCAGTTGTTCCACCTTGAACACATCTATAATAATGTTATTAACATCATAAAAAACTATGTACTTACGGAAATAATGCATCTAAAACACGCTGACCAGTGAGCAATGGAGTATTTGCAGAAACTTTTTCAGCTACAGGACGAGGAATTCGAACAGGCCACATATGATACATACAATACGATATTTTCTTATCAAGAAATTCAAGCTCAATAATTTTTTCCTTAAAATATCACAAAATATAATATTAAAAAGTGGAATGACATACGTCAACAGTATAAGACCCTTTTTCAGCAATATAAGTAATAGTTCCCTTGGCTTTAGGTGGAAGCAAAATTTTATGCTCAGAAAGGAAAGAATTCTCATAAACTGATCCATATATATCACCGCCAGTGATATGATCACCAACTTTATAATCACATGGTAGAAATTCGTATTGAATATGTCGATCCAAGGCATCAGTAACAATACCTCGAGGAATATAAATACTTTGAGACTTTAATTGAATTGTTTGAAGAGATCGCTGTACACCATCATATATTTTAGACGACAATCCTGGTCCCAACTCTACAGATAGAGGTTTATACGTCCGAAGTACAGGCTATAAATATTATCAAACAAGAATATATGATATAGTTTAATACATCACCCACGGCAACACCCGCTATATTATACAATAAAATATGAAAAAAAAAAATGAAAATAGGAAATCATACCAGTTTCTTCATAAACCTGAATTGTTGCTTTATCATAATTAATTGAAATTACTTCTCCTAGAAGCTCATAATAACCAACCCTTACCTATACAAATTATTAATAAAAATGTTAAAAAACATATAAAATACATACAAGCTCATACATAGAAACACCTATCATTTTTTCTGCAACCACAATTGGCCCAGAAACAGAATATACCTATATCGTTTGTTAGAAATAAAAAATATCAAAAAAGAGATATTACAATGCCAAAATCACTTTCTTTTTCAGCATCCCTTATTCTAGGAAGATCTTTATTTGCATTTTCAAGACCTAAAATGCTTGTTTAACCTTTGTTTTTTTCCATTGAATACTTATTTTACATCCAGCCTAAAACATAATATATTAGTCTTTTATATAACAATTTTTTTCGCTTTTTTTTTTATAAAAAAGCAAAAACAACTTTACCATTATCTTCAAAGTAAAAAATAGCTTTTATACTCAAAAATGATATTATTTTTCTATCCTATAAGAAATATTTAAATTATTTGACGTTGTATCAACTATACCCAAATCTTTCGCCATCGAAAGTTTCTAAGCATCAATTACACCCAAACTAAAAATAACATAAAACAGCAAAAATATTCCATTAATTAATATAAAAAAGAAAAATTCAAGATAAATATACTTTAAAAAATATTTTATAAGGAACAAAGGAAAAAAAACTGAAGAAAGTCTGCAAATTACTGAAGAAAACATTAAATAAGGGCTTTTCAACATATATACATATTATCCACTTTTTGTGATTTAAACACACCTTTTAAACACATTTAAAAGATAAATAAACAAGAGAAGTATCAAAAGGTTTTTTTTTGAAAAAAATTGACTTTATTTTGATATTATATTGATCTATATTGCTTTTCAAAAAAGCAAAATATATTGATCATTACACTCTGGAGAACGATAGAATAGAGTCGTGCATTGAAGATAAATCTTGTCGTCTTGGGGGGAGTTTGGAGGATCATCGTTCTTGTGACTTTATATTAGATAGACCTAGTAAAAAGGCTCGAATTTTATCAGACAGTTATTCTTTTAATATGAAACAAGAGAATTCTATTGTAGATAGCTATAATAATTCACCTTATCGTAATCATATTGCTGAAAGGGTGGACTATGATTTAGTTATGAGTGATATATATAATGAAAAAAATCAACTTCAAAGTAATTCTATTGAAAAAGAAGAAATCGTAAGATTAATTTTACAAACTCTTAAAGACTTTGGATACAAGTATATTTTTTAAGAAAATACATAAATTACTTACTAATTAAAATATTAGTTCTTCTGTCTCTCATTTAGAACATGAATCTGGTTTTTCGATTGAATCTTCACATGTTTTACAATTTAAAGAATCCATCATTTCCGGGGATTGGAAGCGTGCAGAAGAACTTCTTAATTCATTTTTTATGCACCAATCAGAACTTCCTACGGTATCATTTTTTTTTTAACATCAATAATACATTTTAATATTTATAGAATATTTTATTTTATCTTAGACAACAAAAGTTTTTAGAACTTTTAGAAATAAAAAAAGTTCCAGAAGCATTAGTAGTTTTAAGAGAAGAACTTACTCCGCTTAACTATAATAAAGAAAGATTACATTTCCTTACTAGGTACGCTCTTTTATAATACCTATGTCTTTTAATTATTTAAAGTCTAATTATGTCTTCTTCTGTTGAAGATCTCAGAACAAGAGCTTCATGGGAAGGCGCAAATGGAGGTTCACGACAAAAACTTCTCAAAAAAGTTTCAAGTATACTTACTTATTTTTAAAATATCGTTTCTGAATTTAATTATAAGAATATATATCTCCCACTCTAATAATTCCTGAAAAAAGGCTTATGAAGCTTTTAATCCAAGCTAGAAATTATCAAATATCACAATGTTTATATCATACAAATTCTAATTTTTCATCATTACTTTCAGATCATCATTGCGAAAAGGATCAATTCCCTAATACTGTTATTAAGATTCTAAGAGACCATACAGATGAAGTATGGTGTACTCGATTTTCACATAATGGAAAATACTTAGCATCTGCTTCAAAAGATTCTACTGCTATTATTTGGAATCTTCAGGTACTTAGATTATTTGTTTTTTTTTTTCATTATTTTAGACCTATAAACCTTTATACGTATTAAAAGAGCATGAAAAACCGGTTATATACGTGGATTGGTCACCTAGTGACGAGCTAATCTTGACATGTGGTCAAGACCATATGGCAAAATTATGGGACGTTAGAGTAATTATATAATAAAATTTTTAAAAATAAAACTTATTTTTTACTAGTCTGGTATTTGTATAAGAACAATAACACATCATAAAGATTTTGTAACATCATGTTCATGGCTCCCCGATGAATCAGGGTTTATCACTGCTAGTTTAGATATGGATGTTATTCTTTGGAATATTGACGGGATAATAATTCATCAATGGAAAGGTTCAAGAGTTTATGATCTTGCAGTGACACCAGATGGGAAAAAATTTATAGCAGGAGGAACAGAGAAGATGCTTCATGTTTATAATCTTTTAAATAGAACTCTTGAATTTAGTTTTTTAATGCAGAGTGATTTAACATGTATTAGTATTTCGAAAGACTCAAAATTTGCAATTATAAATGTATCATCACAGGTATATATTTAACAAATATATATTAAAAATTAAATATATTTTTTTAGGAAGTTTATTTATGGGATCTAGAAAAGATGCAAGTTGTTAAAAAATATGCTGGTCAACATCAAGGCAATTATATAATACGATCGTGTTTTGGAGGTGCTCAAGAAAATTTTATTTTAAGTGGAAGCGAAGGTTTAAAAAATTTTACATATTTTTTTCTTCTAAATTAATTGTTATACTAGATTCTCAAGTTTACGTATGGCATAGAGAAAATGGTTCCCTAATTGAAACCCTTAAAAGTCATAAGGGTACTGTAAATTCTGTTTCATGGAGCCCTGTTAATCCTGTAATGTTTGCATCTGCAGGAGATGATCATACTGTTAGAATGTAAAAAAACATTTATTCATTGAAAAATACTTAAATATTTAGATGGGCCAAATCTTCTACTTTATCAAAAAATAACATTACTGATGATGTATTCTTGGATTAATTTAAAAAAAATTCAAGATATATCTTTGTTTTAATACATAAAACTAATGCATTCATTATATTTTTACAATTCACTGTATTTTTTTGGTGTTCCTATATTTAAAATTCAATTTCTAAAACTTAGAAATAATATTATACTATTCTTAAATTATTACAACTAATTGTAGATAATATTGACTTAATGGAAAAATTATATATTAGTCTTTATTTCCAATATTTTCAGTTCATCATCTATACGTTTAAATTGCCATGACCATCTTATATTATAAAGAAAAGGTCTAAGATCATATCTATTATCATCTAAACTACAAGACCCAGTATGACATGCTGGTGTTAATATCGTCATTTTATGTCTATTAACAGAATAATAAAACCATAAACGTTTAACTTTTTCAGCAATCTAATTCTATAAATAAAATAAAATCTTAAATTAGGAAATATTACAATTTTAGGCGGTAAATTGTTCTTCCACTTGTAGAAGAGTTTTAGGAACATACTATATGGTCCACATTTATTAATTTTTCGAAGTTTACCAAAAATATTTAACTCATCATAAGTAAAACCCATATCGACCTTGAAAATTAAAATAATACATTACAAAATTAAATAAATACTTCATCTAACTGGGTATATTCTTCAGAAAAAGGTTCAAGCTCTGCACTAGGCTTAGCAAGTAAAAATTCTTGAAGTAAAGGCAATTTGAAATTATCATGAACAAATTTAATAAATCGATTAAGATCAGTTTTAGAAATAGTACCAATAGGATTAATATCCGCACTCTTAAACTAAATTAGCTTTATTATAAATTCAGGAACAACACTAACAGAACAATCATATTTCGTAAAATATCCTCTTAAACTTTTAAAATTAAGTTAACAAAAATTATATATTAAATATAACTTACCATTCATCTAAATTTGTAGATCCAAGAACAAGAAGTGAGCCTGACTTTCCTCTTGCCCATGGAAGTAATTGTGAAAAAAAATAACTAAGAACCATACGAAAACGGGCCTAAAGAGATTAAAATTTTCTATTGAAAAAATAACATTATAAACACCTGAAGGTTTTGTAAGGCTATATTTTCACAATCGGTTCCTCCATGTAGCTTAAATTTAACTTGTTTTCCTGTAACATAAGAAAATATTTGTAATGCTGCTTTAACAAGATTATCCATATTTAGGTCAATATGATAACTCCCAATTGCATTTGAGAGTTCTTTTGACCTTCTTTTTGTCTCAAAACTAGAATTTTCAGTACTCATATATGAAGTATAAAAGATTTCTCTAAAATAATAAATTAATTTATAAAAATAGACAGAATCTACCTTGCAAGCTCTTCTGGAGTTTCTGGAAAACGCTTAAAATGTTTAGGTCCTCCTAATATTTTACAAAGGTCATCCAAAACTTGACTATCTATTATAATTAATTAACTATAATTACAAAATAAATAAATTCAAACTTTTATCTTTTAAAGCATCAATAACTTTTTTGCACATAATATATACAGTAAGAGCTGTAGCACAACTATCGGATCCACCACTTAACGCCAAAAAGAATCCATTATTGTTTGACTTTCTAAGATAATCCCAAAGCCAGCATGCGTGAGAAAAACTTAATTGTTAGTTAAAATATAAAAATACAAATTCTTACGCAATTTCTTCTTCTATAGAATAATATTTAGGAACTATAGGAGAAACTGGTATTATATTTTTTGCGTTTAACTCAAATATACTTTTTGATAAAGTTTTAGAACAATAAATTTTATTATATGAAGAAATATTCAAAGACTGGATCCCTTGACAAATACCATTTCTATAATTTCTAACGTCCTCCAAATCAATAGTTGCAGAGATAACATCCTTTTCCAGAAGATATAAGTTATATTTTTTTATTGTTTTTTAAATATTACCACATCATTAAGCGAAAATTGCGGTCCTTGTGCCACAATAGAACCATTTACAATAATCATAGCAGAACCATCATAATATAATCTATCACCATCACATCCTTGTTGATTTGCATATAAATAAATGCCACCTGACTTTATCTAAATGAGACAAAAAACATAAAATATATTTACAAACTTTCGACATAGCTTCTTGAATAAGATTTATTCTAGTATTGATCTTCCCAAGCTCATGATGGCTTCCACTTGAATTGCAGATTATTTCAACACCATTTAATGCAAGATCAATGTGAGGACTAAAGATTAATTTTTATTATATTTACAAATAACGTTTTACCTTGAAGATGTAAATAATTCTTCGCACATTTCACAACCTATAGACGTATCTTGTGTAACTATAATTGAGTCTCCTATAGGGACTGTTTTCTTAAATCATATAGAGAATTATATATTTATATACATATACATACTTGACCAGTAATAGAAGAAACAATCTCAGGAAGACAAAAATTATCTGTAAACATCTTTCTGCTCCAATTTGAAAAATATCTCATCTCTCTATAGTTTCCATTATTAGCAAGACATAATTTTGGGCGAATTAAAAGAATTTTTTTATTATAAATAATAACTCGACAATTATATCTCATGCCTTGATATATAATAGGCCTTTATATTAGATATAAAACAAGCTTGTAAATGTTTCCTACATTCCCAAATCAACAATTATATCATTTATGTCATCTGAATCAAGTATTTGGCATAACATTTCCCATGAATGTGTATAGGTATCATTTTCCAAAAAATGATCTAAGAAAAGATAAAAAACAATGCCCAATTTGCATGCCAATACCATAACATCCATAACCACTAAAAAGTTTAAAAAACTAAACTATTTAAACGTAAATCATTACGTTATTTCAAGTTCAGGTCCAATACGAAGAACAGCACCCTGTTTTTTTGCTTCAATAATACTTTTTATAATTCTATTACAATTTCCTTCGAAATCTAATGCCCATTGATTTAAAGAACTATATCAAAATCTCAAAAACATTTTTTAATAAAATATTAATTTACCATGTAGCCACTGTTATAAAACGATTCATTCAGAGTAGAGTTAATTTTGAAAAACTAATGTTAAAACAAAGATAAAGTCTAAACTAAAAATAACAGAAAAAGGATTTAAAAAAAAGACCTGAAAAAACCAACTTCAAAAATTAATCGTTAATAATAGATATTTTAATGAAAAAATACAAATTGTTATCTATATAAGAATGTTTAGTGTACAATTACACTAAATATAATGATTATGTTATTTAAGATGTATACTTTTAAATAAAAAATAAAATGTTTGTTTTTTAAAATATGATATTAAGATATTTATAATTTTTATTAAAAAAAAGATTAAATGTACTATAAACATAGTCAAATAAACAATTATTTCAATAATTTCTTCGTTTTCTTACTATATTTTTATAGTTTATTCAAAATTATTTAACTATAAGACAGCCATCCTCTCCAAAAATACCATTTAATCCAGTATAAACCCAATTATCAGTGTCTTTAAAAGTAACAGACAGTCCTCGTGCAAATATCTTTAAATATTAACTGAGAAAAAAAAATAGAAAAAATATACATGTCCACTTGTTAATTCAAACTCATTTTCAGAATTTAAATTAACAATTTTGACTTCCAAAGTAGATGAAGGTGGACCAAAATGAACTTTATGGCGATAATCATTAGGATTAGTAGATGAAATAGGACCAAAAATCCTATTACAACATAAAGAACGTGTAATTTTAGTACCAAGTCCTGCTTGAATTGTTCTAATTTGTGATATATCTAAGTCAGTGAAATTCTCAAAAGTATAACTTGTAAGCAAAAGTTTCAATTTATTAGTTATTCCAAGCGATTTATATATGAATGGGATTCCTTTAGAAATTCTTCCATTATTTAAAGAAGAAATAGACCATTTGTACCAAAAACTAAATATTGAAGAATTTAAATATGAGTCGATTTTATTAGCTAAATATAAAATAGTTTCAGATGGTCTTTAAAAGTATAAGCATATAAATATATAATAATATAATATATAGCTTACACTAAAAGTATTGTCGGAAACAAATTATGGCATATGGAATCAGAAATATTCAAAAATTCTGATTTAAAAATAATACTAGAACCTAAACAATTAGTTTTTTTTAAAAAAAGAATCGTATACCAGCTACAAAAGTACTATAAAGAACAATCCGAGAAAAATTATCTAAATATGGAATAGTTGATTGAAAAATATCTTTATCTGTAAATTCACATTTTTCTAAAATATCATTTTTTAATCCAATATACGCAGAAATAAAATTCTAAATTTATTAGAAATGTAATAAAATAAATAAAATACATACAAGATGAGAAAACTCTGATATTGTAAACTTTCTATTTTTTTCAATATTTACAAACATAATCAAAGTATCTTGTACTGTATTAAATATTTTTTCAAAATATAGATTTTCAGAGTTACAAATATTATCCCAAATTTTTATTGTAGGATCAATATTTTCTAAGGTTAAATAATTACTTTGCTTTGTAACAAGAATAATTTCAGAAATCATTCTAATTTTTTTCAAATCATTTAACGAGAATATATTATCAGAAATAATTAATAAATCTGGTTTAACAGTACAAATTATTTCCATAAAAAAAGAAAAATCGATATTTTCCAAGACAGGTATAACTACAAGAGTTAATCCTGAAAAATGAGCTGCTATTTTTAATTAAATATTTCTCAATATTCACAAATATTAGTTATACTACCTATGCTTGCAATAAAGTTTTCTAATGTGTTTGGCAAAAAAACAGCAAGTTTTTTTATGTTTGAACAAAAATTAAAAATATAACTTTGAAAAGATAATATCTTTTTTTTTAAATCATCTTTAATATGTTAGTATAAAAAATATCATTTATCAAAAAACCATAAGAAAACTAATAAAAGCATAAGTATTGAATACTAAATGAAGACATACCTCATGTATTTCTTTTCCAAATACAGAATATATTTTTGACTTGGATTTTTTGTTCAAGCCTTCTTGAAGAATATCTCTTAAAATTTTATAATAAGTTGTTTCAAAGTAAAATATCTTTTCTTTCAAAAAAAATAAATCAGAAGGAATAATCCTATTCTTATATATTGCAGATTCTCCAGAATTACGAAAATGAGAAAAAGATGACTGATATTCTAATAAATACGGAGAAATATCAGGATATCTATTGAAAAAAGATAAGAAAAGAGTGACTGTAATTAAAAATAAAAGAATATAAGAAATAGAATCCATAAAAACAAACACCTTTCTTTATATAAAAAAGCATGCAGAAACGAATTGCCGATTTCTTTTATTTAGATTTTATTTTAATTAATTCTTTAGATATTAAAAAAGAACTTCATGAAAATAACACCAAAATAAGCGGGAAAAAAGATTAATCAATAAAATTGTCAATAGAAAAACAGATTCCTTAATATTAATTAAAATTTTGCAATAATTATTCTCTTTTTACCAATAAAAAGATTTCTAGCAAAATAACGACGTTGACTATCTTTAATGTTACGTAACTGATAAATTTAAAGGTTTTTAGAAAATAAATGTGTTAATTTCTAAAATTTTACAGATAAAAAAAGATAAAAAAACGGTAAAAGATGAATTCTCCTACTGAAAAATATAGAAAAGAATCATCATATGATTCTCTGTTTTTAAATTCAACTTTTACACAAAATTTATATGACAAATCTCCACAATCTTTAAATCAAAAAAGAATAAAAGACTCATTAAATTTAATAGACACAAAGACTTATAAATCACCTTTATCTTCAGAAATTTATAGGAATTGGTCTCCTGAAGTTAAAAATACTGTAGAATCTACCTCAAATACAGATCTTCATACGCCTTTATCTTTTCCTTTATTAGAAGCACAAAAAAATACAACACAGAAGCTTCCTATAGGATTTTGGAGGCATCCATCACTGGATATAATTTTTAAGCGTATTAGAAAAGCAGGTGTTAAAGAAGAAACACTAAAAAGACTAATTGTTAACATATTAGCAATTATTGTTATTCATTGGGTTAAAAACTATATTAATAAAAGGTATATGCTCTGTACCCCTAACTAATTATTTACATGTTTTCGAGATTTTTGGGAATTTATTTAAAACAATTTATTAGTCTTAAAATATATTTGAAATATTTCAGTAAATATTTATTTATTCTATATATACTTTATAACAGATGCTAGATGTATTTATTCATATTATTTTACTTTACAATATTTTTGAAGCAGTGTTAAGATTTATTCGGCCAAAAGATACATTTTTAGATCTTTCATTAACACCCATACAAAGGAAATTATTTGGGCTTGATCCTGATGGTCTTTACTTTTTAAGCAATTATTGCAGTTAAAACTAACTGTAGTTTCTAGTTTTCACTTCATCCCCACCAAATAATAGTATTACTCCTCCAAGATATACAAAAAGCTCTCCACAGGTTTGCTTTTTTTCTCATTTTTATATTCATATTGAAACTACAATTAGAGCCGACAATCACCACGCCTCTCCCCACAGCAGATTACGCCATATAATGAAGGCTCCCAAACATCACGTTCTAATAGTGAAACAAAAAACCCTTCAAAACCCTCGCCACTTCGAAATGAATTATCTCCAACGTTTACAAACTTAAATACGTTGCCAACAGGTTTTTCAAATAAAAACCTTCGAGATAGAGCACCATTTATGTCAAACCCTCGATACTTAAATAAACGATATTCATTGGTAAATTACTCATATTTTTCTATTTATTTTAATTATTATAGGATAATTTTTCTCCGTAGAATATGAACGGAGTAATAGAATGTTTAATATGACTTGCTCTGTTTTTCTTTGTTTTTTATTATATTTTCAACAGGTCCAGGGTTATGTTTAGGTTGTCTTAAATAATATAATTTTGCCCTACGAATTCTTCCCAATGCCCCTCTTAGCAATACTTTTATACTTTTAATTGTTGGGCTATAAAGATTAAACTGAATTTCTACTCCTGTTTTCATAATTTGATTGCGAAGACGGAAACTTGTGTCTACGCCTTTTCTACGAATAGCTATTATATAACCAGAGAAAGTTGATACATTTGTCTTATTTGGAAGTGAATTGTATGTCTCTACTTGCAAAATATCACCTGGTTTAACAGAGTATGGTGATTTTTTCGAAAAAAGAAGTGTCCTTTCATGAGTAGGATCTAATGTTTGAATTTGAGCCTGTTGAACTTTTTCTAATGCATTTCCTTTAAAAAGAGGTGGCAATTCTTGAAAAATAGGAATCTCTTTTAACTTATCTTTTTTTTTTTATTATAATAAATTAAACAGTATTTAAAACATACCTTTTTTTGAAACTAAAGTATAAAATCTAGAAAAACAAAAAAAAGTATTTCTTATGTCTTTTTTTGAAAATCTAGATATAAAAACATTACTATAAACACAATTTGTTCTTATTAAAAGCATTAATAATTTTTAAAAATTTTTAAAATTCAAAGACTTAATCGACGAAAACTTTATATCAAACTTATTTTTTAACGCCATATTTATTAACAACTTTTCCATCAGGAATTGCAAATAATACAAGACCTTTTCCTTCAGAATCACATGGCTGATCACAAATGAAATATCCTTTTCTTTCTAGTTGAATAATGTCTGATTTACAAAGATTCAAAAAGTTTCTATCAACCTTTATTTTTGAGTGGAACTCAGTACAAGGTGTTAAAAAATCTTCAAGAAGATCATTTTCTTCTAATTTATCCTTCGTAATTAAATAATCAAAATCAACACACTCAGCGTCAATAAGATCAGAAAGATCAGCTAACCATGTAATTTTTTTTTCTGTTGCTTTAAAATCACCTTCAAGATGAAGTTCCATTTTAATTGATTCAACAAAGCCATGACTATTTTTAGATATTTCTTTTATAATTGCATTTCCCCAATCCATAAGCGTAATCTAATTGTTTAAATAATAAAAAAACCATGAGGAATACTACCTCTTCATTATCTTTGAAGGTTAAAGCGTCGTCTTGATCAAGTAGAATGAATTTATAAAATGCTGTTTTCTTTGTACCAATTTGGGAATTTTTTTTATGTTTAGGCTTTTCTTCAATATATACAGTATCTGGCCCGTTAAGTAAAGTAACTTTTACACTATACCATATTAGAATTTTTAAGACATATTTGTAAATATTCACATATTTTTTAAATTTACTGAAGCATAACGAGGCGCGACAGGATCAATTACTTTTTTGTTAACAGCCCAAAGACTTGACCAATCTAAGTTAAGAACATTTTTTGATGGGCCTTGGCTAATTATATACTGCTTCAACGCCTGAATAGTCATTCCTCTACGTCTAATACCAAGAATTGTTGGCATTCTTGGGTCATCCCTAAATCATTTATATTAAAAAATTTCTAAATATTTTATAAAAATATACCATCCCCAAACTTTCCCACTATCTACAAGTTGCTGTAACTTTCTTTTACTAAGTAATGTACGAACAAAATTAATTTTACTAAATTCCCATAAATAAACTTTTCGAAGTTTAAGAGTTTTAATCATCCATTGATATTGAGCATCTCTATCTTTATATTCATTTGTTCTTAACGCATGAGTTACACCTTGAATACTATCGACAATAGGACAACAGAAATCATAAGTTGGATAAACTTTCCAAGTAGTTCCAGTTTTATGATGAGGTGTTAAATTACATCGATAAATAACAGGATCTCTTAAAGCTTTATTCGGACTATTTACTGATATTTTTGCACGAATAGTATTTAACAAGCCCTTATATGTAAGAATATAAATCTTAATTAAATAATACATACAATTTCAGTAGCTTTTGTCATTTGAGAAAATATTTCAAGATTTTCTTCTATGCTTCTGTTTCGTCTTTTACTTTCTATGCCATCCATTCTCTGAGCACGCATCTAAAGTATTAGCTTAATATAACTTTGTTTTATATTTACAGTATTTTTGTCTGTATCATCAGCATATGCGTTCCCATCTTTAATCATTTGTATACAAAAGTCATATGTTTTATCAAAATAGTCTGATGAAAATGTTATTTCATCACCCTTAATTCCCAATAACTCAAGATCTTTTAATATACCATCCTGAAATTCTGTCTTTTGTATTTATTAAAAAAAAATTTTAAATAATGAATAAGTTACCTTTTCTTTGCTTGGATTGGTATCATCAAAGCGTATAATTAGCTTTCCTTTATATTGCTTAGCAAAATATTCATTTAGAATTGCTGCTTTTGCATGACCTATTTATATTTTAGCAAACAACAGAGTATAGTTGATTATTTTAATACCAATATGTAAATATCCATTCGGTTCTGGAGGAAATCGTGTAACAACTTTGCCTTCAATTGCATCCTGAAGCCCAATATCGTAATTTGCGGTAGGTTTTTTTACTTTTGCACTAGATTTTTTCTAATTTTAAATTATCAGTGTCGACAAAATTAATTAAAAATAGTTACCTCAATTATTTCTTTCATTAATAATTGAATTGTTCTGCTAACAAAATCATCCAATTCAATTTCACGATACCACCGATTGAGATGAACATGGAGATTTTTTTTCAACAGTCCTTGAGCGTATACATTACTCCGTAAGGCTCCCCAAACTATCCAATCTGCAAAGGTTACTTGATCGCCAATTAACATTGTTTGAGAAGATAGATATTCATCCAAATATGTAAAAACAATATTTATATTCTTAAAATCTGAAAAATTAATTTCTTCTGAAGCATATTTGGCCCATTGGAGGATTTCTGATTCATTCTTTAATGGTTCTTTTAAATATTCTAAAAGTGTCTTTAAAATAGAAACTACACCATATAAATGAGGACCATCTTGAGTTTTTTGAAAAGATAAACTTTCTTTATTATCAGAATCTGAAATATATGTTTTATCTAAGTAGTTTATGTCAATTGAGTGACTAGATTGATTAATGAATCCTATAATAAGAAAAATACCTAAAAAATATCAGAAAAAAACAAAAAATACTTTGATTCATTTATATATATGTACTTGCCATAAGGTACAGGTGTTCCACGGACTGCAAAATGCAAACATGCTGGTTTTATGTTGATCATTGTCTTTTAACTATTTTTTAACGTTTGATCGAGAAGTTGGGAAGTTTCAACGATAATTTGCAAAATATATTTAGTTTATTTTCATTGAATGGGTGGCCAAGAATCAAAGTAAAACTAATATAAAGCTTTTATTCTATTAGGGAATACTGAACTTAAATTAGGATTCTTTTTCGCCGTGGAATTTTTCGTCTTTTTGAAGAAAATGTGAAGAATAAGATTAATATTCTTTATTTTGTGCTAATAAAGTGTTTAGAATATTCCTGTAGATGATGAATACTGGAAACAGGTTTATAATAGTAATATTTCATAATATCTCTATATTTATTGTCCAATAGTTTTGGGTCCTACCAGAATCAGTAGAAGATGTTTTTACACTTTTCTCTACGCAGGATATCTTACGTATTCGAAATCATGCAGAAAAGAACCTTGAAACACTGGTTTATGTTGTAGTATCGAAACTTATTTCTATCAAAGACGAAATAGGCCTTCCGGAAAGAAAGAAAGAAGCGTTAAATTGTCTTCGTATTATTACGAGGATTATGCCTTTTATTTATGAAAAAGAAGAAACAAGGATATGGGAGAATGAAACTTTTTGGAGTGTTAGATTTAGAGAAAAGCTATATAATCTGTATAAAAATGCAAATTCTACGTCTGGAAAATCCTCGCCTAGTAATGATGATATTAATTTTAAAGCACAACTTAAATATACACATATTATAAAAAATGATGAGTATGAACACGCAAAATATGAAAACAATTTGGACTATGAAATTCTGAAACCTCTTGCTGAAGAATTTTTGGATACACTTAATGATATGCTTTTTTTTACAGGATTTACGATTCCGCCAGAAGAAGGAGCTTGTCAAAAAGTTTTGTATTCTGTTTGGTAAAACTATTTAGTTCTATAAATCATAAATGTCTTATATTATATATAGGGAGCCTGGCATCGGCTATGCATCATCAGTAAAAATGATAACTGAGTTTGAATCAAATAAAATCGAAGTATTAAGATGTATTATTTCCATTGTTTCAAGATCAATGTACTTTTATTCATGTAAGTTTTTTATTATTATTTTAAAAAATTAAAAAAATAATTAGACAACCAAGAACCTAATTTATATATTATTTATCTTGTAACAAACCCAGATAGGAAAGTTGTCCTTAACCTTTTATGCTCTCTTATAAATACAGTATTTATTGTTTTCAAAATATTATGTATAATTTAATATTAATAGGTTATAAATTATAATCCAGCAAAATGGCAAATATTCTACAATCATATGATTTCGTTAAATTATAAACAACTACTTGTTTCGTATTGTATACAATTTTTATTGATTCTTCTTGATTATCAAATTCCTTCATTTCCATATATCGAAAAAGACCAAAATAATGAAATTCCTATAAATAAATATTCTTTATATTTTGGTATAATTTTGAATTTTAAAAAGATGTTTAATAGGTTTTAGGAAAATTGCATCGTACTAATGATATAGAATTTCTCTTTAATGGTATATATAAAATTTTGAACCAATTCATTGAAATTAATTCATCTTACTTTCCTGATATTGCTAAATCGGTAAAATATTCTCCTGAAATAATAATGTTACTTTGGAAGGTTTTTCAAATAAATAAAGTAATTTTTACTTAAATTTGAAATTTAACTTATAATGTATAGCATTTTAGAAATTATTTAATTAACAGTGAAAATGTTATGGACTATTTAGTTTTGTTATTGTGTTATTCTTTAGAACATAAAAGAGAATCGTCACACATTGGTCTAATACGAATTTGTCTTTTAATTGTACAATCATTGTCTACAGAACCGAGTTTTTATGAAAAGTTAAATGTAACTTTTAAAAATTACAAAAGTTTTCCTATAAGTGTAAAAATAACTTCTATTAAAGGAACTTATGTAGATTTTATTGTTATTGTACGGTTTTTTTATTTTTTTATTTTTTTTAACATTTATAGTCAATTTATATGCTTATTACAACATGCAAAAGTGTTTTAGCTCCTTTATATCCTTCTATGCTTTCAATTTTAGTGAATATTGGACCTTATATTCAAAATTTATCAGTTCTTTCATCTATAAAACTGATGCAATTATTTCATTCTTTTTCTTCTTCTAGCTTTTTATTAGCTAATGAAAATAATCATGTTTTATTGCAATATTTATTGGAACTATTTAACGCAATTGTTCAGAATGAAATGAAAAGTATATTTGATTATTATTCTTTAATAATATTTTAATTTTATTAGAAAATCTTCATTTCATATATGCGATATTAAGATCTTCAGAAAAATTTGAATTATTAAAAGATTTTACATTAGAAAAGACTCTTATAGAGATTGAAAAAAAACGTGAATTAAAAAGAAATGAATTAAATAACAGCGAAAAAAGAGACAAAATAATTGATAATACAGATTTAGAGAAAACACAAGTATCTGATACATTTCTTCAAGCTAATAATTCTAGCTTCAGTATTGACAATAATGAACTAGACAGTGAAGTAGATTATTTGGAAGATATTAACATATCTAAGAATTCTTCAAAAGATTCATTTCAACCATTAGTAGGAGCGTCTAATTCTAATTTTAAATTTCCTGGAATAAATTACGTTGTTTCTGAAAAAGTTAGAGAAAAACTGCCTGAGCATATCAATTTGCCTGTACAATATAAAAACATAAATGAATCATCTTTTAATATTCATAAATTTAATAGTACACTAGAAACAGATAAAAGTTTTCTACCAACAGAAAATTGGGTAATATTTTTATAATATACATATTTTTTTTTAATATTTTAGGTAAAATCATGGCATTCTTCTCTTAAACTTGATGCAATACTTGCTGTGTTAAAACAGTTGAAACCTAAAATAGATGATATAGCATCTTCAGCACTCAGTCCTGAGATTATTTTAGAAACTTTATCTTCATTAGATGTCGAACTTGATACAAAAACTTCTAAACTTAAATATTTCATTAAGAATGATCAAACTATTAATAAGATTGAAGGGTTATTATGGGGACATATTTATGTTTCTGAAACTAAATTTCTAGCTGGTGCCATTGGCATATGGACAGGTACATCTATCAAACTGTTCAAGATTCAAGAAACAAAACATTCTCCATCTTTGTTAAACCCTAAAGGTATTTTCTAACATTTTAAACATATAACTGAAAATTATAGGCGCAGTTGATGCAGTAGCAAAAACTGTAATCGATAAAGTAGGAAATTTGAATCTTTATACTAAAAAACAGTAAAAATCTATGAATAGATAAATAATGTAATTTTTTTCATTTAATGAAATTTTGAATTCTTTAAATACTTTTAATTTTAAACCTTAGTATTATTTTTTTGTTAAATTAACATCATTTACATATTTAATATAAAAAATTCTAAAAATTATTAAAATGTTTAAATATATTTTCTTTCTACATTTATTTTGCATGTTTATAACTTCAATTTCTTACTAATTTTGTTAATCGAATATTTTGTAAATTTCAATGATTTTTTTTAAAATTTCTTCAAAAAAAAATGGTTTTAGACTGAATTATATTCAAATATTAACTTTTTTTTTTTCATTTTTTTTATTTTTCATTCCATCATTATCAGTAGATCATAAGGCTTTTAAAACATGTGCTCAATCTTCATTTTGTAGACGTAATAGACATTTAGCAGATCAAAATAATTTAAGAGATAAATATATACTTGACGATTCCAAATTATCATTAAACAATGGATTGCTTGAAGCAATTGTTTTAAAAATATCTAAATCAGACATGCAAACTATTCATCTCCCATTATCTATTTCATTTTTAAAAACAGGTGTTGTTAGAGTCAAAATAGATGAATTGCAGCGTCAAATGGGAAATATTGATATACCAAACAATAGTAAGATTCGTAAGGAAAGATATAATGAAACAGAAAAATGGACAATTGCTTCAAATCTTCAGTTGGATGATATGGTTCAAAACTACTCAAGAGAATCAGGTGTAACAACTATAAAATATGGAAAAGACTACAAACTTGAATTAAGAATAACACATGATCCATTTAAAATTAGTTTTTATAGAAATGGAAATGCAGAAGTTTTATTTAATGAGCATGGATATCTAAATTTTGAACATTGGCGTCCTAAACCAATTGAATATTCAGATAATTATGAAGCTCCAGATCTTTATGGAATATGGGAAGAATCGTTTAATGGGATACATGATACAAAACCTCTGGGTACTATAGTTAACTTAGAATAATTTTATATTAATTGATATTAGGACCAGAATCAGTTGCTTTAGATATTACATTTGTAGATTACGAACATGTCTATGGAATACCAGAACATTCATCAAGTTTTTCTTTAAAAGAAACACGGTTGTATTTTTTTCTTTAAATCTATTAATTAACTATTTTTAGAGGCGAGAATAGAAGTTATGATGAACCATATCGGTTATTTAATACAGATGTTTTTGAATATGAATTAGATAGCTCAGCAACTTTGTATGGAAGCATTCCTTTTATGTATGCTCACAAAAAAAATTCAGGTGCTGCCATTTTTTGGATGAACCCAACAGATACTTGGATTGATATTGAAAAACAGAAGGTTTTTTGAAATGTATTTTAAATTTTCTTATTGTTTTAGTCAGATTTTCAGTTTTCAAAGAATGCAAATGTATCAACCAAGACTCATTGGATATCAGAAACTGGATTAATAGATATATTTGTTTTTTTAGATTCAGATTTTAAAAATATTTTTAAACATTATGGAGAATTAGTTGGATATACTGCTCTTCCAAATATTTTTTCACTTGGATATCATCAATCTCGTTGGAACTATTTTGGAGAAGACCATGTTTTTCAAGTTGATACTAATTTTGATAAACATAATATACCTTATGATGCTTTATGGCTCGATATAGAATACTCTCTTAATAGAGCATATTTTATTTGGGATGAAGATTATTTCCCTGTTCCTAGTAAAATACTAGAAAGACTTGATTTTAAAAAACGTCAGGTTTTTTTCTTTCCTTAATTTTTTTTGTTAATTTTAAAAGCTTATAATAATTGTAAATCCTCACATTAAAAAAGATGAAGACTATTTTGCCTATAAAGAGCTAAAAGAAAAAGAACTTTTTATAAGATCCTCGAATGGAGATGTTTATGAAGCTAAGTGCTGGCCAGGAGTTTCTATATGGGTAGATGTTATGTCAGAAGAAGCTGGTAAATGGTGGTCTGATAAATTTCAATATGAAGTTTTAAAGGTAAATATACAAATTATAATGAAGCTATCTAATGAAGAAGTCATCATTTTCTAACTTACATATTTGGAATGATATGAATGAGCCATCTGTATTTAATGGACCAGAGTTAACAATACATAAAGATGCTATACATCATGGAGGTTGGGAAAATAGAGCAATTCATAATCTATATGGATTTGTTGTACAATATTATACTTATTTAGGACTTTTAGAAAGATCACAAAAAAAAATACGGCCATTCATTTTATCAAGAGCATTCTGGGCTAGCACTCCACGTATAGGAGCTATCTGGATAGGTGATAATGAAGCATCATGGGAACATTTACGTGCTTCTATACCTGAAATACTCTCTTTAAATATCGCAGGAATGTCTTTTTCCGGAGGTAAAAGTTTTATTTTAAAAATTCTTTTTTTAATTTTCTAGCTGATGTTGGTGGTTTTTTTGGAAATCCTTCTAATGAATTATTAACACGTTGGTACCAAGCTGGGATTTTTTATCCTTTTTTTAGAGCACATTCTCATATTGATACTCGACTACGTGAACCTTGGACTGTCCCTGATCCATATAAATCAATTATACGTGACGCTATATGCATAAGATACCAACTTCTTCCAATATGGTATACTGCTTTTTTTCTTGCAAGTACTACAGGAATGCCAGTATTGAGGTTAAAAATATTAATGATTTATTATATTTTTTAATTGTCTTAGACCTCAGTTTTTTGAGTTTCCTGATGACGAAGAAAGCTTTTCAATTGATGACCAATACTTTTTAGGAAGTAGTGGGATTCTTGTTAAGCCCGTTACTGAGGAAGGTGCAACTCAAGTAAGTGTTTATTTTGCTGATAATGAGGTAAATGAATGATTAATTTTTAAAACTTATCATTTTATATAATACAAATTTAGCCTTACTATGATTATTATGATTTTTCTGTATATTATGGCAAAGGTTACAAAACAATTAATTCTCCTCTTGAGAAAATACCTATATTTATTCGTGGTGGTTCAGTTATTGTAAGACGTGATAGAATACGTCGTTCGTCCTTGTCAATGATGAACGATCCATTTACAGTTATTGTTGCTCTTGATAATAAAGTTATATGATTGAAAATTTAAATTTTTAATTAATATTTATAGGGAAATGCTCAAGGATCTTTATATTTAGATGATGGACAGTCTTTTGACAATCTCGAAGGGCTTTATTTTTATAAAAAGTTTGTTTTTTTCTCAGAAAACTCTACTTTTACTTCATATAATCTTCATGACTCTAATAATGCAAAAAAATATTCTGAAAAGTTAAAAAAAATTAGAATAGAAAAACTTATTATACTTGGAACAGACATTACCTTAAAAGCAGAAAACAGCGTAAAAATCATTCATGAAAAAAATACATGGAATGCAGATGCTATAATTAATACTTCGCATGATAAAAAAACAAAAGTAATAACTATCAGAGATCCAAAAATATATATTAGCGAAAACTGGCAAGTTTCATTATGAAATACTATGTAAAATACTATCAACTATTTAAAACTAAACAGTTTTTTTTCCATATTGTTTTTTTGATGTTTAATCTTCATGATATTAAATCATTATTTTACGATGCCTAAATTCATTATTTTATAATATCTATTATTTTAAACGTTATAACATGTTTAAATTAATAAATTCTATGTGAAAAATAATCCATGTTTAGTGCCTTTTAGTTTCTAAAACCGATACATTTTCCGAATAAGTATTTGTTTTCCTCAATATACAATACTGAAGACGAATGCAATCCCCCCAAATAATACTTTTTTTACAAGAAAAACACACGTAAGAATCAATTAAAATATTATTTTCTGTTTCAGAACCTAATTTCCACTTCGCCAAACATAATAAGTGAAATATACTTAAGCAATTTTGCGTTGGACAAATAATTAGTTGAGAATATTTTAATGCAGCATCTTCAGAGTCTAATTCTGGAAGATCACATGCACCTTTACAAACCATGCACAAATTAATATTTTTTTCTTTAATTTTCCGAAGAATTTCAAATGCAATTTGCGACATTTTATCTATTATTAATATTAGGATTTTTTTAAAAAATAAAATATAAAACTTTGGCTAATATCAATTTCCCTTAAAACAGAATATCTTTTATCTCCTATTTCCCCAGGATACAATATTCTTTTTCTCTCAATACTAATTGGATCATTTGTTTTTAAATTTGTATTTTTTTTTATATTTTCTCTATCATCTAATTCAGTTTGTAAATAGAAAATAAATATACATACGAACTAAAGAAAATATCACACTCTGGTTTCATCCACGGTGATATTTTTACACTAGTAGAAGAATGAAATTCCTCCCACAATTTCCATACACGTTGATCAAAAATTTTGATTTTCAGAGGCCAATTTTTCCATATATTCATTATCAACATACTATAAAGGACATAAACCCTTGTTTTCAGAGAGGTACGAACCCCCTGTCTACGAGGAAATACATGTTGGGTTGTATTATTTATTATTTGATTATCATGTTGGTTTTTTTCATTTTTTTGAGCTTTAAAAATTATATTTGGATTCTGCCATGCCCATTCAAACTTGAGATATTAGATACACTGATTTTTCATGAAAATAGACTCCAAACTTGCAAAGCAGAAACTATTGATGGAAACCCATAAACAAAACAAACTATCTGTTTTTTAAGAAAAAAATCAACAAAAAACTCCACAAAATAACGAAAGACTATCCTACATACATTCCATGGGCGTCCTGATGCTGTTTTATGTGCTCCTGAAGCAATTTCTCCATTATGTTGCCGAAGCCTCTATTTTGATCAGTTTTTCACCAAAAAACATCCTTTAAACGCGGAAAAAGACTTTTAAAGGATTATTTGTTGATCCAACATATGTATTCCGTGTTAACTCTGACTTTAACAAGTAACAACAGTAAAATAAAGGCCATGTGTGCATTTTTATTATCAGTTGGATCCGTCGAAATTTTCAAGATTAGTTTTCTCAGGAAACGAAGACGTCATTATTTTTTAAAAGAACAAGAATCTCTAAAAAGTGAGTATTTTTGGCAGAAAAAAGCAAATAATTAATATAAAAAGGTTCATCTTGTCAAATAATGGGGTATGGATCTTTAAAATCCGATCAAAATCCGTCATATCTACGGAGAAAAATAAAAACAGAACCATTAGACTTATCTACAGTAGAGATGAACTATGAAGAGCCAGAAAAGCCTAAATCTCAGCGGCCATTAGGAGTTCAACAAGCACCTACGTATTTCCCTACAGATGAGGAATTTAGGCAGCCGTTGAAATATATTGAAAGTATTACGGCAGAAGGAAGAAAATATGGGATTATTAAGATTATACCACCAAGAGGCTGGAGACCGACGTTTTCAATTGATTCAGAGGTTTTAGGGGATTCTTTTTTGGATATGGTGTGAGATTAATGTCTTTTTAGACATTTCTTTTTCGAACAAGGAAACAGGCATTGAATTCAATGGAGGGAAGATTTCGAGCAAATTTGACATACCTTGATCAGCTTTTTAAGTTTCATAAACAAAAGGGATCTTTTATTAAATCCCTTCCACAAATTGATAAACATCCTGTTGATCTTTATCGTTTAAAAAGAGCAGTTGAAAGCCGCGGAGGATATCATAAAGTAATACGTTTTAAAATGGAAGAAAATGTTTTAACATTGTTTCAGGCATGTGAAAAAAGAAGGTGGGAAGAAATATGCCGTGAATTGGGGTATTCGCAGGCTGGCAAATGTTTTTCAAATGCTGTTACTTCATTGAAGACGATTTATCAAAAATATAATCTTCCATATGATATCTATTTAGAAAAAATAAAGAATTCCCCAAAAAACCAGAAAGACGATGATAAGAAAAGGCTAAAAACAAAAGCATCTCCTAACGTATTGAATAAAACTTCGACACCATGTAAAACTGAAAAAAATGACTTATTGGATGATCTAGACAATGAAATTAATAATAATTCAATTAAAAGGGAACCTTGTATTGATAAAAACGAGGAAGAAATAATCGATGATAATAAAATGTTATATAATGTCACTAATAAAGAGAAATTATCTGAAAAACGGAATACTAGACATGTTCAAAAAGGTTCATCTGAAATTGAAATATTTTTAATTTTACAACTTAACATATTAAATAGAAACAAATAAAATAGCAACAAACAATTTAAAATCATCAAATACTGATACGGAAGATATGGATTCTACAAGTATTAAAAATAAGTCTAAAAAAGTACGTTTTTTAGATTATTGCATTATAATTTACTAATCAGACATTAGATTTGTGAAAAATGCCGTAAAGAAGCGGATTCGTCTTCAGTATTGTGTTATAGTTGTGGTATTAGATATCATATATATTGTTTGGAATATTCATTAACTAATATACCTAAACGTGAATGGTATTGTAATAAATGTTTTTTAGGGACCAGCGATTTTGGATTTGAAGATGGAAATACATATTCTCTTAAACAATTTCAAGAAAAGGCTAATTTATTTAAAAAGAAATATTTTGCTAAAAAGCAGTCTACTAAAAAACAAAGTTACCCAAGTGAAACAGAAGTGGAGGAAGAATTTTGGAAATTAATTGAAAATACAAATGTTGCTACAGAAGTTGAATATGGTGCTGATATTCATTCTACTACTCATGGAAGTGGTTTTCCTACTTTGGAAAAAAATCCATTAGATTCATATTCTTCAGATCCTTGGAATTTAAACATTTTACCTTTATCACCTGATTCATTATTAAGACATATTAAAACAAACATTAGTGGTATGACTACTCCATGGCTTTATGTTGGGATGTGTTTTTCTGCATTTTGTTGGCATAATGAAGATCATTATACATATTCCATTAATTATCAGCATTTTGGTGAAACAAAGACATGGTATGGAATACCAGATAGTGATGCCGATTTGTTTGAACAAATTATGGAAAATACGATGCCAGAACTTTTTGAACAGCAACCAGATTTATTATTTCAGCTTGTAACTATGATTAGTCCGGCAAAATTACTAGATGAAGGAGTTAGAGTATATGCTATAGATCAGCATGCAAATCAGTTTGTTGTAACGTTCCCACAAGCATATCATGCAGGTTTTAATCATGGCGTAAGTTTGAACTTAAAATACTAACATAAGTTAATGTTGTTGAGTTTAACCTTAATGAAGCTGTTAATTTTGCTATTCCTAATTGGATAAGTGAAGGATATAGTTTAGAATCAGTAAAGAGATATAAAAAATTTAAAAAAATGCCAGTGTTTTCACATGATGAACTACTTTTGACTATTTTTTCTCATGAAAATGGAATTAAAACAGCTATGTGGTATTTATTTTTAAACTTTATAAATTGATATCTTGATTGTATTTAGGTTAACAATTGTATTAAATGAAATGAAAGATCGTGAATTGAAATCTCGAAAATTTCTCCGAGAAGAAATCCCTGGTCTTACTGAGGAATTAGATGAAATATATTTGTCTGAAGATCAATATCAGTGTAAAATATGCAAATCTTATACATATCTTTCTCAAGTTAAATGCAAATGTACTACAGAAATTGTTTGTATCGATCATTATTTAGAGCTATGTGATTGTGAAAAAGATGCTCTTATACTTAGGTTTCGATATAGTGATGAGTATTTAGAAGAGATTGCAGAGAAGATCACTGAACGTAGCAATCTTCCTACTATGTGGACTAAGAAATTTTATAAAATTATGTCAGAAAATGAGCGACCTCCTCTTAAGCTCATGCGTTCACTTCTTTCTGAGGCTGAAAAAATACAATATCCTATTGAAGAAGTTTCGTCTCTTAGAAGCTTTGTGATGAAAGTAAATGAATGGGTTGAAAATGCAAATAATTTTATAACACGAAAACAACAGAATCGCCGCAAAAACGAAAAGGTTTGGAGAAAAGGTAAAACAGCTGAATTGGAAGAACGTGATAAAATTTTTAGAAATCCAAAATATCTTGAAAGTTTATTAAAGGAGGCAGAAAATCTTCCATTTGACACTCCTGAAATACATTTGTTACGTGAAAAAGCAGATGCTATAGTTTCTTTTCAAAACCGTGCAAAAGAAGTTATTTCTCAATCTACAGTTTCATCTGGTCAATGTTTGGAAATTATAGAATCAGGAAAAAGCCTTAATGTTGATATTCCAGAAATTGAGCAATTTGAACAATATTATAAACAATTAACTTGGATAGAGACTGTTCGTAATGCAGAAAATAAATATATTTCATTAAAAGAAGTAAATGATTTAATTTCAGAAGCTAAAAAAATCAAGATTCCTGAAAATAATCCGTATTTTTTAAAACTTAAAATAAGAAAAGAGAATGGAGAAGCATGGGAAGCACACGCTATTAATCTTATGAAACGAGAGGCAATACCGATGGATGAGTTAGTAAGATTAGCAGATCAAGCATCTAGTTTATCTATATCACAAGAGATTCTTGCTAAAGTTAACTCTATTATAAATAAAATACGTGAAGTTCACAATTCTGTCCAAAACATTCAACAACGCATATTAAATCCTAATTTTTGGCAAAGACCAACAGCTAATGAGTTGAAAAAGATCATGGATGTTGTTAATAGCCTTCCAAATCCTCCCGAAGGTGTATCGATTCTTCAAAAAGAGCAGCAAAAGTTACATGAATGGATTCGCCGAGGAAAAAGATTATTTGGAAAAGCAAATGCACCTTTAGAAACTTTAGGACAGCATATGGAATATGTTGTTAAAAGAAATAATTCATGTCTTTCTTTAGCAGATAAGCCTCGTGCTCCTGTAGAACCTTCGTCAAGAGAACAAACACCTGAGCCTTCTACGTCTTTAGATAAAGATGAAGGATTTGGAATTTCTTCTAATAAAATTCCTCATCATGATCTTTTTTGTTTATGTAGACAACCTGAATCTGGGTTAATGGTAGAATGTGAAATATGTCATGAATGGTATATCTTCCTTTTAATTATCATCTTGTTGATTATTTTTAGGTATCATGGTCGTTGCTTAAAAGTATCTAGAAAAAAGTTACGTGATGATGATAAGTGGACATGTCCTATATGTGATTATCGTGTTGAAATCCCTAGATTATCAAACCGTCCTAAACTTGAAGATATGCAACAGCTTCTTTCAGATGCGTTGTTTTTACCATTTATACCTTCTGAATTAGATAAATTAAAAGAAATAGTAGACACAGGTGTAGCATTTAGAAATCATATTCAGCCTTATATATATTCTCCTCTTGGTTTAACGTCTGCAGAAGTACCTATTATGAGGTTTTACTTACGGAAGATGGAAGGCTCTGAACTTCTTTTAGCAGAAGAAACAAACTTTTTTAAGGCCAAGCTTCATGAACTTGTTCCTATTGCTCCTATGCCTCCTCAAGCTATTGAGATATCAAAATCAACAAGAAAGCCGCGTCCTACGAAGAGACAAAGAGAATTAATTGCTCTTGGGTTAGATCCTAATTCAGAATCATTGTCAGAAAAGTTTTCTAATACGGCTTCCAAAAAATCTAAAGTGATCAGTATATCTCAGCCTTCTAATCCAAAACCAAACATTAATCCATCTCCTGTTCCTTTAATATGTATTTGTAGAAAACCTTGGGTACCAAACGATTCTCCTAAAATCAATTGTTTTGATTGTGGTAATTGGTTCCATCATTCATGCGTTGGGTTAAATGAAGCTATTTCTCAGACTTTGAATCAATATTTATGGTAAATGTACATATACAGATATATTATTTTTTTAATTTTTATAGTCCAAACTGTTGTAAACGAAGAAGTCAGCCTTATTTATTTCATATTAATAATTATAATAATGACCATACGCTATCATCTACTCTTAATGAAATACATTCATCTAATACATATCATTATGATAGACCTTTATATGATCAAGATATGAAGGTTAATCACTCTATTGGGGATTATACGTCTCAATCAATTTCTTCAACAAATAATATTTCAAATATTTTTGAAGCATTTGCTAATCAAGGGCTTTCTGATAAAACATTATTGGGTAATATTCGTCATGATGGTGATATTGAAAATTCTGTTCAGTCATCTCAGACAGATCGTGAATTATTATATGCTTTAGTAGATTTAGCACAAGGTATGCAAAGTCATCAAGGAACTGGAAATCAGGAATATTCAGGGAATTTGATAGAAGAAGATAATAATTTTGCTGATAAATACCTTAATGCATCATAGATATCTTTATTTTTTATTTATGTATAGTTATAGTTATTTAGGATTCATATTAAATAATTCTTTGGTAAATGTCATTTTGGAAATAGGAAATTTCAAATATTTAAAAGTTATATGGTTATATGAGTTTATGAAGTATAAAATTTTGGGTTAACATTCATCTTTATTTTCAAAAATGCTTTAATAAATGTTTTGTTGTCATTCTTTCAAATATTGATTTAATTCATGATACATATATTCATATCTTCATTTTTCATATGGAACTGTTTTTAATTTATTATAAATAAAAATATAATATATTTAACAAAATTATATTTTTCAAAAATCATTTTAAAAATGTAAAATGAATATTAACGTTTTTTAGAGTTCATTTTCAATAGTATTCTTTTGAAAATAAAAATATAAATCTAAATAAGCTATTAATATATAAAAAAATAGAAAAAAATATATAAATATAAATGGCTCTGACTTTGCCTTAATCATGACATGCTAAACTCAGTGTCCTGCTGATACAGGTGTATTCAACACTTGTTTTATAGATATATTTGATTTCCAGTTACCAGATTTTTTCTTCATGGCCATTATTTATAAATCATTTTCTAATCAAAAAGGATGAAATACCTATTTTAAAAGCAAAAAAATAATGATTCCTTGTGAAAAAAAAATTAGTTATTTTTTTCTTTTAATGAAATATAACATCTTTCAGGTCGTCGCCAGACACGGTTCTTAATGAACATCATAATATTTTAAAATATTATTCTGACTTAAGCAACGGTTTTAAAAGTGTTAAGGTCTTATATAACCTTTTTTCTTCGCTTATTTATTTTCCAAAGAAATATTGATATTTTTTCAGAAATATTTTTTTCAAAGCGTTAACCTCTAAGAAATAGTGAATTAGTAAAAATATAAAAAACTAAAAAAAATCAGCAAATATATAGTAAAAAAGAAAGAAAAATACACGAATTGTTTCATAAAAAGCTTCCTTTTGTTTTTCCTTTTAAAAACCGAAAAAAGTTTGTTTTTTTAAAAAGTGAAAAATTTATCAAATTTTTAAAAATCAAAACTAATCTTTAAAAAAGATAATTATTAATGGAATCATTATGGCCAAGAAACCAGAAGTATTTTTAACCACATTTTATTTCCGAATAATTCTTAAGGCCTTTCTAGCAATGCTACACCTGTAACATCTAATACACTTTCAACATCTCATGGTTCATCATTTCCAAAACTTGTTCAGCTCCAAAGGCCTTCTTATACTAATCAGAACCACCATAATCACTCTAATGCTCATGCACAACCTTCTGTACACATGCTTAAATATTCTTTTACCTTTTGGTACATGAATCGTACATTTGGAAGCAAAATTAAAGATTATGAGTCTTCATTGAAAAAACTAATGACATTTTCATCTGTATATTGTTATATTATTTATTGTTGTGCTAAGTCCTTAAGGTTGAAGAATTTTGGTCCATTTATGCCTATCTTAAACGTCCTGATACGCTTCCTGTTATTTCAGATTTTCATCTATTCAAGGAAGGAATAAAGCCTATTTTTGAGGACTCTGCTAATCAAAATGGTGGAAAATGGACTATACGTCTTCGGAAAGGTGTTGCAGTTCGCTATTGGGAACAATTAGTGATGGCTATTGTTGGAGACCAATTCTGGAATATTGGAGATGAATTATGTGGTGCAGTTCTTAGTATTAGAAATTCTGAAGATTTAATAAGTGTGTGGAACAAAAGCTCTGACAATGGAAGAGTTAACTTAAAAATCCGGTATGATTTATCCTTATTTTATAAGTATTTAATTTTCATGATATAGAGATTTTATAAAGCAAGTTCTTAATCTTCCTCCTGATACAATCCTAGAATATAGAGGCCATAAAGATTCTCTTATAGATACATATAATCATCATACAAGTGATAAAAGCCCGCATCCTTATGAAAAAAATAAGTATAATTAAACATGAAACTTCCTTTGACTATGCATAAAATATATATAATTATTATGAAAAAGTTTTTATGCAATTGGCATTTTTGCATACTATAAAATATTAAATATAATCATTTTTAATAGAATTCGTGAATTTTGTTCATATTATTGTTTATAATTTCATGTACAGCATTCCATATTTCGGTTTTTACTTGTAAAACAGAATTTGAAGCGTTTATCCAATACCATGGACAACATACATTATTATTTGCTTCAGAAATATCTTTAAATATAGATCGAACATTTTCTTGCATTACTTTAGTTTCATAGCGTTCTGTTCCATAGTTTTGTCGCTGAGAAGTCTTTTCTTGATCCACATCTAAGTAGATCACACAGTCTGGAAGCGGCAATCCTCTTTCTGGTGCTTTACACCACTCTATATCAAGTCCCTAAATATCTCAACATCAAAATTGTTGTTTTGCATAAATTTCATGCACCTTTGCTACAGAAAATGCAATTCCCGAGTATATATAGCGATCTGCAATTACAAAAGTCCCTTCTTCAAGATTCTTGCGTACTTTTTCACTGTTTTTAATAAGAAAAAATATCATTTGTGTTTTTGGCCATTATATACCTGATTTCCCACCGATTTGCACTGAACAAAAGATGAATTGCATGGTCCTCAAGTTCAAGATCTCCTGAAAGATATGAATTTATGATTTTTCCAATTTCTGTGCTCCTATCTGGAAATTTCTGAATTTTTACTGGCAGATTTTTAATAAGAAATTCATTTGCTAGAAGCTCACATTGAGTTGTTTTCCCTGCATTATCTGGTCCTTCTATAACAATAAGAGCACCTCTGTTCAAAATCCTATTTTTCATTACCCTCTTTTTATCTTTTAATTTCTAATCTTTTTTTTAATGTTGCAGTATTGACCTCGCACGGTCTGCATTATCTGTGGTATTATAAATATTTGATATAGACAAAGAAATGGAAGATGAGCCCGTTTTTGATAGCAGGAACGCGTCTTCCATCGTCATTATGTGCTTTTATAGGCCCCAATATGTTTTTTAAGCAGGGCTTAAGTGTTTTATTTAAAAAAATGATACATTTTAAGAAGATTCATAAAAAAGATCTAAATCGTCTTAAATATTTATTTGGAGTGAAAATGGGCCTTAAAAATGGACCGAGTACGTTAAGAATAAAAAGAATGTTTTTCTTCTTTTCGATTTTGATGCATTTTTAGTGCTTTTAGATGGAAAAATTACATATCCAGAGCCTGAACAACAGTATGATGAATTAATATTTTATATAAGCTTTTTATGATTCTATTTCAAGGTTAAAATGTACTTTTGTAACGCCTATGGGAGAACGTAAAACGTTAACAGTGTCTGAGGGCCATTCTATTTTAGATATTGCACATGAAAATAATATTGATCTTGAGGGTAAGCTTTTTTAGCAAGAATATATGTTTTTTGAATTTTAAAAGGTGCATGTGAGGGGTCTATAGCATGTTCTACGTGCCATGTTATTGTAGATCCTGAATATTATAATAAGATGGAAGAGCAGTCGGAGAAAGAGCTAGATATGCTTGATCTAGCATTTGGGCTTACTGAAACGTAATGAAAACATGTAGAACACATGAAATATTTATAAATGAATAGATCAAGGTTAGGGTGTCAAATTATTATGAATAAAGATTTAGATGGAATTACTCTTATGTAAAAAATTTATGACATTTTAATATTTTTGCTAATAAAAATTAGGCTTCCGACAGCAACTCGGTAAGAGTGCATGTTAATTGTTTGTAATTATAATTAATATAGTATTTTTAGGAATATACAGTTCAAAAAACAATAACTTTAAAATATCATTTAATGGAGTACTATAAATAGTTACAACAATTCTTACTGTAGAAAAAACTTTTCTTTTTCATAGTATCATGTCTTATTTGTTTTTCTAATCATATCCAGAAACTCCTGCTTTGACATTTTTGCAACTGTATTATATTAATTGATATTTTATTGTAAACATCAAATTTTTACCTTCTTTTTCTCTTTTTTGTGTGCTCATTAATTTCTTCTTTTTCATTTCTTTAGAAACTTTTTTTGCCTTGGTTTGTACTGCTTGGATAGTATTAAATAGATTAATAACTTGCTTATTTAGCTAATTGTTAATCTTTTTTTTGAATTTACCTCCTTTTTGAGCAATTTTTCGTAGAGATTTTTCATATTCTAGAGCTTTTCGTGCTTCATTATCATCTATGGGAATAATATCTTTTATTCTTCCTTTTTCTTTTTCTTTTTTTTTTTCAATTGAAATTAACATTTTTGCCTTGTTTTCTATACTTTTTTCTTCAATCTTTTTAGCCATGTCTATTTTGCTATAACTAAGAACAGGATCCTTTTACTGAATCAACTCCAATATGTTTTTAACATCTATTTACTCACATTTTTATCAAATGAATCTACAGTTGATGATATAATTTTTGATAAAGCAGAAGCAAATTTAACTGAATTGTCAGAAATTGTAGATTCTACTAAAATCAGCCAAAATATAGAAATGTTAATAAAAGTAGTAACCTACGGTCATCATTTTTTTTTTTCTCATTTTCTACCATATCTACTGCTTTATAGTTATTAATGAATGATAATGAAAAATCATCCTAAATTACATATAGAAGAGTCCGTATCACTCGTAATAATATCATTTACTTCATTTTTTTCCTTATGTATTTGTTTTTTTTGTATTTTTTTCAATTTTCTGTTCTTTAAGTTTTCATATGCTATTTTTTCTTTATTTTTTATTTTTCGTCTTTTTTTTACTTGAAAATCTGAAATATCTTCATTACTCCTTTTAGAGTGTTCAATAGATACTTTCATTGTATTTTTGTGAAATATATTTAAACTTTAAAAAATTAGATTTAAGAATTATAATATTATAACATATCTCGTACAATATAATATTGATTATCGTAAACCTCATGAAAAATTAAAAAAGAGAAATTTAGAAAAAGAAATATGGATACAGAAGATTTTGGGATATTAAAGGGTCAAAGCAGTCCTTATAGACCTTATTATATTCCATCTGATTTTTCATATGTTTTAGAACAGGGAATTAATCAAAATACTGAAGAATTATATAAAATTTCATCAAATAAAAATTGGAGAAAATCGGAACATTTAGACTATTTTGACTTTAAAAACAATAGAGAATTGTTCAAAAAAATACTATATAGTTCTATTGTGCGTTATTTATGTGTATTTGTTGTCCAACCATTCGAAACAGCGAAAACAATTTTACAATGTCAATACCATGCTAAATTAAAGCAAAATGAAAATAAAAATGAAATAAATGATTTTTTTGAAGAAAGATATAGTATATCAGATGAAGTATTGATAAAAATGTTATTAGTACTTTTTTGATTTAAAGTAGAGCGAATCTATAGTATCGAATGAGTCTGATCCTCCATATTTTTATGAACCTAACTCTCTTACTATATCTCCTGATTTATCTTATACATCTAAGAGAGGAATTGTTGATCGTGAAGGGTATATCCTAACACCTCCAAATGACCATGAAATACAATTTCCGTGGGAAATCAATATTGAAAAAACTCAAGTAAGAGCTGCTATTTATGCATTGTGGAACAAGGAGGGTGTTTTTGGTTTGTGGAAAGGTAGATATAAATAATCCTTGAAATAATGTTCATCAATTTAGCTCAGAATATATCTTTTATATATAGCATCTTGTATTCAATCATTGAATCATGGAGTTCATCTTTTCTATCAAAAACTTTTTCTTTCCCAGATTTTTTTCCTGAAACTATCGACTTTGATCATTGGATAGCTTCATTTTTCATATCTCTAACGTCATCTGCATTTACATCATTACTTTTAGCGCCCATTGATATTGCAAAAACACGGTAAGTACATTGTAATGTCTTTATCATTCTTATTTTTTTTAGTATTATGATGACACCTAGGCGTTTAAATTCTCATAAATTTTTAAAAACAAATTTACTTTCTTTTTCTATATGTCCACCTACATTAATTCTTCCAACTTTATTATATTCAACATTACCTAACGCTGTATCTTTGATCATTCCTATCTTTTTTAATAAATGTGGGCTTGTTATAGATCCATATGAAACACCAATTATGCACAATTTTACTTCATTAATCGCTGCACTAGCACATCTTTCTATCAAACTACCATTGGAAACTATCTTGCGCAGAGCACAGTTACATATATCAAATATGGAACGGACACTTGTCAGACCAGGAAGATATACTGGCATTTCTGGCACTATATGGTGTATTTTACATGAAGAGAATAATAAACCTTATACTCTCGATGGATTCTACTATGGATGGAGGATGAGCTTATACACCTTAGCTGGTATTTGGACTCTTGGACTCACATCTTTTTTGCCTTCTGGTCTTCCTCCTGACCTTCCTATCATGTCTCAATAATAATTTCACTTTCTTTTGAAGTTTTCTCAACAAATCTATTATCATTAATTTATATTATTTTTTACATATTCAATTGAAACGTTTTATTTATCTTTATGTATTTTTTATTATCTTTCTCTTCTCTTTGCATCATCATTTCTTCTGCAGCTGCAACTCTCGATGTATACAACATATAGAAAAAAAGAATAAAAGTACTTAGATCTTTATAAAGAGATTAATAATATATTGGTATAAAGATATTTATTCTAAGAGAGTTTCTATGAGTTTGTTTTTTATGAAATTAGTTGTTATTTACATTTGATGCAAGGTTATCACTGGTTTATTATTAGTTTAATTAACATTATAAAACATATACATTTTTAAAGAATGAAAAACACTAGATATCATTCAGAAATATATAGAAAGCATCAGAGAGATGGTAAATTGAGGGATTCGTCATTTAAGTTGGATAAAAGAGGCGTTAGAAAAACAATACAACGAGAAACAATGTATGGTCAAGATTTGTTTGAAAAAGATGCAAAATTAGATAGAAAAGAGACAGATAATGGTTTAGAAACTTATAGAAGGCGTTCAAGGTCTCCTTATTACAAAAATTTTTATCATGGAAGCATGCAAAAACGATATCCAACATATATATATGATGAAAGCTCTAGAACCAAAGCAAGGGTGTCTCCATATAGAAAACGTAGTCCATCAACAAGTGTATCTCAGAAGTCAACATCCTCTTCTATTCCCCAACATAAGATATACAATTCTCGTTCCCCTCAGTTTGATAATTCTAAAAGAAGACTACGGCTTAATAGAACCTCTTGTTCAAGATCAGATTCAGGAGAAAGCTATGGTAGGTCTTTAGAATTGAAGCATTATTCGTCAAGGAAGGAATATGCATATTCGCCAGAATATTTTAATGATCGCTATTCTCATAATACATCTAGATATTCTTATTCATTTGAAAATAAACATCAAGGTTACAAGAAAACATACAATTATTCTGAAAAACAGATACCTAGGAATTCATCTTCTCTTTTAACCTCTTCATATAATCATTCATACAGCTCTAAATATGAGACTGACCATTATGATTCTAAATTTCTACCCAAAGAAAGATACAAAAACACTAGGACTTCAACATCTTATTACAAAGAAAATTCAGATACGTTTTATCGACCTTCTAGCACTTCTGATTATCAAAAATATAAACATAATAGTAATTCTAGGAATCCAAAATACCGGTAATAATGATTAATGATGTATATAATTATGATTAATTAGCATCCAGATATGTGTATGATAAGGATACATATTATAGGTCACCGTTTTCTAATGAACTTGAAAATAATTCAAAAGATACAGATGTTTTGTATAAAAGCCCCGATTCATATACAGAAACAGATACTACTAAAATAAATCCGAAAAAACATGAAGATACATCTAGTTTGTAACTTTATATTTTTATTGTCTATTAATTAATATAAGGTGATCTTTTAGATTATAAATATAATAATATGAAAAATATGGACCGCTATAGCCAACCAATTCATAAAAATAACAAGTTATATGATGTAAATGAAGCATTCACTAGGACACCACAAACTCTTAATTTCAAAGAAAATATCACAAAAAAACAAGATAATGTTGAATTTCATTTAGAAAATAAACAGCATTCTACGACACCTATAGTGTCATTTAAACTCTCGAATCCAAAAAGTGTACAATCCACTTCTCATTTGCATTTAGAAAATACATCTTTTGATTCAAATACAGATTTTTCCTCCAAGTATAAAACTTGTGAGTCTAAAAATAGTTCAACTGTAGAAAAATTACATAATGATGCAAAATTATCAAAAAGATCTTTAAGTACCTATTCAGCATTAGTAAATGAAGAAAAGGATTTTTTACCTATAAAAAAATCTAAAAAATTATCTGAAAATACATTAAAAGATTCAGAAAATATAAATTATTTAGAGACTGATAATATTCAACATTATTCTAAAGATTTTGAAACAAAGAGTATTTCGATTGTAAAACCAATAACGAAAATAACTATGATTGATTCTAAAGAAGGATATGTATATGAAAGGATTGGTCAAGTTGGTGAAGGAACATATGGGTATTTTTATTTTAAAGTTGTTATTAATATTTTTAATGCTTAATAGAAAAGTATATAAAGCTCGTAATAGAATAACTAATGAATTAGTTGCTTTAAAGAAAATTCGGATGGAATATGAAAAAAATGGGGTAATTTTAGCTTTTTTTTTTAAAAAAGTTAATTATATTTAGTTTCCAATAACTGCTATGAGAGAAATTAAGTTGTTACAGTCTTTAAGGCATCCTAATGTTGTTTGTCTTTTGGAAATGATGGTAGAAAAAAGTAATTTTTTTTTATATAATAATTTAAATTAATTACATTTAGGCACTGTATATATGGTTTTTGAATACATGGATCACGATTTATCTGGTGTATTATCAAATCCTAATTTCCACTTTGAACTTTCACATACAAAACATCTTTGCAAACAAATGTTAGATGGGTTAGAATATCTTCATCACCGTGGAGTATTGCATCGTGATATTAAAGGTATAATTTTTAATAATTATTTTAAACTAACATATATTAGGATCAAATATCCTTCTTGATAATTTTGGGCAGTTAAAATTAGCAGATTTTGGATTAGCTCGATATTATCATAAAAAACATAATACTGCCGATTATACTAATAGAGTAATTACTCTTTGGTTTCGACCTCCAGAGCTTCTTTTGGGAGCTACAGCATATGGGCCTTCTGTTGATATTTGGAGTGCAGGATGTATAATGATTGAATTATTTACCAAAAAACCATTATTTCCAGGACATGATGAAATTCATCAACTCGAACTTATATATGATATGATGGGAACACCAACACATGAAAACTGGCCTACTGTAAATCGATTACCATGGTATGAATTACTTAAACCAGCTGAAAAAAAAGCTGGAAAATTCTATGATTGCTATTCAACGTAAATGATCATTTTTTATTTTCTTATTCTTATTTATTACAGCATCTTGTCTCCTGCTGCTTTAAACCTTATTTCAAACATATTAGCATTGGATCCATCAAAACGACCGACTGCAACTGAGGCACTAAAACATAGTTTTTTTACTCAAGAAGAACCTAAACCCGAACCTCCTCTAGGGTAAATAACTAATACTATTTAAATTAGTTTTTAAGTATTTCTAGATTAAGTAGTATGAAAGGAGATTGGCATGAATATGAAAGTAAACGAAGAAGAAAAAAATTTAGAGAATATAGAGAAATAGATGGAAGCAAAGAACCTGAAAAAAATGTTACGAAATGAAATTAAGTTTATGGTTTTAGCATGTTAATATTGTTTTAAAACTTAATTTTAACATGTTGATATTGTTTCAAGGTTCAGTTTTAACATTGTTTTTGGCATTATATTTTAAAAGGTATTCAATTTGTTATATTTTGTGGAATATAAAAATGTATGATTAAAGATTTTCGTAATTATTTATATTTTTTATTTAAAAGTCTAGTTAATGCATTAGGTATCTGTTTGAATTAATAATTTGTATGAATTTAAAAATTTATAAACCTCTCCATTACAATCATTCAATACTTTAGATGCTAATTCACCTTCAAAGCCGCAATCAGAAACTAAATAGTCAAGTCTAAATGTGTGAAAAAGAAAATAAATAAACAAAATGAATATTACTTAGCCATTTCTCGGAAATTTTGAGCAGTATCCATCCAACTAGAAGCAACTGATTCCCAAACAGCTTTTTTTTTTGAAGGGTCTATTTTTTTTGTCCTTGCTGTAAACGTTGCTACAACTGGACGATGATCAGAAATTCGTACATTTAATCGGCGATAACTGGTGCATTTAACTCTGCTACCTCTATAAAAAATACGATCACACCATGCAGGACATCTCTTTTTCTCACTAGTATCATAATTATCTATTCCTATATCATATTTATAAGTTGGAGGGAAATCAATTGGTGCTTCATTAAAAAGACGTAACCGAAATCCTGGATTTTTTTTTTTTTGAAGAATAAGCTGATCTTTTTCAAGAAGTGATTGATAATCTTTTAAATTAATGTAATTTAAAATTGCATCACGACGCATATCTATGCGGTAGTTCAAATCTCCATTTAATATACAGATTTCATGATCCAAAATCATTGATCCATCTCCTCCTCCAACAAATAAATCTGCCCTTTTAGAATTATCTAATTCTGGAGAAAAATCTGATGATTCTAAAATTGTAGCTAAATGATTATTTCTATGTACTACCTGAGACTGTCCAGCAGCAAGATGACAATTAATAAAACATAATGATGTATCATCAAGTATAAAACGTATAACAAGTGCTCCCTAAGTTTTATAAGCTAAAATTTGCGAAAATTATAAAAATTGTACTTTATTTCCATGCAATCCACCTAAACCAGTTTTAACATGGATACTATTTAATTTTTTAATATGTGATTTTATTGAAGTTTTAGTAAAAATGCACGTAAATAATCCAACAAGATTTTCTGAATGAAGAAGACAATATTGAAATTCAGATTGTACATACGTTATTATTTCGTTAGTTAACCGTTCCTTCCATGCACTATACTGAGAAGACATATGTTCTTGTAATTGTTTAGAATCTTTTTTTTTATTAAATTTCATTAAATGCTCTAGAATAAATGTTAAATTATATAAAACAGTTTTAAAAAAATATACTAGCAGTTAAACGCTTGTTTTCTAGATCAACAAGTTCTTGAAAACCAAAAACTATTATTTCTGGAGGATTCGGAGATTCTAGAACTTTTTCAAAAAAAGAAAAATCATCTGTTGAAGAATTCAAATCATTAGGCCTTGATGCGCCTGCATTCCATGTACAAACAGTAATGTTTATGTTTCGAAATGTACAAAATTCCTCATCTCGTTTACACATTTCATTTTCTAAAATATTAAAATTTATAAAATTTAAAATTTTAATACCTAGCCAATCTTCCATCAATAACCCATCCCATATCCTGATAATATTATCAGAAGCTAAAGATAGAACCTGATATCTTTTAACTCTCCAAATACTTGTTGTATCTAGATGCAATTCTAATATTGGGTACTTATGTGCCCACCAACCTTTCTTTATTTTTCGAGGCTTAGATTGAAGATCATATACATAAATCATTCCTGTCTTGAATCCAGCCCATAAATAATCACCGACACCAACCATAGCTACAATATTATAAAGACTAACATTAATAACTTCTAAACAAGAAAGAGAGGTCCTAGAATAAACAGAAATTTTCCCATCTTGATGTCCCAAATAAACTAAATCTGGTTGATTTCGAAGAATAGTACCACATGATATTTCTCCTACAGGTAAATGAGGTACAATTGGGCGCGCTGTTGCAACAAATGGATGATTATTTGTTTGAGTTTTTGGATTATATACATATACTGATTTAGATGCTCCTAACCAGAGTTGATTTTTTACAACAAAACTAAAGGTCGCCTTGGGTGTAACTTTATATGTACGAGGCGTGCTTTGAAGATGCAAACCATTTTGATGTGTATCATCAGACCAAATTAAAAGTTTTCCGCTGTCGTCAAGAGTCCATAATTCATATCCACACCTTAATATATATATAATCGGATGAGAATGAACACCAAAACGTTTATCAACAAATCCTTGATAAAATATATTGATTTCTGAAATATTACCATCTTTAGTTCCTAACCATATTCTAGTTCCTTCTTCATTTATATCTCGAGATGGAACAAAAGACATACTAGTTATTTTCATATCATTAGAAGGTAATGACCATATAACTTCATTAGTCTTAATATTCCATACTTTTATAATAGTACCACAGGAACATAAATAATCTCCTGAAATAAGACAGTGTTTAATTTCTGAACGACCTTGGATTTCTAGAGGGCCATTTTTAAATATTGGTCGTCGACGATTTGTTTGTGATGAATCTGGATAATCTGTTGTAGAATGATTTTCAGAAGACTCAGTATTTTTTTCTTCTGCATCAGAATCATATTCATCCATAACAGATGTTTCTGCTAAAGATATAGAAGAATAATGAAAATCTGTAGATGGACATGAAAAAGATTCACTTCCTGGTAATCTGGTCGACATACTATAAGACTTCATATGTCCTTTAAATAATTTAGACTTTTCAACAGGCTCTTTCTTAATTTCTATTTGTGATTTTGTGAAATTAAAAGATTTTTGAGCACGAGCTTTTAAAATATCATCAGGTTTCGGCGGAATAATGGGTGGATTCCTAAAAGGAGAAAGAGACCGTGACAATTTCGGTTGATTACTGTCTAATTTGAAAGATATATCGCTATTGTTAATATCTAAATATCCATCACATTTTGGTAATTCATTAAAATCTGTTTTAAAAAATTTAGATGTGGAAATATTTGAAAAATTATCATGAAAAATAATGTCATCAGATACTGGACTTATGCATTTATGAGAAGATGTCTTTTTTTTTGTAGAAATAGCTTTAAAATCATTAATATCTAATATGATTTAGTTTGATTTTTAATAACAAAAGTACTATTTACCTATAGAATCCTGAAAAGGAGATTCCATTATATCTTGAATTAAACTTTGGTTCTCTTGAATATATTCTTCTAATCTAGGAGACGGAAACGTGTCGACTTGCTCAGGTGTAAAATGATCAAAATCTATTTAATATTAACGATTTAGTATAAGATGAAAAATATACATGGATCATCATAATATTCTTTTTTTTTAGAATGTATTTCGATTGGTGTAAACTCAGAAAGCTCTGGTGACCGGATTGCAAAATCTGAATCATGAGTCAAAGAATCTAAGGGATTGTATGGTTCTTCATCAAAAATATTGTCTTTAAATGACGAATCATCTGCATCATAATAATCACTAAATAAATTCTTATGATCTGAAAACGCTCCTTTAGCTCGTTTCATAGAGGGTCTAAGAGGCTGTGTATCTGCATCCGCCAAATCATAGAATGTATCAGGAATTGCAACATCAAGATCACTGGAAATATCTCGAACATGACATGGAGCTTTTGATGCATTCACACTGCAAGAAAAAGACCTTATCTTTGGCTTTCTTTCAATACTTGGCACTCTTATATATGATCGTTCGTATGTTAATTTTTCTTCAACAGGCGATCTTATTGAGCTTCTGTAGCTTCGAAAATATATAGGAGATGATTTTACACATTTTTCATTCCCTTCTAGTCCTCTATATGACCTATGATATCTTTGTTCTGTAGCAAGTCTTTCAAACTTTTCTTTTAATTGAGAAACTGATTTCTCTTCTTCTATAACACCCATTTTTGCGGAAAAAAAGATACATTTATATAAAACTAGGTCATCTATTATGTTTTAATGTTTTAAACTGCTTAAATAGACTTTATACCTTCTTATTTTTGTTTTGTTAACTTTATAAAAGATCGTAATCAGCATGAAAACGAACACATTATTGTTAACCTTAAGATTAAAATTTATTATTGAAAAAAATTAAAGAATTATAAAAGAATTTTAGTATTAATTGATGTGGTATGGAGTATATTTACTAAAAAAAAAAAGCTTTTTTTGATAATTATTTCTTTTTAGTAAACATATTTTAAATGCACAAGTCTCTATCCGAGTACCATGTTGTAAAAGATGGTGAATAATACAGCAAAGTGGGTTTATAGAAAGAGATTGAGTAAATATATAGGTTTGATTGTCCAGAATGTCATTTAGAAGTGTCAGATCATCCTTTGTTAAAATTAGATGAAATAACATTTATATGTAAAAAATGCAAAGTAATTCCAACATTTGGTTTTTATGTATTATTTTTTTGAAAAAAGAGTTAAACAGGATTAGAAAGCATTTAGAAAGAATATTGAAGATTTTGAAGATGAATCGGATGAATATTGTCCTCAGTTCGAATGTTAAACATGATTTGAAATTAAAAATTGATAGGATTTTAGTTGTGACAATCACTTTATCATTAATGCAATTACTCCTCAGCCTGCGTTGACAATTGAGACAGAAGATGTTCGTAAAGACAGCAGGTATGGCCTTTTTTGTGATTAGGAAGTGTTGTTTATTGGTTTAGAGTAATCAAAGATTATCGTAAACGCCATGATACAAAATAGTTCATTTTTGCAAATAAAAATGCAAATAGATCTTTTGGATAACGCCTTTTCAATGAAAAGATGTCGAAGACAAGTCAAAGGAACTTAAGAAAACTGAAAATATTTATTAATATTGTAATTTGTTATATGTACATATAAATGACGTGGAAATTTTATACGTCTTTATGCCTTATTTTTCCTTTAAACCTGTGTTTGACTAAGATGCTTTTTACGAGCAGTTTCTTGCTCTTTCTCTGCTGATATTTCTTTAATTATTGCTTCAATTTCATCAGTACTTAAAAACTAATTTGTTGTTTAAGATAAAGTCTCATTTTAAAAATAACTTACTTCAATTTTTTTCCTTGGCATCATGAATGCAACTTCTATATTTTTTACACCCGTTTGAACTACTTCTAGCAAACTTCTAATTGTTAATTTGATTGCATCATTTTTCTCCATGTTATCTTTAAAATTTGCTTCTAAAAATTCACGAACCGTTTTACTTGATTTTCCAATAGCATTTGCTTTCCTTTAAAAATAATTAAAGCTAGTTTATACTCTTAGATACTACTCCCTACCATGCAGTATATATCCCAGCAGGTTCTGTTTGATAAAGTCGTGGAACTATGTCGTCTGGATCAAAGCCAAAAATTAATGTAGAGACACCAAATGGACGTACTCCTCCTGATTGTGTATATTTCTGTTTGACACCTGCAACATATTTTGTTATATATTCAACTGTTACTGGATCTTCAACTGTAAGACGATGACTTTGTGCTTCTGTTCTAGCTTTATCCAAAAGAATACGTGCATCTGCATTAAGACCCGCAAATGCAAGACATACATGATGATCAATAACGCCTATTTTTTTTGCTGTTCGAGTATCTTCAAGTTTCAATGCTGTTTTTTTTTCAACGCCCAAAACGACTATATCTTTCCCTTTAACTGCAACACATGTTGCACCCTTAGTTTATGTATTAGGTGAAATAGTCTGAAGATAAATATTATATTTAAAAACCTTCTTAACTGCTTCCTGTCCATACTCTACTTGTAATAATCTATTTTTATTAATTTTTTATCAAAAAAAAAGATAAAAAATACCGTCCGTCGGGACTAAATACTGAAATTGCTCTATCATAGCTTCCACTCATTGTTTTTTGGCTAAAAAATAACGAATTGCTGTTAAATTTGTATTTTTTTAAATTTTAATTTTTTGAAGTTGTTAAAATTCGAGATTTTTAACAGGTTAACTTGAAAAAAAATAATATTAATATTCTTTTAGTGATAATAGATTAAGATTTACAATTTTTAATATTATTTATTAAAATTAATACATGTATTTCTTTTTATTGTAATTTCTAAAAGGTTTTTCAAATGTTTTAAAAAAATTATTTTTGTAAAATGTTAGTAAATTCTAAAAATATTTTTCTTTTTCAGATGAATTTTAATATATGAAGTTTTATAAATAAAAGTACTCAACACCTAAAATATTATATAATTAAATCATATTTGAAACTTTAGTAATAGAAAAATGATGCTTCGAAGTTTATAATTGCATATTTATTTATCAAAATATCCTTAGTAAATTAAAAAAGTCTGATATTTAAATGTCAAATTAATAAAAAATATCAAGAGATCAAAACATATATTCATTAATGCTGAAAAAAAAGAAAATTATAGTTAAGTAATAGTTTTTCTCTTTATAAAACTAATTTGATTAGATTATTTATGTTTTTTTCTATTTAAAATATATTCGACAAAGTATTCATTTTCATCTGATCTAAACAAAGTTAATAAAAAGAAAAATTTTCAAAAACGAACTAACACTTTAATAATATCCTGCTGGATATAAACAAGATACTTCTGAATTCCTCTTATTTCTTTTATAAAATCTTGATTATGAGATTTTATATATTTTCCATGATAAGTAAAAAGTGCCTCAATCCAAAATAAATGAAACTCGATATGTGGAGAACTTTCAGCAATTAAAGCTATAAATTTCAATAATTTTTCTAAATATACTATAGGTAATTCTCGTGAAATCAGTTTTATATTATTAAATGGTATAGATTCATAAACTTCATGAATAATATATTGTTCATTTAGTCTGAATGCCATTATGAATGCTTTAAGATAATCTTTATCTTTTAATAAAACGGTTCTAATAGTTTGAGGAGTTATTTCTATATCTAATTGATATGGATCGAAAATATGCAAATCATCCAATGAATATATTAACAATCCTTCAGTAGATGCAACAGCAAAAGATCTACCATTAAATGAAAATTTTAATGCATGAGTTCTAATTTCAGGCCTTAATTTTCGAACAGATAAATCACCTCTTCTAGCTCCTGGTAATGAATGATCTACTTTATTTTCTAAATCGGAAGTATCGCTTTGATCAATAAGTTCAAGAGGACCTGCCTCAGTAACATTTTTGCTATTAAGAAATTCCTGAGTACCATCTAAAGACAAATTTTTTGATATTTGAATCTTTTTAATAAGAACAGAGCTTTCAACATCATATATACAAATATATTTACTATTGCCCCCCGCAAGAATCGTATACCCATCAGGAGAATAACAAATGGTGCTAAATGATTTACTTTTAGCAGACTTTTCTGCAGTAAACGGATCACCAACATTCCGACCACCTGAGATATCTTTTTTACCATCGATAAAATTAATTTGATTTCCTGAAGTGATATCCCAAAATGTTAATTGCCCATCTAGAGTAGAAACACAAATATATTTCCCGTCAGGATGAAATACAACATCCAAAACATCAGATTGCAATTGAAATGATTCAACGGATTGATTACGGCTAAATATTTCCCAAGTTTTAACAGTTTTATCCCAACTTCCACTAACTAAAAAATCACCTGTGTTTGAAAAAGATAAGCTAGATACTGGTCCTTCATGGCCTGAAAGACGATCAATAAGTTGACCCGTTTGAACAGACCATATATGTATGTCAAAAGAAGAAATGGATCCAGCACATACAACTTCCCCACTAGGCTCAACTGCTAAACACGAAAACTCCATAGGTATAGGCGAAACAAAAATACGAAAATTTCTATAACGAGTTAAATCCCAGGCTCTTACTGAACCATCTAAACTCGATGAAAAAAGAACATTTCCGTATTTAGAAAAATCAATGTCAGTAACTGCTGATGTATGTTCTGAGAAAGTAACTAGACAAAAACCAGAGCGTATATCCCACAACTTAATTTTTCCATCATCAGAACATGTAACAACATTTTGTGAGTCCGGAGTATATGTAACTCCAGTAATCATATCAAAATGGCCTTGCTGTTTAAGAATATAAGACTCAGATTGCCATTCCCAGACTAGTAATTGACCAAGTTTTCCCGCACCAAAAGCAATCCATTCACCGGTTTTATTGATAGAAACAAAATCAATAGCATTTTGTGAAATACTTTACTTTTTAAAATGAAAGTTAAAAATTAGAAGACTTACCTAAGTGTATGTATCATATTAAATTCAGGAAGCTCATAAAGTGCAAAAATTCCTGATGTAAATCCTGCAACTAGTATATTAGAATTATGATGAAAAGCAATACATGACATTTTTGCATTTCTCTGGTTAAAATAGTGCTTTTTCTTAATGCTCCATTTATATACAAAATCTTTATTTAAATCTTTATTTTTCATAAATAGAGATTCTTCTGAAAGACCTGAGTCTTCCCAATGAAAAAGTGCACCATCTTTACTCGCTGTATATATCTATACAAATAAGCATTTTTACAAAACTTCTTTTTCAAACATACTGTTTTCTCTGTTGAAAAGAAAAATGCACCAACTAGAGGTTCTCGATGACCAGAAAAAGTCATAGGTGTAAAATTTTCAATTGGATCTAGAGAATACATCCTTGCTGTAATATCTTTGGACGATGTTAAAAAAAATCTACAAAAAAGATAACTATATCAGAAAAAGTACCAAAAACTAGATTTGATTACCGTGAATCCAGAGACCATATGATTGTTTTTATTGTATCATGATGGCCTGTATAGACTCTATGTTTTGTAAATGGAGAAAACTGAAGTTCATCAGTAGGCTGAGGTGATCTCCAAACTTCAACACGCTGTCCAAGAGCAACTGCAAAATATTTCCCACATGGAGAAAACTGAACATCTTGAACTGATTCTCCAAAATTAAAGTGATACAAAACTGTCCTTCTAATAATATTTACAAGTATTGCTCTACCATCTAATATTTATAAAGATCAGAACCATATGTTTTTGTTTATTAATCCTTAATACCTTCATCAATAGATAGCAACAAAGTAGATGCTGGAGATACCGCAATACAGCGAATATTTTTCGCATTTTCAAAAGGAAATGTCACAGATGTATTACTAAAACGATATTCAGACACTAACAACCATCTTTTTCACAAAAAAACCGCTCCAAATCAAATTGTGTCACTCGATTACCTACTGGACTAAATAATCGATTATCTAACGTAAAAACAAGGTTTCCATTGCGATAAACAGATCCAAGTAGATTGGAAAGCTAATATAAATGTCATTTATTGCATTTTAAACGCCTTAAATCCTTTTAAACTTACTTTAAAATCAAATTTCATTCAGTACAATTTTTTTTGACGTTTAAATTATTATCGCCGTGCGGGAGGTTTTTGCACTTTACCTACGTTTAACGGACTACAATAATGGTATTAGATAAAGATAGCCGCAATGGCATTGGGATTTCAAATCTTCCTAATCAGAGGTTCTAAACGTCTTCTTAAAAGTATATTATTAACAAATATGTCTTTTAGACACAAAATTGTTGCTAGATCTGGAGCTACATTTACATTGATGCTTGCAGGTTTTTCTTGGAAAAAAAGCCAAAATTGAATGATATTCTGATAAAAATGTGTTAAATTAGGTGAATCAGGTCTTGGAAAGACAACATGGATCAATACACTTTTTAGTACGACAATTAAAAACTATTCTAATAATAAAAAACGATTTTGCAAGCAAGTTAGTCAAACAGTAGAAATTGAGATTACCAAAGCAGAAATTGAAGGTTTAAGGCTTTTTATGGGCAAACAGTGAGGTTTTAATTGTATTTTTAGAGAGATTTTTTAAGGTTAATTTAACTATTATTGATACACCGGGGTTTGGTGATTATGTAAATAATAGCGAGGCGTGGCAGCCAATTGTAGAGTTTATTGATGATCAACATGAGTCATATATGCGTCAGGAGCAGCAGCCGAAGAGAATGGAGAAAATTGACCTTCGTGTGCATGCATGTCTTTATTTTATTCGTCCTACGGGTCACACATTAAAGCCTTTGGATATCGAGGCAATGAAACGTTTAGGAACACGTGTGAACTTAATTCCAGTGATTGCAAAAGCCGATTCTCTTACTCAAAGTGATTTAAGTAAGTTTAAAAGACGAGTATGTTTTTCATTTTTTTGTTTTTCCTAATGGATTTAGATCCGCGATGTTATTGCAGCACAAGAAATTAATATTTTTACTCCGGTTATTGAGGAAGATGATCCAGCTGCTGCAGAACATGCAAGAAATTTAATAGTATGTTTAATTGACAAATATTTCTCCTACTAAGAACCATTTAGGCTGCTATGCCTTTTTCGTTGATTGGAAGCGATAAAGATGTACAAACACCAGATGGTCGAATGGTCAAAGGAAGACAATACAGTTGGGGAGTTGCAGAAGTTGAAAATGATGAACATTGTGATTTTAAAAAATTGCGTTCTCTCCTTATTCGTACACACATGTTGGATTTGATTCAAACAACCGAAGAAGTCCATTATGAGGTAAGTATTTTGTTTATTTTGCCAGAACTTTTTCATCTCCTCTTCATCCATCTAACTGTCCAAGGCATACCGTGCACAGCAAATGGAGATTCGTAAATTTGGCGAAGCAAAAAGTCGCAAACTTGATAATCCGAAATTTAAAGAAGAAGAAGAAGCCTTACGTAAAAGATTCACCGAGCAGGTTAAAATAGAAGAAGCTCGTTTCAGGTAGGTTTGTTCAGTTTTATTTACATTTTTCTAATCTTTAAAAGACAATGGGAACAAAGGGTAATTTCTCTCCAGGCTTAAAATTACGCCTGTTTCTTCTCTTTCATTTAACTCTAATCTATAGCTTATTGCCGAACGTGATCGTCTTAATAAAGATCTTGAGACTGCCCACACTAGGTTTTTCTCTTTTTTTCATCTTTCATATATTTTAACTTTTTTTGCAGTATTAAACAACTCGAAGCTGAACTAGAACATATGCAATCTGTTCAAAACAACAGTAGCCGTCGCAGATAATATTCCCCCTTCCTAAAGGCCTCCTTTCACTTTTTTTTTAATCGCTTCTTCACTATTTTACAACTTTTTATATATAAACATATTTGATCTTCATATACTCCATCTACATAGCTTTATTAATTTTTTATAAAAACTTTAGAGAAATAACACCATTGCTTTTTATTCATTCAATCATTACTTTTTTTCTTTTTTTCTTTATATTTTCCGCTTTTTTTTTCTCTTCTTATGCTTTCTTTTCCTACTCATAAATTGCACGTTCTTTCACCCGCTGGCAAATTTCCTGTTAACGTTATTCTTTACAATTCGACAGGTCAATATGCATTAACAGGAGGACATGATCGCTTTGTTCGTCTTTGGAACCCGCATACAGGTATTTTAGTTCAAGAATATCATGCACACGGCTATGAAGTGCTTGATATTGCAGTTTCTATTGATAGTACACGCTTTGCAAGCAGTGGAGGGGATAAGGTAGGTTTTGAAGATGCAAAATGGTGCTATATGGAGAGAAAATAAAAATATAGATTAATTGAAGTGCATATATTAGAAGAAAGATTATAAAAAGTACAAAAAACCAAGTAAAAAGAGGAGATTTTGGCAAATATATAAGATTGACACATATGATGCATATATTAAATAATTCAGTGCATATATACAATTGTTAAACATACAAGTGTGTTTTTATGTATATTTTTGATCTTTTACGTATATTCATGGGTTTTTTCATATATTTATGGGTTTTTGCATATATTTCTGGTTTATATATATATATTCTTTGGATTTCAATGTATATGTTTCAATGATGTGTATTTTTATTTTATTTGATGGGTTTAATTGAGGGTTTGGTACATTTTCTTGATTGGAAACAACTATTAGGTCTATTTCACTTAGTATTTGATTCACACATATATTTTTTAAAATATGGCATCAATTTCTGGATATCTATGCTTTAGAAGAATGAATATTGTGTATAATTTTGTTGAATTGTATACATTATTTTATTTCAGTCTATGTACTGGTCGTATAAAGAATATCTATAGTCTTAGTGGGAAGTGTGGGTGGGTTTACTGGATTATATACTCTTTTTTATGCACCATTTGTGCTTTTTTATTTTTTCTTAGATAACACTTTTTAGAAAGTCTTTTTGTGGGATGTTACAGCTGGACGGACAATACAGAGGTTCTCTGGACATTTTTCACGTGTCAATGCAGTTGCATTTAATGCAGAAGCAACTGTTTTAGCAAGTGGTAAATTTTTTTTGTTTAAAATATACAAATCAATATATATTATTAGGATCATTTGATTCCTCTGTTCGTTTATGGGACTGCAAGTATGTTGACGACAAATAATAAATAAGATATAACCTAATCTATGATTTTATAACTAGATCATCATCGCATACGCCTATTCAGGTGCTGGAAGATGGAAAAGATAGTATTTCTTCGGTATTAATTGCAAATCATGAAATTGTTACAGGGTAAAGAATTGATTTCACTATATTTCTCTTTTAGATTTTAAAATAGAACAGATCAGTAGATGGAAGGGTTCGTACATATGATTTAAGAAGAGGACAGCTATATACAGATGTGATTGGACGTAAGTTGATTATTTTTTGATAAAATTTGATTTTTTGCTAAAAAACAAAGAACCTGTTACTTCAGTCCAACAGTCGAATGATGGAAATTGTTTACTAATTTCAACACTAGATTCAAAGATTCGTTTAATTGACAAGTGCAATGGCGGGCTTTTGCAAACGTTTGAAGGGCATGTTAATTCAGAATATAGAGTAAGATCATGTTTTGGCCAAACAGAAAAGATGATTATTAGTGGAAGTGAAGATGGTCGTATTTGTGTTTGGGATCTTTTGGAAGCAAAATTAATCTACCAATTACAATCTGCACCTAAAAATTCGCAAAGATCATGTATTAGTTGTGTTACATTTCATCCAAAAAAAAACCAAATGCTTAGTTGTGGAGTTAACGGTGAAATTGTAGTATGGACAACACCATAACTAAAAAAAATGTAAATATCTAAATACATAAATATATAAAACAACATTCATAACTGTATATGTTGTTACTAATATAAATAAATAAATAGTATATGATTAGTTACCAATTTTTATACTCTTTTTAATTGTTTTGTTCGTCATCTAGTTTCGCTTTTTTCGCTTCTTTTGTTGTAGTTTTGTCTAAACCATGACTCTTTTTTGCATAAGCATTTGCAGCTGCACTAGCAATAAAAGCGTCAATTCCAAACGGGTCTGAATCTTTTTCAAATTGCACAGGACCATCTCTTGGTTCTGCCAAATTTGCCCCCTTAAATCCGTGGGTAGCTTTTCCGAGAACTTCAAATCTACTTTCACGAGTAACACGGTCTAATTCTTCATCTGCATCATCATCATCAATAGCGTTTGCTTTAGGTCTGTATATGGATTGTATTGCAGCAGCAGTAGCAAATAATCTAAATATAAATCAGCTTAAATATTCTGAATATTAAAAATTTATACGGTTTATCATAAATATTATATGTATCATCGTCTTTAAATCCTGAATCCAATCCAGCAGTCTGATTAAAAAGTCGATTATCGAAAAGACTATCTTTCGATATGGTTGGTTTAGCTAAGCCAAGAGCAATCTTTTCTGATATATCTCTATTTTGTTCACGAGCCATTACTTTAAGGCGTTGCTCAGCACCCATACGAGACATACGCATTTGTCTCTCTGCATCTCGACGACGTTCTCTACGAAGATCTTCACGTTCCTTTGCAGCCCTTTCATCTTCCGAATTTTCACTCTCACCTGAGTGTATACCATCTGAAGCATTCGATGATTCTTTTTGCAACATATGTCGTTCTTCTCTTGCTTTTCTTGCAAGGTCTTGAAGACGCTCCTTCTTAGCATCTTTTTCCTTTTGTGCAATTTTATGTTGCAATTGCGCTCTTTTTCTAACTTCTTCCCTTGCATGTCTGTCTGCGGCATAAAGTGCTTCTGATAACTTTGAAAAATTGTCGTTAATTTGAATATCCATCATGCCACGACCGTCTGCTGCTAAACGTTTATCAAGAGGAATCGTATACCCTTTGGCATTTTTCCAATTTGAAATACTTGGAGGAATTACCCAGTCTTGCTGTTCTTTTGCAGTTAATTTCCTTGGTGGAGAATGCATTACAGGGGCTGGAGGAGAAGGTGGTCCTCTGGGAATCTTTTTGTGTCTAAATTTTAAGGGTTCCATTGGATCTTGTGGCATTTCTACAAGTTTAATAATCCGTTGAGGATGTACTGTATCTGAAGTTTCCCCCATCTGATTACATGGTGTATAACGAACAAAAGTTGGCTCATGCTTTTCCTGTGTCTGAATAGACTTTGGTTTTGATGCTGCAATCTGTCCTGATATAATTTTTTCCAAAGCACGGCGAGTCCTTTCAGTAGTAGCTTCAATTTCTTCAATTGAGGGCCGATCTAAAGAAATTTCTCCAATATCTGCTCTTTGTCTCAAAGGAATCAAACTTTTAAACGAAGAATGAACAATACGGTCTGGATCATGGCCTTTCCGTGCAATTGCATCATACAATATATTACCCTCAGCGTCTACCTGAATTGCTAACGCAGCCCCTGCTGTAGCCTTCTTTTGTCCCATCTGAAGTGGATATTGAGCCACCAAAATCTCTGGAAAAGCCCCCCCATCTTCAAAATCCTCTATTCTCTTAGGAATCCATCCTTTCCTGTGCCCATATGGTGGTATCTTTGTCGATACTCTCTCTTCATTTTTTGTTTCTTGATTTTCATTTTTCTGAATCAAAAATAGGTCTTTTTTTCCCGTTTTTTCTCCATTTAAGTATCTACAGTGAATAAGATGTTCTATTCTGCCTTAAAATAGACCAAATAACTCACTTTTTCTCTATATATACCGGCTGATGTGTCACTTTCATTTTTATGTCGTCAACGTTTTTTTCGATATCACCGTGCTCAATCTTCAACACATACTCACGAAGCTATATTGACTAAAATATAATACTTATCCGTATAAAATAGCTAAAAATAGCTTTGGATCCTGCTTATTTATATTTTTTTGCCTAATTCTTTTCAAATAATCTTTATGTATTTTTTACTTCTTTTTTAAAAAATACACAACCAGTCTTCCAAATCACTTTTCAACTATAAATACATTTCAAATGTTTCTGTTTTTTCTTTTTTTTTCTATTTTTCCTTTTATCCTTTTCATTTTTAAATCCTGATTGCCCGCAGAAATGGGAGAAACTAGATACACACCCGGACAACGTCGCAGGATTTGAAGGACGACAGAGTAAAAAAAATAGAGGAAAAAGGGCAGTTTTAAGAAGAAAATATGAGTGAAATGGTAGTTTTTATTATGAATATTGAATATTTTTTGCTATGGATAAGTAATATTTATAGGAAGGAAATGAAAGATTAGAAATGAATTCAGGACCAATATTGATGAAAGGACATAGACAGACAATGGAAGTAGATAGAGAAGAAAAGCCGTTATTTGCAAATGAATGTAATTGAAGAGGATATTTTTAAGAAGATTATTGATGGAGATGTGTTTTTTTAGATGAAAAAATTATGGGAAAGCTTTTACCAATATTGCCCGATCTTGAGACGATTTGTGAGACATATTATACATGGCACGTTGAGAGCTGGCAGAGTCTTGGGAGGAAGGCGTATAGCCCTGAATTTACAAGTGGTAATTTTATTTGGTGGGTTTTGTGTATTTTTGCATAGAGGGTATTGATAGTATGTTTTTTTGATGCAGGAGAATGCTTGTTTTTCCATATGGCAACTATCAAAATGATCAGTTTTCTATATATCTTGAATGCCAGCCATCAGATCGGACTTCTGCATGGTATTGTTGTGCACAGTTTTGTATTGTTATGTGGAACAAAAATGATCCTTCTGTTTGGGTGCATCATTGTATTATACATGGTTTTGCTGAGTAAACGATCACTTAACACTTGTTTAGACGCTACACATCGTTTTATTCCGGAAGAATCAGATTGGGGATTTTCTCGTTTTTATGACCTTCGTAAATTGATGATGAGATTTGAAGGTCGAGATCATGCTATTATTGAGAATGATGAAACATCGATTACGGTCTATCTTCGAATTGTTAAAGACTCGACTGGTATTTTATGGCATAGTTTTATAAAGTATGTTGTTTTTAATATTCGTGAAAATTTGGCTAATTATCAATAAAGCTATAATTCTAGGAAAGAAACAGGATATGTTGGCCTTAAGAATCAGGGTGCAACCTGTTATATGAATTCTCTTCTACAATCTCTTTATTTTACAAATTTTTTTCGACGCGTAAGGTAAAAAATGTTTTGTTTTATTGCTAATATTATAAGGCCGTATATATGATACCCACAGAAAAAGACGAACCTAATGATAGTATTGCACTTGCATTGCAAAGACTATTCTATCTTTTACAAACATCTTCAGAACCCGTGAGTACTATTGAATTGACTCGTTCATTTGGATGGGATACATTAGATTCTTTTATGCAACATGATATTCAAGAGTTTAACAGAGTTTTACAAGATAATTTAGAAGGAAAAATGAAAAATTCAGAAGCAGAAAATGCCCTCAGTAAATTATTTGTGGGCAAAATGAAAAGTTATATTAAGTGTGTTAATGTTGATTATGAATCATCTCGAAGCGAAGATTTTTGGGGTATTTGTTTATCAGTTTTTAAAATTTTACTCAGTAAATTTTTAGATATACAGCTTAATGTTAAAGGAATGAAGACTCTTAAAGAGTCTTTTCGTGATTATATTCAGGTCGAAACATTAGATGGTGATAATAAGTATTTTGCAGAAGGATATGGTCTTCAAGATGCAAAAAAAGGCGTTATTTTTCAGTCATTTCCACCAGTTTTACACTTACAGTTGAAAAGGTTTGAATATGATATTCAACGCGATACAATGGTTAAAGTAATTGTCATAAAAGTATATTTTTACTTGTTTTTAACTTTTATAAGATTAATGATCATCACGAATTTCCATTGGAAATAGATTTAGAGGAATTTTTATCAGATGACGCCAATAAATCTCAACCACATGTATATAAACTTTATGGGTATATATTACATTTATAAATTATAATTTTATTAATTTTTAAAAGAGTTTTGGTACATAGTGGTGATTTACATGGTGGTCATTATTATGCATTGCTTAAACCAGAAAAAGATGGTCATTGGTATAAATTTGATGACGATAGAGTAACAAGGGCAACTCTCAAAGAAGTTCTTGATGAAAATTTTGGAGGTGACATGTCCCCTACAAATAGTTATATAAAAAATCCATATTCTCGTAATACTTCATTAAAGAGATATATGAATGCTTATATGCTGGTTTATTTTCGTGAAAATGAACTTGATGAAATATTAAGACCTGTTGTAGAATCTGATATACCAGAACATCTTCGTATATATTCAAGATTTGTAAAAAGTAGTATTGATGTTAGTTAGGTAAAAGACTAGAATCTGAGAAAGCAGCTTTAGAAGCACGAAGAAAAGAAAGAGAAGAAATGCATTTGTATCTTTATGTAAAAATTGTTACAGATGACCATTTTAAAGACCATCAGGGTTTTGATCTTTCGAATATAGAAGAAAAAGAGCCTTTAGTTTCTCAATTTTCAACCCATAAAATTCTTAAAGAAACATTGTTTACAGAATTTAAAAAACAAATAGCTATAGCTTACGATGCAGATGTTAATAAGATTAGATTTTGGGTAATGGTGAATCGACAAAACAAAACTATTAGACCAGATACTCTTGTTCCTGAAAATGATCAAACACTAAGTATATGCAGGTTTTTATATTCAGTTTAACTAATCTTTTAAAGCATTGGAAATGATTAGAGATAAAATGTTTCCTCGTAGAGGAGATTTATTGTTATATATGGAGTCTTTTTCTAATACTTCTGAGGAAAATTTTTTAGAAACATGGAGTTCACTAGATGGTACAGGAGGCAATACAAAAATTCTCATATTTTTGAAATATTTTGATATTGAAAAACAAACACTACAAGGAATTACACATATTTATATTAACAAACACGATAAAATTGGTGTACTGACTTCTATTATTTGTTCTTTAATGAAATGGCCTTTTACAACATCAATTCAACTTTATGAAGTATATTTTGTTTATTTTTAAGTAATTGTTTAACTAAATACGTATAGGAAATCAAACCAAGCATGATTGAAGTAATGAAATTAAAACAAACATTTTATCAAGCAGAAATACAAGATGGTGATATTATTTGTTTTGAAAAAACTATTTCAGAAGAAGAGTATTTTAAAAAAAGAATGTATTTCTTGCTATTTCTAATATTAGTAGAACTGAAAAAATTGCATCTAATGGAGGCTATGGATCTGCTATTGAGTATTATGACTTCTTGTTGAATAAAATAAACGTATCGTTTAAACCGAGATTTGTTGATCAAAATGTAACAGAAGAGTTTGATTTAGTATTAAGTAGAAAGACAACATATGATATGGTATAACACTGTAGTCATTATTTCTAAAATCATATTAATTATTTAGTTATCCTTTAAAGTAGGTGAGTACCTGAATGTTGAACCGACTCATATTCGCTTTACAACTGTTAATTCTACAACCCAAATGCCTAAATTTACAGTAAAAAGAGTTCCTTCTTTGACTTTACAAAATATTCTTCAGCCTGCATATTTACAATCTCCGTTGAATACTTTATTTTATGAGGTATTAGAGATAAGTCTTAATGAGCTTGAAACCAAAAGAATTTTGAAGGTTGGATGGTTACCGGATGGTATAACAAGAGAAGTTGAAATCTTATAAGAATTGATTTCTTTAAAGTAACTAATAATTAGGAACTTATAGAAGTCCTTGTTCCTAAGACAGGAACGTTGAAAGATGTTGTTCAATCTTTAATAGCTAAATTGAATATGTCTCCTGAACTAGTGGATCGTTTTCATATGTTTGGAGTTCATTCGAATAGAATTTATAAAGATTTTGATCTTACATATCCTGTTACTGCATTACAAGACTTTCTTCTTTTATACGCAGAATTGATACCTGAAAATGAGCTTGTTTTAGAAGAAAATGATCAATATATTAACGTATATCATTTTCAGAGAGAACCAACTCGATCTCACGGTATTCCATTTCGATTTATTATTAAACCGGTAAAATAACTTTTTATTTGATATCCTTTTTTACTTTTTAGAATGAAAAATTTAGTCAGACAAAATTAAGGTTATTAAAGCGAACAGGTTTGAAAGAAAAGGATACTGGTAAAATTAAGTACGCTCTTGTTCAACAGACGTCGTTTGTAAAACCACGTTATTTAGAGGATGGTAATAGCTTTTCAATGTTTTGAGTATGTGTTTAATAGAGTACAGATGATATTATATATGATATTTCAAATAATTCTGATGATTTGCTTGGATTAGATCACTTAGATAAAACTGTTCGAACTGGAAGATATGGTGAAAAAGCTATTTTCATTAGAGGATGACAACTACGATTGCTGTCATTCATGAAAATTGTTGTGTTAAGAATCATAATGATATTTGGGCTAAACATTATCGCTTTCTTTCCTTTTATATTGTCAAATAAGACGGCATTGGGCACGAAATAAAAAAGATATAGAATAGAAATTTAAATATACAGCAATATCACTAGAGATTGCATAATATTGTATGGTGACATAATACACGTATTTATCAAAGGTGTTATCAAAAGATTTGCAGAAAACTTTAAACTCGAATCGTTGTTTTGGTGAAAAAAGTTTTAAGAATTATAACTTGGAGCAACGAAACAGTAATAATCAGAAAAGATTCAACAAGGGAAAACCAGATAATACGTGTCTCAGTTGATCGGACTGTACTGAGGTTTCTACTCTCACGTAAGCGCAAGTGTTTTTGAGAATTTCGGATAGCAGTAAATGAATTTGAGATTTTGTACAGAAACTCGTCAAGTATGCCTGTTTGCTCATGTACTCCTTCTGCACGCTCCGGCAACATTGCCCGTGGCTCATTTTCAACCTGCCTGTTGTTAATCCAAAGCAATTGAGCATCGCAACACCCATAAGGCTAATAATTATAAACTGCTGCAATGTCCCGTTCCTATTGCAACACAATAATGCTATTTTTAAAAAAATACTCTTATTTCTACAGCATTGATTTTTGCATAATATTTGGTTTAATATAGTATTGGCTAGATATAATATTGTGTAGTTACTACACTGCAATTGTACTATAACAATGTAGTAATAGTGCACTGCAATAGTCGTATAGTTGTGCAATAATGGTTCTGTATCATATAGCAATATATTGGTATTGCTGTACAGTTGCTATTGTCACATAGTCTTGCTTACCGATATTTGGAAATCAACTGTTTTTTCTGTTACTGCCGACATATTGTTTGAGAAGCAGAAACTATATTCTCCCGCATATTTTGCTGTAAAAAAAAGATCTCCTTGTTTTTCACGTATTCCGTTGAAAATGACATGCCGGTTAGGGTCTGTTACACGGTAGTCGATATCGAAAGCTCCTCCTGCTCGAACCTTCCTTATTAGTAAAGTACTATAATCTATACGTCCTGCAGTGTCCATTCATCTTGTTATTTTAACCACACTTTAGCTACCATTGCCAATATTAACTTTAACCTCTAACTTTAACCTTTATATTTAATTTTAACCTTAATACTAGTTTAATATTAATCTTTGTGCATAGTTTTATGTTTAATTTTAACTTCAATCTTAGGCTTAATTGTCACTTTAAATTTAACTTTATAACTTTAATTTTTGCCTTAATCTTATAACTTTAACATTAACTTTAAGTTTAATTTCTGCTTTAATATTAATTTTATTTAATTTTAATTTTGACTTGTAAATTCTGAGTTGTAAACTTAATATTAACTTACAAATTAAGCTTAACCTGTAAATTTAATATTAATTTTAGTATTAATTTATAAACTTAAGCTTAATTTGTACGTTTATAAAGCTTATCATATAAATATTAAATGCATATGTTTATTTATATGTTTTATACACTCAATATAAATCCATTATGCACTCTCAACTGACATCTTAAGCTTGTGTGTTTGTACATAATATAATATACAGTTTATATGCATGATACCTGCGCATATATATTCAGATGTGCACTTTTATACACGTATAATACATTCATTTGCTGCATATGTATGCAATGCATGCACTATACATGCTCCCAAACACTACTTACACTATATTCAGCTTTGTTCACAACTTATATGTATAAACATATAAGCACATATATACTGTATATGCACTATATATGCATATATACACTGCACATATGAGTATATGCAAATATATACATGTATATACTCGAGATATATACACATATAATTTGCATTTAGGTGCATAGAACCACATCTAAGTGTATATAACCCCATATAATAACCTCATATATGTGTATATAATTCTACATAAGTAGATGCAATATGCCCCTTATAAGTCTAAGCTTATAGTCGTATAGCATGTATATATACATACACTATACATTATACACTTAGATGCATATAATACCATATGTATATATAAATATATACATATATAAATATATACATATGATATACATATATATGCATATATATGTGTATAAATATACAATTCCACGCAGATATATTCCCATTGATTCCACATTTGCATTCATATATCTCCATATGCTTGTATCCTATTGCTTACACAGTTTACGTATATGTTATACGCTCAAACATTAGCTCTACAAATGTATAGCATGTATGAGCATATAAGTGCATATATTCCGTGAAATAAGTGCATATATTCGTAAAATAGGCGCATATACCATGCAAATAAGACCTCTATAGGCTGTTCTATGCCTTAGAAATGACAGACACCCAATACTACAACGCACTTTAAGTGCACTTAAGTGGGCTTTGCTGCACTTTAAATGCACTCAAAGTGTGTTATAAATATAGAAATACTTAATAATATACATTTCTTTTTACTGCTGACGTATTGTATTTAAAACTTACTGCAAAGTAAAATGCAACTTTACGATTTACTTGGTCAACGTGTGTGTAAAAGCACTGTGTTTCATGCGGCACTATCTGCACTGCAAGCAGTCCCGCTGGCCGTACCGCTGACAGCCATGTGCAGAGGACAAGTGAGACCCAAAGCCAGTTCATTAGTCTGCTGTGTGCTCGGCGTGGGTGCTCGAAGCCTCTCCAAGCAACTGCATACGCATATATACTGTATATACACTATATATGCGCATATATACGCATATATACGCTGTATATGCGTGCTGTATGCGTATTGTATATACTATACATTGCATTGTACACACCATATCTATCCATATAACGCATATGTATAGCAATATATAGAGTATATACACTATATATATATATACGCTATATATACACAGTGTATATGCAGTGTATGTGTGTTATATGCATTGTATACACATAGTATATACACAATATATGCCAATGTATACACTGTGCATACAACGCATACACTGCACATAGAATGCACATATACAGCAACATGTAGACTGTACACCACACATATGCTGTATATATACACTATGCACGTATGCTGTGCACACTGCATATAACATGTATATTATGTTCTGCGCATACAACACGCATACAACGCGCATACAACATGTGTATAGCGTGTATGCAGCGCGTATATACACTGTATATGCATTGTATAGACTATGCACGTGTATACAACGTGTTATATATAGTATATACGCGTTATATGCGCGTTGTATGCGCATACATGTGTATCGCTCGCCATCGTTCTATGCACATACGATGATTACCAACGCAAAGACGCGTCGTGAGAACGGACCTGAAGGCCGCTTAGAGCGGTTGCTTGCAAGGTTTACACCATATGTGTGCAGAAAAGGCTCTGATATGCTCAGACTTGAAACTGCAACATCTCGGCTTGAGAAGACTCTTGGAGTGTCTAATAGCTGTGACCAAACACACGAGGACACTGACGACAGTGACGGACAGAGCGCAACGTTGCAGGAGGTTTTAGCACCGCTGATCCACGAGTATTTGTCTTTGAGCCATGAGTTGGGTGGACAGGTTGCACAGCAGGCAAGTCTGCGCATATACCGCAGCGCTGGCATTCTGCATGGTATATACCGTGTATATACGAAGTATATGCGTTATGTATGCGTTATGTATGCGCACTGTATGCGCAGTGCAGTGTACGGCAGTGTATATGCACAGTGTGTATGGCATAGTCAGTGTATACGGTGTATATGCAGTATATATGCGCGTTGTATGCGCGTTATATGCATATTATATGCATATTATATGCGCTGTATATACATTGTATGTGCTGTGTATGCGTGTATGTAGTGTATGCAAAGTGGCACTGCACAGTATGTACGGTATACACCTAATCTATGCTATATACATTGTATTGTATATGTACAGTGTATGCTGCATTTGTTCTGTATATGTGTAGTGTATACAGTATATCTGCATTGTATGCACTATATAGTATATACAGTGTATATACTATGTACACGTACAGTGCAGAGCATATCTATAGTACAGTGTATACTACAGTCTATGTATTGTATGTATACTGTATAGATAATATACACATAGTATATACACAGCAGTATATACAGTGTGTACATTGCATATACTATATATGTTGTAGACACGATATGCATGTTATATACTGTGTATACATTATACACAATATGTATTCTATATGTGTTATATACACCATATACACAGTATATATATCCTGCATACTCTGCATATGCTATGCATTATATAGTACATACATTATAGATACTACATACACTACATATACTACATACACATTGTATACATATTATATACATTATATAGGGTGTATAGGCTATATACATTGTATATGTGTGCTTTTTGGCGGCATAGGCGCTCCGGATATATTTGCAGTATCTGCAAACAGGTTCTAATGAATACAGGCATCGGCAGTCTCTGATGCATTTTCGGCTTTAGAATGCTTTATGATAGATAATTCAGCACCACTTCATGTTCTGGAGGGATCATTAAGTCAGGTAGTGGCACTACGTGATACAGGACGAGGAACAAATGTATTGAATCATTTATCGATGGTAAGCGAAGGTGCAGCAGCACTTGGGTGGGTAATGGCAGGGTCAGCAGCAGCAGGATATATACAGGACATGAGAGACAGTGCACAGTTTTATGCAGACCGTATTTTGAAAAAAAGGCAATTTTTCATGTAAAAATAGGGTAATTTTTAGCTGAATAGGAACAGAAACACAACAGAAACCGCATGGGTACATGCGTATATGAAACTTCTTGCAGAATTGCAGGCATATGTTAAAAAGTATTATCCAGAGGGGTTTACGCGGAGTTCGGTAGTAGGTTTGATGAAGCAGGAAGGATTTGTTTTAATTTTTTGAAAGAAATCGCAAGCAGAACGCAAAAACAATGATATAGCACGTACAGCAGAATCAGGAATGGATGCAGCAAGCATGGGCGATGCTGCCATGACACCATCGGATGCCTCTTTGCCTGAAATTGAGTCTCCAGAGCCAATTAATATTGAATCGGTGTTTGCAGAGCTGAATATGGGGGAATCGATTACGTCCAAGTTGCGTAAAGTCAATAAGGGTGAAAAAACACAGAAGCATGCGCCTGCCAGGCCATTGTGCGGTGCATCTGAAAGTCCATCGCCTTGTAGTATGGTGGTTGAGGAGAAAAAAACAAAGTTACCTTGTAGAAAGATATTGACGGGAAACCGCTGGACTATTGTATGAAAAAATACCAACTGTGGAGGGCTATGTAAGACTAATGTGGTGAAGGAGAATTTTGAGTGCGAAAATGTCGTTATTGATGATCTTGAAGCGGTTCAGACGGTCTATATTTTTAACTGCAAAAAATCCACAATTCACTTGAGAGGAAAAGCCAATGCAATATACATGGGTATAACTGAATTTGCTCTGTTTTTAGTTCCTAATTACTAGATCAATCGACAAATTGCGGATTAATGGTAGATACATTGATTTCAAGTATCGAATTTACCCGGTGCTCTTCACTTACATTCCAGGTTCTCGATTACATACCAACTATTACACTTGATCAATGCAGTAATTGCCAAATATATCTTTCGTCTAATCATCTTAATACTGAAATCATAACAACCAAGTATGATAGTATTAATGTCCATGTTCCTGATACAGGATGCGATGGTGATTATAAAGAGTGTCCTGTACCGGGAATGCTTAAAAGTACAATTGTCGATGGAAAACTTGTTACTAGTTTTGTTGAGCATGCAGGCTAAGTTTATCGTTTATTATTGTTATTGTATTGTATGTTTCTTTTTCGTCTTTTTATGTAGTAGCTGTATACTAAAGAATGAATTTCTATTTATACATTTAGCCCAGTACTAAGTAAAAGAATTATGAAATACCAGGGGGAAAAGGACTTGGTATTTCTGATTTTCCTGGTTGTGATATAGGATGACGAAGATATATACCAGAACATGTTAAATAAGATACCTCTAAATATGCTGGAATGAAGGCAAACGGACCCATATACGGTCGTGGTATAAATCGTTCAATTTTATTTGGCAGAATCTCTTTTGAAGATTTCTGTTGAAACATTTCGGGAGAGCCTGTATTCCTTATAACAGTAGATGCATCTGCAATGAACATATCCCCAGGTTCTAAGAAGTATCCTGGATCAGTTATCTAATTAATCAGCACTTATTTGTTTATATTTGACCTCAAAATACCTTTTTTCCATTTACTTTTACTTTTCCATGAATTACCATTTGCCTTGCTTGTTTAACACTAGATGCAAACAATGCACGGTGAATCACTGTATCTAACCGTCTTTCTAGAATTGAATAGGTATTATCTGCAGATAATTCTTTTGTTTTTCTTTTTTCTACTTCACCAATACTAAAGAGCCGTAACCATTGATGTTCACGAAGCGTTTCACCATGGTATGCACGAGTCTCTCTTTTTGCAGACCACATTTGTTTATACAGTGTTTTTCCATGAATTGGAATATTTTTTTTTGTCATATTATATAAATTTTCTTTTGACCAATTCATTTTTATTTTTCCATATTTTGGAAATAACTTTGCTGATTTTCCTAGCATCTAAATTCTTTTTATAAACTTTCTTTGAATATTATTTGTCTTTTATTTCTTTTAAAAAGCTTTTTTATTTTTGAAACTGAAGTTTTTCAAGTGCCGATGATTATTTCGAAAGTTGTATATCTTAATAATAAATTAAACCTTAATATGCAAAAATATTCAATGATGATGATATTATTTGTTTAATATATTCAAACTGTAGAAGAAAATTGTTATTTTATAAAAATGTAAAAATCGAAAATAATTTCAAAGAGTAAATTGATTAATTTGTAATTAAAGTATATAATATTAAGTGAATAGTAGACCTTAGGATGTATTTTAAAAAGTTGGAATACTGTAAAAATGGTTTGTTTGAGTAATGATTAAAAAAAGTTTGAAAAATACATATTTTTTCAAAAAGTAGATGAAAAGTGTATTTTTGTTTCCGTATTCTGATATATATATTGAATTCTTTAATAAAGCTAAAACCGATGACTATTAAATATGATTTTTTCTGGATTTTTAAAACCTTTATGATAATCACTCATAAAAGTGCTCTTTTTATGAAGAAATATGCAATTCGATGCATTAAAAATATAAAACTCCTGAATAAAAATTAAAAACTGGAAAACGTGTTAACAATTTAAATGATCAACGTTTATTTCGATTACTTCGACGTGTATTCGAAGTAGTGTTCTGTGTAATTTTTTCAGACCTTGATGTACGAGTGTTAGAAGATGCATTTGAAGAATGATTCTTTTCCGACGTTAAGACTTGTTTTTCTGTCTTCTTTGGCATTCGGCGCATAATTCGTAAGGCTAAATATTTCTTTTTTAGATTTTTTGTTGTATAAAATTGAAAATCTATTTTAATTAATATATTCCAATGTATTGGTTTTTCAAAATTAACCATCATCTGTTGCTTCCGGTTCCGGACTTTCTGTTTGAAGTGTTTCAATCTCTGAACCTTCTTCAGCTCCTCGATCTGCTTCATATACCCCGTGGGGCAAATGGGGAGGACTTGTTGATGTACTATTGCTTGCTCTTCTATGTTCTTCCATAATTTCACCATATTCTTCCCATGGTAAAAGAAATTCTGTAAAATACGGTTCCTGTGCCAAATCTTCTTTTCTTTGGTTATCCTTTCCATTTCTAAAGCGTTCTGACTAATATATATACATTAAAAAGTGCTAGAAACATATAATAACATGAATATCATACAATTTCATCCAGAAGTTCAAGATTGTATAAAGTCTTCAATTTTTCCCAAATATCCGCTGATTTTATCATAAAAGAGTTCATTTCTTGCATTATTGAAATAATACGGAAATGTTTATGTATTCCTGGTATGTTTTTAGTCATTTTTTTTCCATCTGATTTACTACTTCATTATACGCCTTACCAATTGGCCGGTACTTGCAAACCGCCCGAAGAAGTGCAATTTCCTCGTCTACAGTCCATTCATGTTCTTTATGTTTGTTTGTCATTGTTTTTTAAGGTTTTTTAAGGTTTTTTAAGTAATTTTATCAGTTTTTTATTTTATTAAATAAAGATGAGGTTAATTAGTGTTTGAACATGACGACACCTGTTTGATAAAAAATAAGAATATCTGAAACTTGCCAAAATATGCAAAAAAAAGGGTTTTTTGATATTGAAAATGGATTTAGAAGCATTGAAAACCTAGAAACTGTAAAAAATTTGGGAGAAAATGCAAAATTGATTAAACAAATAAATTTTCATGGTAAAAATGAATTTGTTGTAATTGATATGAATTTATCTAAATAAAAGAATAGAAAAGATACGTGAGGCATCTTCTCTAAATGATGTTTGTTTTCAGACGAGATTTAATGAATTGTATAATATGGGGCCATTTGGATATGACTTAATTGCTCGTATTGCAGAGAAAATTATGTTAAGGAGTCAGGGGATAAATAAACCTTTTAGTGATAAATTGATGGATTCTGATGATAATAATGGAGATAAAATGAAAAAACATGATGATATCTGGTTGGACGATGATATTTTATATGTAATTTTCCTTCTTTTATATTTATATTGACCAAACAAGTATTCGAAAGAAATGTCATGGGATGTATTTAAGAATCCATCGTTAAAGCCATATATAAACCCATTCATGACGGAAAAGTCTATGCATATATTTGATCTTTTATTAGTAAAAAAGTTAAATCATATTTATTCATCACAAGAAGCTGGGATATTAGTAGACCCATTTTTGTTATGTAAAGTAAGTTATATTCATGATTTTTTTTTTTAATTATTTTTAGTCTCTTTTATTACTTTCTCTTGGAGAATCTTCATCTCTTTTTTCTTGGGATAAAAAGCGTTTGAGGTTTTTTTTATTAATTGAAAATTTAAAAGTAACAGGTTGTACAAAAGAATCAACCAAAAGGTATATTTTTTCTATTTCTTTATAAAAATTGATTAATAAAATAAGTATAATTAATTTTTTTATGAGTATTGGTACACATACATCTAGGCTTCAACTTTTTATTAATTCTATTAAAAAGAATGCATTGTAGTATAAATATGATCGTCTATTTATTAATTAATTATTTTTAGAAATTACGATCCCTGTGTTTTAGCATTTGTTTCCTGTATTACAGAAATACTGAGAAATTATAATGATACTTTTGTTTCAGATTTAAGCGATATTAAAGAACCGCTTTTATTACTAAATTGTGTTCAAAAATATATAGATATTGAAGAATGTATAAGAAAATTGGCTGCTTTGTGTTTTAGAGATTTGGAAATGTTTCCCGAGCCACCTTTTCATGAAATAAAACAAGGAATCGACTTATTAAATATCCTATATACTTTTGTGTATAAGAATTCATATACAGGAAAAAAATATATTTTGTCAGTATCAAGATTTTTGCTTAAATATTCAAGTTGTCCATGGTTAAAAATGTTAGAACAATGGATCGGTTTTCAAAGAAAAACACCTAATGAAATGGATTTATGGAAAGAAGGAAAAAATTCTGGATTTTTTATTCACGAAATAAATACTTATTTTGAAAATAATATAAATTTAGATGACTGTTTTAAGGTAAAATCTATATTAATATATTGAGTTAATTAACAAAAACAAGATAGATAATATAGATTGTCGTTATCTTCCAAAATCTTTTTTTCAAAGTGTTTATAATACAGGAAAATCTATTAGACTTCTTTATAAAATCCAGCCTGATCATCCTTTATGTAGAATATTATATAAAAAAATAAATCAGCCAAACATAAATATTCAATTAGAATGGAAATTTTATTGGGAAGACATAAATGAGTAAGAATTCTTCATAATATTTAATATATTGATACTTTCAGTTTAATTAAGCAAATGAAGTTATATAAGGAAATTATGGAAACAGAAATTAAGAAATTTGAAAATTTTAATAAATATGATGAAACAATAGACTTAGAAAAAATGGAAAAGCTTCAAAAAATATCTGAATTTGAATTTTTTAGTCATTCAAAACAGGAAATTGTTGATTCTATTAAAAAATCAATTAATCTTTTTGAAAGCAATATTACAGATAAACATATATTACTATTTAATAAAAATATGAACATAGCACATTTGGAGGAAGACATAGTGCCAATTGACCTAGTGTCTATGCATTGTTTTATAATACCATTAATTGTTCAATCTAATTTAGTAAATAGTGCTATCATGAAATTATTTATTAAGGATGTAGAATTAGAACGTCATTTTTCATTACTTTGGAAGGCTAAATTATTTAAAGATGGGTTGTTTGTATTAAATCTTTCATATGCTTTATTTGGTTATGCATTAGAACATAATAAATATTCATTAGAGTTAAATTTTAGAACAGGACTTAAAGAGCAATGGCCTCCTAAATCTGCTGAATTGACAATAGCATTGCGAACTATTTTAATCGATACTTTTGGGCATGAATTCCTTTTAAGTAAACAAGGATTCGACACTGAAAGTACTTTATTAGGTGGATTGAGTTTTTTTATTGAAGAAATTGATGAATTAGAATTTGAACAGGTTAAAGATCCTTATAGTTTGTTTCTAATATTTCATTATATACTTTTCTAAAAAACATATAGATATAGAAGCACTTGATTTTTTAAAAATTGTTTATACACCACCATTTCCTTTAAACGAGATTATAACAAATTCTTGCTTAATTAAATATGATCGATTAACTAACTTTTTATTACGTCTTATACGAATGAATAATGTTGTTGTAAAACTATTTGAAATTAAAACAAATAAACAAATGCTTAATCATTTCAAAATAACTTTAGGATTTCGTTTTCATGCTCGTTATTTTATTTATACTCTTTTTTGTTATATCTTTAATATCGTATTACCTTTGAATTATCAAAAACTGAAAAAATATTTGACTAACATTGAACTTAATTCGTCTCAATTCATATTTACTTCTTTAGTTGATTTTCATTCAGACATTCTCGATCATATTCTTTTTTCATGTTTTCTTACTTCATCTCAGGCGTCTTTAATTCATATTATTACAGATATCTTCTCAATTATTCTCAATTTTTCAAAAACATTTTTTTATTATCAATCTCATCTAAATACATTTGATGTTAATTCTCTTATTTCTATGACAAATATATTATATCCTTCTCTCATTAAACTCATTACAAAATTTGTTCAAAAGATTCATTATTTGGCTATCGATAAGCATATTTATACAGAACTTGATGCTCTTTTCGTTACAAAATATCTTTAATTTTTTAACATTTATACTTATTTACTATTATTTTGACTTAAAGGAGCCTTTTTCTTCTTTATCAAAATGAATCAACAGATTATTTTTTATTTAAAATATTAAATTTAAATATTTTAAACATATAAATTATAATTTAGTATGTAATATCATAATTTTCTATAATCTGTTAGAGATAAAAAAAATAAAGTATTGTAAAAACATTATATTTTTTGTTTTTTTTGTATCATATCATATCGCAGACAAAACTTGGAAAAAAAATACATTAATTTTACAAAATATTTTATAAAATAAGATGAAATTCTATATTATTCCAATTACCAAAAAACGTCATTTTCTATATTGTTGTCAAAAATCAGTTATTTCTAATCTTTCTTTAATTGATAGGTTTGCAAATAAAGTTAATAATATTTGGGGAAAATGGGGAAATTCTGAGACTAAATGGAAGAAAAAATTAGTAAAAATCGGAAATCAGATGATTGACAGACTTCCATACGAAGAATGGACTCTTAAAAATGTTCCTTCTCATGAAAAAATGCATGAAATATATAAAATGAAAGGAATACAAAACAAAGTATGTTTTTTATATTTTTAAGAAGAAAAAAAAGTAATTTCTGGCAAATAAAAGGTTACCGTTCATTACCCTACGTCTTTTGGACCAGAAAAAGTTATTTTTACAATTTCTGATCTAGTTAAACGTAAGATAATGTTTCATAAACGACGGATGATCTTTTCTATAATTGGGGCACCATTTACACTTCCTGTGGCTTTAATACCAATCATTCCTAATATTCCTGGCTTTTATTTACTGTTTAGGGCATATTCCCATTGGAAAGGTGCTATAATAGTTTTCAAATATTTCTTTAATGATAAACTGTTTTTATAGCGTTTCATGGTGCACAACACCTCGATTATTTATTAAAAAACAATCTTTTTAACCTATCTGCATCTTCATCTTTGGACAAAGTTTATGGAACTAGTTTACAAAATACAAATAATCATGATACTCTTTTATTAAATACTACCAGAATCTACACTATATCGAAAATTATAGATAACAAAGATTTTCAAACACATTTAGAAAGAGCTATTCGACAAATTCAGAAAGATAGTTCATTACGAATATCTGATCTCTCTATATCTTTATAAAATACGTTTCAAATAATATTTTTATATATGAAATGTGTTAAATTTGATTTTTACAGAAAATTTTGTTTCAGAATATAGTTTTGAAATAAGCATCTTCTTTAACACATTTGGGCTGTAAATTTGTTTTATTTTTCTTTTTTCTTTAACTTTCTGGCAACCCTTATACATATCGATGACAAAAATTAAAGAAAATGGAGTTGCCAGTGTTGCAGGACCAATTATTTAATGATCGAGTTAGAATATGGCAGGAATACTTAGATCATAGATCAGATGATCCAGTGAGTTTTTTTTTTTTTTGAAAAAATTAATAATTTTGAAAGAATATCATTAATTATCATGAAGCAATCAGGCGTATGCTTCATCTTGAAGAAAGACGGTTAATTGTTAATATTGATGATATCAGAGACTATAATCGTGATTTTGCGGATGGGTAGTATTGAATGTTTTTCTTTTTTTGGCTTATATATAAGATTATTAAATCAACCAGCGGAATATTTACCTCCATTTAATAAAGCTTTACGTGATGTTGTTTTAACTGTAAGAGATATTACAAAACATAAAGTAGATGATATGTTGTTTTATATTGGATTTGTTGGATCATTTGGAGACCAGCGTATATTTCTTTTTTGTATTAATCGATTTTACATTTTTTAGATGTTACTCCACGCAGTATTCGTGCTCAATATTTAGGAAAACTTGTCTGTATTGAAGGAATTGTTACTAGGTGTTCCCTTGTACACCCAAAAGTTGTTAAATCTGTTCATTATTGTGAAAAAACTAATCTTTTTCATTACCGAGAATATCGAGATGTTACGACTATAGGCAATGAATTGCCAACTTCTGCTGTTTACCCTACACAAGATGAGAATGGGAATCCTCTTACAACAGAATTTGGGTATTCGGTTTACCGCGATCATCAAACTATTTCTATTCAAGAAATGCCTGAAAAAGCACCTGCAGGGCAATTACCAAGGAGCATTGACGTAATTATGGACGATGATTTAGTTGATCGTGTTAAGCCTGGTGACCGTGTTCAATTAGTAGGTCTTTATAGGGCCCTAGGGAATAGAAATGCATCATCATCAAGCTCTACTTTTCGTACACTTATTATTGCAAATAATGTTATTTTGTTGTCATCTAAGGTTAACGGAGGTATTGCACAGATGACTATTACAGATACAGATGTACGGAATATAAATAAACTTTCTAAGAAAAAGAATATTTTTGAATTACTTTCTCGGTCTCTTGCACCGAGTATTTTTGAATATGAATATATTAAAAAGGCAATCCTTCTTCTTCTTCTTGGAGGAATTGAGAAAAATCTTGATAATGGAACACATATTAGGGGGTATTGTGGTTATATTATATTTTTTAAATAATATTATACAGTGATATCAATATTTTAATGGTGGGTGATCCATCTACTGCAAAATCTCAAATGCTTCGTTTTATTGTAAACACTGTGCCATTGGCTATTGCAACTACTGGGCGTGGATCTTCCGGTGTAGGTTTAACAGCTGCTGTTACGACTGACAAAGAAACTGGTATGTTATATTTATTTTTATCATTTTAATTACTGAATATCAAAAGGAGAACGTCGTCTTGAAGCTGGTGCTATGGTATTAGCAGATCGTGGAGTAATTTGTATTGATGAATTTGATAAAATGTCTGATATTGATCGTATTGCAATTCATGAGGTTATGGAACAACAGACTGTTACTATAGCAAAGGCAGGGATTCATACATCTCTTAACGCAAGATGTAGTGTTATTGCTGCAGCAAACCCTGTCTATGGTCAGTACGATACTCACAAAGATCCTCATCGTAATATTGCTTTACCTGATTCTTTATTATCTCGATTCGATCTTTTATTTGTTGTTACAGATGATATTGATGAAGCACGTGATCGATCTATCTCTGAACATGTATTACGTATGCATCGCTATTTAGCACCTGGTGCAGAGGAAGGTGTTCCTGTTGTAGATAATTACGGAAAAAATTTATCTATAGGTGTGGAAAATAATATAGACAGTTTAATTTATGAAAAATCAAATCAGATATTTTGTAATGGTCTTTCAAATAAAGAAAAAACAAAAAATGATGAAATTTTGAGTATTTCTTTTTTAAAAAAATATATTCAATACGCAAAAAATAGAATTAAACCTATACTTACAAAAGGAGCAGCTGATCATATAATAAGTACATATAGTGCTTTACGAAATGACGAGTTAGGTGCTAATCAGCGCAAAACATCACCAATAACTGCACGAACATTAGAAACACTTATTCGTTTATCAACTGCGCATGCAAAAGTCAGATTATCTCAAAAAGTTGAGGAGAAAGATGCATATGTTGCAGAAGAAATTCTTAGATACTCTTTATTTAAAGAAGTTGTAAAAGATGAACGGCGTAAACGACTTCGGCTTCAAACGAATCAAGATAGTGAAAGCGAGGAAAATGAGGAAAGGAGAACAAATATACAGAGTGAGAATTTTCAATTGAGAAGATCAACTAGGCAATCTACTACAAAGCGATATACTGATGACAATGATATAGCTATAGATGATATTGATGATTCAGGTTATAGAGAAGAGCAGCCTAGTGAAAAAAGTATGCAATTGGATTTTCAACAAGAAACACAAGTTTCATGGGGTTCAACACAATCACTTGGTTCAGAATCTCAACCCGATCAAGATAGCCTTTTTAAAGAAAGTACCCAAATCAGTCAATCTTCTGAGCAGATTATATCACCATCTAGATTTTTATTGTTTTCATCTAAATTATCGCAGCTTATTACAGCACCTTTCTTTAGTGAAGAATATGTTCATTTTAACGATTTATTGGCAGAAATTAATAAGGGTCTAGCACAGGAAGAAGTGTTCACACCTCATGAAGCAAATGCTGCACTTAATAAACTTGCTGATCAAAATAAAATCATGGTTTCCAATAATATTATTTATAAAATTTAAGTTATCAAAATATTTTATCGTTTTAAATATTATTTTTTTATATTTATAATAGTTATATTATGGCATTTTTATATTTTTGCACAAAATTATTAGTCAATATCTTAATATTTTACTTAACAAGTCAACCTAGTTTTCATGTCATACCGTATACTATTTTTTACTGCAAAATTTCGAGCAGACGGCAAAAAAAAGTTTAAAAGATATAAATTATTATAAATCCTTTAAATATGAACGAAGTTGTATAAAAATACTCTAGAAAGATCAGGAATGTATAGAAGATACGAGTAAGTTTTTGAAGCATGAAATTTGACTTATTTTTGAGAAAGTTTTTCTCTAGAAAGCAATGTCCATAGATCCCTTTAAAAATGAAAAAATTACGAGAAAAAACTTATGGTAAGTAGAACCTTTCAGTATATTTTTGTTATTTTCATGTTTATTTTTACTAAATTTGTCTTAATATTAACCATATATCTTCTAGCAAGGAAACTTTTATCAAAAAAAAAGTGCAACAAAATGACATTGAATTGCGTCAAAAAGATTTGTTAACAGAGCTTTTCATACTAAATTCACTGCAAAAGTACTTCCCGGATGTTGGAAAAGATATATGTGAGAAAATTTCAGCGTCTGATGAACTAAAGATGTTTTTGGCTAAAAATAGTCTTATGAAGTTTTTCGTTTAAATATACATCTAGCACTAATTAATAAAATTCAGTGGCTCAAAATTCGATGCTTCTACACTTAAAACATATGTTTTTTCTGAAGAGAATTTACCTACTCCATTAAAAGATTCTGAATCATCTGAAATAATTAATAATTCTTCAGTTGATATTTTATCTCAAAATTCTGAAAAAATAAAAACAAACGGTTTTTCTGGAAGATTAAAACATAAAACAATAGATGATCATCTAGAAGTAAATGTCTTTGGTAGAATCGTTGCATTTTTAATTCTCTATTAGTCAATTTCTCCACATATAACTACTCATTCAGCTTTATATAATTCAGATCACACATCTCCGCATATTCAGAAGTATATGTTAGGTCATCAACAAAATAAAACTAATCGTATTGATATGTTATCATGGTTAATACAAACATCTACTATGCCAATGTATAAACTTATGCAAAGTTCAAGCAAAATCATTGTTACACGAGATTGGAACTCTGCATTGATAGAAACTAGGTTTATAAAAGTTCTTGAGCGTATTAATAAATTGAAAGAGAATAATTCTTGGAGCTTTCGACAAATGATAAAACAAAAAACACCATCGAGGTTGAAAGCTCACTGGGATTTTATGTTAGATGAAATGGTATTGTTTTTTATGATTTTTTCAATATTAAAGTAGTTTAGAGATGGTTACAAGTTGATTTTAAAGAAGAAAGAAAATGGAAAATAGTTTTAGCTAAACAAATGGTTAATTGGGTAGTAGAATGGCACAGGATAAAAGCTATGTCAGGTATTTATACTCATATTGATTTAATTAATTCTTATACTTTGTTTTTAGAAAATGAAGAACATAATATAATTAATCCTAATTTTTCAATTAATTTATCCAAAAATGAACTAGACTCACAGCGAAATCTACATAATCAAGATAAGAAGAATATTAAGAATACAAACTCTGCTATGAAAGCTTATATGAAAAATAATTTTTCTAAAAACATTGTTATGTTACATTCATCCCCATCATTTATTATAGAAAATGCTGTACAATTATTGGAAATTCCTCCGGATAAAATTATTGCTACGTTTTCAAATTTTTCTCTTACTTCAAATACTTTATTACCAGAACTTCCTGTTTATCTACCACCTATACCTGAAGATATATTATATTATGATCCATTGGAGGAAATGAAGATTATTCCGCTTTCAAAATATACACAATCACGTATTAAAATATCACATTCAGACAAATTTTTTAAAAAAAGGAAACGAGAAATGTCTCCTATTCCTATAGATGTTGATGATATTCCTGACAAACAACGAATTATAATTAATGATTTTTCACTTGCAAATTCTCGTAACTATATTTCTTTTTTTTATTTTATATAATATTTATAGAAACATCAAATCTACGAAAAAAATCATCATATCCTTCTCAACTACGTCCTCCTAATATGCCATTAAATTCCGAAAATCGTAAACCAATATGGACATCAGATGAAGACGATCTTTTAATGACTTATCTTCCAAAATACCAATTTAATTGGGAATTTGTTGCTCAAACTTTAACACCATCAATAAAGTGGGTTTCTCCATTGGAAAAAAAAACTGCATGGGACTGTTTTGAACGATGGGCTCAACTAGATCCTCATGCTTTAAATGTTACTTTTGTTGGCCCTTATGCTAAAACAGCATATGCAAAAATTGAGCCTATTTTAAAAAATACAAAGACAAATAATTATGGAGGAATATTTCGTTTGAAGAAAGATGTTGGGAATAACCAGCAAAATTTTAAATTTAAACGACAACGCCAATTTAACATGTTTGATGCTATAAGGAAAACTATGAAAAAGAGAGAAGTCTCCCAGAAATTGAATGGTAATATATATTTTATTTTAAATATTATATTTTTATTTTTTAATATAGCAGGCCCATCCAAAAAAGTGAACATTCTAAGCCACGATACTCATGGAATAACTCATAAACCTTCTATGGCAGCACCAACACCTTTAGATCTTTCACGACTTAAACATGAAAGAGATCAGGTTATCACTCAGGCATATATTCGCCAAAGAAATGCTGTTGTTGCTCTTGCACTGCAAAATCAAGCTCGTGTATGTATTTTATGCTTATAGGAAAATTAAGTTCATATAAATAGTCATCTGGACGATCCAATTTGCCTGGAATGAATCCTACTCCTCAACAAATAGCTCAAATGCAGTCTGTCCATTCTCAAGTTAATACACAGAATTGTGCACAAGGCGTATCACGAGCTATTCCTTCTATGGTTAATGGCTTAAGATTTACACGATCTGTTCGTCCTTCTATATCTAGTCAAACTTCTCCAAATCCTGTTGGTATTGCGCCTGTCTTACGACTACCACCAGGTACTCGTTTATCACAAGAACAAATGCAACAATTGATTCTTCAGCGACAACAATTGTTGCAAGCACAGCGTACACAAACACAAACAATACAGCAAACAGGTTTTTTCCTTAAACTTTTTCTTCTCTTTATAATTTTAAATAGCACCCTATTCTGATTCTGAACAAACTGATATCCCTTCTGAATCTAGACGTCTTACACCTCTTAATCAACATCAGCAACAAGTATCCGTCCAAAATCATGGATCTAGTCCTCTTATCCCTGAACATACACTTCAATCTCAACAAACATATCCTTCTATCCCTTAAAATATAGTGTCCATCTTGTTTTACACATGTTATGTATTTTATTAAAAGGTTTTATTTGTAAATTTATCTGTATAAATTCTGTCGTTGCGGTATCATCAAATAAATTTTTTTAAAAAAACATTTATTATTAAAGCATTAAATATTTTTAATCTAATATTAATTCTTGTTAAGTCCTTGTTAAATTTCTGTTATATAAAAGCTCATAAGTAATATTTTTAATGGTTTCTCGTTTTCAGCAAGAAAATACATATATTTTAAAAAACAATAGTGATGAAGACAAATTCGGAAAAAAACAACTGGATTTGCATATTTCGCGACTTGAGTATTATGCTAGAAGAATGATGTGTTTGTTGATATCTGTCTTTATTGTTGGATTTTTGTTTATTATGATTATTTTCGTTTATTTTTCAAATCCTGAGAAATTATAACTATATAATATTTTCTAAATAGACAATTATGTTTACCTACATGTCGTTATTCTTTTGTTCCTATTTTTTAGAAATACTGAAGCTGAACGTTATTGTAAGTGTTGCTACAACTGTGCTATGTTTATTCATATATTGATCAAGTTTTCATTTTTTAAAGAAAAAATGCAGTAGTTGCGTAAACCAAGATGTATTACATGTATTTTTAGTATTATTTACACTATATTCTGTTATTTTATCTGTATTTTCATTGAAATGTCTATTTCTTTGTAAGGATATTGTAGATAATTGGCGTCGGTCAAGTCGGTTTAGTCTATATATGTTAATAAGGCTGTTTTTTCGTTGCCTATAATACTTTCTCGCTGTTTTTGCATTGGTTTGTGTTCTTTGTCCATGAACAGGATATCTAGAGAATAAATATCTATTTAACAATATGTTTAACTAACCCCATGGCATGTCTTTTTCCTATATATGATCCTATTGTTTTATAATGCATAATATGTCGCTGTGTTTGTCTACGTAGATCATTTTCTAGTACAAATGTACTAAGTATTTGTGAAAGTGCGGTTCTTTGAGCTTCTGTTAAAGAACCAACAGTAGCTGTCCGATGAATAGATAAAGATGCCATAATTCTTGATGATCTATAATGCCCAATACCATAGAATGCTGTCAGTGCAATCTTTAAAGACTTGTGTTCGGGCAAAACAACACCTAGAATATGAACCATTTGAGATATTTGAACCAAAAAAAATCACAGTATAATGCAGTATACTTTTTTGTAAGATTTAAGGATATTGTTATTGTATTTTATACGGTTTCTTTGTCTTTTTGATTCTTCAAGGCCAATAAGTTATTTTTTGTGAAAAAACTGTCTTTTGAACCAGATTTTTTTGAAATTTCTCTAAAACTTTAGTCTTTTTTTTTATTAAGTAGTATTTACATAAAACTGTATAGTTTTTTTTTATATTTTGATGTTTTAAATTAATTTTTTAGTTTTCAATTACACTTTAATATTTTACTGCTGAGAACAATGTTCGGTATATCGCAAGATTTTTATAAGAATGAATATATAGTGATAAGTATTTAAAACTTATAAAACAAAAATAAAGTTGTAGATGATAATGTTTGAAAAAAATTATATACATACACAGGCAACATGTGCTTTCATCTTAACTAATTTGAAAAACAAGTGGAAATAGAAACAAAATAGTCATAAATATCAACGAGATGCTTCCTTCCATAGCTCTAAGGCAACATCATTTCTTCGTAAATATATATCCAAAGATATTTTCAAATATGTGTTCCATACGTAAATACTTTTAGTACTTCTTAAAAAGTTTTGCCAATAAATGATAACCCTATATATATTTAACAGAATAAAAAATAGCTACTCAGAAGTCTAAAAGCCGAAAAATATTCAAAAAAATTAGTAATCACAACATATGGCTGCTTTTGGAAATAAAAGAAAAACAATGGTAACTTGAAAATGAATTAATCTGAATAATGGTACAGATGAAATTAAAGTGCCCGTATATGTAATGCAAAACAACCAGGCGAGCTAAAAACAAATTGAAAAAATAATGAAAACAAATAGTAATCTCAGTATGCAACTTCATTGCTACCACCAGCTTTGACCTGTCACTCCAGACGGATTCCCATATGTTTGGGAGCTATAACCATTACCATAACCTCCATTAGAATAACCACTTGATATAGGACCATAATTATTGCCATTTGAATATTCACTATAATTATTACTGCCATTGGAAACCTTACGGTAATCACGTGTTCCTGTTCCTCGACGACGACCACGTACAGTACTCGTATTATTGCGACTATTATACGTATTATTCTCTCTAAGAATACTCTCTAAAAACGACGGTATTTCTTGATTTGCTTCTTTAAGTAGTTCAAGTAAATCACGTACAATACTTCTATTCCCTCGGTTAAAAAAAGCGGTACTAATACCAGTATTTCCTGCACGTCCCGTACGGCCAATTCGATGAACATAATCATCAATATCTGTAGGCAAATCGTAATTAATTACATGCGTTACATTTGGAATATCCAGCCCACGAGCTGCTACAGCAGTAGCAACCATGATCGGTGTTCTTCCACCTCTAAACATTTCTAAAGCCTTTTCCCGCTCACGTTGAGTTCGATCACCGTGAATGCTTGTTGCAGGAAAATTAGAACTCAGCAAGAAATCAGAAAGTGTATCCGCCATTCGTTTAGTTTCAACAAAAATTAAAGTAAGCCCTCCACGTGGCATGCTATGTAGAATATCCAAAAGAACAGATTTTTTGTCCATATCTTCAACATATTCGATCTTTTGTGTAATATTTTCACTTGTAGAACCAACCCTTCCAACACTTAAAAATACATAATCTTTTAAAAAATCACGAGCGAGAATTTGAATATCTTTAGGAAATGTAGCTGAAAACATTAATGTTTGACGATGTTCAACATTCGGCATATCTTCTCCCTCAACAATTCTACGGATTTGCGGTTCAAAACCCATATCCAGCATACGATCTGCTTCATCAAGGACGAGATATTTAATGTTTGAAAGAGAAATACGACCGCGTTCTATTAAGTCAACAAGACGACCTGGTGTTGCTGTTAACATGTCACATCCACGTTCAATTTGCCGTAATTGTGAACCAATATCTGTACCACCATAAATGACACACGGTTTAACCCACGATCGATATGAAAACTTTCGTGATTCTTCATGAATTTGGTTTACTAATTCGCGTGTAGGTGCAAGAATAAGTGTCATTGGATAAGCTTTTCTACTGCGAGCATAGGAGGCATATCCTAAAGGAATAGGAGGATCACGAGGACCAGTCTGAAACATTTTTGACAAAATAGGGAACAAAAATCCACCAGTTTTACCCGAACCTGATAATTAATCACTATTCAGCCCTATGTATACCCATAAAACACACCTGTCTGTGCACACGCCATTAAATCTCTATCCTGAATGACAATAGAAATAGAATGCTTTTGCACAGGTGTAGGATTTTTATAATTTGCAAGTTCGATATTACTCAAAAGATGTGAATCCAATGGTGGACTGGTAAACACAGAAATTGGCTCAGGAACATCTGTTCCACTCACTTCTACCGGAATATCATCGTACTTATCAAAATTAATCCCTGTACTGACTGTATTTGAATCATGATGTGACCCAAAAAGTTCTCGTTCTAAACGTTGATTCCGTGTTCCAATGATATGTTTTCCATCCCACCATGCACCTTGATCACTTGAACCTCGAAGTCCAAAAGAATCCCCTCCATAACGCGATTTCCGAGACCCATAGTTCCCATCAGAGCTTGTTACATTCCAACTTGATGATCGCATTGCAGATAATGTATTTCGAACATCACATGCTCCATGCAGATTTGTAGTCCCATTTACTCGACCACGAAGATGTGGAGGAACATATGTTGCTGCTCTTTTAGGATACATTGGATCTTGAATATCCATCGTTGCTATATTTAAAAACTTATTAGTTCATTCATTTTTAATCATTTTTTCACTCAAAAACATACACATTTTTTGTGCAAGATCTCTTGATGCATCTTCTTTGTCTTTATCTACCTCTTCATGTCCCATCTTATTTTATCTTCAATATTTTATAATTTTATGATTTTTTTGACTTTTTTACAAAAAAAGAGACATCGTCATCGTGCAAAAATTTTAAGTCCCTCGGGAAAAATAATATTTTTTTGAGAAAAAAAAACATAAACAAGATATGTTGGTATGACTGATATTTTCAAAGTGTTGTGGAGATTTAAGTAAGCATCTGGTATATTCTTAAGTTATTTTTATACATTTTCGTTTGTACTATTTTTAGCGGTGATGCGTGTCAGAAATCGAATGATGCTCGAAAAATATACGTTATTATATGATAAAATAGATTGTGGTTTTTGTATGATATTATATTTTTTCTGTAGTTCCTAGCCGTTTATTGTTTGCAATACGAAGCTTATTTTTCTAATATATTCATCTGTTTTTGCATAACGTATATATATTTAATAGTATAGTGTGTTTTTTATATAATTTGTTTTAATGACTAAATCAATCTAAAGAGAGCTCAGCTGTAGACACATTTGGTTGATTTTCAAAGATTGTATTGTAATGAATTAATAACAAAGAAAAGATTCCAGCTGGTATATTCAAAGTAGGAGAAAAGACGATTCCCACTATAAGATATTAATGTTTAGCTTGATAGATATACGCAATTTTACCATTGCTAGATGTCATTTTATTTAGATCTGCATGGGCTACAATTCGATATAAGTGACTAATTAAGATACGTAATAAACAAAAATTTTCTTCAGGTAAATGACGAATAAGTTTGGCTATTTTATCTATTTTTTCATTACTATCTTGAATTTCTGAAAAGATCAATTGTTTATTCATAATTTTTGATTTATACTAACCCATTATGGACAAAAACTGTGCATGTAAATCTCTTGTTAGAATATTTGTAGGAAGTTCACGCAAATAAAGCTTTAAAAGACCTGCTATAGCATGAACATCATAAGATTTTCCAGAATTCAGTAAATCAACATCCCCTACTACTTAATATTAATTAAATAAAAATAAATATATAATAACAATACCAGTATTAAATTTATCTCTTAATGATCTAATTATTGTATTTGAACCACTTAAACGATATATTCCTTCTTCTTTTTCTGCATTGTTACTATCTAAATATTCTATACAACGATATACTACACTTGGAACTAATATGTCTACTCCTAAGCTTAACTGACTAATAGAAACTGCTTCCAATAGAGGAGCTCCAAATATATTGCGTAAGTTATGATTTGATACTTGAGAATTCAAATCAATAGTGCTAGAAGAAATTCGTATATCATGTGACACTGGTTCAGATAATCTTACTCTATCTATTATATAGATAAATAAATTATTATAGAACAAAACTTTACCACCTCTGTTTACAAAGCCCCAAAATCCTTTTTTTTTGTATTTTTTGTCTATTCTCAATGACTCTTCAGACACATTACCTATATTATCAAATGATTTTATATTACTTAAAGAGCCTGCTACTTTATGTGTCATTTTAGAGTCAAAAAAATTGTTTGAAACGGGACTTTCAGTAAAATTAACAGATACATTTTTGTTCATATCATCAGCAGGTGATGATGAATGATGTTTCGAGGAATTTAACTCTATTTGTTTTTCTGTATTAACATCAACATTTTCAGATGTATTTTTTAAATCATTAGCTGGAAATTGATATGCATTAATATTAAGTGTTGTTGTTGAATGATGTGCTGTATTTACTAATATAGAATTTTTTCTAAAAAAGTATTTTCGCTCCTTTTTTTCGACATTATTAGATGCTACAAAATTATCTGGAACATTAATATCAACATATTGCATAAGAGCCTCAACCCATTCGTCACAATCTTTGTCCGATTTGGCACATAACACATGTCTAATAAAACTCGATGAATAGTTTCTTTTAGGTTCAAGAATTAAAAACGCATGTCGGTAAGAATTATCATCACAGGTATCTGATTGAGATTCTAAAGGTAAAGATTTAGAATGGGCTTGCAATTGTTGACGACCAATTTGAGCCTGAAAAAGTTTAATAGTACCAAGTTGAGGACCTCCATAAGCCTCATAATATTTAAGAATTGGACCATCTAAAATAAAATATCTTGATTTCCATCCTCCAAAGTTTTTTCCACGCTTAGTCAAGTATCCTTCTTTTTTAACAAAATTAGATTTAATGTTATTTTCATTAAAATGTTCTTGATTTAATGTATTTTGTTTGCTGTATGAAATATGAGGCTTAGTTTGCGTTTCAATATCGGTATTTAAAAAATCATTCAAAACTGAATATGCAGATTCATCTAATGGGATTGAAAGAATATGCTTCAAATATTGATCCAATAAAGCTTTACGCTGATCAACGCGTGTTGTACTTTGAGTATTAAGACTAGTAATATCAGGAATTTTCCAAAAAGGAATAGCACGTCTTAATTTATCATCGAAATTTAATATTTTTTGTATACTTTTTTCTACTCTCCAAAGTTCCTTTTTTTTATCCACATTTTTAAAAACACCAATTGAAAAAAAGATTTCTTCTTTATTTTTTCCCATACGTAATTTAGAATTTAAAATTCTAAGATTAATTGATGAAATTTGATAAGGAGAAAGAGAAGAAGTAGGTTTAGATGGACAATGAAGGGAATCTCCGATATTTTCTTGAGTTAATGCTATAGTATCAAAGACTTCACCTATTTTATCTAAATAGTCTTCATGAGAACTAAGATTAGTTTTAGACAAAAGATTGGTAGAAATTGTTGAATCCAGATTCGATTCATAAGTTTTATAATTATCTTGTTTTAGATGTATATTTTCTTGAGATGCGTCTATTTCCATATTTTTAGAGCGACCTTTCACATTGTATTTACTTTGTGAATCTTGACCTAAATTATCCTGCTTTTTTGAAGATATATTTTGGTGTTCATGTTCCATGCTAGGTATGTAATTCTGTGATATATTTGATGAGATAATTGAACCTTCGGTAAGTGTAGGAGAAACTACTTTATGAGAATTAGAATAAATTGATAAAGGTGATTCAGTATAATTATTTGCTGCTCCACTGTTTGTATTTGAGTTTAAAACCCAATTCGCTTCATCATATTTTATAGATGATAATTTCTTATTATCAAATGAATTTCTTAAATCCTTGTTTTGGTTCAAATCCTGAACACAATCATTTGGTGTTCTTTCAATAATACTACACTCCCTATACATAGGTATTTCCCCTGAATGAGTTGTAGGGGAAGATGTAGCGTTTAATTGGTCATGAAACATATTATTCATATACCCTTTTTGTGTAGAAAATGAATTATCTGGATATTGTTTTAAATATAATTGGTCCAATGCAACAGTTGAATGTTGATTTTTTTTAGAGGGTTTCAATGGTATTGCTTTATTTTCATTAAAAGTATATGATTGCATATTGGACGAAAAAATGTCTTCAGGTGCATTCAAAATGGAGAAATCTTTATCACCTGGAAACAATAATACAAATTCTGATTTCTCTGCATCTGATGACTGAGGTTCACTTGGTGTACTGGTATTTTTTTGATGTTCTGGAGTTTTAAAAGATGAAATGGATATATCTTCTGGTTTTTTTAACCCGCTTTCCGGTATTGTATTCACTGTTTTTGAATTTTCTAAAGTGTATTTTGCAAACAATGCACTCCATAAATTGTAATACTTTTTTTTCTCTTTAAACGCTTTTTCTAAATCTTTTTGAAGCTCAAGAATCCTGAATACATATTAGGAGAGTAGAAATAATATTTTAAATTACATTGCACGTTGCTTGTCAATAATTCTCCAAAGTTGTACATTTTGTGAATGAAGAGATGCTTTTTCTTTCATCATCTGTTGAACCAACATATGCATATCACTGTTAAAATTCTTCACTAAAGAAGATACAGTTGCATCAGAAACAATACTATATTCATGCATTTTATGTTCTTGTTTACAATCTGGTGATGAATATTCTAAAATAGGTGTCGGAGACACTGATTTTTTTTCTTGAAATATTTGAAATGTTGCTTCTTTTTTTCCCGTTTTTTCTTCAACTGATTTCTCCTCTCCTGTTTCATCTACATGTTTTATTACATGTACATTTGTATCTTTCATTTTTATGCAATTTATAATTTATCCTTGTTTTCAGTATATTTTTGATTATTCATTAATATTGGTTCAAATCAATCCGTTCTTTCGAGTCATTTTAATTTTCTTAATAAAGCTTTTAATTTCTTACTTAAAATTGTTATTCAAATGCTTTTATACTTCAAAACAGGCCTATCAAACAATTATGTCTATCTTATACCTCCGGAAGATTGTTTCTCGTTAACAAAGAGGAGGGGAAGAAAAGTTTGTGAAAAAAAAAAGTAATATAAAAAATGTATAAAAGAGTAAAATAAAGATACATAGTGCCTTGTTTAAAACTTTTAATAGGAAAATAATTGAAAGATATGATTAACAGAAGATAAAGTGTTTAAAAAAATAAAACATTAAGAAGATCGTTCTAATTGATCAAGAATAGCGTTTGTAAAAGATGTAGTAGACGCAGTGCCCTTTATGTCAGGTGTTCTGACGTTGCTTTTTAAGAGAACATCATAGACAGCACGTTCAATGGCGTTAGCATGATCGTCCAGGGAAAGATGGCGTAAAAGCATTGTTGATGATAGAATTAATGCAGTTGGATTCGCCATACCTTTTCCAGCAACTGTTAAAAAAAAAAAGATAAATATGTATTTCACTAGAAGAGGGTATTTTTACTATCAAGACCAACGTGGCGACAGCCTGGCTCAAATAGTGCATATTCCTCACCATAATTAGCCGATGGTACAACACCTGGGCCGCCCACTAAAGCTGCACCAATATTACCTATATGAAATTAATTGAATTTGTGTATAGAATCAAATTAATAAGTAAGTTTACTCATAATATTTCCATACTATTAAAATATTAGCGCTGTTTATGATATTAAAAAACATACTAAATTAGGCATAACAAGAACATCGAATTTCTGTGGTTTGCTAACAGCCTGCATGCTTGCGTTATCAACAATCAAATCGGTAGCTTCAATTTGTGGGTAATTCTTTGCAATTTCGAAAAATGTTTTACGAAAGAATCCATCACCCAATTTCATAATATTAGCTTTATGAATGACTGTAACTTTTTTCCTGTTATTCTTCAAAGCATAGTCGAATGCAAATCGTGATATTCTTTCAGACTTTGTGCGTGTAATTATTTTAAGAGATTCAACAACCCCTGGAACTGATTGATGTTCTAAGCCAGAGTATTCACCTTCCGTATTTTCACGGATAATGACAAAATCAACATTTTTATGAGCTGTTTCGTATCCTGGAATATTCTTTATAAGTGTTAAATTTGCTAACAAATAATTATTATTCAAGCACATTCAATTATTCAAGGTAATACCATAGACATCTAAATCTTGTCTATTCAATATTTAGTTTTTTAAATGTTTAGAAATTAACAAACCACTTTCCTCAGTGAAACATTAAAACTTAAGTGGTCACTTTGTTCTGAAGGAGTATATAAAATTCCTAATATAAATTAATATAGGCAATTTTATATTTATAAATTAGTCTTTTTTATCTAAAGAAATAAAGCACAAAAAGCTATATTGTATCTATAATAAAACACACCTTTCAATCCAACTTTGTTTCTTTTGAGAGACTCAATACTTTGTTTAAATAGTTCATTTTTTTCTCCGGCTTTAATTTGTCCTGTAATGTCTATTTGCTCAAATTCCACCGGAACTTTTTGCGCTTTAAAGATCGTTTTTACTGATTCTGATATCTCTTTTCCAATTCCATCACCCGGAATCAATGTTACTGTGTATTTTCCTCCAATTTTGTTTGTTGCATATTTTGACAATGAAAATGTTCTCTATAGTCCAAATAAGCTGCTTTTTTTTCGCTTTTTTTTTGTATTTTTCTTACTCTAGCTATATTTCCTGTCAATTTTACTGTTTTACAAATCATTCTTGCCTAATTTTTGCGCAATTTCTTAAAAATTGTTTATCAGCTTTGTATATTGCTTTTTTTATTTGTCTACGTCGACGTTCAACTTTTAATCAAAATTATTATATTATATATGTTTATTAAGAAGTAAAGAAAGTATAGAAAATCAGTAAATGACACGTCCAGAACATCAGGGTTATTTATAAAAGTGGTTTTTTGTTTTTAAAGTGACATTTTTTAGGGCCTCCAGAGGTTTTTTATGATGAAACAGAAGCAAAGAAATATACAAGTTATTCTCGAATTCAAGCTGTTCAAGCAGAAATGACATTCCGTTCATTAGAACTTCTTGATCTTCCTCCTGGAAAATCATGTTTTTTGATGGATATTGGCTGTGGTTCAGGGCTTTCAGGCGAAATTCTTGATCAGGATGAACATATATGGGTTGGCATGGATATATCGCCATCTATGTTGGGTATGTTGATATTTGTTGTTTTTTATTGCTAATTGTCTTATTTTTCTTGCAGAAGTTGCTCTTAAACGTGATGTTGAGGGTGATTTGATCCTAGCAGATATTGGACATGGTATGCCATTTCGAGCTGGATCGTTTGATGGTGCAATTTCGATTTCAGTCCTTCAATGGCTTCTGAATGCAGATACGTCTTCTTCAAGTCCAAAATATCGTTTGATGAGGTTTTTTTCTACACTTTATGGATGTTTAGCACGTGGTGCACGTGCTGTTTTTCAATTTTACCCAGAAACGGATCAAAGTATGTCATTTATTACATCTCTAGCAAACAAATGTGGGTTTTCTGGAGGCGTAGTTGTAGATTTTCCAGATAGCAAAAAGTCTAAGAAATATTATATGGTTCTTCAAGCAGGCAGTGGAACAAATATGACCATTCCTATTCAGAGTAGAGAATCGGAAGAAGTACCAAGTCAGACAGTACCTTATGCTCCAAATCGGTCATCTAAGTCTTCACGTGTTAAAAAAAGTCAAATTAAGGGAACTAAGGAGTGGATTCTTCGTAAAAAAGAACGTTATCGAAAGTATAAAGACAATGTTCCTCGAGACAGTAAGTTTACAGGGCGAAAACGGCGCCCAAAATTTTAATCTTAATATGCTTGCGAGTACTATCAATTTTTTTTGTTTATTCATGGTTTTTTATTGTTTAGTATTTAATCGAATGGTTTTCATATTGATTTGTGATGAAGTTTTAAAAGTATTTTAAATTTATATATGGTCTATATTAAGTATTGTGTTTTATTAAAAAGGTTAAAGTTTTTTATCAATTTTGGATACACATGTATTTTTTTCTTTGGTTCTGACTGATGTTATTTTTGGAAATAGAATCTAGGATTATATTATTTTTTATTATTTTTGGCAGTTCATTGCTATATAGCACAGCGTTTGCATTATTTTGAGAATTTTATTGTCATGTAATATACTAAATATTCAAGATTTTGAGTGAATAGAAATTTTCCCTCAATATTCTTTTATCATTAATATTGTTTTAAAAATTTAGTTTTTTTCATTTTTCAAGATTTATAGATATATATATGTTGTATATTATATTTTCAAATATTTTTTTTGTATTTAATTATTTAATTTAAGAAACAATTTTTATTTGCAATCAAAATCTTCGATACGATTTGCATTACATTAGATTGGGTTTCTATGATAAAAAATGGGTTCTGCAAGTTCCAAGATACAGGATAAGCCTGTAATATATCTTGAAAATGATAATTGTGAATGTTTTTTAACTTTTTTATTCTTTTTTAGTATTCTAATTATTATTTTATAGTTTTTTTCAATTCTATCATTATCACAGATCTCGATGACCAGTTTCCCATTTGTATAAAGCCAAATACATGTCCAGCGACATCTTTCAATGTTTCTTGTGAGAGTAATAGGCTTATTGAGTTTGTTTTTGTAAAAAAATTGTTATTTTTTTGATATATTACGTATTTATATTTTAAAGGATCCTGAGGCATCAAGTTATGAGTTGTCACCGTTTCTTTTGAAATTATATTTGAATCAAGAAATAAACGTTGTATTTAATATTACTTTTAAATTGCATACTTTTGAAAAAAAATCATCTTTTATAGGACTTGCATTTATTTACGGAACTAATGCATCTGAATTAGATAATATTTTAGCATCAGAATCAGAAAACCTAATGAATGTATATTTCTTTGTAAAAGAAGTATTTTAGGATTGATTTGCTTTAGTTTCATGATTGTAAAAATGTTTTGTTTATGACTGATCTTTTATCTGATGATTTATTGGAAAAAAAATTTGAATGGTCTTGGAAATGGACTCCTCCTTCAGCTAAAGATCAACATAGAGACGGGTGGAGGAATACATGCTATGTAGTATACTATTTAAGTTATTTTTAATAGCTAATAGTTTAGTTTGTTAAATGTGAAAAAGATAATAATTTTTCTGTATTGACGAAATTTAGTTTTTGGGTTGAAGGTAGGAAATAAAAATATTTCTTATTTTCATATTTTTATAAATGATATATTTAGGTTGTGAAAAGCGTTTTCAAAATAATACTAATTTTTATTTTAATCAAAAAAGTCCATCATTATCATCTCATATAGAAACTTCCGTTCAAAATAATACTAATGATCAAAAAGAATCACTTTCTTCAGGAAAAGGAAATATTTCATTTAATTCTTTATTGGATAATATGAATTCAGTTGTTAATTTCAATCATTTTGATGATGCGTTTAAAAATGAGCCAAATGATGGTCCATTGTTTCGTGCAATAATAACAGCCTTAGAGAAAAAGACATCCGTATTTGGATATCGGATTAAAAAAGTAATTAAGAGGGCTATTGAACTTTATGACTCTCAGATAGCTAAAAATGAAGCGAATCGGAGGTTTATGAGTGCATTAAGAAAAGCTGCAGAGTCAAATCCTACTGCATTGAAACCTGTATTAATATTGTATTTGGAGACTGCTAATCAGCAGCTACAGAGCTTTGAATATAATAATGCAATTCAATTACAAAGTTTGATCATAAAACCATTAAGACGTATTTATGAAACTGATATAAAGGTTGCTGAAGGAAAAAAGAAAAGTTTTGAAGATGATTCTCATGATTATTATCAATTCGTTTCACGCTATTTAAGTAGAAAAAAATGTTCTTCTAAAGATAAAAAAAATCATGAAGCAGATATAAAATACTCTGTAAAAAGAAGAAATTTTGAACTTAAGCGTTTTGACTATTATTCTTATATGCAAGATGTTAGCGGAGGGAAAAAGGAGCAAGAGATTTTGCATCTTTTTACTTTATATGTAGAAAATCATTTTGCTACACTATATAAAGCTATTAAAGTAATACTTGATCTTAAACCGGGACTTGATAATTTAACACAAGGTGTTCAAGAGGCAAACAAAAATATTATGCATCTTTGTACAGAAAGAGAGGAACGAAGACAGGCATTAGAAAAGTCTAAAATATTTGTACAAGAATCGAATTATTTATTTTCTTCAGTAGCACAGAAAGAGAATTCAAAAGATTTAAAAACACAGAAAAGTTGTTTGGCTTTATATGATTATAAATCACAAAATGATGATTTTTATTCTAATCTAAATAAACTACCTTCAATGGAAAATATTCAAATATCTAATTTATCAAATCCAGATAATGGAGATATTTCCGAGGGAATAAAAGATTCTACTAAAAATAATATAGATAATACTTTTCAAAGGCGGAAAGAAGGATTACTTTGGGCTCTTTCTAGACCAGGAAGTCATATAGATCTTAAAGTAACACAAAAATTAAATTGGCATAAGTAATATATATATATGTTTTTTATTTAGTTAATCTTTTTAGATATTGGATTGTTTTAGCCGGTGGGAAGTTGTGTGAGTATCAGAATTGGAAACAAGCTATAGATCTTCATAATAATCCAATTGATTTAAGAATGGCAAGTGTAAGGAAAGTTTGTGCTTTCGACAGGAGATTTTGTTTTGAGGTTATAACTCCTAAAATTAGACGAGTTTATCAAGCAACGTCAGAAGAAGATGTATTCTCATGGATCAATAGTATTTCTAGAGCAATTGAAAGTTTGTTAGAAGGAACAAGTTCTGCTTCTAATCTTTGCTTGATCAAAGAAGATATCCAGCGTTCTGATTCTAAATTACTTGAGAAAGAACCTGATAAAAATGTTTCTGATTTGAATAATGAAGATTATAAAAACATTGAAGGAAATGCATATAAACTTTTAAATATAATACATGATGCCGATCCTACACATAATGTTGTATGTGCTGATTGTGGTACTTTTTCTAAGGCAGAATGGTGTTCTATAAATATTCCTGCAATTTTGTGTATTGGTAATAACTTTAAGGTTTAAGTATATTTTTCTTATTTTTGTATAGAATGTTCTGGAGTCCATCGATCATTTGGAAGTCATATTTCAAAAGTTCGATCATTAATGCTTGATACTGCATCATTTACTGATAGTTTGATTGACTTCATATGTCAAACTGGAAATAAAATGACTAATTCTATATACGAAGCTACATATGATTCTCAAAAAAATATTAAGAATATAACTAAACCATTACCTAATTCTTCTAGAGAAGAGAAACAGAAATATATTTATGCAAAATACATTGATAAAGTTTTTATTATATATGATCCTAATCCTACAAAAAGTTTGTTTCTTGGCATATCGAATAAGCATATCAAGTCAGTAATGCAAGCATTAGCATCAGGTGCTGATCCAAATGCTGTTGATCCTGAAACTCAAGATTCGGCATTGCTTCTTTCATTATTTTCATCTTTGCAAAATTCTAGACCTAATTTGAATAATTATGATTGTTCACAGAAAATAATGTTTCCTATAGCAGAGTATCTTCTTCAAAATGGTGCTAAACTTCCTGAATCTCCTCTTTCTATATCACAAGAAGAGAAATTGTCTTTTTGTGCTAAACTGTATTTGCAAAATAAGTATGCGAAAAGTTATTCAAATGATGAAAATAATATAGAAGATTCAAGTAATGTAGGATCAAGTAATACGTTATTATCTGTGACTAAGAATTCGTCGAACAATTTATCCTTTTTCTTTTATGAGCGTAAAAATTCAGGAAAACTTCATAAAAAATTAAATTCTAGTGGGAAATTATCAAAACTACTTTAATATTTTAAATAAGAAATTTCAAGATAAAAAGCATTTAATAAACTTTTGTAAATTATGTATTATGAATTGTGTAATTTATCATGGATGATATATATAAATTTAATGTTTATGATTATGAAATATCTATTTTTTGTCACTAATAATTACAATTTTTAGAACGTTTGATGCCTTTTTTAGTATTTGATTTTCTATCAATTATTTGTTTTTTTAGAGTATTATATTTATTTAGATGATTGTAATTTTATATTGTTTTATGAAAAGTTAATATATTAGAAAACTATCATTTTATATCTGTTAATAATGATTATATAATATTAATTCTAATAAGCTTATCTCATTGATATATATTAATTTATATAAAATATATAAAAATATTAACTTGTTTATTTCATTAAATACAATTTTTTTTAAATTTTATAAAACCAAAAATTGATTTTATATAGAAAATATTAAATATAAAATTTTGATTCAATGTTTTATACTTATTTATGTACTTATTTATAAATACTTCATTATTTTAATATTGATTATTTTAATTAAGAAAATACGCCTGTGATAACTGATATTGTCTACTAAAAAATGTATACAAAATACAACATCTTTATTTAATATTTGTTTTATTTAGATTTAATAAAGCTTTATTTAGTTTTTAAATGAAAAAAGATTAAATGTAAATTATTAAAATAAATAATTTTTTATGAAAAATGATATATTATTATATTTTTATATTAATATATATCTTTTATTCATAAAAATCGATATAAATCTTGCAATATATTAAATCATATAGAAAAGAAACTTTTTAATATTTATAAAGATTTTTTATATGAAAAATACTTTAAATACCAATTTTTAGAATTTTATAGAATAAACATTAAATATACCTTTATATAATAGAAAATTTAGAATTCACCATTTTTTCTAAAAAATTAAAAAATACTCTTAAAAACAATATCTTTGAAGATAATTCTATATCAAAGAGCATTCTGATTATTCTCAACGAGTATTTAAATTAGTTCACTTAACAATCTTAAAATACACAAGGCAATAACAGGTAATTAGAAAGATAAAAAATATAAAAAGTATAAAAAATACGGAAAACATATAAATAATATACTGATATCTCTTACTTTTAAAAGAGTATTTATTAGAATCAAGAAATATAGAAAAATTTGCAAATAATAGTGAAAAACTTTAACGGTTCAAAACTATTGCATCATATCTGTTTTTAAACCACCGAATAGCATCTTCCTTTGTAACTTTGTGATTTGATCCAATAGAAGAACGACATCGCTTGCGTTTTGAAACTCGAGATCCAGGACGACCCAAAACAACATAAAAATCCTATTTTAAAGTCATTTTAAAATAAAAATATCACTATATCCACCATTCCAAAAATACCAATAGAAGGATCATATTTGATATTCAAATCAATATGTTCTTGAATACCAAACCCGAAATTGCCCGTATTACTAAAATTCGATTTTTTTAATTCATATTCTTTCACTTTCAAACCACGTTCAAGAATCTCTTCTGCCTATTTATATACATTAAAAACCTCGTGTATAAGCTTTCTAAAACACAATCCACATACTTTAGTGCCTCTAATAGTGACATATACTGAAATTTTTTCATTTCGTCTAATACCAAAAGCACGGACTATTTTGCTACTTAAAAAGTGATATAATGACTTAAAAGACTTCTTACTAGTATAACGTGCCTTTGAATATACAGGTGTTTGCCCAGAAAGCTGCTCCAGAACCTTGGCTGCTCTTGTTAACCGATCACCTAAATATTCAGCTAAATTTACCGGATTTTTTCCAAAAAAAAAACCTACCTGATTCTCCAACTGAAATATTTAAAACAAGTTTTTGAATTTTGATTTCTCTCATAGGATTTAATGATTTTTCTTGTGTCATCTTGACAAAAATTATTTTGACTGTTGTAAATCTCGATATCGAGAATATGTGACTTAAATTTATTTTTAACTTAGAAAAAATAAAGGCAATCGTAGATAATTTAATGGTTTTAGAGATCTATTTGTATGAAAAAATATACAGAAATAGATTACTTTAGTATTATGATTTTAAAGACTAGAATATTTTAATTTCTATATTAAAATTATTAATAACTAATGTATAAAACTGTTCATCTGAAATCCCCCGAAATCAGGAGATTGGGACAAGGTGCGATTATGATATTCAGAAGCAGAAGCATCAAGAATAAGACGATTGGAAAGCCCTGCAGTGAGATTTGATAGCTCTGGTTTATCATTGGTAGAATTGCTGAGCTCATACTTCTCGATAATTTTTTCTAGCCGTTTAATCTAGTATATATAATAAATAATGTAGATGTAGTGAATTTGTTGAAATTTACCTTTTGATCTTGCTGATATATAAAATTGATAAAAAAAGGCATTGTAACATCCATAAAACCACCTCTCCATGTAAGATCCATTACATAATCAACAGGCAGAAGATCGTAGCCGGCATAAAGCATAGCAACAAAACAATCCTTTAAAACATTAAAACGTTAATTTAAAAAGAAAGAAAAAAAACATTTGCACCAATATCTTGAAAGTATTTTAATAAATCCTTTACAACATCAATTTCTCTACTATGACTTGCTGTTTCAATTGCATCAGAATAAAATTTATCAACAATTGACAAATCTATAGAATGTTTCCATTTTTTGTTTTTCTAAAAAAGTGAATATACAACTTATTAAGAAAAAATAATTACCCTGTACAAGTAAGCTGCAATTCTTCTAAACTCCATAAGATCATGTTTTTCTAAATGCTTTGCTAACTTTATAGGATTAAAGTTGTCATAATTGTCTATAGAATTCTTTAATAATTTATAATCTTCTTCTTCAATAAACACATTATTAATCGCAACATTTACCGCCTCAATATTTTTAGGCTGTACGGCTTTAAGATAATTCATTATTAATGGGATAGAATCCAATTTTTCAAACATTTTAACAACTCTAGAATGATCAACACGTGAAATAACTATTGAAAGCAAATCTGTAAGAAGTAATGGTTGTTGTTGGTAATAAAAGTCCAAAGCTTTATAAATTATTTCAGTATTAGAGACTTTTATCTAAAATTATTAAAATAATCTTAAAAATATCCTAAATTAATACCAAAACATCTTTAAATGAATTGTGATCCCATGCTTGTGAATACTCTATCATAATAAGAGCAGCATTATCTAAAAATCATTACTATTATTACAATTGAAAAAAAATCTTACCATATTCATCATAATGTATAAAAAGGAATGCAGTCTCAGACCAAAGGTGAGCTTCTTCACAGACCTTTACAACTTTCGGAATATGAAGGCGACTCCAAAATAACTTTAAGTGCTCCATAACAGAATCTGGACGATATTTTACATAAAGAATTGCCAACTCAGTAAATAAGCTTCTTGTAGCTCTTTCTAAACTCAATCCAACTTCCAAAAGTGAAATAAGTTCATCAAAATATCCATTGCATTCATATTTAGCAATAACATCATGTATTTCATCAGTATGAACAATCAAATTCAAACCACATATTTGTGCAAGTCTAAATTCTTTTTGTTCAATACATGCATCGTTAACTTGCTTCCATACTCTATTAAAGATTAATTATATTTCTAATTAATATATCACTTATTACTTTATACTATTGGCTTTTCTAGCACAATCTATAGCACTTTGATACTCATTTAAATATACTAATGTTGAAGCTAATTTTGCCCAATTTGAAATGCTAGTAAACATAAGCTTTGCAGCTTGATAATATTTCTGCTCATAGCATCGATTTCCAACACTTAAAACCTATAAATATTAGCAAAAATAATGATCGGAACTAATAAAATATTTACATCAGCAATATTAGGTCCTTGTAACATAGATTCTACTGCATGAATACGATTTGTATAAGCATAAGCAAAAAGTAACTCGCTGTCAATAGTTGTTTCTCTAATAGTTTGACGAGCCATTTCTAAGTATCGAATTAAATCGGAATATTTATTCGCTTTTGAAGAAACTTCTATAACCTCACGATAGTTATTAGGATCAGATATTCTAATATATGAATCTATATTGATTAGAAAAAAAATTAAAAAATTATTAAATATACTAATAGAATCCCTGATACGACATCCATCTAATTGGCCTTTTGCAAGCCTACTCCATAATTCTGGTGTATCTACGCTTTCTACATATTCAGCTGCCCTGTCAATACTGACAATATGTTCAATAAGAACATTTAATGCTTCAATGTGCTTATTATGTCTTTTATAAATCTCAAAACCTTCTTCATATAAACAATTTTCTAATACAATTGCTGCAATATCTTTAACATCGTAATTTTTAAGCTTATTTATATAATCCATAACACGAGTTTTATCTACTTTAATAGCTGTAAGGATAAGTAAATTTTGAAGATTTTGATTATCACTAAATACTGTAGGCTCCAAAACTATCTTTTCAAGGAGCTCAATTAATTCTGAAGATAATTCAGCATTCATGAATGATTTAACAACAACAGAAACTTCTTCAGGACTGTTTGACTCAGGTACAGCGATAGAAATAACCTAATAATATTAGTAAGATTAAAATATAGTAATAAATATAATTACTTGATCTACAAGAAACCGCCTATAAATATTATCTTTTCTTAAAACATAATTCCATAATGTTTCATTTTTTCTTCGAAGTAAATATCTTGCTTGTTCTTTAAACATAGAATTTTCAGACGTTATATGAATTAATTCATAATCGTTTTGACCTTTTTGATAAGCAATAAAAGCTAAATATGGATCTCTTTTTTCGCAATACTTCCCAATAACAAGAGTATCATAAAAATCATTTTCTTGAAGAAACTTATTAGGATCATTATTATTATCAATATAAATTTTCGCAAGAACATTAAATATTGACGGATTTTGATTACCTTTCTCAAAAATAGATTCTAAAAATGGAAGTAGCAATTTCAACCTATTTCGTTTTTCTACTTCTTCTATAAGCTCATCTATAGATATTTGATCTAACACAGTAGATAAAAGACTTTTAATAAATTGTTCCTCACAATCAAGATCAAGTAATACACCGATGACAGCTGGTGTACGTGACGGATTTACCTTTTGAACATAGGTCTCAATAGATTTGAAATGATGATTTTGATATAGAAAAAGAACAAGATCGTAAATGAAATCAAATCTATCACAAATAATAATAAAAGGAAGTTGATCAGAAAGCTTTTCTTCTTTAAGAAAGTTTTTTACTTTTTCAGGATTTAGATAATTATTTTCACGACAAATCCGCTCAACTTCTTTCAATTGACCAATACGACACGCTGCTTGTATATATTTAAAAACAGCATCAGAAGAATCAGTCGTATTTATTATACTTCCAAGATAATAATATAACCCTTCTTCAAAATTAAACTGCTCAAAAAGATCAATTATACGAGATTCTCCAAGCTTTTCTGAATATTTGATGGCAATCTGAAGAACAATTTGAAAATTTTGTTTAACTTTAAACAATTCTTTAAAGCATTCAAAGGATATTTCAGAATCAAGATTTTTAAAATAATTCATAAACCATTCTGGGTTCATAGCTTGAACATGTACTATCACTCTTTTAATATCATCTATTTGACTATAATGCTCTAATGCCTAAAAAATATAATGAACATTTTTACAAAAAGTTATATATATATACCCGTTGATAAAGTCCAGATTTTTCACAAAGAGACGCAATCATTGATTTATCATAGTATGAAAACATTTCATTACCAAGAATAGCATCTGCAACTTGAGGTGCGTTTAAAAGATTAGTTTCCAAAAGGCGGGTTTGTAAATGTCCATGTTCAGGTCTATTGTCTTTTAAAGCATCTAACAAAAATGCTGTAGTTTGCTGGATCATATTTCGAGATAAAAATATATCTGTTATTTTCTCAATATCAGTTAGAGTAATATTTTTAGAATTTGCTATTTGAGTAGCAAATTCTACTCCTTTTTCAACATTTATTCTAATTATTTGTTGAAATAAATCCCCATAGTCAGGACAATATCCAACTTTATTAATATATGAAATAATTTTTTCAAACTGCCCAGTTTCTATAAGACATTGAACTACTTTTTGGGGAACATTTCCTTTAACATAAATATTTAAAGCTATTTTTGGGTTATATGGCCGCACGATATCTCCTAATGCTTCGGAATATTCCAATTTATCCTCTTGAATCCATTTTTCGAGTAAATTTTCACGGTTCTGTGCAAGAACTGGTTTAACTAGTTCTAATGTTTCATACGTATTAAGTGTTCCTTTATCCAAAAGAATTCCGAAATAATGCAAAATTGGTGGAAGTTGTCCTGATTCTACAGAAACTTGTTTAAACTGTTCAATGGTATGAGGTGTTCGTAAAACTCCCTTAATAATTAGTATTATTTTTTGTAAAAAAAATAAAATACCATTGGAGAATTAGCAGCAATTTTTGCGGCTTCTTGATAATTTCCCATTGCAAAAAGGGTATCAAACTGTTGCTTATAAAGATCTTGGGCTCCTGGTAAGGAAGCACGGCTAGCAATCTTAATAGCTAAAGATATATCATTCAAATTATTTAAAATATAAAAAATAATATTTGATTCATCAATGGAAACACTCAAAACCTGTCCTTTACGATTAACACCTAAAATACTATTACCATTCTCATATTCTGTTGTAACAAAAATTGTATCACTCGATATCCTATTCATAAAAATACATACTCCAGTCTCAAGATCATATATATGAATAAACCCATACTTTGTAATAAGATAAATAACAGAATACTTCTTCGATATCTGTATTGCTACTGGGAAATCATTTACTGCCTCTGGAGGGAAGAAAATATCAACGTTTTTTTTCGGAAATGCTGGATTGCCCGCTTGGTGGTCAATCTCAACAATATGAAGCTATTCTACTCAGCCTAGACTCATAAACAACATTTATATCACCTTTGCAGCTGTCCCTGTCCTCACTGCAAATACAAAAAGCTTATATTCGTACGACCCTTCGTTTGTTTTAAGAGTAGCAAACGCTGCTGCATGTCCTTCAATAGATTGACTAATATTTCGTTCCTTTGAATATAATTGCATGCTTCCTACTACACGTCCTTCTCTTGATGCAATTCCCACCAATAATGACCACTTTTCCTCTTTATTTACATGATAATTAATAATTTGTGTATCTGCCATTGATGCATGTCGTTCAAACACTTTTACCGGCTGCATCTCCGACTGCAATGGCCAGTGATACACAGCCGTATCCGTTACTAGCCCAATCGCCTGATCATTAATCCATCGCCAAAATTGCACATCTTCGTCCATAATGTGTGCTTTTAACTTTGTTTTCAACTCAAGATGAAAAACCTGCAACTGCTTCTCTGAACGTAGTGCAATAATATGCTGTGATGGATGAAGAATAGCTGCTTCTGCACTAATCGGTCGCCGTATTAGTGCCGATGGATTTGCTAGATCAATAATAACAACTTCCCGTCGTCCATCCACTGATTCACAAACACTAACCCCATAAGCAATATTTCTATGCACTCTACAACGCACCATATTCCTTTTTCACTCTGTAATGTTAAAGTAGCAAACCCAATTGACGATTTTTGAATACCAAATGTTGTTAGCTAAAAATATTAATATTTTCTACTGAAATAAAGACTTACCTGGAAATGTTCTTGAAAACGTATAGGAAGACCGCTCATTCTCAGTCAAAACAAGTGATGTGTAGCAATTTTCTAAAATGTATGTACCCAAAAGTGTGTATAAAGTATTTTTCAGATATATATAGTATATATGCAATATATATGCAATATATATGCAATATGTGTACTTTAAACGTACAAAAAAGAATATTTTAAAAAAAATATCTCAAATATTGTTGTTTTTACGCAGATATGCTGTATTGGATCACTGCTGCGAGTAGTTGCAGGATGTTTCCTTCCTGATGTCTCTATGTAGAAAAAAAAACACCAATGGACACGCAAATACACTCAAATCCCAGTTCCAGCTAATATATGCAGTGTAAAATTGCTTTTAAACAGCAATTAAGCAGTGTATATGCGTAATATATGCTGCACCAAGCTGTTCGATAGTTATGTGTGCAGTCCCCCATCGACAGCGTAGAACCCTCGGAATTAAAGAAAAGCCAACTACAAAAAAACCAAAAAATAATATATAAAGAAAAAGAAAAGAAGAAAAGCAAAAAATTGTATTCTTCAGAGGTTAAAAGAAGGATATGTATATGAGTGTTATTTTCCAAAAAAAACGGCTGATAAATTGGGATTTAGAGGGCTAAAACAAGTATTTTAAAAATACGGTATTTTTGGCAAAAAATACGAAAAAAGTGAAGAATTATCTAAGAAACCTGTGTAGAATCAGTAGAAACAGTTGAAATGGTACCATTTATTATGCAATTGCTTTTTTCTCGTTTTTTTTTCTGTAAAAAACATATTTTAACTATGTTTTAGGCAACAGCAGTAAAAGGCAGTAAAATGGTATGTATAAGCCGTAAAACAGTGGTTTTCTGGAGATACTATTGTTTCTTGAAATTATAAAGAGCTTTCCGATGGTGTAAAATGGTTACTGATGCATTTTCTAGACCAATATGGTCAATTATCGTCTACGTGTTACTCTTGCAGATTCCCGGCAATTAACGGGTCAGATGCTTGCATTTGGTGTGTTTGTGCGTCAAAAGGCGTAAAAAGGTTAACAGAGATGCAGACAAACATATGAATATGGTTTTGGCAGACTGCGAGGAATTTCGTTGTATTAAACGCAAAATAACGAAAACAGCCAAAGATGAAACTGAAATCGAGGAAAGACGCACACTTGGTCTTGCAATTGTCCGTGGAGACTTCATTGTTTCCTTATCTATTGAAGGGCCGCCGCCAGCTGATTCATCGACTCGGCTTACTACTCTTCAGTCTGGTCCCGGTATGGGTCATCCTGCAGGTATTATTTAAATATCTTCCGTATACTACAGTATTTTTAATGTATTTCATAGGAAGAGGTCTTCCAGTGGGCGTTGCGCCTGCAATGGCACCTGCAGGTTAGTTTTATCATTTTTTCTATATCACCAACTATTTTTCACTATAGGACTTACTGGTCCTGTCCGTGGTGTTGGCACTGGGATGGCTGCTCCCCCTGTCTTCCGTCCTCCTGGGTTTTCAGCTTCTGGCATGCCTCTGCCCCCTCAGGTTTCCTCTCTATATCTATCTATATAGATATCCGTATATTTTAATAACTAACCACTGTTAGGGATTTGCACCGACTGGATTCCCTCAAACACAGCCTCCACCAGGTTTTAGACCCCCTGGATAATACAGTACTTTATCGTGTTGTTCCTACCATCATCTAAAGATATATTGTCATTGTTTGTTCATTCATTTTACGTATTTATCATTACCCAAGGCAAGCATATCAGTTAGAAAAAAGATATGTATGAGTAAAACCTCTGCTAAGAAAAACTGTTATATTTTATGTATTTTTATTTTTTTTATAAAAGCTATTTAATTCAAGATTCTTATTTGCACAAAAAAATACGCTTAAAAATTTTAATAAAGCTGGTGTAGATACAAACCATAAATACATCTTCTGAAGACATATTAACATTCTTAAATTAACTTATACGTATTTTTAACTGTCTATTTGCTATGGATATTAATTTTAAATAAAATAATGGCATTGGATCAGTCTGAAGAAGTTGTTGTTGATCCATTAAATCTTCATCCTTTTTCTCTGTCTATAATAGAAAAACAGGCTACAATTAATATAGGAACAATTGGTAAGAAGTTTTTCTTACAAAACATGTTTTTTTATGTAATTTGGGGCTTATTTTGATTGTACAGGACATGTTGCTCACGGCAAGGTAAAATTTATCTGTAGAGGCTTTGAATAAGGAATAACTGAGTAGTCTACGGTAGTAAAGGCTATTTCAGGCGTATCTACAGTCAGGTTATGCTTTCTGATGTACAAATAACCTGTTGATATTTTTTAGATACAAAAATGAACTGGAAAGAAATATCACAATTAAGCTTGGTTATGCTAATGCAAAGGTATAGGAGGCTTTTTTTCTATACAGAACAATTGTTGATTGTTTTTTCTTTAGATTTACAAGTGTTCTAATGAATCATGTCCACGTCCTGGGTGCTATAAATCATATGGAAGTGAAATCAAGGAAAATGTTATTTGTGAACAGCCGGGTTGTGGGAGCAAAATGAATCTAATACGTCATGTATCGTTTGTTGATTGCCCTGGACATGATATTTTGATGGTTTCATTTGAAACTCATACATATGTTTTTATTAACAATATAATATAGGCAACAATGTTAAATGGAGCAGCAGTAATGGATGCAGCACTGCTTTTGATTGCAGGGAATGAAAGTTGCCCACAGCCACAAACAAGTGAACATCTTGCAGCTATTGAAATTATGAAACTTGAACATATTATTATATTGCAGAACAAGGTAGATTTAATGAGGGAAGAAGCTGCAGAAGAACATTATAATAGTATCCTTAAGTTCATTAGAGGTTGAATACTCATCTAAAAAGATATTTATTGATGCTAAATATTAGGTACAATTGCTGATTCCGCGCCTGTGGTTCCTATTTCTGCACAGCTTAAATATAATATTGATGCGATTCTTGAATATATTGTAAAACGAATTCCTGTTCCAATACGGAATTATTCAAGTGATCCAAGACTTATTGTAATTCGTTCGTTTGATGTGAATAAGCCTGGAGCAGAAGTAGATGATTTAAAAGGTGGTGTTGCTGGTGGTGGTATTTTGACAGGCATTTTACGTGTTGGAGATGAAATTGAAATTAGACCAGGAATCGTGACAAAAGATAATGAAGGAAAGTTTCATTGTAAGCCTATTTTATCACGAATTGTTTCTCTTTTTGCTGAACATAATGATTTAAAATTTGCTGTTCCTGGTGGTTTGATTGGTACCATTTTTTCCCTGATGATAAAACTATTGATTTAAAACAGGTGTTGGAACACATGTTGACCCTACACTATGTCGTGGTGATCGTCTTGTTGGACAAGTGCTTGGTCTAAAAGGCCGACTGCCTTCTGTTTTTGTTGCGATTGAGATTAACTATTTCTTGCTTCGCCGTTTGCTTGGTGTAAAAACAGTCGATAGAAAACAAGCAAAAGTGCAGAAACTGGCTAAAAATGAAGTACTTATGGTAAATATCGGCTCTACATCTACTGGAGGCCGAGTTATTTCTGTTAAGGGGGTAATTTTTTTTTTTTATTTTTTAAGAAATATGCAAACTATCATTAGGATTTAGCAAAACTTGTTTTAACATCGCCTGCATGTACAGAAGTCAATGAAAAAATAGCTCTTTCAAGACGAATTGAAAAACATTGGCGTTTAATCGGTTGGGGGAAAATTCAAAATGGACAAATATTAGAAAACATATAGTTTTTTTTCTAAAAATAGATTTTTTTTGTTTTCTTTGTTTCTATATATATTTTGTATATTTTTTTCAAAGTTTATTAAGCATAATTTCAAAGTATCTTTTAAATGTTTTTTTAAAAAAAAAATCAATTTATATAAAATATTAAAATCTAATTACACTCTGTTTCACTTATATACAAATATTTTTTATTTAATCTTCGTTTTAATCTTCGTTTCTATTATTGACTTATATCATCGTCAGATATGTATGGAATAATTTTTTTGTCTTACCTTGGTTTGATATCTGGATTTTTGTTTTTAACAGTATGCATTGGTAAATTTTGATATAATTATTATATTATATTCTAATTTATATGTTCTTAGCATGTGGACTTTATTATCTATCAGAGTTTATTGAAGAATATACAGAATTTTCTAAAAAATTACTAAGAAAAATGATTTATGTAAAAAAATATGTATAAAATCATGATTTTAGGCTTACATTTCTAGTTTGTTATTTTCTTACATTTAGTTATTCTAATTCTTGACAAATTTCCTTTTTTTTTAATTATGTTTTCAATCTTGTCACATATATTATATTTATCAAATCTTCGGTCATTTCCTTGTATTTCAGTTTATTCCTTACAATTCATTATTGGTTCAGGTATATTTTTTACATATTATTTATATGAACCATCTCAATTTGCTAGTTTTTACAGTTTTAAATCATTTATTCTGGATATGGCATTTTAGATTATATTTCAGCTCATTATTGACAAATTCTTTTACATATTCAAAGAAAAAAAACTATGAGGGATTTACTTTTAATCAGATTGCTTCTTTTTTTGCTATTTGTGTCTGGCTTATACCTTTTTCACTTTTTATTTCCCTACCAGCGGGAGATAATGTTCTTCCTATTTCATTAAACGGTTTTTTTCATGATAAAGCTTAGCTCATTCTTCTCTAAAACATTTATAGATTGCTCAAGACCCGGGTCACGTATCATTCTTACACAAAATGATAAATATAAACGAATAGGATTAATTAAATCAATATTTTCAAAAGTCAAGATATATATGGATGTCGTTGTACAAAACTTTAATTGGAATAATCAAGCTCAAAAAATCTCAACCTATATATAAACAAAATGCCAACTTTTCATTATTATTTTAGAAAAAGAGTCGTTTGTTTTAACCCATTATTATCAACTTTAAACCGCTTAGTGGCACTTTTAACTTTCTTATTTAATATCCTTTTTTCATTATTTATGGCCTGTCTAAAATTTTTCCATGTTAATTCAGGTATACTTTGATTTTTCATTACATCTTCTGACATCCAACAGCCTTCTCCATAGATTTCCACTTCAACACTCACTTCAATAAGATAAACATGTGAAATTTGTTTAATATGTGTAAATTGATGGAATGTATCGCCTTTCATATGAAAACCAATTATTTCACCCGAAACTAACATGTTTTTTACATGTTTCTCAATATCCTGTTTATTATCATTATTACATTCTTCTATCGATAATGTTTTAAAATCCCATAGTCCAGCAAGTAGACCTTTGGGAGGTCTTTTTTCAAAATAATATTCCTTTATTTTATTTTTTTCTCTTATAATTACAAAAACAATGTTTTCTAAAAAATATTCATAAACAACTGTCCTTTAATCAATCTTTTCGTTTTACCTTTTACTTTTTGTGGCTTTTTTACTGCTTTTTTAGGGTATTTTCCAGAAATATATGTTTTTATTGAAGTAAACTGTTTAAACTCTTCGATAGGACACAATTTGCAATCTATAACAGTCAATTTGAAAGCACTAAATGCATAACTAACGATTTTACTTTGTACGGTATTATTAGGGAATATATTACGTCCTGATATGACTGCTTTTGCTTCTTTCAAAGCCAAACAATCTTTATTCAATGGACACATCTCACAATTTGGATTAACTGGAGTACAAACTGTAGCCCCTAACTCCATCAATGCTTGATTAAAATCCCCGGGTTCTTGATTATCAACAATCTCACTAGCAGAGTCCCAAACCCATCGTTTACCTTCACCTTTATGGCAATCTGCACCAACAGCACGTAAACGTGTCAATACACGTATAACATTTCCATCTACAACCGGACAGCGTATATTCCATGCTATTGACAGTACAGCGCCTGCCGTATATTCACCACATCCTGGTATATTCTTGACCCAACTTTCAACATCTATTGGAATGGGCTGCTTTTCCTGTTTTAATTTCACAAAATATATAGCAGCTTCTCTAAGACGTTTTGCACGTGAATAGTATCCCAATCCTGCCCAAAGACTTTGCACTTCTTCAAGATTTGATATTGCCAATGTTTCCCATGTAGGAAACCGTTTCATCCAACGATTAAAATAAGGAATAACTGTTACAACCTGGGTTTGCTGTAACATCATCTCTGAAACAAGCACCTCATATGCACGTTGCAATGAATGAATATATTCTTCTTGAGATACAGAGATCGGAGGTGCAACACTAGGTTTTCGCCATGGAAGTTCACGAGCATTAGACTTATACCATGTTAATAAAGATATTCGAAGGAAATCTAAGTCTTTGAAAGTATGTATTGATGATGAATGACCATTAATCATATATATTGTCGTTGAATAATATCTAATGTCGATAGACGTCACAAACTGAGTAATAATTATAAACCTAAAACATAGAATGTTAAAAAATACAAAAATATTATAGTAAAACATAGTTGAACTATTACTTTTATGAATGTAATATACCGGTTAGTTATATTAAAAAGAATAACCCATTCGTATAAGATTCGATAATGTTTTACCGCCTACTTGAGGATGTTCTACTGGAGAGTCCTGAACAGAAGATAATTTCTTTTTTTGTTCATGCTTTTTTTCTGGATTAGAATCAGGCAATTCCCAGTTAAAAGGTTTCTTTCCAGCAAAAATACGCATCTGGTTAATAGATTTTGATGTTCTATGATATGCTCGATTAAGAGAAGTTAAAAAACCAACTATATGTTCACTTTGATCGTATTCTGTTTCACTTTCTTTGTCAGAATCCTCTAAAGGAGAAAAAGAAGAGTATCTTTTCCATTCTAATTATAAGATTATGAAAAAAAATGAAAAAAAAAAACCTTTTTGAATAGCCCCTTCTTTTCTTTGTTTATAATTTGAGTTCTTTTTCCCCTTTTTAAATTGCTGTTTAGAGACTTTTTTTATTCGATTTTTTTGCTCTACTATATTTGACTTAGAATTGGCTTGTTGACCAGAAAGTAATGTATAATTTCCTTCCTCATCCCCTGAATTGTAAAAAGGATCATGTTCCTTCCTTTTTTTTGTCTTTATCTGTTGTTTAAATTGCCCTATGATGCATGAATAATCATTATATCTTAGTTTATATATACTCTTTTGAAAATCTTCTTTTGTCATAATATTGAAACATTCATCTTGATTTTCAACGCTTGGGGGTGGTTTAGAGATTTCAGGGGAAGAAAAAACATCTTCTTTCTTATTTGTCTCTTTTGGACGATTTTTTCTTCGAATATTTGAAATATCTTGAGAATTGCTCTTTAAATTTTCATTTTCTTGAAGGTATCCTAAAATATATGATTAAAAAAATACAAATAATTATTTTTTTTTTTCTCAACGTTTTCTTTCTTCTGCCATTTTAGCTGCATACTCTAATTCCATAGGTGTATCAATATTTTCTAGTGCAGCATCTTCCTCTGTTATAATATCTAAATTAGGTGCATTCAGAGGATTTTCATTATTTCCACTACTGAAAGGATTCTTCGTAGCTACTTCTGCACTACCATCAGTCTCTAAGTAATGCCAGCACAACCAAAGAAAAGCTTTTGCTCTTGATTCACTAGAAAATGAGGCTTTAGTGAACAAGTCAATAAAATCAATTGAAGAATTAAAATGTAAACTCGATATCCTTGTAGAACATAAAACAAAAATAAAAATAAGATTAATAGGGTTTGTTGATGGACGAAGCTGAGACTTTTGTGCATCAAGCAATGACTGCCACGCTAAATGTTCTGGCAAATCTTCACTATAAAATTTAAGAATCCCTTTAAGTCTTGGTGCATCCTGCAGTACTTTGACCTTATCATTTGAATACGCTTGAAGTGAAGGAATCGGATTATATGTTCTTGTCTGAGTATGTGTGACTGAATCAGTTAAAAAATACAATATCATACCAATCTAAAAAAAGTGTCACTTACATACAAGAGTCGTGTTAATTCTGCCAATATTCACCAACAATGCTACCATAACCAGTGCCACCGCCAATGTCTTGTCATTTTCTAATTTTTCCCTCAAAACCTTCGACGTCTTAGGTGATCTTCGTACATATGTCACATAAAGCTCCCCAAATGTAACCTTCTTATGTGTTGCTCCTTGAGGCAATGTAAAAACCTCCTGATCATTATTTACAACCAAATCCAAAAACATATATTGAATATCTCGGCGTAAAAGAGATTCTCCTTCTTTTTTCTTTAAAAATTGTGTTTTAAGAGCAGAATGTGAGTTCCTTTAAATGTCAATTGTTGCTTAAAATCCTCCTTAAATTACATTTTTTCTCGAGATGTATATGATTGTAAATTCCGTTCTTTAGCTTCTTCAACGCCTAAAAAATGCGGAAAAGAAAGTTCTGATGGTTCTTCTTGAGATAAGTTTAATACTGAATTCATTTTTAGAGTTTACAAAGGCATTCTAATTCAAAATTAATTTTTTGTCGTTTATTAAATTTATTGAGTATTGATCGTCGATATTCACTATTCTAAGCAGACTTAGCAGTGTTAACTTAGTAGCAAATGAATGGTAAATAAGAATGATGATAAATATGGGTGAAATCAGAAATAAAATGAATAGAAAAAACTAATAATATAGATAAATATATATAAAGTGTTATAGATTAAAAATAATTGTCTAGATTAGTATATATATAATTTGAATGATACTTGAAAAGTTAAAAATGTCTGGAAAGCTTTATGTTTTAGCTAATGTTGTTGTATATGTTAAATTCTTCAAGAATTCTAGTGTGTTGTTGTTTGTTTTAGAATCAGGTATTGGAAGACGAAAACTTATGATATTCTAAAACGCAGTTTTAGCAAGGTGAGAGTAGAAGCCATGTTGCTTACTTATCCACCGTACGCCCTGACCAATCTGAGCAACTTCATTGACCAAATGGCATCCAAGAAGCAAGTAATTACGAGGGCTCACCATCTAATACAAATATCAGTCTATAAAAACAAAAAGCAAAAAATACACCTACCCATGCATATCTAGCAAACGTAGCAGAGTATATAATCAATGCTTTAAACATCAAGTTTTTTGATTCAATAAATGATATAACATACCACCAGTCATTTTTCCAGAAATAAGCTTAGGATCTTTTTTTAAATCTGCTACCGCTGCCAACGGTATCCCAAAATTAGAAACCTAAAACTATATCAAGTTCTTTACTTTGTTTGTGAAAAACTACATACTGGTCCCCAAAAATGAGTGCTACATAAATATTTTATAAAATCAGGAGACCGTAGCCATGCTGTAAATTTGGATGTTGCTGACTGAATTGACGATATAAAAGAGCTCCTAAATAGCTTTAGAGAACAATTATGAACCATTGATAAAGTAACAACATATTCCACCTGTCTTTATTCCTAAATTTTTGTACGTAAGCTTTGAGTGTCCGTTCCGAGAGTTTTTAGAATATCTTAAAAACTGTAAATGTAAAAAATATAACTTCAATATAAAAAGACGTGTAATATATATTAAAACGCTATTGGAATGAACTAATACAGTTCGAAAATAATTTTTTCCAAAAAGCTAGTATATTAAATCATCATATACAGTTTCGTATATAAGACGGTCATAATCATTTTTGATGTGGTTTTGCTTTTTCATGTATCATTAATCCACAAACATCATATTTCATATTCAGTCAGAAGAAAATTAGGAATGCCTTCTTTAATTGGATAAATATGGTTGCAATTCCGACAAACAAGACTGCCTTCCATTACTTGTGTCTATCATATTCAATATTGCTTTAGAAAAAGGAGACATATGACCTCAAGAAGCAATGTATGTAGTTGTTGTAACATATCTACATGTTCAATTGTTAACTCCGGTTTTTCGTGTGGCAGTGTTTCTGTGCCAAACTACATCCACATCAATTTAACAAAGAAAACCAAATCCACTCTCACAATCTCTTTAACTGTAAGAATCAACGCTGGCCAGTCTATATATCCTTGATTAAACTCAATCAACAACACAAACATCATCTACCCATCCGATAAAGAATATTTAAAAGAAACTCTGGATTAAAATCAAGTGTTTTCTGTACAATTTGCACATCTTTAAACTGCAAAGGAAATCCTGCTGCACTTTTTTGGCATTTTTTAACTGCACATTGCTAAATCTTTTTGTTAGATTTTTTTCTTATTATTTTGCTTATAAACACACCAAAAAATTCGCTGTTTTTTGAAAATATCAGTATATTTCAATTTAAATATTATGTTTACCTGTTAAAAGCTTCATTTTTCCTTTAAAATCCCTCTTTTTTAATTTTTTGCTTGTTTTTTGTTAACTTAGTAAATCTTTGTAAATCGTACTTATCGATAGATTTTCTAACGTTTAAACATCAAAATTTTGCAAAAAAAAAACCAAATAAATGAGCAGCACAGCTCTTGTAAAAGACACACTTCGTCGCTCAGATTCCTATGAGTCATGTTATAATCGTTCTCTTTTCAATTTAAACGGAAACCAGACTCTACAAGAAGATGGTTCGACCAGTATTTCGGAAATTTTTTTGCGCCGGAAAAACCAGTCTTTTCTTCATTTAAACGCGTTTTCAGACTGTTCTTCTGCATTATTTTCCATCTATGCACCTTTAGGAGAAGAGCCAGAGACTCCTAAGACTTTTTTTGAAAAAAAAGTTGAAAAAAAGGTCCGTTCTTGTTCATCGCTTCTGTTGACAAAATTTGGGCTTTTTTTGGCCAAGTTGACTGTTCTTTATGTCTGGGGATATTCTATTGCAGTGTTTGTTTTTCTTTTTTTTCGGAAAAAATTGTTTAATAACATATAGTTTTGTGTTTCATACTCAGACAAAGCAAAAAGCAACGTCTACATGTAATTTTCAAATTTTGACACATGTTCCTCATTTCCAGGTGTTTTATGGTCTTGGTACAGTTCTTTTTGGCCTCTTGATACCAATTACAGACTCTATAACACTCAAACTACGATGTACACCAATATCAAAAAGTGTTTCCCATACAGAGTCTCAAAAATCGAGATGTATGGAAATATCAGAGACAATTCGTGTATTTACAACATCTATGGGCATTGTTTATGCATTTGCTGTATAAATTTCCAATATTTATAAATTTCATGATTGATGTTTATAGAAATTATCATGGGTTTTGGATGTTAAAACTCCTTTATTTTTAGTCTTTGTTGGATTTTTTATGTGGTTCATTTTTGATCGTGCACAAACTGGACTTTTTCTTTCTAGTATAATGTCTGTTTTGTTTACTATAGTCATTTTATCTTTTCCTTCTGATATATTCAGGTTTAGCTTTTTTAATTATTACAATATCTAATATTTTAACAGAAACAATAACTCGATGAGTAAAGAAACTATTAGTATTAAGTCATGGGTTTTAGGATTTCTTTTTTCAAGTTGTATTACTGCTGGTAACATTGGACGACGGCTTTTCGGGCATATTTGAAAAATCGTGTTCTAATGAATCTTAAATGTTTGATATAAAATTACAATTATCTAGGCAGAAGTTCTATGCTTTAGAAAAATTTAAGCAAAAAAATCATACTTTACTGAAAAAAGATTTATAAGTTTAGCTAGTATTTGAATATTATGTTTTCTTATAGTGGTCATGTGTTATTTTAATCTATAGTATATCATCTATTCTAACATGTTTAATTCAAAGTTCCTCTACATGCTTTTGCTCCACACAAACAGGGTATTTTAACATCCTCTATAGGAAATTTGTAATCTGCAACATTAGAAAAGATAAGGTGCACAAATATCTATCATACCATAGGTTATTTCTTCGCCCTTTTCGATATCGCGATGTGCATAAATAACTATTTTCTTCTCTCCTTCAACACGAATAATTTTTGCTGTACATGAAGGCTAGAATATAGTTTAGAAACATATATATATATAAGATAAATATACATCACATGAATGGTTAATAAATCTTGCTATATTTCCTTTTTTAGTTGCATCTACAACTGTGTCATCATCAATTCTAAATAAATAACTGGATCCAATTCCTTGACGTTCATATTGTCTAATATTTTATTAAAATATATTCTTTGTTCCAATTGACCATACCTTTCTCTAATGTCGGCAACTGTTTGACGAACAATTTCTCCTACATATTCAATAACCATATCACCCATATCAATATGTTCCATAGCGTATAATCCCCAATTATGAATAGGACTTTTAGAAAACTTTAATTGCTTTTTCCGTGCTTTTAATGCATTAAACCTCAAAATATCAGTTTCACTACTCGAAATTTTCTTTTGCATCTCAATTCCGACAGCAAGTCGACGATTATTAATACGATTCATTCTAGAAGAAATGGATGTAGTTGATGGTTCTGTTGGTATGATAGCTTTGTTTCTTAAAGGAAGATATAGTGATTTCTCAGTATCTGTAATAGTAAAGTAACCTTCTGTTCTAGCAGAACCTGACTTATTTATTCTATTATATCCTTTATCTTTTGGAAGCCTAGTGATTACTATAATATTAATAAGTATATATTTAAATTTATTTTTTTTGCAAATTACCTGGATATCCATCTACGTTACTAGTTTTAATTTCTTTTTTTCTCCATGCCCACAATGCGATATCATCAATTTCAGCCGATTCTACTGTTTTTAACGCTTCTAATAAAAACGAAAAATCTTCTTCATCTTTAACTATACTTTGAATTCCATAAATATCAAGTAAAATATCGACACCATCGTCTGATAATAATGTTTCTTTAGAAGTGAATGGTATTAGATTATCTTGACTAAAATTTACATTTTCATCATTTACAATATCTGTCTTATCTGTTTTGTTAATTTTTTTAGACTTTTTCAAATACTTTTTTCTTTTTGGCTTTTCTTCATATTCTGATAAATTGTCTTCACAAGATTCTCCTTCAGAACTTTGAACATCATCTGTAATACTTTCTTTGAAAATATCAGAAGAATCATCTTCACTTGATGTAAAATAAATATTTCGACGTTTATTTTTCTTTGATTTTGTTTCATCTAAAACATTATCATCTACATTTTCATAATCTATATATTTTTGTTTATTTTTACTGAGTTCATCTCTTCTATGAAAAGCCTCTAGAAAATTATCTCTATCACTAGAATCATCATCTGAACTTGTATAATCTTTTAATTTAGATAAAATATTTGACTTTTTATTAGAAGTAGTTTTTTTTGAACTTTTATAGTTTTTTGCACTAATATCACTATCTTTTTCTGAATCAGAAAATGACGTATTTTGAAATTGATATGTATCTGAGTCATTTGAGCTTGAATCTTGAGAATCAGAATAATCATTTAAACGATGATGAAGGGGTCTAGCATCAACATTTTTGGACCGTCTAAGACTATCGTGTAAAGATTCTCCTTTATAAGTGTTTTCATGAACCCTTTTCTTGAATTTTGGAAGTATTGAAAACCTTTTTGACATGCCATTAAATGAAGGATCATTTATTTTTGAATAAAATTCATTGATTTTTTTAGATTCATTATCAGAAACATTATTGCTGTTTAAAATATTTTGTTCTGTTCCATTTAGTTTAATATTGTTAAGTCTCGTTGTTAAATTATTTTTCATATCTTTTATTTCAGGTGGAAATCTAGAAGGATCAAGGAATTCATAAATAATAGGCGCTATTATCTTGGTTTTTAAATCTCGCATAAATACTTGTGTTAATTCTTTAATTATGATATTTGTTGCTTCTGCTACATCGTCTACAGGTTGAAAAGAATTTTTGAATTTAGTATTTTGAGTATCAGTTAATGGAATATATCGATGAAAATCCATTGTAATGCGATATTGATATATATGTGTCTGATTCATTGTCACAAAACAATTTTGGGCTGACCGATTGTCTTTAAATATTATATAAAATCCTTTTTTATCAACGCAAATATCGGTCCATTCATGTTTATTTAAATGCTTTTTAAGATCATTTGTTGAAAATTTATTTAAAGGAAGCCATTTTTCACTTATAAATATATAGGGCTTTTTGTTTATTTTTTTTAAAATATCTGTTGTTGAAGATAAAGCTAATTCATAAATATAATCTTGTGATTTTTCAGAATCATCGCCTAAATTTTGAGGGTATTTATTATGTGATCTTGAAGAGCCTGACGAACTTTGAGAATGCCCATGAACTTTGTTATGAGTCTGCGTGCTATCCGTATCAGGGGAATAATGATCGTAATATCGGTGATCGCGTGATGTAGATTTTTTATGTACAAAATCGGAATTCCTATAATCCTCTTCCCGTTTTTTTGAGTTTTCTAAATATGAACCTCGATGCTTATCTGAAAATGCTGAAGTGTTTGTTAAAGATGCTTTTTTTGAAAGCTCTTCCTCTATAATTGCCTTGCATTTTATACCATCTTCATCATATTGCACCTTGACAATTTGTGTACCAATTTTCATTCCATTCCCTTTTTCAACTGCATTTCTTGCAGCATGATATCCTTGGAGTTTGTTTGATTGATTTTTACGATAACGAATACGACATAAACCTAATGATGCACCTGTCATTGGATTTACTTGAATTTCCAATTCTTGTATATCACCAAATGTTTTAAAATGCATACTTATGTTTTCGCTTGTTGTTAATGTAGACAGATTAGAAATAAGAATTTGAGAAGGAGGATTAGGTCCAATTGAATTTTCATCAAACTATAAAGATAAGACTTGCAGAATACTAAATTCAAAATTTTACATCAAAAATTACATTTTTAAGGACAGACATATACATTTTTCTACCTCTTGATTTTTCTTTTCCATATTTTAACATTTTTAAACGTGGATCTTCTATAATCAATGGAGGATCCTATAAAAACTAAGACAAAAATATTAGAAAAAATTACCCTACTGCCTCTCCATCAAATCTGTATATTGCTTTTCTTGCTTTAGAATGCTCCTTAGATGCTAATTCTGGATCATATATAATAAAATAGTTTCTCTTTCTTGGAACGCCATTTACAGATTTTTTTTGTTGTTTATGAATATCTAGTGCATCCAATTCTATATACTCCATTAATATTTACATATTTCTATTGATTAAATTGACAAAAACCTTTAGCTAATGTTCGACTTTCTTTAGAAGAATCATCATTATTTTTGCTCATTTTTAGATTAAAAACACCCTTTAAATGACAAAACTTCCATAATATGTCATACTAGAATCTACAAAAATTGCATATTATATGTTTTTGCTTAAAAATAATTAATATAAAGAATCTTTAAATACTTAATTACGAGCTTAAGTATTATAAGATTCTTTAATAAAATTTACAAGTTTTTCCTTAAAAAAAAGATGTATTCATAAAACTTATAAAAGAATACTCTTATACTATCTAAAATACGTTAAAATAAGTGCTTTTTATCTTTTCTCTTCTAATTTTTTCCTACTCTTTCTGATGGGATTATCGAAAGTTCCTTAAGTATTGAACATCTCAATAACCGAACAACGTTCAAAAAATAAAAAAAAGTGTTTACTTGAAAAAAAACCAAATTAAGCAAGAATTAGCTATGGAAGAAATAAATACATTAATTGTAGAAGGTACATTTGCTTATCAAGTGAGATTTCCCGAAAATTTTTTAAAAATAGTTAATATTGATAATTTTTTATGATAGTTAGAAGAAATTGCAACTTTTATTGATACTTTGAACAAAAAAACAGAGGAAGATTCATTTGTTGCAGCCTTGGAAAGTATTTCTATAGATAATAATAAAGATTTATGTTTAGAAATGCTGGTGAATAGAAGCAATGCATTATCAAAATGCAATGAAAAAGGTCTATTTTTTCTTGTATTAAAAAATGTTTATTTAAATAATAGACTATAAAGCAGCATGCAACTTATTTATACACTTAATTCGGGAATCATCGTCTATTGAGCGGTTGCTCCCAACAGTACTGTCAAATTTAGTTATACCTAATTTTCCAAACGGGCCTCTTTATTTTCTTAGTGTTCTGTCAACTCTTTTTAATATTTTGCCTTTTAATTCTATTTTAAAATATGATGTTTTTTGCATGATTCTTCGAGTTGCAAGTGAACAAAAACTATTTGATTTTGTTCTTTCACAAATTAATGATATTTCCGACTGGCTTGATGATTGGGGTGTTGATAGTCAGGCGAAAAGAGACCTTTTTCTTATCATTTCAAAATACGCTTTGGAGTATGATAAGCAGTAAGTTTTTTTTTTTTAAAAAAATGCAAGTTGCTTAAACATTTTTTATTTAGAATGTCTCTTGATTTTATTATTAAGGCGTTATTAACCTATCCATCATCAGAGGCATTATCTGCTAGTGATTTAGCAAGACAAGCCATTATTTCATCTGTTTCTCTTCCAAAAAGATATCATTTTGATGATATTGTAACTCTTGATGCACTACAGCCTCTTAGAGATATAAATGATCCATCGATTCTTTTATTAGAAATTTTTATGGTTGGAGGGCTGAAAGATTATCTTTCTTTCATTGATACACACCAGCATTGGGTGGATAATAGTGGTAAGTTACTAATGATTTCTATTTTTTATTAAATTAATTCTAGGACTTGATCAGAAGATTGCACTTAAGAAGATTCATCATTTAACCTTGGTTTCGTTGGCTGCTTCTGTTCCAGGAAAGGTTCTCTCATATGCAGACATTGCTGATGCTTTGGATGTTGACATTTCTCAAGTAGAAATGTGGGTAATTGATGTAATTCGTATGGGTCTTCTTGAGGGTAGATTGTCTCAACTTTCAAAAACATTTTTGATTCATCGAAATACATACAGGGTTTGGGGGAAGGAACAATGGATAGATTTAAAATCAAAGCTATGTTCATGGGAAACTAATTTAGAAGGAGTTTTAAAGGTGATTAAACAACATAAAACAAAAGTCAATACAGTTGAAGATGAATTGGCTTATCTCACATCATCTGTTGGAATCGACGTTTAGTAGTTATTTAAGAAAATAGTATGCCAGAAGAATGCTAATACATCTTTATGGCATCGATCTCAGAAATGGGCCAATTTTTTTTAAAACATTTCGATATATAGCTACTATGATTACTTATCAACATTATAATACAATTTTACCTACTTTCGATGTTATTTTCACATGGAATCCGAACCAACTTCTTTTGCTTATCCATATATTCAAGAACCGGTACTGTCAGCTTCTGATGTGTCTCAAATCGCTTTTTAATTGTATTAATATTATCATCTCGCCGTCCTCGTGCTAATAAGCGTTTCATTAACACTTGTTCAGAACAATAAAAATCGAGTGTAAATCGACATGGACAGATCTACACATTTATTGTATAAATAATTATACTGATCTATTCTATTGTTACATTTTTTTCAAATGCCAAACATTGATCTATTTTTCTCGGAAATCCATCAATCAAAAATTTCATTTTCCCCTCTATTATTGATCGACTCATTTCATGTTTAAGCAATCCAATTGTTACATGCATGGGTACTATCTGCCCTTCTTCTATTGACTGTTGAATTATATTGGCATATTCCGAACCTGGTCGTGCCTGTTCCTGTCGTAGTAAATCTCCTGCTGATAAATGTACAAAGCCATAGTCTTTAACAAGCAAACTACATTGTGTGCCTTTGCCTGATCCTGGCCCGCCTAATACAAAAACTACTGTCACTTGTTTCGGGTCAAATGTTAATCCTTCTAATGATGCTAATGTGTCTTTACTATTATTATTCATATAGTAATAATCTATTTAAACAAAAATACTGCCTCTATAGAAGAAAAATGACAATTTACAAAGTATTGAGTTCCGTTTGACATTTATCGTACGTTATAGATTTTGGATAATTTTTAACAAATCGTCCGTTAAGATAATAGACAGTTGGTATCATTTGTTTTAAAATATGATAAAAACCAAATAATTTAATCTTAAGAACTTTTTATCCATTTAAACAAACATAAAATATAAAGAATAAATAAAATATCCCTAATATTTTTTCATTGTTCTTTTACGTTTTTCTTTAATGACAAAACAGTATTATCAAGAAAAGTTATTTTTATTTTACTTTATGATTCATTTATATCTTTATATTTATAGGCGGATATCTTTAGGGTTAGGTTGTGCTAATATATAACGTAGATATTTGATCGAACGTCAGAAAAATGATTTTACAGAAGGTAAGCTAAATAGCAGGTTAAATAAGATATTTTAAAGGTAAAATAAAGGTAAAATAGGCTCAGTATACATGAAGAAAAGGCTGGAAACAATTATACCGAAGATTGAATCGGCAGCAGGTCTTTATCGGCAGCTTTTGATTCATATTGGTTTTTTTTTTGATGAGCCATCCAGGTAGAATGGAGAAAAGGAGGTATTCTTTTGTAATACGGACAGAATTTACATGAAAAGACATATACGTTCACGGTTTGAGGCAAACAGGGGGCAGAAAAGTTCAATAAGGATTAAAAAAGCGTTTCGAGATGGCCATAAGGCATTAGTGACTCTGAAGAAAGCAATAGCAGGGGATATTCGATCATGTGAGAAGATCTTAGAGTTGACATATGGTCGGCGTGGCAAAAGAAAGCACGAATTGCTACATGTATGTATTTTTTTGGATGAAATAAAATATCGATGTAGTTTAGCCATTCTTGACGTCTTTACGAACAGGTGCACCAATTGTTGCAGGGCTGCCGCGTACTAGGCTTCCTGTTCTATCATTGCCATTTAAAGCACTTATTGAGTCCCAAATGCCGGGCCGGACTGTCTTTTTAGAGGATAATGCTGCTTTGGATCGGAGACGATATGCTAATCTTTGTTGGAGAAAATTTGCAGCTATTTATCTCAAAATTCTACCGCCATTGCCTATGAAAGAGATCAAGTTACTTGAAGGACTTAGTAGAGGCGAAAAGGTTGGATCAGTGGGACAGTCTTTTCGAAAGTTGCGTTCAGAACCTCCAAGTTCAACTGACCCTCACTATATAACACCGAGATTTCGGAGGAGACTATACCAAAGGCTTCTTATGAAATGCCCTTCACTTTCTTGGGGTCACAATCAAGGATGGACTGTAAAATGGTCAAAAGACGCACCAAGTAAAAACATGAGAGCTAACTTGATCCATGAAGAGATGTTTTTGAGCGAAAAAAAAAATACGAAGGCTAGTTCATGAAAATTACATTACTAGGGATATGTGAATAATGATGTCTTTATGGTTCTATTAATAAAAAATTTTTATTATGATCAGCTGGCTGGTTATTTATTTTGCATAATGAATATAAATATTTTTTTTCATTAGGACTGTTTACAAATTTTGTAGCTTTTTATAAAGTCATATATACTTTGGAAATATACAATACCTCTTTTAGAACTTATGTATTTTTGTATTCTTTTATTTAGTCTTATAAAATCGAACATATAATGACTCTACAAACGACAACGAATTTTGTTAAAATCTTTTAAGAACCAATTCATTATAAAAAGACATAAAAAGGTTATTAAAGCATCTGTATTCTGTAAAAATAAATGATTTTAAATATATTTTTATTTTTAAAATACTTTAAACATAAAAAAAATTAAAAATGGTGAACCGACATAAAAGAACATTATCACGACACCAGCTTGGATCATCTTTGTCTAAAGGATATACAGCTCCTCCAGGGAAGAATATCCCTTTAAACGATGATTTTGAAGAAAAACAACAGAGGCGGAAAGAACGCAATGAACAGGATGAAAAGAATCGTCATATACTTTTAACACCATATAAGCAGACTAAATCAAAACAGACAAATACACCAAGTACAGCTGATAAGACAGATGTATCCTTATCTGGATTTACACCTATTCCTAAGGTTCCTGTTCTTGCTAATTTTGAAGAATGGATGAAAATGGCTACAGACAATGTAGAAAATATATCTTGTTATTGGATTATACTAATAAGGAATTAGAAAATTAATGCAACTAATAGTTGGAACTTTGCACTTATTGACTATTTTCATGAAATGTCGTTTTTGCGTGATGGAGATGGTATTAATTTTCAAAAAGCATCATGCACACTGGATGGTTGTGTTAAAATTTATACATCAAGAGTTGATTCTGCAGCAACAGAAACAGGAAAACTTTTAAGTGGTCTGACATGTGGTGAATGTATATAAATGTGTTTCTATGAATTTCTAAAAACTCTAATGGTATGTTTTAGCATCAAAAGTACAAGATAACCCTACAGATGATGATATCAACATGGAATTTGAAAAACAAAAGAAAACTAAAAACAAAGTATGAGTGTGTATATTTTTATGTTTAGTTGTTTAAACTTTAATAGTCTGAAGCAACTCTTGTTAAAGATTTTTCAGCTTTGCAAGTTAAAAAATTTGATTTGGAGTTTTCTATTAATCCTCTTTTTAAGAAAATATTAGTCGATTTTGATGAAGGAGGCGCAAAAGGCCTGTTATTGAATCACTTATTTATTGATCGTCGTGGAAAGGTTATTTTTGATGCTGATGATGCTATATACGATGAAGTTGAATCTGTTCATACTAATGAGAGCCCCCAGGATATTGATTTAAGCAGTCTTCAGGGTATTTTCCATTTTTGCATAATTCAAGAATTTGACTTTTTAGAAAAATTTATTCCTATTATGTCTAATTTAGATACTGATGAAATCTGTCCATCACTTAAAAATTTTGATTTTGGAATGAATTCATCTTTTCCTGTCTCTTCATTGAAAGTTCTTGAAGATTGCAATGAAGAAAATGGAAAGTTTTTGATTGATGATAATGTTTTAATGGATGATGGTGGGTTTGATGATGATGACAGTGATAATAAACCAATTCTTATGGTTACGGAAGAGAATAATCAGGATTCTCAAATATGTAATGTCTGGGGTGAAGACTCTTTATTAAAAAAGTTAGAGAAACATAATGAGGAATCAGATCCGTTAAAAGTATGGAATGGAAATGATTTTAGCATTGCAATGGATGAATCAGAAGATAAAATTTTTGAATATTTTGACCAGGCTTTAAGAAGGAATTGGGCAGGACCAGAACATTGGAAAATACAAAGGTTACGCAAAGGTAGGTCTTTATATAACATTTATTTATATTTATATTTTTTTAGAGAAAATTGAAATTACTGAACCAAAAAAACAAAGAGAAAAGAAAGAACCTTTTTTAATTGATTTTTTTGATAAACAACCAATTGATTTTCATGCATTATTTTCTCCAGGAGGAGCAACTATATATCTCCCTAAAACACAATGGATATCAAAAAGTCGAAATCTTTTACCTGACGATATATATTTTAATTCGAAACAGCTTTTAAGTCTTTTTATAAAACCTAAACCAAAAGTTTACAACTTTTATTTTAGAATAATTTATCTAATAAGATTAGATATTTGGAAAATATACAAATTCTCAGAATCTAGAGGTTGATATGAATTCTTGGGTTAAAAATAATGATAATAATGAACATAATAAAGGTTAGTATATTACTTCTAAACGCTATATATGACTACTAACATACGTAGATTCAGAACAATCTGCTTATGATATTAATTTTTTTAATGATGATCATGATAATGTAATGGACCAAGATATTCATGATGATGATCAATTTGTGGATGCAAAGGATGAGATATTTTCGAATGAGGATGAAGTCAAAACAGATGCAGAAATTTTCAATTCATTTATTACAACTTCTTTTAAAACTAAACCAGATCAGTTAAATTATGCAAAAATAGCCAAAAGAGTAGATGTTAGGCAATTAAAAGATAATATTTGGGCTGAATTAAAGTTAGAAAGTTTGAATAAGGTATTTTACATCTTGATACTGACTTTTTTTAAAAAAATATCTACAGAACCGTACATCACATGCTACACTTGTAAAAACAGAAAGAAAGTTTACAGACATCATGAAAGGTCTGAAAAAAGTTTACCCAGAGAAAGAAATGGCGGATATATCTACTAGTTTCTGTTTTATATGTTTACTTCATTTAGCAAATGAAAAAGGACTAATTATTGAAAATAATGAAGATTTAACAGAGCTGAAGATTACACTAGACACAACAATAGAACGTGTTTAGCATTCTATTCTTTTCCTTCCTACTGATGCACTGCACAGTTATGGTTTTATCAAAAGGTGTACTGAAAAAAAGCAGAAAAAATAACTTGGTAAGTTTTTATATGGGATTCAGTTATTCCATGTAATCTTCCGCTACTTTTTTAAGCTCCCACTCACGTTCAAAGTTGTTCCGCAATTGTGTAAGTTGGTAAAGTAAATCTCGACTTGCATTGCTTACGGCATCTCTTGGTTCATATCCCTCCTCTGTTTGAACTCGAAGAACAAACTTATGTTCTAAAATAGGATGAGAAACACGGTATCCTGCAAATAATACACGTTCATCTTGAAGCAACTGTCTGCAGTAATATATAAGCTATTTTTATTTGTTTTTTTTAAACTTACGCACGCAACATATTTCCAAGTGTATGATCTTCATTTAAAACAGTGATATTTGCTGCATTTGGGACTTTAGGATCAATATCAAATGTTACTTTTTTTTTTCCTTCAGGAAGCAGCAGTAATTCCCATCTTTCAGGAATATTTGTCATTTTTTTGTGATGTTTTTCTTGCAAACGATAACCTATGTTTTTTATATAAAATAATAAAAGAATAAAAAAACAATAAGCAGCCTTTTATATATCTTTTAACTACTGATATTATTTTACTTTATTACATTTAAACATAATTTTCGATTTCTTAAAATTGTATAAAAGAATAATTTAAAACTCAAAACAAAGATGGATATAAAAAAAAAATGTGTAAAAACTTGAGGGGGATAGTGCTGTACTTATAAAACCTAAATTCCATTAGATTGTGTTTGTTAATTGATTTGGGAGATGAAATAATTATACTTTTCCTACAATGCTGGAAGAACGGGGCTGAATAGCCGGTGTTTTTTTGAGTTTAGTGCCTTTCTGAATTTGATTTAATAGTGCATCTCTATTAGCAGTGGGGGAAGATGGGCTTTTCCTTCCGAGGGAAGGAAGATAATGTGAAGGTGTTTCAAATAACTCGGTTGTTGATGTTTTAGGAGAGTCATTTTTAATTAAGTATGGAGATCCTTTGCCGGATTCAATGGCTCCGATTAAGATAGATGCTAATTGAGAGGGGTTTTTTTTGGCAGTTGTACTGTCGTCGCTATTATCATTGTCACTCGTTGATTGAGATATAGACCACGTATTTGAATCTGTTTGGTAATTTGAATGTAATATTTTTGATATAGGCTGCATATGTGGTGAAGAATGGCGTGTGCTTGATGCTGTATGCAAAGTATCTAAAGATGAGTCTGATTTGTTTTGATTTTGTAAGGTCGAAAATGGATTATTTAGTTTATTTGAAGATGTATGTAATTCAGTAGTGTTGTATTGAAACGGGTTTGTTTCAGACGTATATTGTGTTTGTGCTAAATTAATTAGGAAGGTTAATCGAATGCAATAATTAGTTATTTTTACCTTTTAATTGATCATTTTTTTTTATTTGGTAATCTTCATTATTTTCTAGCGAAAGTCTTTTTATTTCTTTCTCCATTTCATCTTGTTTACGTCGAAGTAATATTTCTTCTTGTTTTTTAGCCTTCATTTCTTCCTTTAATTTACGTAATCTTTCTTCTTTCATTTGTAGGTCATGCTGTAAGCTATTCTTTTTTTGTTTTTTTTCTATTTCAGATGTTTTTTTTGTATTTCTTGATTTTGTATCTTTAGATTTTTTTATACGTTCTTTTTGTACTATTTCTTCAGTTAAATCTTTTTCTTGAAATTTCTCGTTTAATATTTTTGAGTGCATGTCTAAAATATTTTGATTATTTTTAGAATTCCGTGATGTTTGATCAATAAAAGTTGATTGCTTATCAGATCCTGCTGAAAGGGAGTTTTTGTTTTCTTTTTCTATTCGCAATAATCTAGCCCTTTCTCTTTCCTTTTGGTATTCTTCATCCTTTTTTCTTCTTTCTTCAGCTTCTTTTATAATATCGGATTGTTTTTCATTAACAATTAATGAATCATTTGATCCTGATAATCTTTTGTAGGGCTCAATACCCATTGCAGCTAAACGTTCATTCATACGACGTTCTGCTTCAGCTTTGATCCATGCTGCTTTATCCTTGTTCTTGTCAATAGATAAAGAAGTATAAGTAGAATCATGTTTATGTGTAACATTAGAAAGAGGTTTTTTTGAAAAGTCAATTATTGATTGTTTTGTAGAAATTGATATATCCGAAGATTTATTTTCAAAACTAATTAAAATTAAAAGTAGAAAAATTAAATATTAAATATACTTTGAATTGCTTTTTTCTTGAGGTTTATATGTTTTTTTCAAATCAGAAATAAATTCTTTAATTTCATTTTGAACATTAAGTCCTTCATTCCATTTTTTACGTTCATCATTGCTAGATAAAAATTTTTCTTTGAAATTTTTGAGCTTATATTCTAAATCATTTTTTAATTGTTCTGCGCTCTCTTCAATACTAGATATTGTATTTTCATTGGATTCTTTTTCTTTATTTATATTAAATACGGCTTCGGAATATCGTCTATCATAATCATTAACTTTTGATGATGTTAAATCTCCTGTAAGAATTGCCATTTGAGCTCTTAGTGTTGCTGCTGCTTCTGTATTTCTTTTATTTGAATCAGTTGTTTCTTTATTATTCATGATCTTTGCATTTGATTCTGGATAATTTTTAACATCTTGTAATTTAAAAAGTTCAAGTTTTGCATCTGCAATCTCTTGTTGAACTTTTCGAATCCTAGAGATAATGCTTGGAAGTTCATCTGATAAATCTTCCAATTCATATTTAAGAGTCACATGTTTCTCATTTAAGTCAAGCAATAATAACGATGAATCAGGATGGTTATTGATTTCTTCTTGTATATGACGAATTTGACGATAGAGATGTTTTATTTCATTTTTATTTTCTTTAATTTCAGATTTATATTTTTCATTTTGAATATTGGTTATATCAGGGATTTCTTCTCTATTTTTAATAAATTTATCCAATTGACCAGTATCTTTTTTTTTTAACTCTGTAACTAGAAAAGAATCGAAATTTTTCAAAGATTCTTTTTTATGAAAATCTGAAATATGTTCTATTTTATAATTATCTTGCTTATATTTTGATATATTTTTAGAATATATCTCAAAAGGATCATTGTCGGACGATTGTAGTTTTGTATAGTCTGTAATTTGAGATGAAAAAGATTTTTTTTCATGAGAATTAAGATTACGTAAAAGTGATTTGACTTGACTAACTGAATCAGAAAAATTTTTTGACGATTGTAACACAAGTTCTTGTGGAAGTTTTAAGGGTATCTCGTAACCATTTATTTTGCGATATACCTAATTAAATAGTTCAATCGTTAAATAAAAAGGTTAACGCTCTTGCTTACCAAATGAAGAGCTATAGAAAATTCATCAATATTTAGTTTTCCACGGTTTTCTGAGTCTGCCAAGTTCCTATATAAAGATTAAAGACTAATATTATAGTTGAATTATTATTACCATATTAATTCCAAATCTTTTTTAGAAAGATTGCTTTGACTAAATATTTCAACTGCAGTTTTCCCATCAATAAAACCTGTATTAAGACCACCCCATGCCTTTAACTAAGTTTAAAAAATCTCAAATTTTTAAAAATTTTACCTTAAATATATTATCATAGACTTGTTTTTCATCTTTTGTTCTGAAATCATTAGCTAAAATACTCAAAAAATTATCATACATTGCCCATGTTGATTGAGAAGCTCCACTCATATCCACTGAAGCAATTCCCTCTTTTCTTCCTGTCTGAGGCATCAATTGCGATTGCAATGCATAGATCCCTGAGGTCTTTCTCTGTACAATATTTGCTCCACTCCATTGTCCTTGAATCGCTGTATTATCAACTTTCATTCCATAATTTGACACTCCCGTCATTCCTGAATGCATAGGATCCGTATAATGTGCTGACCCTGTATGTATTTGCGGTTGAATATTAGATGTAAGTGGGGAAAGCGGTTGAAACCCCCCCGGCATCTGCATAAAAGGTGTTTGAAACCCTGCTACCTGTGAAATCGGCCCTGTTTGAGAGCTTTGAAGCCCCCCTTGCCCCTGTGTCGCCTGCATTGGCTGTATAACCTGCGTTCCACCCAATCCTGGCGCTCCATGCTGAGATGAGCCGCTTGTTTTCATATTCTGTGCATTCTTTCCCCAACTAGAAGGCGATGTATCCGGAACAGAGAGCAAAATAGATGAAACCACATCAAATACTTCGTCATATATAGTTTCTGGAATCTTATCTGGCACACTTTTCCCCGACATTGCCATGCTACATAGATGCATCGCTAAAACAAACTCTGGCATCATTAATTGCCCAGATTTCGTCGTATCTGCATGTTCCCTGCATATTTATCACTTCTTCTTCTCCTCTTCCTGTATTTTTTTACCATATCTTTGCAAGCACTGACGGCGTAAGACATGACTTAGACATAATAGATTTTGCTATTTCTCCACTAATAACAATATTTTCTCCCACTGCTGAACGGAAAATATCTTCAAATCTCGCCTGATCACTCGATGTTACAAAGGAAAGCCGCACTATTTCTATTAGATATTGTATATAGATATATAATCTTACTTTTCCCCGTTTTTCTTCCTGATAAAAGACTTGCTCCAATCTGTGTCCCTGGTGCTCCTGTTTGAGCTTGTATTGATCCCCCTTCTCCAAAATACGGCATATTTCTAGTATCAATATTTTCACTGTTAATTGAACCTGATAAATGGCCTGTTTGAAGCCCTGAAAATGCCAAATCTCGTGCTGCCGGTGCATGTAGAGGCTGTTGAGAATCTCCTGAGTATGTAGCACGCTGCAGGTTCTCTATTTGAGGCGTTGAATAAGGGTTTGTATTCATTTTTGTTAAGAAAGCTCTGAAAGAGAGCGATCGTCGAGTAGCGATCTGTACGAGGGTTGGATATATATGAATACAGGATTAATGAAATGTACACAAATAAACAGTGGAAATGATGCAGAAGAGTGTATATATTCACAGTTTTTAGCAGATATGTGCTGAATATGCTTTGGACAAAGATATATGTATGGACAGTATAGTGAGGTAATGAGGAGAGTGAGGACAACGGAGCAATAGTGGAGAGAACAGATAGGTAGGTATACAAAATATGTATAAAGAGGCAGTGAGATGAAGACAAAGGAGTAAATAGAATGTATTTGTTAGAGTAGTGTGTTTTTTGAGGGAGAAAAAGGAGATCCTGGAGTGGTGGTTAAGAGGAGTCAAGAGGAGAGCTGAAGAGCGGTAATTGTGAGAAGAGAAGAGATTTTTTGGAAAAATATGTTTATGAGATGATGAAAGGTGTTTAGAGCTTTTGAAAGTCGCCTTCACCGCCAGGAATGAGCTATTTTTGGGTGTATTTTAGTGTGCTTTTTTTTGGAAGAAAAAAGGAAGAAATACCATGCAAACGCTGTTTCCATTAAGAAGGAGCTGTTTGTGCTTTTCATGAGTGCCTGCAGAGACGTTGCTGTGTGAAAAATAAGAGAAATATAGGCATATGATGGGGTCGGCTTACTATTCAGTAACATCTTGAAGAACCATGTCTTGAGCAGTCAGTATAGCGAAAAAAGGATACTGAAGGAGAACTTACTGACGTAGTCATCAAATCCAAGTAAAATACCAGAGAATTCAGTGTCTCCTTTCATTACTACCCAGATTCTTGAACCTACACATTTGTCTACAAGTTCTAGTTGAAAAAAGGGTTAAAAAAAAGCAAAAAAAGAAGAAAATAGAAAGGTTTACCTAGTGGAAGAAGTGTAGAAGTAGACATAGTGAAATTGAAGATATTAGAAGGTCTTTTGTTTTAATATTGAAATCATAGAGATAGTTCGACGGGAGTTAAACGTCAAAAAAATTAAACTAATAGGTATGAAAAAGAATATGAAGAAATAATAACTAAAAGTTTTAGGTATGTTTTTCTAATAATTTATTTTGATTATTTTTTTTGTTTAAAAATTTTTTTAGAAGCAAAAAGATTTATTTTCAAAGTTGTTATTAGTTGATTAAAACAGCTATTCTTTTTATATATAGATATAATAGGAGGATCTGCTTTTATCTGTTTTATGGTCTTTTCTTTTTATAGGATTTGAATGCAGTTGAGTTAAGAAAAGTTTTCGTGCAGCAAGACGTGTTTTAGTGCATGTTTTGTCGTTTTATTATGCAAAAAGTGTATAATGCAGTATATGTTTGTAGAGGGTTTCCTGTGGTTTCTTGGAAATCTGTATTTTCTCGAAAATTATTCATTTATTTGCCGTTTATTAAGATGTCTTCTCAAAATCCTTTATCTACATGTTTAACTCAAGAAAAAATGAATACTACTTTTGATAATAAAGATTCAAAAGCGGCTATTACCTCGAGAAAATATCGTTATTGGAGTTACTTAGATATTAAAGATAGTGAAGGCAATCCTCGAGCTAAAGTATATTATGTTTTCAAATTATCTGAAGTAAAAAACGCGGTTTCGCTTCTTAAAGGGCCATATCTTGGGTTCGATATGGAATGGAAGCCGTATGGTAGTTCTAAGGTTGCTATTATTCAGTTAAGTGATGCAAATTCTATCGTATTATTTCATTTGTCTTTGATGGGTTTAGAAGGTCTGTAATTTTGATTTGACTATTTTGTCTTTAAATTATTTAAGGAACATTTCCAGAGGCCCTTAAACATCTCTTAGAGGACCCATCTTATATAAAATGTGGTGTTGGTGTAAGAAATGATGGTTATAAATTGTTTAAGGACTATGGTATTATTGGATCTGGATTTTTGGAATTAAGTCAATTGGCAATAGCTGTTGATAGTAATAAATGGGATTCAAATACTCGTCTTATAGGTCTTACAAAATTGGCAGAGCAGTATCTTGGAAAACCTCTTTTTAAAGGAAATGTAAGATTTAGTAATTGGGATGAAGAGTTAATTTTCAAACAAATGCATTGTATGATTATTTATTTATTTATTTATTTTAATTTCTCTAATTTTATAAAGATGCAGCAACAGATTGCTTTGCTGGGCTTATGATATTTGAAAAACTCAATTATTTAAGAGAAACTTCCACTAATCCTTTAAGAATTCCGGAGCCAATTGACATGCATTTAGACCCTTCTGTGATTGATGATATCCAAAAGAAAGAAGAAAACGGAATATTGCAATCTAAAGTTGATAAAGATTATGAAAATTTTGGTTGATTTTTTGTTAAATTTGCATTATCTACTGGTTAAGATGTTAATCATTGTTTTTACTCTTTTAATAAAATGCAATGTTATAAGATTAATTAAATATTTAATTTTTTTTTTTGTATGAATATTAATTAAAATAGTAAAGTTAATATAAAGTATCTTAATTATACTTAATTTTTTAAAATTTAATGCTTTTTTGATATTTTAACTATTAAATAATCTTTTTGATATTTATTTTTTGTTATATTTTAATGAGATATTTTGGTATTTTAAATAAAAAAAGTAATTTTATTTTTAAAAGTTTAAAATGAATTTACTTTTAAAATATATGAAATCATTATATAATTGTAAAAATGATTCTTGTAATAGTAAATAATTAATTTTATAAAAAATATTTAATTTACTGTCCGGTAGAGCTTTAATCCATATATTTTTGATATTATGAGATATATTAAGAAAAAGATAATTTATTAAAAAAAATATTTTGTTACAAAAATTAATCTTCATTCAGTAGTTTTAAACTTTGTAAGGACTTTTTTGAAATACCAAGTGCAGGGTGAATTTCTTGAAGTTTTTCATCACCAAAAATTGAAAGTGCAGCAAGACCAAAGTATGAATGCATTACATCTATTATATATTAGTAATTTGAATTAAAAAAAAAAATTGATAAACCTGGATATTCACCCTTGCATTTTTCAAATCCTCCTATATTATGAATTCTTTTTAAAAGAAACTCTCGACTATGTTTTTTTGAAACGAATTCTATACCATTTTGAAGACACTTTTTGAATCAAAAAACTATATCAAATTTTAATTTTATACCTTTAATGCTCCTCCAATCCAAAAAGAATAACATGTATCTGAAGATTTATTCATTCTTCCTTCGAATCCACCAAAATCTTCAGTATCTGACAATTGCCTTTTTAATAACCATTTTATAGTCTTTTCTGAACATATAGAAGATATCTTTTCATTTATCGCTGGTAACATATTTTTAAGTAAATTAAGCGAAGTAACTGCACAAAAAGTGTATCCAGCTTTAAGATAAATCAGAATGTATATTAATAAACCATTTAAATTACTACCATGAGATTCATTTTTTGGATTTTCTGCAAATCCATGATCGTATGACTATATTAACTATTATATATAATAAAAAAACAAAATTCTTACCTTACAAGAGCGTATATATTCCAAAAGAGGATCTATACGTATAATTTTATCTACATCTTTACATTTAAGAATATAAAGAATAGCAATTGCACAATATGTGAATCTAATATCAGCTTTTTCAAAGAGTTTTATATTTTGATGATCTTCAATGTAAGGCCAAAAACTCCCATCAGTATTTTGTAAACGTGAAACATATTTTATAATGTTTTCTTTATTTAGCCGTTCCATATTGTCTTTAAGAATTAAAAGAATACATATTGCAAAATATGTAGATGTTATATGTGCTAAATTATGATATAAAGACGGAAAATCTGGAGTACAGTCGCAAAACCCGTTTGACACTTGAAATGAATACACCCATTCTATCCACTCTTTTCTTTGTGCAGATGTTGTAGAGGTCTCCAATGAGCCAAGAAGATCAAGAGAAGAAACACAAAAAAATACAATACTCATTCTACTTGTATCTGCAAACAAATAATGATGAGGAAGAAAATTTAAATGCCTAAGATGATATTTCGTATGCTTATCAATATTCAAAGACATTTAGATATTAATTTTTGATATAAAAATAATATTTTTAATTTTAATCTAGTTTTTTTCAAAAATCCTGCTTTATAAATAAAAAATATAATATTATATTATTAATATCAATACTCAGATAGTTTTAATCAAGTCTAGTCACTAAATGATCTGTTTTTACTTATTAATCGAAAAAACACACGATAAGGCTGGTTTGCAAATATTATCAATTCCTCATGCAAAAAGGGATTTAATGTACACTTTTTTGAGAAGAATGTTGATTTTTAAGATGAAAAAACACTATAAATTTCACTTTAAGAATTTATTTAAAAATGTTCAAATTTGTTCAAAAAACTTTAAACTTTTTGATATAAAAAATATTTTCTAAAGAACGTAACAAATAATGTTAATAATATATAGAATATTATACCAAATCTTTCTATTTAGACAATAAAAACGGCTAAAAAGCTGATATAATTGCTTACTTTTTATAAAAAAGTAATTCAGCTGAAAACGATATCGTCGACGTCTCAGTTTACATGTGATATACATTTCAAGAAATAGCTAAATAACTTTTTAAAATAAAATATATAAAATTGAGAAAACAAATAGTCTAATATTTTCAATTGCTTATCAACAATAAGATGGAAAAGAAAGAATAGCGGATAAAGCTAATCTTGCGGCCTTAAAGAGAAAAAAAGAAAAGAATTAAATATCAGAATCGAAATATATCACAAATGACAGCTTGTTGTGTTCAAAAGGGCTAATAATCAGTATATATATTCGATAACACATGAAAATGCCAAAGACACATCGAATCTTTCTTGAATACCATGAGGGCAAAATGAATAACAAGGCTAGAGATTTTCAAGTTGCTGATTAACTTCATCCAGCTCTGCTTTAACCAAATCATACTTTTTAATCATTTCCTCATACTTTGCCTCGATCTCATCACGCTCCTTTTCAAGCACTAAAACTTTACGCTCAAAATACTCTGATTTTAGATCCATATGCCGCAATCTACATTGCTTAGACGCCTTATACTGCAAATACACCATCACTTACTCATCCGTCGTCTTCTGGAGATTTACATCATTCTTCTCAAGCTCCTCCTCTAATAATTGGATCTTTTTTTGAAGACTTTCACTGATATTTCGGCATCCAGAGTCATCTTCTGCCACCATCTTTGCCTCCAGCAATTGCTGTTCAAGCCGTTCAATTTCTTTTTCAAGAAGCTCATTTTTATGTATTAGACTTGCATTTTCTTGCTCCTTAAGTGCAAATTCATGCTCATACTGCTTAATTCTTGCTGCCAACTCGTCTGCTCGTAAATTTGCCTCATCCGCCTCCATACGCAAAGATGACAATTTCTACGCCCCGTATGTTAGCATATACTCACAAAACCCTTCTTAAATCCACTAAAACATCTTCCTGAGCCTCTTTTCACCCCTTAAGTCCTTTATATTGTCTTTTAAATCCTTCTTTTTTTCTTGTACTTTTTCTCCTCTGTTTTTCACCCAATTTTCACCCGATTTTCGCTCAAAAAATACTTACCTCCTTCAGCTTGTCCATAGTGTCTCTAATATGCAAAGAATGTCTCTAATTACGCCCCTTTGTGCCCTCCTAATGTCTTTTTTTCTGCTACACACGTTGATCTGTGTGTCTTTCTTTTTGACGTTTGTTGATCTGCACCTTGACGCCTATCGTAGGTCTAAACCCTTGTGTATATAATTAGGGTTAGGGTTAGGGCAAATAGGGTTTAGACCTAGCCCTGATAAAAGGAGTTAATGAGTATGTACGGTGTGGGTGGTTAAGGAGTATTTAACAAGAAGAAGAATTAGAGAGAAATTGGGGCCAAATTGGAAGGAAAGTAGAGGTAAATAGGCGAAATACAGAGAATAAATGATTAAAAAACAGTTCTAGTGGGAGGAGAAGAAAAAACGCGAAAAAACGGGCGAAAAATGATGTCTTGAGGATACTCTGGAATGATCTGCAAGTTAATTGATTATGGATTAATTGGGGAAAAAGGAAAAAATAAAGGGGAAAATAAGGGGAATAATGGAGAAAAACAGGATCAAAAGGAAACCAAAAAACAAATAGAAAATAGGGTAAAAAAGGGGACACAATTGGGTGGATAAGAAGAATCTATTTAGTTAAATCAACGAGTCAAATATGCAGGAGAAACCATACAGCAAGGGCTAAACAAGAGGATAAATAGGAAATGGGAGTGATTGTCTGGGCAAAATATATGAAAAAAAGCAGATTGCAATGTAAAAATCAAGCTATAACTAAGTATATCATTATGGGGTAAATTTAAAAGCTCCGAAGCTAGGTCGATTATCAGTATTAAAAAATCTACACTGTTTTCGGAATAAGGGTTAAGCCCTATAAAATGAATATTGATATAGAGGAGCAAGTTAAGAGATGTTGAGGAATCAGTAGGCAGAAAAAGCTGTGTGATAGAAAAGTTGAATCTTAGTTAATGATCAGTTTAGTATATTGACAAAAGTAATTTAATATTGACAGACTAACTAAGTAGATTAGAAGTTTTCGGGCGCTAACTTTAAAAAGTGAAAAATAAAACGGCTAGTATTTTTAGTAAAAGAACAGAATATATGTCTAGAACTAAGATGTAAAAATTAGGCAAAAAAAAGCGAAAAATGAAGGAAAATCAAATCGAGCCAAATATACTTGACACATCTTTATTCAGGCTTGGCGTAAACTGGCGTAGATTGGTTTGGGAGCTAATCAAGAGCGGGCCACAAGGGCCGGGATCAGAGCAAATACAAAAGCTGTGCACCGTCGAAGTAGCCGGTAAAACGTTGGAAAACGTTCAAGGGGTATTTAAGGAACGTTCGGTAAAGCGTTCGATAAGAGAGCGTTTGACGAGCGTTCATTAGAACGCCCGTTAAAACGGAGACAAAGAAATTAGTAGGGGTTAAAGAGGAGATTTTAAAAAGGTGCTTTGAAAGAACGTCAGTGAGAATTGACGGATTAATCTTTTTGGATATTACTGAGTTTTTGGATACTTAAACACAACGACAAAATCTTTGGACGTCCGTGAGGAATCTACGCGGCGCACCACGCGCCGCCGCCGCAAGAAAACTAGTGCAGAAGATGGACAGTCATCTCGTGATACATCTCACGAAACCCATGCTGATTCAACACAGTCAAATACATCAATCATGGCAACAGTGACGCCAACTGCAGCACCAGTTGCAGTAAGTGCACCTGTAGGAACAACAGTCAATACAGTACCAACGACTGTGAATAGTTTGACTGTTGGCGGGACAGGAGAGAACACTGCACCCTCAGCGTTAGCACGGCTTGTGAGTATTAATGAAGAAACATGGATGCATATTGGTATGAAGAGCTTTTTGTGGCTTTTCATCTCAAGAAAATGATAAATCTAATATTTTTAGGCCGTTTAGCGGAGCAAATGGGAGAGTATGATCGTGCGTTATCAAGTTATGAATCGGCATTAAGGCAGAATCCATATAGTATTGGAGCAATGTTGCAAATTGCGTCGTTATTTCGTGCAAATGAACAGTTTGGACGTGCAGCGGAATACTTTCAGTCTATTTTAAATTTAGATCAAACAAATGGAGAAGTTTGGAGTGCTCTTGGGCATTGTTATTTAATGATGGATGATCTTCAAAAAACGTATGCAGCGTATCACCAGGCATTATACCATTTACAAAACCCTAAAGAACCAAGATTATGGTATGGAATTGGCATTTTATATGATCGTTATGGATCTCTTGAACATGCAGAGGAAGCATTTTCACAGGCAATTCAAATTGACCCATATTTTGATAAAGCGAATGAGATTTACTTTCGTCTTGGTATAATTTATAGACAGCAACATAAGTATACACAAAGTCTTGAATGCCTTCAGTATATTTTACAAAGTCCTCCCAGTCCATTAACGGAAACTGACATTTGGTTTCAAATTGGTCTTGTTTATGAACAACAGAAAGAATATAAATTGGCAAAAGATATATATGAACATATTTTATCTGAAAATGCCGATCATGCAAAAGTCTTACAACAACTTGGGTGGCTTTATCATCAGCCTAATACGTCATTTACAAATCAAGATCTTGCAGTTCAATATTTAACTAAATCTCTTGAGTTAGGTATGTGTATATATATAAATAATCTCTTTTATCACTTAGTAACATTCTTTTTTCACCTAGATAATCGTGATGTTCAAAGTTGGTATTTTCTTGGTCGTTGTTATATGGTTCAACAAAAATACAATAAAGCCTATGAAGCATATCAGCAAGCAGTTTACCGTGACGGCAGAAATCCGATTTTTTGGTGTTCAATTGGGGTGTTATATTACCAAATCAATCAATATCGAGATGCTCTTGATGCCTATTCTCGGGCTATTCGTTTAAACCCGTATATTTCTGAAGTTTGGTACGATCTTGGCACGTTGTATGAGTCTTGCAATAATCAAATTGCGGATGCATTGGATGCATATCAACGTGCAGCTGAGCTCGATCCAAACAACCCACATATTAAGAGCCGTTTGCAATATTTGCGTAGTGGAAAGGCTAGTGGATCATGTCATACAACGTCTTTTCCACATCCTCAGGATATCAATCCATCTAGTTATCAAAGTTCCAATCTTTCAGGAGGATTATCCGCCCAATGGTCTAAATCACCTCATTCAAATCTTTTACCTTCAATTGTAAATGAAGTTCCCAGAAAATTGCCTGTATTGCGTTCTTCTCAGCCTAACGAAACAGATTCACCATTGCCGAATCAAACACCGGATATTGTGAAAAAGTCGTCTGTATCTATTACATCGAATGAGCGATATGGACAACATACTCTTTCTCCAACAAATTATCACCATCATATGCCACCTAATCCTTATGATAAGGATAGGTCAAATCATACCAATATTCCACTTCATTCACCTATATACCCTCTTCAGTCTTCATCGGAATCACGCAATGGGTCGCATTCGGTTTATCATGTAACACGTTCTACAAATATGAATGAAGATACATTACTTGCGCCAATTCATCCTAATACATTTAATATAAATCATGAGATGAAACATTTGACGAACAATATCTCTAATTCTCATTCACCACATACAGAACACTCTAAGTCTTCATTAAAACAATCAGTTGACTCTATTATACATTATGATATAAAAGAATTTCAAGCTCACAAAAGACAGAGGGAATGGGAAGAAAAAAAGGATCTAAATGAGCAAAAGAAAGTTAATATTTTGAAGTTTGGAACGAAAGAAGTATCTCATGAAAAAATAAGCGAGAAGAAAGAATCTCATGGTCATAATACAGTTATTAAGAAAGCTGCAACAAAAGAACCAACAAAAACGAAAGAATTGGAGTTTAAAGAATTGCCGGAAGATTCTGACTCTACTTTATCTAGTAATCAAAAAACGTTATCATTAGCGTTTCCATCTACACCGCCTATTCTTAAAACAGATAATGTTATTCCTAAGTACTTGGAATCATCTGAAAACAATAAACTAGGACAACCGATTATAGACTCTGTAAAGGAAAATTCAAAGCATAATAAATTAAATAGTATAACAGAAATTACGAATCATGATACAAATATAGATGAAATTAAAGGGCCTGTTTTGAAGAAAGGATGGTCAGGCAAAGAAAAAAATGCACAAAAAATTGAGCTAACAGTGCGGAAAATAAGCATTAATGAGAATTATGACAATGATCATGAATAACTTTTTAGTCAACATCTTTTCACTTTTGTGTTTGTGTGATATAAATTGACATGATTTTTCTTTTTTTTGGAATTTATTATTGTTCGGCATTTACTATTAAAATTATTTTTCATGATTTCGTTTTGAAGTCACAAAAAAATTAAAAACAAAAAAACTATATCTTAGTGATACTATTGCTAAAAGTTTAGGAAATTTGTTTTAATTTTAACTCTAGGCTTTTTGTTTAGCATATTAAAACTCAAAGTTTAGTTAGTTATTCAAAACATAAAGGTTGTAAGGTTTTTTATTTAAAAGAAATATGACATGAACTTGAATGACAATTTTTATTAATTATATGAGATTACATTTTTTAAAATAAAACATTGTATTTAAAGATTTAGGATGATTAAATAATATATTGAATTTCTTATTAATATTTAATTTATCTTCAAAAATACTAAATTGATACATTGAATATGATCTAGAATACAATAATATATACATTTACCATAGTACATTTTTTAAGACAATCTAATGATAAATATGTGACTTCTATATTTTATTCCATCAAATAATATATACTATAGCATCTATTATTGTAAATGTTCCATTTCTGTCTGATCTGCTTTTGAATTATATTATTAAGATATTGGTTATCCGCCTTTGGGTTCCGTTATATTATTTGATAGGCTTGATAAAACACTTTTTCGAAGTTCACTTAAAAAAGTCGTTCCCTTTACTGTCAAATGACCTATGCTATCGCATTAAATATGACTACAAATTCATAATTTTAAACCTCGACCAGCCCATACTGATGTAATAGAACCACTTTTAGTCATCCATTCATTATCTGTCATTTTATAAATTTCTGGTTTATCTAACATTGTATTAAAATGAACAATGCAATATTTAAAAATAAAAATATACTTTTTGCTTGATAGGCTGAATCATTAGCTCGATCTAAAGCTGATTTCCATTCTATTATTCATTAGTCCTGCAAAAAATGCAAAAATCAAAAAAAAAAAAAACGCAAAAAATCCATAAATGAATAATAAACAATAATGAGTACATAAAACGCAAAAGCTAAAACATGCATCCAAAATAAAAGTAAAAAAACATAATATAAAGAACCATTTTACTCGTATATTCGGTTGCCCTTTTTTTCATTGTTTGCAACATACCTCTATTAAGATAGGCAGATACTTCAGAACTATTAAAACCTTTGTTTTGGGCATGCAAAGCCTCTGTTGTTGGCGTTTTTTGGGAACGATAAGATCCTGATTTAAATACATTAGATGGTATTGAGGATCCTGAAAAATTCTTGTCTCCAGTGATTCCAAGAGACATATTAGGCTTGTTCTGAGATGGCCATCCTGATTTACGGTTATTCCCGCGTTTTCCTCTACACTAATTGTTAATGTTTTTTCAAAAAATTTTATGTCTAAAAAAAGCCAAAAATAGCACTAAAAAAACCCGAAAAAAAGCATAAATAGCTTTTTATAGGCACTGATTAAGTGTACAGACTTACTTTACTTCCATTTCTTCTTTTCCTGGCATTTTAGATCTGAATCGTGTTTGCTCTATATTATGTGAGATGGATGACGTTGAGAATCCCGCCATCGTTAAGTAAGCGAGATTGAAGTTTAAGAATATTGGGTTGAAGTTAATAAAAATATTAACCAAAGGTCATAAATATGTTAATATCATGTTAAAAATATTAAAAACAGTGTTGAAAAGTAATAAAAAAGTTAAAAGTGTGTTAAGAAGTTTAATCGATTATAAGTACATAAGAAAGCCGAAAAAGAAGCCTTATAGGGATAATTGAAATTGGTGTTTAAGAAACCAAAATGTAAAAAATATTTTCTGTACAAAAGTATGTATGTTAGCGCTTCTTGTGAAGCGTCAAGTCAGATATATAGTAGAATACCAGATGTAGTTATCAAAAAATAGATAATAGTATAATGAAAATATTGAAAAATTAATAAAGGCGTTTAACGGTTGCTTTTACAGTAATGATGGGGATATTCATCTTCTTTGTAATAATCATATCCCCGTCCAGAGGTATAATGTTCGTAGCGTCCAGGACGCAGATCACGGTTGCTATGACTATCTTGTTTTTCATAATATGGATGAAAACGTTCCTGTGGTCTTCTATTATAATGATTGTATCGATCATATCCACCAAAGCGGTTGTACCGATCATAACGTTCGTGATGACTATACCGATTATATGATGTCGAAAAAAATGGCTTATTTTTGTATGAATAATCTCCCTATTGTTAGATATACATTTTTTTTTCTTCAATTACCTTTTTTCGGTGGTCCATAATACTTTCCTGGAGTTGGTGTTCCTTGAATCAAATTAGTTCATTTTGCCCAAATCATATATAGCTCACGCGGTCTGTCTCGGCGTGCTCGATCCACACTGTTTTTCTTAGTCATGTTCTCACATGTTTTCCACACCTTAAAACTCGTCCATATCTCTCTTCTCCCGTTAGCCCCTCCCGTGCTGCATTTGCACTTTCGATTGTCGACATCTGTACAAACCCAAATCCCCGTGGTTCTTTTGTATATGGATCAACCATGATCTGGCACTTCTCTACCTCTCCATATACAGAAAACATCTTCCGTAGCTCTTCTTCTCCTAGTTTATTTGCAATTCCTGTAACAAATAAATTAAAGCCTTGTCCATTTCCTCCTCCTGTCTGCCTCCAAATTTCCCTCCTTGAATTTTCCTGCTTTTTATATATTTCTTCTTCTCTATAAATACAAAAAATTCGTTTATTTCTTTATTCTTTCCCTTTATTCTTTACCTTATCATTTGATCTGATGATTCCGTCTTCCTACTGCTTCCACGCCGTTCTTGCTCTAGATCAACTCCTTCTACTATTATTATACCTTCTTAAAATATCATTTTATAGACTTACTTTCCATGTTAATCTTAAAATCATTATGAAACTCTGTCATCTTGTTCCATGCAAATTTTCTGACTGTTAAGGTCGCCGACTACCCCACATCAACCCCACATACTTTTAAGTGGGGTAGCAGTCTAGAGATGAGCTAAACAATAGAAAGAATGGAACAAGAAATAGACATGTAATGAATGGAAAATACTAAAAAAAAGTTTTTGAGCTAAATTGCTGTTTAAAATATGTATTTTTTATATTATAGTATGGATAGGAAAAGCAGGGAGTGGTAGGAGATAGACAAAAAATACATAAGATCAAAAGCAGAATATAAAAGATATTTTGTTTAATATGCAGGATTCTGAAGGCCACAGTATTAAATGGCCAAGGAATATTTTGTGATAACAGCAAGACACTAAGTCAACCAGTGAACAGTGTTGTAGGACAAGGAAGGCTAGCAGCGGTAAATTCTCGGGTGTGTAGACGCTAAGCAAACACGGCAATGTAGAGATGATGAATTGCTTAGCTGTATGAGTGAAAAAATAGATGACAATGGCACTACGTTGTAGATAGTAGTAGGAGGGCAGTGGTAGTACAGGTGGACAAGTGTAAAAAAATGAATAAAAAAACAGAACTGTACGGTTTATGAATAAATAAATTAGTAAATAGTTGTTAAATATATATTCCGTTGTGTCAAAGAATTTCGGCGGAAATATTAATTTTGTGTAGTGCAATAGATTAAAACTGAGATCGAGATACGGCACTAGAAATGAATTACAGAATCAGATAAAGGATTAGTAGATTATTAGAATGGAATTATTAGGATTAGTGTGTATGTTATCTAATTTATAAGTGGAGCTAAAAAAGAGTCTAAAGGTCGCTAGATTAAATTGAGAACAAAAAAGAATATTAAAAAAAGAGGTTTGAAAAAAAAGAATCTTAATACAGCAATTTTAAGATATGCTATGCATATGTCTTGTCCTTGCATGACAAAGTAATGAATTTTGTAAAATTCTAAAGATGGAGACGAGTATATTAAAAGTGTGTTGAGTGCAAAATACATAAAATTAGGGAGGGGGATGTGTTGGGGGAGTATGCAAGGAAAAAATATATTTTTGTAAGTATTTTTTCTGCAATTACTTTTTTGTATAATATTCCAGCCATATATGATATATTTATCTACGTCTGAGCGTTTACCCACGCACCGTACACCCTTAAATTTAACGTCGTTAGATGTGTACAGAGAAAAAATAGATAAAAATAAAGAAAAATAATAGGCATAAGCAAGAGGAAACCAAAAAAAACGTATTGGGTGTGTCAAGAGGATCATTTTGATATATATAAAGGTGTTTTTGTGTATAAAATAAGGCCATTGGTTTTACCAAGATCGGACTTATTTTAAAGGTGTTCTGAAGAGATAACAGAATAATTTAAGGCATATGCAAGAGGAAGTAATTTAAGATAATTAGTATTCTTTCAGGAAAAGTTATTTGTTAATTATTTGATTAATAATAATTATTAATTGGAACAACGGTTGTTTTGTATTTAAAAGGATCATTTATATTTATAACAATTGGGATTTGGAGTTTTTAAAAGAACAAAAAGCATTATTTGGCATAGTATTTTATTGATAATAGATCTGGTATCTTAAAAATAGTTACTTTTGCATAATTAAAAAGGGATTAAAAAATATTTTTAAGAAACAAAGTTTAAGGGTACAAAATTGATTTTTGGTTTAATAGAATAGTTTATGGGGTATATATTTCAGTGTTTTTGGTATTTGCTATTTTTTGCTTTTGAAAAAATATATGCATGTAAGTTTTAAGAGAATATCTGTACGTATTGCTTATAATTATTAGCGTTAGTCATGCAACCTATTAGTGTACGAAGAGTTCAGCTCCTTGAAAACGTTAGTTTGTTTCCACATTTTGTAGGATATCCAGAGAAGTCAATAGATTCTTATTCGTCCTTTGATTTAGTTTTTGCATTACCATATCATTTTCAGAAAATCGAATATTTGAGATCAATGAAGAAATATGTTAAACTCACGATGAAACCAAATTTGGATTTGTTGAATGAAATGTCATTTTTGCGGGTTCAAAATGAGCATGGGGAAACAGTATATTTTGGAAAAATTGATAGAAATGAGTACAAAGTTTATTCAGGAAAAGCATATATAACATACACAGAGGATGATACACAAATGTTGGAAAAAACATGGTATGAAACAGGGTGGGCAAGAATATCATTTCTTCGAGATAAAGATGCACTTGTATTTGAAGGTTCTTTTTCATTATTTGGGGATTTATATACTGTAAAAACATTAGAAAATTATATGTTATTTAAAGAGTCTCATGAACCAAGCATTTTTGGGCATAATGATAGTATGGTTATATGGTGTGATTCAGATCAATCGACTGAGATATTTAAAAAAAGAGATAATATGATGTGTATGTTTAAAAATTTAGATAATGATTATTTGTCAGCTTTATCGAATTTATCTGATTTATCATCTACTCATAAAAAGAGGAAAGAAAGTGATGTAAAACAATCAGGCTTATATCCTTCTAGAGATCAATTATCACTTAACACAGGAAATACGGATGGATGTCCAAAGTATAAAAAAATAGCTTTTATGGCTGCAGCTCTTGATTGTAATTATGTTTCGCAGTTTCAAACTGTAAATGATGCAACGAGACATATTATCTCTTTATATAATAAGGTAATGATGTTTTTATATTTATTAAGACTAATATAAAGGTTTCTGCAATTTATGAAGAGACATTTAATATTTCACTAGGGTTATTGAATATAACAGTTATGGAAAGTTCATGTCCTGTTAAAGAAAACTCAAACGTCCCATGGAATATTGATTGTTCATCTCATACTATATCTGATCGTCTGAGATTATTTAGTACATGGAGAAGTAAGATTTCTGATGGTATTGCATTATGGTCTTTATTTACATCATGTCGTTCTTCTTCGGAAGTTGGTGTTGCGTGGTTTGGAGTTCTTTGTCAAGATATTATTCCAAAAAAACATGGTATTGATTCAATTTCAGGCACAAATGTTGTAGCAAGTTCAAAACGTATTGAAGATGTAGTACTTGCTCACGAAATAGGACATGGTAAATATATTATTGTAATGATAATTTGATATATATATTTTTAGGGTTTGGTGCTTCTCATGATTGTACTGAGGAAGCATGTCAAGATTCTTCGGTTTCGTGTTGTCCTTTAAGTAGTCTAATCATTTATAGTTTAAACTTTCTAATTATGATAGGTTCTTCTTTATGCAGTGCAAATGGAAAATTCATAATGAATCCAAAAAGTTCTCCATCTTTACAAACTTTTAGCCCATGCACTATAGGACAAGTATGTTCTAACTTAGGAAAAAAATTGGTTAATTCTAAATGCTTATTGAGTAATAAAAATATTACTTTAATTTCTGAAAGTATATATTTTATGTTAATAGTTATATTTTAACATTTAATAGAAAGATGTGGGAATGGAATTATTGAAGATGGGGAAGAATGTGATTGTGGAGGGGAAAAAGGTTGTAAGGGGAATTTATGTTGTGATCCTAGAACTTGCAAGTTTACTCCTGGATCAGTGTGCGAGTATGTATATCTTTCAATAGTATATAAATATTTACTTTATAGCGATTCTAGTGAGGCATGCTGTAAAAATTGCCAGTTTGCACCAGAAAACACTATATGTCGCCCTTCTCATGACGAATGTGATATCGTTGAAGTATGTTCTGGCAACTCTTCAACATGTCCTTCAGATTTATTTAAAAAAGATGGTACATCATGCGGCAATGGATTTAAATGTGCATCAGGCATCTGTACATCTCGCAATATGGTAATTTTCAGCTAATATTTGATTTTATTTTAAATAATATAGCAATGTATTTCTCAATTTAATAATTCTAAAGGCGCATGTCATAGCTCTTGTATATTTTTTTGTGAAATCGGCGGTGCTTGTGTGTATTCTGGACTTCAAAATTATTTTATTGGTAAATATTTTTTATTATAACTAAAAAAGTAATATTTCAAGATGGAACACCTTGTGGGTTCTATGGTTTTTGTTATAAAGGTAACTGCATAGAAAGAACTTTGGGGAATCAATTGAAAACGCTATTAACTGGGGTAATTTTTTTAAGATAATATTTGAAATATATTAAAATGATAATAGTTTAAAAAATGGATTTTTATTATTGTTTTTGTTTTAGGGCTTCTTCTCGTTTTTCTAATCAGTTGTATCTTTAATCAACTCACTTCTTATAATAACCAAGGAAAACGTATTTACAATAAAGACTATCAACGCACAATTCATATTCCTGTATATACAAATTATCCACATCATAACTATCAAAACACTATGCCTAATTATATGTCGCAAGTACATTTTGATCCATATAGAAATTATCACGCTTTTAATCAAGAAAATATTCATCAAGCAAATCCTAATTCTGAAACTTATTATGACCAGAGATATAGATATAGATGAAATGCTTATGTATTCTTAAAATTTTTATATTGAATTTAATATATTTGCTGCATTTTGTTTTCTAAAAATATTTTTGTTGATAATCATCTTATAATTATTGAATATTTATATGAAATATATAGCAGGGACACTATGAAACATTACAAGCATTGTTATAAGTAAATCTTTTAATAGAATATTTTTGAAATAATAAAATTTCTTTTAAAAAACCTAGTATTAAATATACTTGTATTTAAATATTAATTGAGTTAGAAATAGGCTTTACCTCTAAGCCTTCTTTTACTAAATTCATATGTACCAATGACAATTTTACGCACTTTTTATATTCACTACTGATTTTATGTATTCTTTTATATATTGTGTCATGTTGATCTGATTCTATAATTATAAGAAACTAAATATTATATCATTTATATCATTTTTGTATAGTTATAAATATATATACCTTTTTTACATTATCTATTTTAGCACATATTTTTGACTCCATTATTAATTGTATAAGTTCTTTCTCTATATTTTCTAATAAAAATAAAAAAACATTTGCCATTTTTCTAAGATCGACTGAACTAAAAGGTTTAAGATATAAGATATATGCTTTTTGTCTTATATATAAAAATATGTTGTCGACATTTTTGCTCAAATATATATCAAGTATAAAATCATTTTTCAATCTATTTAAAATATCAAAACATTTTGAATAATTAGATGAATAGAACGTAAGAGCCACTTCCAAAATCTGAGGCTCTAGTTCTAGTAATTTCCTAAATTCAGTATTATCAATAATATATTGTTTGAGTTCATGACGAGAAAAAGATGGAAGAGCACAAATTATAGCATAAATAACTACATCGTTAATAGATATAATCTATAATATATTTAGTAATAAAATAAATAAATTATATATTGTTACGTCATTAAATTCTATGTTCTTTTCATTTTTAATCATACAAAATGTTAAAGCAGCTTCTCTATAATTCCCTAAATTAAAATGAACTAAACCTGAGATCACTTGAATTTTAGAATTAATTTCATTTTTAAGAGACGTATTTTGCATTCTTGAAAGCTGGGATTGTATACTTAAAAATTTCTTTTGTTCTAAAGACACTTTTATAATATTTAATAACGTATTCATAACGTGCTTTGGTGTTGTACAAAATTCTGATGCTTTAGAATAAAATTTTAAACTGTTATCTAGATCTCTACATGTATAATAATGATCCCCAAGACTGTTATATCCCATCTATTATAATTGAATTTATTTTTTGAAAATTAAAATAAAAATACCCTTATACTTTCTTTTATAAAGCTATTTTTATAACTTTGTAATGCAAACTCCAGTTTCTGGAGTATACTTTTAGCTTTGTTTTTTGTCTCAAGAATCCAATCTACATTTAAAGTTATATTTTTATCAGGACATTTTTTTTGTAATAATATAGCAAGTTTTTCATACAAAACAGTATCTAGAGTATCTGATTGAGATAAATTAATAGCAAATTCAAGTGCTTCAATGCTAAGAGATGAACAATGCTCAGAAATGAATATTAAACGTTCAATACGTGTATAACCTAATAAAAATAATTATTTTTAGTTTTAAAATATATTAATATTTACCTTTATAATTACTAATATAACTACTTAAATCAAAAGTAGGCAAAAAAACATCTAATTTTTTTTCATTCATATTTCAATATTAATTTAATCAAAAAAATGTTTTTTTTAAATTAAAATACTTTACAAATAACTTTTAAACGATGTTAAAAAATATATATTTAAATAGATACAGACATTTTAGAATGAACTAAATATTTTCCAATTTCCATTATTTTATTAATTGGCCATTTTCTAATTGGAAGTACTGAAAGATCTGAAATATAACCAATACGATACATTTCATAAGCTGTCCATGCAATCATAGCTAAAATGAATAAAAATGAATATATGAAATATGAAAAAATATACCAGCATTATCACTGCATAACTCAAGAGGTGGAAAAAAAAGTGGAGTATTTTTATATGGACTATTATTGAGTGATGTTTGTAATCTAGCGTTTTTTAGATGAAATATATATAATTAAAGTTTATACATAGTTTTCAAAAATGAATTTCTAGCAACGCCACCACTCACTACGATTCCTGATATAGGGTGGTCAATTCTGTTTAATCCTAAAAGAAGACGATCTGCAATATGAGTGAAGGCTGTTATTTGTAATGATCTGCCCAAACTTTTAAGTTGAGATTCTGAAAAACAAGATGTATTAATGATTCTTTCGACCGAAGAACCTAATCCAGAAAAAGAGAAAGCCAGATTTAATTTTTTTTCTGGTGTTTTCATCAGAGGAATTGGCAAATTCCATTTAGATTCGGTATATGTAGATGTATTTTCATCTTTTGACCAAATTTCAAGAGCTTGTCCAGGCATCATTCCGCTCCAACTAACTTTTAATAATCTTGAACATTTGTCAATCATATCACCAACTGCAATATCTAGAGTGGATGCTAAAATATCATGATCCAAAACACTTTTTGATCTAATTAATAATGTATGTCCACCTGAAAGTAACAGGCTTAAATAAGGAAATGAAGGGTGCTCCCCACTATGAACTAATCTATGTGTAAGAGAATGTGCTTGCTGATGTCATAAACAAATTAATGTTTATAAATATAAACATATAATAATACCATATGATGGATTCCAATAAAAGGAACCCCTAACGCAACAGATAAGCCTTTTGCTGTATTTAAGCCCACAGAAAGAGAGCCAACCATTCCAGGACCTTGTGTTGCAGCAACTATATTTATCTATTTGAATTCATATAGTTTAATTAAATATTTAAATATTATACGTTTCGTTGTCCATAGATATGTTCATTAAAAATTTGTTTCAAAATATCAGCCAATCTTTTTTGGTGGAAAGTTACTGAAATTTCTGGATTAATTCCTATTATATCTTAAACAAATTTAGAATTAGCTCCAGAATCTACCTCCAAACTTTTCATTTTCATTTAATGATCTCTCTGTTTTATGATCAATAATTTTGATTTTACCACTTTTTTCATCATTTTCAAGCCTTAATACTTAAAAACAGAGCCTGTAATTGCAAAATATACGTACAAACACACACTTGTATCATCACAAGACGTTTCAATTGCTAAAATATTTAATTTTCTGTGAAATTTTGAAAATATATATTTAAGAAAGAAAGATTGATGTTTCTGATATTTTAGAATCATAAAAATAGTTTTTTTTCTCTATTTTTTGTCATTTTTTCTAAAAATTTAAGATCTTAAGATTTACTTACGTTGCAGAATTTTGATAAAACGTTAAAAAAATAAAAATGTAATTTATTCAAAAAATTAAGGATAAAATGATACTGACAGAGGGTAAAAAAGAAAAAGATAAAGATCCTATAGATGCTTCTAAAATATTATCTGATTTTTACGTTAATTTTTGCAATATTAATCGTATGATGAGCAACATTGAATATTTTGACTGAAGAAAAATAGACATTAAAGACTATGAAAAGTATATTCATTCATCAGAAAGCTCACAAAAAGGAGAAGAAAATGTCAAGGAATTTGATGATTGGTGTCCAGTTCATGAATATATTCAAAAACATAAAAAAATTAGTCAATATAAATTTCGAAAAGGAGTAGATGAAAAACGAGAAGGATTTGTGTAGGTGATAAAATGGATTTTTCATTTTAGCTTAGTTTTAGGTATTATTATCTTCGATGGCCTCTTTTGCTGTTTGTCTTTGGATATCTTTTTATTTTATCGTATGGTTTTTTGGAGTATTTTAGTTTACTAAAAAAAATAGAGTATTATACATAATAATTCGTGTTTATATAGCACTTTATGAAAACATGTTTATATGGCAAGATTGGATTTACAGTTATTTTTTTCTTATTTATTTAGGAGAGGACAAAGGCAACATCTTCGAAAAAAGCTTCATGAAGCAAATTCTTATGATGAATGGAAATTAGCAGCTTCTGAGCTAGATAGGTTTCTTGGAAATGATAAATGGATGGAAGATCCTCAATTTGATTATTATGATTATCAATTGATTAATAAAGTACTGAAACTTTTGAGAACGTACAGGGAAAACGACAATGTAGAGGCACTTAAAGGTGTGTTGGAAACATGTGTTAGGTCTAACTTTGGTTATACTTTTTTTTTTGTGTAAAAAGCTTCTTATTTTTGGTTAGGAGGTATTGAAAATCCACGACTCTATAGTCAAACATATTTTGGAACAAAGTATTTGGTTGATGGTTATGTAACTGAAGGTATTTTAGAAAATGGGAAGCGGGTTTTTATGTTTAATTTTGTAGTGGAAAAGTGTTTAAAATATCTTATTAATAGTTCTAAAATTTCAATGCAAAATAAACTTTTTTTTTTTGAATATTTAATTAAAAATTATGGTCATTCAGCTTTATGTTTGTCTGGGGGTGCTGCATTTGCGTATTTGTATTTCTTTTTTTTTCTTTTTTAATATCATTAGTTATTATCATTTAGGAGTTGTTAAAGCATTATTAGATAGCAAATTACTTCCTAACATAATTACTGGCACTAGTGGAGGTGCTTTGATTGCGTCATTGGTTTGTACACGTACTGATGAAGTATTCATTTATTTGTTTTTGAAGTTGCATTTATAGATATTAGGAACTTATGGCACTTCTTGTTCCTGAATTATCACGTAAAATTACTGCATGTCATGAAAAAACATTTGTACTAGTTCTAAATTACATTTTATTTTATTGATTTTTTCAGGTATGGCTAAAACGATGGTGGAAAACAGGTGCAAGATTTGATGCGGTGGATTGGTATTAAATCTATTTATATCATACTAAATATTAATAATAACATAGTGCTATTCGTTGCACATGGTTTACTAGAGGTAGTACTACATTTAAAGAGGCTTATGAAAGGACTGGGAGAATATTAAATATATCTGTTGTTCCTGATGATCTTCATTCTCCTCCGAAACTTGTAAATTATCTTACTGCTCCTGATACTGTAATATGGTCAGCGTTAATAGCTAGGTTTGTAACGTGTATAATGTTTTAATGTTAATTTCTATTAGTGCTGCTGTTCCAGGTAATTTTTTTTTTAAACTAAATACAACTTATTATGAAAGGAATTTTAAATCCAGTTCCTCTTATGTCAAAAAGCTCGGATGGTAGATTAGTTCCCTACAGTTTTGGTAACAAATGGAAGGATGGTAAATTGTATTATATTATAGATTTTAAAGCTAAATTTTAGGGTCATTACGGACTGATATTCCTATTAATTCATTACATATGGTGAAATATTAAATACTGGATATTAAGTTATATTTATATTTTATAGTATTTTGATGTTACATATTCAATAGTTTCTCAAGTCAACCCTCATATTAAAACATGGTTTTTTTCAGCGAGAGGAGCTGTAGGCCACCCAGTAAGCCATAGAAAAGGTAAAGGATGGCGAGGAGGATTCCTTGGAAGTGCTATTGAGCAATATCTTAAGGTGCATAATAAACATTTAAATATATATATATTTATATTAATTTAAGCACGATATGATTAAATGGCTTCGTGTATTACGAGATCTTGAGTTAATGCCTAGGCCTCTTGGTCAAGATTGGACACATGTTTTTTTGCAAAAGTTTAAAGGAAATATAACAATTTGGGTATTTTTTCATATTGCGTTTATTAATTACAATTAATATTTACCAGCCTAAAACCCTTCCATCTGACTTTTTTTATATATTAAGTGATCCTGATGAAACGCGTCTTAGTCGAATGATACTTTATGGACAAAAAGCAACATTTCCTAAATTACAGTTTATATCCCATAGAATGAAAATTGAAAATCTCATTAAATATGGTCGTCTTCAGGCACAATTACATTATACAAAAGAAAATCATTCAAATAATCCGTTTTATATAATATTAGATAGAAGTAATGATAAAATAGCCTCTGCTGAATAAATATTCTTTATCTCTCTTAAGAATATTGAAAATGAAGAATTGTGTATATTATAAAATTTTTATAATATTACATTCTTGTTTTAATGATCATTTCTGATTAGATAATTGTAACTTTTTCAGGAATGTTTCTATTTTTCTCCAATGTTCTATATTTTTTTCTTTAGCAAAATCTTGTAATTTAGGAATAGTATTAATAGGCACTTGTGCTTCTTCTAATGCTTTTGCTTGATTTCTAAGTTGAACAGAAATATCCTTTTACTATTAAAAAGATCTTTTTAGTCTTGAAACTCACTTCTAGTAATGCCATATATTCTCTAACATGGCTTTGAAAAGTGTTTTTTAATGAAGATTCATTTTCTTTTGTTGTTGATTTTTTAACAATAGTTTCAATAGCTAAAGCACCTTCTTTTAATAAACAAGATATTTTCTTTAATAAGTAAGAAATAATTTATATTAATAATAGAATATGCCTTTTCAATATTTGTAAGTTGTTTTAAATGATCTTGCTCTTCATCCATCTATTAAACCCTATAAATTCTGGAAAAGCAGAATTTTATTTTCTATATTAAAAAATGAATTAAAATTGAAGATCTTATTTAGAAAATATATTTAAAAAATGTATTGGGATTAAACTATTTAATACTTTTAAGAAATGAATACTTAATAATAAAAAACATGTATTAATCTTAATGAAAATAAAAAAATAAACAGTTAAACAACCAGTTAATACTGAATGCTACAAAGGCATCTTTGATATAATTGTTATAAATTTGGTTTTTATTATATTTAAATTTTGATATAATAATTTCTTTCAAAAAATGATTTTTCTTTTTTTTTTGTATTTCTTAAAAACTACTATAAAATTGTTTTTCAAATATCCCTTCTCCAAAATTATTGAAAAAAATTGTATTTTTTCTATTTATATATATTTAAAATATAACGTTTTAGTTTAGATTCAATAATATTTATATATTTTATGATCACTAATACATAATAAAAATTGGAAAACATCAACTCTTGGAATAAAAATAAATATGTTTCAAAAAATAGTCTAATCTTTTGTATTTCATTTAGCTTAGAACTTTTAAATAGATATTAATCATTTATCCAATTTTTATTCTTTTATAAAAAATTAATCAAAATTTAAAAAAAAGTAAAAGAAGAAAATTAAACATAAAAAGAAAATTATAATTGTTTTTAGATTAAAAACAGTTGAGAATCCTTATTAAATTAAAATTAGTTAAAATATAGATTTTTTTGTGATATTTGATATTGACTTAACGACGTATTTTTGATTTGAATAAAAATCATTTAAAAACCATAAAAATCATAAGAATACTCTTTAGAAAGGAATTAAGTTTTTAAATGAGTTTTTATAAAAAAAATTAATGATTTCTACGTTATTATGTTCTTTTAGACGGCCTTTATATATAAGTTCATTGCAAATAATTCAAGCAAAGGGTACTTTAAAAATAATTTTTTAAATATTAAAATAAATTTTCTGATATTTGGTTTTTTATTTTAAGGATCTAAACAATTTTCTACTTTTTTTTGTGAAAAAAATGTTAAATTAGCAAAGAAATCATTAAATATGTTTAGAAATATTTTTGTAAAAAATATTAATTCAGGTTTATTTTGATGCTTTAATGATATAGTTTTGATACAGAGAAGATAGGAATTTTTCAGCTAGATGTTTTTTTTTTATGATTAGAAACAGGAAAATTCAGATATGTTCTAATACTTTAAATTATGGAGTTTTATCTGTATGTTAAATAATACGTAAAATATTTTAACGTATTTAGGATATTTTTACTAAGAAGTATTTTGAAGTTAGGAAAGGTATATATTTTTTAGAAATATAAAATTATGGTTAAAATTTAAAGATATATTTCAATTTCAAAAAAAACAGTCTATATTTACACACGAAACAGTTAAAAATAAGGTTTTCTCTGAAGAAGTTACGAAGGACGTATTGAATAATTTAAAAGATGCACTATCCCCAGCAGTTATATCTTTGCTTAAGCATTACAATATTACCGATTTTTCAGAGATTAAAAAAACAGGTCCTCGTGGGAGATTATTAAAAGGTGATATTCTTGCATATGTTGGTGTAATAGGGGAAGATTCACCTTTAAAATTGTTGAAAGTGCTTGAAGGAAAAGAAAAATTGGTTTTTAACAATGTAAAAACAAAATTTAGTCGATCTGCAAAACATTCTATTACTATGATAAATATTCCGGTTTCTCTTGAATCTCTTTTATCTATGGAAAAAAAAATTAATGGTATAACATTTAATATTGATATATCTTTTTATAAGAATTTAGAAAAATTATTCAAAATAAATTTTTCAAATTTAGTTAATAAGGCTATTTACAAGGCGTTTCAAAATGTACCATCGATTGTTCTTAAAAAGATATCACATCAGGAAATTCTGTTTTCTAGTATTTTAGGGGAAACACCAAAATATTATGATAACATAAATGTAAATTATAGGAATTTTGAATCTGATTATTTTAAAGATAAGAAAACATCTGTAATATGGGAATTGCCTAAAAATATAAGGTATTTTTAAGTATTTTAGTTAGTAGTGAAACTAATTCATTTAGAATGGGAAATACTATTTTTCCATCTTCTCTATTTTTAACTATAGAAAAAATTCATGAAATCTCTATACAAGACTCAAAAGGATTTCAAAAGAATTTGGATATAATAGACTTTTTGAATAAAGAACAGCCTCATAAATCATCTCTACCTACTAAAAAAAACATTCTTCAATATACAACATTTATAAGGATGAAATTTGATAAATCTTATACAGATATTCGTGTTGCAAAAGCTTATGTTAATGAGTTAAAAAAGTATTTAGAAGCACCAGAAGAATTATTATTGTAATTTAAATTTGTTTTACAATAGAATGTTTTTATAAAATGCAATTTATATATTACATATAATTCATAAAAATTATTTTATTAAAAGAATAATATTTAAGTATTCTTGTTATCAATCTCCATTATTTCATTTTTATTAGTGTTTTTTATCAAAGCGTAACTGTTATCAAAATATTGATTTGGATGAGAAATACTTTCTTGTAAAATACCAACAGAAGGATGTGTAAATTCAAACACCTTTGTGCATGCAATATGATAATGTCTTTCAATTACTGCATCATTTATTTCTTTTAAAATTTTTGGATCATGAATCCCCATATTTTCCAAAGAAGCATTTAGATTTTCTATAGAAAAATGTCGAAATGGACAACCATGAGAATCTCCTGTGCCTGGTTGAGGACCAGTAAGAATTTGTTGACAACTTTTTTTTAAATTAATTTTTATTATATATAGACAATATTTACCTATATGGTTTATAATTTTTGCGATTACCTTCCAAACCATAACTATGACGCACATTATATCTATATTCCTTATTAAATCTCTCATCTGACATATTCGAAAAACTTTTTCTCCAGAATACTAATGCTTCTTCAACATCTAAACCAATTCCCTTCATATTATAAGTATTAATTTATACTTATTTATTCGATAATATACTTTTAGAAATAATCCATACTGAAGTCTTCCAAAATGCCTTAAATGTTTGTCTTTTCTTAAATTTAAATGCAAGTTACGCTGACACATAGGAAAATGTTTAATTAGCTTTAAAAATATTAAAATAATATAAATAATTATATAAACACATACTGAATCTATTTGTAATGCCGAGATGTTTCCAATACCAGCTATTGTGCTAGTATATTCAGGTACTGTAAATCCTAAACTTAAATGATTTAATATAGGTAATAATCGATCATCTTCATCAAGACGAGGTAATATCCTAGCAGTTAACTAAATAATATAAAAATCAATATATATTTTAATTGATGAAAAACCTCTAAAGATTTTTCTAATCTTGAAGAAAATTCTTCTGCAATTAAACTTATTTGTTCCGATGCAGGGACATAAGCTTTTCCTTTTTCTAAAAAAACTTTACGTTTTTCTACCAAATCACAAACTTTATCAAAATCTACCTATTTTTTGTTATTATGTTTTTCTAAATTATAGTGTTCTTTCTTTAAAAAATGCTTCTTTTTCTATGTTTTTTTGACTAGCATCTGCTAACTTATCTAATTTGGATCGTTTTTCCTCTTCAGAAACCTTAAGTGTATTGATAAATAGAAAAACTGAATCTGTAAATTTACCATTTCCCAATCAAAATTCAAACTATTAATAAATGAAAGCCTCTCCTTACTATCATCTTGTAAAAATCGAAGTCTTTTAAATCATTATTATAATTTTTTTCAATAAAAAACAAACTTAAACAATGCAGTTTCCGCACGTACAAAGCGTTTTCGTAGTTCTTCTCTGGAAATATTAATTTAAAACCTCCATTGAAGATATTGGTCCTTACGACCGACAAAATGCAAGTTTTAAAATATAATGACTATAATGATCTTTTTTTCGTTCCTCATCAATTAGTGAGCCCTTTAAAGACCTAGATATATTGCTACTAAGGGGAAGATGCTTTTCTATTAACGGTTTAAGCATTATATCTATTTCTTTCAGTGTTCTATTTCGAAAAAGCCCTGATTCAATTTCACTAAGAACTATTCCATTTTTTATGAAAAATATTGCTATAAAAAACACAATTCTTACCACAAAGACGGCTAATAGCCCAATTTTCAAATTCCTCTATAGTTATTTCTTCATTAGGTGCTTCAAGATAAAAATTAAGGCGATTTGGATATTCATTATACCGTAAAACTTGTACTCCAAAATTGCGGTTGTTTTGTGTCGTTCTTTTTTTATTTGATCTAAACATAAATAGACAATATCAAAGTTTAATATGTATTTTTATTAAATAGATCTTTATATCAGTTTATATACTCATTTGCTATGTAAAATTAATTTTTGGTTGTTAAGAATCGCTGATATTAATTATCTTTATCGCAGATGTTTAAATAATCAATTTAATATAAATCAGAAAAAAAATATTTTAGTATTTTTACTTGTAAAAGTACTTTTTATACAGTATATATTGGATTTTTATCTATAGCTTTTTTATTTTCTTAAAATAGGCTTTTATACGGTTTTTTTTTCATTAGAAATTGTAAAATTAGTTTTTAACTGTTGATGAGATCAAGGTTTTGATTGATTATCTATGTTTGATGTTTGATATTTATTTTAGAACTGGTTTATATTGTATTTGAGGCAATAGACAGGAATACGGCTTTAAATTGTAAAAATACGGTTAAAAATCAATATATTATAATTGCATATGGAGTTGGCAGAAAGTCAAGGGAATAGTACTTTAACAGTAGAAGAAAGTGCTGTTTTAAATGATAAAAAAAATGTTATTTCTCATATTTTTCATGGAAATGAGTTTTTTACAGCAGTAAATTATTTCAATCAGCAAGTTATCTAAGTCTAAGTTATTGAAGGGTTTAGGATTAATGGGATTGGGTACTGGATTGGCATTTTTTCGTTATGGGGCTATTCGATCAGCTGATCTAATAAAACGTTATATGACAGTTTCTCTTGAAATTCCATCTAAAGATAAAAGCTATTTATGGATTCTTCATTGGATTTCTTCACAGAAGTTTTCAAGAAATCTTCATCAATTAGCAGTAGAAACTAAATATAAACAACATGAGAACGGGAGTTTAAGTACTTCTTTTAGTCTTGTTCCTGGTCCTGGAAAGCATTATTTTAGATACAATAATATATGGATTCAGGTATACATGATATTCAATTGTTTGAATATATTGATTTTTATATAGTTTGACCGTCAAAAAGATGGGAAAATGATTGATTTGTCAACAGGATCTCCTTGGGAAACTATTACTTTAACAACATTATCTAGAGATCGTAAAATATTCAATGAATTACTTTATGAAGCACAGAATTTTGCTATGAAAATGCGAGAAGGAAAGACAGTGATTTATATGAGCTGGGGTCCTGAATGGCGACCTTTTGGGCAGCCAAGACGCCGAAGAATGTTAGAAAGTGTTATTCTTGACAAAGGTGTTAAAGAACAAATAATTGATGATATTAAAGATTTTTTAAATAACGAAAACTGGTATTCACAAAGAGGTACTCTTTTAATTTTAATTTTCCTTTGTATAAATTTTTAAGGTATACCTTATAGAAGAGGTTATTTGTTTCATGGACCTCCGGGCAATGGTAAAACATCATTTATACAATCTATTGCAGGAGAACTTGAATACAATATATGTTTATTAAATCTTTCTGAAAAAGGTTTAACAGATGATCGTCTCAATTATTTATTAAGTAATGTTCCTGTAAGAAGTATAATATTATTAGAAGATATAGACGCCGCTTTTTCAGGACGTGAAAAAACTGAACATGGGTATTTGAGATTTTTACTTTTTTATTTGAATTAAATGTTTTAGATTTGGGAATAATGTAACTTTCTCTGGTCTTTTAAATGCATTAGACGGTGTCGCATCGACTGAAGATAGGATTATTTTTATGACGACAAATCATCTTGATAAACTAGATCCGGCACTTATTCGACCAGGGCGTGTTGATGTTTTAAAGCACTTTGGATATGCATCAGATTATCAAATTTTAACAATGTTTCTACGATTTTATGAAAACAAATATGATGAGGCAAATGTTTTTTTAGAAAAAATAAGAGCAATTGGTGCTCCGGTTACTACAGCCGCACTGCAAGGGCTATTTGTTTATAATAAAGGGCAGCCTGATTGTGCCATAAAAATGGTTCCTTTGTTAAAGGACGCCGATCAACATCTTTAATCGATTTACACTTCCGATTTACTCCACCACTTATCTGAATTACAATATATTTTCCTAAATTCGTTGTATTACCATTTAAACGTATTGGCTGAGCCATCGAAATCCTTCTCCGTAACCTTGTCGCATAACCACCGAACTATACCATTTATTCGTTAAAATAAGACTTTTATATTTTTGAGTGATAGCATACCACATAAAGACTTCAATAGGACGCACATTTTCGCATATTGTCTTTCCCTTTCCTGTTGTTTGATAAAGTCCAAGAAACCCACGCAATTCCTCTTCTGAAATTGCTCCCGGTGCATCAATTTTATTTCCGAGTACAAGAAACGGAACTTTAGAGAGCTCTTCCATTGACAGTAATGCATCAAGCTCTAATTTCGACTCGCAAAGTCGATCAACATCCGCTGAATCAACAAGAAAGACAATTCCATTTACATCCGGGAAATAATCTCGCCATAATCGGCGTGCTTGCTGATGACCACCCAAATCAAACGTTGTAAACCGACAATTCCCAATTGCTAACTCCTCACTTGCTAATTGTCCGTTAGCTATTTTATACAATCTATTTATTGTACTTGGATGCAACGTTGGTTGAAATAGCACCAATCGATCAACCTATATTATTTAGTACCTATTTTTCAAAAATAATATATTGTTAAACGCTTTTCTGCTAAAGCACTCTTATTTTTAAAGAATTTCTGAATCTTTTTCTTTTCAATTGTGCTTCAGTGTCTCTGTACGCCTGGATACTTACTTTAAGCATGTGAAGAAGTGTTGTTTTTCCTGCATTGTCGAGTCCCAGAAACAAAAGCTTTGCATGCTTGTTCATCAGCCCAAGACTCGCTAAAATGTCACAAAACCAATGGATAATGAACATTGTCTTCTGCACCAAATTCACCAAAATGTAATGTGTGCGATGCCACGGAGCAAAGCGGACGATATGGACTATCTATTTTTTGCTTCTATAAAAATATATTATCAGTATCTTTTTTATCTAAAAATAATCATAGAAACCGTTTAAATTTACAAAAAAACACAAAAAGGCTATATAATTATAAATCTAAAAATCACTTATTTCTTCTTGATTTCTCCATCATTAGGTTAGGTCTGTGACTGACTGCTGATAGATTATCGTGGGTTCTAAGTATAAAACTAGATAAAAAATATACTGTTAAACAGTATATATATATGGTGGATATATTTGCAGTAAAAATATTTAAAAATATAAGAAAATTTTGAAAAATATTTGGTTTTTTGATTACAGCAATCCAATAATATATTAAAATGTCGGAGTTTGAAATCGGAGTTTGAATTTTAAAAAAATGTATAAAAGGAGCGTTACGGACCGAAAGGTTCTACGTCTTTGTAAGTAGTTACTGTGTTTTCAACAAACAGCTTATATACTCAGGTGCAAGGGTTTTACGCTTAACAGTGAAGGTTCGCCTGAGTTAGTGTTTTTGCTAGTGTAAGATTGACTGGGGTATGTACGTGACTTACAATAAGCAGTGAAAACTACATTCCCTGACCGCTCTTGCTGATTTATTTCGGCAAGGAATCTTTGGACAGACATGTTTTGCTTATGCAGGACACTTTTTTTCACAGGTTTTCCATTGGGTTTGTGATGCCAATGGGTAATTTGTGAAAATGGGTTTCCTGTGTGTGTTTTAGCGGTTTCTGGTCGAACAGTGGATTTTAGAGTAGCAGTGGCGGTTTCAGAGGTGTTATAGTGGCATTTTCTGAGGACTAGTTTGGATACTGTATTTTAAAATGGTTGTTAAAGTATATTTCCATATTTAAGGATTAATTTTCTTTAAATATGTGCTTTAAAAAGCATGGTATTAAATTTTAAAGTTATAGCCTTGATTTTATCTTTTTTTCTAAATTTTCAAATTCCTAAATACATATCAGCTATTTTAGTAAAATACAGGCTATCTTATTTTTCTACTTTAATGCCTACTTCTTCATCTTCATCCAAGACATGTTCAACGCCCTTTACATCTGGTATATAATGCATAAGCATACTCTCTATGCCATTTTTTAGGGTGACAACTGACGAGTCACATGTTTTGCATGCACCTTTGAGCTTAAGGAAAACCTTTCCATTATGAAATCCTTTATATTCAACATCACCTCCATCTTCTTGGATAGCTGTACGAATTCGTGTCTCTATCAACTCTTTAATCATCGAAACAACTTCTGAATCTTCTTCTGAGTTTTTGTCGGGACTTTTTTCTGCTTCTGGGAGAAAAATAGGTTGTCCTGAGCTTATATGTTCCATAATAACTGAAAAAATCTCTGGTTTAAGAGGACTCCATGCATTTTTTGAATGTTTTGTAATTGTAATATAATCTGGTCCGTAGAATACATATTTAACACCATCTAGTGAAAAAAGCTTCCTGGCAAGAGGTGAAGAGACTGCTTGACGGCTATTTAAGTATTCTATGGATGCAGAGGATTCTGGAAGAATATTGACTCCTGGAATAAATTTAATCGCATTTTCATTAGGTGTTGGTTCAGATTGGATCCAAATTGATCTTTTGTTTAGTTTTAAAGGAGACAATCTTCTACAAACATATAAAAAAATATATTTTCTGTTAAAATCAATGAATAGTGATGTGTTTTTATGCATTAAATATTTTTTGGTTTTTAATATAAAATTTTGATGTTGAGGATGCTTTAACGATAATCATAATGGTTAAATAAAATATATATTTTTTTGAAAAAAAGATAATAGAAAATTATTCAGGAAAGTTTATAAAGTTTATATACATCTTTTGAACCTTTTTATTGATGGGGTATTCTATATTCCATGGATAATTTTGTTTTTGGTGGTTGAATAGTAGATTTTTTGTTTTTTTTTGAAAAAAAATGATTAAGGAGTCTCAAAAGTATTTTTTTTGGTGCTTTAGACGCAGATTTTTAGTTTCCAGAGTACATGGATTTAGGCCTATTGTTTTTTCTTTGTTTTTATTGCAAAAGCTAAGAGAATATTCTACAAAAAATATATGTTCGGGATGTGGATCATTATTTGAATCAACACTTCCAAAGTATTATTTACAGGACAGTTTTTGTGAGGAGAAGTCTTTATTAGGCTTTAGAAGTCGTCAGAGACAGGAAGAAGATAGAGTATTTGATGATGCTATGGTAAATCTTAATGAAACGCTGCGTTCTCAACTTTTAGAGACAATTCCAAAAAAACAGTCATCAATGTTTTTTCAAAAAAAAAAAACTCAAAGAGTTCTATGCAGGAGATGCCACGGTTTAATTCATCATTCTACATTGTCTACTGAGTTCCTTACACATTCAGAAACATTATCATCTGCAAGTTGGGTATCTGCACTTTTAAAGGAAAAAAATGCTCTCTTAATTCATGTTATTGATTCTATTGATTTTCCGCATTCATATGTTCCGGAATTGCATAAATTATTTGAAAAAGTAGCTCGTATTTTTTATGTAATTAACAAAATTGACATAATATCTGAAAAAAAGTCTATGTTGGGGAAAATACATGATTATTTTCTTTTAGAAATGTCAAAATTGACACTCGATGTAAAAGAAAAAATACTACCTTTTATTATTTTGACAAGTGCTGTAAAAGGATGGGGTATAGAACAACTAATAACATCTATCAATAAATATAAGGCTAAAAAAAGTAATATATATATTATTGGTATGACTAATGTTGGTAAATCGTCTATTATTTCTAAATTTGCATCTCGAGTTGGTTATGAAGAAACACCTACCGTTAGTTTTTTACCAAATACAACAATTAATCCAATAAATATAGATATAAATAGATTAGGGAATTTGTTCAAAAATAATGGGGTAATTATAGATACACCTGGAATTTCTTCTCCAGGTAGACAATTATATAAATATGTTGACTACGATAATTTAAAAGTTTATGTACCAAAAAAAAGATTTCCTAGAATAAAGCCATTTGCAATGAAAGCTGGTAATATTTAGAATCATTAAATGTTAATAATATAAATTTTTTTAGGGCAAACTCTTATAATAGAACGTATTGTTAGAATTGATTGTTTAGATACGGTAAACACTAATAATCGATTAATAATTACTCCATATATATTTCTCCCAATACATCTTACAAGTACAAAAAAGGCTGAACAAATTTTTAAAATGTGCTCCAATAATAGTATTGACAGTTGTAATAAAATTTTATTAGAAAATGAAGTAGAAAAAATTGTATATCCTAACCAGACTAAAAATATTGGGCATAAGGAAAGTAAAGATATTGTAATTGCAGGCTTTGGATGGATTAATGTAAGAACAACTCATGGATGTAAAGATATTAAAATATTTTCACCAAAAATTGAAGGCATACTTTTGCGTGATTCTTTAATGCAATATATAACATAAAATATAATGTAAAATATACCATAAAATATACCATAAAATATATCATAAAATATAGAAAAGTTCCAAATCACCAAAACATACCTCCTTCGACTCCTATTTCCAATTCTTTTCCAAAAAGATATTCCCAGCTTTTGGGGCTTTGTAAGTTTTCGGAAAGATTATCAAGTTTACAGGCTTTAGCTGCTAATTTGGCCATTTGTTTAGCATCTTCTGTATTATCGCCTTCCATAACATACATTACTAGTGCTGTCATTGGAATATTTTGGCATAAAGCATATTCTAGCAATGGAACAAGAGCCCCAGATGACGGCAATTTTGGAAATGTTTTTTCTGATGCAGATATTAATTTAAGAGTTGAAAAATACTCTGATAACTCAGAAACTGTCTGAAATGTTGATAAAACAAACTCCTTAGGTCTAAAAAATTATGTTAACTGCTTAAAAAGGTATTTTTGAAAATTACCCTTTTATTTCTGCATCATTCCTCCTAGTTGCATCTGTTGATCCTAATACAAGAATTTCACTAAACCTTCCTTTTTTAATAAAAGGTATTAAAACTGTTTTAACAAAATCTTTTTTCTTTCCTGGTAGAACAGGGGATCTTTGCTGAATAATTGTGATTTCATTGTTACCAAAAACTTTATTATTAGTAATTAGATAATCCTGTATTTATAATCTATATATTTACCATCTAAAGCTGTTGCAATTCCTCCACAGAAAGATACACCTGCATCCTCCCGAGCACCTGCAAAAGGATAAAGGAGAGAATGATCAAGCATAATTTTTCTTGAAAGCCGTGCAGAGTGTATAAGAAGATCAACTGCAAGTTGAGGTACATTACCAATAGATACCACAGGAATAATCAATTTTGTTTGTAAAAAAGACGAATATTCGCCTTCTTCCATGGTTTTCCATATAAAATATAGCCAAGTTATATAAAAGACTTTTTTACTTGAATAATGAACTTATTTATAATGTTTTATCTAAAAATTAAGCGTTTTTATTGGAAAAAAAAAACATAGACAAACATCATAAAAATATATGTCAGTTTTAAAGAAAATTTGCTTATTTTTCTATTTTGTTTTTCCTTAAATTTTCTGTTTTAATTTTTATAATTTTTTTGATGTTAAACTTAATTACCTTAACGTCATCAAAATATTAATTTTTAAATAATTCAAAAAAAAAAATAATTATATTGTTTTAAAGAAAGATTTGGCTTTTATTTATGACAGATAGATACAGGTTTTTTTTTTTTTAGTATTTAACATTATTAAATAAAGTTTTTTAGTTTTTCATTAACAACTTTTTCACCAAGTGGAAAACTTGTGCAAATTGAATATGCTTTAGCAGCAGTGAACCAGGGAGTAACATCTATTGGTATTAAAGGTGATATATGTTTTTTTCTTTTTTTTTGGTCAAAATTGATCAATAAATAGCCAGAAATGGGGCTGTTTTAGTAACTGAAAAAAAAAGCAATTCTCCACTTGTTGAACAAGATACAATTGATAAAATATCCTGTATCACGCCGAATATTGGCATGGTATATTCTGGTATTGGGCCAGATTTTCGGATTTTAGTAGATAAAGCACGGAAAGTTGCACATACCAATTATAAATTGATTTATAATGAATATCCGCCAACACGTATACTTGTGCAGGAAGTAGCTAAAATAATGCAAGAAGCAACTCAATCAGGGTAGAATGATGTTTTTTTTTGTGATAAAGCATAATATATTTAGGGGTATACGTCCCTTTGGTGTATCTATACTAGTAGCGGGATGGGATGAACATAATGGGCCGTCTTTATATCAAATTGATCCATCTGGGACATATTTTTCGTGGAAAGCAACAGCAATTGGAAAATTTGCAACATCAGCAAAAACATTTCTTGAAAAAAGGTACAATGATCAGCTTGAGCTCGAAGACGCAATTCACATTGCTCTTCTTACTTTAAAAGAAGGATTTGAGGGTGAATTATCAGAGAATACTATAGAAATAGGTATTGTTGGATTATCTATGACTGATGATTTTGAAGCAGAAGATGCAGATAAGCCTTATTTTCAATTTAGAAAGCTTAAAAAAAGTGAAGTTCTTGATTATTTGGAGCAAATTTGATGAATTTTTGTTCTTTTATGGAGTTGTTTTTATTAATAATTTAACATTGGTTTGTGAAGTTGATAAAACTGTAATTATACTAGTTTTAAAACATATATTTAAAAATTGAATATTTAATAAAATAGAGTTTTTATATAAAATAAGTAAATTTAAATATATTTGTATTATATATGTACTTAATATATATGTGTGTCTATTTACGAATTAATTTACATTTAAATATTTATAAATTTTATTTATATGGATAAAGCCTTTCAAAAAAGTCAAAAAACATGTTTGAACCTTTTTTAAAATTAGAAGATGTTGTTTTAAAAACGATTGAATCATTAAAAAATTTTTTTATTACAAGGATTAGTTACATTAATAATACTCTTTGTTTTTTAAAAAAAGTAAATCAAATAACTATCAAATCATATAATTCATTAGAAAATTCTGTAGAAAACTTTTCTAGTAATAAAGAGAATATCTCTGATATTTGTACAATAAATATTTTTGTTTATAATGCATTAATTTAATTAGATAAAAATATAGATGATTTTTTAAAAAAAGTTAAAATTATAAAAGATCAGGTAAATACATTGGAATATATATCAAAAGAATTAAATAAATATTCAAAAGAATTAGGTAAATTATTTTTATTTTCATTAATATTTTTTATCTAATTTAGAATTTAAATGTGAACAATTACTTAAATAAAAATTATTTGTTTCTTACTATATAATTTTATTAAAAATGCATTTATGATATAAGGCCAAGTTTCTGGTAATATATTATGTATTTTTTAAAAAAAATATTATATGTATTTACAAAAAAATATAATACTGTTTTTATAAATTGTATTTAATTTCTATTTAGTGGAATTTTTTTTCCCTTTTTTAGCCGTATTTTGTATTTTTTTATTACGTTTTGCATTTTCAATAATAAATTTATCTTTTCCAGGATCATCATTTTCTGAATCAAGTTCTTCAGGTTCTTCTGGATTAGTTTCCAAAATATCTTCTAAATCAGGTATATTATGTTTAATATTAGATTTATTTGTAGCAATAGTGCTACAAAATGCAATAGGATGATTTGCTTTATTGTATCTTATTTTGTAAGTAAATTCAAAAAAATAAAAAACTCTTACTGTTTTGTAAAAGACGCTTTTGTTTGAGATGGAATTTTTAAAAGGTTCCCGTTGTTCGGACCTATTCCTAGTTCTAATATATATTCAGAATGTTCTTTAGAAAGAAAATATTCGTCCATAAGTCTAATGATATTCGGAATGGCATCCTGGCCTTTATTTTGAAGTCTTCGTAAAAGAAGGTCAAACAATAATGGTACATAAAACTGCCGAATTTCATTGCAATTTCCTGTTGTTTTTAAAGACATATGGGTTTGAATGCTTTGTAGATATTTTATTAACTTATTGGCTTTAGATATATTGCCTAAAACTGATGTAAATGAATATTGACTTGTGCCAAACCCAGAAACATAGAATGCAGGAATAACACACGAAAACACAGCATGCATAGGCATTAAACTCCAGTGTTGTTGTGGTCTATATTGTGATTATTACAAAATGGCATAATTTTATTAGCAATTACCCATGAATCATAAAATCAATAAGGTCGCTTCGGGAAATAGCTTCAGAAGCGTTTTCTATTAATTTCAAATGCTCGTGATTTTTCTGTTTTAAATTTACAATTGAATTTAATGTATCAGGTTGCGTTTTTAAATAATTTTCTTGAAGCATTAAATGTGAAAGCTCGTGATCGTTAAAATAAAGTTCAATTTTGTCACTTAATGTGACTTTACTGGTATGTTTAAATATACCACCGCTTAGAAATTTTCCTACTATATCCCAAGGTTTCATAATAATATGTTTCTCTGCTGCTTTTGCCCTATTTTTTATGAGTTATTAAAAATAAAAAGATTTCCTACGCATTTTTCCCATCATCAATATTCATAGAATTTTGGCTAAGTTTCCAAGATGAAAGAATATTTATAATCTGTCGAATATCTCCATGTGTACTTTCAGCTAATTGATCAATTGCTTGTGGTTCTAATTTCAGACCTTCACGATATGCAATAGACATGATTCGAGAACGAAGTGAATTAACATCGGGTCTCCGAAATTTAAGATCAAATGTTGTTCTATCTAAAGGTAGAAGCTTTCTAGAAGCCCTATCATTACAAATACATATTATAGGAATCTTTTTTCTTTTAAAAAATGTATATTCGATAAAATATTTTTTACCTGAGTCTTTTTAATAAAAGAATTAAGTTCACCAATTCCTCCTTGATCGCCTGAAGATACACCATCTACTTCATCCATAATTATGACAAACTTATTCTTTTTTTTTTCCGCAGTTTGTTCCTAAAGGATATTAGTTAAAAAGAAATATATTCTTTTATAAATTACATCAAGTAAAAAGAAACCATTAAGAGATGTATTATTATAAACTTTATTTAATGATTCCTTAAAGATTAAACAAGAATAGAATATTTTGTATTTATAATTACTTCTAATAATTTCCTGCTTCTAGTATCACTTGCATTAAATTCTAATACATCATAGCCTTCTAAACTTGCAACCAGATGTGCAGATGTAGTCTTTCCAATACCAGGTGGGCCTGATATAAGAACAGCACGATAAAAGCCTAAACCATCAGATTCCGACTTCTTAAAATTAGCAATACGATTTTTGTCCCTAGTTTGTAAGAAATTATAGTAAATTAATACATACTAACCAATCGTGAAGCCATTTTTGCAGTTTTTCTACTAAACTTTTATTACCACAAATTTCTTTAAGAGTACGAGGTGCATATTTAGTAGTCCAAAGCTGACATGATTGAGATTTTTGCATTTCACTTGTTTTGGGAGCCATTGATTTTGCCATTTCACGAGCTTCTTGGTCTTCTTCTTCCCTTTTTTTTTGTGCAGCTTGGGCAGCTTTAGTGTTTCCACCTGATGTTGGCATATTTTTAATAAGATAAAACAGCCCGTTTTCATCTATAGTTTTTAAATTATTTTTTTTAATAACTTCTATTTTTTTTGGACCAGCATCTTCCCCTAATACAACAAACGATGTTTTACTAGATGGTGCATTTGTTACTTTTCTATGAAATGTTTATTACAATAGAAAAAAGATCATAAACTAACCCTCCATATTTTTTTATAAGATTATGTCCTTCTTCACGATCAATTGATTTCATAATTCCAGTGAAAACAAATGTTAATCCCTAACTAATTATATTAATTTTTTAAAGGTTAAAATACATACAGAAAGACAATTTTCACGACCAATAGGTATTTCTTTACAAACATCTAATTTTGAAGGACCAGAAACTGTTTTGTTATAAAATTTAATCCTGAAATATTATATAAGTAGAATAAAATAAATAGAAATGACTAACTCTTTGGCATCTGATACTTTAATATCTGATAAAGATATTAGAGGACATTCATCTAAAACTTTTTGAGCTACATCCTTTGTGTTTTCAATATTTGTTTTTTTTTTATTAGTAGTGTTTGAATCTAGATGGTCTGGTTCTTCTTTTGAATTCTTTTTATATTTTATATTTTCCGTTTCTTTAGCAATAGACATTGAATCCTTGTTTTTCTTATTTGAAAGACTATTGGTTTTAACAGGTGATGATGTATCAATAGTTTCTTTTAATTTTTTAGGAGATCTATTTTTTTTTGGTTTAGAGCTAGTATCACATATATTATTTTTTATATCTTTGGAACTGTGTTTTTCAACATGATACGCCTCGTTTTCCTCATTTTTACATATATTACCTAATTTTTCAAATTCAAGTAAATCGGATTGGCTAAACGAAGAGTCATCATCCATGTAGTCTTCTTGAATTACATCTTCCTTAACAGTTGTCTTCTTTTTTTCAGATGATGATCTTGATATCTTATTTTTATCTGCAAAAAATTGATAGGCATTTGTTGGAACCAAATCAGAATCTTCAGTCGATTGAACTCTAATTAAAACGCTCAGCTTTTTAACAAATTAATAAAATTCACTCACTTCTTTTTTTTTACACTTTTTTTTTTATTTTCTCTATCAATAAAATAAACATTTGTACCTATACGTATAGATCACTTACATTGTAATTTCCTCATTATCTGATACTTTTAAAATAAAAAGAGTTAGAAAAATATATAATTATGTATAATTTCATACAAACAACGCGCTTTTTTGTTTTTTTGTCGCTATCCTGTTCATTTTTTCTCTAAAAACATTACTATTTATTTTCTATCATTTTCTTTAATTTACTCTATTTTTTGTGGTTTTTGGTGCAGATTTTTTAACTAATTCTCCTTCTAAAAGCCAATTCCTAATATCTGACATAGTATTTTCCTAAACTCTGACTATTTATCCATTATTTAGGTTTTTTTTTATTTTAGAATTTTTTGGTTGTCTTCATGAAATTCGTCGTAATAACTAATTAACAACAATCTTACGACGATAATATTTATCAAGAAATGATAAACGTTTAAATGGTTGATTGTACGAGTAATGCAATCAAATGAGCTGAATGATATACCTGTTACCAGAGAGCTTCTTGAATATTACAAATCTAGATTGTTTTTGGCAGAGCAAGCTACTTATGATGATTTATTTGGACGTCTTCAAGAAATTCAACATGGGTTATCACGGATGCACTCACTTGAGAGGTCACTTCAAGAAGCAATTGAGGAGATTGAGTCTATGAATGAGAAAAATATTGAGCTTGCTTATATTTTGAAAGAGGTTGTTGGTGAAAATATTGGTAATTTTTCGTAAATTAGGTGTTAAAAAAGGTTTAATTTGTATAATAGGGCTTCGACTGAAAGTGCAATCTATAAATCAGGTTTTTGGAATAAAAATATCTATATTGGTTCTAATTACTTAGAAAAATGGTTATGATACGTTTAATTGTCATAAAGTTATGAGTGAATATCCTAAACATAAACAATATTATGAAACGATTATTTCTTTGCTTAAAAGTAAAATTGATGCCAGAAAAAAGCCATTGAATGATGGAAAACGTATGAATGAACTCATTACTAAGTGTGAGAAGCTTGAACGTGTGGTTTCAGAAGGTGTTCATGAAGTTCTTCGTGAAAGAAAAGTAAGAGAAAATTGTGAAGTACAGCTTAAAGAAGCTATTCTTAAACTTGATTTTCAAGAAAAAGATCTGAAGCAGAAGATTGATGAAATAAATTATAATTCAAAAATCAGATTAGATCAAGACGCAAACGAAAAGTTTCTTTTACAGCAACAAAACGAAGAATTAAAACATAAATTAATAGAATGTCAGGTAATTATTTACACATTTTTCTATGCATATTTCTTTTTTTGATTAATTATAAATTATATGTATAGATGAAATAGAATTTATGGCTAATATATTTAGAACAAAATAGATAATATAAAAAAACACTCATATGATACAATTCAGGAATTTGAAAAACAAATTAAGGAGCTGAAAAGGAGGTATTTTTCTATCAAATATTTAAAATAATTAATACCTTTAGACGTTCTACGAAAATAAATTCTGAGCTTTTTACGGAAATTGCATTTTTATACACAAAAATAAAGTCCATTGAAAGAATTGCTTTAAAATTTGCACCCCTTGAAGGTCATCGTGTTAATGAATTGTTTTCTGATATCGAATTTGTCAAAAAAAGAGCGCATCATATAGAAAATGCCTTATTTGAACGAAAAAAAAAGTATAAATGTTAGTACAGCAATTATTTATAAGACTATAAATGTAGTATAATTATAGTACTTTGTTCTTATTTTAGTTTATCTTTATAAGAATAGAAAAATCATAATTTTGGTTCCTATTGAGGATTGTTTATCGATAATGCAAATAAGACAAATATTTTATAAAATAATGGTTTTTGGATGATTTATTCTTTAATTTCTGAATAAAGAGCTTTATATATATATATATATCCTTAATGTTTTTGTTTTTTTTGAGTTTAAAAATATGGACATTATACATAAATCATTAACTGGTGCATCTTTTCAATCAAAATCAAATAATATATCAGGAAGTATATCACTTTTTAGAGAAAATAAAAGGACAAGCCTATCGTCTATTGACAAAGTGTCTTTGTCTCTTGTTTCTATTCCATCTGGATCAAGTACATCATCACCAGCATCATTTGATATTCATAAACCTTCTTCAACTCTTTTATATCCAGCAGGAGCTGTTGCAGTTCTACATCGTATTAACAAGTCAGAAGCAGCTAAAAGGTTTTTTTGTATACCACCAAGTTCTACTTTAGACGGGGGAATTGCTACTGGTAGTTCCTTTTTATCCTGCAGAAATACTATTTCACGTGATAACGTTGATATGATTACATGTCATGAATCTTCAGGGAATTCACCTAGATTTTTATATGATAAATATTATGGATATTGCATGCGTGATGAATTAGAATCACAAAGTAAAGTAAGAGAAAGGGTTAAAGCACTTTCTTGTACTACTATTAGTCCAGATGGAAAATATATTGCTGTTGGTGAGGTACGAGTTGTTTTTTATATAGAAATGTAATTTAATGTTTTTAGAGTGGAAAGTCTCCCCGTATTTTGCTATATTCTACAACATCAGAGGAGTCTTGTTTACCTATTGCTATTTCGGGTCATACATTTGGTATAAAATGTCTTTCTTTTTCTTTTGATTCAAAATATCTTGCAAGTGTTGGATTTCTCCATGATGCAACTATTAATGTTTGGTTAATAAATGATAAGTCTAATTGTATAAGACGACTTTCGAATAATAAAGTAACAAGTCTTGTTAGAGATATTTCGTGGATGGGGATGATTGTTGTTACATGTGGATTACGTCATGTTAAATTATGGAAATGGGATGAAGAGGATGCTAATAAACCATCAAATATAGGAAGAACTTCTGTTTTAGAGGGGAAAAATATAATTTTGGGAACTATGTCCGATGCTGATTTTATGTCTATTAGATCATTTGGGAAAGAATCTGTAATATTATGTTCTAGTAAGGGAGAAATATGTATTGTTTTTGAGGGAGAACGTTCTATTAAGCGTGTTTTTAATACAGGGTATGAAATAAGTTGTATTGATATAAACGATATGGATAATTTGTTATGGGTTGCAGGAAAGCATTCTCAAATAGAGTATTTTATATGTCATTTTTTATTATTTCTAATTTTAATTTTAAATAGGGCATATAATATATCTGAATTGGTTGATAAAAATAATTTTAATGAAGGATTTAAAAAAGAAGTTGTTAAATCATTTAAACATATGACACCAAGTCCTGCAATATTGGCTATTGCATGTGATTATTCTGGACATTTAGTAACAGTTGATAGTATTCATTCAATTTGCATTATTGATATAAACGATGAATCTAAAAATCAAATAATAGGTGGAAATTCAGTGAAATTGATGGGTGTTAAAAATTTGCATGAAAATTCTCTTAATGCTATATTAATGACATGGTCTTTAAATGGAACAGTGTCTTTTTGGGATGAAAATGTTTCATGCATATCAACTGTAAATATTCTAATAGAACAACCTGAAAATATGTCGGATGAAACCATAAGAAATGAGTTAAAAGTTGTTGAATATAATTATAATAATCAAGAAGTAGTAATAGGCGATGCTTACGGTATGTTAAAGTAATTTTTTCCTATTTTTTGTTTCTTATTTTTAAGATAATTAGAACAATAAATCTTCAAAGTCAAAAAGAATTATGGAGACAAATGGCACATGATGGGGAAATTACATGCATTGATTCTGGTATTTTAAATGAACAAAGTATAATTTATTTTGGTTATTTAAGTTTTTAAAATATATTAGATGTGATGATTAGCTCTGGTAGAGATAGAACTATACAGGTATGGTGTCAAGATACATCTAGCCAGAACTGGATTTTAGAACAAACATTAGATGATCATAATTCATGTATAAATAAAGCATGTTTTCATAAAAAATGTCAAATGCTTATTTCTTGTTCTGCAGACCGTACTGTTATTATCAGACAACTTCATGAAGAAGCTCGAAATTGTCGGTTACGCTATTTATCAGTAAAAGTAATTTCACTACGTTCTTCAGCTTTGGACTTTGCATTTATATCTGAAGATTCGTCTAGATTTTTTGTATCGACTTTAGATAGGCAACTTATGCAATGTGATATTCAAGGGCAAATCATTGGATCTTATAAGACTTCTGAAGAATTGAGAGAAACTGTGTTTTTAGACCGTATTGTTATATCAGATCCGATTGTTTCAAATTCAGATAGTACAAAAAAAACAACTTTGGAACAAAGATTTATTGCTGGTCTGGGAAATGATAAAGCTATAAGAATATATGATCTACTTTCGTGTTCTTTTGTTGCAAAAAATTATATACATACAGATGGACTTACTGGAATAACTTGGATACGACATAACCAGTCGGATAATAAATTGAAGCTTGTTTCTACTGGGTTAGATGTTTTTGCTGTCTGGGAATTATCAGTAAATGAGGTGCAAAAATTAACGACAACACACGCGATTTGTGTAAATTTAGGAAGTCCTATTAGAAAAATTATTCCAAAAAATATTACAAGTCATCTTTCTTCTTCTAGACTAAAAGACGTGCCTATTCATTCAAAAAAAATATGGGGAACTGCTTCTGGTTTATCAATTTGTTCCATAAAAAATGATAGTGATTGTTTAAATTCAAAAAGAAAAGCTAGAATAGGTCGAAACATAGTCGATCAACTTGAAGATTCTAAACGACGTTCTTCAAGTCCTGTTCGAACATCTAATAAAAAGCCAGAAGAAGTGTGTTGTCCTAGAAGACTATCTGATCATAACACTAGTTTTGTTAATTCAACATATATTTCTAATGAAAAATATGAAATTACTAAGGATAGTTCTGGTTTTGTTAATTCAACACATATTTCTTCTGAAAAATATGAAATTAGCAAGGATAATTCTAAAGAGATCCATGATGATGAGTCTATATTACTTGATGAAATAAATTTGCTTATAGATAAATTAAAACAAATTCATTGTGATATGAAAAATATAAAAAAAAAGGATACCCAGAAAAGGTCTATGTTATTTTATACTTTAGAAAATCAGCTTATATTAATGTTAAATGATCTTCGAGAACAAGTACCATCAGTGGAAATTCAGAATTCAAGAGATCTTTTAGAAAAATATTCAGCAGAATTGATAGCTCTAGTTAGAGACAAGATATCTGATAAAATTGGTAATTCTTGTTAAAGACGTCGAAATAGTTTTATATACCAAAAACTTTAAAAATGTATAGAAACGATTAGAAATATTTACAATGAAATAAGATGTATTCTAAATGAAATATTATAATAAAAAAATTAAAATCTACAAACTAAAACACAAATGCTAATACAAACTATGTTAATGCCTATGATTTTATATTTTGTTTTTCTTTCTAATGATTTTAAATGAATTGCTTTTTCTAATTTAGAGAAATGTGTTTTTTCTTTTAAATTTAAGTTAGGATCTGATTTGGTTTTAAAATAATGATATGATTCTTCTATTTTAATGAATTCTTTCCCTAATTCTAATTTCTGATCTTCTTGATTGATTTCAGTGTTTCTTACATTGCCCAAAAAATCAGTTATTTTAACATCACTTATATTTCGACGAAAAAGATCAGTTTTAATACCTGGAGTCGATTGTATAAGATTTTTATCATATGAATTAAATAATTCTTTAAATGTATGTTTTGAAGTAATGTTTACATTTTTTTCCAGAAAATCCAAAGTATAATAGGTAAATCGATCAATAACAGATACGCCAATATCATGATCAGAATGGTGCTAAAACAAACACTCAGTAAGTATATATAAGTGTGTTTAAAGTTACTGAATATGATGACTCATTTAATTCAGATGATCCTATTGCAAGAACATTTGGAGAATAAAATTTTGAATACATAGTATTTGCTTGACATGTATCTATCATAAATAGGATTTCATGATATCTAGTTTTCAATTTAACATAGAAAGTGTACATAAAGTCTTTTACCGTTTTTTCTCCCACATTTGCTGAAATGCGTCTGCAATGTCATGTGAACATATCTCCTCTGAGTCCTGAAATTTTAAAAAATTGTCTCCACCATGTCCAGTCATATATATAAAAATATTTGATCGTTCGTCCGTTAAAAGTTGCTTTGATCTGGGTGTATTTGGAGAAACTCGACCTAAATAGTCAGAATCGTCTTTTCTTGATAATGAATAAATAAATTCAAAGATACCTGTTAATAATCTAATAAAATTTTCCACTGTTACTTCATAACCACGATAATCAACTTCAATATCTTTTCCATACAAATCTAAAACTCGATCTGCATTGTGAAAAACTGTTCCTGGAAATGCATTGCGAGAGTTGCACGCAATATCATCAGACAACATCAATATGATTTGAGAATCAGGAATTCCTAGCCGTTTAATTGTACGGTACATTCCCAATGCATTGGCCATGTGCTGTATGATTCAATTACGCAAAATCTCTATCAATTAAGAAAAATACTCGATAATTAAACCAAAAACGAGATGTTGAGACAAGAACTGCCCAATTGCTCTTCATAAAATATCAATTTTATCTATTTTAATTGTATTTTTTGAAACTTACTGTATAACTGTTTTTATATGGTAATTCTTTTGGATTTTCTTGTTTATTAGCTGCTGATATTCCTTTTAATAAAATAATAAAAGTAATAAAGGCCCATATTCTATGAAAATACATAGATTTTTTTAAAAAATCTAAAAATATTTATTTTTTGATGATATACAAGTAATTATCTGTTTAATCGTACGTTTTTTAAATTATATTTAATTTTTTAACAAATTATTAGTAAATTATTGATAAATTGTTAATAAATTATTGACAAAGTCTTAGAAAATGTTAAGAATCGATTGATTTTATAGTTTCTTTTAAGAAAATCGATATTTTTTTGAGTTTCTGTTAAAATGTCTGAATTACGTATGGATGTCGTATTTACAGATACTTATTGTTTTGCTGGAGAACCTCTTTCATGTGTTATAACTTTTACACGTGCAGAATTGGACGATCAAGAAGTAGAAAATTTTAAGAAAGATGCTGAATTGCTTTCAGAATCTTTAAATGAATCTCGGTTTTTGGGAACAGATCAATCGTCTTCAATTTTGCAAAAAACAAGTGAAAATTCGTTATTTTTAGTTGAAAATAAAGAAAACTTAAAGGTTAAAAAGTCAAATGGTTTGTGTTTTTAGTTTTTTCTAAAGTTAATTGTTTTTTAAGAGTTAAAGAAATTTGGCTCAATTTCTTCAAGAAAGTCTGTAGTTGGTTCTGTTGAAAAAGCGGGAGATACCGTGGAAGTGGAATTGGTGAAAGAAAAAGTAGTCTCGGCTTCTGATTCATTTGCTCAGAATAAAGACACGTTGCCAGAAGTTTCAAAAACTGATGGATTAAATGAAAAAGTATCTTTGCAAGAATCTCAACAAGATATTAGTTTTACTTATGATCTTAATAACAAGAAAAAAGATTTCGAGGATGAATTAAAATCTAACATACACTTAGATGAACCTTCTATGACTTTTAAAGATTCTTTTCAAAAAGAGAATAAAGAGACATTGATGATAGGATATGTTCACGTTATTGGATATTTTATTTTGAATGAAAAAATAGTTAAAATTGATGAGTTTGAAGATCTTACGATTAATAAGGATTCTGAAAAATCTATTAAAAGTGGTCTAGTTAATATCTATCCTCAAACCAATCAAAAGACAGGTTTTATTGGTCAATTAGGTTTATTTAATAATGGACTAAATAATTTTTTAAAAAATCAATTTACAGGTTCTTTGAATGACTTTAAAGAAATGAAAAGTTTTCTTTAATTATCGTTATTGTTCTTTCTAATTTTTCAATTTAGACTCGAAATATATTCCTATACTTTCTCTTCCGCCGTCTATTCTTTTCATTGATCTTCAATTAGCTCCAGGAGAAAGCCGTAGTTTTGGTTATAAGTTTACATTGCCTCCTCAACTGCCTCCTACTTATGATGGTAAATCTATAAAAATAAGTTATCATTTATCTATTGGAACGCAGCGTTCAGGTAATGACATACAACAATTAAAAATATCAAAAATTCCATTTCAAGTTTTATCTAGAATTGATGGTATTGTAATTATAAATTATTCTACTTCTGACTAATATTTTTCCTAGAAACTGGGAATCATATTATATATGATCTTTTTTCTCCTATAACTTTTTCTACTGACCAGGCACATACTTTTGTTTGTAAATCATCAGAGGATATTTCTGATCTATTAAATCTAAACAGAAATGCGAAAAATCTTTACTCTTATGAAGAAGATGATAAGTGTTCAAAAGAAGATTTTATTAATTATTTATCAGAACATTTGCATGATGATTCTTTGAAAAACTTGCTTTTATCAGATGACATTAAAAAAGATATGAATACATCTTCTAATACTTCTGAGTTAACAAAAGGTCCTATCATTGATATGAGAAGAATGATAAACAATATAACTAGAAATAGTTTATTATACAACAATCTTTCTAATAAAAGATTTAATATTAATAAAAATGGGAATGTAATTGGTGTTGTATCAATCCCAAAATCATTTTACAAGTTAGGCGAAACAATAGACGGCGTTGTTGATTTTTCATCTGCAAAATTACCATGTTATCAGGTATGCTTATTTTGTATTTTTATATGTTAAATTTTTTAGGTAAAATTTTTCTTGCAAACAACAGAAATAGTTGATTCGTCAATTTCTATATCTTCAAAGGCTAATATTTTACAAACTCGTAAAATATACGATAGTTGTTCAGAAATTACTTTATATGCCTCTAGAATACAGTTTAAACTTACTATTCCTACTACTGCACCTCCTTCTTTTAAAACTTCTGCGAGTAAATATACTTCACTTTTAATGCCGATGTTATTAATAACATAATAGTTTCTTTATTATGGGCAGTACGCTTAGAAATTACAATGCCATTGGTTCATAAACAATCCGATCAAATAGAATCTTCCTTTGGGTCTTCACCTATGTTAAAATTGATGAATGAAAACCATAAAGATTATCGAGAAACACTTTATCTTGCATCTTCTTCTTTAGAATGTGGGGTCTTCGATTGTATAATACCTATTACAACTTTTCCTTTGCTAAAGTTCTCTGATGCTTCGAATATTTTTAGTACATCATTTTTCCTTTAGCTATTCTGTTTTTTATATATAAATTGATAATTAACACTAAAAATGGAATATTTCATATATTAAGATGATTCTTTTTTATCCTTCGACTCTTCTACATTGGATGCATCTTTATAGCTTTGTGCTGCCAGTACCATTTCTCGGAGTTCCCAGCCACGGGCACTTAGTTCTTTTAATCTTGCTGGTTTGTTTCCTGTTACATATTCATCAAGTCCACCAACTTTTACAATTGTTCGGAGAGCACGCATTGAAACTTTTAATTGAATAAATGTGTTTAATGCTTTACTATATAATGACTTTTTCTGGATGTTTGGAAGCCATTTTCTCCGAGTTTTATGTTTTGATTTTGGGACATTATTTCCAAACCGAATACAGCAATTAGCATAAAGACCTTTATCTGATCTCTTAAAAAAGGCTTTTTTAGTATCATTCTTAATCGGCTTAGGATTATGTGCCATATATAAAACACCATCTTTACGAATTCTTTTATGTTTGGCTTGTTTTTGTTCAATTATTTCTTTAGGTGAAAGATTTAAATTTATTCCACTTGTAGCACTTCGTTTTATAATTTTAGGTATTTGATATCTCCATCCTTGCCTTATGATATGTTTAATTGGAAGAATACTGTATAATTTTACAATCATATTTTTTATGGATATTATATATAATATTCGATCTTCGAAAAACTTTTTTTAATCGGCTTGGAGCTTTAACTTTAATTTTGTAGTTTTTAAAAAAACAGCAAAGTTTTAAGTTAAACGCTCTTTCGTATATAAATAGTGCATGATAATTGAATTTGCTTTGATATTTATATATCTTTGCAATATTCATACTTTGTTGTGTACTTAACGACAAGTCGAAGAAAAAGAAATGTCACCAGATAAAATTATGAGCTCCTTCGAAAGAGGTATATTGGTTTATATTGTATTTTTATTTTGATAAGTATTTTATAGGTTGATGCTCGTTTTACTGGGCATTTCAGACTCTATATTCCATTTCATTGCGTATTTAGTCCATGGACTATTACGGTTGTGGCAAACCATAGAGTTTACATTTAAAATAATGATTTTTATGTATTTATATAATAAGTATATATATTTGTAAATAGTATGAATTTTATTTAAATTTAATAATTTTTTGTTTATTTTTGGTATGTTTAGAATTTTGAACGTTTTTTTTATTTTGATTGTTTAAGCGTTTATTCTGTAGACTATTTTCTGTATCGCTACTATCATCATCATTTTCTTTTTTTCTTTTGTTAAAGCGTATTTTGTTAGAATATCCTCGAGAAAACCCATCTTTATTTTTTATAGAACTGAGGTACGCGTTAAAATTATCATCTGGAGATTTTGAAGATTTTTTTAAATCTTGTTTTTGATCATCAATAATAATTTTTCCATTGGCATCAATTTTAAATTGTGAAATTATAGGTTGTTGTTTATTTTTTTTAGAATTTTTAAAATTAGTTTTTACTACTTGAACTAATGAATTTGTATCCAAAAGATCAATTAATTCATCGTCTGCCTTTTTAATAAGTGCTTGTTGTTTTTTAGAGATTTCTTCATTTTCAAAATCTGAATTGTCAGTAGAAACGGAAATACCAGAATCAGTGTCTTTATTTTTATATATTTTATTATTTAAAGCATTATGCCTTTTATTTGATGCAGAATTTCCTAAATTGTTTTCTTTAGCTATTTTTTTTCGTTTAAGACGTTCTTTTCTTTTTTTTATGTTTATTATTAACTTTTTATCTTGTTCTGGAATCTCTTTCTCAACAGTCTCAAATCCGTAACGTCTTATTATTTTTTCTATAATATTTTTAACTTTCGCTCTAAAATGGCCTTTATGTTCATGAGCCCAAATCATAAGATTAGGTATTAACATGGATAAATAATTTTCCATAATAGATATAGGAAGACATACAATAGTCATTTTTACAAATCCTAGTGCAGATTTTGCAATTTCATAGTTACTAGATGTAATAAACATATATACTGTATTTAATAAATTGTTGACAAAATCTTGATTTAAAGAATCTTATACGGTATATTAGGCCATTGAAATAAAATAAACATAATTACCTTTAAACTTAAATAAGAGTTTTGTAATAGATATTATAGTTGCACTAATCATATGTGATGAGTTTCCTGCTAAACCGGCTAAAATCATAGTAAAAAATTCATGAATACCAGTCTTTATATTAGATGCTGTGTCTATCTTTGGTATTTTAGTATTTTCAATAATACCTTTTTCTGACATTTTATTTCCAATTGAAATCAAAAGACTATATGCCATAAACCTAGCTTTTTTATTTGAATCTTTTGTGCCCATTATTACTTCTGATAATATTAATGGTATAAAATGTAAATCTGTTGATGGTAACATATTTATTATGTGAAATAATGCAGAGAAACGATACTAAATATTTGAATAACATATGATATTATTTTAAAGATGTTACCTTTTTTATAGAAGTTTCTGTTTTTGATGCATTTTCAAGAAATATTTTTTGTAATTCTTGTATATTATTTTCTAAAAATTCCTTAATGGACGGATTCTCTGCCATTTTGCAAAATAAATTGTATGCTTTTTTTTGAAGAATATGATCCGTTTCGTTTGAAATTTGAAAATTAACTATCTTGTAAAGTTGTAAACTTGCTTCAGATGAAAGATGAATGGTCATGATAATTAAAAGGTCTAACATTGCATAGGATATAGAGTTTGGGTTTTCTTTATGTGAATTTATTTTTGGTTTTTCTTTTAAAGACTGAGACAGTAATTCGATAACTCTGTTGAAAATGTTTCCAATTTCCTAGATAGCTTTTAATATGGTTTTGCTAGAAAATATTGTTTAACCTCTTTACTTGTTATAGATAACCATGATTTTATGCAGGTTAATATATATTCCCGAAATTGAGATAATGTTTGACTGTAAACATTAAAAAGTGTTGAAAGTATATTAGGTGCAAATTTTTGTAAATAAATTAAATTTTTTTCTGCGTTAGATTCTGTAATCCGAAACTTAAGTTTAGATTTGTCGTTATCATTATTATCAATAATTTCTTTGTTTTTATTAATAAGTATCTGTAAACCTTGACAAATAATAGGTCTAAGATCGGTTTGATTATAAAGCATTTCTATTAATAATTCAACGAAGTTTTCATTAAATGCCTTAATTAAATTAAAATTATATATTTAATTTAGTGGTTTATACTGTTTTAAGATCTCTCGGAAATTTACAATAGCTAGGAAAAAGTGCCCAAATTTGTTCAATATAAGCTTTATACATTTTTTCTTGAATAGGGTTTTTGTTTTCCATTATTTTTTGGTATAATTGCTCATTAAGTGGAATAAATTCGGATATAAAATGCTGTAATTCTGTGTTAGAAATGTTAGATCGTAATATTGTTAACATCCATGTTCTTGTGGGTGATTTTTTGCTAAATAATGTTAATCAAATTCGAAAATAATATTTTTTTAACTTTTCTAAGTCAAGATTTAATGGTAGAATTTTTAAAATAGGTCCTGGTCCAAGTACTTTGATAGCTGCACCAATAACTTGATCGGCTTCTAATTTTCCATCAAAATTGTCTTTTTCTCGCATCTCATCCACTAGTTTTAGGGCATTTATAAAATAAGGATCAATATAAAAAGGGAGATTTTCAAAAAAAGCTATTAACATTTTGAATACTTCTTTCCATGCTATTCGATAATTTAAAGTAAATCCTTGCATAGTTAACTCAATTAGTTTAATTATTATTTCGTTATTTTTTTCGATGCAATCAGGAATACAATTAGTAATTAATCTTACTAAAACTTCGTTACAAGATGTTCGAATTTCCAAAGAATTAGATTGAAGAAGAGGAAATATATTCATAAATATTTGAGGAAGAAGATCAAATGCCTGATTTTCCTCAAGCTTGAAATATGATTCGAATCCTGCAATTAGTGTTGAAAGCCAAGGAGGGAGAAGTATAATATCTTTTTCGGATGGGTTCCTTTTTATTATTAACTGTTTTAAAATATTAATTATTTTGATTTATACACATTTAAGAAAACCTACATTCAAAATCTCACGTAATTTTTCAGATATAAAATCTGATTTTTTAAATATAATTTGAAAAATTTCAAAAGCTATTATAACCAGATAATAATCTTTAGTCATTGATACATCCATTAGCATATCACAAAGCTGCCCTATTTTTGACGATGGCCATCCACCAGAATCCACGATAACTTTTATAAGTTGAAAAGCATAAATTGCTTTTGAATGATCAAAAGTTATTTTGTTTTTATATTTTATATCTTCTTTATCTCCAAGAACTATTTTTTTCGCTATGTAAAGAGTCTCTTTTGAAGCAAATTCAAGAATAGGATGCATTATTGATGGACTAGGTGGTGGATTATTTAAGATTTTACTAATTGCTTCATGGGTTTTTTTCCTAGCTTTGGGTCTGGAATCTAAACCTAATATTAATAAACATGTAAATATTGACTTTATATTATTATCAGGGTTTGTCCATGTAGAATTGTCCTGAATAATCAAAAAATTTTGTAGACAATTAATGATAAGCCGTAGAATAGATGTATTTATTTGAGGTTGAGCCAAAACAGCACTTAAAATAGTAGATATTTTATCAAATTTTGCACGAAGTAAAGACTTGCTTGTAAATGGAATTGCTACATTAAGAAGATAAAGTATTGGATAGAGAAGATTTTTATTATTTGTGTCTTGTAATGATTTTTCCAAAAGTGCCAACTGTAAAGTTAAGAAAAGCATCTTGATATATATTATATCTTACAAAAGACCCAAAATACGCTACAATATTGCCTTCTGCATTTTCATTACGTAATGTGTCTTCTATAGCAAGTAATATGATAGCAATCTATATGATCCAAATTAAAATTAATATTAAAGTAAATATAAAAACCTGTTTTTGATGATCATTTTTGGATAAACACTGTGTTTTTATCTTTGATAACTTTTCTTCAAATAATACGTTTTTATCATTCATTTAAAACTAAAACTTTGAAAGAAAATCTTTATGTTAGTCTACGTTAGATTTTTATCTTAAGATAAAAAAATTGTAAAAATAAAGAATGGATAAAACAATTTATGATAGTTACTTTAATCATTAATTTTACATAAATACATAATACTTTTTTTAAAAAATGCGTAAGAAACATATAATATATTTACAGGGTATACTCGTTCAAACATAAAACTTATACAAAACTAGCGACATAGGTTTTGAAAACTATAATACTACTTTTTTTCCAATTTAATAGCAACACTCCCTATCTTCTTTTTTATTTAAATTTATTATGACTTATTTTTTGTTTTAAATTTCCGTTGACTATGAGTTTCGTTTTTAATCAAAGGTCCCATTTTAGGTGGAGGAATAGAAAAATTAATTTTACATGTACTTGATGTTATTCTTTTTTGTGAATCTTTTAGTTCATAATTAACATAAGTTTTTTTTTGGATGGGGGAAGAATCTGAATCTGAAAAATTAGAGACAATTGGCATGCTTTTTTTAGGCTTTTCTAATTATTGTAAGATATTGAATATATATTGGAATTAAATATTACTTGAATGTTTTTTTGAATGTGGATTTTTTTTTTTAGCCGGCATTACAGGATGTTGAGATTGACGTATAAACATAGATGATTTCCTTTTAAGATTTTCGACCCATTCGTCACAATCTGCTTCAACATACCAATCAATGATATTTTTCCATTCATTATAAGAAGGTTCCGTATGGTTAATAAAAATAACACTTCCTCCATTCGAATGAACAATTCTTGAAATATCTTTAATTAGAGATTTAATAGCTATTATTCTAAGAGATATTCCGATAATTAACAATAGGTCGGGTCGTTTTTTAATATTAGAAGCAGCTACTTGAGTTAAGAAGTCGCTAATTGGATGAGTTTTATCGTAAAACACTACATCTTGCTGCAAATCCTGTGTCCTGTGTTTTTTTTTTTCGTTCTTTATTTCCTTATTTTTACTTGTACATTCAAAATTGTCTGGTTTTACTTTGTTTTTTAAAAGTTCAATTTGCTCTACTGTATAATCACAGTCTATACCACAAATCATACATCTCGACTTATTAACATCTTCATGAAGCTCATACATATTATTCTTTTTCATATTTATTGTTTCTACACATAATCTTTCTTGTGATCTTAAATCATTAATGTCTTGAATATAACACCGTAAAAGAGACGATCTATCTTTTAATATCTGTACAAATCTGTTTGTATTCTTCGATCTAGCTGAAAGAATTAGTGCTTGTAATTCTGCCATGAATGAATAAAAGATTGAAGAAGAAACATGGTTTTGAAACATCAATGAATTGAATAAATCGTCTCCATTCATTATGACACTCGGACATTGCTTGAAAATCCTTAGATCCTTTCATAAAAATACGCTTTTCCCTAACCTTTTCTATAAACTTATAGACCCCATCTGTAGAATAGAAATCCTTTAAAAATTACCAAAAAAAACGAATAAAAGGGAATATACTGAAATTCCTGTAGCTGATGCTATTCCTGCATTTGTAATTATAATTGATCTATTAAATATTTTTCAGATTCTTCAATAAAATAAAAAAATCTTACTTTTTTGATTTTTCAACAATATTTGTAATATGTGAGACTACCAACCGTGATTTAGGATTTTCATCACAAAGTTTAACCTTCAAAACCATTCAAATTAATGTTATTTATTTCTTTTCGCGTTTCTTTTGAATATTTGCTTTTAAATTTTCATTACATTTATCTTATTTTTTAACGCGTTGTTTTCAACGGTTTAATTACGCTGAGTTTCTATAGTAACGTCTAACTACATGATAAAAATGCTGGAGAAAAAAGTCTGTAATTTAGAGGAAAAATGAGGGAAAAAGTAGTTTTTTAAGTGTATTTTTCATTGTATATTCATGATAAATAAGGGAAAAGTTTTTCAGCGCAATTTTAAGCCAAAAATTGTGGCTCAATATGAACGAGTATTTCATGTAAATTGTGTTAGATAACGGATTGAAAAAAAGCTAATTAAATTTATAGAAAGAGAAAGGAGGAACGTTAGATCGGCGTTTTTTTCTGGATCTTTATCTTCTTGAATGTGATTTGCAAGAATTAGAGTCTATACTTGAAGAATTAACGGGAGATCAGCTTCTTTTTTTGCAGGTTTGTTATGTTTGCTTTCATTGGTTTTATGGTTACATTTTTCAGAATAATACACGTGGCTTATTTATGGAAGGAGTATCTATTATTAAGAAAGCAGATCCGTTGAGATTAGAAAATGTATTGGATGTAGTTAAAAATAAATTAGAAGTTTAACTCATTAATAAGAATTAGACGCTGGAGATATTTTTGCGTTCTATATTTCGGAAGAAATATAATAATTTTACATCTGATATTGTTTTTATTATTTCTAGTCTTGATAATATTGATACAATTTTTATGGTGAAGTTGTTGGGTTTTTTATTTTATATTTATTATAGCTAGGATTTTGTTACGTCTTTAGAAGTTCTTATTCAAAAGGAATCTAAAGGTATACTTTTTGACAGCTTAGTGTATAAATATGATTAATTTTTTAAAATAGCTATACTTAGAACAAAAGCTTTAAGATTATGTCTATGTACTGTATGTCATGGATTTAATTCAAATATTGTATCATATTTTCACCATAAAGACTTTTTTCCTTCAATTATAAAGGTTTGTCTATTTTTTCCTTTTATATTTGAAAAAGAATAATTATTGATAGTATATTACTGATCCTAGTACTTTTTCAACTGCTTTTTTAGCATTTCTTTTTCTTGGGGTTTTGGCTAATAATAAAAAATTTGAATCTCAAAATCTTTATCAAACACGACTAAGTGATTTTGTTGACAATAATACTATGCAATTAATTGTTCATATTATTTCAACAATTTGTATTGAGTGCAAAAATGAATATATTTCTCTTCAAAATAATGGATCGGACAATGCATGGGGATTTATGAATATATTAACATATTTTAATGATATGTTTTTTAATTTAAATAATCATAAATCTATATCTGAAAATTCTGACAATGTTTCTTCAGAAAACGGAGTTTTTTCATTGTAGTTATTAATTATATAAATTTATTATAACTGACCTATGAAAGGCCAAGTTTTAAAGCAGCTATATTGCTGCCTATGTATGATTTTATAAATGTAAATAAGGCATTTTGTTATATATTTATTACTATTGGATCTTCAGCAAATAATTCAGAAATAGGTATGATAATTTGTATTTTAATAATACTGATTAATATAAAGAAACGCCATTTTCGCAATTTATTTCATTTACTTCATATTTATTAGAATATCAATCATTTTCTTTAAGGGCTGGATATTATGCGCGACTTGCACTTCTTATTATTCATATTCTTGTTGATGATGATGGCTGTTTTGCAGCTCTTGCAAGTGATGCTAATAGTTCTGTTGTACATTTATGTCGACAAAAACAATCCTTTCTTCCTTTGGCGAAAAACAAGAGAATACTTTTATTGGCTATTTTTGATTCTTTAATTATGGGTTTAGAGCATAATTTAAAAAGAAATCTGGATATAGAGAAGTATATGTAAATGCTTTGATTTCTAAAATATTTTTATTAATTTATGAAAGTCTTCATGTTCAAATATTATTAAATATCATCAGTTCATTGGAGAAAAAAAAAATAAGACTAGGTTGCTCTTATTATTTATGTTATTAAATCTTATTGTATTATAGAATATCATTGGCAAGGTGTTTGGAGATTTCTTATGCGTTTTATAATGTTTTTATTGACAAATGCTAAAACCCTTAAACAGCATTCTCGTATTGATGAATTGATTTCAATATTATTAAATTTTATTTCTTTGTGTGTAACTCGGGGTGAAAATTTCTTTTTGGATTTTAAAAATTTTGAAGATCTCATATATAAATTAATTCAAAATGGTGATACTGTCAGAAAATTTATAAAAGCTTGTAAATGATCCGAAAACTGTTTGGGTAAAATTTTGATTATTTATAGATGAAATGGAATCCTCCTCTTCTAAAGCAATTCTCTTGGTTACTGAATATTATGAAAATCTTTTATCAAAAAAATATAAGCCTCATGAACTTTCTCCTGAAAAAGTTACCGCTGCCATTAAAGAGGGATATGGTTTGTTTAATTTAAATTTAATAGAAAACAATGAGTACAATGAGTATAATGTGCGATTTAAAGAAGCAAAAGAGCGTGTTTTTCTTAAATCAATTGCTCGTATAGTTGTTTCTGATGCCGACCGTTCACAACTTCAATGAATATTATTTGAATGAATTTTCTTCATCGTGGGTTATTAATAATGTATTCCACTGGCCACAAAAAACTCGTCTTATCTTTTTACAAGATAGTTTTGGAACATGAACCCATGATAAAGTTGAATATGATAGACAGTTTCCACCTTCTTTACCTACTGAATATATTCCATTTGTTGTTAGAACAACAATATGTTCGGATCCTATTCCAAAGTCTAGTACATTAATATCTTCTCCGAAATCTATTAGATTAAATTCTGATCTGTCATTTGATGTATTTTCTATCTTTCCTAATCTTAGCCAACCGCATATATATATATCCCCATCTATACTCTGTACGCCCGTTATCCAGCCGTTTGCTGCAATTTTTTGAATTTTAAGGCCTTGTAAAGCACTAACGATTGTTGGAATAGAACCAGAATCGATATCATTGTCTATTTCTCTCCCAAGTTGTCCATAAAGATTTCCTCCCCATGTATAGACCTCTCCATCTGACGATAGTAAAGCAAAATGAGAAGCACCTGCACATATCTGAAGTATTTTAGAATTCTCATTCCCTAATTTTAAAGAAAGAATGTTGGTAATGCAAAATTCTTCGTTTTTATTATTATTAAAGAATATTAGTTTTTTATAGTTAAAATCTGTCCCCACAAGTTGACCATTCCCTGCTTCTACTATCATTCCAATGCCTGTTTGTAAAATATTTCCTTTAATATCTTTTAAATTAAATTCATTATCAACGAATCCTGAAAGTTCAATGGTTCCGAATGCACAAAGAATTGATTCTGGAAAATGAATATCTGTATTATTCCCCCTAAAACCAACAAGCTTTAAGGCTCCATTGATAGAATCTATAAATTAGATTTTCTGAACTATGAATAAAGTGAATATACATAATATTTCGGACCACCCTATCCATACAACATGAATATTTCCTTCCTCAACACGATTGATGAATGTCAATTCAAATAAATGAGATTGTTTGTGTTTTGTTAATTGATTAAAAATATTAGATCCTGAGCCCCAAATTTCCATTTTTAAAAAGAAAAATGAATAAAAAAATTGGTGAGTATTCTTATATCGTCTTTTTCGGAATATAAGTACTGTTTTTACTTTTTAAATTTTTGAAAAAACATATATTTATTGTAAATATTGAATAAATGTTCTTTTTAAGGATTAAAAACCATTTAATAATATAAAAGACCCTAAGGACCTTGACTTCTAATGTAAAAGCATGTATTTGCTCGATGTATAAATGAAATATGTTTTTTCATATACAACTTATTCGTCTTTAAATATTAAATACCCATTTTTATTCCTTAAAAATCTGGAAAAGCATAAACTTACTAAAAATCATTAATATTATATATATTTTAGCAGAAATTAGTCAAAAATTAAGCAAAAATACCTTTATTTTTATTTTGCTTAAATTTCGTTGTTCCGATGAACGTTTGATATATACTCGACTTTTTAAACGATAAAGAATTTGCTTTAGAAAAAGCTTATTTTTAAAGAAAAAGTTCTTTTTTTCTTATTAAACGTTTCTCATCACATTATTTTTGCTTTGGAATAGTGCTCTACTTTTTTTGATGATAGACGTGCAACTTGATGCAAATGAAAAGGCGCGTTTGCGTCGTAAAGCAAGACAAGAAAAGATTTTGGGACATGAATCAGAGCGTTTGACGAAAATTATGCAAGTTTCATACCCCAGATCTGCTTCAGAGACAAAAAAAGCGTCAGTTTCCCGTGATGTATTCTCAAAAACAGCAAACCAAAAAGATGATGAATTTTCCGGGTCCTATGGACAAAACGTGCTTGGAAATCCACTGTATCCTGGAGACGATCCTTCTTTTGATACAAATATGCTCGATATAATGTCTTTTTTCGAAAAGAATACTTCATTTCTTCCAAAAGATTTTTCGGAACCTGTATTTCGTATATTTGCTCCGTTTTTAAAGAGTATGTTTTTTTCATACACAGAAAATGGATCCTTTCGGTCTCCAGACAACCCAGCCTCTTCTCCAGACTCTTCTGAGCCTATTATTGGCATTTCTGTTGGTGAAAAATGGTGGAAAAGAATACATTTTGTATGGATGGTATTTTTTCTTTTTAAAGTCGTGCTAGGCCATACCGGATTCCTGGGGACGCTTGACGACCGATTGTCACATACTATGGGGCAGGTAGGCTGTATTTCTCCCCAATTACCCTGCTCAGCGTCATTTTAGCCCATTTTTTACTATTTTTTAGTCACTGAGTGGATATTCTACTCGGTGCAGCGTTTATTTCGCACGGTATGGCTTTGTTTGGCTTTTTCTCTTTCTCTGCTTCTTTGTTTCCTGACTCTTCCCCCAGAGGCCTCTTGGCAGCCCGCTACATCCTTTTTTACAGGCTTATCTTCCTCCCTCTCTGTACCCTTCTTTCCGGATCTTTTTTTACTGCAAAGATCTCTTCAACTACCTTCTTCACGATGTTTTCCTTCTTGTTTTCACCCTCGGTGCCCTTTCCTGGTGGAACAATTTCGACTTATTTTCAAAAACATGAGATTATTCGGCTCCATTGAGTGCCGTCCCATAAGATACTCTTTATTCCCCAGAATACCAAGTATACCCTGATCTCCTGCAACAATACACCCGTTTCCCTGCAATCCCGCCTCTGCTTTATACATAATTGCTCCCTTTGCTAGTTCTCGCTCCCCTCTCGACTCTTGCTACATCTGCTCCTCCTGTTGCCTAGCAACTGTTCCCGTGGCAAGTTGCCATGGTAACCCCGCTACGCTGCAGTCTGTGCCGATCCCGCATGTTCAAGCAGTGCGCGGCAGATTTCGTCTGAGTGTTTGTGTCGCATATCGACGATTGTAGTGCCTGTAACTGCGCTGGTAAGCACTGTCTGCTGTGTCTGCCATGTACCTCGGTGGATATGCAGTGCAGCCTGCCCGTTGTGCTCTGCACGCTGCACAGTAATAGACAGCTGTGGGTTGTGGAACTGAATCCGCGGCAGATGTTCGCGCCAGAACTTGCTGTTTGCGTCAGCGTGTTAAGCAGTGTCGGCACCGCAGCATACAACTGCAGCGCACGCCGTGACACCGTGTACACCGTGTATACAGCGCATATAATGCGCATACAACACGCATACACTGCGCATATAGTCGGCTGAGTGCATACGCTGTGCATACACTATACATATACACTATACATATACACTATACATATACACTATACGCTGTATGTTATGCACATGCGCTACACATATATGCTGTGTGTACACTGTATACGCTGTATGCTACACAGTATGTATGCGTGCTGTATGCGCAGTGCGCTGCCCAGTGCTATACACAGTGCTTACCGACAGCCCATCCGTCCGTGGCCGTTGTCGTGCCCGATCCATACGGTCAGTCCGACGACGTCCTCTGCCAGCCGTGCTGCGCCAAGCCCGCTTCGCACTTGTGCAAGCCGTGCTGCCGCCCACTGCTTTCCCGGCATTTCGTGCAGTGACGCTGAGTCAGAGGGTGTTCGGGCGTGTGCGTTGTGCTACGCATGGCATTATAGACACTTGTGCACTGTATATACACATTGTGCACTGTATATGCGGTGCATGCGCGCTGTATGCGCTATGCATAACGGCTGGTGCTGTATGCGTGTTATATGCGTGTTATATGCGCAGTGTATGCGTAATGTATGCGTGTTGTATGCGCTGTATCAGATGCGCCGCATATATGCGGTGCCTCAGAGGGGCTGTGTGTATATATGCGGCATACATAGCGGCTATACGCGCATATATGCGTGTATATGTGCATATATGCGTCTGGCCTGTTTTCCTATTTTCTCCGCTCAAAATACCTGCTCGTGCTCATCCACGCAATGCAATGGTCGACTGCCCACTCTCCGACGTGCAAATACGTATCGAGCAGGGCGCCCGCGTCGCTTCCAAGCAGATCCGTGCAGAATCTGCGGGTATTAGCGGGGTGTATGCGCAGTAGTGTGCTCACGTTAGGCCTGTGGACCGCTTGATGCCGGCAAGTACGGACGATACAAGAAGGAGATCGACTGAGAGATGGACGGCTTTCCCGAGCGACTGCTGACTTAGGCAAACACGACACTGAGGAGACTTACCATCATCGACTTGGGCGATGCGGCGGCGGGAGGTTGCCATGGATATGTGGTTACTATGGCAACTGGCAGAGGGAGGGGATAGTGGAGAGGAGCAGTGTTTGCAAGAAACAAAAACAGGCTGAGCAGCCTAAGAAGGTGCTGAGGAGCCGGGAGCAGCGGGTGGTTTTCGGAGTGCTTCTGGGCCGTCTAGAGTGTCTAGAGTGTCTGGAATGTTAGTGTGTGAGGTGTCTGTGTGGATTGTCTGCAGTATGGTTTTGATGGCCCGTGTGTCTCTGTGGAGCGGTATGTTGACCGTATGGATTACGTTTGTGTCAAAATATCTTGCAAAATATTGTTTTCCGGAAAACGCTTTCTTTTGTCCAGGCAGTGACTTGATCGACAAGGTCTTTGCTGGATTTCTTTTTATATGGACGGAGGGAGATGGGTGGTAGTGTGGATGCTGGTTTTCCAAAAGACTATTGCTAGTGCTATCGCTTTCGTCTGTGTATGAATAGAGAAATGTGGGATCGATATTGCGCTGTGCTGTTCCTTGAGAGTCGAAAGTATGCAAGTGTGATTCTGACTTGGCTATATTGAATTGATCCTCGTCGAGACAGCCAAGAACAAGGTCCATGTCGTCTTGAAAGCCAGTTTTTTTAGATAAGGATTCCGGGAAAGACTCGGGATGCTCGTTAACGTCGTCAGCCGATGGTACCAGATATTTTTGCAGCGGACTATAGGAAGCCGCAATAATACTCTGGTATGAGGTTGATTCGAAATAATGATGTTTTACGTTATCGTGGTTCACACTTGGCTTCTCTGACTCAAGATTTAAGCCAGAAAAGTCTTTACACGTCTGTCCCATGTTTTTTTGAGTCCATTGAGGCATCCGCACCCCTCGTGGACGCTGCGGCAGCTTTAATTTCTCCGCATCATCGTCTAAATCATCTTCCAAGTCTTCTTCTTGTGCATCCAAGTCTTCTTCGAGCTCATCTTCATCTTGAACAATGAGATTCATTTTTTCTTTCGGAAGTACATGATCTAGTAAGATTTTACTCGTTGTTTTGCCTGCTATTTCTCCTGAATGATTCAATCGATCTAAAAGAACCCCTGTTCCTGTTCCTCCACTTACTGTTCTTGCTCCTGATACACCGTCTGTCCCTACAATACTTGCTTGAAATCGGACATGATGCTGAGACCGTTCTGTTGTCGAATCTATTTGCAAACCCTGCTGAAATCCTTGTTGAAAGCACGGCGGCTGTAAAATTGGCAGTAGCTCGTGTGTCAGCTCCTGTGTATTCGTCCGTCCCAGAGGAGGTGCTGCAAATTTGACACTTGGCCGTGATGCAAAGTGTAGCAGAAGTGGCGGCGTAGGCGTTGAATGTCCACTTGTTGATCCATGATCTGAGAGAAGATCAACACCTGTAGACTCTGAAAATCCGGTTTTTTGCGGCGATGTAAGCAGTATTGTTAACAGTGATGGTGTAGACACTGCAGGAGCTACTGAAGTTTCTTTAACAGTAAAAATCTCGTGCTCTTCGTCCTGTTGAGCACGAGCAAGCTGGTTTAGCTGGTGCTCCAGATAATCTGCTGAAGAATCAAGTATATGCATTGAAGTGCTGAGTGTATGCGCCATTTCTTGGGGTATATGCGTCTTATTATGAGGAGAATACATATTTTTACGGAATGTATGCGTTGAAAGGCTCTGTGGGTGCATTTTTGAATTAGCCGATATATTAATAGTATGGGTCAAAGAATAGGGTCTATGCGTTTCAAATGATGATATATGCGTTGGAGTCTGTGTATGTGCATTAGAACATGGTTTATAAGCTTTAAAAGCAGATAAATGTGGCTTAGGACGAGATGTATGCGCTGTTTTTCCCATATAATCTGTCGTCTGTGTACATAACGGCATAAAAGTTCCGCTCCCGCTCTGTACTGCGTTAATAAAGAAAAATGTGTTAGCAGCAAACTTTGTGCATTTGGTTCTATAAGTGTTTGTAGAGACATGGTTTTACTAACAATTTGGTCTTTTTCCCTTGTATATGCATGTTTAAACAGCCTTTTTGGTTGCTTTTTACTGTTTTAATTTTGAGATTTTTTGTTTTCTCTGCTAATCCTTTGCTCTTTGTTATATCCCCGTAGGTGATTGTACGATGAAATAAAAATTAATTAGATAATATTCTATAGAACTAAATAATATATAGAATATAAATATATTATGTATAGAATATATTGAATGAAAGAGATAAATGTATTGATTTTGACAGTGTAAATTATAGGTTACTATGGTGTATAAATTACTATGATGTATATATAGTGTGATTGATATAATGTGTTATTATAAATAAATAGGTGAATAGAAAATGAATAAAAAGTGTTACCAACGAGAGTTTTCTTTCCTTGCAGCAGGAGGCTTGTATATTCCAGTGGAAGGAGGGTCAGTGGTGGATGGCCTAGTGGAAGTAGGTTTTGATTGTGGATCGGGTTTGGTTTCGTTAGGTGAAGAATGTGGGTCAGTTAATTCTTGCCGTTCGGAAACACGAAGTCTCCAGGAACCCTTTCCAGGTCTCCATTTTTCTTCTCCTGATGGATCGGAGGGTGGTAATCGATCTTTTTTCGTCCATCGATCATAGTTATGGTCGAGTGATTTTAATTCTTCTTTTTTTCGTTGAAGTTTTCTCTCCACCTCGAGTTCTTTTTGTTTTTGTTTTTCTGCCATTTGATCGAGTTTTCTAGATGTTTTTAATGTATTTTCTCAAAAAAAATGAAACTACCTCAGCTCTTCTTCTTTTCTAGCCCTATTCTCTTCCTCAATAGCTTTGAGCCTAAGCTCTTCTTGTCTAATTCTTTCTCTTTCTTCTTCCTTTTTCCTTTTTCTTTCTTCTTCTTCCAATCTTTGTCTTTCTTCTTCCTCTTTCTTAAGTCGATAAGCCATTCGTCTTTCTTCTTTGGCTTTTTCTAAAGCTTCATTGGCAATCTTGCAGTGTTGATCAAATTCTTTTCTGCATTTTTCTAAAAATGTTTCACGGTAAATCACATAGTCTGGATAGAGTCTTTGAAAACGATGCTTGAGTGCAACCATATGATCGTGCTTTACACGAGATGCTTCAAGTTGTAATTTTCTTGCTTTTTCATAAAATATTTTGTCTGAGGTAAACTGCTCAATAGCTTTTTGCTTAAGGAGAGGAAGCTCTTCTTTTCTATATGCTCTTTCAAGATGATCAATTCGTTTAGAAGTAACACGTAATTTTTCATTAAGATCACGGGTTTCTTTCTCAAGTTGTTCTAGCTGAATAGCTCTTAATTTAGATGTATCCAGTCCTTCTAATCCATCGACATCTACCTTTAGGGCACCTTTGGCTTTAAGTTCATCGGCTAACTTTCTAGCTTCTTCAGCGCGAATAGCATCTGTTTCTTTTTTAATACGTTCTGCTTCTCTCTTCTTTGCTTCCTCAGCGACACGTCTTTGTTCCGCTTCTTGTTCCTGTTGCAGCTTTTGTGCTCTTTTGGTTGCCGCTTCTTTTTCCTTATAAATCATCATGTTTTCAGCAACTTCCTTTCGATGTTCAATAATGGCTCTTCGGGCTAATGTATCTTTTTGTTCTTTTTCAATGCCATTAGCTGTGTGTTCGTTTGCAATATTCTTTTGATCTTCCAACTCGTGAAGAAAAGATTTATCTATAATACAAACTGTAGTAAGTAAACATTTTCCTATACGCGACAATTGAGAACGTATTAACTCGGATGGTGTAGATTGTAGTCGAACATTGCTATCTGCTATAGTATGATGAGATGCAAAAATATTTGTTTCAAAAATTAATGAATTAGATGAATGATCAATTCGAATAGATAGTTCTCCTTTTTTAGATGCATTCATAATAAATTTTTCAATATAAATTGAGTCAATATGAAATGGTTCTGAAAAATTAAGAAGACTAAGGATGAAGTCTAATTTAATTGTCTCGTATACTTGAGATAATTGTTGAAACAAACGAGTAAGTATAACATGTTGAAGAGGTTTGATATATTGTATCATATCTGGATCTTGAGATATTATTTTAATCAAAGGCTCAACTTTTTGACAAATGCTTAAAGGATGAAACTCCACTTCTAGTATATTGCACAATTCTTTGATTTCCTTTCTTACATAAACCAAAATGTTTTTTCCAAGCTAAAAATATAAGTTATATATTTTGAAACGTATATGAGTTACCGCTTCTTTTAAAAGACTATTTCTTGTAGGAAGCTTAGAAAGTGACAATAATGCCGCAAGCTTTGTGTTGCGAATTTTCGTATCGTCTATTTCCATAATACTTCCTTTTGATCTTGTTGTACTAATAACAGGAATCGCTAATGCAGATAAAAGAACTAAAGATGCTACTCGCTCAAGCTCCTTGTCATCTGCTCCTTTATTTTGAGAAGATATTAATCCATAGTATTTATTCCAAATAACTGCATGAAACAGATAGTTTTCACTAACTGCGAAAATTTTTCCAAGTTTCTCATAGTAGTTTGCCATTACAAATAATTTGGGTTGTCTCTTTGAAAGTGCTAAAAGATTATTAATATCCTCGACTGATCTAAACGCTTCTTGCCAAAGTTCAAGTTCTACTGCTGCGTTTAATTGGGAAAAGCGTGTATCTAGATGACGTTGAAGTGTTTCTGGATCATTAAAATTAATTGAATGCTGCTGTCCAGAATACTTAGTAGCATTTTGAAGATGAGTACGAAGGATATCACAAAGTCGACGGAATTCTGTTTTTCTCGAATATTTTAAACAAAAATCAAAGGCTTGATTTACAGTGCTTTGATACGCTTGTTCAAGTCTTGCATTGTTCTTTAAAATTTCAAGTACTGTGCGATATGTTTCCCAAAGAAACTTAAGCCACGGTGTCACCACTGCACGATCAGTACGATCCTTTGACTGGTCCCCAGAAACCGTTGAGAGAATGATATTTTCTGGTGTTTCAGACGCTTCCAAGTCATCTATTGCGTCCAGAACAAGTTTCTCTGCATGAACTTGTGCTTCTGATACCTTTTCTTCTACAAGATCAATGAATTTTTTTAAAACAACCTAAAACCATCAATATAATTTATTTAAAAGCCAATTAGCTATTCTAAAGCCACACACCTCTATTGTCCCAACTGATGTGTTCTGAGCAATGTTTTTGTATTGATATAATGCTTCTTTTGCCATTTTTCCTTTTCTCAAATCTACACACAATGCAACAAAACGAAGCATGATTGGCTTTAAAGATGACACTGAAGTATTACGGGAACATTTAGAAAGTATCAATTCATGCAGAGATTGCAGAGCTGCTGCGCTCTGGCCAACTGCAATTAATTCTATTATAAATCAGTCGTTTTTCACTGTTTTTTTTTCGTTTAAACCTTCAGCACGCTATAAAAATCATTTATATTAGTTTTACTGTTATAAATAATAGTGTTTATACGTACTCTTAGTACATTTTCAGGCTTACTTTGTGGAATTAACATCGCCTTGTTTTTTGAACGTTTTTTGCTGATTTTTTTTCGATGTCCGGTTGACGTTTAGAAACTCGTTTGAATCTTGAAAAAAGGTGTTGACTGAGTTAGCAGGGTAAACATGTTTTTTTAACGTATATAAATGTATTATTAATCTATATTATAGCTATTTCTCTGCCTATACTTTCAATTGCGTTTTTTTTGCCTTAAAAACGGGCAATTGCTTGTAGAATTACGTTTAAAGTAACGAGTTATTGTTGATTTGATAAAACACTGGTTAATTTTTTTAGGAGCACGTAAAACAGTGTATAATCTTTTGTAATCATTGAAATGCATGGGACTCATGAACGGCATTCAAAACCCTCCATGAGTGAGATAAAATTCCGTCGTATGTGTGAACTGAATCAACGGCTAAAAGAAGACCTGGAGCGCCCGAGAATCCCTGTCAGTGAAGCATGTCAATCGTAGTTTCTCCCTTTTTTTTTTTTCGGCTGATATTTCTAGATTAATCATGTTTGCTACATCCACAAAAGATCCAATGTTGCCATCTATCTGGGGACATGTCGACAAGTGCAATGACCCGTTTGCCCCAAAAAGGACTTTCAAATGCTGTCTTCTTATGTAGAACTTCGTTCTTTTTCTCTTTTCCTTCACGTATACATTTTTTATTTCTCTCAGGACTTCTTCAGTTTTTTTTTCAATCTTTTTACTTTTTAATCTTTTTCAATGTTTCATCAATCATCCTCAAACACTACAAACTGCATTTTCTGTCAACTTTTTCTTTATTTTTCCTTTTTTCATTAAAATAAAAACAATAAAAATATTCTTTTTATTTTTTTTCTTAAGCATATTCTTTATCTCTTTTAGCCTTTTATTTTTATATCATTTTTTTATATCTTTTCTGTATTTTTTTTATTATCTTTATTGTTTGTACTTTATATCTTCGCCGAACTGTAGATTTTCAAAAAAAAACCAAAATCGCCTGAGAAGGTTAAAAAATGCTATTTTAAGGGCTATTTTGCTAATAAATATATAGGTAATAACAGGTAATAACAGGTAATAATTGCAATGGATGGAGATGTTTATATTCGGCGATTGGTACAGTATATACGTGCAAATGAACCATCATTGGCGTGTGCTATGGAATGTTCAATGCGTCGAAATGAGTATAATGACAAAAGGATATCTATTTTGAAAGGACTTTATCATTGGGTAAATGAAGGAGTAGCATGGCAATCGAATACTTTGTGTTTGACGCCTCATTATTTGTTTTATGTGTTTTCACGGTTTAATGAGATGGAGTTGCCAACAGGACCGATGAATGTGCGTCTAGAGACGCTGGTTAATGCAGGAGAGCCTGGGAATTATGTGTCATTTCTTCGTGATTATGCAAATGGGGCAAAAAAAGTGGATATGAGTGATACAAGGTCTATTAGGAGTGTAAGTTCAATTCGGAGTGTGGTTAAGGGAGTATCGAATCTCTGGGGGCGTCTGAGTGCTGGATGGAAGCTTTCTCCAAAAGAGAGGATGTATGAGCATGTCCGGTCTGATATTGTATATCTTTATTCGTCATTTACGAAGTTACCTTCGCTTAAAGTATTGCCATCGTCCAACTTTCAGATGATTGATGGATATGAGGAATTTCCGTTTGATACGGCAATTCCTTTGTCAGTTTTTAAGAATCTTAAGAGTCTGGAGATACAAGATATTGAAATTGGACGGTTTTATGGATGGGATAGAGTTGCGGATAATTTGTGTTTTTTGACACTTAAAGGATGCGGGATACGCGATGCTTCTGACCTAATTATTGATATCGTGCTGGATAATATCGAGAAGCGTAAGAAAATGAGGATTCGTAAAAGTAATTCGCTTCCTTCAGCTCCTCGAACTAAATTACTCGAACCGGGCCAGTCAATGTCAGAAATTCAAATATCTAATTCTTCAAGGGTTGTTTCTTCATCTATAGATTCCAAAAAGGCTTCATCTCATACTAGGAAATTTTCATCTCCTTTACACAGTAATTCTGAGGGACAGCGTCGTATACAGAAATCTGATGTATCGTCCAATGAATCTTGTGGATCCGCTAGTTCGTCTACTGCAATTCAATCTCATTCAACGATTCTTTCTTTAAGGAAATGGCGCTTTCTCAAGTATTTATCTTTGTCTAATAATTCATTAACTATGTTGTCATTTTTTGCAATGATTCCCATTTCGCAATCTTTGATTTCTTTGAATATTTCTCACAATATGTTTGTTGAAATTCCATATTCTTTATCAGTACTTTCTTCTTTGAAGTCTTTAAATATTTCTCATAACAGGATTGAATCATTGCATTCATTAACGCTGCATCCTCTTTTAGCAATAAGGACTATTGATATAAGGTCTAATCGTTTGCAGTCTCTGGCTGGAATTGAGAAATTAACATCTCTTGAAAGATTGGATATCAGAGACAATCTTATATCAGATCCAATGGAAATTTCAAGACTGGTTAATGCTTCAAATTTTAAACAAATATGGGTAGCAGGTAATCCTTTTACTCAGAAGCATTTTCCAACATATCGAATTACTATATTCAATTTATTTCGGACTATGTCTAACCATACCTTTGATATTCTTATTGATGGACAAGGCCCAGGGATTATGGAAAGACGTAGATTATTTGAAAAGGTTCGTAAGCGTAAACAGCCCTTAACTGATTCTGAAAAAACGTCCCTTTACTCATCTGATGCTGATTGCAAAATTATTACTTCAGAGCAAAATATTGTTGAAATTTCATCAATGGATAGGAAAAATCAGATTGGAAAGACAAGAATTGTTGATATTGGGTTTCTAGAGCATGAATAAGTGCTAATTGAACAAGTTGCACTTAATAGCGTTATTTTTAAAATTAACAATTTGTCTATAAAGATGATTTCAAAAGTTGATCATTATTTTTGCTTAATAGAAGTATTGTGAAATAATGTTGTGGGATTTGGCTGAAAATTTTAAATGGAGTTAAGCAATATTAGCTTTTATATTTTGTTACGGCTATTAAATTCAGAAATATGTATTATCTAGTCGAGTGGACTTATAGTGTGAATACTAATTTGTATTCGTGCTTGATATGATTATAGACTTTAGACGATATTTTTATTAGATAAATTCACTGCGGACTTACTGGTTTAACTTTGGTATTAGGTAGACAATAGGTTTTGAAAATTGCAAATAGGTATGCGGTATCCTGTTTTTTATTTTTCCAGGAAGTTGTATTGATGTATGGTTATTATATTTAAGTTATATGGGCTGGTGATCCTTTTAAAGATTGACAATATATTTCTGTTTTATACGACATGAACGGAGTCTTTGGTTTTGTTATAAATAGTTAATTTCGGATGATACTATAATAAGCAACTATTATTATCATTTTGAAGATTTCTATATATGGAAATGTATCTACATTGAGATGAAATGTTTAAATATATGGTTGATAATATTTTAAAAACTTAGACGGTGTGAATTATTATTGATTGAAAATAATATTACATTTTTAAGATAATCTTTTTTGTGAATTCAATGTTTATTTATATGTGGTATTGAAATATTATTATATGGATTTTGTCTATAATTAGACAATTTTATATTTTTATTAAAATATTTTGTGTATGTATGAGTTGCTACATCTATTATTTTTGGATTAGAAATATTTATTTTTGATATTAGTTATGTTAATACTCTATATTTTAGAACTTAATTGTATAGGTCGAACATTTTATTTTATATCGAAAATAATTTTATTTGCTAGATTTCTTTGGAAATATGTAGATTGAATGAGTTTTTATGGTAAACAAAAAGCCATTGATAATACTGTAAATCTTGTAATATTTTAAGGTATTTTTTGATGAGCTAAATATTCTAAAAGAATCTTTTGAATTCGATTTTTTATATGCAATTTATTAGTACTATTATATAAATATGCAACAAAAATATTGTAAATCTTATATTCATCTATAATGGAAAATTATATACAGTATCATTATTTTATTGGATTTGTAGCTATCTGAGTATTTTATGGTATTTTTGTAGGTTTTAGCTAAAGATAACTGTATTAGTTAACTTTAGATGTTTTTGTTAAGAGAAATACAATTTAGGGTTAGGAAACCTTTTTAACAGCCATTTTTAAGTAATCGTTTTTGCTAAATTGCTTATATAACAATGATAATATTTTAATTACGTTATGTTATATAAATATATATTACTCAAAGAGTAACAGTAACTTTCAGGTAAATTTTAAAAGTTATTTATGGGTGTATTTATATTTGATATAAAATATGCCAAAACATCAATACTTATGATGTTTATGCAATTTTCTGAAAAATTGTAAATGTAATATAGTTACTTAGAATTTATGTAATTGGGGTTTCGAAGTTTGCTTCGTAAATTATGTTTATTTTCGTTCTTTATTTGACTTTTTGTGTTTTCTTTACTATCTTGTTTTTGAATCACATTTATACGTTGTTCAAGAATTCTAAATTCTTCTTCAGTAATTTCAGATAGTGGAGACATTGCTCTAATATTATCTCCGGGCCATATTTGCAGATATTCTTTTATAGACAAACCTTTTGGTTCAAAAATAGACCAATTGGAAACCATTCTGTTATTTTCAATTTTTAAAAAGGATGTGTAATTTTCTGCGTCTGAAAATAATTTTTCAGATTGTCGTTTAAATCTAATAGCAGTTTTATAATAAATAGTATCTGAACTATTATTTTTTATAGCGTTGTCAAAAATATACATAATATCAGTCTTAAATAGTTAAACTTTTTTGTTTTTTAAAGAAAAAATACCTTAAACTGTGATAAATTGGCGTATTCACGGTCTTCGATTTTCTTAGAGATCATTGATAAAGAAATAGGTGTATTAGTTAAACTGTTGCTAAGAGAATTGACTGGAACATGAGAAAATAGTTTATTTTTATCCCATCTATAATAATTAATATTAAAAATTAACTTAGAAAGTAACACACTTTTTAATGCAATCTAATATATTTTTAACAACATGTGTAATTGGGAAATAAAGGCAATCAGCTACTGTTTCTAAATAATATGAAATTTTTTTCTTTTCTTCTTCACGTTTTTTGACCGCATCAATTAGTTGTAATAGTTTCTCTAGATCGTTTTTTAAATTCTCTGCAAACTTTAATAATTAATTATGAACTTTGACTCTAATTAAACTATACCTCAATCCTTTGTAGAAGTTGATTAGTTGAAAGATTATAAACTGTATCATCCTAAAATACTTTAAAAGCCTATTTATATAAATATATTTTCTAAACCTCTATCTTTAATTGAAGTCTTTTTATAAGAGTCGCATTTTTTCGTGATTCTCTTTTTAAAGACCAATATTTACATATATCTGTAATAAATATTGCTTTTTTTCTAATTGGAAATCTATGTATATAATTCAATATTTTATGTTGAATGTACATTGGTATAAGAGGATATGTTTTTTTTTTTTTTAAATTGATATAGATTTTGGATGACGGATTTCGTGTATAATTAGAATTATAATTATTTATTGAAGACTGAGAAGTAGGTGTATGAGATAAAAAATAGTTTCGAGTATCATGAAGAAATTTTGTAATATTATGCTCATTTCGCCAAAAACTCTTTTAATATTAATATATAAAAATGACATAAAATTGATTAAACTTACTGGAACATGTTTATCACAATAAGCTTTAAATTCTGTATTATTTTTTTTCATAGGCATGTATAATTTTGCTCTACGAGCACATGTAACATGGAATGCTTTATAACAAGATTTATTTGCACATTGAATTGAGGCACCCATTTTTTGCTGACAAATATAGCATATCTTTAAGGTAAGTGATATAATATAATTCTAAGATATACTTACAAGCTTCCATCTTGAAGAAGGAATTTTATAAATATTATCAATAGGTTCCTGATAAACAGAGTTTGCAACTGTAACTTCTGGAATCCAGACAGCACAAAGTAAATGAGCCCACCTGTTATCTGATGTTTGCTTAAAAGCACCCGATGTATTGGGGCAAAAAATGCAATTCTAATTCTATCAGTTTATATATATATATATATATATAATAAATGTACTAGGGTATTTTGAGGAGATACAATACATTTCCTACATAACCACTGTCCTTCGGGAATATAAGGAATACCATAACAATCTGTATATAATATAAGGTATTTTTATTAAACAGTTTAACATACCTTGATGAACAGCTAAGTTGCATCCATCACAAAATACTATAGCGTTAATATTTTCGCACTCACCGTCATCACAAATAGAACATTTTGAATCATCTGAAGATAAATTTTCTTTAGATATATCTTTAGGTATTTTTCTATCCTTTATGCATGTTATTTTTTAAGATTAAGTTATAGATAAATAAAATTATACCAATTCCACCCATTCTTTTTCAATTTTTGTTAAAACGATTTCAAAAAATTCATGTGATATAGTATCTCCTTCTAGTTTTAATCTTTTTGAATTATATTGTTCTAACCAAAAATCATCTAAAAAAATCAACTTTTACATAAAGTATTTTTAATAGTTAACCTTGCTCGTCCATGTCATATTCAACTCTATTTGCTAAAGCTTCTTCTGATTCTTCTGATTAGTATTAGCTATGAAAATTATCGCTTTATTGTATATATACTAATGAATCTAATATATGTATTTGAAGGTCTATTCCAAATATCTGTTTCTTGGTAACCATAATCAATTATTGAACGTCCAGTATATTTTGTTTCTTTTTCAAAAGGCTGAATAGTTCGAAAAGAAAATCGAGATGATTCCCACATGCATGAATCCTCTGTTTTTTTTGATTGATCTTCTTTTGAATATGTGTCTTTATTTTGCTTAAAGGGATCATATAATGATAAATCAGTATCGAAGCATGTATGTCTTTCTTTATCCAATGTTTTTGACAGAAAATATTTATTATTTTTTTTATTAAAAGAGTCGTCTTTGTATACTTCTGAATAATTCTGAATATTGAGCTCATTTATGTTATTTGATATAAGTGAAACAATCGGTTTATTATCTTTAAAGTATGTAAGAAAAAAAAAAGAAAAAACATAAAATTTTCATTAAGCATGCCATTTTGTGTATATACAACTTTTAAAGGCTTATTGATATCAAGATTTGTGTAAAATTCCAAATAAGATCGTTCTTCTCTCGGTTTCTCTGTAATTTGTTCATAATCGTCTTTGTTAACCATTGATAGTCGGTTGGCATGAAAAGAATTAGAAAAAATTCTGTTCCTTCCTCTAGAACGAATACGAGAGACCATCTAGTGCTCTTTTTCATAAAATAATAATCCTTTTAGTGGATATTTTCTTAAGTATCGTTTGTCGATTGTTTTATAAAAATGATACATATGCTATACAAATATGCTATTTAAAGTACTTTAGTGATTATATATTGATTGATTATATCATGTATGTTTGATTTATATTATTTGCTTGACTTTATTTCATGAAAAGTTATTATATATGGATTTAAAAAATAATTCACGTTTCGATTGCTATGTAAACAAACTTTTCTAAGTTGTTTAAAGATGATATTAAACTCTGGATAAACGCAATGTAAATGTGTGATTTACGTTTTTTAATATAGGGGGATGATTTATAGCAAAATAGTTATATAATTTGATTTTTTATATATTTTTTTGTAGAATCAAATTGAAAAATTGTTGATAAAAGTGTTTTAAATCTTTTTAAATAGAAAAACCGTATTTAAAACATCTAAATTGTATAGAATTTACTTTTTTGTGTATAAACTATATTGATATTTAAAATGATATAAAATAGAAATAATTTCCTATGTTTATAGGTAATAAAATGTTAAAAACATTATTTTATAGTATAATATATATATTCATTTTTCTTGTTTTTCTGATTACTATTTCAAAAACATATTTATATTTTGTAATCATATTTGTTATTTATAATTTATGTTTTTTACTTTCCGATCGACCTCATTAAAATTTGATATATTAAGATATATGTAAAAGGTTTTTCATTAAAAGAAATACATTTAAATTGTTTTTTGTCTATGGTTTTCTGTATATTTCTTTCGTTTTTTCGTTTATATTTATAGTCTATAGAAGAATTTAAAGATTAAAGTGATGAGATGTCATCTTTAGATCAGCAGTCTCTTTTTCAACGGTTCTTAGGTGTTTTTTTTGGAACGTTTTGTGGAAAATCAGTAGAAGATCTTCATAAGAATACTTTTGAGAAGTATGCAACAGTGGAACAGCATGGACAATTGTATATGAATCTGGATAATTTTATTAATGCAATTGTTCCTGAAGAATACTCTCATAAAATTAAACGAGAAGAATATTCTTTGATTTTTAAAGTTGCTGATGTTAATAAAAGAGGTCTTTTAAGTCTTCAGGATTGGATTTGTTTTGAAAATTTGCTTGAGAAGCATGATGCAGAAAATGAAATAGTATTTAAGTTTTTTGATCTAAATGGAACTGGAAATGTTTCGTGTGATGATTTTCGTAAGATGGTGTTTGAAAATAAAGCCTCTGATGTTATTCCTTTTAGTTGGGAATCTTCATCTTTAAGATCTTATATGGGAGATATGAAAAAATGTAATGTAATGACTTATCCTCAATTCATTCAAATGTTGAAAGATCTCCAAGAAGAGCGCATAAATCAGGCTTTCATGTATTATGATAAGAAAAATACTGGTTATATTGAGCCGGGTGAGTTTTTTGAGATTATTAATAAAACTTATTCGCATAAACTATCGGATTATCTTCTTAAGAATTTGCACACACTTTGCAATATAGACGATACATCAAAAATTAGTTATGCTAATATGAGAGCTTTTCAAAATTTAGTTCAAGAGATGAATATGATTAAAAGTATTGTTAGAACATTAACCTTGAAATCAGCTGATGGCAAGATTACGAAAAATGATTTTGTGAAAGAAGTTGAAAAAATGGATTGTTCTTCTTTTTTTACTCCTATGGAAATTGATATTTTGTTTCATTTTGCTGGTCTAGATAATGATACTGGTCGTTTAAGTTATCAAGATTTTATGAAGGTTTTAGATTCTTCGTGGAAGAGTTTTATGGATCAAAATATTATTGTTTCTAATAATGAATCAAAAATGATAGATAAATATACTAAAACGAAAAAGTTCTTTTCAAGTTTATTAGAAAGTATTTATCATTTTTCTTTAGGAGCTATTGCAGGAGCATCTGGAGCTATTGTTGTTTATCCTATAGATTTAGTGAAGACAAGGGTGCAAAATGTAAGAACTAGAATGGCTAGACAAATGCTATATAAAAATAGTTTTGATTGTGTAAAAAAAGTTTTAAAAAATGAAGGTGTTTTGGGTTTTTATAGTGGTTTAGGCCTTCAGTTAATTGTATTTATATAAATTTTGGTTTTGAAACTTCTAATCTGTAAAGGGTGTGGTTCCAGAAAAGGCAATAAAACTTACAGTGAACGATTTAGTTAGGAATTTAACTAAAAACGATGATGGTAGTATAAAATTTCATTGTGAGTTATTAGCTGGTGCATCTGCTGGAGGATGTCAAGTGGTAAGTGTTATTTGATATGGCTTAATGATTTTTCTAATTAAAAGATATTTACAAATGTAATATATAATCTTAATTGTTATTTAGTAACTTATAAATTAAGCCTTTAGAAATTGTAAAAATAAGACTTCAAATACAAGGAGAATTTGTCAATGCTGCTGAGAATATTCCTCGTAGGAATGCTTTATGGATCATAAGAGACTTAGGCTTTATGGGGCTTTACAGAGGTGCATCTGCTTGTTTATTACGCGATATACCTTTTAGTGCTATATATTTTCCTGTATATTCTCATTTGAAGAAAGATTGTTTTAAAGAAAGTTCGGAAAAAAAGTTAGGGATTAAAGAGCATCTTATTTCGGGTGCAGTTGCTGGTATGCCTGCTGCTTATTTTACCACGCCTGCAGATGTATGTTTTTGTGATTATAATATTAAAATAATTTTTTTAGGTTATAAAAACTAGATTACAAGTAGATGCTAGAAAAGGTGAAACAAACTATAAAGGTATTCGGCATGCCTTTTCTACAATTATCAAAGAAGAGGGTTTTACTGCTCTTTTCAAAGGTGGTTCTGCTCGAGTATTTCGCTCATCTCCTCAATTTGCATGTACATTAGCTGTATATGAAGCATTGCAAACATTATTTTTGAAACATAAACATCCATCTCATTTAGTTGATAGTTTAAACGAAGAAAAGGTATCTTTACCATATTTGCGGTCTCATAATGCTCTAAAAGTTATATTGGTAAGTAAATTATAAATTATGATATTCTAACTTTGTTTAGGATTTGGATATAAATTTTAAAAATTATTTCAAGCCTTAAATTTTTATAAATCTGAAATATCAGGACTAAATAATTTTAATTTATGAATAACAATTTTTTTTTAAAAAAAATTGTTAATTTCTTTAGGTTTTTTTTAATAATACTAAGTTTAAATTTAAAACATTTTGTAAATGAATTGGATTTATATACTAATATAATTAGGGTTAATGCTATTTTTAAATAAAAGGTTAAACATATTCAAATTGTTATTTTGGTAATAAATCATGATTTTGTGTATTAAAAATTGTTTTTTTTTGTAACAATTTTAAGTAAAAAAGAGCTGTATTTATTTATTTTCTCCTTTTAACATGGACTGTATTTTAAGTTATCGAATAATTGTTTTATTATTATGAAATTCAGAGTATTATTATACATGATTTAATTAAACAATTCTTAGAATCATTAAATCTTGAAATTTTCATTATTATTAATTAAAAGTCTGGATAATGAATTTTAAAGTTTTATTGATCATGATTTTTTTTTTCTACTTGTGGGATATTCTCGTTTAGTTTATTGCTTATTTTAGCTGTATTTGATGAATCATTAATTTCTATATTCTTCTGTAGTTGTCCTTGAGTATTTAGTATTTGTAAGCTTTGTAAAATTTTTTCTTGTGCTTGTAAAAGCAGCTTATTACTCTCTTCAACTTTTCTTATGTTGCTGGCATTAAGCAAAGCAGAATCAAATTTAGTTGAATTTAAATCAGCTGCATATATAGTATTGGCTGATGATTTTTGTGTATTTATATTAATTATACTTAGTTTTTCTGGAAAACTATATTCAATACTAGAACTAATACTGCCTGTACAAGATGAATCTATACTTTTTTTTCCTTTTTCTTTATTTAAAGATGAATCTGTGTTGGTTTGTTTATTTTGATCAGTATTTCCTAAATTATTATTGAAAAAAGTATCTAAACTATAAGATGATGCATTGGTTTTTATGGTAATTATCACCTGAGTTATTATTATTAATTGCATTATGTATTGTGCAAATATCTTGGTTAGTTAGTGGAATGATTGTCCAGCCTGTGGGTAATCTATAATTGTTATGAAATAAGGGTATATTTTGAGGGTTTTGGAGATCAGTAGTATTTCGTGAAACGGGATTTCTATTTTGTTCTGTTCTTTGATCTCTATTAGATACTTCGTTATTTCTTCTTCCAAAATTACGCAAAAAATGAAGTATTTGTGATCTATTTATATTAAATATTTCTTGAGATTGTCCTTCTAAAACAGGTCGTCGACTAAAAATATCAGAATAGATGAAACTTGAAATATAGTATACCAGGTAGGACAACTTTGTTGTCTTTCAAGCCAACTTTTTAAACAATTAAAGTGCAATATATGATTACATGGCAGTTTTTTGGGTGTGTTGTTAATATGTTGAGATTTGTTGTTTTCATTGGGGTCTTTTTCACTTGAATGAACCATTTCTTCACGACAAATAATACATGTTTTATCTTCGGTAGCTGTAATTTCTTCTAGTGTTGCATCTACAAATCGCTGGTTCATATTATTCGTGACTCTTTTGTATCGAATAAGATCACGGCATTTTGCGAGAAACGACTTCAAAGTAATATATACATCACGAATTATATGAAGTGGAAGACCATAAAATGTTAATGCTAGCATGAAAAATGTTGTATATGCTATGAGTTTGAAAAGTTCTTCATATTAGCAACAAAATTATCTAAATGCAATAATTACCTAAGAAAAGTTCGAGATACAATACATATAATCCTTTATTTTCCCAGTTATCATTATGGTATGAGTCTATTAGATTAAAGGTGTATTTAATTGCTGCACCAATAATAGTTGATGTCAAGATGGCAAATTCGAAAGCAAACATAAGCATCATGTTCGGCTTCTGATTAAGAATAGTATAAATTGAAAATCGTGTCATGATAATGTCGAATATTAATAATGAAATAATAGAGATAATAATTCGTGTATGAAATCTCCATATTGTATTTTCTGACTGCTGGGTCTAAAAAGTCTTAGTATACATGATATTCACCTAATAGGTGCATTACAAATTCGAGACGATCAAGACAAAGCCAATGGAATGTTTTAAGAAAAATTAGGATCACAAACACAATAATCGACATAGTATCAAAATTATTTCGGAAAATTGTCATTGCTAGACATGTCTCTGTAATAGAATACCATGTTCTTTCATAAAGATGCTCGATTTCTGTTGTACGTAGCGGTCCAAAGAAAATCCTCTGAATCAGTTTTCCTACCATCGCTGCAAGAAAAAGACTCATATTCATCAGTACCTATATACTATTCTACACATATTCTTCCTGAAAAAACTCCTTTACCATCAAACAGGCATTACTTTCTGTTAAATAGATGCATGCTGCATAAAAATTTGATCTATTTAAAAATGCATTAAAAATTACAAAAGCCGTGGCTACTGCACTACTCTAACTACTTGTTATACTTCTTTTCTTGTCTATATTTGCCTTACTGTGCCGTAAATTGCTAGTTTCATTGGGATTTCTTCAAAATATAAATTATTAGGTTTTTTGAACGTTGATATTCTGCAGAACGGTCCGTAAAGTATTGAAAAATATCAATGAAAGGTTGTATATTTTAGATGTATAATAGATAAATTATATATGATAAAACATAATTATAGATTTTTGAAGTGATTTTGTCAGTGTCTTTTGAAAAAAATGTCTTTGAAAATGTATTTTTATAATTTGAGATTTTGTTTAGTAGTGTCTTCGAAAAATTGAGTGATCGTAACGTCATTTTTTTTGAAGTAGTATTTGAAGTTTTTATGAGTTGATTTGGCCTTGTTTATAGATATTAATGGTCTTATTTTGTTCCAGAACTTTTTTTCTAAGAAGCAGTATCTTTATTTTGTGTTTTTACCGCTTATTAATGTGGATAGATCATGAAATAACAAGTTCTGTTTTTTCGCGAAGAATATTCAGTTTATTAAGAAAAAAGAGTATTTCAGACGAAAACAAAGGGCATCAGGCCAATGTAGACAAAAATGTTCTTTTGAGAGATACTCAGAAGTCGTCGTTAGACTATGTTTTGACGACAGTTGACTCTGTTGTGAATTGGGCAAGGCAGGGCAGTATTTGGCCAATGACATTTGGTAAGGCCTTGAAAAGAAAAGAAGAGTGTATGTAAGTGTGTGTTAATTTTTTTAAAAGGATTGGCGTGTTGTGCAGTTGAGATGATGCACGCATCTGCACCAAGATATGATCAAGATCGACTAGGTGTTATTTTTAGAGCAAGTCCTCGGCAGTCAGATGTGATGATTGTAGCAGGGACGCTAACAAATAAGATGGTAGTTGTTTTGAGAAAGGTGTATTTGCTAATAGTTTAAGGCGCCTGCTTTACGGCAAGTGTATGATCAGATGCCGGAGCCACGCTGGGTAATTTCGATGGGGTCATGTGCTAATGGAGGCGGATATTACCACTATTCGTATAGTGTTGTTAGGGGATGTGATAGGGTTTTTTGCACTCAAAGCTTTAATATATTGTTGATACTGTTAGATTGTACCTGTTGATATATATGTCCCGGGATGTCCGCCTACGAGTGAAGCACTTTTGTATGGTATATAGCCATGATTTATATGATTATTGGAATCTTTAACGTTTAGGTATTTTCTTGTTACAAAAAAAACAGAGAAATCAGAAAATTACACGTTTATGGTATCGGAAGTAGGGGGTCTGATATATCATTAGATTGATTAACCGATGATTCAAAAAAATATGTATTTAAAAAATGTTTTTAATATACCGTTCTTGTATTTTTTGCAAATGAGATGATGCATGTATTAATTTGTTTCGGTTTGTTCTATATAATATATAATTTTACTATATTTTGTATTTTTCTTTTTATCAAAAAGATTTATTTTTTATTTCTTTGCTGTTTATATGTTTTTTTGTAATTTGTTGTTTATAATGTATATATTTAATATATGTATTCTGCGTGCGTGTCTGTGCAATCTTAGATTTTGATTTATATGAATTTATGTTGATTTGTTATTTTGTGAGATGATAGATATTTATTAAAGATAGAGTAAATATTATATTTTATATATGTGATAAATATTGTGTTAATGAATTATATATATATTTATATAAATATATGGTTATTCGGTGGATTTGCGTTTCTTCTGCATATTATGTTTATATGTTTTCAAATATATGAAAAAATTGAATTTGATTAGTAAAAGTTTAATTTTATATATATAGAAATTATGGTTTTTACAATATATAAATATTTTTAACTCTTACTTTTTTACTAAAAATGTGTTGGATATATTTTAAACTGAATTATATACAGATTTCTATCTTAAGTATCTTTTATACTTTTATGATATAATTTTCTATGTTTTTTAATATAAGCTATATTATCTTTGCTATCATAATAATTATTTAATTTTATATTTCAAGGTCCTTAAATGTTTTTATGGAATTCTTTATTTATATTTTATAGTTTTTTAGACAAAAGAAAGTCTATTCATTTTTGTATTTTTTATTAATTTTAAAAGTTTGATTATCGCTTTAGCGATTATGTTTCTTAATTGCTATATTTTTGGATATTTTCAGAGATATATTATAATAATTATTCATTAATATTTGTCTTTTGACTGTGTTTATATGGTGAATATTGTTGTGTTTCTATTTGGTTGTTTGATTATTTTTCAGCAATTTTTAGGAAATACAATTTATATTAAAACTGGTATTATTTTGAAAAAAATAATATAGTTATTGATTAGGTTTTTTATAGTGAACTATATCTAAAAAAGTTTATGTTTATGTTTTTTACTAAAAAGAAAGACATTTAGGCAATTTTTATTGAATTTTTTAAAGTTTGAATAAAAAAATGTTTATAAAATCTTCATCTTCAGAGACACCAGCTTTGATTAATAATAATGCAAAAAAAGTTATATTAGAGCTTGATGATGGTACTTTATATCAAGGATATTCTTTTGGGGCTGAAAAATCTGTTTCTGGAGAATTGGTTTTTCAAACAGGTATTAAAATAAATATAAACTGTATAATCGTTTTGTAATTGGTTTAGGGATGGTTGGGTATACTGAGTCTATTACAGATCCCTCATATCAAGGCCAAATTCTTGTTCTTACTTTCCCTCTTGTGGGTAATTATGGAGTACCTTCTCGAAAAAAGATGGATCCTCTATTTTCAGATATTCCTCTTTATTTTGAATCTAGAAAGATTCATGTTTCCGCTTTAGTAGTTGCAAGTTACTCGCGTTCATATTCTCATTATCTTTCTGAAAGTACTCTTGGTGATTGGCTATATGAACAAGGTGTTCCTGCAATTTATGGAATAGATACTCGAGCTCTTACGAAAAAAATACGAACCAAGGGTTCTATGCTTGGAAGATTATTACAAATGAAGAAGGATTGTGTTTTAGGGGATTTTTCTGATGATGATATTCTTTGGAGAGATAAATTCGAAAATATTGAATGGGTAAATCCAAATCTTAGGAATCTTGTTCAAGAAGTTTCGACTCCTACTGTCCGTATATATAAACCATCGTCAGAATGTTCACAAAAATTGCTTTCTGATGAGCAACTTCGAGTATTATGTGTCGATGTTGGAATGAAAGCAAGTCAAATTCTTTGTTTTTTAAAACGTGGTGTAGAACTTAAAGTTGTTCCATGGGATTATGATTTCTCTGTGGAAAAAGATTATCATGGTTTGTTTGTTTCTAATGGTCCAGGAGATCCTTCTATTTTAACGGTAGTTATTGAGCGTTTGAAAAAATGTATAGATGCTAAAATGACTCCAATTTTTGGGATTTGCTTAGGTCATCAACTTCTTTCAAGAGCAGCTGGTGCTGAAACTGTAAAAATGAAATTTGGAAACCGTGGACAAAATATTCCGTGTACGAATATGATAAACGGTCGCTGTTATATTACTTCGCAAAACCATGGGTATGCAGTAGATGCATCAACTTTGCCACAGGATTGGAAAGAACTTTACGTTAATATTAATGATGGGTCTAATGAGGGTATTTATCATGCAACTTTGCCTTTTTTTTCTTTACAGTTTCATCCTGAGTCATCGCCTGGTCCTAGAGATACAGAGTTTATGTTTGATGTATTTATTGATGTTATTAAGCGTTCTTTTAATGAAAAGCGTCTTGTTTCTTTTGAAATCTCTGAAAATAAGATAAAGGATAATTTATCTAATTTAAAAGATAATATTAAAAAGGTTTTAATACTTGGTAGTGGTGGTTTAAGTATTGGACAAGCTGGAGAATTTGATTATTCTGGTAGTCAGGTTTTAATTGTTTACTTAATTTTGTTTTTAGTAATTACTATTAGGCTATTAAAGCTTTAAAAGAAGAAGGTATATATACTGTTCTAATTAATCCGAATATCGCGACTGTGCAGACGTCAAAAGGACTTGCTGATAAAGTTTATTTTCTTCCTGTTAATCCCGAATTTGTATTAAAAGTAATAAAATATGAAATTCCTGATGCAATTTATTTAACATTTGGGGGACAAACTGCACTTAATGTAGGAGTACGGCTTAAAGATGAATTTGAAAAGTTAGGAGTTCGAGTTCTTGGGACTCCTATTGATACTATTATTACTACTGAAGATCGTCAGTTATTTGCTAAAAGTATGAAAGAAATTAATGAAAAATGTGCTGTATCTGCATCTGCTTCAAATATTCAAGACGCTATGAAAGTCGGAAGTGATATTGGATATCCTGTTATTGTTCGGGCTGCATATGCTTTAGGTGGTCTTGGATCGGGTTTTGCTGATAATGCTGAACAGTTATATGCATTATGTAATAAAGCGTTTGCTGTTAGTCCGCAAGTTTTAATTGAGAAAAGCATGAAAGGTTGGAAGGAGATTGAGTATGAGGTTGTCCGTGATTGTAAAGATAATTGTATTACAGTTTGTAATATGGAGGTAAAATAGATTTTGTAAAATGATAATTATTTAATTTTAGAATTTTGACCCACTAGGAATACATACAGGAGATTCTGTTGTAGTTGCACCGTCTCAGACACTTTCTAATGAAGATTATAATATGTTACGGACCACCGCTATAAATGTTGTCCGGCATCTTGGTGTTATTGGTGAATGTAATATTCAATACGCATTAAATCCTTTTCTAAAAGAATATTATATTATTGAAGTTAATGCTAGACTGTCTAGATCTTCTGCACTTGCTTCTAAAGCTACTGGATTTCCTCTTGCATTTATAGCAGCTAAGCTTGGTCTTGGAATTACTCTTGATGAGCTTAAAAATGCTGTTACAAAAGAGACATCTACATGTTTTGAGCCAAGCTTAGATTATATTGTGGTTAAAATACCGCGTTGGGATCTTAAGAAATTTACTCGTGTGAACACTCAACTTAATTCTTCTATGAAATCTGTTGGTGAAGTTATGAGCATTGGTCGTACTTTTGAAGAGACTATTCAAAAAGCAATTAGAGCTATTGATTATAACAATCTTGGTTTTAATGAAACTGATGCTCTTATGTCTCTAGATATGGAATTGCAGACTCCATCTGATCAACGAATGTTTGCTATTGCGAATGCAATGTATGCTGGTTATTCTGTAAATAGAATATGGGAATTAACGAAAATCGATAAGTGGTTTTTAGATAGACTTATGGGATTGATAAATTTAGAAAAAAAAATTCGTGAATATACTCTACATAATATACCTGTAGAACTTATTTTTCATGCAAAACGATTTGGTTATTCTGATCGTCAGCTTGCAAAATTTCTAGGGTCGAATGAATTATCTGTACGTAAAAAAAGAATTGATTGTGGTATTACTCCATTTGTTAAACAAATTGATACTGTTGCTGCTGAATTTCCTGCTTATACTAATTACCTTTATATGACCTATAATGCATGTGAGCATGATATATCTTTTGAAGATCATGGTGTAATGGTTCTTGGCTCTGGTGTATATAGAATTGGATCTTCAGTAGAATTCGATTGGTGTGCTGTTTGTGCTATAAGAACGGTTCGTGAACGAGGAATAAAAACTATTATGGTTAACTATAACCCCGAAACTGTTAGCACTGATTATGATGAAGCTGATCGATTGTATTTTGAAAATATTAGTCTTGAAAGAGTTCTTGATATTTATGATATTGAAAATTCTAGTGGTATTATAGTTTCTATGGGCGGTCAGATTCCTAATAATATTGCTCTTTCACTACATAGACTTAATGTTAAAATACTGGGAACATCTCCAGAGATGATTGATTCTGCAGAGAATCGATATAAATTTTCTCGAATGCTAGATAGAATTGGAATAGATCAACCTCTGTGGAAAGAGCTTACAAGTATCGATGAAGCATCTGATTTTTGTGAGTCTGTTACTTATCCTGTCCTTGTTAGGCCATCTTATGTATTATCTGGTGCTGCTATGAATACAGTTTATTCAAAGGATGATTTAGCGAATTATCTTAAACAGGCAGTAGATGTTTCAAAAGAGCATCCTGTGGTTATAACAAAATATATAGAGGGTGCGAAAGAAATAGAGCTAGATGCTGTTGCAAAAGATGGCAAAATGGTTATTCATTTTATTACAGAGCATGTTGAAAATGCTGGTGTTCATTCTGGTGATGCTACTTTAATTTTGCCTCCACAAGATTTAGATCCTGAAACTGTATATCGGATTGAGCAGGCCGCTATTCAAATTGCAAATGCGTTAAATGTAACTGGTCCTTTCAATATTCAATTTATTGCTAAAGATAATGAAATAAAAGTTATCGAGTGTAACGTTCGTGTAGCAAGGTCATGGCCTTTTGTATCGAAAGTTTCTGGTGTTGATTTAGTTCAAATAGCTACAGATGTAATTTTGGGATTTTCATATAGTTCTTATCCCGCTATAAATATACCTCACAATTATGTCGGTGTAAAAGTTCCTCAATTTAGTTTCAGTAGGCTTTCTGGAGCAGATCCTGTTTTAGGAGTAGAAATGGCATCCACTGGAGAAGTTGCATCTTTTGGAAAAGATAAGTATGAGGCTTACCTTAAGGCTCTTGTTTCTACAGGAATACAACTTCCGAAAAAGAATATTTTATTGTCTATTGGGAGTTTTAAAGAAAAGACAGAAATGTTGGAATCTGTAATTAAATTGCATAAACTAGGTTATACGCTTTTTGCGACTGCTGGAACTGCTGATTTTATTCATGAGCATGGAATTCCTGTAAAGTATCTGGAAGCATTACCGGAAGATCAAAAGGGTCAGAAATCAGAATATTCGTTAACTCAACATCTTTCGAAGAATTTGATTGATATGTATATTAATTTGCCTTCAAATAATCGTTTTAGGCGCCCTGCGAATTACACTAGTATTGGATATAGGACTCGAAGAATGGCTGTTGATTATTCCATTCCACTTATAACCAATGTTAAATGTGCAAAACTTATGATAGAAGCGTTATCAAGGATTTCATCAATGGATATTTCTCCTGTAGACTTTCAAACTAGTTATAAGTCTATAACTTTACCTGGTTTTATAGATATTTCGGCTTTTGTTCCACAGATATCAGAAATCAATTTTTTTGACTTTGATGATGTTTCAAAACGATATATTTCATCTGGCTTTACAACAATATGTTTGATTCCTATTGGATTAAATGATTGGGTAATGAATGCGAAGTTGATGCCAATAAAAGCTTTTGATTCTAAAAAATCTGCGCATTGTGACTTTGCTCTCTTAGTAGTGGCTACTTCTGATAATTTGAGTTATTTGGATCAAATATCTGCAAATGTAAAATCTGTATTTATTCCATCAAATTTTTTATCTGAAAATATCGGTAAATTGACTCTCCTTATTTCTCATTTTAGTTCTTGGCCTAATATTAAAATCATTGTCACTGATGCTAAAGGGACATATTTGGCGTCTGTTTTACTTTTAGCTAATTTATATAATATAGCTATTCATATTTCCAATGTGACTACTAGAGATGATATATTATTGATATCTTTAAGCAAAAAAAAAGGTCTTAAAGTCTCATGTGATGTTTCTATTTATGCTTTATTTCTTTCTCAGTCTGATATTAGTGAATCTAAAATTTTGCCTACTGATTTGGATCAGAAATCATTATGGGAACATATGGAAATAATTGATTGCTTTTCAGTTGGAAGTTTGCCTTATCAGATTGCATATGAACTTAATCAAATAGATTTTAGTTATGTTAGAATCTCGGATACTCTTCCTTTATTATTTACTGCAATGACTGATAAAAGGCTTACATTGGATGATATATTGTTAAGATTATATTATAATCCAAAGTCTATTTTTGGTATTCCAGAACAAGCAAATACTTTTCTGGAGGTTGAAATTGATAGAAGCTATACTTTAAATTCTTCTGATGGATGGTCTCCTTTTATTGGTAGAAAGATGATAGGATCGATACATCGTGTAGTTTTTAATGGTCAAACATCATATCTTGATGGGAAATTTTTTCCCAATTATCAAGGAAAAGATATATCTTTAATATTGAGTAGTTCAGCTTTGTCTTCAGCAGATATTCCTATAGTTTATACAAAAAAAGATGTAAGTCTAAGGCCACTTGTTTCTTCCCCTGGACCTTTAAATGACTTAACTTCACCATTAGCTGGTTCTGAACAGTTTAGAAAAAAATATGAGTCTTTTGGTTCTTGTATTTCAGATACAGGTGCTTTATTTTCTTTGATTAAAAATACAAATTTTTTTCGGAAGAATATTGTTTCTGTTCAGCAATTTAGTCGCAGAGACTTACATTTGTTGTTTGCTATTGCTCATGAAATGAGAATTGCTGTAGAACGTCAGGGTATATTGGATATATTAGCATCAAAAGTTCTTTGTATGATATTTTTTGAACCATCAACACGAACATCAACTTCATTCGATGCTGCTATGCAACGACTGGGAGGCCGTGTTGTTTCTGTTACTGTTAGTTCATCGAGTGTAAAAAAGGGTGAATCTTTGGCAGATACTATTAGAACTTTAGGGTGTTATGGAGATGCTATAGTTATAAGACATCCCTCTGAAGATAGTGCAAGTATAGCTGCTAAGTATTCTCCTGTTCCAATTATTAATGGAGGTAAGTATTAATAAATGGTTTGAAATAATATTTATTTTCTGAAGGTAACGGAAGTCTTGAACATCCAACTCAAGCCTTTTTAGATTTATATACTATTCGTGAAGAGTTTGGAACTGTTAATGGTTTGAGCGTAACATTTGTTGGTGATCTTAAATATGGTAGAACAGTTCATTCTTTGATTAAATTGCTGCGCTTTTATCAAGTTGAAGTTAACTTGGTTTCGCCTCGTGAATTAACATTGCCAGAAGATATTAAAGAATTTATATTAAATCAAGGTCAAGTTATTAATGAATATTATACTTTAAATGGTGATGTTATTGCTTCAACAGATGTATTATATTGTACAAGAGTTCAGGGTGAACGATTTTCAGATTTAGAAGAATATGAAAAACTTAAAAATTCTTTTACAATTGATAATAATATTTTGCTTAAAGCAAAACCTCATATGGTTAGTCAGATATTGTAAAGTATGTATTTTAATTAAGATATAGATTATTATGCATCCGTTCCCTAGAAATAATGAAATTTCTGAAGAAGTTGATTTTGATCAGGTATTGTATATATTTTTATATTGAAAATACTGATTACGATTTAGAGAGCTGCATATTTTCGAGAAATGAAATATGGCATGTTTATTCGTATGGCACTTTTAGTAGCGGTTTTAGGAACTAGTGAAAGAGTATAGTTTTTAAGATAATAGAAGTGTAGAAAATGATTATACTTAAAATTGATTAAAATGGCGAATTTGGTCTTATTCTGAATATAAAAATTATATTATATATATATTTATTTAACAGATAATTGCAATATACATTATGATTGTTGATTAAATATTAACATTTTATTCAATGTTTTATGAAAACTATATCAATATGATTGATAGATATTAATAATTAGATATAAAGGTTTGTATTTAAAAAAAAAAAGTATTTATAAATTGAAAAAGTATTTACATTTTTGTATTTTTAGATTGTGTTTCTTGTAATGTTATTTTTGTTTTTTTTTAAATTGCATAATTAGGTTCTATTTTGAAAAACTTTTTAAAGATTAGTAAATAAACTGTTAGTAATGACAAAAATATAAAATATGATTTTAGAAAGATAATAATTGTGTGAATATAAATCGAAATAATATCTTACAATATATATACATATAAATTTAAGAACTCGTTTATCGACTAATGATATTTGTAACTAGGTTTTGTGTTCCAAGTTGTTTAATTTTATCATGAACTTCTGCAGCATTATTGCTTAGTGCAAGGAAAAAATCATATTCTGCTTTAAGTGTGTTTAATAATGCTATGATTAGATTATGAATAAATGAATAAAAGTTTTTTAAATGAAATACCTTCTGGGTTTCCTTTTTCCTCACTATGATCCTTTTCAAGATATCCCAAATTTTTTCCAATATCATCTATAGTTTTTGCATAATTGTTTATTTTTTTTTCAATTTCATTCGATGTATCTTCAAAATATGCCAATATTGAATCTTTTGTATGAGAAGAATCTATATATGGCATAGGTGTTGAGTCAACTGCATTTTTTGATAGTTTTGCACTGTTATAGTCTTTTTCTACTGTTGTTTTGAGCGACATAAGCTGGCTTATATCTGATGTTAAAGCAGTTGCTGCTTGATCCAATCTCTAATACATATATTAAAGCGTTTACACATAAAATGATGCTTAATAAAACCTTTGACACTTCTTCTACATCCCTAGGCACAGAATCGATAAGTTCGTTAATATATGATGTTCGTGATAGAAGATGATCTGAGATTTGTGTTTGTGTGGTAATATATTGACTATAAATATTTTAGATTTTTGCAGATAAAAAAACACAAAATCCACTTCATTTCATCTAAAAATGCTTTTCCTTCCTTTGGAAAGTCTGAATAACGAGATGTACGTGAAATCGTTTGGGGAGATTGTAATATAGTATTTGTCTGAGAAAGACTATTTTTAGAGATTAAAAACATATTTTTCTGCTAAAATTAATTCCATACGATCCACTATTCGCCTTTTGTGTTTGAGCAAGACCTGTTGAACCAACAATAGGTGCTGTTTTTTGAAATGTATTTCCAAACAAAAAACTCGTTGATGGTTGAGCTTGAGAGTTTAAACTGTTTATTCCTGCTGTTTGTATATTGTCTGAAGGTGCTTTATTCCCAAAAAATGAAAAACTTGGGGGCTTATTAGTCTGTTGTTGCAATTGAGTCTCAAATGAAAATGTAGGTTGTGATCCCGTTGTTACACTTGTTTGCACGGGCTGATTAAAGGAAAATGTCTGCTGATTCGTGCTGCTTGTATTTGATGCTCCAAATGTCTTAGATGTTCCAAACATTTTGCTTTAACTTGAGATTTTGTTTTTTAAAAAAAATCTGATGTTGTCTTATAATTATTTGACGTTTTGTTCAACGTCAAAATTTTTTGGAAAAAAAAATGTCTGATGATGAGGAAGACCGTTACTTGTATGGCAAAGAAGAGACTCCAAAAACCGTTTTCTCTAGTGAAGGTTCCTATATATTTCTTTTTTTCGTTTAAGAACTAACATTTTTGAGCAGGTAGGGATGTTTGTTTAAAGATAAATAAAAACTGAGCTTAATTGCTAATGAAGTGCTCAAAAATGATAATAATAAGACTCCAGATCTTGGGAAGGACCAGGAGATGCAAGATGTATCGAAAGATGTAGCAGATGAGAGTGAAGAAGATGAATATGAGAGCGATTCTGTAAATTTTATTGTATGCTTGAAATGTTGCTTGATATAGTGCTAGGACATTGAGTTTGTGATAGAAACAAAGCCTGGACAGAGGGCAGAGCCACTTAGGTATTTAACACTGTTTTTTAGGTTGAAAAGATGCTCATATGTATTTTAGTCGTCCAGCTCCGTATAGTGGTGTTAGAGTTTCTGCACCAATAAAAGGTGCAGACAAAGTACATTTGTCTACACAGAAGACTGGTATGATTCTTTTATGCAGAAATTGTCTTTGTTGAAAAAGATGTTTTTAGAGCCATCGGCACCAAAGCCTTCGGGGGTGGATGTGTATCATGTTGCAGAATGGAATGGTAAATCATTGTTTCAGTTGGATATGGATTCTATAGAAGATAAGCCATGGAATAAGCCTGGTATTTTGTAATAGAATTTTTTGTGTTTGTTTATGGATTATTTAGGAGCCGATATTACAGATTACTTTAATTATGGATTTGATGAATTTACTTGGATGGCGTATTGTGCAAAACAGATAGGGATTCGTGAAGAGTTTGCTCCCCAGAAATTTATGCAAATGATGGGGCAGATGTCTGGAGCAGATATTATGTCAATGGCTCCCAACATGCAAGTTATGATGGCAGCAGGTGGGTTTCCAGGGATGCAAGGTATCTCAGGAATGCACCCTGATATGATGCCTATGATGGGAATGGGGATGTCTGATATGAGTGGTTTTGTTATGAATATGGGTCAAATGGGTCAGATGGGATTTCAACAATTTCCTCCGGGGTTGAATACGATGATGTCAGATTCTCAGTCAGGACAGTCCGTTCAAGGAAAACAAATGCCATACATGCATACTCCGTACAATATGCAATCTTATGGAGGATATAATCAAATGCAGTCTCAATATAATCTACAAATGCAAGGATCTAAACCAACTCCTTCTGGACCAAAGGCACATAATGTTGATGGGTATGTATTTGTTTGTTTTACTCTATATCCTTACGTTTGTTTTAATATTTAGTGTTAAAGCTTTATCAAATGAGCGAACTGCATCTCCTGGGAATCATAAACAGGTATTTATAGATTGATGCTTTTGTAATTTTTGATTATCTTTAGGAACTTGTTTCTGGGTCATCAAAAGACTCACATGAAACTACTGAGCATATTTCTAGCAATTCTCAAAGCCGAAGCTCTGGAAGGTCTAGTGTACAACATCGAAGTAAATCATCATCTAGTAGTGGAAAATCCCGTTCGAATCATTAATTATGTTTTGTATTAAACTTCAATAATTACGTTTTAATCGTATTTGACATTGTTGTTTTTTCTTGTATTAATTCTTTTTCGAATGAATCATGCTTGGATTGATTTTACTGAGTCTGTCTTTATCAAAAGTAAAATTTTATAAATTTATATATTCAGTTTAAAATATTTAAAATACGTAACTTACTATATTTTAGTACATGATTTTGTTTTGGTGTTGATTAATCATTTTCTTGTAGTAATATTTTTCTTGTCTTAAACATTAAATGGATTTTCTTTTTGTGAATATTTTCTTAATATTTTGTTCAAGATTGTTTAAAAGATAATAACGTTGTCTTTGAATGTCATATCTTTAGGCTGTATCTTTAACTTGGCATTTGTATTAGACACTATAGATGGTGTACTGCTTTTTTAACGATTGCTGTAAGGTTATACTAAGAAATGGTGCTATTATTATTATTATTTTAAGATATTGATTTTATATCTAACTATAATTTAATTATATTTGAGTTTTTTTTTTTTTTATTTTTTGAAATATTTATTTTAGTCATAGTTAAATAGTAGTTTTTAGAATAGTTTATTCGAATATATGTTTTTTTTATTTTGATGATTTTTTTTGAACTTTAATTAGGTTTAATTTGATATTTGTATAAGCTTATCGATCATTTTAAAAAAAGTATAATACTTTAATTTAGGTTTTTGATGGATAAATAATTGATTATTCAGCCTATTTTATGAATGCAATTTTGATTGAGAATGTCTTTTATGTCTTTATTATTACTATTATATGAATTATGGCGGTTTTATCGTATATTTATTGTTTTCATTTTGATTTTGGTTTATACTTTATATATTTTTATTAGCTATTTTCCACAAACATTTTTAAGAACTAAGAAATTACAATTTAAGTCTAATATTTTAGAGAAAAATGATATTTTGTGTTCAAAAGAAACTAAAAATGATACTGACGATCAAGTTTTAAAATATGAGAAAATAAAGACATTAAAACGATTTATTATATCTCCTGAAAGGCGTAGAAAGATAACTAGTTCTTTGAAATATGAGTCTATGAAGGCTTTTGAGAATAATACCCAGGGAATGACTGATATCGTTATTGACGTTTATGTAACTATATTATATCAAACATTGATGGGATCGACAGAGAAATATGCGAAATTATTATATGATATGATTTTTCCTTACTTTGAGAAGCAAGTGTCTCTTGAAAATATTGATTTTGTTGAAGATCTTGACGATTATTTTGTATCACCAAAGAATTCTCAGTCACATATATTTATTCTTGTTATTCCTTCATATGAAACAGATTCTCCTGTTGATATGCTTATTTCAATGCTGAAAGACACACTTCATGATTTTAGGTTGGGTGCTTTCCCTTTAAGAGATTTAAAGGGATATGCAGTTTTAGGTTTAGGTGATCAAGAAAATTGGCCACAACAAAAATTTTGCTACCAGGCTAAAGAGATAGATCGATATCTTTCGAAATTAGGTGCAAGGAGGATAGTACCTATATGTTGTGGGGATGTTAAAGGCAATATAGTTAATGATATTCAAGTTTGGGCTAATAAAGTTGTAAATGTGATAAAAAATAGGACAATACCAGAATTGATTTCAGACATTTCTGAAGAAAGTGATAATGATGCATTTGAAGATAATCAAGACTCTGTTGTTGATATGGAAGATATAGGAATGTTGATGAAAGTAAAAAAAAATGATTCTGAAGAGCTTACTATTAAAGAAATGGTTGCAAAGGATTCACCAACATATAAAGCATTAGTTAAGCAAGGATATACTATTGTCGGTTCACATTCTGGCGTTAAAGTAATTATTACATAAATTTGGTTATTTTTGGTTTAAAAATAATTAGATTTGTCGATGGACTAAATCTGCTCTTCGAGGAAGAGGATCATGCTATAAGTTTTCTTTTTATGGTATTAAGAGTCATTTATGTATGGAAATCACACCATCTTTGGCATGTGCAAATAAGTATTTTTATGTGTATTTGGTATTTCCTTGTTTTTTAATTAAGATAGATGTGTATTTTGCTGGAGAGGACATACGAATCCTGTATTTTCCCGCTTTTAGAATATTATTTTTTTCTTACGTTAGTAGGTAGGGACGTCTTGGAGATGGAAAACGGATAAACCTGAAGATATTCTTGCCGGCGTAATGGCAGGACATCATGATAAAATTAAACAGGTAGAAATTTTAAAAATATTCTTGCGGTTTTAAAAAACCATTGAAGATGAAAGGAATTCCTGGAATTCAATTACAAAGATTACAAGAAGCTATGCGTATTCGACATTGTGCTCTTAGTCTTGTTGGTGAGCCAATAACATGTATGTTTTTTACTGCAAGTGATATTGATATGTTCTTAATTTTACATAGACCCATATATTAATGAACTTATTAAAATGCTCCACGATAGAAAGATTAGTACATTTTTAGTTACTAATGCTCAGCACCCGGATGCTTTAGAAAATATAGAACAGGTTACTCAGCTGTATGTTTTTTGAATTCTTATTATTCGGATGTTAATCTCTAAAGTTATGTTTCAATAGATGCTAGTACAAAAGATTCATTAAAAAAAATTGATCGCCCTTTATTTAAAGTTGTTGATAAATTATATTTAAATTTTAACTAAATAAAATAGGATTTTTGGGAAAGATTTCTTTCTTGTTTAGAAATTTTGGGTCGAAAACAACTAAGAACTGTTTATCGGCTTACCTTGGTTAAACAGTTTAATACCCAAGAAATAGAGGAATATGCAAATCTTGTGTTCATTGCAAAACCGTGTTTTATTGAAGTTAAAGGTATTTTTTATAATATTTTTCATTGATGTATATTTATTCTTGTAGGTGTGACTTATTGTGGAAATACTGACTCTTCTCCATTAACAATGCAAAATGTTCCTTTCCACGAAGAAGTTGTTAATTTTTCGAAAGCTTTAACACAAAAAATATCAGAAATTGATAATATGCCTGAATATAGGATTGCTACTGAACATGTTCATTCATGCTGTGTATTAATTGCACAAAAGAGGTTTTATATAAATGACAAATGGTATACTCATATAAATTATGACCGTTTTTTTGAATTAGTTGAATCAAAAATGCCGTTTTCTGTTATGGATTATATTTCGGGTAAATACATTTTTATATCATAGAAATATTTTAATATAAAATAGAAACTCCAAGTTGGGCGTATTTCAATTCAGTCCATGGAGGATTTAATCCTGAAGATACTCGTTGGAGAAGAAAAGGTGCTAAACCCATTGATTTGAAAAAAGATATGGAATAATAAAATGTCGTTAAATATTATGATCTTAGACAATTTGAAAGTTTTAATGTTTTTTTTGTTTATATAATTTTTAAAAAGTCGTATGATTATACATTAAATTATATTTTTTCCAGAAATTAGCATATGTATAGGTAGTTTCGAATTAAAACTCCCAGACTTGACTTCGATTCGAAATTCCGTCAAATATATAGGTGTTATTGATTGGGGTGTATTGTTTAACAATAATCTATTTTATGTTATTTGAATTGTAAATATTTTTTTATTTATTCCTTAATTACTTCTTGGGCTGCTATTCCTCCTATAAAAGATATAATATTATTTAGTTCACCACCTCTTGTTTTTATTCTGTAAATTTAGAAGCAAATTAATATATAGTTTTATACTAACAATTCTTTGCATGCTATTATTTGAAAATCTGTTATGTTGCAGTCAAATTTTGAAAGAAATTGTTTTGTTAGTTGAATATATCGATCCGTATCTTCATTTAGGGTAGCTTCTTCTGAACCTACGTATTTTCCAAAAGCACTTCTATATTTATTATAACTTCGAAGAGCAATGTACCATGCTATGAGATCATTTGGTGTTGAAAAAGATGTTTCTAAAAAAAATTAATTTAACTTATATGTTTCACTTATATACTAATTAGTTCTGAATTTGGATATTTATATTCCAGCTCTAATGAACGATAACGTAATAATTTAATATATTTAAATTGTTTACAAAAAAGTTTTATTTTTTCGTTTGATATTTTTGATACTGGTTGATTTATTGACACAAGTATGCTTTGAACATGTTTCCGAACACACTCATAGTCTTTTTTTGCCTTTTGGTGATATCTATATGTATTAATTAATTTAGAAATAAGATATTTTTTATACGTATTTTGTAATTTTATATAAGTTTCTGAATCTGATTTCATATCTGGAAGTATACCAGAAAGAGGTAATAAGCCATTTCCTTCTGATGATATATAGTCAGAAACGGCACGACATAATATCCAAAACTCTGAACTCTGTTGAATAGGTTTCATATTAGATCTTTTATATAATGGATAGGAATTTACTTCAGGAGATATGCAAAGGCATTTATTATCTTTTAATATATATTGAATGTCATCCGGGATCTGATATATTAAACATATATATAAATTATTAATTGGATTTTACTGATGTCGTATATGAGGCTTTCCAAGCCATAGATAGTACTTCCTTAATTCTTTCTTCGTCAAATTCATGCATATATGATCTTATTATTTGCTTAAAGTGCTCTTTTTCTTCATATGTATGAGGAAGTGTTTTAGAGTTCTAAAGATTAAAAAATATTTACTAAATGTTTTTGATTTACCTTTAACTTCCATATACTAATACAATTTAATAAAATTAACACATAAGGTATTTGTATATAAGAATTGTCTTTAATGTTTTTTAACTCAAAATTTGATGCTAGTGCTTTAAGCTCAGGCCACGGACAATCAATTCTCAAATCTTCAAGGTTACCATGATGTGTTTCTATAACTTTTTTATTTAAATGACTATCTTTTATTTAAAAACAAGAAAATATACCAGTGTGCTCCGGCATAGTGATTCTAATGTATCCAATAAACCCTATAGAATATGCAATAATTAAAGGAATTTTAAATTCCCATAAAATCTTCTCTAGTTTTAAAAGGAGCGTATCACTAAGTGTTGATGTGATTACAATATTAAACTGTTTGAAAAAGCCTGGATTATGTTCCAAAATTGATTCCACTGTCTATAAATGGTGAACAACATTTGTCATTCACATATTTTTCATCTACATTGATTAAATATTCGCCTTTAACATCTTCATTTAGCTCTTGTAGAAATTCACACATCTGTTGTGCTTTGGTTTCATTTATACGGTTTGCATCAAGAAAAAATGTTGTTTTTGCATCTTTTTCTGTAACAAAAGCATTATCAACAATCACATATGATCCAATTCCTTATTTATGATATTAAAGCGTTCTAAGAAGCAATTTTTTTAATTTACCTGGTAAAATGAGATTTTTTAATATTTCTGCCCCAATTGCACTTCCTTGAAGTAAACAAACACGAGATTTTTCAAGCAACAACTGTCCATGTGTTCCCCAAATACGTATTTGCCTGTCATATTTATTTTCTTCTGAATTCATTGTTAATCTAGGTGATTTTGTTAATATGTTTTTTATGATGTTAATATTTTATTTCGTAAGCTTTTTAACGACGTTAAAAAATACAAGTGTTTGTAACGGATATATAAAGAATTGATGAGTCGTTCTTCTACAAAAAATATTCTTTTGAAGCTTATTGTTCCTTCTGGATCAGCAACTCCTCAGCCACCTGTTGGTCCAGCGCTGGGTGCACGTGTTTGTATTCTTTTTTTTTGTTGAAACTTTGATGATTGTTTTTAGGGCGTAAAATCAATTGATTTTTGTAAGAAATTTAATGAGTTGACGGCTAATCTTATCCCTGGTGTTCCTATTCCAGTAGTTATTTCAATTCGTCCTGGTATGGTGCTTTTGATGGATTTATTTTGAGAAGATTAATAGTATTTTAAGATCGAAGCTTTACATTTGAAATAAAGTCTCCACCAACAAGCTGGTTGCTTTTTAAGGCAGCTAAAGTTGATAAAGGATCATCTACTCCTGGTAAAGCAGTTGTTGGTACTCTCTCTTTGAAACATATTTATGAGATTGCAAAAATTAAACATAAAGTATTTCAGAATTGTTATTTTTAGTTCTCTAATGTTTATTAGGATGAAAATATTCAAGGGATTCCTCTTGAAAGTGTTTGTAGGAGTGGTAGGTTTTTTTTTTGTTTTGCTTCATATAATGATGAAACAAGTTATTGCAAGTGCAAAAAGTGTTGGTATTAAGGTTGTTCCGTGAAACGACTTATTTTTTAAGATATATATGATTTATGTTTTATTTAAAATTGGAACCAGTTAACATTTAATCTTAAATGATTCTTTATTTTGTAATTCAATGGTATTTTTTATTTATAGCAGTTTTGTTTGTATAGGGGTTTGTTGTTGTCAAAAGATTTAAAGAAATTGTTTTTTGGTTTTCTTAGGACTTGTTTTTTTGATTTTAGATTAGAATTATCTATAAATGTTTACTGGTAAATTAATTATCTTGAGAATGACTTAGAATGGTTTTAAAAAGCTTTAGTATATTGAGATGTTTTTTCATGGTATGAATATTTTGTTTTATGAGCTAATTGTATTTTTTATTCTGATATTTTTAAAGATTTAGCGTATTTATATTAATTATTTTCTACTAATAGGTTTTAATTGAGTTGACAATATCTCTTGGGGTTTTCTGATTATTATTTCTAATTATTACTAATTTTATGTCAAATGGAAGTAATCTCAAAAACATGATTTTGATGTATTTCTTATTCATAATTAAATGATTTTCGAAATGTTTTTAAATTTTATTTACTGAAAATAATAGTTTATAATAATGTTAAGTAATTTTTTATGATTCTACTTTTTATGTTTAATCTTCTTTATATATTTATATTTTTTGATTTCATACTTTATTTTAAAAATTTGGTTTATTTTTTATAGCAATAATGTTTTAGGATATTTTTATATTTTTTGATGAAATTTTTTTTAAAGTCTTAAAATATTGATTTCTAAAATATTTAATGTTTTATTTTTTCTTTAAATTTCGATTTGTTTAAATTATTTATGCTACTGTTAAACTGATTATTTTATATTGCTTTTAAATTAATGAATATTTTTATATTAAATTTTCTATATTAATCTCTTGTTTTTTATTATTTTTGAACTTTTTTTAATTTATATATTTTTTTATTATTTTGAATTTTAAAGTTTGTTTTGTCTCTATTAATTTCTGTAAATTATTTTTATATTCTATTTACTCTATGATTTATCAAAATAGATAAAGTATAATTACTAAGTGTATATTTTTAGGTTTCTTGGTCTATCGTTTTTCAACGTAAAAAATACAAAAAAAACTAAAATATCTTAACTTATGAGAGAGACTTTGTTAATATTTATGTTTGATTTCATTTTTTTAGATTTTTTCATAGGTATGTTTTTTTTCAATTGTTAAAAACTGCTAAATATGATTGTTTTTTCAGAATTATAATAATATATTTATGTAAATACTTTAAATATGAGAAAACAAGTAGAATATCCACAAAAAAATTGTTCTACGGAGAAAGATACAGATAATGTGTCTTTTTTGGCAGATAAGATGGATGCTTGTAGGCTTGGGTCGTTTTCTGTTCCTTCAAGCAGAGTTGATATAAATGTTTTTAAGTGATATTTTCCTTATAAAGATTTAGGTTCCATCGCCTAAGTTTTTTCTGGATGGATCTTCCCAATATTCTTCAGGTTTTACAAGCGTTTCTCGTATTCCTACTGTAGGAGAGAGTTTAAAAGCGCCTTTGTCTATAGTTCAGAGTCATCCAGATATACATTTGTCCAAAGCGGTTTTTTCAAATGGTGAACGAACAGGACGTCGTATTTATGGTTTTGGTCATTATTTTAAAAGGTCAAAGAACTTAGCAGGTATTTCTTCGTTTTTTTTTAAACGGTCATCATCAGCACATGCAAATCATTCATTATCTAATGTCTCAACAAAAAGTCTTTCAAAAGACGAGGAAGAAGGGAAAATATGTAATGAGAAAGCATCTTATACTTCGCATAGTTTGTTGGATTTGAAGCATTTTTTTAAATTTCATCATCATGATCGTTCACATGCAAATTCATCAGATTCTCTTCATCAGAAAAAGTGTTCGTTGCTTAGGCTGAAGTCTCGGAAGCTTGAAAATTCTTTCAAAGATGGTTATGCTGCTCTTTCTCATAAATACGAGAAATATGGGAAACCTATTGGTTCGGGAACTGGTGGTTCAGTTCGGCTTTTGACTGCTTGTGATGGAACAGTCTATGCTGTTAAAGAGTTTCGTCAGCGTGCACCCTATGAAACAGGTAGGGAATATAGAAAGAAGGTTTCTGCAGAATTTTGTGTTGGTGCTGCATTACATCACCCAAATATAATTCGAACTTTGGATTTTGTGGCAGATGGGTCAAAATATTATGAGATTATGGAGTATGTTCCATATGATATGGTATTATGTGAGAACTTTTTGGGTAAAATTTGATTTTGTATAGTTTTCTATTGTGATGTCGGGTAAAATGTCGCGTGAAGAAATATATTGCTGCACTAAACAAATATTACAAGCAGTAGATTATATACATAGCTTGGGGCTTGCTCATAGGGATTTAAAACTTGATAATTTAATGATGAGTGAGAATGGGATTGTGAAGTTAATTGATTTTGGGAGTGCTACTGTATTCCGATATCCTTCTGAAAATTTTGTTAAAGCATCTGGTATTGTTGGTTCTGATCCTTATTTAGCGTATGTTTTTATCTTTGGATATTTATTTATATTTATTTTTTTAGACCTGAAGTGTGTACTGAAGAATATTATAATCCTCAGCCTGTGGATATATGGTCAGTTGCGATTATATTTTGTTGCATGATTTTATGTCGATTTCCGTGGAAAGTGCCGCGTATGTCTGATAGTTCATTTAGAGAATTCGCTATGGGAAGAGTAGAGAGTGAAAATAATGAACTTGATTATCTTATGTCTGCTCCTACTGTTATGTTAGGTGAACCTTCTTTGTCTAATGTTCGTGGTTCTTGGCGTCTTTTAAGATTACTTCCTCGAGAAACACGTTCTACTATTCAAGGAATGTTAGAAATTGATTCAAAATATCGTTGGACTATGGAACAAATTACACAGCAATCATGGATTAAACATATAGAAATGTGCCATGTAGATAGTAATGGTGGTATTATAAAAGCAAAAAACCATATTCATACTTTGGTATTAGAAAAAGTGAATTGATGTTTTTAAAAAATTATCTTTAAAAAATAGAAAAAAAGCACTGCATTTTGCATATGTTTATTAGGAGTTATGATAATATAGGGTATGTCATAGTTTTTGTAGTTAGTATTATTTAGGAGATATATAAATTTAAGTATTGTTAATTGTGGAGTTTGAATGCATGTTTTGAAATACTGGATTCATGGAACGATTTATAATGATGTATATTATAAATTATACAGGTTGAGAATAAATTATTAATGTGGTTAAAAATGAATTTATCAAAATGTTTTTAATTAATGCCAATAACTGGTTCTGTTGATGGTTTCCCAAGAAGAGCAAAGTGTACAATTTCTAAAAGATTAGTTTAAAAGAAAAAATATGATAAATATTACCTGAAACATGTGTTTCTGGACCAAAAACCTTTAGAGGTAAAGAGAGCTCCTCTCCTGCTGCTTTAATTGCTCGCAAACCTTCTTGATAGTTGGGGCCAGCGCGCCGGACCCATATTTGTACCTTATGTGCATGAAAAGCAGATGCGTAATCACGCATAGCACGAATTACACCTTTGAATGTATTGCTAACATTTGTAACTAATTCTATGGTTAGTTGCTTTTTAACTTATAGTTTTTAAGAAAGAATCTTACAATTTGCAATACCTCCACCAATGAATAAATATTTTCCATCAGGATGTAAAGGGCCGCGAGTCATAAGATCAAAAATTGTGCGTGCATATTCATATGTTTGAGTTTCCGTCGGCGCACCACTATATTCTCCATAGTTTGCTAGTTCAGATGCATATCCTGCAACTGAAATTGCATCTGCGTATATAACGCTTGCGCCTCCTCCTGCAATTAGCGTCCATATACGTCCTGAAGGGTTTAGCAATGTTAGTTTAAGTGATGAGCCCGTCTTTGAGTCAAGTTTTGCAATATATTGCTCTTCCTTTGTTAATGTTCGCCCAAAAGGTGCTGGAAATACAATAGGTGGTCCCGAATCTACATTAACAGTGTTTTGTGGCTGCAATACTGCGCCTATCAATGCATGAGGAGCTCTTGCTGCTGCCCATTTGGCTCCTGCTTCAAATTCTGCTGTTTGATCCAATTTTGCTGCCACATCTAGATAATATATTTCTATGTTTTTTTCTGTATTTTGCATTACGACAAGTGGGTTGATTTCAAGATATGTAAAATGACATATAACAAAGACTGTGTATAGTCGAACAATGAACCGTGTTAAGACATCATGTAGTTCTAATGGAACTTTTTTTAATAGTGCTGTTGCTAGTGTTTCACGTGTTGGGAATTCAGATAAATCAATAGGCGCCAACCACCGTTCTGCTTTGCTATCTACATCGCCTATATCCACACCGCCTTCATGTGTAAATTGGATCCAGTCACCCTATTAAGAAACATTAGTTGATACCCTTAAAAAAGTTTAAAAATAATGCAGCATAGTAGAAATGTAAAATGTCTAGATACGCTATAGAAATGCAATTATGCTATAAAAGTATAGAATTGATTCAAGAATACGATAGTGTAATTGCAATATACTAAATGCATTGTATATATAGTATAGCGCAAAAGTACAGCACAACGTTATATTGCATACAAGTCCAGTGTCCTAGAAATTTTTCTGTGTAAAAATTATACATAAAAAGTGATGTAGTATTATAGAACACTTTTGTACTCGTAAAAGTATTGAATGTTTTTTGTTATTCAAAGAAAAATAACGTTTTTTGAAAACTTTAATATATCATAGAATATCATAGAAATATGAAAATAATAAAAAATTAAAGTTTTATAATGCTGTAAAATTTTATACTGTATCTTGCTGTTTTATAGCTGCTTTATCACTCATATATCCTACCTCTCGTTCTGAAACAATGCTAATATAAAACTCTGTATTAGGTGGATGTGGTACAAATGGTTCGCAAAGAAATGTATGTAATGCATCTGTAACACGTTCAACTGTCTGTTTTTTGCCTGCATGTTTTTTTATCCATTGCTTTACTTCATCCCAATTATAGTTGATTCCAATAAGTCCAAGTTTTCCTCTCCGCTTAATAAGCTGATCTGGTTTTATAACGAGCTGTTTAGAGAGTACCCACGGGTAAGTTGTTTCTGTTTTATTCAAAATATGGACTATATGCGTTGTTTTATCTGCTATATTTTCTATTTTATCACTTGTATGCGCTGTATATGCTCCACAACTTGTGTTTTCTTGGTCCTCCAGAGTACAGATTGGTGCAAGCGGTTGTGCTTGTGCTTCCGGTACTGGTGAATCACAGGATAATAGTGGTGTTGCATGTTTCAGCCAAAATGCTAGTATTGCCTTTGCATCAAATTCTGCGATCGCTTTGGCTGACATTTGTATACTGTGATATTGTCTTCGGGATTTACGATAGATTATTCCTGTATGCACGATTTTGATGTATAGTAGATAAGAATATTAAAAATATATTAATATATTGAAAATAGTGGATATATGCCTTATATTTTTTATTTTTAATAGAAAATAAGAGGATATATGCGCATGAAAATGCGTTTATATGTTTAAGTTTTGAGTGTATTGCAGAAACATTGACTTCGGCGGGATATGGTTTTTTATGGATAGAAATGACACTCAAGAGATATATTGAAGGGCTTCTATGTATTGAAGATTTTTTAGATGAATTAGATGATATATATGTGCAGTATATGCGTATTGTATGCGCGTTGTATGCTTTTGAATAAATAGATAGTTTATTTGTCAATACCTCCACCTGAATTTGTATATCTGAGGATGTATTGAAATATATATACAAAAACAAGTGCTATAAAGCATAGGTTTCTGTATTTTTCTGTATTTATTTTATATCTATTTATCTGTCCTAATTGTAAATACAGTTGGTTCCGAGCGATGTCTGGATTATAAATGTATATATGGCTATAGACTCTATATACGCATTTTTGATTGTAAAATGTGTTTTTGATGCTTATTTCTTTCAGAATATGCTGTTTAAGTCTGCTTTCTTTCTTCATCAAGACTGTAATAGAAAATAATTACATAATCTTTCTCGAGTGAGTTGCCATGGCAACCTATATACGAGCCTGCGAACAGTAAAAAATTAGGCTGATAACAATGGTCTCTGCTAATGACAATATTTACCGTGCACCAGCAAGCAGTATTCAGAGTGACGTAGAAGAGCTGTTCACGCATGATACTCGTGCATTTGTCTATGGGATGCAGCCGAAGGCGGTGCAAGGAATGCTTGTATGTTTTTTTTCCGGAGAAAATTGATATTAATGTGTTTTCAGGACTTTGATTTTATTTGTGGAAGAAAAACGCCATCAGTAGCAGCGATTATTTATACATTTGGAGGACAGTTTGTTTCAAAGATGTATTGGGGGTTAGGAAGTGTTTTTTGCTAGAATTTTGGCTTAATTTTTACTAGAACGAAAGAAACCTTGCTTCCTGTTTATCAGTCTACATCAGATGCTATTGGAAAGCATCCAGATGCAACAGTTGTTGTTAGTTTTGCATCAAGTCGTTCTGCATATTCTAGTACAATGGAGCTTCTTAGATATTCACAGATCAAAGTATGTTATGTTTGTGTTGTTTCTGTGGCTTATTTTTAGACTATTGTTATTGTTGCAGAAGGGGTTCCTGAGAGGCATTCACGGGAGATTCTTCATAAGGCAAAAGAACGAGGGGTTATTATTATTGGGCCAGCGTATGTTTACTCTTTTTTGATATAATGACTTAGTTCTTTTAGTACAGTTGGCGGGATTAAAGCAGGGTGTTTTAAGCTTGGGAATACTGGTGGGATGATGGATAATATCGTTTCGTCTAAACTTTATCGTCCAGGGTCAGTAGGATATGTGTCTAAATCTGGGGGTATGTCTAATGAGCTAAATAATATTATTTCCAATGTCACGGATGGTGTTTACGAGGGTATTGCTATTGGTGGGGATCGTTATCCAGGGACTACATATTTGGATCATCTTTTGCGTTATGAAGCTGATCCTAAATGTAAAATACTTCTTCTTCTTGGTGAAGTGGGTGGTATTGAAGAATATCATGTGATTAAAGCTGTTGAAGCCGGATTAATTAAGAAGCCGTTGGTTGCATGGTGTATTGGCACGTGTGCATCTATGTTTAATGTTGAAATACAATTTGGTCATGCTGGATCGTTTGCTAATTCTAGTCGTGAAACAGCTTTTGCTAAAAATTCTGCAATGCGTGAGGCAGGGATTTATGTTCCAGATACTTTTGAAGATCTTCCTCAATTACTTAAAACAGTTTATGATGATCTTCTTAATAAAGGTGTTATTCTTAAAAAAAAAGAGCCTATGGTTCCTAAAATACCTATGGACTATTCTTGGGCTCAAGAGCTTGGTCTTATTAGAAAACCTGCTGCTTTTATTTCAACTATTTCGGATGACCGAGGGCAAGAGCTTCTTTATGCTGGTATGCCTATATCGGATGTTTTTAAAGAAGATATTGGTATTGGCGGTGTCATGAGTCTTCTTTGGTTCAGAAGAAGGCTTCCTTCATATGCTTCTAAATTTCTTGAGATGGTTCTTATGCTTACAGCGGATCATGTATGTTTTTGTTTTTTGTTATTTATTTACCTTTTTAGGGTCCAGCTGTTTCTGGTGCTATGAATACCATTATTACAACTCGTGCTGGGAAGGACCTTGTGTCATCTCTTGTTTCCGGACTTTTGACTATTGGTACTCGATTTGGAGGTGCATTAGATAGTGCAGCTGAAGAATTTACTAAGGCTATGGATAAGGGACTTTCTCCTAGAGAGTTTGTTGATAGTATGAGAAAACAGAATAAATTAAGTATTTTAATTATATATTATATATTTTTCCCATTTTGACTTCTTTTAGTACCTGGAATTGGTCATAAAGTTAAATCTCTAAATAATCCTGACCTTCGTGTACAAATCGTTAAAGATTACGCTAAGAAAAATTTCCCTTCTACTAAGCTTTTGGATTATGCGCTAGTTGTTGAGAGTATAACTACTTCGAAAAAAGATAATCTTATTTTAAATGGTAAATGTTAATCTTTTTTGTTGGTTTATTAATTTTTCTAAGTTGATGGATGCATTGCTGTGTGTTTTGTTGATTTGTTAAGGAATTGTGGTGCGTTTACTACTGAAGAGGTTGAAGATTATTTGAAGGTATATTTTTATTGTTTATATAATGGTCTTGGAACTTATTTGTATTTTTAGATGGGTGTTCTTAACGGGCTTTTTGTATTAGGAAGAAGCATTGGACTTATTGGGCATTTCTTGGATCAAAAAAGGCTTCGTACTGGCTTATATAGGCATCCTTGGGATGACTTTTTGTATTTAGGACTAGATAAAGAAGTGCCAGGTGCAACTAAGCGGGCACTTGTTTAATGTATATGGATGTTTAAAGAAATGGGAAAAAGTGAATTAGTGCTATGTTTAAGTTAGATATAAGTTATTTTAAATAATATTTTGGCTATTTATCATTAAATAATATTTGATTATTTATTGCTGCGTAAATGTTAATTTTGAAAGGATATTGAATAACCTCCTGTTTGAGGATCTTTAGTGACTTTGAAATTATCCGTTGAGAGGCCGAATTTCCCAAGAATACTATTACCTAAGGTTTTTAATTGATTGAGCATTTGTGCTTTTTCTTTTTCTTGTGCTTCTGATAGTTTTGGTTTGAGTCTTGATATAGACTCTTTAACTGATTCTAAAATAGGCGATGTTTCTGGAAGGTCTTTTTCTATGCTTTCATAATCTTTTTGTTCGTTAATTGATGCTGATTCTAATAGCAATATTTTACCGAGTAATGCTGCATTAAGTGAACTCCATGTAGCAATTTTTTCATTTGCTTGTGCTCTTCTATGCATTGCCTTAACATAGGAAGGATCTTCTTTCAGTGCTTTAAATTCTTAACTTAGTGTTTCTTAAAAATCTGATTTATTTACCTTGAGTACACGCGTCTACTGCTTGATCCCACAATTCCTAAAAAAATTCAATAAAGTTTGAAAAAGGACTTTAAACAAAACTTTTTGGATATAACAAGCTGCTATATTTGCATGGTATATGGCTCTTTGACTTTTTGCGTTTGGTGATGATATATCTAGTGCTTTTTGATAAGATGCAACTGCGGCATCAAAAAATGCTTGACGAAACATTCTGTTTCCATTTAATTTGTGTTCTTCTGCAATTTCTGTATTTCTCTAATGTTATTCAATACTAATAACTTTTTAGATGTATTTTTTTACTTCTTCATTTTCTAATAGATCATTATCTTCTATACGCTCATTTTCTGCGGTATTTTTGATTTTTTTTTCGGAATTCTTATTAAAACTATCTGTTTCATTCAAAATATCTTGTTTCCCTCTACTAATATTCTCTTTTTCTGCTTCCTTATCTTCCATCTACTATAGAAATAAATTCTGAGGTCGTTGCTAGGCTATTTTTTAGAACGTACTTGTCTAGACAACAAAACAACCGACTGTGAACCGTTAAAAAGATTAATATTGAGTTTTCTATGCAAAATACACTTTGTATAGAAAAAACAGGCAGCTTTTTGACTTTTTCTGACTCGGATGGAACCATTTGAATGGTTCAGATATTTGGGATTGCTTATTTGTCTGCTTCAACTATGATTTTTCGGCGATTACCGAACTACTTTCACTATGGAGGCGAACGTCTGATAGATTCTAATCTTCGGAGTAAATTTGAGGTTTGGATTGGGATTTGGGTTTCACCGTTTATATTTCTTGCATTTATTATGGTTGAAAACATATTGTTTCTTATTTAATCTAATGAAATACAATAGGCGATTGTTTTGAACCGATGTATTGTATATGCTTCTGTGAGAAGGTATTTATTGATCCAGTGATTTTATTTTTCTTATGTGTATATAGGCCTGTTTATTTGAATTTTTGGAAACGCTTGTTGTTGCGGTTTATGCCAATTATTTTGCTATCCAAAGCATCATGGTCATTACTTTCGTATATTAAGTTTAAAAATGATCCGATTGCGAGATATATTCCTAGATTTATTGTTCCATATGAAACTCCATATATTCTTTGGTCTACATATAAAATTATATGTTTTGTATGTGTATTCAGAAATGCATAGTAATTTGTTTATTGTTTTTAGGTGACATTTATGAATACATTGATTGCATCACTACAGATGCGTCTTCCTTTGAATGATCATGGAATGACTATTTTTGAATATGCGTAAATGTTTTGTTGGTTAATTTTGAAAATACTTATTTGCTAATAGCGTTTCCTTTACTGAACTTAACTTTTCTACGCCATCTACGGAAATGATTTTTATCACCTTTTTGTCAGTCTTTGGAATTCTATTGACACAGTTTCTATGTCTTTTCAATATTGAACGTTTTAAAGTAATTTAAAATAATTCGATTATATTATTTTAACCATTAATAGTTGATCTCTTCAACCATTATAGGTTGTAGTTTTTTATCTTATTTTTCATGGAGTATTTATAATGGTCGAGGTTTATATTTTTCCACAAGTAAAGATCTTTTATTGTTTTTTCCAACTAAATAAAATAGCTGTTTGTGTATCATTTATACCTCATTTAATTACTATTTTTGTTATCGTTGTTTCTTTAATGATATCTCTGATAGTGCGGTTGATTGTTAACCATTCATCTAATTTAAGAACTGATATTTTTAATGGGACAATTTTTGTTGGGAATAATCTTGGTCTTGATATGAGCGATGATTTTTTCGGTTTGCTTTTGAAATTTGGGATGATAGCTCTTACTTCTGCACAAGAAGCTGTTTTTCTTAATGAAGTAGAGGAGATTAAACTTGTTGAAAAAACATGGATAGAAGAATCCGATGAATATTTAACAAATGTTAATGGATTTTCGAAAGAACGAAAGAATGTTGAATATAAAAATGGGAAACAAAAAGACACTAATAGGTATCGTGTTTCAAGGTGGCAGCCTACTATTATGCTTTTAACAAAAACTATTTTAACTATAAAGGCATTAGTTCTCTGGATTATCCTTGTTTTAAAAAAGGGAAAGATACCTTTCTATGAAGAACATAATCAAGATAATCAAGATAGTACTTTTCTTTATGATAGATTTATTCGAGGGTACGAAATATCAGAGAATGAAAGTGATGATTCTGATTTTATACCATCTCCTTCAATTCATAGTAGTGATGATATTGATTGGAAAAATAATGAAAATATAGAGACATGTTCACAAGAGAGTTCGAGTGATGATAATGGGGAAAATTTTTATGCAGAAAAGACATTTTCTGAGTTATTTCCGAGTTTACGAAGTTTAGCACCCTTTATTTCGCCTGAACATGAAGAGTCTCGTATTTTGCAATCACATATGACATCACATATGGTAGTTACAAGATCAAAATATCGTGAAATTTTGCATTCTAAACACGGATCTGACGATATAAAAAGGCTTTTAGAAACAATAAAGGATCGTAGACAAGCTATGATGGAATTGATGAACAGCTCAAAGGATAAAAATATACTTCAAACAAGAACATGTGTAATATGTTGTTGTAGTACAAGGAATATTGTTTTATGGCCATGTCGTTGTTTGGCTTTGTGTGATGATTGTCGAAAAACATTAGCAATGCGTAATTTTAAAGGTATTGAATTATAACTGTTTAATAAAATTCTTACTTTTATAGAATGTCCTTGTTGTAGACAGTTAGTAATAAGTTATAGTAGAATTTGGATTCCATAAAACTAAAAATGTTGATTTTTATTTATATTGTATATAGATTTTTCAATGTACAGCATCTACATAATTATATAAATATGTTTAGAGCATAAATTTTAGAGTCCATATCTTCTAGGTTCAAAATCTTCAAGACTAAAAAGAATTTCATTGTTGGGACCAATGATATCGTTTTTTTCTTCTTTATAATATTCTAATACTACAGGTTCTGGGACCCAAACAACCTGGTATTATTAGTTATTTGTATGTTATATAGGATATCAATACTCTCATGCCTGCAGATCGTCCTGCTTTTACTCCTGCAATACTATCTTCTAAAAATAAATTAGAAACTTGTATTGAGCTTTTCATACTAGAACTACCAAAAACAAGGCATTCTTGGGGAGTCAAAGGGTCTAAGTTTTTTGATTTACGTTCTTCATTGATAACTTTTAATGAGAGTATATATATATCTGGTGCAGGCTTCCCGCGCCCTTCAGGAATTCTAGGATCATCACCACGTATGATTCGTCCATTGAAGTGAGAAAAGATATGTCCTAAATGATCTGTTTTTAATTTGAAGCTACGGATGCTAGATGATGTGGCAAGCTACATATTTTAAATAGATTATCAAAATGAAATAAAAGAACCAACAGCAACAGTGATTTTTTTATTTTTAAGATAATTTAGTAGTTTCTGACATCCTGGCATTTCTTTAACACCTGGGAATTTTATTTTCTGAAAGGTTTTGTTAGAAAATACATATTTTTTCTGTTTTTGAAACCTGAAGATCGCTAGCTTCCATGTAAAGCTGTTCTGCAGACACTTCTATACCAGACCATTCAATAAGGATTTTTGTTGCCTATTTTTCGTTTATTTACATGTTTGTTTCAAAATAAGATATATTACTTCGAGACCAGGAATACCTAGAAAATGAGTCCTGAATTTGTTTTAACTGCTAGATGCAAACCCATCATCTTTATTTTTGTTTCAATAGAAAGACTTGGTTTGTTGTAGCGAGCTAGCAATTCATTTGTAATTTCTGTATAAAGCTGTTCACTGTCAATCAAAAGGCCTAATAGGCTATTAAAAATATATAAAAAAAATAAGAAATTATCTTCCCATCCATATCAAAGATACATGCTTTTATCTGTGGAAATTTTTCTGTAGAATTCATTCTTTGGTTTTAAAATTTTGAAATTTAAAGTTAGATATTCTGCCTTAAGTTATCAGCTCTTGAGAGTTGCCTAGACAACCATCATTTCTCCGTTGTTCGACATTAGATCTTCAACAAGTGCACGTTTCGGCTGCTCTGCTGGCTGGAGATGTCGATTTTTTATGCTGGGATTGCTCGAGGACAAGATATTCTTGCTGAGTATAATGTTGATGGTAGATTTGTGCTTTTTTTCTTTTTTTTTCTGACATATATTTTAGGAACGGATATGAATGATCTTGTTTCTTTGATACTTGAAAAAGCAGTGCTAAATGAAGAGACAAAACTTACATATGTTTATAAAATGTATATGATTCATTATATTTATACACCAGTGGACTCGGTTGGTGGTTTGACGTATTTATGTATTACATCCGATCAGATTGAACGAAGGGTTCCCTTTGCGTTGTTATATGAGATTAAGCGTGAATTTGCTAAATATTTTTCTTTACATGATATGATTGAGCTTCCTGTGTCGAGTTTTGTAGGATTTAGTCGAGAAATTGCTGAAAAAATATCTATGATGGGTCGTGATGATGGGATGTTAATGACGGATATGGTGCGTGTTGTTCAAAAAGAGATGGAACAGGTTAAATCAGGTTTTTTCTTTTTGTATCTAAAACTGTCCATCTTGACAGTGGTGTAGCTATGACTGAAAATATTGAAAAAGTTCTTGAACGTGGAGAACGTATTGAGTTGTTAGTAAATAGAACACAAAATATGAATGAAACGGCATTTTCTTTTTCTAAAAGGTCTTCTTATTTGAGGTAGGGTTTTTTTTTTTAAATAGCTATTTTGATAAATTTAATTTTTAGGCGGCGTATATGGTGGGAATCGGTAAAAATGACAGTCATTTTCTGTTTTGTTGCTTTGTTTTTATTATATTTATTGATTGGGTTTGGTTGTGGATTTCCAGGTAATGAAATTAATGAATTTTTTTTGCTTATTTCTGTTAGCATGGCAGAGTTGTCGTTAATTAGAAAAAAATGATTATTTATAAATATGTGATTAATAAATAATAGTAGTTTTTTTTGTATAATTTTTTTTTATTTTTTTAAGAATTCATTTCTATATCCTGAAGATATTTTACTTTGAAAACTATAATGTTATAAATCGTTGACTATTTTTAGATTATGAAATTATCCTGCCATTGAAACAATAGTCTTTGTATTTTCTTTTGGTGTTTAAATTATACGAACTCATTAATCGTTTGTAAAATGTTTTTTGCTTATTTTTGTTAAATCTTATTTTTTTATTACGTACTTTTTTATAATTAAAACTTCTGAAACAATTTCGGATTATTAATGTATATTTCAATGTGTTTTTATTTTAAAATAAAAAGTAGAGTTTAAATGGGAAAAAATTATTTCATATATTATTTTTGTTTTAAAATATTGTTGTAATTGATATTTTTAGATTAGCGTTTTATTATCAACGTCTATTTTTTTCTGTTAGGAATTTGAGATTAGGTTATTTTAATAAAAATGTCTTAAATTGTATTTTATAATTATATAAATGTTGAAGAAACCAAATAGATGCGAATTAGATGCCCTTTGGCGTAATTATGAAGTTGTTTGTTGTATTTTTTATCGAAATAAAAATCAGCATCACAGGCAAGTTTGGTGGAAATATCTTGCTATGTTACGACAAAAACTTCGGTTGTATTTTTTACTACTACCACATCTTCATGAAGAGCAGCAGAAAAAGATACTTATGCTTATACCTAAGGCGTATTTGTATGTGTGGTCTTGAAATAGTTAATATTTTTAATAATAAATTAAGGTATTTTTCAAGTATCATAGCTCAAGGCCAATTTCCTAAATTAGGGCTTGTGTTGGTTACAATTGTAGCAAGTATTAGAAATATATTTTGGAAAAATGAGATGTTTCAAGAAAGCATTCAAAAAACAAATTTTGAAGATTTAGGTGAAGTAATTAATATACGTACTTTTGAAAGATTCTAGTTGAAATTGGAATAAAAACAGTGTATATGTATAGAATAAGAATCTTGTTTTGAAATATATGTAAAAGGATAAGCCTCATTTTTTTGAACGGTATAGTTGATATGTAGCAAAATGATATTGTTTTCTGCTGTTGTATTATTTGTATTATTTAAAGTTTTTACGGTTTGCATTGATTCTTATTTGTATAAATAGAACAATACTAAATAACTGTTTTGGTTTTTTCATGATATATGTTTAAGGTTGTAAAAAAAGGCTCTTAGTTTTAATATTTATATTGTTTCTATAACTAATATGATTTGTTATGTTTATAAATTTTAGTTAATTCTAGTTGTATCTGATATTTTATCTTCGCTACTATAATCTTTATCTTTTGAGGATTGACTGGTATTTGTATCATTACTACTAGAAAAAGTTTCCTCATCTGTTGATGTATTTTTATTTTTTTTAAAATACTATAATATTAAATTACTTTGAAAAATAACTAAGATAATTACCATATCTATTTTTTTAGCTAATTTTTTTTTAATTCCTCCTGCTTCTACTTGTATGTCTAAATTATTTTCTCTTTTTACATCTTTATGAAATATAGGAATATAATTTGATTCATAGCGGAATTTTTTCAAGAAATATTTTTTAATACATTCAACATCACGGTTAAAATACCTATTTTTGTTAGATAATCATTGATGTTGATTTATTTACTCTTCTGAGTTGTAATGATCAATACTAATCATTTGTGGAAAATCAATTATTACTGGATCTAGATTTTCATGAATTAAGATATTGAATTCATTAAAATCACCATGGATTAGTCCATGGTTGGCTAACTTTATAATTAATTGCATTAAAGTCATATAAAGTTTTTCTGGATGCAAAATATTATTAATTTTATGTAAAGGATATGCTTCTATTTTTTCCATAATAATACAATGTCGGACTTGATCTATAGGTTGAGGAACGGGAAACATGTTTTCGTACAAGACCTTTAAATGATTAAAAAAGTTAATACACATTTTTCTCTTTACTTTCATAACAGTATATTCCTTTTTTGCAGCTAAACGTGACATATACATCCAACTAGCTGATTTTCGATTTTTAAGATAGTCACGTTTTAATTTTACGTTTCTAAAAGATATCCTTCCAAGCCTAAATAGAAAGATCATATGTGTAAAAATATATAGAAAAATATACTTATGCATTTTAAGAACCATTTGTTTTCCTGTTTTGTCTGAAATAATGTAAACATCTAAATTATGTTAAGTTTATAAAGATGTTATTATATTACCTGATTCTTTGCCTACTCCAATTTTATTTCCAATAGAATATATACATTCTCTCTTTGAAAAAGCATTTAGTGCTAAATAGTCATAACCAATGTATGTAAGTCGATATCCGTTATCTAGAAAATTAGTTACAATATTTAGAATAAAATATTAATATGAACATTTTGCATTTTTAACCTTAGAAATAAGGCCATTTTTTGCTAATTCACTGATGCATTTTTGATGGCTAACACCTTTTAATCCCGCAATTTGAGCAATTAAAGAAGTTGGGACTAGTTCATGATTTTTTGATCCTATTTCTACCTGTATAACTTTTAATATGAAAACTGATAGAAAAAGTATTACTGCTGTAAGAACTCTGAAATCATCTTGCGATAAATAGCGCATGGCATTTATGTTTAAGTTTACCATTGCAAATTTTTTTTAAAAAGTTTATCGTTTAAAAATGTTTTTATCTTTAAAAATAAATATTATTTTATATGAAAAAAGTATGAATAAGTTAAAAAAATATTTTTTTGTTTAGTAATGATTTATATTAACTTATATTTTGTATATTTACCCTAATTTTTTTTTTATTTTTTAAAAATCTTTTAGAATAAATATTTAGTTTTGTTAATGTTTAGGATATAATAGTTAAAAATATTTATTATCCTCTTTATTTAAATTTAGTTTTTTTACTATTTTGAATCTATTTTTACCTGTTTGTCCTATTCCCCCATCCTAATAATAAATCGGTTAAAAAATTATGAAAAAAATACGAAAATACCTCGAGGATTTGCCTCTTTAAATTCATCCCATTCTCTTGCCTTATATGTTTCTTTATCCACTTCTTCTACGCTATCTTGATCAATTTCTCTTTTATTTTGCGGTATTCTATTAAATTTTAGAAATAAGGAAATAAACATATGATGGTACTGTTTATTAGAAAGGATATTCCCTCTTTTTGCTTCTTCTTCTAAATATTCATCAATAGACATCGTAGGTAAACTATGATCTGGTCCAAAAACACTTTTTTTTAATTGTTCTCTTTTCCCTACAATAGTAAAAGGACGTAATGGCTATGTATCATTATTAGAAAACGGAATCATTCGGTAGGACTAAAACTTTTCCGTTTTTGTCTAAAAGTGCCCCATTTTTTAATGGATTATTTTCCACTTTTAATGTTGAATGCATCTCTTTTTCTGTTTGGATTTCATGATAGTTATTATTTGTGTTTTGTTTGTTTGTTTTTGAGATTTCTATCATTTTTAATTCTAGATCTAATTGTTCTATGCTTTGCAGAGACTTGAATATAGCTAGTTGAATGAGCTCAAGAAAATGTTTTCGCAAATTATTATCATCTTTTGATGGATTTTTTAGAAAATTTGATATATTTTCGTTTAACTCTTTTTCTCTTTTATATCTTTGTATTTTTCCTTCTCTTCTTGAAATATCGGATTCTCTGATTATATAATTTTCATTGTTCATTTCAGTAGAATTAAGGTGGTCAAATAAGGTTTTATCAGAGTTAGTTAGTAATGCATAGTTATCACATAATATTAAGAATGAAATGAATAGATTCTACGAAAAAAATAAGTTTGGAAAAAATAGTTTAGGTAAATTACTTTCGACTTCATTATAGCTGATGATCTATTAGACGTTACGTTCTTGTCTAAAAGTTCTGCTATATAATAATCTATTAAAAGAAATCTAAATGCTTAGATTGATAAAAAAAATTAGTTATATATAGAATCTACTTTATTTCTGATGTGTTTATGTCATCAATTCCTTCATTTTTACTAAAAAGACATAATTTTCTTGTAAGATAATGGCATTTTTCATATAAAGAAATACAGTCCGTTAATAGTTCCTATTAAATTGTTTGTAAAGTTTAATTCAAAAGAAAAAAGACAATAACTGATGATCCTTCTTCTATTCTTTTACGAAATCCTTCTGCTGAATCAAAAAGATCACGTAGAGACCTATTTTCTTCTGGTTGGTTTTGTATGTTCATTTTAAAATTGTCGACTAGTATAAAAAAAGTCGTGGATAATAATGATATAGAATTTTAAATATATAAATAAATTATAAATGTATTAATGAATATAAAATATAAAAAGATATTGGGAATATAGTAAATCTTTGAAATTATTTTATTAAATTTTATTAATATTGTTATAAATTTAAGTTTTTATAAATTTGGAAATATAATAGATATAAATGATTTTTTGAAGATTAATTTTTGATCATTTTGACAAGTATATAGGCTCTTTTCTACTTTAAAAATGCAATGTATAAAGGTTTTTCAATATTCCTTTTATTTTTAAATAAAAGCCTTATTTTTTTTTTTTTTATGAATGCATTTTATTTTTAAAATTAATAATATTTATAGATTTAGTTATTATAATTGTAATTTGAATTATTTGAATTATTTTAGAAATTAATTTTAATAAATGTTATTTTAGAATTAAAAATTTTTATAAATACTAAAAACGGAGTTTAATATGTTAATGAGTAATTTATTAGGTAATTTGGGTAATGACTAAATAGAATTAATTGAAAATAATATAATGTTTTTATTCTATTAAAGATGGTAAAAAAAGAGAGATAAATTATTTTTTTAATATTTATTTAGTTTTTGTTTAAAATAACTTACACGTTTTGTTTAAATTTTAATATTGGTATTAATTTAAATAATTTTAAAAAAAGTTACACGTTTCAGTAATTTAACAAGAAATTCTTTTTTATGAATTTGTTTGTTGATTATATTTAAGGTAAAATTAATTTTTCTATATGATGATATAATAAAAATTATTTTTATTATTTAGAATTATTTGTTATAATCTGTGTTAATATGTAAAAAAATATATAATTGAAATAAAAATTTTAAAAATAAATATTTGGTTTGGTTTTAATTTTTATAAATTTTATGTATATAAATTTGAATGTTTTTGATAGATATTACATAATTTTTTAGTTTTTACAATTATATACTCAATTTTTTAAAAATTATCTATTTATATTTTATATAATGTTTGTAATTGATTTTAGAACAATATTTGAATTTAGAGAAATGTTGTTTTTTAGAGAAATGTTATATATAATTTTTAAATTAGAATTTATATAACAATAAAAATATTTTATTATTAAATGTTAAAATGCTTAAGTAAGGATTGTTTTATAGTTTTATATAAAATTTTTAAATAAAATTAAAAATAATTTTTTCTGTAAAAAAATAAATTATTTTTATTTGCTACTAATTTGCACTTCAATACTTCTTTAATCTGAATCAATTATATTTTCAAAGAGCAGAATGATAAAGTTTGTTTAATTTACTAAATAACCTTCTTCATTTAAGAATAATTATAATACTAAATTAAACAAAGGGTATGCGGAAATTAAAACAAAAAAATATAATTTTCTTTAAGTCTATAAGGTTAATTTGTTATTTTTAATTTCTATTATTTTGATTTTTTTAGGATTTTTGACAGTGAAAAAAAAATAATTTTACTTTGAATAAAAAAAATAAGCAAATATATTTGTATAATATATTTTATAGCAGATATCTATGATCATTCTTGAAAGTATTTTTTTGAAATTCTAAATAAACTTTATTATTTATATGAATTCATTTGATAAATATTTTAGAAGTCTGTTTTTTTGATGCTACTAAGTTTCTTATTGATATTAATACCTATAAATTTTGTTTTTAGAAGAATAAAAATTATTTTTGAAATTACATTTTTTTTAAAATTTCAATACTTTTTTAAAGTCATTTTTTATTAAATTTGAATATTCTAGAAAATCGTTTTGATATTTTTTGTGCTTTATTCTATTTATATATTTGATTTTATTTTTGATTTTTTTATTATTCATAATATAAATATTTAATTATAAATGACTTTTAATCAATTATTGTAATAATGTTTTTTATAAAAATTTATTTTTTCATAATATTTGTTAACATAAAAAGGCTTTTTTTTTCGTATTTTTAATTTATTTTTGAATAGGAAATTGGTTTGTTCTATTTTACATGCTTTATAAAAGTTTTTTTTCTTATTTTTTAAACTTATAGCATTTAATATTTGTTTTTGAAATTAGGGTTTTTATTTATTTTGGTTTTTAGAAATGTCCAAGTCTAATAATTTAAATCACTATTTGCCAAAAAGGATTCTTTCTTTAGATATTAGTGTTGTTAGTAAAATTGCTGCTGGTGAAGTAATAAATACTTTTTTCGCTTTTATATTTTTTAATTTGCTTTCTCAAGGTTATTCAAAGACCTTCTAATGCTTTGAAGGAATTGATTGAAAATTCTGTTGATGCTGGTGCTACGTCGATCGATATTTTGGTTGAAGGAGGAGGACTAAAACTCCTTCAAGTATCTGATAATGGTCATGGGATTATGGTGGTTTTTCCAATTGTTGATTTATTGTGTTTAATTTTATTTAGAAAGAAGATCTCTCTATTCTATGTGAGCGTTTTACTACATCTAAATTGCGTACATTTGAAGATCTATCATCTATTTCTACATATGGATTTAGAGGCGAAGCTTTAGCAAGTATTTCTCATATTTCCTATGTTACGGTAATTACAAAAACTTCTGATTCAAGTTGTGCTTGGAAGTAAGATATTATTTTTTGATTTTTTTTTAAAAATTATATAGGGCTAATTATCTCAATGGAAAACTCGTATCACCTAAAGAAGGGGAGTCGTCTGATCCTAAACCAGCTGCTGGAAGACAAGGGACTCAGATTGTGGTATTTAATTTTATTGTTTGTTAAAATAACAATAATTTTAGATTAAAGATTTGTTTTATAATATTCCTTCTAGGTTAAAGTCTTTTCGTAGCTCTAATGATGAATATATTCGAATATTAGATGTCATTTATAGATATGCTGTTCATTGTGAAAAAATAGGTTTTTCTTGTAAAAATGTATGTTTTTGTATTTTTTATTTTTATGAAATTTTTAATAATTTTAAAGTATGGAGAAATAATACCATCTATTACTACATCATCTAAATCAACTGTAATTGAGAATATTAAACAATTATATGGGGCAGCCATTAGTTCTGAGCTTTTACCTTTTTCATTAAATTCTCAAGACTATATGTTTCAAGCTAAAGGTTTTTTTACAAGTGTTAGTTATAGTGCTAAAAAAACTACCTTTTTATTATTTATTAATCGTAGGTATATTTTATATATGAATATTGTGAATAATTATAAATGTAGACAGATCAGTTGACTGTAAGGCGCTTAAGCGTGGACTTGAATCTATTTATAGTAATTTTTTACTCAACTCTAGACGTCCATTTATATATATATCGTTAGAGATAGAATCTTCTAGAGTTGATGTAAATATTCATCCTACAAAACGGGAAGTTCGTTTTTTTTATGAAGATGAAATTATTAATCTTATATGTAAAAAAGTTCATTCAGAACTCTCTAGAATTAATTCTTCAAAAACAATTTCATTGCAGGTGAATTTTATATTATATTGAAAGATTTAGTTTTTTTTACTTTTAAGACAGTTAAAGCTAAATCATGTCCTTTGAATTATGTCAATGAGACTTTGGAGGGTGGTAATTCTATGTATATTGTTTTCAGATATTTAATTTTTCAGGAAAAAAGATTTATGATAGATATTATGTTCGAACTGATGCAAAATTCCAGACAATTACATCAATTTTAAATAATGTAGAAACATCTGCTATGAAAAAAATAAAAAGGAATAATTCTAAAAATTTCACTGATTTTCTTTATCAAGTAAATGATAAAGAAAAGATAATTGTTAGACTTACAAGTATTAAAGAATTAAGAGATGAAGTGATAGAAAGACGATGCGATGGTATTTTTAAAATAATTTATTTTTTATTATGTTTTAATTTTATTAAGCTTTAACAAATATATTTATAAATCATATTTTCGTTGGTATTGTTGATGAAGAAAAACAGTTGGCAGCTATACAGCATTCTACAGAATTATATTTTGTTGATTATGGATCTCTTAGGTTTTTGATTTTATATTTTTTTTTTTTTAATTTTTTATTAGTTTTGAACTTTTTTATCAAATTGGATTAGCTGGGTTCGCTAATTTTGGAATAATAAGGTTAGAGCCAGAATTGTCACTAATAGAATTACTTGAAATGTTGCCTAAAAGCATGATTCATGATTCCACGTTTTTAAAGAATTTAATGGTATTTATATCGTCTTTTATTTCTTTATTTTTATTCTGTTTTTAGGATGTTTCTAAAATAATTATAGGTTTTAGACAAATGCTTTATGAATATTTTTCTCTTGGTATTACTTCTGATGGGAAAATATATTCTCTTCCTTTACTTCTTAAAGGTTATATTCCAAATATTGGAAAGCTTCCTTTATTTATATATAGGCTTTGTATTAAAGTATTTTTCTTTATTGCTATGTGTATTTTTAATGTTTTATAGGTTAATTGGAATAAAGAAAAGGAATGTTTTTGTACTTTTTTAAGAGAATTGGCTTTATTTCATTTACCTGATCCTTTGTTTCAGAAACGAAATAGTATTGATAACTATGAAAAAAAAAGAAAGGATCTTGTAGATGTTTTAGAATTTGTTTTGTTTCCTGCATTTAAAAAGAGATTAATTGGAACTGTTGAACTTCTTGAAAAAAAAAGAATAGTACAAATAGCTACTTTGTCTAAATTATATAAAGTCTTTGAAAGATGTTAAAAATATTGTATTTATAAGTAGAATACTTGAATTAATGTTTTTTGAAAATTTTTGTAGGATTTAAATTTATTTTAAAATGATTTATTTTATTTTTGATGAAATTAAAGTTTTAGCATATTTAAAATGATATTTTGTTTTCATAGGTTATTATAATTATGTTTTAACTAATGTTGTTTTAAATATTGCGATGTTTAGTATATTTATAAATATTTTTTGTTAGAAATTATTTTAGTGGATAATGGTTTATTAATTTTTATATTTATCAAGTATTTCGTTTAAAAAAATATTTAAATAAAAAGTTTTTGCAAAATTTTTAGATTTTTGAATAATTTATAAAAGTTTTAGAATAATTTATTATATAATAAATTATGTAAAAAATATTAGGATATATAAATATATAAATTTGGCTAATGTCTTTTTTAAATATTTTTTTTAAAAACAATAATTTAATACATATTAATAATATAATATATTTTATTTTATACAGAAATAAATGTTTACGATATTTTTTAAAAAGCATTTCAGTTAAATTTATTTTAAAAGTATATAACTTTGAATATAAATTTGTAAAATAGTATTAATAAAAAATTAACATTGACAATTTGACTGTTGAGGATTTATTTCTCGTTGACCAATATTAACATCAACCACTATAAGGTTTAACTTAATTTTATAAATTTGCAAAGATATAATTACTTAGTGAGTTGTTTAAATCGTGAGCATTTCCTATTCCTGGTAAAATAAGTGTAATCTCCTTAAAAAGAGCTTTAACATTGTGACCTGTTTTTGCACTTGTTTCCATGAACATTGTTTTAAGTTCTTTTGCCATTTTTTCTCCTTCTTCTGTTGTTACTTGCCTTTTTTATTAAGTAATAATTGGTTGTATAAAATACAGTTTACCGTTTATTATTAAGATCTGTCTTATTACCCACTATTACAATGATTACATCATTTCCTCTTTCTGCCTTTATATCATCTATCCATCTGTTTGTATTTATAAAGGAGGTTCGATCTAATGAGTAAGTAAATAATTTAATGTTTAAGTGCATTTACTAGTAATATCATAAACAACGATTGCTACACTAGAATCACGAATATAACTTGCTATAAGGCTTCTAAAACGTTCTTGTCCTGCTGTATCCCATAGTTGTAAACGTACAGTTCTGTCTTCCAAGTACATTGTTTTAGATAAAAAGTCTATACCTATAGTCGCCTAAATTGAAATTAGTTTACTGAAATAAATAAAAGCAAGTCCTACTTGGTATGTATTATCAAATGTGTCGTACATAAATCCTGTATTAATTAGTTCAAATTTTGTATAAAAGTTTTTTTAAACGTGTAATTAGTGATGTTTTTCCAACACTCTGATCACCTATATATAGAACTATTAGAAAGAAATATCTTAAGTATACATTTTAAAGTTTACCAAGGAACACTAATTTAAATTTTCTTGATGTAGTCATTAAATCTGTCATCTTTTATTAAAAGATAATTTGGAATAACGAGATAAAAAAAAATTAAGATTTTTCTGTTTTTTTTTAAAAAAATCTATGAGTTTTATAGGAGTTCTTAAAAAGATGTTTAAATTTTTCAAAAAGATTTATATTTAAATAGCTGATTTTTTTGTTTAGTGTTGAAAAAGAAAATGTTGAAGGCATTATTTTAATAGATGAGAATGGACTTTGTTTAGGATGTAAAAGCATTTTTTAAATATACTTTTTTGCGTTTCTAACGTTTTATTTTAGCTTATGGAAAGGTGAATGAGGAATTTGCAAGTAAATGCATTAAATTTGCGGATTTAGAATTGCAAACTAAGATGTTTGCTGCTGTTATGAATAAAAGGCAGTATGTTTTTAATAAAATATGAGAGAGTGCTATCTTACTTATTAAAGAAAGATTCTTCTGCATAGAGATTCTGGTATCACAACAGTTTTGTTTATGACACGTTAAATTTTATTGTTTTTTTGTTATTATTACTATGGTATAAAAATAGGTTAGAAAAGGATTAATACATGGAAAGATGCGTTGAGTGTTTTATTTGAGTAAGAGTTATACCTAGTATATTTAGAATTATGCAACTTTGTTGATTTTCTTCTATTTCAATAAACGTTAAGTCTGTTACATATAGATCTTATAAATGATTTAGAGGAGTATGTTCAAGTAAATAAATTATTATATATATAATGTATTTTTGCTTTATGATTTGTGTATTTATATAAAATAGATTTTTATTCATGTTCTGAAGTTTTCGATGTATTCTAATTCATGGTAAATAAAAATGTTACGAATAGATTATTTTAAAATACCTAAACCAAAGGTCTATATTTTTACTTTATCAACGAAATGAAGAGTTTTCTGATATTTTTTAAGACATTTCTTTATTTTTTGGATTTACAAATGGGTACTGAATTGATTATCTTTTTTTCTATTTTAAATAAGGCGTCTGGTATTTATGGGTTTATTGCTATATTAACGAACTGTTTTTTGTCTTGTTTTTATAAGAATTTTCTAATTAGAATATAGACTCTTTTTTAAATACATCTTTATGGAAAATGTTTATGTATTTTTATTCTTTATTTGCATTATTTGGGTGTGCAATGATGATAAAATATATTCGAACGGTACTCTAAGTAGTTATTTTATTTTTTTCTTTTTTCATCTTTTTAGGAGTCTCCTTTTCATTTATTAATTTATGCTTATTTTTATTTTATTGATACTTTTATTAGTTCAGTATATTCAGCAATATTTGCAGTCGTATGGTTTATGGATATATTAAAGAACGCGATTATTTCTTCTGGTATTGGAGAAACTGTTGATCATTTTCAAAAATCTGAAATGTATGTTCTTAAATTTATTTTCAGTAAATACTTAGCTTTTCAGATTTAAATCGTGGCATCTTGATCAGTCCGGATATATTCATGATACATCTTTAATGTCTTTTTCTATTGAGAAATTTTTTACTATCTTAATTCTGTGTTTTTTTTTGTGTCTTAAGATATATTTTTGTCTTGTGGTGTTTTCATATGCACGCTATTTAATAATACGTGCAGGAAATATGCATAAATGTTTACGTAATGAATGGTTAAAAAAGTTGGTTTATATATTGACTTATGGGAAATATTGGAAAAAGGCTGATGATACTTCTTATAAAGTTAAGTGTTCATTGGAGCTTAAAGTATGTGATAATGAGTTAGCAAATGGAAATTTTTATAATAATAGGATATGATTTGAATTATTCTTTTTCTTAGTTTTAACCTATATAATGATAAGATAATCCTAAAGTACTTTATTTATATAAATAATGATTTTATAAAATGGGATAAATATTGAAAATTGATTCTTTTATAATTTTGTTAATTTTAAGTTATTTTGTTAAGAGAAAAAATATTTACTATTTCTCAAATTTCTAACATCGAAATCACCCTGATTGAAAAATTAGTTATGAAAACAAATAATCAGGAATAAACCTTTTTCGGTAATGGGGGGAATTCTAGATCTACCCATACATGGACTGATTCTTTTTTTTTTGTTTTGTTTTTAATATCTGTTTCTATTGTATTTTCTGCATTTAAAGAATTTATTTTTTCTGTTACTTGATTTGATGGATTAGTTGTATTTTCTTTATTGTTTGTTTTAACAGTATCTTTTAATAAACTTTTATATGTTTCAGACTTACGATTGTTGTTTAAAGATTCTGATTTAATACTTTGTGATACATGTTTTCTCGTAGAGGAAATTTCTTCCATTTCTTTACTATCCTTTGAGATACTAATTAATGTTTTATAGCCTTTATATCTTTCTCGAAATTCATTTAATAAGTTTTCCATAATATTCTCTTCATGAAGTTTAACAAATGTTTCTCTTAGAATTACGTTCATATTGTCAACGTCTGCCGCATGAGTCCAATAAGAATCATGAACAGATGCAAAAGTAAGACCTGCATTTTTACATGAGATAGCAGACATTAACATATGAGTTGCATCAAGTGAATGAATAAAATTTGGAGGAAATGCTGTTTGTTGTTTTCGAGTATCAACGGGACTTACGTCATTAGGATCTGTAATGAAAATAGACTGAAGATTGGTTTTAATTTGTTTTCGAGATGATTTCCGATATGGTTGAACAATAGGCAAATTAAGAGGAGATGTCCAAATTACACTTGTCATATGATTTAAACCGTTATACGAAGATGTATCTATTGATTTAGATATCCTTTTAGCTGCTTCATTAAGCCATTCTTGTATTTTATGTGCTCCTGTAAACATTGATTTGAGAGAAAAAAATACAATCTTTGCTAAATAGGAAGCAAGACTCTGTTTAAGTTAAAAACATTATTTCTAATATTTATTACTTACAAATAACATTTCTCTTGGAAGACTATTTAAGTTTTTTAATTGATTAAGAATTTGATTACGAGCCCCAACGTATGTAACTCCATAAACATTTGTCATAACAGTTTGTTTAACAATTTTACGTGCAATTTTATCTTTTAAGAGAACTGCCAAATGATTTCCTTCTTTTGCATCTTTTTGTACTTGTTCATTTACTAATTCTGCTACTCTAGTATATACATCATACGGTCGATTGCTAGGTTCGAGATTTACTTGCCGTGCACCTAAAATGTCTCCCCCCAATGCTGCATAGTGTTGCAACCCATTACATGTTCCATCTTGATGGATTGGAAGACGTGATTTGAACTTGTGCGGATCTGGAAAACGAAGAGCTGCTGTAAGTTCGAAACAAGCAGCTAAAGTTTGCCATGGATCATCAAATTTTAGCCACCATCCAGAACCCTTATATAAATATAAGTTTAAAATAGTATAATAAACATGAAATATGTATTTATACCTTTAATGGATTATCAGCAGAATCAAAGATATTTTTTAGATTTTCAACTGTAAATGCCTCTCTTTCTAAAAAACTTTCTTTGTCGAATCCGCAGATATTGGCTAAATGGATTTTAAGCCATCTTAAACCTGATTCTCCTATTTCCTTTGCTTCATGAAATGTTAGTAATCCTCTGCAAAGATCATTGCCAAGATGGTTAAAGTGTGGGGGTATAGGGTAAGCTCTCCCTCGAAAATCTAGATTATGGGGAAAATACATTTTTTCATGAAGAAACTAGTAATAACAGTAAATTAAATATATAAAATATTGCAGTTTCTTACGGCTCTTGCTATCTCTAGTTTATAATTGATATCACATCTTATTGATTGTTTGTTTTGGGCATCTCTGGCAATTTGTCTACATTGAATTTGCCATGATATTTTGTCAGCAGGATCTTTGCTTGTAGGCCGTGGTGGAAAGGCAATATTTGATTCTGCAGGTGGTATTCCTGCAAATTCTAGCCCAGAATTCCATACTTCTATAACTACATTGAATACAGGTATGTTTATAGCCCATGCAGTAGAACCAAGAACATCTAAACCTTCGAATATTGATTTTAAGTTATTTCTTTCTGATGCTATTTTTAAATATTGTATTTGTTCTATTGAGTCGCGGGATCTCATTACAGTAGATTTACTTAAATAATATCCACCTGAGTCCCAAGAAATCCATGGTTTTGGCTCAACTAGCATAGGTAATAATCTAGGATGAATATTCCCACGTAATGGTTGTGATCCAAGTTGTTTCATAACTTGATCGTTTAATTTAATTACACCAAGTTTTCTTCCTTTTTGATATTGATAAGTATGATAAAATGCTGGAGCTTTTTGCGAAATTGTGTCTCCTTTTTCTGTTTCGGTAGTTATATCAATTTTTGCAACATGTATGAGTATAGAAATTAATATAGAACCAATCTTTGCTTTGACTACTGTAGGCCATTTTGGATTTATTTCAAAATTGATATTATTTTGTGTTTTTTGTAACATAGTTTGAAATTGTCTAGGATTGCCAAAAATTTGAGAAAGATTAACGTTTTTTCCAAGAAAGTTTTTATTTTTTTTGAGAACTTCTGATGCATATTCTTTTTCTATAGATTTCCCTACACTGAGAATTGCTCTTGCTGTTCTCATTCCTTGAGCAATTCCACCAGTAGAATGAAGTCTAAGGACTTCTAGAATTGTTATTGTACTTAACTTTTCAGGAGCAAGGAGTTGAATAAAAACACCATATGACAATCTATCATTGTTGACATTGTTGATTATTTTTTTATCTATAAGACCATTAATTGCATTTTTACAACGTTCAATTTCTTCTTTTATTAAGGGTATCATAAGAGAATGCCATTCAAAAAGTATAGAATTAAGGCTTTTGCTGAATCTAAGACCACCTTTTTGAGCTAATTGTTCATGATCCCATTTCCATCTTTCTAAAGCTATATCTAATGCATTATCTTCTAATAACTTTTGACGAGCCATATTGAAAGCAACAGAATGATACTCCTTCGGAAAATCTTTAATATTATAATCTATTTCTATATTGGGATCTGTTAAAGGTCTTAAAGATTTCTTAAGGAGTTGTAATCCTGGACCAAAAATATTAGTAGGGAGTAATTCAGGAATATTTTCAAGAGGATGTGATAAACATAATGTTCTTGAATTTTTCTCTTTTTCGATGTTTGCTATTGGTTTTAGTATATGACGATATTCCTGTTTAAGTTCAGAGAAATTAATATCCATAATCTAAACTATTAATTTATTTTTCAAAAAATCTAACTCAATTTACCTTAAAAAGCTTCAATATTTCTTCATTAGTTAAAATAGAATTTTCATTAAAAATTTTTCCTATATTTTCTTTTTTTTTTAAACGCCATAATTTATTAAATCCATTGATTGCAATTTTAGATTCTTCTGGTTCTTTGATGTATAACGCTGCTTTCAGTATAAGTGCAAATGTTGTTTCGTTACCAAGAATATTATATTTTTGTTCTAAATTATGAAAGCATTTATTAGCACTTTCAAAGTCTCCCGTTTTTTTAATTTCATCTATTAAAGCTTGTAAATACTGATTGTGAACTTGAATAATAAAAGACGATTCTGCTCCATGTGAAAGACTATTCATTAAGATATAAGCCCTATTTAAATCACCTGTGGAGACACATGCATCAAAAACTGCAAGAAGTTCATTATTATTACAAAAAGTAATTCCACGAGGAAGTTTTCCTCTATAAGATTGATTAGTTTGTCGAGGTGGTGGTAAAATTATTATTGGACTTTTTTTTTTTAATTCAATGTTCATGTTTTTTGAAAATTCTATACTTTGAAAATAATTATATTGTTGATTATGAATATTTTGTGAAAATTTTGAGTTTGTATATTCTTTCTGAGTAATATTAGCTAGGTAGAAATAATTTCTTATATTTTTTAATATTTTTATATATTTTCTTGATATCTTAAATGCATTGATTATTTTTTGAAATTTATCGTTTTTTTTAGAATAAATAAAAGTAATGTTTTTACTAATATTATATGTATTTTTTGATAGTTTTTTGGATTTCTTTGTATAAAAAGATAAATCATGCGATATTATACGATTCATTATGATTTTTTTATTATTATATTTTAATTCATAAAAAAAGTTAGCTCTTCGATGACTTTATATATTTAATGGTTAAGTAAATATTGCCATATTTTAAGTGTAAATATTATGTATATATGTTGTTTTAATAGAAAATGTTATTTTTTAATGTTATTGTATAACATTACAAAAGGAATATTTTGTGAGCAAACATATACATATTAATTTCTAGAAAATTAATTGAATTTTAAAGCTTCAATATATTTATTTTTAATATAAAAAAATTAAAAATTATTTTATGTTATCCAAAATGACATATAGTAATAAGTTTATGAAAAGTTCTATTTAAATGATATTAATTTTTCCTATTTTTGATCTATTTTAAAAGTTAATATATTGTATTAAATAATTTTATTAAAATTTAAATAAAAAATAAATAAAATATAAAATTAGTAATTATATTGAAATCATGAACAGTATAGTTTGAATTTTAAATTTTCATATTTATAGTTTTTGATTAAATTTATTAATGATATAGCTGAATTTTTGGAAACAAGTTTTTCGGTTTTTATAATAGGATTAATAAATTAACTTTTTTAAAGGTTATTGAATTTTTTTTTATAAAAATCTTTTTTTATGAATGACCTTGTTGAGCAATATTAAGACATTCTTTTTCCATTTTCTGAATAAATTTAACTTCAATCCCGTGTTTTCTGAGGGTAGACATTCCTGTACATTTCACGAATGTATTTGGTTCTTTAACTCCAAATACAACTCTTTTTATTCCTGAATAGATAATTCTATTAACACAAGGTAATTTTCCAGATAGACGTATACTACAAGGTTCCATTGTTGTATACATTTCTGCGCTAATGGCAATTTTAATATCTGGAAGTTTCATTAGAGCACATTCTTCAGCGTGTGTGTTATTTGGTAACTCTCTAGAGAATCCTCTAGATTCTATTTTTCCGTTTTTTACAATTACTGCACCAACACAAAATGCTTTTTTTGTTGGAGTGCATTTATTTGCTTCTTTTATTGCTTCTTTCATGAAATATTCATCTGTTTGCTGATTCATGATTTTATGATTTTAAAAAAAGTTTTCGAAAAACAAAAAAAAAATGAAATTTTTACAGCCTTCTAGAAAAAGCAAAAGTTGGCAAAAAAGCATTAATCTTAATCTTCTAGAACAAGGATTAGAAGAATTCTTGGAAGGAGAAATAAATGGGTTGATGATATCCAGTTAAAAAGGTTTTATTAATTTTTTTTAGTTATGTAATTTCTAAGATTCCTGATGAAAGGCTTTTTTTTGTTGATCTTGAAGGAGATACTAATGTTTATGGAAGACCTGAATTAGGGAAGTTTTTGAAAGCTGATAAAATATTGTTCAATGATTTTTCTATATCTATTTTTTCACATCTTTTTAAAAAGTGTATTAAGAATACTATTAATAAATTGAAATATAAAAAATGGACATGCCAAGGAATTTTAAACTCTGAGGAAATTAAATCACGGAAACCTAGTTTAAAGTTTAATAATGGTTTAAATAATGTTGAAATTCTAAAAAATGAAATGTCATCTGAAAAATTAGAATTTTATGATATATGGGAAAGCGATCATAATTTTCAAAGTTTATCGTTTTTTAGTTATTTATATCAACAGAATCGTTTAAAAGCACTTTCTACATTGTTATGCAAATCATTTTTCATAACAAATGATGCTTTTAATCTAAAAGTGGTTGATACAAGGCTGTCATATAATCCTTTGTTTGTAGAGTTTAAGAAATTATTAGAGAATGAAATGTCTAAAGTTTTTTCAAAAGAAATAAAAAATGACCAGAAAAAAAATACATCTAATATTTTGAATTGTGGTTTTGTTGTGAATAATGCTATTGAGGATTCATTTAAAAATACTAGTTTTAGAGGAAAAATTGATAGTTATGTTATTCGAAAAGCGGTAAAAAAAATAGAAAAGCAAAGAAAAAAAGAATTACAAAAAAAAGAGGTTTTGAAAAAAAATCTATTATTAAAAAATTCTTAAAGTATATAGGAAGATGGGTATAATAGAAAGGAACAGCATAAGAAACAAATAAGAGATTTGAGTTCTATAAATAAGATTTTGAAATCAACAGAAGAAAAAACAGATATTCAGAAATTAACTAATATAAATAATTTTAAACATAGGGTCATCTGTAAAAGGAAGCGAAGGGAATATAGGTGACATATTTTTTGCATTTCTTGATTTTAATTAAGTATTATTAGTCTAACAGTATCTCCGTTAGAAATTCAATCATCCGATGAGCTTACTAAATCATTTCGACTATTTAAGGTTTTTTATATAGATAACGGTTGATTCTCACTAATATTTTATATTTTTCCAGCCTCAAGGAAATATGTTTACTGATAGGTTTATAATTTTACAGGAAAGAGGGTTTATAGAACCAAGGTTTCCTGTAGTTTCCCATAGAAAATATTCGCAGTTTTATGCAGAAAAATGGAGTTATAAGGGGTTTAAGTTGTAGTATATTTGTAATAAATACTTTAAATATTAATATAATAATATAATCTTATTTTAAAATATTTAATTTTGTAATTTCGAGCATCGAGTAAAGTTTTGTATTTTGGAAAAATTATGGGTCACGCCGAGGATAATGTTGTTTGTAAAATGGCGTCTGAGTTTATGGAAGGTACTTTTTCGAGTTTTCAGTCTTCAGAAAATCATACTCAGATGATGTTATGTTGTGATTGTGGAGTTACAATATCGTAATTTTATTTCTATGATTAATTTATTTCTAATAAGAATAATAGTTCAAGTTTATCAACAATGTGTATAGATTGTATTAAAGTTAATGTTGATATTACTGATGGTATTAAATCATTAATGGGAATTTTATACTCTTATAAATTTGATCTAGGAATATCTAAAGAAAATATAATTCATTCTTGTCGAGAATGTGGAAGGTTTTTGCACTCACAGAATCAGTGGTTGTATGCAGAAGTAGAAAGTAAAGAGCTTTTATCTCTTTGTTTAAAAAAAATTCGTGGTTTAAATAAGGTATATATTGTAAATAAATAAATTATTAAAGCGGAATCGCTTTTAATAGGTTAGATTGGTAGATGCATCTTTTATATGGACAGAACCACATTCTCGAAAAATTAAAGTTAAAGTAACTATACAGAAAGAAGTATTTTGTTTTTTTGACAAGTTAGATAATTTAATAGTTTATTAGGTGTTAATATCTACAATTTTGCAACAGACGTTTGAAGTGGAATATACAATGGTATACCAGCAATGCCCAGATTGTGCTAGGATATATACGGCTCATACATGGAAAGCCCTTGTGCAAATTAGACAAAAAGTTGATCATAAAAGGACTTTTTTATATCTTGAACAGCTTATTTTAAGACATCATGCTCATAGAGATGCTTCAAGTATTAAAGAGGTTAAGGATGGCCTTGATTTTTATTATTTAAATAGAAGCCATGCTATTAAATTTTTAGAATTTCTTAGTACTGTAGTACCGGTGAAAACTAAAAAAAGTGAAGAGTTAATATCTATGGATATTAAATCAAATATTAGCAGTTATAAGTTCACATATTCTGTAGAGCTTAGTATGCATTTTTTCTTACCCTACAATTTTAATTCTTTATAGTTCCTATTTGTAAAGATGATTTAGTATGTTTACCTAAAGACATGGCTAAATCTATGGGGAATTTAGAGTAAGTTGTATATGATATTTTAGTGTTTAATTTTGTTGTAGGCAGTTAGTTTTGTGTTATAAAGTAGGAAATTCTATTCATGTTATTGATCCAAGAAGTCTTCAAATTGGTAATATTGTTCCTGCAATATATTGGAAAATGCCTTTTTTTTCTTTGTGCAATGTCAAAGATCTGGTAGAATTTATTGTTTTAGATAGTATGTTTTATATTTTATTTAATTATCTCTTATATATTTATATAGTTGAATTACTTGGTCCAGTGACTTGTAAGTTTGCATTAGCAGAAGTCCAGGTTATTCGGTCATTTGATTTAGGTTCAAATAGCAATCCCTATTTTGTTTATAGTCATTTAGGTTCTATTTTAAAGCCTGGGGATATTGTTATGGGATATTATCTTGAGAATTCAAATTTTAATAGCTCAATTTTTGAGATGTATCAAGAAACGTGTGCTTATGTTCCAGAGATTATTTTAGTAAAGAAAGGTTATCCAAGTAGAAGGAAAAAAAGTAGAATAAGAAATTGGAAACTCAAAACTCTGTTTAGTAAAGAAAAAAGGTAATTTACTAAATATTTAATTTTAGTTTAGAAAATTGATGTGTTAGTGAAACTAATGGGAAAAAATACGATCAGACATGTTTTGAAGATGATTACGAGTGTTTTTTGCAAGATCTTGAAGAAGATATTGAACTTCGTCGAAAGTATAGATAAAATTAGTATTATTTTTATTAAATTTAATTTAGTGTAAATTTATATAAAACAAAAATGAATTGTCAAAAAACATTTATGGCTACAAATACTGAAGATGATGTGAGTGATAGTGAGGAGTTTCCTGAAATAGATGTTAGTGAATTGGTAAGTATTTTGATAAGTTAGAATAAAATATTAATAAATTAAAGATTGATGAGATTGGGGAAATGAATATTTCTGAAGAAATATAATAAATATTTAACCTATGATGGAAATTTTCTAGAGAATTGTATTTAACATTGTATTTATTTCATCTTTTTCTTTTGCGTTTATGGGTGTATTGTTATATATAACTTCCCGTTGTTTAAATTTATATTTAGTCCTTGTTTGTGAATTTGGTGTTATATTTTCATCGGTTTTTTGCTTCTTATTTTTTATATTTTCGATCATTCTGCTATGTTCATAATTTTTTATATAATTTTGATTTTCCCGTTTTGCACAATAAATATTTGCTTTTAATTTTGAAGTTCGAGAAGCATTTTCAGATGCTGTTTAGTATTAGATTAGCACCTATAGTAATCTAGTTTACCTATTTGTTCTTGTAGATGGCTCCATTTGAATTTTGGTAGATATTTTATATTCCATATATCATCGTGATAATATGTCTTAAAAAAATTAATAAAAAATTGAATAAGATACACCTACATTTGGTTTTCCACCGATAATAGATGTATTTAGTGTATTAGCAACATGTTTCGCTTGTTTTTTTTCTTTGAATTCTACCCATCCTTCTGTATACATTTTTTTTTTGTTTCCTTTAAATTTAAGTCGTTTTAGACGATTTTTATGATTTTCTGGTGTTAAGAAAACTCTTTTTATTTCCCCATATTGTGAAAGAAGATGCTTAACTGTTTCTGGTTTCATGAATGGCGGTATTTTGCTGAGATATATTATTCCTGGTATTTTTTTTGATTTTTTTGAAACATCAAGAACTTTTTCTATCAATGATTTTTTATAAAATAATTTCTAACATTTTTAAAATATGATTTTTTTGTTAATAGTTTTTACTGTTTTCATAGTCTTTTTTATACGAATGCCTGATGTTATGCTATTTATGTTTATATTAGATTCTATATTTCCATCTTTATTATTATTTAAAGATTTAAATTTATCGTCCATTTTATTTTTAAAAATTACATTTAAATCGTTTGAATTGATTTTTTATTATTCTGATTTGAATTTTTTTTGATATTAATATTTTAAAATTTTTAGAATTTCGTAATTTTTGAAAAATTCTAAAAAAAATAGATTAAAAAAATATAGATGAAATTTCTTTTTTTTATATATTTATATTTTATTTAATTTTTGAATTTTTTATGAAATTTTTATTGCAAAATATATTGAATTTATTTTTTAATAATTTATTTTAATTATTTTAATAATTATTGTATTAAAAATATGATAAAAATTTAACTTTATTATACTTTTATTTTTAGAATAACGTTTTTAGTTTAAAAATATGTTGATATTTTTGATTTTTATAGTTCTCTGCTGTATTCCTTTTAATATATAAATAGAAAATTGTTTTCTAACAGTTGTTATTTTATTTAAAATAATGTTTTAAATTGATTAGAAGCAATAAGATTTAAATGTAACATATCTATTTTGCTGTTTAAAGTTTATAAAAAATGTTTGGAATTATTGATATTATAATTAATCTTGAATAAATTTAAGGTATTTAATTTTGACAGGTTTAAAAAAAAAAAAAATTAATATTATTTAAAATATATTTAAATATATATTATAAAAAAGTATATTTAATATTTTCTTTTTTAATTAAATGATTATATAATTTAGGTAAATTCCTTTTTTTTTTCCAATAAATATTGGTATTTTGTTTGTCCTTTTGATTCTCGTCTCTTCAAAAATTGTAGATCATTTTTTAAAGAGTTTAATCGTTTTGGTAATGCTTTTTTTTCTGAAAGATTTAAGTTTTGAAAACAATATAATTCTTGTTTAGCAAGAGATATTGCTTCAATGGAATCATATATTTTTTTTGATATTATTTTAGAGCGTACTTGGTACTCGTTTAATATAATGTCAAGTTTTTTTTCAATTTTATTCCCTTTATCTGCTTCTTTTGACATAATTTTTTGAATATTCTGAAAAAATTAATTCTTAAATATAATATCTCAGATTTTTATACTTTCCAATAATTTTTTAAATTATTTAAGTCTTTTGAATCTTTTTCTAAAGTAAAATCAAAATTATATAAATCTTTTTTATTATTTATTAATTTTATATAAGGTTCAATAGGTATAGAATCTTGTTTAATTTCTTTTTGAATCTCATTGTAGGCACAAAATATAAAATTATTATCAATATTATCTATAAAATAAGACGTGCCTATTATTTTGCTTTTAAGAATAGGATATCTTGAAGCATCATGAGAAAGAAGCTTTATCATTTCTTCTGTAATTAGCAATTCTGCACCTTGAGTTGTCTTTAACCATTTTAGAAGTAATTCCATATTAATAATCAGAGGTCGTGGTAAATCCTTTTGTATTACTTTACTTTTCTTTAAATCTAAAAGTTTTCTTTTTTCTTTAAGTATTTGATGTTCTTTATTTATATCTTCTGCATCTTTTTCAATATCAAATTCTTTTGGCTTATCGATATAATCTTCTTCAATAGGAAGTTCTAATTCGAAGTCATTTAAGGGTTTTGGTAAGGATGAAAATTTAGAACGTAAATGTTCTTTTTGAGATTTTTCATATAATTTATCTTCTTTATCTGCAAATTCAGTTAAATTTAGATTTTTTTGACTAATATTAAAATTATTGTATGGAGTCCTAAATGGTGTTGAATTAGATTTAATTGATATATTATTTTGAGTTAGTGAGACAGCTAATGGATTAGGTGTAACAATTGGCGTGTTTCTTGATGAATTTTTATTGGGTTCTGTTTCTATGGTTTGATGAAGGGGTGTATTTTCACCTCCAAATAAAGAGGATTGTTGTTGGGTTAATGCTTTGAGATTTTTGGCTTGAATCAGTATATGATCATCTAGATTCTATGTTAACATTGCATTGAATGTTAATATAATGTATATTATTTACCTTGTGCTGGTGTTCGCGGTGTTCTTATTGGAACTGCTGTATTTATATGAGAATATTGACCAATGAATCCTCTTGTAGCCTGGTTTCCTGTCATAGAAACTAAAGACCTTGCATATTCTCCTGCTTTATTTAATTTTATGACCTCATCGATTTCGTTATCATTAATTTGAGGATCTGGTAATATTAGTTTTCTCCTCTTACTAAATTGCTCAACATCTTTTAATTTTTGTATATTTCTAGCATTTTCAGAAGCTTGGAAAGCGGCTATTGCTGATTTATTAAATTCTTCTTTTTTACGTTTTTTTTTATCTGAATCCTCCTGATCCTTTTTTTTTTCTTCAAGTTGATGTAAATCTATATTGTTTTTAAGTGTTTCATTAATTAATTGTTCTTCCGTTGTATCGTAAAATCCAAGTGCAGGCTTTTTTTCAAATGGTATGTCTGCATTGTAGTCCATCTGTCCTTTTTTTCGATGATGGAGTCGGATGCTAGTTATTAATTAGTAATAGTAATATTATTTTAATTATGTATTTATACTTAATTCCTGCTGCCTTTAATTCCCTCCGTTTTTGAAGTACTGCTAACCGACGAGATTCTTCAAGTTGTTTTTCTCGCGCTTTCCGTTTAGCTTTTTTTCCTTGAGTATTGGCTAATCGAGCTCTTGCTTCACTTAACATTTCTTTTTCATCTTCATCCATGTCTACTGCATCTGGTAGAGCTGGCTTGTTTTCAGGATTGGGGTCAATTTCCCCTGGTCGGAGACGTCGTACATCATCTGCTGTTGGTGCTGATGTTTCATTACTAAGACTATCGAGATTAAAACTAGATTCTTTGATCTCCGCATCATCAAGGAGCTTTTGATATCTTTCAAGGCATTGCGTAGCAGTTCTACCAACAATAGTAGCAACTGTTCTCCATTGTGTTGGCATAAGTTTTGCAAGATGCAGTAGTTTTTCATCCTCTTCTTTTGTCCATTCAATCTTTTAAATATTAATAAATCTTTTTATCGTTTGATATATTAGAATCTTACTTTTTTAATCCCTGGATCAAGCCATTCATACCATCGTGCTTTACATTGTTTAGCAGTTTTACGAACAAGAAGACTACTAATTCGTGCCTAGATATTAATAATTAATATTAAAAATATTCTTAAGAGAGATTTACCCATTGATTTTTTCCATATTTACTTACAGCTGCTTTTAATATCTATTAAATAATTTAAAAAATTGTGTTAAATTATTTATGCTAACCTCATCTTCGACATTTTTCCAAATACCTCCTTTTACAGTTGGTGCCATTTAAATATATTGTTATTTGTGTTTTTGTTTTTAGTTTTTTATATTTTTGACTTAGACGTTATGGTTTTTTTAATATTTTTTAATTAATATAAAATTTGTTTAATTTTGTAATTTATTCATAGAATTCATTTAATTTTGAATGTATAATTTTGAATTTTAAAAAATATAACTATATTTTATTGAAATATATTAGTAATATATAATTATACTAATTAGTTTTTGAAATATTTTTTTAAGTTATAATTTGTTATTTTGAAATAATATATCACATATATATATATATATTGTGTATATTTTTTTACTATAGAATATATATTTTATTTAGTAATATTTGTTAATAATTATTTTAGTAAAATTATAAATTTAGAAGTTTATAAATTTAGAAGTTTATAAATTTGGGAAAATGAAGTTTGAGATTAATTATGTATTTGAAATGGTTAATAAATTTTGCAAAGATCTACTATCTATTTTTGAATATGTTTATTTTGAAAGATATGTGTATATTTATGAAAAATATTGAATTTATAAAATATATTGATAAGTTTTAAACTTATTTTTGTAAAATTATATATCCTAAATTTCAAAATCAGTGTATATTAAATTAATAATTATCAATTAAGAATTATAGAAACATTAAATTCTGAAAAAATTCTAAAAAAAAAAAAAAAGTATAATTTAAAAAATAAGACAATATATTTTTTGAATACTAAATATATATCTAAATATGATTTTAAATTGTAAACATAGAGAACTTTTTGCTTTTATTAATAACCCGAGTTAATTTTACATATAAATATTAAAAACAATCATTGTATATTTGCTTTTTAATCATTTATATAATAATTCAGAATTATTTTTCAATGTTTAAATTTTAATATTTGAATGTTTTAATTCAAAATATTTAATGATAGTAATAAATATGTTATAATCGCATATGGTTACTATAAATGACATTTTAATAATTTTGGAATTTTATAAAAGATGTTAAAAATATTTATACAGAATAATTTTTTCATATTTTTGTGTGGAATATAATGAGGTATTTATCAGCCAAATGTTGAACTGGTATGAGCAATGCGTTTTTGTTTAGAAATTCTCCATTCATCTTGATCTGTAGCAAATCTATTATATAATGGCTCGATTTTCTCTCGTTGTTTTGATTTTGATATTTTATTTTGATCAGCTATTTTAAAAAATGAAGGTGCTTCTTCAACTAGCCATTTAGGTTCTATAGATGTTACACAATGCATATACTCTTTAGTTGTAGCGATAAGTTCATGATAAATAACCCATTCCGCTGGTTTACCAAAAATTGCAGATGATGGATGAATATATACAGGTGTTCCTTCTACTATAGTTTTATATCCTTCATGAGGATCCTTTTTACTTGCATGACTAAAAAATCCTGATATTAATGCCCGACGGACTCTGTCATAATTTTTTCCACATGATACAACATTGTAATTATATCTTTGGAAAATACTTAGAAGCTGCTGTCTGACATCTTGTGCTTTTTTCATGCTTCTAGCTTGTATAAAATTTTCATAACACCATGCATTTGAAAATGAATTAGATTTCCATGCATTGTAAACAGCTAAAAGAGTTAAATGATCGCCTTTTGTAATTAGTTTTAAATTAAGTGAATAATTTGAAAATTACCTTCTGGTTGATGAAATTTGGCTTTTTTTTGATCTGCTTGCTGTTGTTTATCTTTTGGTCTATAAAATACTGTCTGAACTGAAAGCATAGCAACTATACTAAGCATTTCTTCTGAGCAATTCATTTCAACAGATGTAATCAATACTTTAGCAAGAGATGGTTTCATAGGAAAGTCTGCCATTTTTCTACCTAATCTTGTCAAAAGCCCCTCATTATCTAAAGCACCTAAAGCATATAATTGTTCTAAAGCTGACAACATGCTTTGAATTGGAGGGGGATCCATAAAATCGAAATGAAGAAGATCATTAATTCCCATAGCTTTAAGCATAATAATTGTATGTGCTAAGTTTTGTCTTTGTATTTCGGGAATAGAATTAGGAAGCATTTCATTATGATAAGCGGATTCTGTATAAAGTCTATAGCATTTCCCAGGGCCTGTACGGCCTGCTCGACCTGCTCGTTGTCGTGCTTGTGCTTGAGATATAGGAGTTATAATAAGATTATCCATTCCAAGTTTAGAATCATAGCTATTTAATTTAACAAATCCAGGGTCAACTACATAGTATATGCCATCAATTGTAATAGACGTTTCTGCAATATTTGTTGCTATAACAACTTTACGACTTCCTGAAGGTGCTGGTTCAAATATTCTACTTTGTATTTCACTTGGTAATGCAGAATAAACCTAAAATGAGTTAGAAAAATTAAAAATTGAAATAGATCTAGGACCGGTAAAATAATGAGTTCTGGAACAGACGAACCTAAAGCTTTTATACGCTTAAAAAGAATTTCACAGCTAGTATCTATTTCTTCTTGGCCTGTAAGAAATAATAAAATGTCACCTGGGGGTTCTGATAGATGAATTTGCATCACTGTTATTAAAGCTGCATCTAAATAGTCTTTTTCTGGCTCTTTTGTGTATAATATTTCTACAGGATATGTTCTCCCTGGAATAGTAAAAATTGGACAATTATAAAAGTATGAAGAAAATTTCTCTGCATCTAGTGTTGCTGATGTAACTATTAATTTTAAGTCTGGCCTTCTTTTTAAAGATTCTATTTAATCAGTATTCACTAATGAACAAAAGGTTAAATTTACTTTTAAGTAAACCAAAAAGAACATCTGTTGCAATTGTACGTTCATGTGCTTCATCCAATATAATTACAGAATAGCTTTTTAAGTCTGGATCTACTAAACATTCGCGTTGAAGCATCCCATCTGTCATATATTTGATTTTCGTTTCAGGACTAGTACAGTCTTCAAAACGAATAGTATATCCAACTTCTTGACCTAGACGACACCCTACTTCTTCTGCAACGCGTTTAGCAACTGACATCGCTGCTACTCTACGAGGCTGAGTACATCCAATTTTCCCACTGTTTGCAAACCCTTCTTCTGCAAGGTATTGAGTAATTTGAGTAGTTTTTCCTGAACCTGTATCTCCCACAACTATAATTAGTTGATTCTAAAGCTCCTTAAAACTAAATACTATAAACTTATTTCATACCTTATGTACTGCTTCAACGAATGATGCTCGAAGTTTAAATACAGGTAATGCCTGTCGTTGTTCAGTGATACTTAAATTTGTTATTTTTCCAAATGAAATGTTTTTAGAAAAAGTAGCCTTTTTCCAGTCAGGAATGTCATTTGTTTTTTTATTTAATATTGTATTTTTTAAGTCTTGAGCAAAAGTTTTTTCTCCATGAGCCATTGGATCTAACCATTGAGCACTTAAATCTTGAAATTCTTCTTCTCTATTTACTGCTTCACGCTCTTGTTGGCGTAATTCTTTTCTATCTTTTGCTAATTGCCCCCCTTGCATTGCTGCTCTATTCATAGACCCATTAGGGGCTTTTATTATTTTTATTGGACTCAATTGGAGACTTCTCTTTGTTTGTCCTATTAAAAATGGTGGTTCTTCATCTCTTACTTCAATATCAATATCTTCATTATCTTCTGAATCATCATTTCCATTGATATGTAAATTATAATCGTCATCTAATTCTGGATAGTCTGATGCTGAAACAGCTCCTGATGCCATAAGCTGCTTTATTTCCCAACGTTCATACGAATTTAAGCGTTTCCTAGGTTTCATTGGATAATTTAAGTCACCTTCTTCTATTACTGGTATATTTTGATAGTTTTTTGGAAAATCGCTAGACATTTTTAGAAAATCCCTAGGATTAACTGATTTTTCGGATAAACTTGGGTTTAAGTCTTTTCCTGTAGACTGGTCTACATCTTTCATTGATAAACTTATACGTCCATTCTGATCAATTTTTATTACTTTTACCATAACGTTTTGGAACTTTGAAACAATATCTGATGGGTGATTTATGTGCTCTTTTTTCATGGCCGATATATGTACTAATCCTATATAAATTAATCATAAAAAAAAATAAAAGTAAAATGTAAAATTTACCATCTACTTTTTTATAAAGACCGTCCAAAGTTACAAAAATTCCAAAATCCTTAATTCCTGACACTTTTCCCTAATAAAAAATCAGTATAGATAATAAATATTGTAGGATTTTCTACGTTATAAATTTTATATAGTTCTGGTTTGTCACTTAGTTTTTGATGATTATTATTAGTTGGCATATCTTTACTTATTTTTTTATATTTTTTGTTTTGATAATTGTCCTCATACATAAAGTCTTTATTTTTATTAGAAGATTTTATAGCAGGATCTTTATCTTCAGATAATATACAACGTTTTTTATTTGTACTAATGTATTTTTCTTTGTTATTTTCGTCATTGGATAACTTTTTATGTTTTAAAAAAATATCATTTTTATATAAGTACATCTACCTCAGGTATTTGATACCAGTCAATTTCTTTATCTGGAATTGACAATCCTTTGAAAATTTGAGATTTCATGTCATTATCATTAGTAGAATTATGATTTTCTGCACTTACGGTATTTCCTTCTTTCTTTTTTATTGATTTTGGTTGCATTAATAAAATGAGACGATCAATATTTTCTATAAATGATGATGTGAAATCAGCTCCTGCTTCTTCTAACTTAGTTTTAAAATCATCTAATGAAGAAGAAATAGAATGTAAATGAATAATAAATTCTACTAGGTCATTATCATCTATGCCTACATGGTTAACAAGTTCTCGTGCTATAATACTTATTAGGTTTAATTTTTCAAGTTTTTGAAGTTCGTCCATAAAGATGGTACAATAAAATATTTAGTTATATTAAAATAAGAAAAATTTTTAGAATATTTTATTATTTTTTTAAAAAAGTTTTAAATGAATTCTTTTGTTTTAATTAATAAAATAATCATTTTAAAAGTATGAAAAAATATCGGTTTCGAGATAACACAGAATTTTAAAAATAAGATTTTGAAATTCTATATGTGTAATTATATATATGCCTATACCATTTATAGTGTATCTAGCTAATTTTTCACCTTCTGTATTGCATGAATATGTTGTTTCTATTGGCATTCATATATGTATACCATTAATTATATTACTTTGTTTCTTAAAAAAGTGTTTTTCTGGAGTGAACAACAAAACAGATAGAAGATTTAATGGTAGTGTATTTCTTATTACAGTATGTTTAGTTTATTTATTTATGTCTTTTATGATGAATCTTAGGGTGGAACTTCTGGAATAGGTGCAGAAGTTACAAAAGAGTTAGCTGAGAGGGGTGCTCATATAATTCTTTTAGTTAGATCGAATTCTGATTCTTGGACAATTGATTATGTTAATGATTTAAGGTCTCGAACTAATAATCAGATGATATATGCAGAAACTTGCAATTTGTCTTCTTTGTATTCTATTAGACAATTTGCTACTAAATGGATTAATAATGTTCCTCCAAGAAGACTTGACATGGTAATATGTTGCGCTGGTGTTATGTTGCCTCCATTTAAGCCTAAGTTGGTTACCGATGATGGTGTTGAATTGCATTGGGGTATTAATTATTTAGCACATTTTCATCTTTTAAACTTAATTTCTCCGGCATTACGATCGCAGCCTCCTGGGAGAGATGTTAGAGTACTGATTACTATTTGTTCTATTTATATGTTAGGAGATTTAGATTTAACAGATTTGGAGTTTCATCGTAGAGGATATCCTTCATCATGTCCTTGGAAATGTTTTGGAGCATCAAAAATTGCTCTCATGAATTTTGCAATGGAGTTTCAGACTCGTTTGTCTAATTATAAAAGATTAGATGAATTTCCAAATAATGTACGTTGTTATGTTGTAGATCCAGGTTTTGTAAGATCTCATATGACTCTTCGTTTTTTGAGTTTTGGAAGTCTATGGGGGCTTCTCTTGTACATTTTTATGTGGCCTTTATGGTATGTTGTTTTGAAAAGTTGTAAACAGGGTGCTCAAAGTTTGTTATATTGTCTAATGAGTTCTGAGTGTGGAACTGGTCAGGGAGGAAAGTTAATTGTTAAATGTTCATTAAGAGAGTAAGTAAAATTGGGTTATTTTTTATAGTCTAAAGATATAAGTATTGGGATGAAAGGATATATTAATACAGATATTTCAAATCGTTTATGGAAAATTACAGAGACATATATTATGGATTTAGAAAAAAAAGAGGCAATGAAACGTAATATCTTAAAAAAAAAAAAAAAGAAGTAAAATTAGCATAAATCTATTTTAGTATTGTTTATATTTTTATTTTATAATAATGATATTTTATATAAATTAATAGATTTTTTTTATTTTTTTGAAATCTGATTCGATATTTTAAAAAAATTTGAAAATAATTTTGGGTCATGGTAAAGATTTATAGAAAGAATTCTATTTGAAAATAATATAAATAGATACCTTTTTTTTATAAATTATCTGATGTTTCTTCATCTCCTATACAAACTACAGCAAGTCAATCAGTAAAAACTATTCATGATACTTTTAGATTTGGTTCCAGATCTTTATCATTAAATACGGATTTGTACCATTCTCTTGAAATTGCGCTTAATAGTTTTAAGCACAAAGGATATGAGTTGAAAATGCAGTCTTTGAGTAGAATTTTTGGTATTTCAGAACCTATTCGCCGTAAAATGGAATTAAAAATTCTTGATTCTGTAAGTATTTGTAACTACTGTTACTATATTCTTGTGTGATATATTTGACTAGGAATTTAAGCCTTTGGTTCTTGGGCAGTCAAGTAATATTCATCATGATATATTTAGCGGAAATGATAGTAGCATAGACGTTGATGAAATTTTTTTTGGTTTTATAATTTTGTACTTTTCAATTGAGCTAATAAAATTAGATGATCATGATTGTTCTGTTGATTTTCATTATGAATTAGAGAAAAAATGTTTGTTCAATAATTTTTAAAAGGATTTTGATAATATTAAGTTTATAATTATGAAAAAGTACTGAGCTTTTTATTGTATTATGGTTTCAATTATATTAGATTTTTATTTATAATTATATATAATTATTGATTGCTTTATCTTAAAATATTTTTAATAAGTTTGTTTTGAAACTTAAATATTTCTTATCTATTGCAGAATTAAAATACAGATTATTGTTTGTATTCACTAATTTTATTAATATTTTTATTGAATTATGAAATTTAGTAAAGCGTAAAAAGATGTTTTTAATAATATTTTTAATATTAACTTGTAACGTTAAAATATTAAAATATTATTAAAAATTATTTGATTTATAATTTTATTTTATAAAACATTTGTAAGCTATTTAAATTTAATGAAAGGATTATTTAGTTGATTTAAATATATTTGATATTTTTTTGTTTAAAGTTTTCGTTAGTTTATATGTTAATTGTTTTTATATTCAATTTGAAATTTTGTGTAAAATTTTATTATCTATTAATTATCTATTAATATTAAATTTTAGGATATTTTATATTAAAAATTTTAACGTATTTAAAATGTGAATTCTTAGTATAGGTTGAAATTTATATCTAGCTATAAAATTTTTTAAATATTTATAAATTAAGATATTTTTGTAGTTTTCAAAATTAATACAATATAGAATGGTTTATTTTAAATTTGTTTTTCTTTATTTTATTATAGAAGTCAGATTTTGTAATTTTTTTTCGATATTTAAAAAAATTGTTAATTATCTGCTTTTACTATGTCATTAGATTCTTTTAAAAATTACTTAAAGTTGAATAATATAATCGCTGATGATTTGAAAAGTTTTGTTACTACCAAAGTGTATTCAAATCCTTCTTTTGTTTTAATTGGTAATAATAAATATTTAATATTTAAAGATAATATTTCTAGGTTTAAAGAAGGTTTTGAGCTTTTTTAAGGAGTGTGAAACATACCTTAATGAAAAATCAGGAAATTATCAGATATTATTATCTTATTTTAATACTGAGATACCATGCCAGGAAATTTTTGAGCTTTGGATATATTTCTATCAGGTGATAATGATTTAAAATTATTAATTTTTAACAAATTAAAAGCATAATAATTTTTCTATTATTTCTATTATTTTGGAAATAATGATTTCTGTGATACGGATTGTTGGATTATTAGGCATTTATACTTCAGGCAATAAAATTATTAAAAGGATTTTGAATTTTCACATTAAGTCTATTTATCGTAGTCTGAATTCTGATGTTGATCTTTTGGTTGTTAGGGGTATGAAGCTTTTAATAGAAATGCTGCATTTCAATTCAGGGTCTCTTATGTTAGAAATTTTTAATTCTTTTGATTTTTCGCATAAGGTTGTTTTTAAAATACTTAGGGTAATTTATTTTTATAAGAGAATTAAAAATTGATTTTTAAATAGAGCTTTTCTAAGGCTTCAAATAGTGTTATTTTTCAAATTAATAGACAATTTTCTACATTTGAAACACCTAGAATTTTTATGATTAGATTTATACTTTGTTTTTTAAGATTAGGCTCTGTTTCTTTGAAATCGGAGCTTCTTAGTTATAAAAATATATTCTATGATATTTTTTCTGGTCTTATTAGAGATAATACAGATTTTATACGAGAAGTATTGGATATTATAACTCGTTATGTCATTTTTGAGAAGGGTATACCTCGTAGTATAAAATTACCATTATTTAATGATTATGTTTTGAATAAAGTGAGTTTAATTGTATTAGATATTAGATATTCAGGAAAGTATAGTTAGTTATGTTATATTCTGGTGCAGATGGTGAAGTTTCACGATCTATAATTATACATAATTTTTTGGTCTTTTTATGTACTAGGCCTGGAATGGGTGTTTGTTTTGAATCTAATGGATGGTATCCAAAGTCAGGAACTGATTTAAAAAAAAATGAAGATCCATTAATATATAATAAAATTTTGTCAGTCTTTATATTTAAACTTAAGATAACTCAGGATGTTCTTCAGCAAGAATTGTTTTTAAAAATATGTCAAGCATGCCCTGAATTGATTGCACATTGTGCTTCTCAATTTAGTATTAACATTCGTTTTGATCCTCATTTAACTGTATCATGGTTAAGTATATCTTCTATTTATCAGTCTATTATTCTTTTACCTATTCCACCTATGACTATTTTTGATATTTCTCTCGAATTAGTTCTTAATAGTATTTTAGAAAATATTCTTCCTCTTGCATTAACAAAAGTATCGCTTACTTTAGGGCTGCGGCATAATAACGACTTGGTTGTATTTTTTACTGTGAATTTAGTTTTATCTTCAATAAATAAATATTCTCTGATAATAGCTATGTTGGATAAAAATAATTTAGATGTATTTATTTTTGAACGGAAAAGACTTCGGCAATTATTAAAGGAAATGTTTTTGGAACGTTTACCTGATATTCATATTGTTTTCTTTCTATTTAAAACTATTTGGGAAAAATCCAATAGTCTTTTAAAATTTTCTATAGTAAAACTCTTTTCGTATTATATAGAATTTTTTCCTGAAATTGTTTTTCTTCAAAAACATAATTATTCTTCTATTTTAATAAAAGGGTTTTCTGGGATGTCAAAAAATGTTTATAGTTCTCTTATTTTTTATTATTTGTTTCGTATATTTCATAAATTTCTTCCAATTTTGGACTGGTGGAATAAAAAACAAGGTATATTTAATTTTGAAATTTATAGTCTTTTGAATTATATAAGAATATTTAGATTCTATTTTTACTACTTTGGTTAAATTTTATCTTTTTTGTGAAAATGAGGAGTTTAAAAAAGAATATAAGGATCTTATATCATGCTTGTTAGTATCATCTAACGCGTTTTCCTCTGTGTCGTTTATGGATTCTGGTGAATTGATATTAAAATCTTTAGATGATGTGAAATGTTTTTCTAATGATGTCGATATTGTAGTTGATTTTCTAGGAAATAGTTTAATGCATTTTATGAATTCTCCTCATAAATATATGGATGATTTTATTGCTTTTATCTTTGATTATAAATTAGAAATTAATCAAAGATTTCCTGGTTTAATAATAATTGTATTACTGGAACAATGGGGTTATTTTTTTTTCCATTCCATGTCTTCTAATGATGATAAAATTTTAATTGCATCATGGTTATCAAGAATTATTGGATTTTTTGCTTTAAATGAAGATATTTGGGAAATTTCAAAAAAAATATGTTTTAGATTAGTAAATTTAACGCAAAAATATTCTATTGAAATTGCTCAAATATTTAATAGAACAAAAATGTATATCGGATTTTTAGATGATCTATTATTTTTAGATAAAATTTTTTTTGAAAATCCTGTTTTTTTTTTAACTATTAAAGGATGTCAAAATATTTCTTTTACAAATTATAGATATTCATGGTAATATCCTTAATATTATTATTTGTTGCTAATTGTACAAAAAGTGATTTATTAAATGATAGCTTCGTTTTAATTGACTTTATTTTGCATGGCGAAATATTGCAATTATCTATGTATTTTGATGATATATTGTATTATATTCAATCCAGATATATTCGTGTTTCTTTACTGGATGTTATTGCATTAAAAAAGGTGATATATCTTCTTTTAAGGGATGATAAAAAAGCTACATGTGAATTTAATGATATTCTTTTAAAATATTTTAAGATAATTAAAAGCATTGGTAATGTTTTGAAAGATACTAAAGACTTTGAGAAATTTAGAAAAATTATAATTGAAGGAAGTAATTGGAAAGATAATTATTTAAATTTTAAATGCAAAATTAATTCTTTTAAAATCAAAACTTTTTCAAAAGGTAAGATTTTTCATTTTTTTTTTATATTTTAATTTTATTAAGAATTTGTACATCTTATTGTAGAATTTATAGATCCGTTAAGTTCATATTTATTACTGGAAATTATAGATAAAACATATGCAGGTTTTATAAGTGTATTAACTGATAAATTGATAAGAGCTATCTCTTTATCTTCTAATGAAGTATGGAAATAATATAGTGTTATATATTTTCTTAAGTTTATAGTGGAATGAAGTTTTATTATTATTAAAACCATATTGGCCAGAAAATCAGTTTTCTGTTATATCTGTGGAAATTTTGGAAAAGTATATACAAGAAATATATGTTTTTGGGTCTGTAGATTCTGATGTTTTTGGTTTTTTTGAGCTTATTTTTAATTATTTTTTTACAATAAATTTTATTGAGATTGTTGAATTCTCTGATCTTATTTCAATTTTTAATATGGGATTAAGAAATGGTTATTATTTAAATATTATACTTAAACTTTTAACTTCCAGAGTTTCTTCTTTGGCTAATAATGTCGCTTATGATTTTTGTGCATTTATAGATAACGGTTTTTTTTTAACACTTCAAAATATAAATGATGTTTTTTCATTGGATTTAATTAACAAATTGTGTGCTAAATCTATTGTTTTTTTTGAGATGATGTGCGGAAATTTATGCGAAATAGTAGAAAAATGTAAAAACACTTTCAATTTGCCGTCTTTTTTTTTGACTAATTTATTATGTATTATTGATGCATATGTTTTATGGAAAAATCACATATTAGAAAATAAAAATTATGCTATGATAAAGATGTTAGAGAGTCGTCTTATTTATTTGTTGCAATATGTTGAGGATGATTTACTAAAGGGATTTTTTAATGAAAATGATGAAGGTGTTCTGTTATTTCAGATTTTGTTTAAAAGTATAAAAATAAATTTGTTTGAAGATGGGAAAAAGATTCTCAATAAATTTTGTACAAGATGTGATAAGATGATTTTAAATAGACGATTTGTTCAAGTAATTGAATTAATGACGTATATATATGGAAATGAACTTATTGACAACTATATCAAAATATGGTTTATTAATGTTACAAAGTTATTAATAGAATGTTTTTCAGAAGAGAGGCTTTCTAGCAGTTTTATTGATTTTTTAGAATCTTTTAGTGAGTTTAATTAGTATTTTTTTTCTTCTAATATTTTATAGTTGATTATCTTACTTTTTCGAAAAAACGATTGTCGAATTATGTTTTAGAAAATTTTTATCTTTTAATAGAAATTGGACTTAAGAACCATATACTAGTATATAATGTGGTTAGATTTATTTCTGTTATTGTTAAAGGGTTTAATGTAAGTATTCTATAATGTTAGTTATTTGTATTTACAATATAAAGATGGATGATTCTACATTATTTGTATTATTGATTTTGTCCAGAAGCGATGACTGGAAAGATATTAATAATAACGTTTCTATTTCCTTTGAACATAGATTAATAATTGTTCAGTTACTTCATTATTTTACTTGTAATTCTTCTAATTTTGCATCTTTATCTATAGTCGAAAATATTTGTAGTATTTATACTGGCACTACTCATATTATTGATCGAGTTTTATTGTATATTTTGCAAAAGAATGAGGAGTCTTTTCGACATAATTTTTTTAATAAAAAAATTGTTTTTAATGTTGAATCTAATATAAAAAAAAATTTACCACTTAAGTTTTTTTATTCTGAGGCTGATCTTACTATCACTTTGTCTTCTGAATTACTTACCAGGAGTATATATTTTTTTCCTCTTGAAGAATTGTCTTTAGATTTTTTCGAAATGTCTAAGGATAAAGTAATCTTATATTGTAATAAGGTTGAAATTGTATACGATCCTTTATTTTTTCTTCCTCTTATTATGGCATATATCAATTTGGAAGAGCAACTCTCGTTTATGTTTTTAATTGATTCCGGTATATTAGGATATATTTTAATATCTTTATCTTCATATGATATGAAAGTGAGGAAAATGTCATTAGCAGTTCTTTCTGTGTTGAAAAATAGTATTTCCGTAGGTTTAATTTTTTATAATTTGTTTTTTAATGTTATTAGACTATTCATTTTTCCGAGAAATCCCAAATTTTGATGTTTTTTCAGGTATTGAAGTCATCTATAAGTATTTCTAGTATAGAGTTGGGACCTATTTCTTATGTTGTTTCTCTTTTTATGGCATTATCTATACAGATAATAACTAATCCGTCTCATTTCTTATTTGATGAAGTTTGTCGTTTTTATTTACAAAGACCAAAACTTGATTTTCAAGATGTTCCCATGTTTTATATTTTTTGGAGTGGATCTTGTAATTATTATAAACAAAGTAATTGGTTAATATCGTTTTTGAATTTTGGTTTACGAACATTAATGGTAATATAATTTAATTCGTTTTTATTATTTTTAAAATGATTTAGGATTATAAGATATACAAAAAAAGGCATATTTTTGAATTACTTTGTTGTTTATTTTCATCTGAATTGGCTACTAGTGAGATTCGGTTTAGAATTATTAATCTTTTTTCCTCTGCGTTAGATATATACCAAGTTAATCTGTCTTTGGTACGTGATTATGGAATAGTTTCTTGGGTTGAGCAACAGATCGTTATTTGCAATGATAAAACTCTGAAATCGATGCTAATGCGATTATTTTTACGTTTGCATAATTTAAATTTGAAAACTGTATATAAATATAAAAAAATGTAAAAATAATGTTGAAAAAAAACAAAATACAGTGATATATAATTACTATAAATATAATTTGAACGCCTACATAATTAATTTATATATAATATATTAGATTTGGATTATCGTTTTTTATTAAAATTTTAGATATATAAAAATTGTTAATTTAAAATCGTTATGTCTTTGATTTATTCACTGGAGCAGCTATTTGATATTAGAAACTCTCCTTTTGTTAAGAAACCAGATAGATTACCTGACGGAATAGGGTAAATAAAAAATAAGAAAAATGGTTTTTTGCTAATCATTTTTAAGATTTGAATCTAATAATGTTGATTATAATAAAATGAAAGGTGAATCTGATATTTTCAACAAAGAAAGGTTTTGAAAATTGCTTTTTTAGTGTGCATTAATTTTTACTTGTTATTTTAGACCGGGTAATATTGAAATATTTAAAAGTCAAAAATCTTTTTATACTTCGGGTACAATATCTATGATGTATAATATTTTTTAATTATTTTAGATTCAGATAAAATGCTTTTGACTCTAGATTGTGATTCTTCTATGTCTTTTGTCTCCGCCCCTTTAAAGGCTAGGAATATTGGTAATAATGATGATAATTCGAAAAAAGTGACTGAATTTTGTAATTCTTGGAAAATTATTGGACGTACTACAAATTCTTTAGAATCTAATGATTCTCTTGGGTGTAGAGCTAATAATGATGAAAAACGTATAAATTTAATACGAGTGGCACATGATAATTCTAAGATTATAGATAAACCAATTTTTAGAGATGATAAAGGTAGTGGAAAGTGGTTAATAGATTTTTATATATGTTGATGTTTTTAGGAATTATTGAAGAAAAGAAGAGTTATAAACATAAAACACGTACTGATTTTCGTAATAAAAAATGTCGAAACTACTCTGTTCCTATTGTCCATGAAGATGTAGCGTTGAAAAAAATACTTTATAGAAATGAAATCCAGGGCGTTGGTATATTGAATTTAGAAAATGTGGTAAAAAATGATTTTTCCGATGATTTTAAACATTTGAAAACAGATATAAAAAATATAACTAATATTCCTAATATTTTTGATAATAATTTAAAAAATTATTCTAATTTAGAGCATGCAATTTTTTCTGATGAGATGATTAATAAAGATAAAATATCTGCGTTGCGCGTTTCACAAAAGACGTTATCTATAGAACATGAAAAAAAACGTATTTTGGATTCTAATGAAAGTTTTTATGATAATTCTCCTAATTTCCCTCAATCAAAGATTGTTGATGGTGGATTTGACTCTGTACACTCTTTGTCAAATTTGACACATCCTTTAAAATATTCTGATGTTAATTCTAATAAGACATCTCGTTTTTTTAATTTTTTTACCGCTGATTCTATAAAGTCTGAAAGTAATGTTAGAAAATTGAACTCAACTTCTTTGTTAAATACTTGTTTTTCGGATGAAACAACAAATGATAATTTTTTATCCACTAGGTTTTCGACTACTGGTTTAGTAAATGAATTGGATTATACACATGAAGATTCTCGAATTTCTTTTTCTAATTCTAGAACAAATGATGATATAGTTGGTTTTCAAAGAATAATGGCTATGTTGAAAAAATCAAATCAGTCGATTTCCAATGATGTATGTTTAGTTTATTTTATGCTTTTTTTGATTCTTTAGCATTTAGTATCTTGCGAAATGATATCTGAAGATATGACATATAAAAACAATGAACATCGTATACAAGTTACTGATGATATGACTAAATATGAATCAGTTATGAATAAAGATAGTTCCGATTCAAATTTTTTTATGAGTTTACTTAATCAGTCTTCTCGTTTATCTTCCTTTCATAATGCTTCTGAAAATGGTTTGTGAATTAAAGGTGTTAATTTGATATGATATCTAGACAATATAGAGATTTTACAAATTTGTAATATTTCGAATGAAATGTCTAGATATAATAGTAAATAGCTATTTTTTTATTATGTTATCTTTAATAATATTTTAGCTGATACTTTGAGATTGTATAAACATAACGATAATGAATTCATATTCCCTTTTTTTTTTTTTGAATAATGGCAATAGTTCTTATACCAGGTTAATTTTGCATTTTTAATGAATATTCATTTTAATAGTTGTAGATGATTACTTTGAAAAAAACCATGAGTTTCTTAGTATTGATGTTTCAAATTTTTAATGGGCATCATAATAGGGATATAATTTTATCATTTGTATTGTCTTTTTGGATTTGGATTTGATAGTTTTATTTATGATATAAATTAAATGATAGTAGAAAATAATATGTATAATTTAGCATTTTATAAGTAGTTGTAAAAAGAAAAAATGTTGAGTTATTTTTTATTTTTTTCTATATAATTTATATAATTTAGTTTATAAATATTTGTAATAAATAATACTATATAAATTGATTCATATATTGAATGCTATTACTCAAAAGTAATATGGCACAAATTTATGATATTATAATTTTGGATTTTGATATTTGTTATATAATATTATATAGTATTATATAGTATTATATAGTATTATAAAATATTTATTAACGTTATATATAATTTTTGTATAATTTATTTTTTTGATAAAATATAATTTATAAAATAATTATATATATATAATTATATATATATAACTTTACATCAAAAACAATATATCATAAAATTATTGAAAGATATATTTAAATAAAATTATAAATTGATTTTTTAAAATTGGTAAATCATATTTAATATTTTAACAAAATACCTGAAAATAATTGTATATGTAAATTGTATATTATATTTTTAAATGATTCTATCTATTAATATATATATAATTTTACATTTATTAATAATAAATAATAAACAATATTATGTATTAGTAGACAATATTATTATTATAAGAATAAATTAATATTTATATTAATAATTGTAGATATAACATTCTCTTACATTTTTGAAATATCAAAATATTGAATTTTTATTTTTTATATATATAAAATATATATATAATATATATTATATAAATGTAATTGATAGAATCTTTAGTCATAAAAAAATTATAAAATTTTATAAATTTGAAATGATTTAATGTATAAAGTATACGTAAAACGTATTAATAAATCGAATTTACTAAAAAATAAAAATCATATTTTATAATTTGATATATAAAATGAATCAAGACATTATTATAGAAACATCATCATCTCATATACTCTTAGATATTCCTATGTCAATAAGTTCGCATCTTTTGTCAGTTGAACCAATTAATAAACCATTTAAACTTCCTGAATCAAAATTATTACAACAATCAGAATTTTTAATTTTTAAACATAAATATTGGGAAAATGAAATTATTGAAGCACTAGAACAAATACATCATATTAGAAAAAATAAAAAATGGACATTAAAACGAAATATATTAACAAATGAAAAAATAAAAGTATTGGAAGCTCTTGAAAATAATATTTTTTTAAATTCACTATATTCATATAATATTCTAAAATCAGTAAAACTCCTTGGAGGAGAATTAAATGAGTTAGAATTAAAAAGTATTACACATTTTACATAATATTTTATATTATTTTAATAACAATAGACAATAATTATAATTGGATAGATATCTATAACCGCATAGTTACTAATTCAGATATTTTTTCAAGATCTATTAATATTTCAAACAATATTTTTCATATTCCTCCTAAATCATCATTTATTCTAGGAAATTTAGAAATTAACATAGATTCATTAGTTAATTTTACTCATAAAAAAGGAGCATTTGATATTATTATATTTGATCCACCATGGAGAAACAAATCATCAACTAGAAAAGGTGCATATTCTTCACTAAAATCCAACTATTTTTTAATGAAGGTAAAATATATAAAAATAAAATATTTTATTCATACATCAGATACCTATAGAAAAGTTATTAACAAAAAAAGGTTTCATTGGTATATGGGTTACCAACAAGAAGTCTATTCATCATTTTGTAGAAAATAAACTGTTCAAAAAATGGAAAATGGTTAAATGTGGTACATGGTGCTGGTTAAAAGTATAATATATTTATGCTAAATCATCTTTAATATTATCAAATTAGGTCACAGATATAGGCGAACCTATTTTTAACATTCACTCATTTAACAGAAAACCGTTTGAAGAAATAATATTTGCACAATTTATAATAGAACCAGAAAAAATACAATTCCCAAAAAGAATAATAGCAGCAGTTCCTGACTTACATTCAAGAAAACCATGCATTAAAAGTATATAATTTTTATGTCTGAACTCATTTTTTAAATATTAATAGATTTATTAAATTCACTAATCCAGGATTATAAAGGTTGTGAAATCTTTTCTAGAAATTTAATTCCTGGGTGGTTTAGTATTGGAAATCAAACATTAAAAGCTCAATGGGATAAATGGAATGTTAATTATAATTCTGACACAAAAGATGACATTCAAAACATTTAGCCATAACTTTAATTATTTCTAGATTTACAATAGTACTCATTTCATAATATATTTTAAATTTATAATATAAACAATACTAATTGAACCATATATTAATCATAACATAAAATTAAAATCATATAGAACATTAATACCAAAAAAAGTACAACATTAAAATTATTATATATCTAAATCATATAATAATGATCATATTATCTATATTAAACAACTCTTAGTATTTCTAGACAAATCCCATAATTTAATGCTATTATCATAATTGTAAAAAATTTTATTATCAACATATTTAAGATATTTTTTGTTATATTTTCTCGAACCTGAACAAGTCGCAACCAATGGATAAGATGGATGCACAACAGATGAATTTACAACATCTAGAAACAATTAAACAAATACATAAAATGCTAAAATATTCATCTTAAACCATTATACGCTTTCCATTCAAAAAATATTTTATCATCATTCCATATTCTAATAATACCATCTATATTTCCAGCTATAATATATTTTTTCCAAACATCTACAGTCATTCTTTGCTGAGTCATAGCAAAACGTGGACCCAGAGTTTTAATACAAGAAAATGTTCGAATGTCCCATATACTCATTTTTTCAGATTTACGTGAAACTACAAGTAATTTATAATCATCTAGCCATAAAACTTGAGTCACACCACCATCACCAACGCCAAAAAAAGAAATAATATCACCATCACCTTCATTAGAATATATACCAACGGTAGCATTAAATGTTCCAGCAGCAAGAAGTCTATGGCTATTAAGACAAAGCGAAGAAATAATACCTTTCTGAACAGGAAGGGACAAAGAAAATTTAGAGCACCTTGTAGATGTAGTACGAAAAATAGATATAGGTCCATAACCATACATATTTAAAGCATGTATAGACAACATATTATTAGCGCCTGCAATAAACCTAAAATAAATAACAATATTAATCAATATAATTATATAAAACAGATTAACCTGGTTCCGTCTAAAGAAAATATTAAAGAATTAGGTGCAACAAATCTTTCACAATGATTTATAAGAGGATAAGAAGCTATTAGCTATAAATTAAATTAAATTACTTCAGATTTCTTGCTTCAATAAACCGTCGAAAATAAAGCGTTATATAAATGGATAGGATGATCACGTACAGAAACCAAATAACAACAAGAATTAACATCTATAAAGAAGTTATATATTTTTAAAAATTCTTAATATACCATTTAATATCATTTTAGGATGCCAAAGATAAGAATAAACTGATTCAGCAGACCGAATAAAAGAACAGCAAGTTAATTTAGAAACTAATATTATTAAAGTAGATTAAAATTTATAAATATCAATTACCTTCTTTTCGTTCTAATACATTATTTGGACTTTTAAATCAGATTCAAAATTATACAAATTCAATAACATTTTTACACAATAAAAGTTCGCATAATATTGTCATTAGAAGAACTTAAAAGACATGTTCCATCAGGAGACCTACAATTTAATGGTAAAAAGATATTTATTTACTATATATGAAATACCATTGAACTTGTTTCGTAAAATTAGTTTTAGTATTATAATTAAATTCAGATGCAACTAAATATGGAAAAGATGGGTTTAAATTATTATTTTTAGAAGATTGTGTCAATTCGTTCATTTTAAATTCATAAACCTATTCTAAATCGTGAACCTTAAAATTATAAATTATATAAAATAATAAAGTTTTAATATAACTGTCATAAATATATTACAATAAACCATTTAATATATCATTAAAAATTGCTAAAATAAAAAACAAATTTAATATAAAAGCTAAATCTAAATACGTTTTTTTTATATATTTATTATACATATGAATTTCGACTAATATAAAATATCATTATGAATGAATATAAATATATGATAAAATTATAATTATCATAAAGTTATTCTTTAAAGTTGTATAGTATTTCAAAATCCTAAAAAATAAATTTCCATAAACTATAAATACACATATTATATATTAAAAAACTACACGATATTATAAAAAATAAAACAAAACTATTAATAATAATTTAAATAAATTCAATAATTTTTCAGTAGAACTACAAAAAAACAAATCACTAGGTTTAAATATATTTAACCTTAAATAAAATTCCTAAAATAAAATAAACTAATATATTTATTGTAAACTAAGTATTTTTGGATCTCAGATCTCAAAAATAAAAAAACTACAATTTTAAATCATACATTTACTAATCTATTAAAAATGCAAAAAATATTAAAAAAATTGAAAATTTTTAGACATCATTACAGCAACATTTTAAGACACCTAATATTAATTAACAAAGACATTATACGTATAAGATCGAAAAATCATATTTTTAAAGAATCATGTAGAGAAAAAAAAACTTCATAGGTTTCATCAGTAACATTAATACCATTATCTTCATTTTTCATTGCAAGTTTATCATCAGACAAGGAATAATTCCTATCAATTTCCGGAAATAAAGATCCAGTGACAGTAGAAACTTTAACTTTATTACTACTAACTAAATCTGTATTTTTATTTAAGCTAACTTTATCAGAACTTTTTGACTCAGTAAAGATAGATGTCAAAGATGAATTTAGTGAATCTGTTATTTTTATTGTATCAAAACCTGTAAAAATTGAAGCCTAATTTCATAAATATTAATTTAAAAATAGAATAAATTAATCTACCATTTGACTATCATGAACACCCAAATCATTCTCTATAGAATCAAATCCAGAACCAGTATCAGCTACAAAAGTTTTATAATCATGTAAAGTACTCGAACCATCCTCTGCAAAGAAAATATCAAGACTATGCAAAGTTGACACCATATCATCAAGCGAATCACCTTCTCCACATTCTTCAGAGGCTATAGAAAATGCAGTTGCTGAGCAATCATCTGTTCCATGATAACAATCATCTACATGAAACTGAATATCAGAAGTAATTAAACGCTCATTTGAAAATGAAATAGCACATGTATAAAACACAGAGTGAACATTCGACCTAGTAGTAGCAGCAACAACAGAAGGCATAGCTACTGCCCATCCATTTTCATCAGGTATACCAAACAATTCATCAATTTTCTGACACTCTTTTCGGACATGTTTATCACCCAAAACCATCCGTAGAACATATTTATCTATAGATCCGCCAGATATAACAGTTATTTTCTCCAAAACTTCTAAAGCTTGCTGAGAATATCCTGTTTTTAAAAGCCTAAGAAGAGGTGATATCAAATTTGCACCAAATCCAGAAAACTTTGGCCTACTAGTATCTATATAAGGCAACATAACTTTAAGAATATCCATAGTCTTTACTTTAACCCATCTCCATTTATTTGACAACATTCCTAACATAAATACAAGCACAGGTATTTCCCATTCAGGAAAATATATATCACGAATAATAAAAACAATTTGTTTTATAAAATCCTCTTTAACACGAAACCGTGACTTAGAAAAAGAAAAAATAATTTTTTCTAATTCTAAAAGCCCTTGAACATTAGCCATAATTTGAAGTTTTTTCGCACAATTAATAACATCTTGGGACATTGTAGTATTCTCTAAAGCAACCAAAAAACGAGGCAAATTAGCCAATATAGCAAATAATAACCTTTCATTATTACCAACAATATCATTATTAGGTAATTCAATTATAAAATCCAAAATTCTAAGAGTTATATCATAAGAGGCAGATGATCTTAAACCTTTCAAAATTAATGATTGTATTCCATCAAATTTTCCAACCCATTTAGAAGGAAACATAGACAATAAAAAAACAACATTTGAATGAGAGCCTAAATCAATTTTTTTCATTATTTCTTCTAAAATCAAAACACATTGTATAAATTCTTGTTCATGAATTGTATTTAAGCATGCTACTATACCCCAAAACAATTGAGGGTAATTCCTAAACTCGGAGTTATCAAGTTTCTCGGTCAAAACTTTCAAAGTCACTAATATTTCCATAGCAAAACCTTGGATATCAAGTGAAGTATCACAGATAGTATTTGATAACCTTGCTAACATATCAGCAAGTATATTTTGATTTAATGGAAGAAACAGACATCTAAATATTTCAAAAGATCGACATGCAAGATGACGAACGGGACATGACGTTGCCCATGTAATTGCGATTTTTCCCCACATTTGCCGTAAATCATCATATTCTATAAAACATATTTTCAAAACATCATCAACCATTTTTTTCATTTCTCCAGGTATTCTAGGAACTTTTTTAATTTGATTCAAATCATCATAAGCCCAAAGCAATTTAGAATTCTTAGATTGCAAAATGTTGACAAGGTTAACCTTTACTTTTAAAAACTCATCCTTCAAACCATTTAAATCAATACGATTTAATAATGTTATTAACATTTCTTTTGCTTGGTCTTTTACTAAACCAGCATAATGATCTAATTGTATAAATGAAACATGCAATAATAATGGTAGAATAGAAGAAATAGAAAAGTCAGATTCTATTATTAAGTCGACCATAAATATTAATGCTACTTGCCCATATGAAAAAATAACAGATTTCTTTGGAAGGGGAAAAAAATCATCAAATATAGCCATATAAGGATAATTCATATCAGTATTAGAATATTGATTTAGTTCAAGAAGCTGAGGAATCATTGAACGAGAATTTTGAAGATAATTAAGTAAAGTATCAACAACTTTAAATCCCAATGGAGATCTATTAAGATATACTATAATATGTTTTGCCAGAATAACCAACATTGGGTCCTTCCTTTCTATACACTGTGATATAAAAAAATTAAGAATAATCTTTATATTACCAACGTGAGGACCAGAAACTAACGCAGTCCATAATTCTTCTATTTCATTCCGAAATTTATCTCCATATTTTACATCAATTTCTAAAAGATTGACTAAAACCATATAAGAAGACGAACTTAAATGATCATTTGCATCAAGCTGAAGTTCTATAACTTCAATCCAATGTAATAATATTATAAGTAAATCCTTTTGAGAATTTTCAGACACTAAATAAAAACATTTTAAACATTCAGAGAATACCATAAAAGCCAAATCAGAATACTCTTTTGAATACCGAGAAAGTAAAAGATATTGACCACGCTTATAAATAGCAATAGTATTATTAAAAATTGCTGCTTCAAATTCTGATACTAATGATTTACCATAAAATAATTCCTCAGAATACCTTAACAACCGTAAAGCATTAATTCTCATATCCAAATCACTATCACCAATTTTAAATAAACAAAGAACCAATATTTGATAAATAAGATAAGGAAACACAGGAGCCTCTATTAAAACATCTGCAAGCACAGAAAAATAACATTGAGAAGACTTTGTTTCTAAATGATACTTATAACACTGCTGCACAGTATTTTCAAGCAAAACAGAACAATCTAAATTATGTCGCAATAAATTATAAAGTGCCTTACATCCTACATCTACAACTTTCCCATTTTGACTCAAAAATAATGAATTAGCCCATCGAAAAAAAACATCAATGTCAAACGAAATAACTTCTTTTTTATTACTATTATTTTCTGTTACTTGAATGATTCTTCCAGACTAGACAAAATTATTATTATGAATAATAAATACAAATATAAAACTTACACAAAGTGATGCCATACAATTAAGTGCAGCCATCTGAAGATTCTTTTTTTCAATTTCCAGGGATGCAATTATAGGATTACAATCACGGACATCTTTATATTGGTCCAAAACCAGTTGTTTTATACACTCTTCATGGTTTTGAGAAAATGTTTCGTAAAAACTATATCCACTCCATTCTTCAATCATACGAAAATAAGATATCCGATCATCAAATGATATCCATTTTAAAGAATCAGAAGTCCTACAGACTCCTTCATATACGTTTTCAAGTAATCCACAAAAATATCGTTTTAACTTTTGATACTCCCACTCTCTTTGAACATTTAATTCACCAAGAAATATTTTAATATCTTTAATATAAGATACTAACGTATTCAATATCCATTCATCTTGAATTATGTCTTCTTTTACTAAAAAATGCGAAGTAAGCTGAAGAACATGGGTGATTTCAGTTAATAAATCATATAACACATTTTTATAATTTTTTTCAGATGTTTGAAAATGAAAAGAATGACTATTTTCCGCTGACTTTTTCAATACAAGTTGCAAATCTTCCAATAATACTCGATATACGTTAACATTTATACATTCTAACGCAGATACTATAGCATCTTTAATAATAATACAATCTATTCCCAACAATGGCAAAATCTCTTCAAAAACTGAATGAGCAGAAATAGTTTCTTCAAAAAATATATTCATAATATTCCTTTTATGTTCATATTTCTGAATATATTTCAAAACCTCATCACTAGTGGACGTCAATGTAGAACATGCAACTATAAGATATAATTTCCACTGCTCAACAATAATATCTGAAAAAGTAGAATATTTAGAATATTTCGACAATATATCAAAGGAACTATTTTTTTTTGAAGTTTCAGCAACTTTCATAATGAATCTTTGCATTCGCATCAACCTTAAACAAACAGCATTACGACAAAAAAGAATGTTAATTGGAAATTTCTCAAAACATAATTTAATAAGCTTAGGAAAAACACGAAACCAAATAGCAGCATCAATAGTATTCTCACTTTCTGATATTTTTATAAGTATATTATTAGATTTGTCAGCACGAATTTTTTGTAACCGGTTATACTCAACAACTGACAAAGACTCCATAGAAAAAGATAACAATCTTATGCCATCATTATAAAATATATCTATCATTCTAGAGTAAATAGCATCTGTACATCCAAAAGACTCATTTGAACAAATATTTTCTGTATTATTTTGAATATATTTACTAATAATTTCATCGACTTTTGCAACTAAATGTAAAATCTTAAAACCATAACATCTTATAATCCTTGATTGACTACATATGAAAAAAAAACCACTTGATTCTATTTCTTCAATTAAAATCATTATACAAGTCATTTCATCTGTTTTTTCAAAATTAGTATCATTATTAACTTTATCCAAAAAGTCAGAAGCATCTTTTCCTCTTTTCATTTTATCACTAATTTGTCTAATCCAGATCTTTAATAAACTAACAAAAAGTTGCAATATACGCTCTGTACAAGCAAAGATATTTTGATTAGCAGTAACAAAAATACTATATTCTTTTAAAAACAATTCATCATATTTTTTTATAAGTTTAGAAACTGCTGTTAAAACTATTTGTACTTTATCTTGTTTAGCAATTATCTCCAATGCATTATTTGCAGCTTTTGAAACATCATATTCAGAATGCAAAAGATTTCTGCAAATCATATCAACTACTTTTACAAGAGAAACTTCTTTAAACAAACATTTTGACAAGATTTCAAAACTAACAACTAAAAGTTCATAATATATTTGATTATCTTTAAAGTTTCCAGACAATTGAAGTGCATTGTTTAAAGGAATAGTTATTTTCAACAATAATGAATCCTCTTCCTCAATTTGACAACCATAATTCTGATCACAAACATATGCTATTTTAAATACCATTTGACAAAATAATTCATAATAATCTTTAATATTAGATTCATTTATAACATTAAATATAGAATCAAGCTGTTCATCTGAACATTCCGGAATTTCTTCGATAACTACAGGAAATGACGGTCTATTCCCAAAATTTACTAAGTCATAAACAATAGCCAAAACAGCTTTCATAGCAACTATCATTTTTTCCGGAGACAAATCATCAAGAAAAAAATCTTGAGAAAGTTTAGATATATCAATACTAATAAGAGGAAATATAACATCTTTAAAACAATAATCTGGATATTTTGACCCAATAAAACGTATAAAAGCAACAAGAACCAAATTTAAACCCGAAAAACCTAAAAGCCGTTTTCCAGGAGGAAAAAGTATAAAAATTAAATTATCTAATTTCTTTATAGTTGTATTAAGGCTTTCAGAATAACGAAATAAATAAACCCACGTCATTCTTGCTATGCATGTTACCAAACAGACCCTTGTAGTCTTATCTTTCAATTTTAATATATTAGACTCAATTAAATTAAGCCAATTAGCCAAAAACATATCTCTAGGACTGACACAAAGAAGAGTTGTAGCCAAAGGAAATGCAACACTCCACAATCGAATTTTCATAGACATTTTGATAACTTTGGGATATAACATCTCAATAGTTTTAGCCCATGAAGGAAAATTAAGCTCTGCTGTTGCACTCTAATAAATTTAACATAAAAACTTATATTTCTTTGCAACATACATCAACCATAGGAAGCATAGAATGATGAAAAAGATTAGCATAAGCATACTTTATACGGTTGCTACGTGTTTCTTCAAAAAATCTAACTAAACTTGCAACAAAATCAGATGATTCTTCCAATGCATCCTCAGGAAATAACTAGACAAAATTAATTACTAAAACAAAAAAAATAAAGTACCTTTATTTTCAAAGACTTCATACCATGTATAACCATCTCAACTTTTAATTCCTTCTCCTTAGTAATATTTCCTCTGAATTTTTCAAGATCAGCGATAAAACGGTCACTAACACTAGAAAAACGAACTTTACTCATCCAACCAAGAAGTTCAACAAATAAGTTCCAATTAGCCAACCTAATAATACTAGTAGATAATACTCTAGGATTAGTATATCGAAGCTGATTAAAAACAATCTCTTCAAGTTTATTTCCAAGATCATTTCCTAAAGCGTCTGCAGAAACTTGCTTTACTATTTCAATAAGTGCCCTACATAAGATAAATACAGAAATAAGGGATGTTCTATCCTTTATAACAGAAACTTTCCGATTAAATTGAATAGCGTTCAAATTAGAATCATGCTGGGATTGGGAATCATTTTTAATATCCCCACCAAATAAACACTCTTTATTAAGCATAGGAATTATAGAAGTTTCTGACTTAGACTTTCTCCAATACATAAATGAATCGATAACAGGCTTAGGCTTATACCTAGCTATATATCCCAAACTTCTTAAAATTTTATCAAATATAGGATCAACACCTTCACCAATTATTTTAACAATATTAGGCTCCCAATCCAAAGGATAAGCCAATATAGTATTGAACTTTTTTTCAGTAATACAAACAAACTGAGCAAAAAGAATATAAAGTACATATTCAGTAGGCGTTTTAAATTCATGTTTCAAAGAATCGCAAGTTGGATAATAAGAAAATTGTTCAGGAAAAATGCTAACTTGAGAGTTTAAAACTGTATGATTTATAGAAGATATAGCTTCACAATTAGATGAAGAAACCTGAGAATATAACATTGATTCTTTTGATATTTTTTGAACAAAAGATTTCTCCACATAATCTGAACGATCTAAATCACATGGAATGCTAGAGCCAAGTAAAATATGATCATTTACAGTATAAGAAGTAGAATTTTCAGAAGGAAACTCAATAGATTTCGCATTTACTTGAGAATGATGCTCTGAAAATAAGAGACTACCAGATGCTATTGCAATATAAAGTTAAAATAAAAAACCCAAAAAATATTGTAAAATACGCACTCATTATTTTAAGTATAGAACTCTTTTAATTCCTTTTTAATCATGCTTAACCGTCAAAAAAATTAATTTTTACTAAATTTTACTAAAAAATCGTATCCTAATTATATATTATATAAAAATAACATCTAATACATCTATTTTAGATAAATAGAAATATATTAATTATCTCATTATACTTAATGTTTATCTTAACGTCTCATTAAATTTATTGATAATTTTTGTTCTATCGAATTAACAAACATGTGAAATAAACATTTATAAAAAATAATAAAATTATTTTAGTTATATATATTTAAGTATTAATTTATAATTGTGTTTTATTTATATCCTTAGGTCTATTTATATTCTTAGGTCTCAAAATCAAAATGCATCTTATAACCAATTATAATAAGATAACTTTTTTACATTTTTAAAAGTTTCTAAAAAGAAAACTAGTCTAATAATTTAAAAAAAAATAAACTGAACAAAGAATGAAAAATTTAAGAATATTAAGAAATGACTCAGAAAAAACAAAAAATGATATTTGATATTTTCGATATTATTATTGTTATATTTATAATTCTAGGGACAATTTTATATATATCAAGGAAAAGATCGTCAACAATAAAAAAAAAAATATTAAATATTTTTAATAAATCTACTGTAGATATTTCAAAAAAACCTAAAAATACTAGAGATATCATCCAAAAAATACACGATTTAGTAAGACCAAATCTAATAATATTTTATATAATTATAATTAATATATTATTAAGCAAAAAAATATGGTTATTTTTTATGGATCTCAAACAGGAACAGCGGAAAATTTTGCTTTTCGTTTAGCAAAAGAAGGTCATGCACGTTATGGTTTATCAACAATAACAGTTAATCTTGAGGATTATGACTATGAGAACCTTAATGATTTCCCCCCTGAAAAGTTAGCAATATTTGTTATCGCTACTTATGGTGAAGGTGAACCAACAGATAATGCTGCAGAGTTTTTCCAGTTTTTGCAATCCGAAAATTTAACTTTCTCTAATAAAAATGTTTACAATAAACCTTTATCAAATTTAAATTACATAATTTTTGGTCTAGGAAACAGTACTTATGAATATTATAATCATATGTCTCGTACTTTAGATACATTACTTACTAAACTTGGTGCTAATAAAATTTCAAAAAGGGGTGAAGGAGATGACGGAACTGGCACAATGGAAGAAGATTTTCTTACTTGGAAAGATAAAATGTGGGAAGATGTAGCAAAAAAAATGAATCTTAAAGAAAAAGAGGCTTTGTATTTCTAAATTTAATTTTTTAATTTTTATTAACATTAATCTAGATATATACCTGAATTTGAGATTACAGAAAATCTAGAATTATCTAGCTTTTCAGATATAGTTTTTCTTGGAGAGTTGAATAAAAAACATCTTATAGGTGCAACAAAACCATTTAATTCTTATAATCCATTTATTGCTCCAGTTACTAAATCATATGAACTTTTTTTCTGCAAAGAAAGGAATTGTTTACATATAGAGTTTAATATTGAAAATTCTAATATGAAATATCAAACAGGAGATCATTTAGCCATATGGCCTTCGAATTCAAATCAAGAAGTAGATCGGTTACTTAGTACTTTAGATTTAATTAACAAACGTAATACTGTTATATCTATTAAGAATATTGATTCTACAGTTAAAATACCAATACCTCAGCCTTCAACATATGACTCTATTCTAAGATACTACTTAGAAATTTGTGGACCAGTATCTCGACAATCATTAACTGTCTTAGCACAATTTGCGCCATCTGAAAAAGCAAAAAAAGAAACTCTTAAACTTGGTTTAGATAAAGATTATTTTCGAAAAACCATATCATCACACTGTTTCAATCTTGCACAAACAATGCAGTTCATAACTCCTAAATTATGGACAAAGGTCCCATTCTCATTTATTATTGAATGTTTTACATCTTTAAAACCACGATATTATTCAATTTCAAGTTCTAACTTGATTTATCCAACAAAAGTTCATATTACTGCAGTTGTAGAATCACAAATTTTTCCAGAACATAATAATATTTTGAATGGAGTAGCAACAAATTATTTATTAGTTTTAAAACAAAAGCAAAATAAAGAAATCAATTTACGTCCATTTGAAGTAAATTATGCATTAAATGGACCTCGTAATAAATATAGTAATTTTCATTTACCAATACATATTAGACGGTCAAATTTTCATCTTCCTCATGATACAACTATTCCAATTATTATGATTGGTCCAGGTACTGGTGTTGCACCTTTTAGAGCATTTGTTATGGAAAGAGCAGAGCAAATGAAGAGAGGAAAGAAGATAGGCAAAACAATACTTTTTTATGGGTGTCGATACAGAGATGTCGATTTTTTATATAAAGATGAATGGAATGTAAGAATTGTTAAATACAATGTTTTTATATTATATTGATTAAAATAGGAATATAAAAATATTATGGGGGATTCATTTGAAATGCATATTGCTTTTTCACGAGAAACAAATAAAAAAATCTATGTCCAAAATTTGTTAGAGCAAAATTCTTTTCAAGTAAACAAAATTTTAGAATGTAATGGTATACTTTATATATGTGGTGATGTATATTTTTAAAGTATTTTTATAATTTAATTTACTAAATTTTTATCTAGGCAGCACGTATGGCACGAAAAGTAAATATGACTTTACATAAAATAATCAGAAAAGAACGTGGATTAGGGAAAACTGAAGTAGATCAAGTTATAAAAAAAATGAGAAATGAAAATAGATTATTTGAAGATATTTGGTCTTGATTTATAACTATCAAGTAACTCATTTATATGTAAATTAGTGGATTATCATTTTTCTTTATTTTTTTAATATTGCTAAATTAATATAAATTACATATTATTATAAATATTATTTATCTGTTAATTATATTATATTTATATTTTTATATTTATATTTTTTAATTTTCTTATTAATAATAAATATGCCTAAAAATTCAAAAATCTTTTGATAAAACTACTAAAATATAATATTATATAAATGCTAAATGTTTTATTCAAAAAGTACTTTTGTATTCACTTACATTATTTTACTGCATAAATAAAAATTAAAATCTTCATATTATTTATTTTTTTGATTTAAATATCATATATAAAAAATTTCAAAAATGTATTTTTTTAATTATTTAATGATTTTTGGAACTTTAACATTTTATAAAATAAATTTATACTTAAATAATTAAATAGTTATAAAAACAAATAATTTAAACTCATTTTAAAAAAAATTTATGAAATTTTAAAACTTGTAGAAAACCATGTAACATATAATTACATTTTATTTTTTTTAAATAACATAAATTTAATTTTTAATATTAGAAAATAAAATAATTGAAATAATCATATAAACATTATTTTCAAATTTTTAAAAAATTTTTAAAAATAAATAAATAAATATATAATTTAAAAATAGAAACTATTAAAGAATTTAATTTTAACATTATTTTTTATAATTTAAAATATATAAAAATTATAAAACTAAACATTCAATACAAAGTATAATATATTTTACTAGTTTATATAACACAACATAAAAGAACTTATAGTTTCTACATCATTTATATTATTAATTATCTTTTCTAAGAAGTATTATTTAAAGATGTGCGCGAACTACTTAAATCCAAGAACCGAAAACACTAGTTTAATTTAGTTTATATTTTACTGTTTTATATGCTCCTATTTTTTTCTACTTTATTAACCCTTTCTCAATACTCTTAAACTTTTTCATTTGCATTACAAAAGAAACTCTTATTTCATTCAAGTATTTTTACTGGTCTTAAATTTTTATTTAAGTTCATTACCTATTTATTACAATTTGAATAACATCAGGTTCTTGTTTATCTACATATTATCTGTCTGTAAACTTATTTCTAGCTTTTATTTTACTACAAATTACTGAATTTTATTTTAAACATTGATTTGTATAATTCTTTTTAAATATCAATACTTTCAGGTACAATATAAAAATATGAACTTTAAACTTATTAAAATATTTAAATAGACACTTTTTTAAAAATCAACTATTCAAAATTTTTATATACTTACTATTTAATGTCTGTTACAGATACATCTTATATTTCTGTTTCACTTGATGCAGAACCCTCATTGATATCAGCAATGACATCACTCAGTGTTACAGGTACAAATAATGTTACTGTTTTAACATCAAAAGAATCTATTTTTGATGATGCGTATAAGCATATCAATACACCTTTAACTCCTGTATCTAATGAGGCATCACCTGCTAAACAACTAAACCTTCTATCTTTACAACGATCAAATAATAACACAAATTTACCATCACCGCCTTCTTCGTCACCATTGCTTTCAGTTCAGGATCAAAAACAGCCTACATCGAACTCATCATCTGTAAAACAAAAACCTACACAAGACATTATGAGCACAAACGCACAACTTGAATTTACTCCTATTGTTGGATACCAATATAATAATAATAATATTTTATATAATACTAGAGGAAAATATATTCGAAATACTAATCTAAATGCTACAAGCAAATGTCCAGCAGATCGTCAACATACATATACTATGAACTCTTTTCTAAGAAATCATCCAACACATATTAGACCTACTTGGTTTACACCACATAATCCTCATCCTTCTTCATTATATCATTCAATTCCAGCAGCTAATATGATTCCAAATCCAATAATAAATACCAATGCTTTTACAGCAACATCAGGTGCCTACAGATATCCTGGACATGTTCACACATCAATGTCTTCTATTTATTCTTCTTCGCCACAACTTCCTTCTACTCCATTGAGTCCTCAAATTGCTGGAATGATTGCAGCAGGTCCTCCTGTACCTGCCCCAGTTCCTTCAATATTTCCAGGTCCAACTTATTATGATACCCTCGAATCATCTCTTCAAAATCCTAATAAAACAACTAATGTTTATATTAGGGGACTTCCTCCGGATACTACTGATGAAAGTTTATACATTCTAGCATCTAGATTTGGGAAAATTCATAGTAGCAAAGCAATTCTTGATACACAATCGGGAACATGCAAAGGGTATATTTGTGTCTAAAATCTCATGTATTTATAATCGTTTTTAGATTCGGATTTGCATGTTTTGAACAAGAAGAAGAAGCAAAAGCATGCATTGCTGGCCTAATGCATTTTGGTTATCAAGTATCTTTTGCTAAAGTTATTTCTATAATTATTAGAACTGCATGTACTTATTAAATAATTTAGGAATCTTTTAGCACAAGGCTTAAAAATTTAGCAGATCCAGGATCAACTAATTTATATTTATCTAATCTTCCTTTGAATATGCATGAAAAAGTAAACCATATAGTTATAATTATCCAAGGCCTAATAATATTAAGGATTTAGAAGAGCAATTTGCTCCATATAAAGTTATTTCTAATCGTATTCTTAGAGATTCAAATAATATTAGCCGAGGTGTTGGGTTTGCTAGGTTTTTACCATAAATAATATAAATATTTTTTAACATTTTAAAGAATGTCAGATAGAGAAGCCGCTGATGCGATAATTGAAAACTTTGATGGTAAAAAATTGCCAGGTGCTACAATGCCATTACAAGTACGATATGCAGATTCTCCATCTCAAAAACGTATAACTTTGAATATATATATATTTTCTTATGCCTTTTAGGCCTTAAAGGTCAAACTGCTCGACGTAGATTATGGAGAGCTCGAGAATATAATGCTTTAACAGGCCGTACTATAATAGATGATTCATTAGGATTCTCTGGTTTAGGGCTAGGTATAGATCGTTACGGTATTCAACATAGTGGAACTGGTATCACAGATCTTCATGACGAACTATCCAATTCTGGAACATTCTCGAACTTACAAATGTATTTCCCATTAAGGCAGAATTATGGAAATTGATTTTCGTATTTTCTAATTTATATAGTGCAGGAATAGCAGGATATCCTTCTCTTAATTATGAACCACATATACAATCATTTGTTTGGGATATGAATCATGCTCATACTTCATATTTTAAGCATCATCTACAAAAATCATCGATAAATAACAAATCAAAATCATTATCAGAAACATCAATTTTAAATCCAACATCAGTTCCATGTGAAACAAATTCAGAAACAAATAATCAAGATTCAGAAGTTATAAAACAAAAAGATATAATATATCGTTTAGTAGATAATAATGTTCAGGTTAAATTTTAAAATATATAGATCTATTTTTAATATATTAAAAAGGTTAGTTAGCTCGAATATTAATGATTTTGTCATTGCTTTATCATTGTTATTGATATTTTTTACTTTTGCTTAAAAAAATTTTCAATTTTGCCAAATATTATAATCAAACTATAAATACCGATATAATTGTAGAAATGGACAAATAGCTTGAAATTGTGCGGTATATTTTATTTTTAATATATTGCTATAAATATTTTAAAACACGTTATTATAATTCCGTATTTAAATTATAATAACAAATTAATAAAATCATAATTACATTAAATTTTATCAATAAAATTTAAAATAGTTTGATATTTAGTATTTTATTCTTGATAAAAGAAATATTTAAAAATATTAAATTAAAAATTTTTATTTTACAAAAATATTAATATTTTATAAAAATAAATAAAAAAAAAATATAAAGATATTTAAATAAAAAAGTATTTATATTTTATCCATAAAAATATTAAGATTAAATCTTTATATTCATAATTATTAAATAACTAATTTATATAACTATAATTTATTCAAAATATTAAATTTTTCAAATTTTTCCAGCTAAACATTCAGCTAAACATTAAATATAAAAATTTAGAAAATATTTTATAATATTCTATGGTTTTTCATTAGATTTATATAGAAAAAAAAATTAATATTAAATATATGAATGTTTATAGTAACTTAATAATTTATCAATTCATTATTAATCTAAAAACTTCAAATTTGATTCATAAATTGTATTTTTAAAAATATTTAAAAATAAAAAATAATAATTAAAATCAAAAGAACAGAAAATATACATAATTTATGTAAATAAAAAAAATTATTCATAATATTTATATATCAAATTATGTATCTTCTTCCATATAATTCGGATTTTTCCTTAATATAACAATCCATTCAAGTGTAGGAGTAAGAGGAATATATTTGTCAGTTGCAAGCTCTGCACGATCACTATGTTGAAGCAATGTCGGAGTTTCTAAAGTCTGAAACCCGGTAATAGTCTTTGGTCGCCCAATTTGCCCAACAATATCTACAGCTGTTCCTTGTCTTACTGTTGTTTTTTGAAAATTACCAAACTCATCAACTGTTAAAAGCATACGAGGATGTATAGCCATAGTAAGATAGTATAATATCCAATGAAATGTATCTAATATAACTAGAGCAAAATTAGTTATAAAAATACATTATTAATAATATTACAAAATTTAGAGTTCATCATAGAAACCAATACAGTAAATAAACCTGATATAGATACATATGACATAATTTGGCGATCAGTATGGTATGGACTAAGAGTCATTGTTCCTTTCCCCATATGCAAAAGTCCTTGAGCTACACGAACCATAAAAAGAGCATTTGGAGTTTTATGATAATAACTAGCTAACTGGCGAAACAACTGAGCCAATCTTGCATTATTTGTACCTGACCCCACTAAACCCATTGCAAAAATAGCATTAATAGCAACATCAATATCAGTATCATGTGAATATCTACTAAGAGTTTCGAATATTCTAATTTGAGGATTAGAAGCACTAAGTAACCCTAAAGCTAAAGGAACTGCTTTACGAATGACAGGCTCACCATAATACATCTTCTATTATAAGCACTGTTATTTATAAAAACTAACTTACTAAATGATCAAAGTGTCGAAGAATCATTTCTCCTCCTATATCTTCACCCATTGCAATCAAAGCCAATCCCAATACAGCAAAACCTTGATGTAAGTCATTCTTCTCTTTATCATTATCTAAATGACTACTACATATATGCAAAAGGCCCTGAATTTTCAAAACATTACCTGTACCAGCATACGAAAAAATATCAACAAGAACATCTGCTTGTCGAGCAATAGGATGATTAATAGCTTTTAATATTTCCAAAGTTGCATCTGATGCATCTTGTTTACCAGCATATAATAGTGCTAATCCTAAAGACATAAAACACCCCCATTTTTCCTCTAAGTATTTACTTTCTCTTTCCATCATTGTTTGAAGAATAGCTGATGTTATATCACCATTACATGATCCAACAAATACCATACCAAGTGATAAAGCTGCTAAACTAGATATTTCCATAGGCAATTCAGTATCGTTTAAAAAAGGAAGAAGTAGCTCTACAATATCTTCCATATTAGAACCAGCATAAGCCATACCAAGCCTAAAAACATGAACTTAAATAATAAAACTATTGCATTATACCCAACAATAGCACTAATCTTGAATTTTGTGTCTTTATTTTCTAAATATTCCCCAAGTAAAGCCAAAGCAGGATCAGATTCATCATGAACACCTGTATTAATCAATCCAATACCTAATAATGCACCAGCTTTAATATTTTCATCAGATGAATAAAGATATTTATCGATCTGCGCAAGACCCATTTCAATATCCCAAAGCATAATCATTCCAATTGAAGCTACTGCTGACATCATCCCTAAAACATGTCTAATAGTCATAATAAACAAATATGAAAATAACCTGTATCTTTATTTTTATAAATCCATGAAGTATTATTATCATCAGAAAGAATAAGTTTATCATTACCAAATCCAACATTCACAAAAGCATTAACGAATGTATTCGCAAGATTTTGTTTTGCAGAGTCAACAGAAGTTAATGACATTGACCGAGTTTCTAAATGACTTTTATATATATCATCCGGCGTTTTTGGTTCAAGAACATTAAGTTCTTTTGCAACAAATTTGAATAATTCACTTAAACGACTGTTTCTTAAACACTCATTTATATTTTCATTATCATCTTCAAACCAAATTTGTTGTCGAGCTATCAAATAAGCCATTTGTTTTTTAAGACTTAAATCATTTGTACTATTAAAATCACTTTTAATAAGCTCATAATCACCTAAACGTATTGCTAATGTTAATGCTTGTGCTAGCTTTCCTTGATTTCTATATATAGTATGTGCTGTTTTAAGAAATGCAACATCGTCTGGTGGTGCAAGAAGATTAACACAACTTAACTTTAGAAATATTTTGTTTCTAGAAAGCTTTTTCTTACCTCACTATATATGAACATACTCGAGAATAAGTATTAGAATCAATAAAAGGAGGCAATTTTTCAATTGCTTCTAATTCTAATAAAAGATCAACAGCATCAGCTTCCGCATTATGACTAAGGAAGAATGGAACAATTCTTAATGCTAATTCCATAAGATCATTTGTTGAAGCATCATTTTCAATTCTTATTGAATATTCTTCACCTATTTCCGCTGACAAATGTCTAAAAAACTTTAATTTTTTTATTTTGGATTAAAATTGGATACCTCATATATTCATGGCCCCATAAATCTAAATTAGTTTTTTTCCCTAAGAGACAATATTTAAGAGATTCTCTTTTTCCTTCTTTAGCATATGTCATACCAAGGACAGATAATATGTCAGCAAGAATAGTCTTTCAAAATTATTAAATATAACATAAAATCCAAAATACCTTCTGATTTGATTCAGGCCAAGTTTTATAAATTTCAGTAAGTTCAGAAAAGTATGGACGCAAAAATTTCAAAGGTTTTGGTACAGCTGTCATAGAACTAGTTGAAGTTCGAATAAAAACTGTCAAAGATTCTAATGAAGGTTCATGAAGATTAACGTCTGATTCCTAATTTAAGAATGATTAATGAAAATTTAAAAGTAATAATATTATACT